ATTATAAATATGCTGTAGTTGTAGTTAGGTGGCTAGCTTGCTTATCCGGCCAGCTCGCTTATCAACCACGTTATATATATTCTATATAGATTACTTCTTTTCTATCTCCTATAACTAATAGAGCTATTAATAGTTATATTTTTATAAGTAAGAGATTATAGAGGCTATATTAGTTATCTAATTATTTATAAGTCCTAGGATAAGCTCTCTAATAACTATAATCTAAAAGCCCCCTAGGGCTTCTTTATAAATTACTTTATAATAAGTCCTAAAATAGGCTTAATAACTATAATCTAAAAGCCCCCTAGGGCTTCTTTATAAATTACTTTATAATAAGTCCTAGGATAGGCTTAATAACTATAATCTAAAAGCCCCCTAGGGCTTCTTTATAAGTCACTTTATAATAAGTCCTAGGATAGGCTTAATAACTATAATCTAAAAGCCCCCTAGGGCTTACTTAATATTTAATAATATAATAGACTTAAGGATTAATAAGCCCCTAGGGGCTTTTCTATTCTAAATAAAGCTTTTTAATCTACCTACCTATCTACCTACTTATCTACTCCTATATTCTTTTCTACTATAGATACCTAAAGTAAATAAAATAATATCTATAACTATAACTTTATAACCTAGCTTATTCCTAATACTAAACCTCCTTTTCCTTCCTAGCCGCCTAAACCTCCTTTTCCTTCCTAGCCGCCTAAACCTCCTTTTCCTAGCCTAAACCTCTTTTTCCTAGCCCTAACCTAAATAGACTTATAATAATATCTCTATAGTTTAAAATATATTAACTATAATTTATAACTAGTAATTGACTTCTTATTTAACGCTATTTAAGAGTTATATACTTAAATAGCGTCTATTTAGTACTACTCCTATAAGGCTAATAGAGCTTCTATAAGCTACTATTACCTATACGCGCTCTTTGTAAGCGTATAGGCTATAGTTAAATTCTCACTTAATGCTACTAACGTGCCCTTATACCTAACTTAATACTATCTTAGTAGGTACTCTGGAGACTTAAGGTCAACCCAGCCTAGATTTGGCTCAGACTGTTTCCAGCCCAATCGATCACGCACAAGCTGTGAATACGTCTTGACGTCTTGTACTGGGTAACTGAGAAAGGGAATCTCCTGCAAACACATAGTCAGTTTGATCCTAATAGCTGGAGGCTGATAGTATCTTACTTCCTGACGGTGAACGCCACTGCACATAAACATAATGTGTACTGTGCGGCATCCCGTTGGCAATGAGTATTGACCAGCTCCGTGGTAAAGACTCCCCAACATCACAAAGGCCTCACCAACCTTCAGCTCAGCATTCTCAACACCACGACTTCCGTCCAAACCAAAGTCAGGCTTCTCGTCACCCCATAGATGTGAGCCAGGGACGATACGAGTCGCACCATTTGCCTCAAACGTGTCGCATCCGGGAACAAACAGACCTAGTAGCATGTCGCGTCCCTTAGCGTAACAGTCTGATTTTCTGTGACGGGCATGATGGTTTTTATCGTCTCGATGCAACTTTTGGGCATTTGATCCAGGCTGAGAGGACATTGTGATGGAGATCGAGAGAAGAGGATTGGACTTCTGCAATGTCGGCTCGTCGCCATACCAAATGGTAGTTTCAAGGCCAATGAAATGATCGGCCAGTTCCTTCACCGAGGTCCCACGTCAGCGTTTTCTTCTTATAGGAACAAGATGGGAGATATCTCACCTGATAAAGAGAGTCAGAGAAAAACGTTTCGCGAACAGTTTTGCTTCGCCCGACTAGTCTCGTGCATATCGCGGTCCCTCCGTTCAGGGCTCCCACGGTGCTGCCGGATTCTGCAAAGGACGCATCAAGATATGGCTGAACCTCCTTGTTTGCCTTGTCGACTGATGTAGGATCGGTAAAATCGTGTATGATGACGCAACCGTCAAGTTCAATGGCTTCAATAAAGGCATTTAGCCCAGCCTCCCGACTGATGCGTTGGACCATTCCGAATGCTCTATCAGATGTCTCTGAACCCTTGCCCAGTATGTTTTTCTTTTCCTTAGAATTTTCGATCCTCTCCGGATTGCCGTTGCTTCATTTACAGCATCAGTTCGTGTCTTCGGGAAGATACCGGCCACGCAAAAGCTTTATGGCCCGGAATAGATCGCCGATCTTTCAGCAAGCAAGTCAAGCAAGATTATCATTCACGGAAAAGTGCCTTCAAATGGGGCAAGATAAGCCGGAAAGGATTGCCGCCATCTTGGCCGATAGTAGAGAGCGGGTACAAGGATCTTAAAGAGGGGTACCTTCATCGGCTATGATGCTCGGTTGTAGGCACCGAAGCAAGATGATAAGATAACAATGGACGTCATAGGTACGTGCGAAGATGAATTTTTGCTTAGATAACGTACATGTTTACGCAAATAACTCATGGTGCACATTCTTTTCAGACTGGGATTTTGCGATGGAAAGGCATATGGAGGCTCCGTCTTTCCCGGATCGGGGCTTGACATGAGGCACAGCCGGGGTGACCAGCCGAGCCAGATGTGCATTAGCTCTCAGCTGATGGGACCACTTGTGACACATAAAAGAAGCCAGTGTTCTCTCATCCATTTGTCCGACCCTATGCCAAAACATTCGTCACTGGGAGCGTTCCAAATGGATTGGTGAATCTGAACAGCACACCCAAAACTTTTTGATCAAATATGGGGGATACACCAGATATCAACTACTTGTCACATGGGCTTGCGAGAGTTTCCATTACAACAGTCAACAAACAGAATCTCTTCTCAGAAGCTATTCAAAAACTCGGCGCCGGCTATCAAGAGGCTGATCTCATACTTCTGAACCTTCGATCTTGGGCGCCAGACGTCGCAGCCCGTTTCTCTCGGCGCACGCCAGACGTCATCGTAGAGACGCCATTTCGACTCATTTACACTGCACCCTTCAGTTTCTCTCCTCAGGACAGTTCCTTCGTTAAGAATTATTTGGCCGTCAGCTATAGCTGGCATAATTCGGAATGGCCTGGGACTCCCTCATGTGTTCCCGAACCCAATGGAGTCTGGCCCATCGGCCAACGCTTTGCTGAGGGAATTCTAGCCGAGCGCAACGATGAAAAAGAGGGCATCTGGATGGACCAAATATGCATCAACCAACACAATGATGCAGAGAAGCAGCGTGCTATTGCCTGTATGGATGTTATCTATAAGAGTTGTCGAAAACTAGTCGTTCTTTTGGAAGATGTTGAGTTGACGGATGAAGAGGCTGCCGTATGCAAGAAGTATGACAGCTACGATTCGCCGTACATTCTCAGCCAGAGACACCCCGACAAAATGGAGATTCCACCGCTCAAATCATTGTCCGACAAAGTTTCAGCCGCTCGGTGGTGGCAGCGAGCATGGTGCTTTCATGAGTTCGTTGTTGGGGAGCCATGGAGCGAAAGAAGACACCAGCGGGCACATAATACTGTATTCATTGTCGGTTTGGATCAAGGAAGGACTGTCACTGTTGGGTGGATGGCGTTACACACGATTCTTGTCATGGTCACCACTCAACTTGGTCACAAGACTCCCCAAAGCAAGCACATCAATCCGATCCTCTCTGGGTTTTCAAATCGCACATCACCCCTCCTCGATGATTGCGATCCACCAGTTCAAAAAAGCAAATCAAGCTTCATGGCACGATTTAATACCGTTTCCCAAACCGGCTGTTCAATGCCCGGTGACAGGCTCTCGGTGTTCATCAACCTCACTGGTGTTGGGCTTGCATACTTTCGAGAACAAGAGCCAACCGTGGATGAGGTGTACTATCTTGCCACACTGCTGTCTTTGGCCGCTGGGGAAAAGATCTCATTGTCGTTCGCCAACGCGGAACCTCTTATGGTTAACGACAAACAGTCGTGGCTGATGCGACCCATCACAGAAGCGGACACAACATTGGGCAAGTTTCGACTTGGCGGTGTAAAAGGCATACGACGTGTTTCGGTTGAAAAGGTGGACGTCGACATGGTTATTCTCAACCTCCCTTTCACAGGTTGTACTGAGGAGGAAATCCAAGCAACCCACGACATTTTCCCAGAGCTCATTCGGAGCACACAGCCTCCGTTGAAACACAACTTGATTAAATTGCCAGCATTCAGAGCCGACGCAGATATGGAGAGACCTCGACGGCAATTCTTGGCCGCAGTCGTGGCCGGTGGTTCTCGATTAGCTCATCGCCTCTGGTTACAGCTGGATACCCAGGTCGTCAAGTGGGCGTACAATACTGGCATATTCTCGGATTTTACACCAAACAAGAACCTTGAGCCAACGGCAGCTAGATTTCTGAACGCATTGGATAGAAGAAATGAAGCCGGATATGTCGAAAACGTGGCACTCAGCGACAAGGACGCATTGTTATTTATCACATGGATCACCGACCCGCGGTCAATCTACTGGATCTCCTCGCTGGTTGCCCGCATCCAATGCACTGAGGACGGTCAATGCGCCCTTTTGACCGGTTTCTCGTTGACAAATCATTTTGCAGCACGGGGTAGCGACATCGGTATGAAAGTTGCAATACCAGTGGATCTTCTAGAAGAGAATTGTGCTTGGACAAGAGCATGGATTCTGGCGCCATTTGACAGCAAAAAAAAAGATGCAGGCTGGATCATCGTAGCGAAGGCTTTACTGCTGGGTGAACCTGGTCTACGTGAAGAGATCAGCAAAAGCAGAGACAGCGAGCACCTTGATTCTACAGTAGCATTACTCAAGGGTCAGACGATTGTAGGCTCGATATGATTACTTCCCTCTTACATGTAGGCAGGGACATTTATGGTGCCCCAAATGTAGCCTAGTATCTACAATCTTCTGTTCTTTCCAGTTCTGATTGAATCTATTCAAGTCTGTCTGATACTTCCTGGTCTTAGAAATCTGCCGACTACCTAGTCACACCTTCGGTTTTGTCTGGGGAAATCTCCAAAGATACCGTTGGTCTCCGGAAACATCTTCCATATGGGAAGTTATTATAGCTCATCAACGTCTCTAGGCTTTTCCAGCAGAGCGAAACCAATGCATGTATTTCTCGGCTGCATCTTGCATGCTCTTTGTACCAGCTTCAATGGTTGTGGTAATAGGACGACCGCGGGTCTTTTCCTGCGAACTGGCGTAGTGATTGTTGATACCCTTGTTGATGTTGATCTTCGTCACTCCGGCATTGATACAACGTGTGAAAATCTCCTCTGTGAAAGGGTCACAGCCATGAAGGATCAGACGGACTCGGTCTCCTACAGTTGCGTTGACCGTCTCCAGTCGATCATACTCGAGCTTGATCCCCCTCGGTCCATACTCCCCATGCACGTTTCCAAACGCGGGGGCCAACATTTTGATGCCAGTAGCAACAAATTCTTCGGCTTGCTCAGGGGTTGTCAGGACACCCTCAAGGTCGATCGTCTCAGCAACTCCATCCTCTCCGCCTTCGATTCTGCCTGGCTCTGCTTCCGTTGCAATGCCTCGCTCATGGCAATAATTCACAAGCTCTCTTGTAAGAGCAAGGTTCTCCTCTTTTTCGTAATGGCTCATGTCGACCATGATGCTGTCGAAACCATCTGGAATATCCGCTGCACGACGCACAAGCTCTGGTGACTGGGCGTGGTCGAGATGCAGTGACGCAGGTACAGATGCGGAATGGCAAAGATCAGCCGCAGCGCGGACAAGTGCGTCTCCTGCGTATTGAATTGCCCACGGAAACAGCTGCACAACTACGGGCGAGGATGTTGCTTCGGCAGCACGGATGGAGGCTACAACCGCCTCGAGGTTGTAGCAACAGAATCCAGCGACGGCATATCCTCTTTGCTGCGCAGCATCGAGGATCTGCAGAGTGCGGTTCTGTGATAGAGGAGGTCTCGGCATTTTTTTTTCGAAATCTAAGCTAGATCTGGACTGGTGGATGAGGGAGGCTGCAATGCGCAAAGAGTGAAGAGTGTGTGAGATTGGTGAGGTTGTTTAGGGAATCAATGCTGGATGGGTAATATGCCGGAGGCGATTTGAGTCGGGGCCATCACCGATGGTGGCTTCTGGCAGCGCGGGGAGATATCCGCGATGCGGGCCTGAAAACCTCGGAATGGAGGAATCCGCACCGAGCCGACCCCAATACAACACGAAAGAACAAGATCCGGTTGGAACATCGAGCGGATGTGGATCCATCCGCTTTTCCGCTTTTGCTTCTCCGGCATCGGGGGTCGTGAGATCGTTCCCCGAGATGCCGCGCCCACAAGGTCACCCGAAGAGAGGGGGTCGGCTAAGTCTATGGATAAATCGTGAATATGACGAACAGCTGCCGCTTCCCCGACAGTCTTCGCGTATCTGCAAAGCATCGCCCACCAGAATTTCGTTCATCAAGTATTCTGTCTAAATTACTGATGAGCTATCATTGACAGTATCAACCTTGATCTCGACTTACCGCTCCTCAATTCAACAACCATGGGATCAACACTACCGCCCGTCGCTTTCATCGGCCTCGGTGCTATGGGCTTTGGCATGGCCACGAATCTGATTCGTCTCGGATACCCGGTTACGGGTTTTGACGTCTACAAGCCGACTCTCGACCGGTTCAAGGAGGCCGGGGGCCAAGTCGCAACAAGTCCCGCAGAGGCAGTTGCGGGAAAACAAAGCTGTGTATGCATGGTTGCAACTGCCGAGCAAGCTCAAGGGGTACTGTTTGATGGCGACAATGCCGCTGTGCCGGCTCTACCTCAGGGTGCCGCTCTGCTGTTATGCTCGACGGTGCCATGTGGCTACGTTCAAAGCCTCGAACAGATGCTTATCAGCAAGGGCAGAGGCGACATCGCGCTGATCGACTGTCCTGTCTCTGGTGGCGCTGGGCGAGCAGCCGACGGTACTCTTTCAATAATGGCAGGTGGTGCTGACGCCTCTATTCAGAAGAGCCTTTCCCTTTTGCAAGCCATGTCGGATCCTGCCAAGTTGTACGTGGTTAAGGGGGGCATTGGGGCAGGAAGCAACATGAAGATGTGCCATCAAGTTCTTGCTGCCAATCAGATTCTCTCTGCCAGCGAGGCGTTGGGATTTGCAAGTCACCTGGGTCTTGATCTGGCAAAGACTAGCCAGGCAATTCTTAAATCAGAAGGGTGGAGTTGGATGTTTGAAAACCGTCTGCCCCGGCTCCTCCACCCTGAATTCCAGCCTGTTGCCAGCGCTGTTACGATCATCCTCAAGGACACCAGCATCATCACTTCAGAGGCCAGAAGAGCACGTTTTCCAGCCTCGATGACGACAGCAGCTGAACAAGTCTATTTCAGCAGTCTCTCCAGAGGGTTTGGGACCGACGACGATAGTAGTTTGCTTCGACTGTACATCCAAGGAAAGAACAGTATTGGGCCCGTGAAGCCACTGGTTGAAACGGACGAAGCAAAGATCAACCTGGTAGTAAACCTCCTTAGGGGAATCCACGTTTGCGCTGCCGCCGAGGCGATCGCGTTTGCGCATCACGTTGGGTTGGACTTGGACCAGGTGCTCGAGTTGTGCTTGAATGCCGCTGGCGGAAGCAGTATGCTTTCAAGCTTTGGCAGGATCTTTGTGGACGCTTCTAGGGATGGACGGGCATCATCCGGGTGGACCGCACACGACAACGAAACTACTCTTCAGACTCTTGCCCAGGAACTACGAAGTTCCATAAACGAGGGACAAAGGCTTAAACTGCCCCTGTTCCTGGGCACTCAAGCATACAACCTTGTGGAAGGGGTGCTTCATGCTGCAAAGGAAGACACGCATCGCTTGGCAATTGGATCTATTATTTCTAGCTGGGCAGCATAAGAAAGAAACATCGAAAACATAGGATACTTAATTCCAGCACCAGCTGAAACCTTATCCGCATCGGCACTAATGTTCGACATGTTTACCGGTGATTTAAACTAACCTTGGAACCTGGAAGCCACTTCAGGGCAAGTCTTTGTCGACATCCTCTCTCAAAATCGATCGGATCATTTAAACAAAGGAACCTCGTTTCTACCCTCCACGGGTCACTAATCTAGGCCGGCATAACTACCACCAGCGCGGATAAGCAGCCCGTTTGGCACTAGCCGCCGAGTAATAGCTTGCTGGCGAGTCAAACGCTCGCCAAATGGTCAAATGTTTTCTTCGCTAGGTTAGGGTGTAGTACATGAGGTCGTAAGTTTCTCAAGGTCCGAAATACAAGCTACCACATTATTCCATCAAGACCAACATTTGCCGACCTAGACCGATTCTCCTATAACTACTTGGAATTCCCCCTTACTCTCATGATCCTCGTCACAGTTCCTTTCCTCCGCCGACAGCCACCTATCTAGCTGAACTCCCTTACACGAGCATATTGTTATTATATTGCCAGCCTTTCTCAAAATGCGCACTCTGCCAGTCTTTGCTGCTTTTCTAGCAACCGGCACGGCTCAGCTGTTCAACACCTTTGATCTGCAACAAATCCCGGCCTCTACCATTCAAACTGTTCCTGTGGGCGTTGGAAATCAAACCATTGCACCGTCTAAGCGAGACGTAAGGAGCAATCTCGTTGTGCGCGATTGCTCCCCTCTTCCACCTGGGAGCGGCCCCGTCCCTTCTATCGATACAGACCAAGCCTTCCTAGCTGATCCTGACTTCTCCAACGCGGCCAATGCTGCTCTTACTCCCTCTGGGTGGTATCAGACGTTCAAGAATCTCCAAGCTGCAACCTCGGCTTCAGCGTATCAGGGATATAACACCTATGCGACATACGACCCAGCGCGATGTGCATCCGAATGCATGAAGATGAGCGGATGCTCCGCTTTCAACATCTTCTTTGAAAGAGACCCAAGTCTCGATCCTGCATCCCGCTGCCCAAACCCTCCCAGTACCACTGTCATCAAGTGCAGCTTCTGGGGCGTTGGAATTGGGCCATCTACTGCTACAAACAACGGCCAAACTCGAAACGACTTCCATGTTGTCATTGCTGGATCCAATGGCTACCAACTCACGGCTCCCGAATATCCTGTTGCTGGCTACACCTCAACCTTCACTGACGCGGCTACCATCAACGCCCCCTCGACCTGCAACAGCTACATCACGTACAAGGCTCACACAGACGGAGCTTATGACCCCTCTCTATGTGCAGCCGATTGTGCTAGTCAGAAGCAGGAGACCAACCCATTTAATGGCTTGACTTGCCATTTCTTCACCAGCTACTTATTGTTGAAGAATGGTGTCACCCAAGCTCAAATCTGCGCACTCTACTCGCGCACGTGGGACAAGACATATGCTACTAACACAGGATACACCTCTGGATCTGATATCTACTCAATTCAATACGCCTATGCGTACTCTTACACCAACGATCCTGGAACTCCTACTTGCCCTCAGGGCAGCTCCGGGCCGTCTTCAAGCACGACTGCCTCGTACAGCGGTGGCATATTATCAACCACCGTAGCCGCATCCGGCGTGGGCACTGCGAACACTGCCACTTCGAAGGCCACCACCCTCTCCACCTCTGTCAAGCCCGTTTCAACCAGCACAAGCTCAATGGGGGGTTCCTCCGCTGCCTCCTTTTTGACGAGCTGCCCGAATCCACTCAGCTATATCGTTGGATACAGTGGCGGTCTCTATGCTGTCTGCGTTGATACCGACTTTCAGATTTCAAGTCCTCAAATCTTCTATGGATACCAGTCCAACCGCGACTGTGTCACCCAGTGTGAGAAGACATCTGGCTGTACGAAGGCTGTTTTCAGACCATCTACCCAGACCTGTTATCTCAAGGGCAGTCCTGGTATCCCCGCTTCAAACTGGGCTGTTAACTCCGGTTTCCAGACGCTTGTAAAAGTGGCCGATGGTACTTCTCTTACTCAGTGTCTGGCACCGACTTATACCATTCCTTTCGGTCGCACTACTTACACGGTGTGCCCCGGTAGTGACTTTACAAACAACCCAGCCACAGACATCTGGTACGGCGTTTGGAGTGAGGCGGCCTGTGTAGTTTTCTGTCGACTGCGACCTGGGTGCGCCAAAGTCGTGTACAACTCTGCAACCCAAACCTGCTATAACAAGGGAAATCCTTCATTGGCCAGCGCTGGGTGGCACGTAAACACCCAGTTCCGTGCCATTTACATTTCTTGAGGTTGTTGAATGGGTGGATATGAAGGACCGGTGTTTCCGGATGTATGTATGCCAACCTGACGATGCACGGCACACAGCTGAGCTCGGTCTTGAAATTTCGTTAGAAGCGGGAATTTACTTTTTTATTTACTGATGGACAGCTTTCTACTTAAACCAAATTCACACTGCCCCATCCGCGACGTGCAAGATGAGAATATCGATTAGATGTCCGTCGAGAAAGCAATGCTCAAAAGGTTAGTCCCTCGCTCCGTTTGATCACTGCTGCCAGTGTTTCTCCGTTGCTCGAGACTACAGGCTATTGAGGTTCATCGCCGAGGGTCTTTCTCTCACGTCGGACGTCCAAGACGTCGGAGCGAGGATGGCCCTCGTTTGGCAGCATGATAGCCCGGTCAAGCGTGTACGGAAGGCCCCGGTGGCGACCACGAATCATCATTGCACAGATCACCAGCTTGCTGAATGTCGTGAACTCCCCGCTGAGTGATGTCATTACCGTAGGGTGTCCCAAGGACAACCCAACGTTGCCACTACAGGTTAAGTGAGCGATACAGAACAGATCATAAGGGAATGTGTTACTTGCTATGCGCTGACGACCTCGAAAAAGACGGGAAACACGGAGAATGCCTGGAATCGTTAGATCGAGCCTCATCGAGAGATGCTGGGACGAGCACACTTACGGGTTCATTCAGATCCATGATTCTCTGGGATTCAGCTATACAGATACAGAAGGTTCCGAGAAAAATGTACCATAGATCAAAGCTGAGCTGGTTTCGTACGTGGGTCATGACATATGACGCGCCATCAGTCTCATCGAGGTGGCTTTCGGAACCGTAGACGCCAAGAGTTCTCTCTTCATAAGTGTTGGAGGCGCGAATGCTGATGGCTATCGGGAAGATGGCGATGTACATCATGCAGAGCAAGCTGAACTGCACGGCAGGGTTGACCAGAGACAGGTTCAAAGTCGAGGTGCCGGTGTGCCTCGCAGACGCAGCTTGGAAGAGAGCTGAGAGGATCCGAGGACCCATCGCGAGATCATTGACTGCTGGATTGTCAAGATCCAGAACAATAATCAGTAGAACGTCAATAAAGTTTAGCACGAAGACGATGCCAAACAAGATCCATGTTGGCCGGCTGGGGAAAAGAAGAGTGTAGCATCTTCTAGGGTGGTCAAGAAGAAACTGGAGGTGTTCTTTGGTGGTCGACTTCTGTTCACCACCTTCGAGATGGTCCAAATGATGAAGCGGAGGAGCACGGGATAACATGTGTTGCCGGCAAAAGCAAGAAACGTCATGACTAGCATGGGCCAAGTAGCATCCTTAAAGGTCGCCATCGAGTCCGGGGTGAGAGTGAAGCCAAGGTTGTCGACCATGGTCTGGGCAGAGTAGAAAGCCCACCAAGTCCGGCCTTGGCCATTCTCCGCTAGCCATGTAGTATACTTGGATGGGGCGTGTAAGATCCAGGGCAACAGGCATACGACCCCGAAAAGATGAAGCCCAAAAAAGTAAACTGCCGTTAAATCAGCCAAATCTGTGTGAAAATCGGTGGGGGTTATGCAGGCGTGTACTAGAAACAATCTTGAGAAGAAGTTTCAAACTTCTGTACTCTATACCACCGAGGATCTCCCGATCACGCTCAGTTAGATGAAAGAACTGGGAGTTGCGTCCAATGGTGACCTGGCGCGATAATTGAGGGAGATCTGAGGTTCGCGGCCGAGTTGATAGGTCAGAACGACGCGACTCGCGTTCGGAAGATTTGGTACGTCCGAGGACGAGGACGGATGAGGCAACTTTCTCCATTGAACGTGCAGCACGCATTGCCGGGCCTTCGAGGTGAGTGTTGTGCGGCCTGCGTCGAGATAAGCCTGTGGCTGACGACATAACGGGGCGAATGATGTCTGTTTGGGGTTTAGCAGTGGCAATCTCATGGTCCGATATCCTGTGCATGGCACCGGCTCACCATCATCGTTGTCCGTATTGTTGCCGATTTCAATCATAGACTGGCCTGCGAAAGCTGGCTTCAGCTACAGTGCAAGTAGTGCAATCAAGATTCTTACGTACCATCATCACGGTCTCGGGGACCAGGAACGTGCAGAACTGTCCCATCAGATTGGCTGTGTCGAGGTTGAGGTAGATTATCGTGAAAAGTGATCGTGGTCGATCTAGCTGGAAGATGGTTGGTTGCTGGCTCGGACGCCTCGTGCTTGGCTTCTGACTCGGTGATGCCAGTTTGCTCGTCCCCGGGAGCATCACTGCGTCGTGGAGCAGCACCATCGTCGTCTTCGGGTGGGCTGCTGGCCTCCAAGTCGTCGGGGTTTCTTGGCTCAGCGGTGGCTATGACCTGGTGTGAGTTGAAAGAATGAGGCGACCCTGATTCGTAAACGCAACTTACCAATATCCTTCAAGCGCTGTTGAAACCAGTAGAGGCGGACGACGACAACCATCATGTTCACAAACATGAGATTGGTGATCATCGGGATCACGTAAATGTAAACCTGCTGGTAGGTTTTCATGTTCTTGACGTCCACGCTTTGGAGTGCCCCAAATCATCACGTCAGCGCCCAACTCGTTTACTGCAAACTGGAGCCACAACATTGCCACTGGGGAAACTTACGTATTGAGTCCAGACTCAGTTGAGCCGCTACAGCCAAAGAACAAGGTATCAATTGCGGACAGGTTACCGTAAGGATACAGAACGACAAAAGCGAGCAGGCTGCAAAAGAGAATCCATATGTCTATGGGGACGGACCTGTCAGGTGGAGGTCCCCGTGGAGTTCAATTGGGGGTTGAGAGCTCTTACAGTGGAGGGTTATGAAGTTCAGCTTTGGTTTCCACATTGCTGCGAACATCCCCGAGGGTCGAGAAAACTTGGATCGTTGATTACGTAAACAAGGTCCAAAGTGACAGGTGGTGCTGAAAAAGTGACGAAGTCCTTATTTGAGGGCAGATGTCAAACGGTTGTTGAGAGGAGGAAGATTTTGACCCTTGAAATCTCGAGGGGACGCCGGGTTAAGAATAGGAGGCGAAGTCGAAGTGCTTTAGGCCGAAATGGGTTTGCGCTGAGGGATTAATCAGACAGACATACGTAGGCATTGAGCCGGGCCAGCCAACAATGGCTAACTGCAGGCATGCGTGCCAAGGTCGATTCCGTCGAGTAAAAATCAAGAGTCGTACTCCGCCATCACGAGACGCGTTGAATGCTTGGCAAATGGGACGTATCCGTACTGTTTATGCATAGAAGTGCGAGTAATGCAGCAGACGAATGAGCGCGTGAGGTGGGGTGGGATAGACGTTTAGGTACCTATCCAAGGTACCCAAGGTGTACCTTATAGATATTACATTCTACCTAGGTACCTAGGTGCCTACGTTAGGTAGGTAGGTAAGGTATCTTAGGTGCCTCCTTTTTCTTGTCTTTCGGAATGCGCGACTATGCAATTAATTACCGGCTTGAAGATGTTACTCTAAGCACCACCAAGAAGACGCTATGAATGGCGCCTATTCATCGGCTGCCGTCAGGTAACCAAAGTACATCCAATTCCCTGCATAAATGATAGAAGCCTGCGCTTGCCAGGGTTGCGGCTCCGGTTGAGCGCACCAACACCAGCCAGGCAGGCAGGCAGGCAACCTTTCTTTCTTTCGACAACACGTCAGCTCAGGCAAGTCAGTGGCATCGAATATTGCTCTGCCTTGTTTGAAAACGCATGCACTTGATAATCAAGCAAACTGTTCGCCCATAGTCTTGCAAGTCGACCGACTAAGTGTAAAAGGCCTCTGGTGTCCGTCGCCATGCTCCTGTTCGTTCTGCACATCACTATTGCTTTTGCCATTTTCGCCTCTTTTTTTACCTCTGCCATGGCGTCTCTTTGGCCCTACGACTGCCCAACACACGTCGATGCCTTCGTCCCGGGCTATTGGTCGCCCGACGACGAGAAGCCTGACCCACGACAGCCCCCGCTTCATTCAATGCAGCAAATCCACAATGTTATGATCAACTGCGCAGACGTCAAGAGTCTTAAGCTGCGCGTCACTATCCTTGGCTGCTCGGGCGAGCCAGATCGATTCAACTTTCCCTTCAAGTTTCCTGGGGGATCACACTATCCATCAAAGCTCGAGGTTCTTCACCTCGATGGCTACGAATTCGACGAGCGGGTCTGGACGCGGGTGCAGCCACCCAATGAGCTTTTCCCCTATTATCCTGACAGTTGGCTTCCGGATGGTATCGAGGACTATGTGCGTTGGTACTTTTCTGACCGGGCAACTAAATACTACGAATGGCGCTATCTCCCGGATGAGCAAAAGAACAAAACGAACCTCGACCTTTGGATTGACGCCATGGACTTCTCCAGTATCCGGGAACTGGGTCTCCGAGACATTCGAGGCGGTGAGGTAGCCGTGATACGGTTACCACCGTTGCTGGAGTCTCTGAAAACACTCAGTATCCGAGATCATTTGGCGCGCGACTTCATTCTTGCTCTTCCTCCGAACTCGTTGGAGCATCTAACATGGGTCTCTGGCTGCCACTGCACAGCCGGCGAATCAACATTAGACGCTGTCCTCTATCATGGAAAGTCGCTACTCAGTCTCGAGCGACGGGAGCCTGAGAGCTCCTATAATCGACGTGCAGTTATGAGCGCTGGACAGCTTGCATCTCTTGGGGACAAGGCGCCGAACTTGCAAAATCTGACAATCGACCTCAATCGAAATGGTGCCTGGCCCATGGAGGAACTCGAGGCCATTGCCACGCACTTTCCAAATCTGACCAAGTTGACCGTCTACTTGGAGCTGGCTAGCGAACAACGGCGGCAACTGGAATCGGCCAAGTTATTACCAGACTACTCGACGGCAAACGATGAGATAATGTCGAACGATTTGGACAACATGGCACGGCCTTTACTGAACAAGACGGCAGGGGCCGAACTATTCCAATTTCTTCGCCAGAAGAAGGTTGGGAAGGAACTGACTGAGGTAAGATTCTTCGCAGGAGACTGGGAGAGATTTGATGACGGCCCATTGTCCGAGCCTAGCTGGCTTGAGAATAGGAATGAATGGGTAACATGCAAAGTTCTTGACGGTTGGATAGAAGGGAGTTCCGAGAGGCAGTTCGTATGCGATGGCACAGATACGACAGTCATTTTTAGCGAACGAGCCTGGATTGATTCAGAATTCCTGTATTCTCAGCCTGAAGTTGTCAAGGTCAGTCGAGCCCGGTATGCGTCTGACATTGATGAGGAGGAAGAGGAACAGCTACGACAACTGCAGAGAGAAATAGAAATGTAACCGGCCTGGGTGTACTGGTGCCTAGTTTGAACTGTTAAGATTGACGTTGATTTTACATCAATAATCAGATGAACACACCACAGAACATTTGACAATACCACCTCACGCGAAGACGTCGGACTGGTTCCACCGCGGCTTCAAGGAACCCCGCTGAAGACGCGATGCCGATGAACCGGGCCGCTTTCCCCACACCGCCAAGGCCGCCCAATTATCAATGCCACGGGCGACACGTGGTGAAGGTCACCTCGCAAATCCGTAAGATTCTTGTCGACTCTAATTCGTTCCTGTGGTGTAATCTCCGTGCCTGGCAAACATTCGCTTGTCCCAACCATCGGGAATCTCAAAATGAGGGGTCGTCCACTGTGACTATTGCAATGAACCCCTGGAGACTGTCGTCATTGAACACAAGTTGGCTCACTTTCCGCATTCCCAGTGTCCAATCATCGATCAAATGATTACCCACGAGCTTGAGCTTGCTCATCTGCAAAACCCACGTTGCCGGCGTGCATACCAAGTCGGACAGACTGGAAGGCCCGGAAGTACATCCCGGCTGAAATTGTGGAAATTCCCGTGGTGTCGGGATACTCATAAAGTGAAAGCATCCAACGCAAAGCATCAATCGCTGGCACTCGGCTTGAGAGACCACAGCTGCCTCCTTTGCATTGTCTTTGGCGTCACCCTCTCCAGCTCGTCAACATGCTTCAGTCCACGGTCAGCCTTCTGGCCCTCGCCTCTGCGGCGTCGGCTGCCTTCACGGGCAACATGAACTACCTGTCTCCTTCCAAGCATCATGCGTCGCTGGGTATTTCTATCCGCAAAGTGGCCAAGCGCACCTACGCCAACTCTCACTGGGATCCGGCAAAGCTTAACTTCACGCATGGTGTGGCTTCCGGGGACCCTCTCGACGATAGCGTCATTCTCTGGACTCGCGCCGCCCCGAATATGGATAATGATAAGAGCAATGTCACCGTATCCGGTTACGTCCCTCTCTACGACCACAGCACCGAGGGCTATGTGCAGAAGAGCGACTCACCGGTCTGTGTCGACTGGAAGATTGCCACCACCGACACGTTTGGTTCTGTCGTGGACTCAGGCACTGCTTACACGAGCTCAGACGTGGACTTCACTATCAAGGTCGAAGCAAAGAAACTGGCCCCGTATACTGTTTATTGTGAGTTTTCTCACTGTCCTGCCCCTGCCAGGTACGTGCTGATTCCGCAAAGACTACCAATTCGCCATCTGCAACTCAAACAATACATCTCCTATCGGGCGCACAAAGACCATCCCATCGAAGGATGCCAAAGTCGACACCCCCGTGAGGATTGCAGTCTACTCGTGTAGCAACTTTCGTAAGTTGTCCTCGTTGAAGTCTCAGTCAGTGTGTCTAAATGAGTTGCAGCTTTTGGTTTCTTCAACGCCTATGGCAATCCCGTGAGAAAAGAGTCTGTCGACTACGTGGTTCATTTGGGTGATTACATTTATGAATATGCAGAAGGCGAGTACGGCTATGGCTATTCACTTGATCGCATCCCGCTTCCCGACCGCCAGATCTATACGTGAGTATTTGGGTCTCATAGAGCGTCAGGCGTGTGCTAACCCGGGTCAGCCTGTACGACTACCGCAAGCGTCTCGCCACTTACAGGACCGACTTGGACTTGCTGGCTAGTCATCAGCAATTTCCCTGGATCCCAGTGTGGGACGACCACGGTCAGTGTGATTGTTCAGTCATTCCATTGTCATGACGTTTTACTCACTCTATACAGAGGTCTCGGATAACACGTGGCGCGACGGTGCTTCAGAACTCAACAACACCGAAGACTCCTTCATCATGGACGGAGGTGTCTCAGTTGACCAGCGAAAAATGAACGCTGTTCGTGCTTACTTTGAGTGGAGTATGCCTCTCTTGATTCGCCGTCTCCTAGACGCAGTTACTAACAGTATGAAGTGCCCATCCGCCAGGTTGACATGGACGACAACCTCCGGATCTGGAGAGACTTCAGTTTTGGCAGTCTCTTCGACCTGATCATGCTTGACACCCGTCAGTACGACCGCGCCGTAAGTTCAATTCTGGAGTGTTTGTGCTTTCAAATTGGAGATCTTGACAGTGACTCCAGATCACGGATGTTTACTGGAATACCAACTACGTGAATTCCATCAAGAACGAAGCCAGCCGGTCCTTGATGGGACCTCGCCAGGAGGCCTGGTTCTACAAGACCCTCCAGGACAGCTCTACCCGAGGTGCTCAGTGGCGTGTCATTGGCAATCAGATCATCTTCAGCCGGATGAACGAGAGCCTCTCTTTCGGTGCCGAGAACCCATTCAATACCGATCAGTGGGACGGATACCAGGCGAACCGCAATCGCACGTTTCAGGTCTTGTACGAGAAGAATGTCAGCAACAACATCTTTCTTGCCGGCGACTCGCACGCATCTTGGGTATCAGATCTTGTCTGGCTTGGCGAGCATGATTACGACCAGAACACCGGATCTGGCTCGGTCGGTGTTGAGTTCGCAGGCTCTGCAGTCAGTTCTCCCTGCCCAGCTGGCCAAAACATTTCGCTCGCAAACGCAAATGTCGGATCCGCCTGGTTGACGGCAGCCAATCGCGAGCTTCAATGGCAAGATCTCTACTACCGAGGATACTACGAGCTTAGCATTGACTACAATGCCGTGAACGCTTCTTTCTTCGGTATTCCCACAACCAGAATCAAGCAAGGACACGAGATCTCGCTCGCCAACTTCACCGTCGTGGCGGGTGAGAACAAACTTCATCGACAGAACGGTACCGCCGCGGTCGGTGGTATCACGGAGAGTGGTAGCTTGAAGAACGGCAGGGTGGTGCAAACTAATCTTACGCACGACACAACTACCGGGGAATATCTGAAGTACAACGCGCCCTAAACCATAACAATCATGGATAGATCGTCCATTTGAATGCGGTAATAATAATATAATTGATTATCACAACATGTTGTGCGTCTGAAATTGACGCCCGTCCTACAATAACCCAGCATGGCGAACTACATGAACAGTAATGAAACCTTGCGTTTACCTCTCAACCTCTGGATGTCCGATTCCCGATATCTTCGGGATGTTCTTTCCCGGCTGGTGAAGATAACAACTGCCGAGCCCGGCCCTGGTCACCTTCCTGCAGTGGCATGGTCAATGGTAAGGTAAATTCTGATTGGCCCGGGCGAACCCTCCTGGATGATCGACCGACTTATCTATGGATGTTTTCTGCAGTATTTACATGGGTTGAACGCAACAGAGATAGAGAACGTCATTGATGATTTGTTATCAACGCGGGGTCGCTTTATAAAGTCTTGAACTATGTGCATCTGCATTGAAGTTTGACTGTCCTTGAGAACCTCTACACTTCCTTCATGACAACTTGGGTATGCGAAGACATGGAAACTCATGAAAAGAACGACATCGAAACACGGTCCTCCCCTCGGGATAGCCAACCGGAGACCATAGTCGGTGAAGTCAAAGATGTCTCGAACGCCGATGCCGCTCTTGACTTCCTACGGCGTTGCGGTGAGGTAAAGCTTATGACGGCGGCGGATGAACGGAGCTTAAAGCGAAAGATCGACTGGAGAATCGTACCTCTCATGTTCGGATGCTACATTTTACAATACCTTGACAAGACTTTGATCAACTACGCGAATGTCATGGGCTTGCAAGAGGACACAAGCATCACCGGAGACCAGTACTCCCAGCTTGCCATGATCTTCTACGTCAGTTATTTGGCTTTTGAGTTCCCCCATGCCTGGGGAATGCAGAGATTTCCCACAGCAAAATACATCGGCGTCATGGTTTGCCTCTGGGGAACCGTACTTGCCGTCACATCAGCTTGCCACAACTGGGCCGGCCTCGTCGTGACCAGGGTTCTGCTGGGGGTATTCGAAAGCGCCGTTGCACCTTCGTTGATTGTCATTACGACCATGGTAAGAGACCATTATTGCCCAGTTACTTTTCATGTACTTACTTCTGTAGTGGTACAAACGTCAGGAACAACCGCCCCGGATGGGGATTTGGTATCTCGGAACAGGCGGCGGCGTTATCGTTGGCTCTCTCATCTCCTTTGGCTTCCAACATTATGGCGGTTCCGGGTTCACATCTTGGCAGATCATGTTTCTCATCTGTGGTCTGGTGACTGTCGCCGTCGGCATCACGGTGATCGTTGTTCTTCCGGACAACCCCATGAGCGCCAAGTTTCTGTCTGCCGAAGAAAAGGTTTGGGCTATCGAGAGGCTGCGTGCCAACCAAACAGGAGTCGAGAACAAGCACTTCAAATGGCCACAATTCATTGAGTGTTTCACCGACCCACAAACGTACCTGCTGGCACTCATCACAATCAGCTCCAACGTTCCAAACGGCGCGGTCTCTTCGTTTCAAGCAACCATCATCAAGGGATTCGGATACACATCGAAAGAGACAGCGTTGTTGTCGATTCCCTCGGGCGCTGTAAGCATTGTCTCAATCTTAGCAGCAACGAATGTAGCCGGGAGGTTCAATCAGCGTGCCATTAACATTATATGCCTTCTGATTCCCGGGGTCATTGGTGCCGCGCTTATGGCTTTCTTACCGGACGACAATAAGGCAGGCAAACTTATCGGCAACTACATGACGAACTGCATCGGCGCATCTTTACCGCTGCTGTACTCTCTAGTCGGAGCAAACTACGCAGGACATACCAAAAAGGTCAGCTACATACTAAAACATACTTTTTGCAATCACTGACCGATTATCACAGGTGACTATGAACGCCACTCTTCTGATCTGCTTCTGTTTGGGAAATATCATCGGGCCATTGACTTTCACGGCAGAGTCTGCGCCTGACTATATTCCTGCAAAAACTGCGATCATTGTCACTTGTGGCCTTGCAATGATCTTCACTCTTATCCTGCGGTTTTACTACATTTGGGAAAATAAGCGTCGCGACAGGCTTGTCCAAACTGGAGAACTCGGACATCTGCAGGATGTTGAGTTTAGCGACATGACAGACCGAGTGAACAAAGAGTTTAGATACACGCTGTAGCTTGCCGGATAAATGGGCACACACAAAATGAGAACCATGTAGTTCATTTTATATTGTGGTGGATTTGAAGACCTAGGTACTTAGCCGACTTTAGCCCTTAATTAGATGAAATGGAGCATGTGGATTAGGAATCTCATGTTCAAAATCCCAGAGTATGCTCAACAGGTGATGAGAATGGTTTCTAGCTCTCATGCCTTGAGCATATCGGTTGCGAAAAATGCGAAGTACCATCCGCGGCCTCCGCCACCCCTGCATACCGTGCTGTGAAACATTTCCGATGTGCTCAGTATTGACCCCGGAGCCCCGGAACTTGGCCCTGGGCATTTCGAAGCTGCGTGGACTTTTGGGGTGGACCGGTGCAGCCCTATGGTAACTATTTTTAGGGTGATCTCAATCTTGCCTCCCGTGCCGATATCCGTGATGGCTTAAACTTAGCGGGTCATGGAACTCCGATCGTCTTTTGAGTTGCGTGGCACTGGCAGTTCCGCTAGTACGTACGGGCCGGGCGCCTGGTCATGATTAAAAGTATTTGATTTCATCTCCTCCCGCGGACGCTGTCCCCTTCACACAGAAGTTCGTGATCACTTGTCGTCTGGCATTCGAGATGTAAGGCTTCCTGTCGTCCTCGCCAACCACTTACTTTCAGCACACAAGTGCAGTGTTCCAAGTGCCGTCTTTCGTTTTTTGTGACAGCTTTCACTTTTTTTTTTCACTCTTTCCTGGCCAAATACCGGGCGTCCCCACGCCGAAGCTCTGTCTCCTGCTGCCTCCTCGACTCGAAGACCAATTCTTATGCGATGGATACCGACATAATGACTGCCCACGATGCAGAAGTCGACACCTCAAACACTCAGGATACTGCGGACAGTACAATAAGGACCCTCGAAAAGCCATCCGAGGTTGCAAGCAATAACACACTTCTTCCCCCGAGCTCCCCCATCTACTCTACCGAGCAGGTGATTCTGGTCAAGCGCCGTGGCCAATGGGTGCCACCGAAGGCGTCAAGGCTTCGAAACAGCCTCCTGAGTACAATGGGCCTTCTTGAGCTTGCCAACGCGGGGGACTTTGCCGCTAATGTCTGGAATGAGATCCCCGTGCCTGTATATGCCATTGTTTTCATGGCACTTGGCGGCACATTGGCTTTGGTGGTTTCAATTCTGGCCTTGAAAGATACCTTGTTGAGTTGGGAAAACGTCTGCTTTCTTCGAAGAGAAAGGTCGGAGCTGAAGGCAGAAAGATCGAGACGTTTGATAATGGGTGAGTCGACGCTGGACGTTGATGTTCTCCTCGACAGCAACTTCAGAGAGCTTGGGAGCGAAGTAGCCAATCGTTTCGGACTCGACATTTGCAGCGGGTTTGGCGCCTTCTTGATCAGCATCGGGACGTTCATGGCCATCGGAGGTGCCAATCGACAGGTCTGGTTTGCCAGTAACATACTGTCAGGTTATCTTGGCAATGCCCCAATCGCACTCTACGGCCTCATCAGTTCCATTTGGTCCGCCTTTATTTTCCGAAGAGCCTCACAACATCGACACCTTGCTGCTCGGAGTAGCAGACTTCAGGGTAGCCATGCCAAAGCACTTGTCGGAAGACGAACCAGAAACGTCCATATCTTCACGTCGGTCAGCGCCGTAAGCAGCATTATCGGCGGCGCGGCGTCTCTGGTTACTGCAACAAGATGGGAGGGGTACATTGTTCTTATTCCTGTCATTCTTTCCTCCATGTTCTACAACGCATGGCTCCGTCGTCATGTGGCTTATGACAGGCCCAGTATCGGCCGGTCTATGAATCTCAACGAAAACACGGTTATTCAACAGCTCGAACTGGCTGCAGTCACCTGGGAGGAAATCAGAGGACAGTCCTCACCACTTTCCAAGCTGGTTATTGATACGGCGTCTCTCAGTGCCGTCATCAATTACTTCGTGGTAAATGACCTACTGGAAGATTTGTGTGTCCGTCTCATGCAAAACAAGGCTCTGGTCGTCGCTCTCATTGATCAAGAATCTACGGAAGTAGCACTTGACATGAAGCGCTTACTCGCAATCCCAAAAGAAACCCATTCGATTATCTTCGACGCAGCAAACGACATCGTTAGAAAGAGAGGGCCTTTGCACTTTCAATATCGTCAACGATATCTCGCCGAGGTTCTTGGTACGATGTTACGTCTATCTCCGAAATCTACCTAGAACATTCGAGACTTGCTGCTCAGCAACGTTCCGTGGCTACATGGCCAGGGAATGCCATTGTCCATCTTTCGGGGCTGACACTGGCAAGCCTTTGAAAATTTCTTTTAATACAATATAATGTTTAATCTTTTACACACGTAACGATAGCTAGCGCTCGTAGCTTACATAACTTTTGTAGCATGAAACCCCCGTGAATCTCGACATACTGAAACGACCGTGTACATGCACCGATTCCACTTATCTGAGCCAGACCAAATCGATTGAACACTTGATACCGTGGACCCAAACTTTCGAAGGGCAGATAACCCAGACCACTTCGACCCCTTTCCCTCTCCATTCCATTACCTGGTTCCCTTTTCTTCCGGCGGTGCAACAACGACAGTGGCGGGCACATCGAAGCTTTCCGTATCCTTCGTCTTCTGCTTTCTCTTGAACAGGCCCCCAATACCAGAGAAAACCTTCCCAAGAAACCTGTAGACGAGCACAAAGGGCTTGCCCACGAACTTGGCAACCTTCTCGAACCAAATATCGGGGAATATCCGCACGACAACTCCCCAAGGAATTGACATGAAGGCAATGACGATGCATATGGCCCACTGATTCCCGTTGAGGCCCCTTTCCTTGATTTCGAAGACACGGCCACCCACGAACACAATGCCGACCTGGAGGCCGACCATCAAGAGGTTGATAAAGATGAAGAACTGGTTGCGGTGCACTCCTTCAAGGACGTTGAACTTGTTGTCCAGCCTGCGATTGTTGAATTCGTTGAAAATTTGCATCCATACGAAGGTGTTGAAGATGATAGTATCCAGCTGAAGCATTTCATCCTCGCTGTTTCTGTTGTAGTTGAGAATCTCGGGGCCCGCGAAGTAGAGCACAATCGTGATGACCAGTTGGAAAATAGCTTGGCCAATAATCATCTTCCACATCTGGAAACACGTTGTCAGTCAAAAGTTGACCGGATGCAAACGTTAGTTACTTACGTTGATGGTGATCAGAGGAGCACTCTTGGGTTGAGGTGGTCGGTCCAAGATTTTTTCGGTGGGAGGATCGGTGGCAAGTGCAAGAGCTGCAAAAGTGTCCATAATCAGGTTCACCCAAAGCAGCTGGACGGCCTTCAACACCGGCTCCATGTGGCTACTGTACATAGCGGTGATAAATGCCAACATGACTGCGGTGATGTTGACTGTGATTTGGAACTGTGGAAGTGATAAAAGTCAGCTAAATCCCTTGTGATGTCGGTCAGGTCTGGCGTGAAAAAACATACCTGGAGGAACTTCTGTACGGCGTCGTTCACTGCGCGACCCCATTTCAGCGCCGTTACGATCGAGGTGAAGTTATCATCCATCAAGACGATAGCAGACGCTTCTTTGGCGACTTCTGTTCCAGAAATGCCCATGGAGAAGCCAACATCTGCTGCCTTCAGCGCTGGGGCGTCATTGGTACCATCGCCGGTGACTGCTACCGTCTCACCCAGAGCTTTTAATCTGGTCACTAGAATTCGCTTATCTTCCGGTGACGAGCGAGCCAGAACCTGTAGCTTGGGTAGAAGAGCGTTCATGTCCGGCTCGGAAAGCTTGCGGAAAACCGGCCCTTCCATGATCACTCCTTCACCACCAGTGTAGATGCCGCACTCCGTGGCGATTGCCTGCGCCGTGATGACGTTATCGCCGGTGACCATACGAACCGTCACCCCAGCATGTTGAGCCTTGCGAACTGCGTCGGGAACACCGGGTCGAACAGGGTCCTGGATACCGACAATGCCGAGGAAGGTAAGGTTGGAAAGTGACACCAGAGAATCCAGCTTGACGTGACCATCTTCAGACGGCATGCCAGCAGGCGGCCATTGTGCATAGTCCTTGTACACAAGTCCGATTGTTCGTAGCGACCGGCTGGCATATTGGTTGATGGTTGTGTCTAGAGCTTGACGCTGGGTCGAGTCCAGGGCTTCCTCGTCCAAAGTCTCCAAGTTTACCTGCGTCGAACAGTAACCAAGTAAGATTTCAGAGGCACCTTTGACCAGCAGACGATAACCTCTGGTGGGATCCCGAAGCTCGATGACAGCAGCCATGCACTTCCTGCTGGAGTCAAATGGCAACATCTGAACGACTTGCTCATTGGCGCGGGCCTCGGCGAGTGATTGTAAGCCGAGATGGTCTTTGGCGAGAGAAAGCAGGGCGGTTTCCGTCTTGGACCCAATGAAAGTCGCTTGGCCGTCTTCTTCACCTTCAAAGGCGGTAGAATTGATAGCCACAGACTGGACCACAAGTTTCTTGGTTGCTTCAGGGATATTGGCGGCCCATGTTGCTACAGGAACAGCGTTGGGTGTTTTCTCATTCTCGGATTGTGAAAGAGCTGTGAAGCTTGTGTTTGCGAATGTGCCGGCCACGACGGTCATCTTATTCGTTGTCTAAGATCAGATTAGCGACGAGAATAGATGCTTCCAATTAAATGTCCGAGAACTGACCAGTGTGCCTGTCTTGTCAGAGCAAATGGTCGTAGCATTACCCATCGTCTCACAAGCACGCAGTACGCGGACCAGGTTGTTCTCCTTCAACAACTTCGTGGTAGCAAACGCCAGTGCAAGAGTCACTGCTAGCGGCAGTCCCTCAGGTACCGCCACGGCAATGATAGCAATAGCAACGACAAGCAGGTCCATAAAAGTCGACGCCTTGTCGGCCGGGGGTCGGGGATCATTCGGGAGATCCGCAACGAAACGGAAAAGCAGAATGAAGAACATGAGAGCAGATGCGCCGCCACCAAGCTTGGCGATGGCAACCGCCAGGCCTTCGAGTTTCTTTTGTAAAGGAGTGGCTTCAACATCGTACCGTACAGACATCATGATCTTGCCGAAGCTGCTGTGAACTCCTACGGACGTACAAACGTAGGTGCCGATACCTGAGATTCGTTAGTTGAATGGTCCACGTGGCCCGGTGACACTCACTTACCCTCTAGAACTTTGGAGCCAGAAATGATAAACGGATCGAGGTCATCCAAGTTGTTGTGCTTTGTATTCAGCAGTTTCATGACTTGGTCGCCCCCAGTCTTCTTGAGGACGTCGGATTCGCCTGTAGCCGAAGATTCATCGCATTTAACGTCTTGACCTTCAATCAGGATGCCGTCCGTGGGTACCATGTCGCCAGGCTCAAGATGTAGAACTTCCCCCACGAGGATTTCGTTGACATTGATCATAACAGATCTTCCGGAGCGAATAACCTTGACTAGGCGGTCGTCCTTCTTGGTGTTCAAACGAACAAACGCCTTCTCTTTCTGCCAGTTGTTATGGGAGCCGACGACGACGACGATGATGACAGCGGCGCAAATAGCGACGCCTTCGACCCTGGTTTCCGTAAGTACTCGTGAGGAAGGGAATTCAAACACAAGGTCAAGATCCTGGAGACTCTTACCAATCGACAGAAGCGGGTGCTCCAGCAGGTCTCTCCACGCCAAGTGTTTCGTACAGACCGAGAGCGAGAGAAATGATACCAGCGACGGTCAAGAGAATGATGACCTTTTCGCTCAGCTCAACATACATGAGCTGCCAGATAGACTTGCCCTTCTTCGGGGGAAGGACATTGCGACCGTAGACGCGCGTGCGATCAGCGAAGGGTGACGATGACGAAGAGACATGCCTCTCGGGTGGTGTCGATGGCTTGGAATCTAGTGAAGAGTCCACGGCTTCGTTGAAAGTAATTGTCGATTTCACACCCGTCTCATCGACGCTAAGACCGCTGCATACATCAGTTTGGATGCCTCGGGCGATGCCATGGAGACCTCCAAGGGCCCGGAACGCTGAAAGGGACTTCGGGTTGAGCAGCTTGTTGAGCTGACCAGGAGAGAAAGCAAATGGGTTGTTGTCGACGCGAAAATCATGCTCAGTGCCAGGGTCCGGGTGCAGAGCGGAGTTTGGATCCTCGAGAACAAAGCTGGGTGCTGCACTGGGAGCAGCCGTAGTGCCGGATGGAGTCAAGAAAGGATTGGTTCCATCGGGGAGAATGGTATCGGCGTCGCTAACCGCCCGTGACCGAGAGTCCGGCTGTGTGGGGTTGGGGCTGAGGAAGCTATCAGCCATCATGAACTGCTAGAGTCATGTATGTACGGGGTGGTGAAAATGAGAAAGTGTTGTCGAGCTGGAGCAAGACGTGCCGAAGAAGCGGCGGCCAAGCAATATGAATACTTCTGCGCGTCTGCAGAGGGCAGCTTTCTCCGGGCTCCCTCCTGCAAGCTTGACTGGACTTGGACCATAACAGCATCATGTCCTCATCTGAAAGAAGAGACATGGCTCTCCACTTCTCAACAGAGCGGCAAAAGAAAAAGATCAAAGGGCCCGGCCGGTTTAGCACTGCCACAATTCAACGTACGGGTACAATATATTGACGGAATGATAATCTTGGATGCGATCTGATAAGCTCGGATGTCGAGGAATGGGCCCGGCGAACTCTCGACAAGCTTAAACAAGCAGGCATCTTGCGGTGTGTGTGGAGTGAAGCCCCGCCGGTAACAGTCTAGGTCAGCCTCAGAAACCAACGGACAGCACATGATGCAGCCTTGGCGGTTTAAGAGAGGAATCCAAGGAGGTCTTGATGAAGATCATGAGCGGCGGGATGTGGACGAGCCCAGTGAAGGGGAAGGTGGACGCGACGGAAAAGAAAGATGAACCGGAGATGAGCTAAATTTCTAAGCACTGACAAGGGCGGACGAGGGATTTTCGAGCAAAGATTAAGCGAGATGATGGAAGGATCAGACGAGTTTCTCTGGAGGGGGAAAGTTTAGCCGTCTGACAGACATCACAAATTCGGTTCGGATGGCGAGGGATTTCCTTCTCCTCGAAAACCAGCGACAGGCCAAGAGTCAGACAAAAAGAGGGGGCTGGAATTCTATTCGGCAGACGTGAAGAAAAAATCTTCGACAACGCTGTGTTGGCGGCTCATTAGGAGCTTCAAATGGAAGGTCAGACGGAGCACGTGTGCGGTTGATACGACCTCGCCAGATCTTTCCCTGTCACCATCCCTTCGCGAAATCCTGCTCGCAATCACATCAAGCGGGGGGCAGTCCCACCCGGTTCACCGTGTTTCCAGCCTCTCGCCGCCGCCATCGGCGTTTGCGCAATGGATGGCCAGCGGACGTGAACTCCTCCTCTCCCTCCCGCGCGGGATCGCCCCCGCGCTTTGACTCGGGGCGTGTAGCAGGACTGTAAAACCTCGTGGCCTTTGTTTCTTGGTTTCTTGGCCGCCGACAACTGTTCCTGGCTGCATTCTCTAAAGCAAGTGCTCACAGTCTACCTGATGACGCCACCTTCTCTCAGTTAACACATCATGACAAGATCAGCCGAAGACCTCTTACATACACAGCCTAGCCAAGAGCTTCATCAGGCAGACTGTCGAGCCGAACAATGATTGTCGATAGGCACGAGACCGGTCACGTCGAGCCGGAAGCCCCTCTCTCGCCGATCACACTGTTTCCTGCAAAGCCAAGCACTCCGTGACCGCGTTGAATCAGGGCCAGGTAGCATTTGTACTTTCATCAGCTTTGTGAGCGAAATGGCGCACGTCTACGGAGTATCGGCCTGTCCATTTGATGCTACTCTGCACTCGGAAACTGTTCTTTCCGCGGTACTTCATGCCCTGTAAAAATGCCGGCAGTTAGTGCGGCGAGGTTGCGTTAAGCACCTGGAGGAACAGTCGTAAGAAGTTCATCTAGCCCGGCAATGGGCGCTAAAGACACGAACGACTCGGAAAATCTAGCATTTGGCATCGCCATCAACTTTGACGACTTTTGATAGATATTCGGTCGTGTTTTTATTTTATTTTTCCCTCCTTTCCTCGCCATGAAAGTGACGGGACGAAAATCAACTAGTCGGTAAGGATATTGACTGGGCCATCAATTGTCTTGCCAGCCCCTGCCGTTGATCCACGGAGTTCTCTTGGCACGCGTAGGTTTTCCTCTGCTCAACGTCTCTTAACTTAAGAATTCCAGACGATGTGCTGGGTGATCTAGATGATGAGCACCATCAAACTCACACATTTGGAAGAATCGAAGTTGAAGTCAGAAGCACGATAAGTTTCAGCTATCACAAGGTGTCTAATCTCCAGGCTTCAACTGATGAAGCTAGTTCTTCTGCTCCCGTAAGCCAATGTTGTTGAGAGGAGATGACTTCACAGCATCATAATGATGAAGTCCGTACATCGACTCTTCCGAGGTTTCGATCTCTCTCTTTCCTCGGGCATAAACCTCCGCATCGTAGGAGTCAATCGCAGCAGCCATGCTCTTGGCACCCTGCTGCACCGCCACCAAAGCATTCACCAAATTACCCGCATCCTGCAAAGCATTGTTCAAGCCCTGTCCTCGAACTTGCGTGGATTATTGATTAGCATAAGTCGGGGTTGTCTAAATGGTCGACATAAACCTACACGGACACATCGGATGCGCAGCGTCCCCAGCCAAAGTAATTCTACCGCCAAAGTTGTTCCAGGGGACGATACTGGTCCACTCCGCGTACTGTAATGCGAACAACTCTTTAGCAACTGTACTCTTGCGAACACGGACAACATAATATTACCTTATCTCTTGGAATATAAGTATCATCCGGGACCCAAAGCGCCGCGGATCGGTATGGTTCGCAATATGAGCCCGCAAGCTTTTTGAAAAGCTTCATTCGGCCTTCGTTTGTTTCGGGGGGCTCCTCGTCGGTCCACAGAGAAAGGGCTACTTGGAACTCCCAAGTTTTGGGGTCTTTGGGATCAGGTACATCGGCCACTTAATTCCGTTGTTGCATGTGAGTATTGTGAACGGCAATTTCCAAGTTGCGATACATACGAGCTAAAAAGAATAATGTTTCTTGGTCTGGATGAACAGACATCTGTTTCCTTCTTAGTGTCTTGATGTCTACTTGCATGAAATGACAGCTGACTTACATTTGCAATGGGATGGATTCGTTTGCGAAGGTACATTGCTTGTTCTGCGGAATAGCGACATCCGATGTTCTATGAATGTATCAGGACAAGTGATGAGGTGCGGGAAATCCGTGTGAGACTACCGTTGAGACCAAAGGAACTCGTTTCAAAGTTCTTGCTTCGCCTTCGACCAGGTGGTTCCTCACGACGCTTTTGGCTGCGACTAGTCAGGCCAAGGCCTCTTCTGAGGAAATCCGGACTTGGAAAACTTACCTCCATCAGCTCCAATGACGATATCGGCCGTGATACTTTCGCCATGCTGGAAGGCAAGTACAACTTCTCCTTGGTGAATTTTGACTTCCAGAAGTTCGTGTCCGAAGTTCACGTTAAGCTCTTGTCGAAAAAGGTTTCGAAGCTTCTGGCGAACGACTCGTCTCGCGTCATCGACCGGAGCTGCAAACAGAAGCTCTCCAGTCTTGCCGTCAGAAATCGGCAAGCTCTGCGCTTGTTCTTGGGATGGCTCCTGCCAAGGATTCGTATATGCCAGAAATAAGTCGCGAAACAAGTGAGCCGGGAGGCACTGCTCGACATTGCGGCGAGACCAATGGAGGGCCATAGTCCAAGTTCTTGGGTTGTTGTCATATGTGTCTTGCGACATTCCCTCAAATACAGACACCCGGATGTTGGCCTAAGAGAAGTGTTACGTTTTAACTATAGTATAGAAGGGTTTGACGCACCTTTTTCAGTCCTTGCGCAATGAGCAGGCCAGTTGCGCCTGAGCTCGTTAGCACATGTCCAGTAGTCGCATGTCGTGAAATTGAGAGATGGCATACCTGCTCCAATGATAGCAACATGGAGGGTTTCGGAAGTCATTTTGAATAGAGGTAGAAGTTCCGGATCTAGAAGTTAGAAGATAATGGCAAATGGAAGTTGTGGCAGTGGTTCATGAATACATGTATTGTCCAAAGGCTGGCAGCTAAGGACGGGTTAAGTATTTGAATCTTTCCTGTCACATACTCCCATAATTGATATCAGCAGGCTATGCCAGGCGAGCTCGCGTCTTCGCGACTATAGGAAAGCCACGAGAAGGTCGAATGAGTTCGTGCTTCGGTGGCCGCTCAAGTTGCCAAGATTCTTAGCTCTTCCGATGTCCACTTGGAAGCTGTTGACGAGCACTGGGAATGGGTCAAAGTGCATCATTCTTTGTTCGGCGCGGCGAACTTATGATGTCCGAGACCGCTAGGTCAGTGAGCGACGATATGTCGTCGTATCCGTCCCGGCGTTGATGTGGGAGCCGATCCGTGTGGGAAACGCAAAGACGCGAAACAGTCCGGAAACTCCGCAGCTTCCGTTAATGACGGCCTTGGGGGGCATTATCAACGACTTTACCGCAGTCCCTCAGTGATCCCGTATTCAGTCTCAGAGTTCCGAGCTGTATACATAGCCAAGTCCCCACGTGGTCGAACGCTCAGGAGTCAGGAGAACAACTTGGTGTTAAGGGCAAACTGTCGTCAGGCCCTTCAACGGGACTCGTACATGGAATTATGGATGTTCAGGTTTGAATTTGGTTTGCTGTATGCCCCGATACAATATCATTAAATGAGGGTAACTATATGTGCTCTTCTTCCATCTCGATCAAATCTGCAAGGGTCCCCGGGTGTCTTGTCCATATCGTCTTCGACCGAGTCGATTCACGTGCTTGTTATCTCCTGTTGCACCTCTGTTTGCTTTAGAATCCCATGCTCTCTATGGATAATAGCTTCTTCGCTACAATTTCGAGACTCCCCCGTAGTTTGAGTATCAGAGGTTTCTCTTCCACCAGCTGAAGAGATTACGGTTCGGTTTCCCGGAAGTCTTTTCGACAGATTGGTCAACGGATGAGAATTTATTTCTCCGGTCCCGCTGTTCCCATAACTTCCGAGAGGATATTTCGTCTTACACGACGAAGATCCCAGCAGTGATGGAAAGTATCTTTTGAAAAAGACCTTCAAGGCGGAAGAGCAGCCACAGAAGATGGCGATATAAAGTTCCAAAGCGTACCAGTTCAGGGAATCGGCAAGTTGTTGGTATAGCTCAGGCTCGTTCGCAAGTCGACGGACGTAGTAAAATCGCACGCATCCGGCTGTGAAAGATGTAGCAGTCAGCTCATTGACCATATGTTGTTTCGAAGGCGTCATACTTAGCACCTACCTACAACAGATATTATGCCCAATCCGAATACTGCCGACACCGCCCACTTCTGTCTCTGTGTGTTTTGTTAGCTTTCGAATTTCCTGTGAAGACGGACTCCCACTTGCCTTGGGCAGTTGCAAATTCCAGACCATTGGGATTGGGCATATCCAAAGGCAAATATCGGTGACTATTACGATAACACCCGAAGCATCCCAAAATGCTTGTTGTGTAGACTGGCTCATGCATCGCTGCATGTATACTACGCGGTCTCCTTTTGATGTCCAGAAGACATTGGGCGGGCTGCACTCAACCATTGACATGACAAAATGAGCAATACCAAGGCCAATGACTACCAATAGCAGTCCGTGGACAGTCCATCGCATCCTTGGTCGGTTGTCGAGACGCAAGTAGAACAGAAGCAATGCGACTTTTACCAACAACATAGCCACGGAGTAAAACAATCTAGAGACCCAGTATGCCTACAATTATCTTTGTCAGTCTCATGGTAAAGTTTGATATCAACGCCGAAGAGAAGATCAGCGTGGTGCGCCTTACCAGCAGCATAGGCTCCCATGCTTGTAGGGGAATGTCTACTTCTGATCCCAACACAGTCAGCATCTGGGCTGGGGCTCCCAAGACGTGCATGATCGACTTACTGATTCGTCCAACACCATAGGTCACCGCTATCATTACGCTGATTGATAGGCCTAGAGTGGCGATCTTCAAATGTCAATAAGTTGGCCTTCCTACATTGCCATTTCGACATTGTGGTTAATCTTACTGCGCCAGCAATCATCATGACTGATTGGGGGTATATCAGCTATCTCGCTTGGTGAGTTTGGAATGAACTGAAACATACTGTCGTCAATTCCAACGGCCTTTGTGATGACAAGTCTTGTCCATATTCGCATACCCATGATGATGATAGTGAAAACGATGAAAGCTGCGTTGACACCAAGGGCTCTGCTTTGCACACTGTTGAATGTCATGGCTGAAGTATCCCGAGGGCCTACTGAACTGATAAACTTGCTTCAACAACAGTCACCTTCGAGACTTAAGCGACTTACTTTGAGAATTCGCATATACGTCGTACAAGTAGATATATTGACGAGACTGATACGGGATCTTGCTCGTTTTCATAACGCAGCTTCGGAGACTTGAGTGCGCCATGCTCATCCCGCTTGGACAGTACCAAGGATGCATTGCAACATATCAAGCAGCCGAACCATCTAAGACTTGAAGGATCATACGCACAAGACCCCGCTTCACACACTGTCGGGTAGTCTTCGCCTGCAGAAAGGGGCATTCACGAGTCATACCAAACACCCATCACGCCAAGCTTATGTTGTGTGCCCATAGACAAACGACCAACCATTTCTGTCCTTCGTATTATGCTTTGTAGCGTCAATTGCTTCGAGAAACATGAGTTATGTTCGCATTGGAAGCTTCCCAGGAGTTTCTACTGGTGATATCATTCTACCATAGGATTCGCTCGCCAGAATTCGCCACAAGCATCTGCAGCTCGTGAATTTGAGTGCTATTCCTCCCACCTATTACGCTAGAGCCCGAAACTTCCAACCATCTTGGCCATCAAGGCACCAAGTTCGCATCCTGGCAGCTTAGCCTTCAAGATGTCGTTACCATTTTTATTTTTCACTTGGTGTCTTCCGCCGTCATTGCTGGTATCCATTGGTGCGAAGGGCACGACCACGATGTACTCCCCCTGTGGTAAGATTCCCTGTTACGGGAAGGACACCGTAATATAGGAAGCACGAAAGATCCAGTAAACAAGCATGGCCCAAAAGCGGACCGACTCAATCATCGGATACGTTCCCGGCATGTTAGGTTCAACATCCTTGATGGCTGGTTGATTGAGCCAACAGTTCTAAGACAACCGTGTGGATATAGAACAAACTCATCGACAGCATGGGCTCCTTTCCTTGGCTAGTCGGCATGCCAGAAGTAGAAGGGTCAACACCGTGGGAACATTGCTCGTGTAGGCGCGGTCAAGGCGCACGGAATGAACAGATTCAGGGTTTACGATCTCCACTCACCACAAGTCCTCTTCCTTGTTTGTCCTTAGCACAACCCATGACAAGAGGCCCCCATGAGTGATGCCACGGCTGGGTGCCTTGAGAGGCCTACGGTGACCGTATTGAGTAAAGAACCGCGCGTGTGCGATTGAAGGTAGTTGCCTGGGCTCTGAGTGGGCTCGAAAATACTTTACTTGTGCAAGAGCAAGATGTGTGTAGTGATTTACTGGCTCAGACGTGAGCCTCTGTGTTGAAGAGCATCGGTAGTGTCACGACACCCTCAACAACGCGAACGCCTTTACATGCCTAATGGTGAGAGAGGACCACAAAATGCGAATGGGTAAATGTAACTGATCTGATTGGACTTGGTACATTACTTTCGCACAGTTTCCTTATGTGATTCATGGCAAGCCCGCGGACGACTCTGCAAAACCATTTGACCAGGCCGATCCTTCCATTCACGACCTGACAGTCGCCAGCAAGTAACCCTGATTATCGATGCGCGTCTTCAAGTTATGAAAATGGAGACCAAAAGGTCCAACAAACCATCTGGCTTCGGATTTGGCGTGACCTTAGAAGCGGAGACATTCACGGCCCCTTTGTATCTCGGAGTCTCTTGAGAGTCCGAGAGCAGCCTCCCAAGGCGGCGCTAGCAGTATCAACCATAAATTCACCTGAGGCATTTTTAGAACACAAATTTGGAAGAAACGTCTTTTGTGGCTCGTCCTAGCAAGATACGGCTGATACTTCGTGGAGAATTATTGCGTCTCGTGGTAATATGATCACGTCCACTCCCGGGGGAAAGCCGGTCGGAACTCCGGCAAGCCGGGACGCGGCTCCGTGAGCGCGGCCCCACCCCCGGATACCTCCACCTGTTCCTGGTCATGTGACCATTCTTTATCTAATTGGATCATTGGGTCTTCTCAATGGGGTTGGCGACCCACAGCTGCAGTGGCCAGCCGTGTGCACCTGCCAAACACTTGGAAGCGCTTTCTCCTTCCTTGTTTGGTTCCTGCCACCGATCTTTCACGGCGGCCAGTCCGTCACCAAACTCGACTTCCATCCTCAACGTCAACCTCAGCCTTCCATTCGCCTCAAGCCACCTTCGTGCCATACCATGACAGCAGCTCACGATGTCAACATTCAACGGACTCGTCGAAGAGTTTCCTGACATAAGAAGTAAGTCCTGGTCCAAAACGGAGCCGAGATCACGGGAGCACCTGGTTCTTTGCCGAGAGCTTCGCATCCCTCAACCGTGTTCAATTAGACGCGCTTTCAATGGCCGATGCTGATGGAGTCTCAGTCGATTTCTTCCGGAAACACGCCGATCGGCGTCCACCACTCGCCTGTTTTCTGAGCCATGTTCACAGCGACCACCTTGCAGGGCTTGAGAGCCTGCGATCGCCTTTCGTCTACTGCTCTGCGGCCACACGGGAGATGCTGCTCCGTCTCGAGCGGTACCCTTGTCGAATCAATTACGCCAAAGGCATCCTCGAGGCCCGTATACAGACATACAAGCACCTCAAGAATCTCCTCAAGCCGCTACCCCTGGACACGCCTACTACCCTCGAGTTTGCGCCCGGAAGCTACATCCAGGTCACTTTGTTCGACGCGAACCACTGTCCTGGTTCTGTCATGTTTCTGATTGAGGACTCGCATCATGCCATTCTCTATACAGGAGACATCCGAAGCGAACCTTGGTTCGTGAATGCCCTCGCTAGAAATCCTGCAGTCGTTGAGTACACCTGTGGCATCAAGAAGCTCGACAAGATATACCTTGACACATCTTTCATTCAAAACATACCCTTTCAGACAAAGGCCGATGGGATCGCCGAACTTCTGCGCAAGGTTGCGATGTACCCGGATGACACTGTCTTTCACATCCAGGCATGGACCTACGGTTATGAGCAGGTCTGGATCGCACTATCGAAGGCCCTAAGGTCCAGAATTCATGTCGACGACTACAAGATGCGGATGTTCTCGTCTTTGACCGGCAAGGCCTCAAACGATCGCTTCAGCTCGTCGATACACCTATGTCCGGAAGCTCCTGCGTTGGCCGGCTATGTCTGCGGCAACACGCCCCATCCAGGTTGTTTGACACGGGATGAGCACGTTCGACTCCACAGCTGCGAAAGAGGTAACCTTTGCTCTGTGGTGCGTAACTCCAAAGTCGTTTTCATCCAACCTGTCATTGCCAATTTTACCAATGGCGCCGAGATGGCAGAAGTCGGCATCGGTGGGGGTGGGGACGACTTAGAACGGGACGCTGTGCTCGATACCTTGTCTATTACCGACGTCGATGCCATCTTGGCGTTGGTCGAGGAACAGACGGAGCTTTCGCAGGATTCAAGAACCAGGCTACAGACACTTCTGGAAATCGGCGCGAAGACCGGGCGAAACATGTCCTTGGACCTCGGCATCTCGTCCTTTGGTGACAAGAACGAAGCTGCCATCGTTGACGCTTTCCGATCGATAGGGCAGAAAAGGCAGATTGAGCTTGGCGATAATCTCCCTAACGCGATACAGGGTTCCACCCAGGAATTACCGGCGAAAATCACGTTTCCATACTCCAGGCATTCGTCGTATCAAGAGCTTTGCGATCTGGTCCAAATCTTCCGGCCTCAAGATATCTGGCCGTGCACTGTCAATCCTGCCGACTGGATCAGAGACAACATCACTGTCCGGTCACTGTTTGGCGCCTTCTGCTCCGGTGATGTGTTCGAACACGATCTCGTGATGGAGAACCGCGCCGACCGATGTGTCAGGACACTCGAACGGCAGCTATCTCAAAACCTTGACAGCAATCAGCTTTCTAGGGGTGACACGGAAGCCGTAGCCCAGCATTATTCCGAAGAGACCCAATCAACTGGACCCGAGACAGCTGCTGCAGAGGTCGAAAAGCAGGCGGCTGGTGTTGATACCGGTTCTGAGACAAGGCACTCTTTGGACGGAGGAGTTCAGGTTGTCCAGGAAGCGACAATTCAGGGCATAACCATGAAGCCGCTGCCTTCATCTCGTAAGATATCGCGCGTCCGAGCAGACGCGTATCGCTGTATGGCGAGAAACCTGATCGGCGGTGACTGGACTCCGATCGGTCTCTTGTCCACCTTGGATCATCATACAGTACTCGATGGCGACCTCGGAGGAATCTGAGGATCGCTCCGGTTTTACGTATGGCTGCCCCACGTCCAGTCGTCAGTAGATGGCATATGCGGCAAACGAGAGCAGGAGACTTTGATTATCATTGATGGTCGGCTCAGCTGACTTGATGAGCTCTCAGACTATGGATGGTTCGCAGCGCTGCTGCGTTCCAGCCCTACATCCGAAGGTACATATTTCCACCTCCCTAGCACAGAAGGGATTACTCGTCTACTGTGGACGTAACGCCCCTGCCTCCGAGATACCCCATTTTCCATGGATGTACTGACGCAAACTCTTCCCCCAGAACGCGAGCGGCACAGCGATGCCACCCACAACAAGTAGAATTGCGCCCAGTTCGAAGGTGGCCCCAAGATAACCCTGTGACTTCAGCCAAGGGCTTACGGCATAGCTCGTCGCGAAACTCAACATGTACCCCGCCCCGCCGACGATGATCATGGCCGGTGCAGCCCAACGAGGGAAGGCCTCTGTGACCCAGAGCGTCGATGCGATGCCGTACGCGGCGGCGCTGAAGGCATTGAAAAGATATGAAACAAATATCCAAATGAAATTCCACTTGTACTGTACAGTGAGGCCGTACAGGAACACACTTCCTGCGCCTGTCAGCACGGCGGGAAGGAAGGCGATGAGGTAGTGCTCAGCATCTCGAACACCACCGTTACGGAGTGTGAGGCGGCGAGCGACGCGAGAAGTCAGGATGGTCGACACGGGCCAAGCCAAGAACGATCCAATGGACGAAACCGGGTTGACCAAAGAGATGACGCGCTCCGGAAGGTTGTACGGTGGCTGCGACATTACCACGGCATACGTCTCGCCAATGAAGATCATCGCCCCAAAGTTGAGGGCGTTCAAGATGGCTACCCAGAACACAAGGGGGTTGACAGCGCAGAGCATCGTCTGTAGATAGCAATTCCACATCTCTCTGAACCCGGCGCCGCCCTTGCGGACTCCCCATGATCGAACCATGGTTGACCACATCGTCTCGAGGACAGGCACGGCCGTGACTTCGGCGATGGCCGCAGCTTTGCCCCCTGGGACGTGCTCCCAATCGTCATACATCTGGATCTTTTCGGAACCTCCCTGGACCAGAACATGGCCATCAAAGGCCACAGCTGGGCGGATGAAGTAGGTCTCCGGGAAGAAGAAGAAGACGCAGACGAGCAGACCCAGACAGGGGACCACCCAGGCCGTGTAGAATGCTCTCCATCCTGAGTCCCCCAGGTATGTTACGGCGGGTAATGAGGCAAGACCCCCGCCACAGCCCACACTCCAGAAGAATCCCAGTGCATTTGGTCGTTCGTCGATGAAGGTGAGGTCAATCACCATGAGCATGGCCTGCGAAGAGTCAGTACTGGTTGATGTGAATGCTCATCCGATAACATACGGCACTCAAGCTTAAGCCAGCCGAAAAGCCTTGCATACTCAATGCTCCTAGTAGCTGATAGAAACCCGCAGCGTTGGCTGCCAGGACTGTGGCGACGGTCAGGCAGACCGAGGCGAGCAGAAAGACTGGCCGCCTTCCCACTGCCACCGACAACGGAATCCAAAAGAAAGCACCCAGACCCAAGAAAATAGTGCTCGGCGTCGAGACGAGAATGCTCAGGGGGTATTTGTCGGGCTGCTGTCATGATGTCAGTCCGGATGTCCACCGCGTTGTCTGTTTGAAAGACTTACACCTGCGTTGAACTCCGCAGCGAGCGAGCGGTATAGCAGGCTGGCGGCCTGCGTCTCCATCATAGAAACAACCGAGTACAGCGTGATGACGGTTAATGCGACGATTCGCTTTCGCAAAGACCAGGTCAATGGGTCATTGGGCGAGTTGCTAGGCATGGGAAGCTTCAACGTCTTTCCATCGGAGGTGATGAGAAAGATGCTGCCCGCGAGGTCGGCTGACACGGGGCGTTCGGCGGAGCGATTCATCGTGGTGGTTGCTAATAAGACGGAATGAAGGCAGTAAAGAGAGGACAACTAGAGAGCGGATGTGTTGATTGCGACACAAATAACAGCAACAACAACGAATTCAGATTACGACGGCCGGTGTGCTGCCAGAACAACTACCTGAAAGCCCCATGGCAAGGCAAGGTGTGGATGTGGTAGCGGGAAACAACTACCCTTTTGAATAGACTCGAAGGTTTCGTTGACATGTGTTGAAAATGCAAAGCCCATGTCTTTGGGTTGCGGTCAGCGGGAAGTTCGGTCTCGCCTGCGACAATCAATGAACGATTTGGGAATCGTCACAAAGTCTATTCGAATGAATACAACGGTGCCAAGAAGAGCAGACATAAGGTAAAAGTAAGGCTGGTTCTTACTCCACGCCGCCATCTGAAACCAGCGCCATGGCCCCTGGATGAGGCTATTCGTCTTTCGGGAATGACCCTGACGTCCGTAGAGAGTGAAAGTACACGAGAGCGACGGTGTAGAAGAGGATGGCAACTGATCCCGGTCGCAGGGACCTGGTACGGGGGAAGCCCCTTCGTTGCAATAAACACTTCTATTGAACCAGACGACCAGGGGAAAAAAAAGAGTTTGTGCCTGAATTGCTCCAAAGAAAGTCCCCTGGTCGCAAACTGATTGCTATAAGGATCGTGCCTGAAGTTTAAAACTCATAGACAGCAAGTTAAGACCGTTGTCCCCTGTTTGGACGACTACCGACTCGCCCAATTCGTTTCAAGCGGAAGCTTATTGACAGCAGTTGCGACCACGGTGGATCGCGGTCTGCTGCTTGAAGTGTTAGTCTCTTGTTATTGCTACGTTGTTAGTATTATTGTGATATCCCAATGTTTCGCGCAAGGGGCATTATGACGTCCAGGCTTGACCCAAGTCCCTCCCCAGGGCCCATGGACATCTCGGAAATGGCAGACGAGATCGGCGTGGGTCTGCCTGTCGGCAGCAGCCGTGCCTGTCGGCGGTTGCAGCATTTGATGTTTCGGTTGAGTTGACCGTTTAACAGTCGTTCTGCAGCGAAGGGGTTTGAAGCCATCAAAGAAGAAGGCAAACGCGGAATATGAGATGGTTCTGCTCAGAGGCTCGCGACTTGTATCCCAAGTAGTCGGTGATAAGATGCGTCCGAGAGCTGCGGTCTCATGCGCTGCGTGCACTGATGCACGTGTACAACACCACCATCAAACCTGGCTCTCCATTCAAGGTTCAGTCTTTATTCGTCAGCTTTTCCGGTACCCACGAGATGTGTTGCGTTGCGGAATGACCCAAAAACCTTCAGTTTGTCCATCGGCCGAGTCTGGAGATGCAGCGGGTTTCAGAGCATCTCGTTCGTCGCTTGTCCGTCGTGTTTTGGTGAAAGCTGCGGGTAGGGTGGCATCGAATGGTGAACGGTTGTCGCACATAGCAGACACGCATTCTGCTCGGAACATGCAACCCATTTGTACGTCCTCACTGGGATTGATCGATCGGTCAGATTCAAGCAGCACGTCGCCGTTGATTCGTTCACCCATCAGCCCGGAAACTTGCACGGCCAGGCCCGGATGAATCAACCCACATTCCTGAGCAGAGGGCAGATTCTCCGGAAAAGCCCCCGCATTGGCCGACAGGAGCTCCGGGGGAGACGGAGCCAGAAGCCTGCAGTCCCCCTTTTGGGGGGGGGGCAGCTTGGCCGCGGAGTGTTTACGCGGGATGCTTGGATTGGGGAAGCTGGGGGAGTATTACCCCAAGAACTCCAAGCCACGAACAGGTGGTGTGTGTTGCCGCACGAAACACTGGCAATGAAACCAGGAGCTGAAGGCAAAATGAGTCCGCGATTAGATACCGAGAAGACTCAAAGGAGCGTCTTATGCCGGATATTTATGTGTTTCTGTCTGGAAACAAACACGCCATTCTCAATTGAGGGAGTCATTCGCACACAGAGACAAGTCCGCGGCCAGTTGGGAGTCAACTCATCGTAGGTATCATTGCGTATCAGTATGGTGTTCTCGTCTACGTTTGTGTGCTCTGTGGGGATTGGTACAGCTCGCGGTTTACGCCATCAAATCATCCGCATCCACGACGGGACTCACGCGTCGTCATCTTCGTCAATTATTGCTTATGACTGGCTACGCACTCCATCTCATTCTCAGCTGTCTTTCAGCTACATTGCAGAGTTTGCGCTTGGTAGCTCTGTCCGTCATGTAGCTGTTCGGGTCCGTCTCAGCCGTTGAGGCACCAGTAATGTTCGCATCCGAAAACGCCTGCAGCAACTAAACTCAATGTCTGTGGCTAGTAAGTAGTAGCAATATTAATGCTCAATTATCAATGCTATGTAAATCGTTGTAAGGGAGGACCAAAATGTTTCACTGATTCGTCTCTCTTGCTGTCACATGCAGGCGACTTCAGCATCCTGGGCGCGATTCAGATTCATGAGTCTGTTCACCACGTTCGAACTACGGCGCAATGCGTCCCGAAGTTCAGGGCCTAGATTGACACGGCACGGTGCATTGGCATGGGCAAGGAGCAAAATCCTGGGAAAGATCGGCGAGATTCCGAACATTAACCTGTGGGAGGCGGCATGGGAAACAGAATTGCCCTCCAGAGAGAAGAAGCCAAAGCCGCCGAAAGGTGGTGTCCCGTCCCGTCGCGACCCAAGTTTCCCTCACCAGCGGATTGTCGCCCAGCTTTTTCCAGCGCAAACTTGGGGGCCACAAAGCTCAGTCCCATCGTCGATGCAGCAAACACAATGAGGACTGGAGGCTAGTCCCGATGAGAGAAGGGGGGGTCAGACAGGGATGTCTTTGTGGGCGCAGGAAGAAACGGCCTCTCTGGCCGAAGTGAGCTTCTCCAGTGTTCTGGACTCTGACCAGTCCGCGTACGCAGCGAGAGTCGAGCATATTAGCCGCGGCAACACGGCGCGGGTGTGCGGCCCGGCGGGCAGCCCTCACGGAGGTCTGATGGGTCACTCCTCGAGGACATTGTGCCCGCAATGGCCGCGTCGTACCCCGGTCTTGGTGACTTTTTCATCCGGCGATTTGGCGATGGTGCAATGAGAAGCAATCTATCTCGTGGCAGACGGAGTCGACGGACCCTCTTGCTCCCCAGGAAAAGCCATGGGCTCTTAGCCAGAACCAGAACGGCCGGGCCAAGCTGTCGGCCCTGAGTCCGTAACTGCGGCCATGCTGACACCAGGGCCCAGGCTGGGGGATGGGAATCATGGGATACGATGCCGGGAGAATTGTGGGCACATCTTCCGGCGTCGATGATAAAGGCTTCGTGATGCCCCAAAGTACACACGCATTGGGTAGCTCGCTCTGGTTGGAAAGGGTTCTGCTCTCGTCAATTCCAGTCACGAGGTCACCAACCGTTCCGTTCTTTTTTCTCTTCACTACTCAGCAACTCACATCTCCTCGGAGGCTGCTCGACGACCTTTCTTCTTCTCGGTGTCTTGCGTCCGCCGCTATTACTTGCCCTGTTTGGGATGGTCACGAGGTGCCATTTCTCACTCAATTTGGAACCGACACCGCTGTCAAGAGAAATCTCCCGCGAGACTGCGTTTGGCTAGACCTGTTCCTGTACCGCCGTGGTTTTTGTCCGGATCTTCTTTTGTTGACTGGCTGGCTGGACTGGCTTTTCCACCACTTGGGAATCACTAACGTTGAAGAATCCGTTCGTTGTGGTGTGTTTGCGCCATCACGAGACGTGTCGCAACATATAAGAAGAGGCTTGTCAAAGACGGGGGTTTCGTGTTCGGTCGCCTACTCGGATGGGATCGGTTGGGTTGATTTCTCAGCTCAGCAATTGCCAGGGATTCGATTCGAGGAGCACTTGATCCGGCACTATACCGTCAACGTTAACACCACCGCCATCTCCATCACCGAGATTACCATTCACATCGGCAGCTCGCGGCTGGAAGGCAACAGTACATCGGTATTTGCGATTGTTGGCTGACCGCTGCACCAAATCGACAGTTCCAGTCTTGTGACAAGGAGGACTTCCACAAAAGTGAGACGAGCAAAGAGTCAGCACGTGGGGGATCACTTCTCGACACGGCCTGCTGTGCAACACTCGGCAAAACCTCGCCGTGTGATGTGTGCATATTCTTAGACTCGATAACCCAGGATTCAGCTCACCTTCAACCTCACTTGGATCTTATTCTCTGGGCAACACGGCAGCTCGGATGATCTTGGCCCGCTGGGCCGCTGGCCCCACCGAGGCGCCCCCCGCAGATGGGGAGGAGGGCGGAAAAGGAGGAGGACATGGAGGAAGAGGAGAAGATGGAGGGGGAGGTGTTGTTGGAGTTGGAGATACCGGGATCACAGCGACCCTGACCGAGACTCCAATCAGTAGCAAGCCGAGCTCCGGCAGCACGACACCAGCTCCCGCTGCACCATCCTCCTCCTCCGCACCATCTTCCGTCAAATCACCCAGGCCCAAGTCGAGTCTGGGGAAGAAGGGTCGCAGGGGTGGTGGTTCATCTGGTTCTATCTCTGGCCTTGGTGTTGTTTCTGGTGTTAATTCACCAGGCACAAAAGCGACATCCCGCAGAACATCTGCCAGGATTCTTAAGACCACCCCGCCGTCATCTGCCGCCGTGTCCCGGGCTACCTCCGTCTCCCCTACTACCGTCCCCGTCTTAACATCGTCCATATCCCCTTCTCCCGTCCTTGGATCTGCGGCCACCACAGCTGCAGCATCCGCCGCCACGACGCGCTCGTCGACTGCAACTCCGGCCGGCGCATCTGTTGCTGCTGCTGCTGCTGCTGCTGCGAGTCGCAAAGTCTTTCCCAAGAGCATGGAGCCTCCCGTCGTCTCCTTTTACGGCACCGAGCCGATCCCGCTGCCCTCGCGCTTTGCCGGCGTCAAAAAGCGGCTAATCGCCGGCCACGAAGCCGCCGTCGAGGCTTCCTGGCGCCGTCTCCTCGAAGCCCTCAAGACCGAGATTGCCGACATTCAGGCCCGCGGCTCCGAGCTCATCCCGTCCATCAATTTCACCGACATCAACGACCCCGTCCGCGTCGAGGCATTCGCCCACCGCTTGCGCAGATATGGCGTCGCCGTCATCCGCGGCGTTGTGTCTCCCTTCGACGCCCAGAGCTGGGTTCAGGAGACGCACGAGTATCTAGACAAGAACCGCGAGTTCAAGCCGCCGGCGCTCCACGATCCGACTTGCATCGACCTTTTCTGGACACCAGTCCAAGTCCGCGCCCGCGCCCACCCCAACATGCTGCGAGCGCAAAAGTTCGCCATGTCATTTTGGGAATCAACCGACGACCTGCACATTACACGCGCCCCCGTGAGCTACGCCGATCGTCTACGCATTCACAACGACAAGCTGGGCGCAGTCGGCCAGCAGAATGGCAATTCCGCTGCCGATTCGCTGAGCGCCAGCGCCTCGTCAACCGTCATTGCTCAGATCGACAGTGGCAGTCTCGAGCGTTGGGAGCCCGACGGCTACGGACGCGGCGGCACCTACGAAGCCGTGTTCCGCGGCGATTGGGAATCGTACGACCCTTGGGATCCGGCCGGTCGCGTGGGTGCCACGACGGACTTGTACAACGGCGCCGGCGCATGCAGCGTGTTCCGCATGTTCCAGGGCATTCTGGCTCTCACAAAAGTCGAGCAAGGCATGGTGCGCGTGCTGCCATCCCCGAAGCTCGTCGCTGCATACTTCCTCCTGCGGCCCTTCTTCTCGCCAAAACGCGGTCCTCCGGAACAGCCGGACGGCGGTAAGGCGGATCAATGGGCCGCGTATCTTGACGCGTCCAACTGGACTCTCGACCCGGAACCCAACACCATCATTCACGGCGCGGTCCCCGGCCACGCGCAGCGTATCACCGAGAGATGGCATCCGCATCTGCATCTCCGTAGGAGTCTGGTGTCTCTGCCGAGCATGCAAGCGGGCGACTATGTTATTTGGCACTGCGACCAAGCCTATTCCATCATCACCGGGGGCACGAGACTTGGTGTCCCTCCATCACTGCAAAACGAGTCCAACGAGCTGTCGCTGCTGACTTACACTCCCGTGTGCCCGTTGACACAGACCAACGCTCTCTTCCTCGCCCGCCAGCGCAAAGCCTTCCAGACTGGCCAGCCGGGACCGGACTTTGATACCCTCTTTGCGCTGGGCAGCGAGGCCTCGCATCAGGACCGTCCCGGTGCCAAGGAGGTCGAGGAGTACGGTGGGGTCGATGGCCTGCGAGCCATGGGTCTCGCGCCATACGACGTCGAGCCCGCCGGCGCATCGCCGAAGCGGGAGCTGAACGGAGACGCAATGGACATTGACGATGAGGAAGGCATGCGGAACAAGTCAAAGACGGAGGCCGAGCAGGAGCTCTTGCGGCTGGCCAACATCATCCTCTTCCCCAACCGGTATGACTTTTACATACCGATGAACGGCACCAAGGGTAGCGGCGACCGCACGCCTCGTGCACAGGGTCAAGGCGTGCCCAAGACGACAGTTAATGGTGCAAGGAGCTGACGGCGTTGGTTGAAGGGGCGGTGGCGGCGGGGTGACAGCCGGCGATTGGAGTCGTCGGGCAGAGGCGAGGAGGACGACGAGCCGGAGACCGTTGTTGAGACCGTGACATCCAAGGGAAAGGCAAAGGCGGCCATCACGGTCACGGTCACCGCGACGGATCCCTAGATTGCATTTTTCTTACCATGATACCCTGCAATCTGGCATTCCGCCGGTCGGAGAGGAGAAGGATGTGAGGAGTAGTTGGAAGAGTATTTGAGGCCGCCCCTTCAACGTGACGCAGGAAAGCAAGCAAACGTATTAGTGGATGGAGATTTGATGTTACGAGACCAGATCTGTCGAGGATAGATCGCGATTAGATGCAGTGGAAACCGAGCAAGATCGGCGGTAGACTATCAGACATGATGCATTGATGGAACTTGGCAGGGTCCGCTCTTGGGCCCTCATGCTTTTTGATTTTACCTATTTCGATTTTGTTTGCAATTGGGGTTGGTTGAAAGCATCAGACGAGATGGATGGCACTGTCATGATGAGCGGCCGGGAGGTTGCCGGCTCACCGTTAGACGGGACCGGGACATGTTCCCGGTTTACCACTTGAATTTCCAGAAACCAGACGGGCTTCACCGGGCCTGTTCATCCGTCGTGTCTACCACCCGGCATCGCATTTTTGGTTGCGATTTGATTCCGGCCCTTCGGTTGCTTAACAAGCCCTTGAGAGACCGAGGCAAGATAGATAGACCTGCATATAGCTTTCACTTCTCTCGTTGCATTTCAAGCGCTGTCCAGTTTTCCGTGTGTCAAATCTCGGCCTCACCATCACGGAGCCCGCGCGGGAACACACCGCAACCCCAAGTACCCACGCGCGCACCGCGTCTCCGTGTCGTCTCCCGGTTTTCATTTGTTCTCAATCGGCGTTCCGAGCTGTCATTATCTTCCCTTCAGCCGATTGACCGGTCATGGCTCGAAAGATCAAAAGCCCCCTCTCGGTCTGGGTCCTATCTGGGCCTCTAGCGTTCCCGGCATGACCCATAACGCGACTGAAAGTACGTAATAAAACACACGCCAAAAAAGAGGGTTCATGTTCGTGCCGCCGTGATAGCAATTCCCCGGATGGCAGGGTCCTTGGTGCCTGAAACCACTCCACTGTCATCTGATTTCTATCGTTCTGGAATCGGTCTGGTTGGTCTTCATTGGCAGAGACACCGAGATATTCAACGGCGGCTTCTCTAGCTTCAACACCAAATGTCTTGGCCTCACGAAGCAGCGCGGTAAAGGTAGAGACGCCCTATGCAGCATGCGGCCAGCGAGTCAGTCCCGACATTCCCGCCGAACCGTGACTGGGAACGCCGCCAAACCGTACTGGGTTGGGCTTGTCGGGGTTCTACCCGCTTTCTGTGCAGCCTCCCTGCAGACGTTGGAAATGCCACCGCGAATCATCCCGTCCCTGGACACTTTCACCTTTCGCCGTCTTCAGAGGTTGCTTCGAATCCAGGGACGCAGTGGACTGCTGTCAGCAATCTGCCGCTGCTGATGTGCTTGTGCCCAGCAGCATGCAACGCTACACACCTCTTTCGGCGTGGCCGCCGGCACACCACGCGGTCAATTATCGGTAGTGTGGCGTGGCAGCTAGAATTGCTCGAGTTTCGCCTCCCGTCTTATGTCTCCAACTGTCCAACATGTCTCCAAGCAAAAGGCCAAGGACCAAACGACATCCGTCGGATAATGACTGGTTTCTCCAGTCAGCGAATCCGACGTCGGATGGTCTTGACCCCATCGCCAAGCCGTTAAGAGTTCGACGGCGGCCACGGTCTAAAGGCTTGACTTGAGAACCGAGGCTTTCTGCCGACGACGATTGGACAATTTAGAGCTGAGAGGTGAGAACGAAATGCTTGTCTGCGTGGGACCTCCAATCGAACACGACTGGATTTCCAATGAAACTCCTCCATCGGAGACTTTGCCTCCCCTTGTCTCTCGGATCAGTGGCTATCATCGGCAGTCAATCGTTCGTCATCGTCTTACACCAATGCTTGAGGTGATTCTGTTCCCTCACCTCACGCCTTACGCCTCATCAGTATCTTGACGGTGGAACCATTCCGCCTCGAAACGTGGGAGGGGACGGGGGGCCAGTCTATGAATCCTCGGGGTCACCAGAGTCACGGATCACAGCTTCCTGCGTACGAACGAACGCCTCCAAGGAACTCTTAGAGGTCTTCGCTCCGTTATCGTCGGTATCGACCGCTCTGACGTTGCCCCGACAAGGATTACCCCCCGCGCCCACCATTGATCGGCCCCAGCCAGCTGCCACCCATTCCCCGGCGCTTTGCTTATCTCTGGCGGGGCCCCTATTAGATGGGTCCTCTCTCGACGGTTGGTCTTGTCTATCATGACCCGAGTAAGTTACATACTGCGTTGTGGTAGTTGATTTCCCTCTCTGTCTCTCACATCCCAGAAACCGGCACGGGGAGACGTCAGATGAAGGTTGGAGTTACCAGCCGGGGGTGAGGGCAAATGGATGGATGGATCCCGCGGACGAGAACGTAGCGTCGGGCCAGGGGCAATGGCACTCCACGAACACTCCCGGCATCTCTGATAGAAATAGATGCCCGTCTCGCACCTCCAGTTCCGAGTTTGGCTGTTCTCGCCTTCTATCCTAAACGGTCTGATCGGCGTCGTGAGCAGTAGTTGCCGACCCTGCAGCAGAGTCCGAAAACACTATTCTCACTACACTCGTTCTCTGAGAATCGGACTTGACATCAAACCTCAGACACCACCCATTGCCAGCATCCATAGCCGCCATCATCACCATGGCCGCCGGCATGGAAGAAAAGACTGTCGGCCTCTCCCGCGCCGACAGCATCAACAGCAACAAACTCGGCCAGGTCGAGTCCGGCAACAATGCTGCCGTCGCACAGCAATACGGCGAGACCATTCGTGGTCTGAGCCCTCGTCACGTCCAGCTCATGGCCATCGGAGGTTCAATCGGTACTGGTCTCTGGGTATGTTTCCATGAATAAGACGTCTTCAAGAAAAGCTTGCTAAACTCAACAGGTCGGTATCGGCGGCGTCCTCTCAAAGGCCGGCCCTCTCTCCCTCGTTCTCGGATACACCTTCTGGGGTCTCCTCTTCATCTGGCCCCTCAACCTGTCCGTCGCCGAGATGTGCGCCTACCTGCCCATCCGCGGCTCCATCTTCGAACTCGCCTCTCGCTTTGTTGACCCTGCTCTCGGTTTCGCCATGGGATGGACTTACTTCTTCGCCGGTCTCATGTTAGTGTGTACAGAATACAGCGCCGTCGCGACTGTCATTCAATATTGGAACGCCGACATCAACCCAGCTGCCTGGATTGCCGTTGCCATGGTTTCATGCGTGGCCGTCAACTTGATCGCCGTCAAGTACTACGGAGAATCAGAGTTCATCATGGCGTCGACCAAGGTCGTCCTCCTCATCGGTCTCTGCTTCATCACTCTCGTCACCATGTCCGGCGGCAACCCCTTGAACGATGCCTACGGCTTCCGCAACTGGGGCGACGGCAACTACATCCACTCCTACTTCGCCCCCGGCGCGACAGGACGATTCTTGGGATGGTGGAAGGTCGTCATCTACGCTGCTTTCACCATTGCTGGCCCCGACATGATCGCCCTGGCCGCTGGCGAGATCCAGAACCCCCGCCGCACCATTCCTCGCGTCGCCAAGCTCATCTTCTACCGTCTCGTCGGCTTCTACGTCGTCGGTGTTCTGTGCGTCGGCATCATCTGCAGCTCCCGTGACCCCGGCCTGTTGGGTGCTATTGAGAACGGCGAGCCCGGTGCTGGTGCTTCCCCCTGGGTTGTCGGCATCAAGAACCTCCACATCAAGGCTCTTCCGGACATTATCAACGCCTTCATTCTGCTCTCCGGATGGTATGTTCGCCTGCACTTACGATACGTTCTCATAAAACTAACAACCCCCTAGGTCTTGCGGCAACGCTTACCTCTACTCCTGCTCCCGCACGCTGTACGGTCTTGCCCGCGATGGCCAGGCCCCCAAGTTCCTCCAGAAGTGCACCAAGGCCGGTGTCCCGATCTACTGCGTCCTCACCGTCACCGCCATCTCCTGCATCACCTTCCTCGTCTCTTCCAACGCCGCCGTCGATGTCTTCTTCTGGTTCGTCGACCTGACCACCACCGCCTTGATCATGACCTACACCTTCATGCTCATCACGTACATGGGATTCTACCGCGCCCGCGTCGCCCAGAACTTCCCTCCCTCCACGCTGCCCTACATCGCGCCTCTCACCCCTTACTTCCCCGGTCTGGCGCTTTTCTTGGGCTTTGTTGCCTTGATCTTTGTCGGCTTTGACAACTTCTACCCCTTCAGTGTTCGCGGTTTCATCACCTCTTACTTTGGATTCATCTTCGGCATCTTCACATACGTCATCTGGAAGGTCCTGAAGAGAACTCGCTTCGTCCAGCCCAAGGAGGCCGACCTCCTCAGCGGAAAGGCCGAGGTTGATGCCGAGTGCCGTCACTGGGAGGAGGGCGGTATCGAAGAGGTGGAGAGGGCGAGATTGGCCCAAATGGGTGTCGTCCGTAGAACCTGGGAGAAAATGTGGTAAACAGACCATGTCGTAATGCTAGATACCCGATTATTGTTTCAATGACAAAAGCTTTCTGTCATCGAAGACTTCCCCGCGATTTGACTCCATCTTTCTTCTGCTTTCCATCGTGACTTGCAAGCATAATGATGTCTCTGATTCCAAGGAGCCGCTTCACACCCGCATCTTCCCCAGGCCAAGACCCCAGCACGACGAACGGAGACATGTCCGTGTTACGAGATGCCCCATCGTGGCGCTTCATTTTGTGGTGTTCCCCAACTCCAATTACGTAAATTCGTTTTCCCCGCATCCGCTTGCACTGGCGAGTTTGCGGGGACCAGCCTCCAACTCGCGGTCTAGACGTGACCTCATTTCGTTACGTGATCCCTTGAGTTCAGTCCTCCGGCTTCCGGCAACGAGCCGCTGAAACAACAAGCGGCCGGCCCGGTTCTCGTCGTGTACCGAACATCGGCGATGACCAGCCCCAGAGATGCGCTCCACGAGATATTCGACATCCAGACAAAAAGCCTGCCACCAGTGCGCCGCCGCCAAGGCCAAGTGCGATCGGAAGCAAGGGACATGTACGCGGTGTGAACAGCGAAGCCTGTCATGCACGTATGCCCAACCGCAGCTGTCGCCTCAACCGGAAGTGAACTCTTCGGCTGGGACGAGTGACGCGGGGACGAGAGAGAGAGTGACGAACCATCTGCCATCTCCGGAGCACGAAGCATCGAACGGGCCCGTCTATCTAGAAGCCGGCCTGGAAGCCCCTGACGCCGCAGCCAGTCATCATCTCCCGGAGCCGGCGAAGACGACCCCGGCCCGGACCGGGGTCGAACTGGATTTCTCCAACCTGGACCTCATCTGCCCCATCAACCCCGACGACATCGCCAACCGATGGCTGAACAATTTCGTTCCCCTGCCGGGCCAGGCCGTCAAGAATTACCCCCCTAATATCTCTGCATTCATTCATCGAATCCTGCAATCGTACGCAAACCGCTCGATCCGCGGCCAGAGGCTTCCTCCTTTTATCCACTGGTCGCAGCTGGCATTACCATCAAGCCTGCCCTTGTCGACATGCTTGTGCGTCATTCGAATTTGCGACAAGCCACTTCAAGGCAGCGAGGATGTCGTCGCGGAGGTCCTGCAACGAGAGATGGCGAAGCTCTATGAACGACAGGCGACCTTCGACGGCATGGTCCTGTTGTCGGCATACCAGGCCTATCTTGTCTACGCAATGGTGATCTTTTTTCGACTAGGTCGTGAGTACTATCCGTTCCTTCGCCAAGCCATGATCAACTCGCAAGAGCTGGCATGCGAGGCGGCGCGAAGGGGACTCGTGTGCGACGCTGAACAGAAGGGGGCTCGGCCGAGCTGGGAAGCCTGGATAGTTGCGGAAACGAAGCGACGGACAATATTCACGATGTGCATGTTTGATAGCGCTTTACTGACACATGATGGTCTTGCCTCTCACCTTGCCACTGAACTCCGCGGCTTACTCGCTCCCTGCAGCAAGTCCTTGTGGGAAGCCACGGACCGCCGTGACTGGGAGATCAAGTACAACACGCATTTGGCAGCTTGGGGTGACGGCGGTCTTCGCATTGAAGAGCTGTGGCCAATACCGAAAGACTTTGGGGTGACAGAAGTCGAGGAAAGACGGGCGCGGGTTGACTTGTGGTTGGAGGATCTTGATGAGTACGGAACTATGATGTATGCAGTGACAAGCTGCACTCATGGGGGCTGAAGTAGGAAGCGACATATGAACGTTCCCGGGTCTCTGCGGCCGACGGTATTGACCTGAAGACCAATCACGGGCTATCTTGTCCACGTCTTCACAGACTGATCACGTATAACTTAAGCTTCCAGGATATATGATGTCTGATTTTATTCCCAAACACCATTGCCCATCTTCTGCGCAAGTTCCCCATAAGAGGCTTCATCCAAATTTGGTCAATGATAGAGAAGCCAAGTGAGAGCGTCTTCGGGATAGTGTTGAGTCGAGTGTCCGCACCATGAGCGGCTTCAATGCCGTCTTCTATGAGTCTCTTATATTTCACAGATCCATCTACTCCTTAAAAGAGTCGTCACGACGTCTAGACTGAGAACAGCGAAGCGCTTCCTTGAGGATGCGAGACCATCACGTCGACCAGCTTAAGAGCCATATTGCCTACGAAGACGAAATATTTCAAGAGGTCTCTCACAAGAAGAAGAAACAGATATGACTGCTATCGAATGCACTCAGATGATGTCCGGCACTGTTAGTCCCGTGAACATTGGCCACACCGGCCGCGCCTTCCCTGATTTCCGGAGGTGCTGACCTCAACTCCGGTAATTGTGGGGCTCAACTCCGAATCTCTCGGGGACAGGACTCCGAATGACAACCATTTAACAACAAAGACGCCTATAAAGACGAATCAATGTGACATTGAGTGCACCAACTTCCAAGCCTTGGAGTATGTTACTTGGACCATTGGATATACTCGATCTTTCATTTGTCAATCATTTTGGAACATATTACTATGGCTCTGAATAATAGCCGGAGCCCAACATCAACTGGCGGCACTACAATGGAGCCTGCGTCTCCCCAACCATGCAAACCGTTCAGCATATTCGACAAACGACAAAAGCGGCTGATAGTTGCACTTGTGTCAACAGCAGCAACCTGTAAGCCGATGTTTCTAGTTTCTCACATTGACACACCGTGCTAAATATGCCTAGTTTCCGGTTTTGCCTCTAACATTTACTTCCCATCTCTATCCACCATTGCGGAAGACCTCAATGTCTCGGTTGAACTCGTAAACCTCACAGTAACAGCATATCTCATCTTCCAAGGCCTAGCTCCTAGCCTCTGGGGACCGATATCCGATGGCAAAGGTCGGAGGGTAGCGTACATCGGCACGTTCCTCGTGTTTCTGGGGGCATGCGTCGGCCTCGCCGAAGTCAGGACCTTTGCAGGCTTGATCGTTCTGAGATGTCTCCAGAGCACGGGCAGCGCAAGCACTATAGCCATCGGGTCTGGAGTGATTGGCGACATTACGACCAGGGAGGAACGAGGCGGGTATATGGGGGTTTTCCAGGCTGGCCTGCTTGTGCCTGTCGCCATTGGGCCGGTGATCGGAGGCGCCCTGGCGGGGTCGCTGGGCTGGAGAAGCATTTTCTGGTTTCTCACGATATACGGCGGAGTGTTTTTCCTCTTCATGGTTCTTTTGCTGCCGGAGACGCTAAGGTCTGTTGTCGGGAACGGCTCGAGACGACCGTCGGCGCTCTTGCAGAGATATCCGCTTGTTCTTTACATGCGCACGACACGGGTGCATCCGAACGTCGAAGAGACAACGGAGGAAGTAGGAAATCGCAAAAAGGTCGACCTGACGGCGCCTGTGCGGATTCTTTTCAGCAAAACGGCCGCGCCCATCACCGTCTTCCTCGCTACATACTACGCCGTGTGGCAAATGAGCATCACAGTCATGTCGACGCTATTCAAATGCCAGTACGGGCTTTCCGATACCCAGGTCGGCCTGACGTATATGGCCAACGGGGCGGGTTCCATCATGGGCACGCTCGTGACGGGGAAGATGTTGGACATGGATTACCAGCGTGTGAAGGTCAAGCTGGAGAGTCAGCTCCGCGGCGACAACTCGGACTTTCCGATCGAGAAGGCGCGTCTTCGGCTGGTTCCAATCCTGGGACTCTTACAATGCATATCGATTGCTGTGTTTGGGTGGACGATACAGTTTCCGGAAAAGGTTCATATTGCGGTTCCGATAGTGACGACGTTCGTGACGGGATGGTCGGCAATCGGGACTCAGTCTTTGGTCATGACCTACCTGGTGGACATCTTCCCCGACAAGAGCGCGGCGGCGAGTGCGAGTCTGAACCTGGCGCGATGCTTGTTCGCGGCCGGCGGCACAAGTTTCGTGATGCCGATGGTCAACGGGATCGGGGTTGGATGGGCCTTCACGGTGTGTGTTGCTGCGCAGGTGGTCGCCGGTGTTGGAGCTGGGGTCCAATGGAAGTTTGCTGCAGCTTGGAGGCAGATGGAAGCAAGTAGAAACAGCCGGTTGTAGGCTGTTTTGAACGAAACTGCGAGACATCGTGAGCTAGGCAGGCCAATGCCAAAGAACCATTCTGTTGGTGTAAGATAAGACAGGAATAGATAAAAGCTTTGTTTTTGATTTCCAGAGGCATATGAGACGGGTGGAATAGATGAGGTCTGGTGAACCAAAATAAGATACCTTGACGAGTAAAAAAGAAGCCTGAGAGGTGCTCACGTACCTATGTACCAACGCCCAAGTTGGTATCTATATGCATTGAGGCGTTCTTTCCGGATGAGGCAGAGATAGCTTCATAGACCCGTCACCTCAGTGACATACCTTAGGTATGCCTTCACCTGTTTGCTTCAATCCAAGGCATGAGCACCTCATATCTCAACAGCCTTGCCCTATCTAAGGTGCTTACCTGAGGCAAGGCAGGTACGAGAAGGAAAGGCCTCACTCTCTCCTTCCTTCCTTGAACCTCAACTCTCTTCCTGCCTCTTTCCGTGCGTGGCTCCCGCTCCTGCCTAGGTTGTAACCTGGAGTTCCCGAGTTCCCCTCGACAGAGTTTTCTGCCGCCTTCCACCTCGTGACCTTGACGACCTTGACGACCTCGCGCCCCTCCACCTTCTCTCCCTCCTCGGCCACAACTTGGACGACGCCATATTCCTCCCACCAAACTCAAACTCCATCCCCGAACTTCCCTCCGCCAAACCTTTTCACCGACTAAACGAGGTGGTCAGTCACTTCTGCCAAGGTCGCATCACCTCGCCCAAAAATAATTCGACGCCGCTCCTTCCCCTCTCTACCTTTCTCTTCTTCCCGTCCTCCCACTGTTGCCTCGGAAAAGCTCAGTATCCAGCCTCCCGCCGTCAACATCGCCAAGATCCAAGATGGTTTCGCTAGCTTTCAACTTGAAGTTCACGTACTGGGCTGCCCCCAAGCATGTCCCTCAGCATGTCGCCGCTCTGTGGGACCTCTTTTCCCTCGACAAGAACAAGGCGCAGTTGACCGACTGGACTCTGTCTATTCCCCAGGTCTATAACGCTGCCAACGGAACCGGCTCAGACCAGATCAAGTTGGTGACTTTCGCAGTAAGCTTGAGCAGCGAGCTCCCCTCGGTACTCGCCCTAGCCGTTTTCTCGGAAGCTAACTCTCCCATCAGGTCAGGTTCACCCACAAGACAGTCACCTACGACGACGTGAAGCAGGCCAGGACCGTCTTCGAGAACGCCTGCAAGACCTGCGCCGCCATCGTTTGGAACTTGCCGTCTTCGCATGAATCCCTTCCGGGTCTTCTCCGCTTCGATCACATCTTGCGATGCATCTTCGCTCTGCAGAACAACCCTACCAGCACCTCTGGCTTCTGGGGTGAGTGGGGGCTGATCTCGGTCTACCACCGATGCACATCGCCCGATGATGGCAGTCCTCTGGCCATGCTTGACAAGTTCATGGAGTACCAAGAGGTCTGTTTCTCAAAACCGTCTTGACTAGGTACCGAATGCTGACGGGAAACAGCGCATGCCCAAGCGAAACAACAAGATCGAGGCCGGGCCCTCCAAGAACGGACTCGGAAAAATCAAGACCTTGACTGCCGACGCTGGCAAGAACTACAAGCTCGTCAAGAAGGATTCTTCTCGTCTGATCCGCAGCCAATCCGCAGTTGATGCCCAGGGCTTCAACAGCACCGTCCACGCAGCTGTCCAGCGCCACTGCGATGTTCTGGATTGCATGGAGGCCACCGATGCCGCCAACGGCAGACTCGCCATGCTACTCGGAGAGCTTGCCAACATGACTGCCTCATTCATGGCGATTGCCAAGGATACACCCAAACGCCCCACGCCGTGGTGGAAGATTTTCAGCAGCGGAGACCACCTCGACAAGGCAAGCCGCTCGATGACCAAGCTCCATGGTCGTGCAAGCGCGTTGGAGACCAAGGCGAAACTCCTCCATGCCTTGTTCACCGACCGTAAGGCCCCCCCTCCCCCCTCGCCCGACGTGATCAGGTTGCTGTATCAGACTGGACGCTGACATGAGGAATAGTTGACAGCGCTGTCAAGCAGCACGGGACCTGTTCTCGTCGCCTCGTCCTCAACAGCCACCTTCAGGCTCAGTGGCGCAAGCTTGTCGACATTCTTGAGCAGCCCGACGCGGATCAGTCTCAATTGGACAGTCTTTTTGGCGCCAACATCCAAGCCATGGCAAACGTCAACAGGCGTGAGGACGAGTTGCTGCAGTCGATGCGGACGTTCAAGAAAGGCGAGCGTGCCTTGTGTACGGAGGAGAGGTGGTTCGTGAAGCTAGCCTCCCAGCTCGATGGCGAGGTTCGAAAGTTGTCGCGAGACTACGTCGAGGCGGCGAACAAGTTCAAGCAGGCAGAGATGCGCGTCTCCGGGTCTAAGAAGGCGACGAAGGGCAAGGACATGGAGTGCGACAACGAGAGTGACTGCAGCGACGAGACGTTGTGCGAGAAGAAGCAGTAGATTCTGGTTGGGAAGTCGAGACTTGCTGAGATACAGGGGACCTAGGACTCGTCGGGAGAAGGATCATCCAAGTTGATGTGTGGTATTTGCTGAGAAGACCAGTTCGTAATCAAGAACTCTTGCCATAACCGATCCACATCTTAGCCTGGCTTCGACATTGATTGTCGTCTGCGGTCGAGTTAGTGAGGTGTGCGGCGGTGCTAAGAAGTGCGAATAGCTTCACATGAGATACCGGGAATCAATCTAGGCGTGGGGCCCATGGAATGGTCCGTGGGAGAGAGCAAAAATAGCAAGCTGCGGTACCTTGGGACAGTGCACACGCTCGGTGCACATGGCGTCTGGTGCGTCTGTGGAAGACTGTCACCGAAGGTGGTCAACGACTTCGTCCCATGGCTATTGTTCACATCCCGTCGTCTACTCAATGGTCAAGTCGCGCAAAGGGCGGCGATGCATTACCTACATCATCAAGGAGAAACACGAGGCAATGGCGACGGCGGAGGTCATGCGCGACGCTTGTGCTGCAGGGCTTCCAGGCGGAGGCGGACCGGTGCCGCTGGAGAAGAGTGCAGACAGTGGAGGACTTTGTTGTTGAGGGTTGGAGAGGGGCGCCTGTCCGGGGAAGTAAAAGACAGCAGGAGCGCCAGCAACCGGGAATCGGGCGCCAAACGTCGCGTGTGCTGGGCGATGCGCCGTACCCGACGAGATAGAGATAGCAGCGAGTTGTGGCGACACTTGTGCGATCATGTGCTGGCGGAAACCAGAGACAAGATGATGATGCTCTATCATGACTGCCCTTGGAGACACGAGGGACCTACCTTGTTTGGTTTCCTTGGCCGTCAGAAGGAATCCCCGGGGATTTCCAGGAGAAAACATCGATCAAAGAGTGTGATTGAAGAAAGAGAAAAAGAGGGAGGTGTCGAGCCGCCAGTTCCGAGCCGTTCCCCCTCATCTCCGATGTCGAGATTCGTTCTTGTATCAGCAGATAGATGCATCATGTCGGGGGCTGAAACATGGAAAACAACAAGAACCCAGCACATTGGGAATGGAGATCTGAAGACTCGCAGAACAGGAAGCAAATAATCAATCTCGAGGGACTGGGCGGGAGGAAAGGAAGGGGCGCGATATCTGACCGTCCATCCGCCCTGCCCGTTTGAGATCCAATTTCTCCCGCCCCTGCGTTTTCGGGGTCACTGATAAGGTCCAGTCCATCCCAAAGACGGACGCCATTTGTTTTTAAAATCATGGGCGAAACGCGTGAAAAATCAAGAAAGATATCGAGATCCGGGCTAGGAAGATAGAAAGAATAGACAGACGCGACGCGACGGTCGTAGCTGCCCTTTTCAGGCCGGGCATCATCTAGACCTCTTCCCATCCATCGTTTTCTTCCCCTCTTGCGCTCCTTCCTGCTCCTGCTCTCTTTCTCTCTCTCCGACACACTACCACAATTTCTCCGTTCCATTTCCTTCTTTTTTCCCATTACTACCCAGGTATTAAGTGAGCTACAAGAGGCACAGCAAAGGCAATTAGTCCAATTCTCCCATCCAGCCAGCCCTTGTTGTTGTTTTCATTTTGTGCGTGTGTTCCGACACCGCTTCTCCAGACTCTCGCGCCGCGCCCCCCCTTGTGACCGACTTGTGACCCAACCTCGACCTGACTGACCCTCCTCCTCCTCTCCCCTCGCGAAAACCACGTCACCTCCCCGTCTTGTTTCTTCTCAACAACACCTCGCAATCCCCCGGATCTTCGTCGCAAAACTTCGTTCGTTGCTCTCGCAGAAAAATAACTCTTCGCTACAGCTCCAGAAGCTCTCTCCCCGTCTCCCGCACCTACTTTTCATCAACCGGTAAGCCCGCCAAGTCCGCGCATCTGGCCCAGCCCATCGCGCCATCCACCACCACCACGCTCGCCCCTCCTCTCCTCTCCTCTCTCTCTCGTCTTTTCGCCCGTCGCGCACCTCCACCCATCATTTTCCCTCGATCGCATATTTTCCATCGCGGTCGCGTCGCTATCGTCTTTCGATCCCCGTAACTAACAAAACCCCGCGACAGCGACAAAAAATCCGCAAAAATGGCCCGCGAAGGAACCCGCTCGCAGACCGGCAACTCCAAGCCGCGCGTCTTCCCCGTCGTCGACACCGCTCCCGTCCGCAAGACCAGCACCACCACCACCACCGGCGCGAAGCCCAAGAAGACGGCCACCAGCACCGCTGCCACCAAGGGCGCGAAGCCCGTCGGCGTCACCAAGAAGAAGGCCACCAACGCCAAGAAGGAGCCCACCGCGGCCACCAAGGTACGTTGACGAATGCTTCATGATGAATGTTGCGCGCTGCGCATGTTGAGAGATGCGATATTCGCCGGGCCGATTTTGCCAAATTTTGGACAACTTCTCCTGGCGGCGCGTCTCTTGCGAACGGGCGCCTCGCGACATCATGCCCTGGTTAATCTTTTGCTTCGCACAAGACTGACATTTCTCCCAGGCCAAGTCGGTAGCCAAGAAGGTCTCTACCAAGGTCACCGGCGCTGCCAAGGCTGGCAAGAAGGTACGCTCTCTTCTTCTTCCTCTTCACTTTCTTCCGATCTCGACCGTCTAACAACTCGTAGGAGACCAAGCCCAAGACCGCCAAGGCAAAGGCCACCGCCCTCGAGCCCGTCGCCTCCTAAATCCGTCCAACCTCTTTCTTTTTTTTTCTTCAACACGATGCTCCTCCGCGGGACCTGGTGACGCGCCTGGGGGTTCCAGGACCCCAGACACACGTCGCGACGTCGCGTCCCGGGTGGCGGACGGTTTGCGCCTTTACCTCCTCCTTACTTACTCCTTACCAAGTGTCTTTTCTTTGATGAGATACCACCTTTTTCCAGTTGAGCGTGCGGGTCAGGGAATTTTGTTGCTGCGGTATGACGGCTTCTTATCGGGTTCTCAGGGTTCTTGGGCTTGTTCCGACTGGGCTCATTTGTTCTTTCTTCCCATTTGCGTTTGGACTTTCAGGGAAACATGGCTGTGTTGTCGGGCGGACCGGGTGTATTTACGCGATCGAGACCTTGGAAGAAGGGGTGTCTAATACTGAATCGGTCATGAACTGCATATGCCGCTCGCCTTTTCTCGTGACATATACAGATAGAGCTTCCCTCGATGTGTTCCTGTTGTTGGAGGTGACAGACCCGGATCAACCCGTGCTTTCATGATCCAAAGACTCTTCAACTCCGTTCCGCAGGGAAATGGCATGGCGAATCATGACGTGCTAGGTTCAAAAATGATTAAGTATATTGCAGAGTATTGTTGACATGAACGAAAGTGGTATCTTTCTATGCATACCCACGGGTTTGCGGTGATGAGCCCCGTAGTCCGCCCCCCTTTTCCCCCCCGTGACCTGGTCATTTCGAACACCAAAAAAACAGTTGGAACGACCAAATAGCAAATGCAAAATGCCTCGAACCAAACCAGTTGCGCCGCATCATCATCAAAAAGCACACCACCACAGTCAGATGGGGAAGTGCAGCTTCTGCTCCGCCCACGGAATGTTGTACCAGTTCTCCCAGTTCTTGCCGACGCGCGGCCCCTCCTTGATGAGCTGCATCTCTCGCACTCCGCAGAACATGCCGTTGCGTCCCGTCCGGTCCACCATCTTCCACCCCTCCCTGCGCTGGTAGATTTCCTCCTGGAAACGCTGGCCCTCGACGACTTCGCGGTGCGGGTTCGGCGTGGGGAAGCGGGAGAAGTGCGTGATGATGCCCTGCGGCAGCGCGAAGAGACGCTCCCAGTGGCGGACGAAGCGCTCGAGGTACTGCGTCCGCTTCCTGTACGCCACGCGCACGTAGGGGTTGACGAAGACGCCCGTATCCATCTCCCCGGCCCGGTCTGCGACCGTCGACACGTCCGCCAGGAACAAGCAGCATTCGCAGGCGTCGTAGTAGATCTCGGGCTCGTATCGGAAACGCACCGGCGCCGTCACGTTGTGGGGATGGTCCGGGTTGATGACGTGGTGCGCCACAGCCTGCCAGTCCTTGGTTGGCAGCTGCTTGTCCATGTTCTGGATCCATTTGGCTTGCATAGCCACCATTCCGGCCCAGCAACTCTTGACGGGAACCGCGTCCGTCTGCGAAACCATGGCCTTGCGAGAGATGCCCTTGCCCGAGTTGGTGAAGTAGGGGAAGATGGGGATGCCGTTGGAGTAACCCTCGGCGTCTCGCTGGGCGTACAGGTCGTACATGGTGAAGACGTTCCAGTCAAAGTCGACGGAGCAAGCTGAGAGGTAGTGGGTGCGGCCATCGTCGCCCGCGTTGGTGCTGAAGAGCAAGTGGGCGGCGTCAACCGGAGCGAACATGGCGTCGTTGAGAAACAAGATCTTGTCGTACTTGACCACTCCGACTTCGGGGTCGAATTGGTCGATCGGGTAGAGCGCCCGGTTTCGCATCTCGGCCAGGTATGCCAACCGCTTGAGACGTTGGGATCCATCGGGCATAGTAATGTGAGGGAAGACGTTGTAGTCGACGTGATCCTCGACGACGATGCTATGCTTGCAGGGCACGTTCTTCTTGAACTCGGCCAACGCGGCAGCGCCCTCCTCTCCGCTGTCGTTTTCGTATATGCTCAGAAATGCATTGTCCTCCCCAATCATGTGAATCACATCCAGCACGTTCTGCGCCCACTCCCCACCTGCGATTTTCCCTTCGGGGTCGTACAGACTGACGGCGATGAAGACCTTCTCGTTCTGCAGGTTCGCACAGCCAGACAGGCTGTCGGAGACCAGGCATCGTCTCCGTAGGTCCTTGTAGTGCTTCGGGTGGCGGGTGTAGGAGGGGAAGAATATCGGTGTGGCGATGAAGACCAGGAGAATAAACATGACGGTATACCGAAATAGCAGTCTCGGAAGGGAGCGCGGTTGACGACGGATGGCCCTCAGCACGGCTCGGGGCCTCCCCCTCAGCCATGCAAAGAGGGAACCTTTCCTCCTCCCCCGCGCCGGCGGCGGTGACCCGGGCAGTAAAGGCTCTTTGTGTTCGGCATCGAGGTCGATGGCTTCGATGGAGGAGGACCGACGTCCATCGTCGCTGGACGGGGCCATGGGTTCGGTCGTCGTCGGACTGGCTGTCGACGGAGCCGGTCAGAGGTCGTCAGAGATTTCGTCGGTAGTTCTCGGTGTAGCAGGGTCACTGCAAAGGGTCGACAGGTCAATCCGCGTCCCGTGTCCCAAGGCAAAGGGTCGAGGTCGAGGACGTACGAGGGTCGGTTGAGGTCGTGAGGATGTCTGCGCCCTTGGGAAGAGACGTTTTCAGCTTTTAGGAAAAGCGTGAGGGGTCGAGGGCGGCGGCGCGGCGCATGTGGCTTGTCTCGAAGACGTGTCGCAGGAATGCGAGGTCGGATGGCGATGCAGGACGGGCTCGACGTGCCAGACTCGATTCGGGAGAGGATCGGGGGTTGGCCAATGGCGCAGACGGAGGAGGGTGGAGGGATTATAATGATACAGAAAAGAATACCGACATGCTCATTACAAACAATAAGTCTCGTCAGGAAAGGAGGACGCAAAGGAACGGGTGACAGCAAGCTGAGAATTGGGCGAAGAGAATGGCGACAGGCCGCCAAGACAAGAAGGGAAAGGACGATAAAGTTTGGGGCAACCAGCAGATGGAGCCGCCGTGGATCACGGCACAGCGGTGCACCAGCCCAGTCCGCCTAGCGACCTTGCGCCTGCCCCCAAACACCAACACCACGGGCACACACCGCAGCTGCCACGAAAGGAGTCAATTCCCTGGCCCGCGACCTCAATTCATACTGCAAGGAGTCAAGCCTCACTCATCATCCATGGATGTGCTGTCGCTTGCTTCTTCCTTTTTCAATGCTGCCTGCGCAATCAACCAACCAGACGGGTCGAATGGCTGTTTCCTGAGCTGCCACTTCCCGGCAACACTGCAGTCCCTGCTACCTTACTGCGTAGTATTAGCACCGAGGAGTCAAGGAGTCCAGGATGAGGGATTGACATTTCAAATGGCAGGCTGCGGCAGCTGTGGGGCCATTGAAAAACACCAAATCTCAAGCCAAACACGCCGGACTCCTGTACACAGTGTAGGCGTCTTTGTCGCGTTTCTCAGGCACTCAGCAAGCAATACTCTCTATGTCATAAGGTAAAATGATATAAATGAAGTCAGCTGTCAGCAATTCAGACAATGTGACCCCTTCCTCGCTAAGCGGTCGGTGCCGTTGACCTGCAGGAGACGCCCGGCTGGGAAGCGTCACTCAAGTCGGGCGTTGCAGCTGCTGAGGCACGCACTTCAGCTCTCTCAGATGCAGTCAGGGGAAGCGGGACAGCCCTCTACTTAGCGCCTTGGCCAAGAGTCGCTAAAAATGATGATCGGAGGAGGAATTCCAGCCTGGGCGACCATTCCCAAATTGCGTTAGCCAACTGCACTACCGACGCGAGACCGCTCCACTTCTTTCTCCATGGATCTCTCACAGCATCTCTAACTCAACTAAACAGTTCGTGAAGACTTCAAGTTCAACTGTTTCTCAACTCAGAGGATGGACCAATATCTCATGCAAGACACGCACTGCCTTTTTTTCAATCAAAGCAAGTAAGGGTCCGGAATCTTTTAACGTATGTTAATCTTCTTCTTCTTTTCTATGTAGAAGAAGAAGGACATCATTCTCTGGCTGCCTCACTCGCCCTTCTATTCGCTACTAATCAGCTCCCTACTTAACCATTAAATATACCGGGATGTAATCCTTCCTATTGATTGCATGTTCCCTTCGTAACTGCCAACTACCATGTCTTCTTCTATCTTGTCTCCACCTCGCTGGCCGTTTTAGAATACCTACTGAGCCAGGAAGGGGGCCGGGTTCTGCGGACCCCGCGCCTTTACCGCTAGATATATTCCGCATCCATATTGGGATACGATGTTGCGCCACAGCCGTTCCAAGAACCCAACACCCTACTTGCGCGCAAATACCACGCACGACCTTGGTCAATCAGTCCGCAGTCACTCACGATAGAACCAGTACACGATGCATAAGTAGGCTAGAGTGACGGACAACGACGATGCAACAGGCTGTAGACGTCAGTTGAGACGACGAGAGCACCCGAAAGAGAAACATCAGGATCACCAAACTTTAGGCAACAGCTTAAAGCTGCAGCAACTATCCAGGTCAAGGGTGCAAATCGCCACTGAAATTTCCTCCGCACCCCAGCCTTTAGCATGGCACTCGTACGCTACGGTACGAAAAGGTATGGTGCCTTTGTTGTGTATGAATCCACCAATGGGCGGGCTTCACCTCTAGCCACGAGACTTGATAACCTTTGCTCATTGGCTTAAAGTCGTGTCCGCTTCGTTCACGACGGACAACGGATCGTAAAGTATCTACCTGGGTTCGGCGCATTGCAGTACCCATTGATTCCGATAAGCGAGCGTTTAACTGATTTGAGATTCATACGTCTAAGTAACTGTTGTTTCTCTGTTGACAAACCAGGCGCCATCTCCTCAGAACACAAGGCCTAAAATGAAGCGGCAATAAGGCTTTGGGGTGAGCTTTTCAGCAGGTTTCCTCCCAGGCTACTATGTGGAAGCACTATTGTTGAACATATATTCTTCTGGGTCAGAGCACAAGGAGGCGGTATCACAATGGCTTTGCAATGAACGCGGCTTAGTAACAGATGTCTTACTGCGTTTCAACGTTTCATTGATGGGCTATTAATCTTTAGCGAGGAACTTTGAAGCAAAACTCCCTCTTTCTACAAATCACTCCATTGCCCTGACGTCTGGTAGCCTGGAGAGGAAGTCAGCAAGGTGGCTTTAGCAGAAACATATGCGTCAAGCTTCGCATCTGCAAAAGTCAAATGGGACTCGCCGAAGGCGGTTGATAAAGTGTGCTTGGTGGTTTGATGAAATCTCGACTTGCTCTCTGACACTTCTCATCATCAATCAGCAGTCAGCTTCTTCAGTTCACAGCACAATCGACCATACTAGACAAGTATTGGAAGAACTCACTTCGCAGTCTCGCGGCCGCGGAATCCACGGTGTTCCTCTCGAAATACTTTTCATCATCGCCGACCAGCTGCCCATTCCATATCGAATCGCTCTGGCTTTGACCAGCAAAGAGCTTTTCACCTCACTTTGCCCCAGTCGCCAATTCACCAGGTTAGAGGATCAGGAGAGAGTCGAAACACTACTTTTACTGGAAAAGGATACGACGAACTATTCCTTGTGTTTTGGATGTGTGCGGTTGTTTCCCTTCAAGTCCAACACCACCAGCGATGGGCCAAACCAACTACACTCATCTTGCGATTCACAGGTCGAAGTCTCCCGGGAGTTCCGGAAACCAAACACAGTGTTCTGGAGGCGCCAATTTAACCCCCGCTGGAGTCATATGCATTTTACATGGACTGAAGACCTGAGCGTTGTCGTATGGCGACCGGCAGCTTTGGGACTCGGGGAGAACAACATGCCACAAATCACCTTCTTCGAGGCACGCCTCATTATGAAGGAATATTTTCTCGGAATTGACCGTGGAATTAAGCTTCAGAAACTCGAAAACGAGTTCTTATTCACCAGAAGCCTGCCCTCGATCGTGGATGAGACTATTGAACACCACTTCCCCATCGAACGTCATGTTATGAACCAACGATACTCGTTGAGGCCACGACGAGACACCCAGCAAGAATATCGCGCAATCTCCAACATCATACCGTCTGCGCCTACTAGGGGTTCCTGGCTCTTCAAGCATAAGACAGCCGCTCGGATCATTGATGACGAACTCTTTCTTTGTCGCAGTCATCGAGTTTCTGCACCACCATGCTCCTTGGATGCTTTCTTCAAAATCGCGGACAGTTTGGAACTCCCGGTTTGTCGGCATATTCTGGCCGCATCACAAATGCCCCGTTCCGGGATTTGGCCGCAACAGAATTGCTGCATTCCGCAATTGCACAACTTAAGAATGGCATCTCACGAATCTCGATTCGACTCGGGCCCGGATAAGAGTATCATTTCATGCGAAAGGTGCTTTACAGACTACAGCATTGCCATTCAAAGAGGAGGGCCACAGGAAGAATGGAGTCTCGAGCTCATAACTTACCACAACCTTGGGAGCTGTCGAACACCGGATGACCCCAAGTGGGCGAAAATGGTGGACTGTAGTTCCTATTCCTTTTCTTATAGGTACACGACTGAAGACAACCGTCCAGGCAAAGTACGAGAAGCTTGGCTGAAACATGAAAACACGACTGATAGAAGCTGCGATGCCTTCCAACCGGAGTGGAGTAAGCCTTTTCACGAAATGGTCAAGAGCCAATACACTTGCTTTGAAAAAGGAGATCCTGCTTCTTTCAAGGCCAGGAGAGATATTTTGAGATTGTCGTATGCTGAAAAACGATATAGCTAGGCCCGGTTCTGCTCCCTACCATGAGGGCTGGATAATTGAAAGATATTTATTCAATGGATCATGGCTACCCCACGTTTACTCATCAGGCCACTTCAAGTCTCGCTTGCTACATCATGTTGTCAACTTCTTGACTTTCAACTCAATCGCAGATAAGGCATCTAAGCCATCATTCTCCACCTTGAGTTTCATCGCCGCCTTCTTATACTTGTTATCCGCCAGAATCTGTTCGACACCTCGTCTGACCTGTTCGATGGAGGGCGTTTGCGTCCCCAAGCTAAGTCCAACCCCAGCATGTACGGCTCGCATCGTGACTTCAATCTTCTCTTCATTCTGGCCAGCAAGCAGGACAGGAACTCCGTTGCTAACAGCATGAGTAAGAGTTCCATAACCAGCGTTGGAAACGAACACGTCGGCGAACTCCAGCATGGTGTCGTATGGAAAGTAATCGACGACCCGGGCGTTTGATGGAATGGTGACTTCCGGGGGCAGCTCAGCACCACGAGCACCCAAAGTTGCCACGACGAGAATGTCAGGTCGGTCGGAGAAGGCGTTAAGTGTTGGAATAATGAGTTCAGACCAGAAAGGATTGAGAGTTCCCTGTGACACGAAGATGACATGGCGGTAATGCTCGTGCCTGTTCTCAACTTCTGACCACCAAAGAGGATATTGGATGGTAAAATTGCGAGGCTTTCGGGGGAGGACGCCGACAAATTCGAGACAGGATGGCAGATCAGATAGTTGGTAGTCCAAGCTTGGTGAGCACAACTGGAGCGTATGGTCATGCGCCGCGTAAAACGATCTGAACATCCTGCCATCTGGAATGCTCGTACACCCACACCTGCTCCATGAGTCCTGCCACGCATCTACCATCAACTTCAGCGGGCCGCTCTCGGCAAGATCATAGAGGGCCTTGTTCCGTTCCCGTCCGGAATCCGTCGTATCTGGAGGCAGGCCGAGCGATATCGGTCCGGTATCTTGGCTCTCGACCAGCACGGGCGAAACCCCAAAGCCAATTGACTTGGGGAGAGTTTCGAGACCAGCCGGCAGAGGCCGCCCGTACTTGAAAGCCCAAAAGGAAGCATTGAAAACATCCTCCAGAAGAATGATCTGTCGACCCGGATGACGAGCCTGCAACATCACCAAGGCATTCTCAGTGCTTTGAGTACGTGTCGGCTGCATGTCCAAGAAGATAGCCTTGTACTGAGCGGCCAAACGCTCAGGGCCTTGAGGCCGCTCAGAGGCCTCGCGAAAAGCTTCGAAAACCGAGTCGGTGATTGGATTGTCAACAAAAAGATACTCGGCGCCAGCCTCGTTGATCTGGCTCTCGTAGACCGATGGGGCCATGAAGACTACCTCATATCCGCGTTTAACCAAGTGCGATGCAATAGTGATCAGGGGATTGGTATGTCCCTCGCCTGGAAAGGCAGTCATGAAAAGAAGAGGTTTGAGCTTGGCCGCTTCATCGTTCTGGATGGCAGTGGCGGGCATCGTGTCCTTCGATGGGGGAGAATTGGCCTAACGACGAAGCAACCAGGCAGGAATTTTGGGAAGGCTTTGGAGATAAGCGTCTCCGAGACAGAACATGACCCCTCAGTTCCCATGTAAGCACTAAAAGAATGTTGCATTCATCTCAGAAGTGGCCATGGTCCGATGCGAAAATTGGTTGGCGATGGTACGTTGATGTGGTGGGTTATTGCGGGTCACCACGTGTTCGCCAATAGTACCAATTGCGATTTCGTCACCTTCCATTTTTTCTCTGGGGGAGCCTGATCTTTAGAATCATATCTCGGGTTGTTATCTGGCTGGCAATTATTGTTCGTGTTATTGTACGAGAGAAACAGGTTTTACCCAGTTTAGATTTGTTGCTTGTAAACAAGAATCATCCTCGACTTGCGACATCCCTCGAGGTCGACGTCTCCATGCAACTTTACAGTTTTGAGCACTTAGTTTAGGAACTGACAATGTCAGCCTTTCTTTTCTCTTTCATTTTTCGACACTTGCAAAGTAGCTGAGCAGTCTGAGAGTCCCAGAATTCCCTCGGAGGCTCCGGAGTCTATCACATGATGGGCTTTACTTTTACGCAGTATATATACGTGTAAGTGTACTGCATGCCGGATGTTGACGCTAGATGTATTCCTAGAATTTGAATCTGAGAAGTGCGCGACCGGAGCCTAGAAATTATCAGGCACGATACTACCATCAGAATGGATTATGGGACGCGATCGTCGACGGAGATGTAGCCTCCCGTGATAATGTCGGTCAGATGTTGCACGTTTCGCTGAACGATAAGCGCAAAGCACCGAGCCTGAGTTGTGTGACAAGCAACCTACTACGTACGGGTCGTAAGATCCCTGCGCTCCAGTAGAAATCGAGGAATCTGGACTTTAGCACGGTAAGCAAATGGTTCAACACCCAAGTTTTAGACAACGTTCACAAGACGAAGGCTACCAACGTACGGGCTTGTTTTTCTTTACTTATTCTTCAGACAAAAATAAGATTCAAGTTATTTCTCTAGAATAGATAGATTCCGATTTCTCATTATTCAGTCTGTGAAAGTAATGTCAGTTTCATTGCTTCACATCACTATTCAACCAGTCTTAGACCAAATGCCTCCAGCATTGTCAAGCTTTAAAATACGAATAGTTGAACTTAACAGCTTGGTATTAGAATTGACATAGCCTCTGCAAAGAGAATTCCAACCTATTCCTCTGCTCCAATGGCTCAGCCTCTCTCAAAGCGATACGGGCCATCGACGGACAAGGAACTTCACTACATGATGAACGCAAGCAATGCAAGATAGTCTTGCTCTGAGAGAAGAAGCATATGCTAAGTGCATTGTGCTAAATGAAATGAGACGGATACTGCGCGTGTAACTTCATGCTCTGGGCTTCAATATAGAAAATGCAACCACTCCGAGTTGTGCGACTCTGCCCTTATTTCTTCCGGTGGACGACCTACGCCACTGGGAGAAGCTGAGACAAGCGAAACAAGATAATGGATGGCCATGTTCGAAAGCGCCATCTTGAAGGTCTGAAAGAAGAAGGTCATCAACTGACGAGGGGGTTTGGACTGAAGGGTGCTGTCTGTGATTTAGCAAACATGCACAATTAGCAAAGATGAAAGGCTCAGAACATTGAGATTGTGATCCACTCCGTTGAATCAAAAGAACGAACTAAACCTTAAGGCACTGTGCCGAGTCGGTGGGTCGTCCAAGTTGAATAAGGTTTACCTTCGAATGTTTAATTCCATGGGCTACGAGCAACTACAGGTTCTCAGAAGATTATCGGCAACAACCATAGCTCCGCATTGCAATTTGTATACGTGTAGTGGAAAGAGCCAATACTTTGCGCGGAATCTGAAATGATTATTTACTGACCAAAGTCAATATAAACTGGCCTCGCTCTGGAGGAGTTAAGGTTAAGTACTAAGTCGACGTTGAATGAAGTCCGACTAAGGATTTTGGAGAAACTGCATATACAATAAAAACGTCTTGGCAACATGTCCGGTCGTTCCGAACACGAGTCTGCCTTGAGAAAATGTGACGCTTCGACTGGAAAAATAAGGAGCCTCAATCAAACATTCCATAAACAAACAGCTTAAATTCGGGTTTTGGAACGCTGCAGGGATTCGCAAAAGCCTATTGTCGGCAATTCAAGCCTTTTGACCCCGCTTCGTTCGCACTCGGGGTTCACTTGCGATTCCGATTGGAAGTATCTTCAATTTAAGTTTACCAAGTTTAAGATGTTCAGCGGCCAGCCCGCAGCCAACGTGGTGGCGTGCCAGCACGAGGAGGTAGGTGTTCTGCACGTAATCCTGGTGACTCGGGCAAGGAATGGATGAAAGAAATGAGAGGGAGACGCGGGATTCAGGAAGCTTAGGTCCGTTGTAACACCCAGCGGCAAGAATTCCCGCTGGCGCGCGTAATACAGACTAACTCTAAGACGGCAGTCGAAGGTCCTTGGTTGTGAGACATGAGACAAAGACTGCCCAACGTGAGATGAGGGGTCGGTGAGCTTCGATGACAGCAAGAGCACCGAAGATCCAGTCCACGACATTTCCCACAGAGATCTAACCACTTACAAGACAGGCATAACGTCCTTAGCCCGGGTCTTCCTGCTGTGTGTACTGCGCCTCGTCTTTGCCCGACGATCTGGGAGGATGGGGACATGCAGTCATACCATCCACCTCATCTCTACAGTTAGTGCTTAGTGCTCGTCTTCCACCCGCATCCAAATCAGGAAGATGCTGCTCAATCTTGTACCGTTTCCACTGTACCTGAAGTATCCACAAGGATTCCCTTTTGTCTCAACCCAGGGACCGCACTGCACCCCGAAGGTCTGGGGAGGTGTTCATCCACACTCTTGAGTCCCTACATATTTGTCTTACGTCCCCCAACTTATCGCCCTCCCTTTCCTCTCGGCAATCAAGATGTTGTCGTTTGCTTCACTCGTTTGTTTCCTGACTTTACTCGCGCATGTCTGTGCTTGGGGTCCACGTCATTCCAAACATGGTCCCCCGGGACACTATGGCGGGCGGCACAAACATGGCGCGAGCTTCACGCCAGACCATGTCCTACGGGTAACATACCAGAACGTTTCCATAGGTTGTCAAACCCGAATGTCGGTTGTTATCAATGGCACCTTGCACGGTCCCACGTTGAGACTCAGGCCGGGAAGAAGGAGTTGGATCAGGGTCTATAACGACATGAAAGAGCACAACACCACGATTCATTGGCACGGCCTCAGCATGCGAATGGCACCATTTTCTGATGGCACACCTGCAGCAAGTCAATGGCCCATCGCACCCGAGAACTTCTTCGATTACGAAGTCTACCCCCTACGATCGGAAAGTGGTACCTATTTCTACCATTCACATGTCGGCTTCCAGGCGATGACAGCTGCGGGCCCTTTGATCATCGAAGACCGGGCAGAACCTCCTTACGCTTACGATGAAGAAAGAATCATTCTTTTATCCGACTACTTCAACAAGACAGACGCCCAAATCGAGAAAGGCTTGATTTCGACACCGTTTACGTGGTCTGGTGAGACGAATGCTGTTCTCATAAACGGTGTTGGGGTATCCATCGACGAGACAGCAGGGAAAGGAAACTGCAAGCTTCCAGTCATCGACGTCGAGCCCGGAAAAACGTACCGAATGCGCTTCATTGGCGGGACTGCCCTCTCATTGGTCCAGATGGGCATTGTTGACCACGACAACTTCACCATCATTTTGGCGGATGGATCGTACACCAAACCACATACCGAGAAGTTCATGCAGCTGTCTTCGGGTCAACGTTTTGACGCTATTTTTACCACCAAGAGCGAGCAAGAGTTGATCGGAACAACTGATTATCTTATTCAGCTTGAGACCAAGGATCGGCCAAAAGTCTACCAAGGCTACGGAGTTCTTCGATACTCGAAAACCAAAGTGCAGATCAGCAAGGCACCAGCAACACCACCATTGTCGCTCTCCAACAAAACGTATGAGTGGGCCGAATACGCATTAGAGCCGCTCAAACCCAACAACTTTCCAAAGGCAAGCGAAGTGACGCGCCGCATCCATATCGATAACCGGCAGCTTGCAACGCAAACAACGATCTGGCAAATCAATGGTTTGCAATGGAACGAAACATCCTCACCATACCCTGGGGATAAACCTTACCTGATCAATATCTTTGAGAATGGTCCTTCTGCGATGCCCAATTACACCGCCGCGCTCAATAATAAGGGCTGGGACCCAACAACGTTGACTTGGCCCGCAAAGCTGGGCGAGGTAAGTGCCAACTCAAGACATAAGTTTTACAAGTTGCTTACATATTCAAGGTTCTTGAAATCATTTTGGAAAACACTGGCTCTCTTGTTAACGCCAATGGCGGCGTCGACTTCCACCCTTGGCATGCCCATGGTGGACACTTTTGGGACATTGGAAGCGGTAATGGGACGTACAATGCCACCGAAAACGAAGAGAAGTTGAAGAACTACAATCCCGTGCGCAGGGATACGACAAATCTTTATCGGTACGGCGAGAAGACAACATCAGGGTCTAATGCTGGCTGGAGAGCATGGCGGTTGCGCGTGGAAGATGCCGGTGTTTGGATGGTATGCCTTCCTCAACGATGACTATCTGAGGCCGAACATTACTGACATTTCCCAGATTCACTGTCACATTTTGCAACACATGGTGATGGGCATGCAGACTGTCTGGGTGATGGGAGATTACCAAGACATCACGGGCATTCCTTTTGTGGATGCGGCTGGATACCTGGAATACAACGGGAACGCCACGGGCAACGCCACCTACGCCCCAACTGTAATACACTTCTTTGACGAGGACGAGGAGAAATAATCCTACAAGACGTCCATAGACTAAATCGATATCCGGGGTATGGGCGACGCGGTCCCAAGGACCCCAAGAGTACAACGCAATAATCAGTCGTGGACCCGCAGCAAGGATCCTGTTTCTTTGATTGTTGAATCAGATGCGAGCGGTTGTGCACGTTTCTGGGGGGGGACTCGTCGCTGGGGTCTGTTATCCAAACGCTGACTCGCGATTGAAAACCAAATGAACTACCACGTTGTACATAAAAGACCATTTCGTGATGCTTGGCACTGTCATCCGAAAATATCTTCCGCACCGTAGTTTCTCTATTCTGCCGGCATCATGTGGCTGTCAGGTCTGCTGGTGGACTGCGCATCTAGTGCTGGAGGCATACTATCATTCCTCCTTGTTTCCGTAAGTTACCAGGCCCATGTCGTGAATGTTTACTGACGCTTGTCAGGTCTTGCTGTATGGCGCTGGCCGCGCGATCTACAACGTCTATTTTCATCCTTTGAGCCAATATCCAGGTCCTCGACTGTGGGCGATAAGTCGCCTTCCATGGAATCTTGTCAACCTCAAGGGCAGTTTAGCCTTCCGGATCCAGGAATTGCACGAGAAGTATGGACCAGTTGTGAGGATTGCGCCTGACGAGCTCTCTTTCACCAGCTCTGCCGCATGGAAGAAGATCTATGGTCAACGGTCACCGGAATTCTCCAAATGTTTCGACGGTCGTGGCATTGCTGGCCCCGGGGCAACCAATCCGGCAGTACGCAACGGCGGAATTGTCACCGCCGACCAGGAGCCCCATGCTCGGCTTAGAAAAGCAGTGTTGCCGGCTTTCAGTGAGCGGGCACTCCGCGAGCAAGAGGAAATCCTGCAACTGTACGCAAGCAAGCTTGTAGAGAAACTTCGATCATCCAGCGAAAGCGGCACACCTCAAGACATGGTAAAATGGTTCAGCCTTACTGCGTTTGATGTCATTAGTGACCTGGCATTTGGGCAAGCTGCAGGATGCTTGGACGATGCATCTCAGCCATGGTTGCAAGTCATTGGAACACGAGCCCAGGGTATTGTCAGGTATCAATTCGCCATTTACTACGGCCTCGAGAAGTGGCTAGAATGGCTCGCTCCTAAGGCCCAAAAGTTGGCCTTGAAGAAGCACGGAGAGCTCACCGCCGCCAAAGTCAAGCGGAGGCTTCAGCAGACTGAGAACAAGAAGGATTTCATGAGTTACATCTTGGAGAACCCTCAAGCTGATTTGAGCAACGCCGATCTGGTCAGAATGGCTTCCGCTTTCATCGTTGCCGGGAGTGGTACTGCGGCTACTGCCTTGTCTGGTATCACGTATTTCTTGTGCAAAAGCCCGGACAAATATGCCAAGTTGACGGAAGAAATCAGAGGCGCGTTCTCCACAGAAGAAGAAATCACGATGACTTCGACTGGAGAATTACGATACCTCAAAGCAACGATTGAGGAAGGATTGAGAATCTATCCCCCAAGCCCGAGCGCACTCCCGCGATTCGTGCCGGGTGCCGGCGAGGATATCGATGGCAAATGGGTGCCTGGTGGGGTGAGCTCATTCCTTCTTGCGTCGTCATGAAGTTGACGTCAAATACTAACGGCGTCGTTCTCATAGACTGCAGTTGGGGTTCACCAACTTTCCGCGTCTCGCTCAAAACACAATTGGACAAACCCAAATGACTTCATCCCTGAACGATGGATGGATGAGTCAAGTTTCGACAGTGATGACAGATCTGCAAGTCAACCTTTCTCATTTGGACCGAGAAATTGCATTGGAAAAAGGTGAGTATTTCGAAATCACTAAAGTCAGCTTTGCTAATTCAAGTCTCCAGCATGGCTTACGCTGAGTTGCGCATTGTCCTGGCGAAGCTGTTGTGGAACTTCGATCTTGAGCTCGTCGACAGTTCAGAAGATTGGGTGCGCCAGCAAAAGATATACCTCATCTGGCAAAAGGTGCCGTTGATGGCGAAGTGCCGCCCGAGGCTTTGAGAGATCGCTTGTGTCATAGCCATTTGCGCAGCTATTCACCAAAAGGCTATCTTGTTCTTGTAAAGAAACGATTCAATCTAGACCAGAGAATAAGAAACTGTATCGTTGGCGTTGTGGACACATTTATATCGATTTGGGTTCTAGCTCTATGTACGTGTATGCTTACAAGCAGAGCTCAATCATCATCCGTCACGGATGAAGTCTTTGTCTTTGTCCAATCTGTCAACCTTACATGACGTATGGTTGATAAACGGTTCCATTTCTAACAGCTGCATTGTACAGCTTTTTGTTAGACCTGTACAGATAGACCTTCAATCCCATGGCGCTTGCGCAGGCGATCAGGCCCATGACCATCATCATGATAAAAGCAAGCCGATATCGCGGCTCGTCTGAGTCGACAAAGAAGTAAGGTGCAATTAGATTGCCGATCTGGCCGAGGACGTTGACAAGTGCAACAGATATGGCGCGTTTTTCAGGCGTTCGTCCCATCGTGTTCGACGTCCAAGTACTGATGAGTGGGTTGGCGAAGTACATGCCGCCTACGTAGATGAATGAAGCCCCATACCGAGCACTGCGGTTCTCGGTGGCCAGGCAGATGACATAACCAATGCAGCCAAATGCGATTGGTCCAGCAAAATGATACCCTCGCTCTTTAGTCTTGTCGGAGTGCCAGGCGTTGACCAGAGATCCCGCGGCGGCGAAGATATAAGGCGGAGCTGTCAAGACAAGCGTAATGGTGTTGTTGTATCCAAATCCCCGTACGATGGATGGAAAGAAATTGGAGAAGCCATAAGCGGCTGAGATACCAATGTTCATCCCGACCAGTAGCCACATCTTGTAGTCGAAGACGCTCATTTTCAAACCTTGCCAGACTCCTGCCTTTGCCTCCGCAGTGGACACTCGATCAGCCAGAATGCGGGCAGCAGCGACCTTGCGCATGTCCTCAGTCATGGACCATCGGGCACTTCCTGTGGTAGAGTCGGGATAGTCGGGCAAGAGAAAGAGGGCAATCATCGCCAGACCCGCCCCCGTAGAAGCGAGAACAATGAAGAGCCACTGCCAGCCAGCCAGTCCATAGGACCCTTCGAGTGTTCCGAAAACAGCTGCTGCTATCAGGCCAGCTGTACAGAAAGCCAAAGTCTGACCCGTGTACAGTAAAGCACAACGCAGGGCCATTTCTTTGCGAGTGTACCAACAAGACATGACATAGATTGCCTACCAATCACAAGGTTAGCTAGGATGGCAGTTGAGATGAAAGAGGATCTTACGCCTGGGAATAGAGGAGCCTCCACGACACCTGGAATCATTTTGTGATTAATATGAAAGGTTCGTTGTCATAGAGTAGGGTGGTAAGACTTACCTAGAAAGAATCTCACGGCGATGAGACCTTCGTAGTTTTTCACTCCACAAGTAGCGGCTGAGACACCAGACCAGACCAGAGCCATGCAGCACAGGTACAAACTTGGCCGGACCTTTCCAATAATCATGTTGGATGGAATCTGGCCAAGAACGTATCTGAAAATCCATTAGGAGACTTTTATGGATTGAAAGCAAGGAGACAAGCTTACCCAACGCTCAGGATCGACACAGCGGTACCGAATTGGTAGCCTTCCAAATTGAGGTCTTCATCCAGACTACTCAAACGAGCTTGTCTAGGTGGACGGGCTCTGTTAGTGACCAAAACACAGAACAGTCAAGTTCGTGCTATGAAGAGGTGAAGCTTACGCGATAGAGGCACGATCTAGGTAGTTGAAGAGATAGAGAACCCACAAACAGGGCATCAGGGTCACATCCAAGCGCCTGACAACCTGTTTCTCAAGCTCTCTCCAATTAGGAATACCCAGAGCGTCAATTTGCTCATCTGCAGAAGGTAGAGTTTCACCTTTGCCATCACCGTCGTTGGCTTCAATAATCGAAGGCTCTTTGTGGACCTGTTCAGCCGCCTTTGTAGGAGTATTGGCTGTGCCGTGGACACCACCATCATTCTGGGAAGACTTCTCTTCAGCAACCATGGCTTATGGTGTATCAGCCAAAAGATATGAGATTCGAAAGAATTGTAGTGGAGGGGAAGTATTTCGAAGAGAAAAGGTGTCACAAGTGAAGAATATAGGAGAAACGGATGCTCTTATACTTTCAGCGTCGGCGATGACAGTCTTTGATTAGGTTACTACCATTATCTGCGTTTCTTCAGACTCCATTCTCATCGTTTCCTAGACGTTTCCCCGTGTTCCCCGCCTCCCAGGCCTCCTTTTCCCCAGACCCGCCTCCGGACCCCATTTCCTCCACCGACCGGCCTTAGCCGAGATTGGTCTCAACTCCATTCACTGCATGTTGTTTGTGGAGTTTCCTTTACGGAGTAGAGAAGGTGCAAACGACAAAGTGGAACATGTCCAAGTTGAATTCGCGAGGGGGTGTTAAGGGAGCTGATTTGGCAGAGTTTTCCGCTGGCGGACGTCTCTCAACGGCAAAGTATCCATAGATAAGCCATCGAGAACGCTCGGCGGCCTCGGCACACGTCTTTAAGAGCTGCCGAGAACACAGACTGGGCTGATGTCGCAAGACGGCAGCCGGCCCGGACTCCTTGGCCGTGATTTGGTCGGGAAAGCTCGGACGAGGGAAGCAGAGTTGACAAGGTGTTTCGGCAAAGGAAATCGAATGAGAAAGGGTTGAGAAGACATGTCGTGGAGTAAGTCAAACATCCCCGTATGACGAGTTGAGAAGCGCGGCGGGCCAAGATGGCGGGCCAAGATTACCAAGACACCAAGACTTCTTGGTGCTCGGGAGTTGCCCGAACTATGGAAGAGTGAATTGAGATCTGGCTCGATGTCGAACTTGGCGTTTAAGCTTTGAATGCGCCCAGCAGAGCCGCCTTGGAAAGTTTCAAGGATCAAACCCTTCTCTCCACAAGCCGCCTAGCATATCTCATTTTCATCGACGCCTGTCGGGAGCTATTTCAAAGAGCCGAAGGCTTCATTATTCCGGAGAATCTACGACCTTCCTTCCAAGCAGGTTAGCGGGTGTAAACTAATCATCACCTCATATTTAATTGTAGGATTGACCTGTGACACCCGATAAGTGTTTTCGATGCGGCTGATTGGCCGGACTACGCATCTCCAGGCGTACTGGTCACGGAGGCAATCAGCCTTCTGATATGACTCCCCACTCCCTGAGTATAGCGAGATGTGGACCAGATTCAGAGAAATAAGCGTTATTGCATTGTACTGCGCGGCGACTTACGACTGCGAATTCTGATATAACTTTGCACACGAGACATGATCCACAGACTAAAGATTCACCGATCGTATCCTGCCTTTTTCTCTTCCGAGTAGACTTGAGGTCGTGCCGGCTGTAGATACATTCTTGACTAAAAAGAATGAGGCTGGTAGCGGACGTACGCCGCTTGGTCCTGTTAATCAAGCTTGAACCCTGGGGATGGATTAGACCCCATTTATGGCAGCTTGGCTGGCCTGGCGTTCTAGCCTTTTGGCCATTGTTGCTAGATTCCTCGAGGCTGGCGCTAAAAATCACGGGCCCTCGAGATACCCCTTCAACATCCGAAAGTCTTATTCTTCGAACCTGCTCTCTCAACTTTGAGCAAGATTGTGGCTGGTTCTTTTGCCTTCTTTTGGAAGCTTTGACTGATTATCAGTCTAATTTGCACTCGATTCCCGGGTTGTGTTTTGGCGTTTGAGCGGCTGACGTGAACATTCCACTCACCGCAATTAAAGGTGCAGAGGAATGAACTAGGCGCAAACATGGCAACAGGCAACATTGAACAGAAGGACAACACGCCTCGTGACAACGTGGTAAGTATGTAAGCTTCTAGGCTGATAGCTTTGTCGGGGCTTGAGCACATGCAAATGCAAAAGATCAACCAAATTGCAGCCTGACGAGTCAACCTGCGTTAGGACAGGCTGCAATTTAGCGCCGTTGGAGCTTATCTTACCTTGAGCTCTTTGGATTGGCGATGGAGAACGTTGCCAACGATTCTGAGCAACTTGTTATCAGCGCACTGAACTTATTTGATACGTCTTGCTATCGGTGCATAGTAATGCGGGTTTCCTGGAAACCATTAGGAGACTTATGGGTAAAGTACCAAAGGGGTACTCTGCAGGTTCAAACACTCAATGTCCAAAACCCGGACTCACTCACTGAACAGTAACTGAATGTGCAACGGAGATACTAGACAGAATGCCAAAGTCTTTTCATTCAGCCGCAACGATCCCGTGATGCATAGCCGGCCGGGGTTCAATGAAATTGGCCGCTGCGGTTGACGCTAGAACCCAGAACGTTTTCAACCTTCTTTTGTCTTACAGCCGTACAATGCTCCGAGGCGCTTCCAGGCTTTTGTCATGAAACTATTGCTCAGACTTTGCACCTGGAACCGAGGATTCCTCCAATCTAGTGGCTGCACCAGAGCATCCTACGTCATCCAATAGCTCGTAACTAAATCCACCTATGTGTTTAGCTGAACTTTGACTTATACAACAGGCTGCAGCCACAAAATGCCAACATGTTCCCAACACACTCTGCTAGCGAGTGTGGATGGAATGGTGCGGGGTACTGAGTGAACTAAACTCAGCCTCGGCGTGCAAGGGCGCCCAGAATAACTTTGTCTTATGTCTCTCTCTCCGACGTGTTTACAGTGTAAGGCTTAAGCTGAGAAAGCTAAAAGGACCAGCCCGACCTCAAATGCCGACATCCAGACATGACGAGCTGACATCCTCACTGATCCAAGCATCTGGACATTCATATCTTTTGCCCTGACGATCATCTTCCTTGCCCTTATCTGCGGCCGATTCAAGATGGTCAGACTTTGGAACATCGTTGCTCTTGGACTCGCTGCTCTAGCGACAGCGTCGCCGCTCTCTTCGGATGTGCCTGTTGTGGACAGCCGTTCTGATTCACCCAAAGAGTCTGTCAAGGGCAACTGTTCACCAGCCTGTGGCAAGTATAACTTTGTCTTCACGTAAGTTTACCATAAGTACGAGCGAGAGCAGTGGTGGTCGGTGCTAATTTTCTACACCGTAGCGGTTTACCATGGAATCACCCGGCAGTTGCAGCAAGCGGGTTTACACCCCAGCAAGTAGAAGCCGGTATCCGAGCAGATATGGCAGCCATCGTGAAGGCTGGTTATAACATCAAGGGTCTGTGACTTCTCTGGGTGATATATGAGTTGGTGACTAACACTCTCTCAGCTGTCCTTCTTGGGCCCGAGGACGGACTGGACTTCGTCTCCAGTGAGTTGAAGGGGACGAACTGGAGAGGAGTTGGTGTTGGTTTTGGCATCCGAGGAAACCCCTCCCCTGTCATCACACGCCGTCTGATGGGTACGTGATTCCTGCGGTCGCTATTGGTGTTGCTGTGACTGACTCTTCATGAAGATATCATTCAACTGTACCGAGATGAAGAGCCTCGTTCTCGTATTCTCTTCAATTACTCGCCTGTAACATCACTTTGGGCCATCCAGCAGTACTTTCCACTTCCGACCAACTGCACCGATTCTCCTGGCAAAAACCTGGCAAGTGCTTATCTTCTGTGACGATACGATGACTCTAACATGCTTCCAGGGAATTGCGATCCGCTGCAAAGCATGCAATCCTCCGGTTTAGACGAAATACAGCACCGAGGACGGTGACTGGGAAATTAGGGCTACGTTAGATGCAGATAATCTTGAAATGATGTATATATACGCATGATATGAGTTTTTTGGGGGTCTTTTCCCTCGTACCTGCGGCATTCGTCATTGACCTCATCTCTTTCTTATTCTTTTGCTCTTTTCGTCGTTGGCTTTCACCGGTGTCTAGGTGATATGGAGTATTAGAATAACTGAAGGACCCTGAGGGCAGATGCACGTGTGAAATGAAAACTTTAAAGGGATCGGTCGTTGCTTGTGTCGTTCCTCTCAGCCGAGTGACAAAATTTCGACCTTGATGCCAAAAGACATGCTGCACAAAGCCCACGAAATCGAAATTTTTGAGTCTTACCTTCAGTCACAACTTATTTCATCTCATCGGTTCTACTTATCTCGACTACTATTTCAAACACTACCATGACTTCAATCAACGTCGAAGATTCTCACACAAAAGCCCAGATACGGGCAGAAGATATTATCCAGCCACCGCGTCCATCAGGCGGATTTCAGAAAGCCCCCCGAGAGATTCTTTTCATGATTTCGGAACTGCTGCCGATCTACTCGAAAGTCATTTCATCGCTATCTTGCAAATTCTTCTTCTGCTCGCTCTTCCCAGCTGGCAACATTCCTCGACTCGTCATGCCAGATATTGAGACATTTCTCTTGCTCATAGAGAGGGACAGCTTAGACCAGTTTGCATGCCTGAATTGCGTCAAACTTCGTCAGTTTGATCCGACCAACACCCAAGACTGGCGATCCCAGACTCATTCTCTATGCGGTCCTGCTTTCGTGGTGGCCATCTTTCGACCCCCGGTTACCGACCCTGGCGTGGATAGAACGCGCCGCGGTGAATACAGACGAACGCACAAGTCAAACCCATTTCTCTGGCGACCTCACCCATTTTCCTGCCACCCAAAGATCCCAGTCGCGGACCATAAATGGCCGGAGATCACTTTCCCTCATGCGCATCTGGTCATGAAACGACACTTCCAGGGAGTCCCTCACGGTCTTTCCATCGAGACACTCCACAAACATTACGCATTTGAGAGATATATTTCACTCAAGGGAAACATTCATCCAGACCACTTTCCCATCGAACGGCACCTGGAAACTCACTCTCCGCAAGGCAAACGATATTTTCTCCGGCCGCTTTCCGAGTTGTCACGAAGTCAGAGCAGCTCGAGCAGCACTCTGAGGACATCCAAAGCATCCGCGACACCGTGGAGATTTACACACGATTACTCAGCCAGAATCATAGACGAGAGACTTTTCATCCGTCGCTCACATAGCGTTGCGGGCCCCCGATGCTCGTTGGCAATGTTTTTGAAACTTATAGAGAGCCTTGAACTTCCCGTCTGTCGACATATACGGGCCTGCTCTACTCGACCTAAGAGGCTGAGCTGGTTAGAAGTGTACTGGACTGATTTACTCCCCCATCTTGTTTCCTTGTCACAAGTCAAGAATAAGAACCGTGTATATGCGTACGCCGACGACGGGGAGGGGTCCTGTGACACCTGTCACACCGACTACAACATAGTCACCCGAAATGGCCAGACAGATCATTGGAATTTCAGTCTAATCACCTACCACGATCTTGGTGGCTGCCAGTCTCACGATGAACCTGCTTGGCAATCCTTGACGAAGTTGCAGAAGCACTCAGGCTATCGTTTCAACAATTCTTGGAGAGATCCACCAGCCGCAGCAGAAAACCTGATAAGAAAGTGGCACTCTGCCGACAAACAAATTCTTAGAGAGGTTCAATCTCAAAAACGCCACTAGCGAGGGCATTTTTATTGGACATTTCAACTCAAGCTCCTAGTCTATCAAAGCGCCGGACGAGCTGGACCATATCTGTATTTTTATGTCTCGGGAACTCGAAAGTTCACTCAAAGGACCAACCCACTGTTCGTGGGTCAAACTAAAGCTCTGAAAACTCATTTAATCCACAGTTCCTTTGCCTTTCTGGTGCAGTACACTGCGCAGTCAAATATCGTTGATCATTCTAAAAGGATGTAGATCGGATAGGCCAATGTCACAAGCTATTCATCTGAGGCATCAAGTCCGCGATGTCTTCGCCTTCCATTAGTGCTTCACTTGAGCCCTTCTCAAGATCCGATCTGATTCCTTCTATCTTGGTCGCTGGCTGTCTGGAGGAGCTCACCCTCGTGGCAGCCTGCTTCTGCCGTCCGGCTTTCTGGAGACGGAAACAACCCAGTCTTTCTGTTTTATCTTGTCCGTTCTCTCATTCACGTGGGGGGTGGGGGGTGGGCCAGTCAGAAAAGGGTTGAACTAAGCTGAGTCGAAGTGAAAGCTGGGTCGCGTGTACACCACTCCACGGGTATTACTCCTGGTCGTATACTTCAGGGGTAACAACGGATATAACAGCAGCAAGGATAGGCATAGAGATAGCGAGAGGAAGTTGCAAGGGAAAAGTAACCGTGGAGGACTGTATGTTTCTTCGGGCTTCGCGCGCGAACTGTCGACATCACAAGATTAGAACCTTATCGAGTCGAACCCAGCCACACTCGACTCCCCTCCATCGTTGCTTGACAATGCCATCATGAGTGCTGCCATAGTGTCTTTGCGGGATTGCTCGCCCAAGTACAGCTCCATTTAGATCCGCAACATAGCTGAGCAGATTCCGAGGGCAGACAAAGCAGCGCCTGTCGTAGGTAGTTGGGTTGGCCATATGGCGCTTGAGGTAATTACGGAAGAAAAGAGGCGCAAAGGTTTCCTTGTTTGGTGAAGGTTCTTGTGATCCATGCGAATACTGCCATCGTCGAAAGTAGCTTCAGCTTTGGTGGATCTCTTCGTACCTTGGGCGCAGGCCGCATATAGGACGACGCTGGGCTGGGGCAGGAGCAAAGGGGAAATAAGAAGACTGGAGGAAAGTTTGCGTTCAGAACTTGAGGTGACAGAGGCAGGTGTCACCGCCTAGTCGCCCGATTAAATAGGTAGGCAAGCACGAAACAGGCCGCAGAAGTCCTCCTGCTGCTGCGGAACTATTTCTAGACACTTCAAACTTGTCAACTGAAAGGAGCACTCGGCACATAAGAAACGGTTCGTCAAATCCTCGTTTGATAGGGTAAGAGCACAGTTGCATCTTGATCCTTCTCTAGGTAATCTCGTGAATTGACGATTACCAAGCAAAACACCTTCCCATCTAATGTCGGGTATGATTTTGAAACATTTACAAATACGCATCAATCAACCCCCATACTCAAGCCTCACAAGCCTCCCCAGTATCCTGCGTGGTCCCCAACTTATCATCACACGCAATATCAAACCGACTCCTCGCCAGCGCATCCGACTTGGCAATACAACAGATCTATTCACGTACATCATCAGTCACTTGCTCCCCGTCACATCACACCAGAAGAATCAACTCACCCCCTTTCCAAGAGGCTTCCCGCCGGCGCCAGAGCAAATCCCGCCATCCTCGATCACCTTGTTCCCCACATCTCGGCAGAGGAAGGTCGACTTCTGGCACATGGCCACGGTGAAAAAGAGAGCGAGCGCGGTAAACGTGAGCTTCATTTTCGTATTGAAATATCAAGTGTGATGTGAGAAGTAAGAACGTATTAGAGCTCAATGATGGCGATCAACGCTTGGAAGGAAAGAAAAATGATCAACCGATACTTAAGACGAACGAACCCCAACACAACCAGCGCCGGTTCGTCCGTTTTATACACCTCGACCAAAAACCTGAGAAAAGCCAAGCAGAGACAAGCAGTTACCCGTGTCACACAGAGCTCAGAACTCGGCGGTCGGGTCGATGGAGCAACCCGGCACGACGTGCCCAAAGACGAGTCAGTCTCCCCCAGGCGAGCCACCCCGTCGGGACGTCTCAGACGTCTGAACATGAGACTTCTGAAACAATGACAACGGCGTTGGCGACGAACATGTCCCTGCCGCGACGTGCTTCTCTGCCGCAAGGCCAGCCATGATAGGGCGGCCTCGCGTCCAAAAGCCCCAGCCTCAGCGCCTCAGCTCGTTCCAGACCGTTGGCGCGCTCGTAATGCCCTTGAAATAAAGTTTGCTCCATGTCGATAGTCGCCGATCTAAACATCAAAAGTATCCGGATGATCCAAGTCGTCCGTCGTTGTTCACATACTATGCCGCCAGGGACAGTCTCGAAGAAGGGTCCAGTGACAAGAAGATGTATGAGCTACGAAACTAGCTCACGAAGACACACTGTTTATCCCGAATCCCATCCGTAAGTCCTCTCTATCAGGACTATGCAATTCCCAATGGATATCATCGTGCGGCCCCAGTGCAATCCATACCCGTACATCTATGACTGACCATAACCATTGTATACATAAGCCGACGAAACATCGACTCCAATCATGCCTCGTCGCGTCTTTGGTTGTTGTCTCTGCGACAAACTCACTTGCCGTACTGTATCGTCCGGCAAGTCTTCGCTCAAAATGACTAGGCGAAATAGCTCTTCCACAGCACACCCTCCAGGTCCTCTAGCTGTTCTGAAGTAAAATACTGCAAACGAGTTAGCCCTTGCTGCTTTGGAAGGTCACCTGCACAACATACCTTCTGGTCTACGCTCCAACTGTCCTGCCTCGTCTTCTTGAAGTCGGACAGAATGGCTTTCGTCGCCTTTCCGACTACGCCAGGGTCGCTGGCTGCGCGGGTCGCAAGGATCTGGAGAACTTCGGGCATCCATGACGGAGGCGGGGTGGCGTACGGGAACGCCTCGATGAGGGCACCCAAGCCAAGGACAGCAGCGTGGCGGCGGACGATCTGCTTCGTCGTGTCGACAGGCGTCTCGGTGCCCGGAAGCTTTCGCTTGGGCATGGGGTTGAGTCGAAGCTCGTCCTCGTATCTCTTCTTCAAGACTTGAATGGTGGGGTCGCGAATACGCTTCGGCGAGCACCTGATCATGCCGGCCAGGGTGGCAGATGCGCAAGAGCGAACCTCGAGCTGAGGATCCGCCAACATGTCGCTCACAGCGTTGAACAAGACGTCCCGCTGCTTCTTCTCGATGAGAAACAGGCGACGGAAGTAAATCACTTGCATGTTGACCATAGACCGCAGACGTTGGTGCCAGCTCGTGGCGGTTTTGCCAATTCGCACCAAGGCATCGATGAATGCACCGTCCTCACCAACACGGAAGGGGATGTTGGGCAAGTGGCGGTAGACGTGATAGGCAAGACGCATCAACTCAGGGTCCTCTTTGACATCCATCATGTGAAGGAGCTGCTCCATAAACGGCTCCGGGAAGAATGGCATCAGCTGCGTGCACTCCTGAGAGGATAGCGTGCTGTCTAGCCAAGTGAGTACGGTCTTTGACCCAGATGTGTAAGATGACGGCGTTTGCTGGCCCGGAGTGCGTTCGTGACGCCACTTCTCGAGACGGCCAAAGGTGTCAAGGATGGTCGCGGAGAAGGCCTCAGTAGGTTGGTATGGGCGAATGCCCAAAGACGAGGCTTCTTGGTTCGCTTTCAACAGAGCGTCGACACTCTCGAAGGACTCGTGGTATCTCGTGCGGTAAATAGTAGCGATGACCCTGCCCATAGCCTCTCTTACTGTCTTATACGGATGATCGATGTGGGCAAGGAAGTCCTCCAAGATCGGCTTTTCATGGCGGTAATGCCAACCGGCATCGGTGATGATAAACTCCAGCACCTGCACCTTGCTCGATTCCTTGAAGGCAGCGTTGGACGACATGTCGAGCCTGAAGGCGCTGAGGTTGTTGACGAGTTCGTGTGAGCGACGAGGATCCTTCGGGTCGACGGTAAGGTGCAGACAAGACACCCAATATTGGAGGTTCTCAGGGGTGAGATCCTCGTTGAGAACCTTCAGCATCAGGGGTGCAGCGAAGCCCCAGACCTTGTTGCGGAAGTCAGGCGGATCATCGCTGGAGCCAGCCATCAGTGCTGCCAGAATCTCTGACGTCGCTCGGTGTTGATGCTTGTCACTGCCGTCGCCATACACCTCCATGGTGAGCTCCTTGACATCGTCTAGTGTGATGGCCGTTCCTCCATAGTGCATCAAGTCGAACACGTGCATCAGCATATAGACGTTGCCCATGCGAAACCTATCAGCGTTTGCATCGCGCGGTTCTTGCTTGAGGTAGTCGAAACAGGTCTTCAACCACTCGCGAGTGAGCATCTTGCCGATTTGCTCCCGAACAGCGGCTTCTCGTTCATCGTAATCGGTGAAAGCCATGGGCTTTGCGCGCGACGCGAGGAACTTTTTGCCCCAGACCAACCAACCTGGATGATCTGAGTCGACCATATACTCCGCATTTTCTGGGGTGGCAAACGCATCTAGGTATTTGTCGGTGAATGCCTTGTCGCCTTTCGTTACCTCGATCGTCAACTTGTTTCGGTCCTTCTCCTTCTCAGTCAGGTAGTTGCGGTAGTCATGGTCGTAAGCGGCTCGCATCTCCACTGCCTCGAAAACCGAAGTGAATGCGGACATGTAACTAGCACGGAGGCCTGGGTGGCTGTCGTTTGTACCTTGCGTAACGAGGGTGATGAATTCGGGGGGCGCCAGGGTGTCGAACCGCAGGCACAAGTTGGTTGAAAAGATGACGCAACGAGACGCGATCTTCCAGTGCGCCTCCTTGGCGATCTGGGTCAACTCCAACCCCAAGGCGGCCTTTTTCTTTTCGACACGTTCACGACGCTGAACAATGAAGTTGTGGCGGCTGTCAATGGCATGGGAACAGTCGTCTGACGGGCGGATCTGTTCCACGAGGTCCTGATTGACGATGATCATGCGCTCAAAGGGCTTACCAAAATCCAGAAGGGGGAACAGCGCCGTAGCTCCGAGCTGCTGGATGCTAGGCTTGTCGATCGTACCCGCCTTCAGGTAGAGCCGCATGGCCTCGGGAGCGAACCTCCAGTCCTTGAGGATAGTCTTGAGCAAGGTGGTGAAGAAGAGGGTGTACATGGCACCCTTGATTCGATCGTGGTCCACTTGGTCGAGAGCGACACGAAGCCGATCAATGAGGACGGGGATAACCAGGGGCCTTCCCCCGATTAGCGCCTTCAGCGAAGAATCCAATGCACTCTGAGCAACCCGACGAACATCAGCGTACGACGACACCGCCGACTGTGCCAGGTTCAACAAAAGCCGCTTATCCAGCTCGCTCTTCTGTCTCGCAGATGCGTTGTGCTTTACGCGTAGTAACTGATACGCGTCCGCTCGCTTGATTAACAGGGGACGCGGATAAACCTTGCGCAGACCGCTGATCTTGAAGGCGGAGATGTCCGACTTGTACAGACGGAGATGTCTCTCGAGAGGGTGGGCGGACCGCTCGATGCCAACGTCGGTGATCCATGTGCGGTAGGCGGCGTAGAGCGCGGTGAAGCAGGAGACATCGTCTTCCTGATTCCCGTTGAGGAAGTCGTGAGTCCTGCAGAGTAACTGGCCGACATCCTCTCTCAGCTCATGCAGCTTGTGATAAGCCGGGTCTTCCGTGGTGAGGAGGTAGCCAGCATCGTACCGGTACTGGGGTCGTGTCTCCTCATCCTCGGCAGCTTCAGCGAGAGGGTTGTCGTCGTCCATAGGAGTGTCGCCGTCCCCATCCTCCCCAGGTCTGTCGTTGCTCGGGCTCTCTCCGGATGCGCGATGGGGGTCGAACAGAGTGGCAACGCCGGAGATTACTAGCCGGATCTGCTGCAGAAGTCTTGAGACCTCGTCGGACCACTCCTTGTTCTTTCCCTTACGACTGACTGGCGGCTTCTCACTCATCAGGGAGTCCAACTTGTCCGCAGCAGCTTTGGTTTGCGAGTCGAAGAGTTCCACCGCGAACTGCACCTCGCCTGCCGATGGACGGTGCCACTTGATCGTCAGATCGGCTGGGGAAGTGGTCTTGCCCCAATCCTTGACGTCGAGGCCTCGCTTGATCACATCCGGCTCATACAGGGCGCTGTCTATGGGGTAAGTGTGCGTCAAGTTGAGTAGCAAGTGGTGGATGTAGTTGGAGATGTGAATGGTGGGAAGTCCGCGACACTTTTCTTGCATGTATTTCGCAATGTCATGGAGCTCAGTCTGGTATTTCAAGACCTCGTTGCCGACATGTACGACGGTCATGCCGAGCATGCTCACATGCCACACGAGCGCACGGTCTCTTGGAAGGTAGTCTGTACCACTGCTTCTGTCTGATGCGGCGTGGTTGTAGTCAATCTCGTTGCGGATGTTCACAATGAGCATTGGGATGAAGACTTTGAGCGTCTTTTCCGGGTTCACCTTGCACAGAGCGTTGAGAATCCAGGCCATCGCATCTCTTGCCTGGTGAACAACATGTGTTGAGACGAATGATGAAAGCTTCTCGAGCGCAGTGTCAAACAACTCCGGAGAGAGTGATGCAAAAAGAGGAGACAGCGCCGCGGGCAGGGCGTTGATGACATTGTCCTCCGGTGTTCCTCCCCTAATGTGGGACGCGTCTGGGAGATTCTCCAGCAGCGTGAAAACCTTGCCGAGAAGAGCGATGACGAACTCCCCAAGGCCCGCGGTCGACGATCTCAGGATGTTCGCCTCGTCTTCGTCGGTGATTTCGGTCTCGTAATCGAGCTTGATATCCTGGCCCTCGCGCTCCATGCGCTCCATTTCGCCTTGGACCCACTGCATGGCCAAAGTAGTGTCGTGAACCGAATCCCCGTCTTTGACCAGAGGAACCATGGGAATGCTGTAGGCGACACTCTGGAAGAAGTTAAGGGTGTACTGTGTCTTGCCCAGATCGTTGGCATCGATACCAGGGAGGGCCAGAGCCAGCAGAGCGGTGATATGGCACCTGAAACCCTTGGTCTTGGACATGACGTTTGCAATCATCTGCAACCCGTTCAGACTTGACGTTGTACGGTGAACCTCGACCAGGCCCTGCAAACTGGGGTAGAAGCGCTGCAGAGCACCCGGCAAAATGAGATTGGGCTCCAGGTAGGCCAGGCCCTGGAGAGAGGCGTAGTAGTAGTGGGCAACCCTGTTGCTCTTGGAGAACAGACCCATGTAAGTGACCTCTTTGAGCGCAGTGACGAAACGCTGCTTGAGAGCAGGGGTGATCTTGCGGTCCTCCGGTGTATCGAGCTCGCCGCTCTTCTCCCTATTCCAGCGGGAGACAAAAATGTCAGTCAGATACACGGTGAATTGGCCCAGGAAGGTCGTCCAAGAACCGGCGTTGGACGGGTGGTAGAAGGTGTCGATGGCCTCAAGAAGTCCCTCGAGACTGGACAGGATGGAGCTCTCCTGCTCGAGGCACTTGGGCGACAGGGAGTAGACGATCCAGCGCGCGATCATGTAGGCCGTAGGATACTTCTTCTTATCTTTCTCCAAGTACAGACCCAAGCCGGAGGAATAGTCCAGCGTCGAGTATGGCGAGTTGGACTGGCCCACGGGGATTTCGGTCAGGCGCAAAACGGCCGTGAAGATCCATTCGGACTGCTCCTGAGTGAAGATGCCATGGGCGTCAAAAGGGGTGTGTGACGACTGCAGAAAGTCCCTCGCCATGCGGGAGTAAAGGTCGATAAAGAAGATGTCGAAACTCTTAGACCGGGCGATTAATGACCACAGATGGAACAGTGTCGGCATGAACGATTGCGGCTGGGAGCAGGGGACGTTCTCGGGGGCCGAGTCCGTGGGTAGCAGAGCGTTGATGGTACCGACGACGATGTAGGCATTCGACACGTCCGACGTACTGAAGTAGGGCAAGAACTCGTCGAGCATCTCCTTCCGGTCTTTCGGGTCGAAGTATGTTTGGGCGTGGAGACAAAGCTTCCACAGCTGCTTATGCGATCGACGGCGATTCGTCTGGTGGGATGCCACTTCAGAGGGCAAAACGAGGGCCTTGATCTCACGCCATAAAGGACGCCAGTCGAGCAGCAAGTCATCGACAGGCTTGAGGTAGTGGTATTTCCTGCAAGGCAGCATCGTTAGCGATCAGGGACCGAGGCGGGTAAAATTGACGCCAAGCAAGCGCGGCAGCAAGGTACGAAAAGAGGCAGACGAAGGAGCAGGAAAGCAACTCGCAATGGCAACAGAGAGAGGCGTACCTAGTGAGCACAACGACCATGCGCAGAAAACGGTCTGCGGTACTGGGATCCAGGCCAGGAGCCAAGCACAGGTGGTAGTAGAGCTTGGCCAAGGTGGCGCGGAGCTCTCTGGTCATCTCAAACTTCAGATTCAGCCATCCCTGAAGCTCTCTGGTCCAATGCAGAGCGCCTGGGCTGAAGTCTTCGGCCTTGATGGCGATGTAGAGGTGTTTGAGGATACCTGCGAGAGCAGCATCGCGTTGTGACTCCTCCTCGACGGGAAAGGGGAGGTGGTTGAAGTAGCTGAAGGTACGGGGGCGGTAGCGCTTCTTGTCATCCTCGTCCGCCTTTGTGTATGGGGGACCGGGGGAGTTGGATCGGGAGATGGTATCGACGGAGGCGAAATGGCTCGAGAGGAAGTGGGCTGTGGATGCGGCCGAGAGGACGGCAGCATGGTTTGAGGGCAGCGACCCCGGAGTGTCGTCCATGATGTGTGAAGGTATGCGGGCGACGAGGCCGCGGTATTTCTCGCAACGGGCGAGAGCAGCGGAGGGGTGAAGGAGGAGGACCGAGCGGAGGGGTAGCGATCGAAATTCAAGATCGAGGTCGGCGGTCGCGTGGTCGTGCGGTCAGGGTCAGGGTCGCACAGGTGCAGGATCGATCGAGCTCCCGCTCCCACGCCGGCTGCGATGGTTCTCGACGACGGGCGGCCGGGAGGGTGGAGGGAGGATTCAGATGCCGTCGGTCGCGGGGCGTCTGTTGATCCGGAGGCGATTGATGACGTGAATGGAAGACGGAGCAGGGCTGTATGGTATTCGTAGATGATGATGTCTTCTCGGATGATGGTGATACTGCTGCTGCTGACGACACGATTCAAAGGAAATAGAAATCGCCAATGAATACACGTAAAGCAGTGTGTCGGGTCTTGCGTCTGACCTCGCAATGGGTACAGAAAACAGGACGGCGGCGGGGGATGCAGCAGAGAGAAAAGAAAAGATGTTGTTGGATGCGGCTTTGATCAAATACCAGCCGGTCGGGGCGGACAAGACACTGGACACTGAGGTGGAAGGACACACACACGCACACCCGACACCTCAGGGCCAGGCGGAGAGGAGAGTGATGATGCAGCAGAAAGCAGCCTGGGCTTCACCTTTGCTGGGAAGGGCTGGCTGGAAAAGGGTACTTTTAATGAGCTTTGCAAGATGTACATTTCCACATAAAGTAGGTGCGACAATACATGTTTTCCAAGTCTTCCATGGAGCAGGCGCTAAGCTTGACCTCTTCTTGGCTGCTGTGGACAGCTAGCTAGGGGATTGCTTACAGCGAGTGAGAGGTGTGAGGTGTCATACGCATGCTCGGCAGCCTTGCCTGGAGCGCCCCCTAAGCAGAAGGAAGGAAGGTCCCCTCCACGTCCGGTGTCGTGCCTGCCTCCCCTCAATTGCCCCACTTTCCCGCCTGCCGGCTCGATATTTTAGTGGCTGCTTCCAACACCTCTGGTCCTCAAATGGCAGCTGCACCACCAGAGCTCCTTCTCCTTCCGCACCATTCAGCCGCCATGAACGGACTTGTATCTTCTCACCCATTTGAAGCCTGAGAGTACTTAAGACCCCACCTCACCTACAGATGCAGCCTTCATCACATTCGTCTTGACCAGTAGAAGCCATCACCAACAGAAAGCAAACACCATGAAGCTCCCATCACCAACAAGTCAGCATCATTTCGTTTGTCAGTCCGGGTTTTCACTCAGCGTCTTTAGGAGCACACGGTGTTTCCTCCGCCACAGAATCATCGATGAGAAAACAAGACACTGCGCCAAATGACCTATTTGTTGACCTCCCACAACATCAGCGATGCAGCTGCTTCAACGTCTGCATCTGCATCCCGAGCTCGTTCCAACGTCCCGTGATCGCCAGAATACACGTCGTATTGTTTCCCCTCCCCTCCCACGTTGCGACCAGGGCCAACCACCCGGCCGCCACGAGGCCACACATAACCGCCCCCATCTTCCAACACGTCCCAACGCTGCGGCTACCTGCATTTCCAGTCGTATTTCCATCTAAAGACCTTCCCCTTCCGATTCTCAAACACTATCAAGGTAATGCTTCACCCAACCTGCCTCAGAGTCTGCTCACTCCCTCGAGAATCCGCTGATTAGTCACTTTTGACCGGACCACCCTCGGACCACGGGCGGGGAACCGGCCGAACACTCCCGGCAGCACCTCCCGTCACCTGCACTGGACCCGACAAGGACAAGGGTGTGGCCAGTGCTTTTCTCAATTCTTTCCCTTTCAGCTCGCCGAAGGCGGAAGCCAAAACGACGCAATCATCCGCATCACCAGTCTCGGAATTCCCCCCTCGTTCTCTTGAACCATCACAGCCAAGCCGTGTTTCAAGTGTCACCGTCGACGGCCACCTGAGTGATGGCCGCGTTTTCTCTCTCTGCCTGTTTCTGATGTTTCTGATCTGTGCTGCCCCAACATCGAAGCCAGGCCTGGAAACTTCCATCCAAGAGTGATCCCTCACTTGACACCTCCGAGAAGGATTCCTACGTTCCTGTCAGGTCGCCCCAAAAGTCGCAGGGTCCAGAAAAGGGGTCCCCCACGTCCGGTACTTTATCGTCCTTGACGACAAGTGCCGGCCTGTCTCCAAATTTTAAGCAGTGACAGCATGCATCATCGCCCTCGGCCGCTGCTTACAGGTACATCATTACGTTTGCTCTGTTTTCAGATACTGCAATTCATGTGATGGGAATCTCCTGTGGGTTTGCGCTTAATTGGAAACCGCATCCATCTCAAACTTAGGATGACTTGGACATCGTCACGTCAGAATGCTAGCATCCTAAAATCTATGCTAGAACAATATTCAACTACTCTCTCATCACCATGCTTACTCTCACCAGATTCATACTTTACCAGTCAAGCATCGCGAAAAGCGTTGCATCTGAGCCCCGATCACTCGGCGCCGAGCCCGCAGCGCCACGCCGCGCCGTACCCGGGTTCAATCGGGCCTGCCGTTGAAAGTTTTTCTCGACACCTCACCAGGCATTTCCGTCTATTTCCATGCCATGGATGCCATTAATCCCAATCATTGCGCAACGTACAAAGCCCAGACCACGTCGTATCTTTAATAAATAGCACATAATCATACGAGCTGCCTGCTGCGTCTCCCGAATACCAGCTTGCTGGCGTGACCCCCAACTTGGCACCACAAAATCCATCAGCTGACTTATCCATCCCAACCCACGTCAAATACAGGGCACATCCCGAAACAGGTCCAGCTGCAGTGACGTCGATAACCTCACCACCACGACATTTTTCCAACAGTGGAAGCAAGCTGAGATTCCATCTCACTCTCCTCGGCGCAAACTCAGAAGCCACATCACACTCGTTCAATGCACAACTCATCAACATGGCTGCCATAGACGAAGAAGCAAGTGAGTGTTGCAGAATTCCTGTCATCTCACCATCCACCAACTAACTAACTGTCTCAGACCTGTCAAAAACATCAACCCGGTCGGTAGACCAAGGCCATCAATCAGACGACCCTCCCCAAAATGCCCTCATGGCAACCCTCTCTCGAACGCGGAGCCGCACCAACACTCTTCTCGAAAAGGTCTCCCTCCGCGAGCGCATCCACCATTTCACCTTCGCATGGTACACCCTAACGTGAGTCCGCCCCGACCCGGTGCTTCCGCTCCGGCCCTAGGCCCAGCCCCGCTCCGGCTCCGGCTAACCCCACTTCAGGATGTCCACGGGCGGAATTGCCCTCCTCCTCGCCGAAACACCACACCGCTTCCGCGGTCTCGACACCATCGGCCTGATCGTCTTCCTCCTCGACATCGTCCTCATCTTCCTCATCACTCTCACCCTCTGCCTCCGCTTCTCATTCTTCCGCAAGGCACCCGCCAAAGCAATCACCCACCCGTCGGAGTCCCTTTTCATACCGACCTTCTTCCTCTCTCTCGCCGCCGCCCTCTCCAACATCCAGCACTACGGCGTTCCGCAATGTGGGCCCTGGCTAATCGTCACCCTTCGAGTCTGTTTCTGGATCTATCTCATCGTCACCTTCTTCGCCTCCGTGGGCATGTACCACCTCCTCTTCACCGGCCGCCGACGACTCTCCCTCGACAGCATGACCCCAGCCTGGATCCTCCCCATCTTCCCCGTAATGCTCACAGGCACTCTGGCCGGCTTCATGTGCCGCTCTCAACCACCAGACCAGGCAGCAGCCATGCTCGGCGCCGGCCTCGCCGCCCAGGGCCTCGGGTTTCTAGTCTCGGCATTCATGTACGCGACGTACCTCTCCCGCCTGATGACCATCGGCCTCCCCGTCCAACGACCGGGCATGTTCATCGCCGTCGGTCCACCAAGCTTCACCGCTGCGGCTCTGGTCTCCATGGCCGCCGACGTGCCCCGATTGATCGCCTCCGAAGGCTCCCTCGTCTCCGACTCCCTGCGATCGGCAGCGTACCTCACCGACATGGAGAACCCGGGCACAGTCGCCTTTGCCGTCCGCGCCATGGCTCTCTTCAGCGCGGTGTTTCTCTGGGGCCTGTCGTTTTGGTTCTTCTCGTCCGCGTGCCTGTCTACGCTGTTTGGCATGCCGGATCACTCGTTCCATCTCAGCTGGTGGAGTTTCGTGTTCCCCAACGTCGGATTCACCATCGCCACTATCCGAATCGGGGAGGCGTTCGGGAGCGAGGGACTCTTGTGGCTGGCCACCGTTTTCACGATTTTGCTGGTTGCTGTTTGGCTCTTCGTCGGGTTCTGCTGCGCGCGGGCGGTGGTCCGGAGAAAGCTCGTCTGGCCTGGCCGCGACGAGGACAGCGATTAAAAGTTTGACATCTCAGAATTCCCGGTTCCAACTGCATTCTGGACCTTACTGGTCCGCAACCTTAATCAAGACGGCAAAATAGGCGTCGTCGACTTCGTTTTAATCGTTAGACATTAGACTTTAGACAGAATACCCCGCCTATGGGCACAATAGAGGACGAACTTGAAACGTGGAAATAGGAATTGGACTTGGTTGATTTGTATCACGGTGATGGGCTTCGATCTAGGTAAAAGAAACTTAACTTCCAACGCGTGAATACGTACAAGAACGCTCTCTTCATCACAAGAATCGGAAGCCAGAAAGAATGGCGAGATGACCTGAACATGATGCCCAAGACGCCACTCTCGTAGACTCGATCCAGTTCACTCTTTGGGACCATTTTGGCCTGTTCTAATGTACAATCTGGTTGTGCTGTAGTTGATCCCAAAGTTGCGGTTGGGCTCAAAGCGCTGCTACCAACATTCAAGCCAGATATTCCTCGCCATAGGTTCATTTCCGTTTACAGGCTTACCAGCCGGCGTGAGAATGGGCACAGTGCCGTACGTATTGTGCACATCGAGATTTATACGTCTGAGTACACGTTGCTGTTTAGGAGGTCTTCGAGCTTGGCTTCTCACATTTTCCTTGGACCTCGAGTCACAATAAACTCGGCAGTCACATCGAGGATGCCACTTCTCGCCAGTATATCGATAAGAATGTTGCCCTCCTCGCAATGCAAGTGTAGCCTCAGCCGTAACTTGCTGCAATTGTCTCCAGGCGGTCCAGGCGGTCATACAGGCGGAAGAAACATCGTAGGTGAGATCACAGTATAAGAAACCCTGACCTGCCAGCGGCATCTGTGTTTCGACCGGCGCAATGAATCTTCCGTCGACCAATGCGGCACCTCTTGCAAAGGAGTGGCTCGCGGGTGTTCTCGAGAGCTCCTTGTCGTTGCCTACATGCAGCAAACGTCTTGTCTATAGAAGATGCTGGCTTTCACCCACCGTTGCAAGCTTCCTCCAAGAGACCATGAGAAAACTATGCAGGTCCTTCGCGATGTTGACTTCTTGAGCTTCATAAAGAAGAGTAAAGCTATGTTTCCTGGAAACCTTGGGTGATACGGCTGGCCTTGCGGACTTTTCCATCAGCATGCCATCAGATTCAACTGGATCAGATGCCCCGATTCAGCACATAGCCATCAGCAACGTCAAGGGGCCTAGAACCTCTCAATAGTTGCAAAAGCCATTCCTGACGCCGAGTTTCTCATCAGATGCAACAGTTGCCCCAAAATTGTGTTACTAGATATGATTACTGTGGCCCTGGACTACAACTCAGCGCACAATACTTGTCCATCCCGATCACTCACTGAACTTTAGTTAGATAAGTGAGAGGTTTGAGACGCTCCTTGAACCTTTGAGTTTAAATCGAGTACCTCCCCGTGCACTTGGGAAAGCAGAAAGGACGGAAATTGTTCCTTCATTCCGTTTATGTACCCTCTGAGCGGAATGTCAACCAACTAAGTAGGTAATGAGTACGAAAGACAGATTATCATAGGGTGTTTGCAGTACAGATGTCAGAGGAGGGACAAGGTGGTGGAACTGTTGATGCCGTTGAGAACGACCTGTTTGTGATAATACTGGTCTTGTCCACTCTCAGCATAAGTGGTTCGACCTAAACGCGCTGGAAATACGTATTGCTTTTGACTTAGGTCTTTACGAATGTGATTGGCATCAGAGTAGCTGTCGTTCACATCTTGATCTGGCACTACCAGTATCCAGAGGTCTTGACAAGTCGAGGAATACCTATCCCAGCGACGAGCCCAGATGTCCATGCTACTATGATGAAAGCCAATGACAACAAACGAGTAGTCTCGTAATGACTTACAGCCTACGCGATTAAGACGTGACTTTGGCTCTGACGGCACGGGAAGACGATGTGTTGTCAGATATCTATCATGCTAATCCCTACGACAAAATCAAGGCCTTATTGAAACCAGTGCAGATGAGAATATGCGCCGATGCTAAACATGCTTGCCTCCTAGCTGCCAACTGCGAGCGACGTGTCAATTCATCGTGCCGTCCATCTATCATGTCTCGAGTCCGCGTTGGGGCCTCGTCCCATCACTGGAACCTCGTCATGATGAGGGCGATGATTAAGCACCCATCCAGACGTTCCTCGAAATCTCCAGCAAACAAACTTCACTCATCAGAAATTGCCCACATGGCATGACTTCTAGCTTTTCTTGGCATGAATATGACAGAGAACACATCTGCCAGCAATGCGTGACATCATCCATCATGCCTCGACCGCATAGCTTCAGGGTCCCGAGCTCATGTTTTGAGTTTTCTTTCGACCCTCGATGCCAAGGCAACAAGAAAGGGTCCACGCATCTTCCAGACTTTCCGGTGTTGTCACTCAAAAGTTGCCATCCCATATCATCTAGACGTCAATCTCTGATAGCTAATCATGGGACCGAACTCCCGTCCCAACAAAACTCTATTCAACCACATCTCTCGTCCATGACCAGGGTATCTCACGCAGGCGGCAGGAAGGAAGCAAACAAGGCTCCCTGAATCAGAGCATACATGACCGAAAAAGTCACAACCTTGCCCCCGAGGCCCCTCTTCTCGTCGTCCAAAAGGCACCCGGCAACCCACCAGTACCACACGGCGTTTCCCGACGCGATCCTCGTGATAATCTGCACATGGTACGTGGTGATCGCCAAGACGGCAAGCAGGACTTGGGACGCAGCGAGCGACAGCACCACAATCTCCCTCGTCGACATGGCGCCATCATCCCTCCGAGCACCCTTCCCGCCGTGCTTCTCCGCCGTCGCCGCCGTCGGACTCCGCCCCAACCCCGAAGGCCTCTTGAGCACATCCAACCCCGACACGATCAGCAAAGCCAACACCGGAGAGGCCAAGGCAAAAAGCGGAATGTTGCCTGGCGTCCAATAGCGGAGGAACCCAACGCCCCTAGACTCGGTGATTAGCAAACCTTTCACCGACAAAAAAGCACGCCCACCCGTAAATCTCCGCAAGTACCGAACGAGTACCTCGAAATGTAACCACGAGTGACGAAATAGGGCTGAGAAAACATACCAGTAGTGGTCCTGGACGAAAGAGTAAACACCGGGCACGGTCCGCCCGCACCACACGCGCGCTTCGGATGCGCCGGAGCAGTACCGCAACCAGGCGAGGTACTGCGGGACGACGGACCCCATCGCCACGAGGACGCCCGCGACGCCAGGCGCCAACAGAGCCGCGACGGAGTCCTTGACGCCAACGACGGTGATAGGGCTGGCGAGCAGGTTGTGCAGGACGATCAGACACTCGGCCGCGAAGGGGATGCCATTCAGGAGTCCGTTCGAGCGGACGGCTGTCGCGAGGCCGAAGACGGCGCCCGCAGAAATTTGGGCCGCGGACCAGGGAAGCGAGCCTCTCGTTTTCTCCGAGGCCGAGATGAGAATGAGGTAGCCGGTGAAGGTCAGGAATGCGAAGGAGCTTTCTGCGTAGGGCGCCGACAGGAAGAGGCCCGCCGGAGAGATGATGTGAAGCAGAGCCGAGAGGAACGCCAGTGATTTTCGGTGGAAGAGGCGTAACGTCAGATGGTGCAGCATCAGCACGGCGAGGAGATGGGCCGTGTGTGCCATGACGATGCCGAAGGCCGCTTCCAGCGAGCCGAAGCCATCATCTTCGAAGCCCAGAAAGCGTGCACCTCTGGCGAGAGCCGACGCGGCAGAGGGCAGGACAGCATTGAATGCCCATTCCTGCTCGAAAAGGTAGCCTCGTCGGGCTGATTGGGTGAAGTAGATGGCGTCCCAGCGTGTAAGGCGGGTTACTAGCGATAGGTCGGACTCGTTGCGCCGGAGCATCAGGGTCGTCGAGGTGTCGTACGAGGGCGCTATGGCGCTACCGAGGGCAATGGCCAGCAGAAGCCCTTTCCAGGCCAGAAAGGCCGTGATCAGGGTCTGTCGTGGGTGGGAGGCATGGCGGGCGAGCATGGCTTGGTGTGGATGACGTCGGACGAGGCCGTTGGCGATGGCGATGGGCGGGAAGGTATGCCGAGACCCAGACGGTCGGTGAATCGGTGAAGTATGTCACCGGCGGACGAACCCACTGGAAAGATCTCCACCAAAACTGACAAGGAGAGGGAAAAGTTTGACTGTTGGTGCCGCCGTCTTGGTGGATGGACCCTGAGCTCAGTGTGGTGTCACTCACTGCCGCTGCAAGCTGTGAGGTTATCGGAGTTGAATTGAGTGAGGTGGGAGCCGCGCCAGGACAAGCGGCGCCACCTGGCCAATGGAGAGCTTGGCGCACGGAGCAATTCAGGACCGTGGGCCGTTTTTTCTTTTTCTTTTCTTTTTTTGCCAGTGTCTGCCGAGCCGGAGTTCGGGGTCGGTTCCAAACCAGGCCGGCGGGTCTCGCTCGATCTGATGGACCTTTGAGATATTTTTCCAACTTTTTTCTCTCCCTTTCTCAGCCCTCTTTTTTTCTAGAAGCGTTCCAAGCGTCCGTTTCGGTGGAAAGAGCCGCGGATTGTGGATTCCACATGGGACGGTGAGGGAAGCCTTGTGGGCCAGCCGGGGGGTCACCATTTGCAGGCGCCGGGATGCTAATTAGCGGTCGACACGGGCAGGGCGCTCAGTGGACGAACGCCCCTGGTGAACCCCTCTCGATTCCAGCCTCCAGCATTGAGCAGATCCTCCTTCAACCTCCTGGCCCATCTCATTCTTCATCTCCCGCACAGCCGTGATCGCGATAGAGACTCACGGCCGGTGAGCTGTGGCGAAGTCTGACCAGAAGGCCACTCAGGCCCACTGAACAGGGCTCGATGGCCCATGTCCACGGTCCAGGGCTGAGGAACGGGGGGTCTCGAGGGGCTGTTACAGGAGGTCATCCCCTGAATTTGGTGCCCCGGATGCCCCTGAAGATGAGAATCACGTTCCATTCCAGCGATGAGGAGTGAGAATGCTGGTAAGGGGAATCTCATTAGAGATGTGCAAGCCAGCACAAAACACAGCCCCTCAATCTCCATCTGGGGCTGTGAGAGGGGCATGGACGAGGCTGAAATTGTGATGAGAGGTACTTGCGATATACCTGCGTCATGGTTGTCAAAAGTAAGCACAAGCTATTCGTGTCTTTTAAGAAGACCGTTATCAAATCTTATCCCATGATCCAGTGAGATGGCATGCCACCAACAAGCCCCCAATGGAGGGACAGTCTACCTCAGACTACTTGCCCTAGGGATGCAGGTGAGCCACCAACTTTACCAAGAGGGTCTACTCCCGGTAGATCCGCTGCAGTTGGTGGGATGGAGACGGGTGAGTGGATGAATCAGAGCAGCGTATTCCAGATGCCTTCCGTCCTGTCATTTAGGAGACCCCGACGGGTAGATGCCATGTGCAGGTACGATTGGCAAAAATGATGGCTGAGAAGTGATGAGAGGCGCATGAGACGGGAGTGAGTGAGTGTGTGATGAGTGAGATGATCCGAGAGGTGAGGTGCAGTCCAGGTCGCGACTTCCGCCCCGTGAGGTGACTTTCCCTGTCGAGAAAGGAAAGTCGGCCCCGATGTTGCCCGCAACGCGCAACGGCATCGGGACGGAAAGAAGCACCTGCCGGACTTCGCAGCTTTCACCGACCAGCAGGCAGGAGCTCCCCTCTCCCGGCATGCCTTCCATGTGCAGCTCACCTTTCCCATCGACATCCAAAGTCTGCAAGTGGAGAACGAGAAAGATCTTCCTGCTGCAACTTCCATAGGTTGACATCGGAAGGCACATTCCGAGATATGCAGCTACCTACCTAGGTACTGAAGTACGCCCTTTGTACGACGGCGGCATGAGCTCAGGCTCAAGCTTACATCCTCACATCCTCAACATCGACACAGCCGAGGCGTTCACGGCCATCCGGCTGCTCCCAGCTGGAAACAAACTTGGCTGCAACAAATCATTTTGTTTCACATGGCCCTCCTTGCCCCGCGCTCCGTACGGGTACAGCTCGCAAGCCTGAACACTGAATCGACGAACCCTTCTCCGTCCGAATTCTGCTTCTCGCCGCTGCCCTACGGGCGACGAGAGCACACTTGCTTCGCGGAGGACCTTACTTCGTCGCAACGTCTTCCTCCCAAGTGGAGGCTCTGAGACGACCAAGAGACGTGACCAGTCTCCGTTTAAGCTTCACGCCCGAGGAAGACCCTTCGCCGACGGGGAACGTCACCAGACAACCATCGGCCCCTCGTGGATGTGTCTGTTCGGCATCCGTGGCATCCTTCGGATTGGCTGATTCGTCTTGACTTTTTGCTACGACGATGCCCAAGCACACAGCGAGGAACATTACGGGTGCAGACGATCACTTCCGGGTACTGATCCCCGAATTCCGCAAATGAGGACATTTCCATTCACAAGTCACGGCCGCCGCCAGAATTCCATCACCATTATTACTGTCCGCTGGCGACGATCAGGTCTTTTTGCGCTGCCTGGGAGCCAACACAACATGATGACTCGATGGTCTCTCAGCCCGTCAGCCTGTATCACCATCCCTTCATAAACTAGCGGCTGATCCAGTGACCTGAGTGACGGCATCGGTCAGAATTGCTGATCCATCCGCAGCATTTGCAACACCTGACGAAGAGGGCCATACAAGATGAATACCAAAGGACTGCCTGGGCTGCGCGTTTTCAGTTCCTTGTCCAGCCATGCAATCAGGATTCAATCACTGCCTGAGCTAACGGCACTACGATCACCATGAATATCACCACTCTTTCGTCTTCAACCTGACCTCCCGCCACCCTTCACCTTGGCACTCGCTGGCTGACAGCTGCCTTCCAAGCCTATGTTGGAGATCAGAGACAGTGTATCTCTTTCGACTTCACCGCCGTTGCGTATCTGTTCCTGTCTCAGAATATCCCACCCCTATTCGACGATCGGGGCGCAGGTGTCGATGTCGCATTGCAGCAGCGCAACCAACGAGTGAACCCTTGGGCTGGAAGCATGTCGCCAATCTCGGAGAGCCGAGTGCGAGACTGCGCGTATTCGCCGTGTGGTCTTTTTTTCTTTTCTTTTTCTCCGCTGTCAACATGCGCCCAATCAGTCTTTCAATCACCATACTCAATTGGTGCAACTCTGGCAAGACAAACTCTGAGGCTTTCGTCTCATTCAACTGAATCACACTTTGAGTACAAGTCTAGCTGGCGTTTATTTCCGCCGTTGGTAGGCATTAAAGAACATCCCGCTCTCCACGTCACAACCCTAGCTGCACAGGCCGACTTCGATTACTCAGATCATAACTCTGTAGTTGGTCTGGCTTGTTGGTGTCATTGGCTAGGGCTTTCCATTGGGCATCGCAACTGTTATCCTCTTCAAGACGATTGGCGTCTAATTACTGCGTCCATCTCATCACCGCACAAGTCACTGCAGCCCGAAACAAGCGCTGGAAAGAAGAGACAGTCAACTTCCACATGTCACCGAGCTGACTGCTGCGAAGAACAGCGGATCCGACTGCGACGTGTCACGCTTAGCAGAGTCTTAGGGCCATTTTGAGCTTGCCAATCGTCCTCAGATGCGGACGCTTATCAACGGACGGTCTGATCTAGGGCAGATGTCGGTTCGAGACGTCTCACCCAGCAAGCATGACTGATCTGATGGCGCCCGTCGCCCGCAGAAGTCGCTCAACACCGTCGAGATAAAAGTGGTGTTGGCGGTGCTACCAAACCATCTCACGCCTCGGGCAAGCCCAAGCCACAGCCACAACTGCTAATACAGCAACCAACAGAAGCTATCGTCAGCCATGCATGCCACATTGCGCTGGGTCGGTTCTATGGGAGAGCTACCAGCTCACACTGCATGAAAGAAAACCCAGGGTCCGCAAGAAGGCATAGTCCCGCTCAACACAACATCGGGTTAAGGGTTTACAAGACTCTGGCAGTTGCTCTTGGGACGCCCAGTAAGTGGCATCTGCGCTCTGGAACGTGAACTCATGCGCGATCTTTGGACTGGCTGGCAGTGGCTTGCACTTGTTCCCTGTCTCTGAGGCTACAAGGGGGCCCCGAGCTACCCGCCGTCCAATCCGAGTACGAATCGGTCACACCTCTGGAAACCACGCGAGCTGCAGCCTGAGTGTCTGTTTGGCTAGTGCCCGATCGCGGGTGGCACGCTTGGCTCCAGCGGCCAGGGCTCGGAAACGGCAGACTACAGAGAAGGAATCCAGCGATCCGGATCGCGGTCTGAGCATCTGACTGACGTCCGGCCGTCTCGAATCCTTGGGTGGTCTGGTCTGGCATATCAGGGTTGCGAGAGCAGCCTGACGTGTCGCATTAACGACCATCAGGAACGAGAAACGAACGAAGAGAGGACGACGGCGGATTTGAATTAGAGAACCGGCGCGTCGTTTACATCGAAGCCGCGGCGGCGGATCGCAAGGCCTTCCCTTGCTCGCAAGCTTGCCGGCCAATGCTCGACCTCGGTAGCCTCACTCGGGATATCCCTCCCGCGTGGACGGCTAGAGACAAACGCGCGGTACCCTTCCTCAGTGAGTGTGAAAGCTGAATATAGCAGCTCGGGTCCATGGTCATTCCCAGCCCTGCGGACGAGAAAACAGGACGATCTGGAGATTGAGAGCCCGCCATCGATTCGCCGGGCACCTCCCTCTCGGCAGCCGTGTTTTACTGGGGCAACAGAATTGAGGTTCGAATCGTCGCGGGGTTCGATGGAGGGCCGGGACCACCACCAGCGGCGACAACCATTTCGCGTCGCCTCAAACCGTCAAAAGGTTGATGTTGTATGGATGGAGCCTTTGGTTGAGCCCAACTGCACGATTACACACCCACCAGATAGCAGGTCGCGACGAGACCTGCAGGGCGTAGCGTAGAGTAGCATGGACTTGGGACCAGAGTCCAGACTTTGCTCAAGTGGACGGAGACAAGGACGAGGTCAAAAAAGGTTGGGCGATGCGTGCGAGCGAGCGAACGAGTCTCGTCGACTCACCCCGGTCCGTCTGATCTGGGGTCTCGCAGTTCGCCGACGAGCCGAGAAGGAGACGAAGTGGAGGCAAACCACGGTACCCAGTCGATGACATTCTGTTTTTCAGTTTGAGGTGCGAGGTAAGTTGTGTATGCCGTGGGCGGTTGACATAGCACAAGTTGAGAAACACAAAACAACACAACACAGCACACAACGAACAACAGTGCGGCTAGACGGGATCCCGATGGCGAGGAATCAAACGGCCAGGCCAGACGGGGCCGGAGCAAGGCAAGACAAGACAAGTCAAGACAAGACAATACACACAATGCAAAGGAACTGGACAAGACGAGAGGGCCAAAATAATGTGCTTTAGTTGCCTCGAAGTAAGACTTTGGCGGACGCTACGGGGTTCGCGCTACTGCGTGCTAGAGCGTGGTCATGTCAATCAAGAGAATATCAGGAGTGCCACCTCATCTCAGTAGTCTGGACAAGTTTAGAAGTCAGTCGGCTCCATTCCTGCTCTGAGCCTCTCTCTCTCTGCATGATGCATCACGATGGTGGTGCCTGTGAATGTCGAATGTCGAATGTCAAATGTCATTTCGACGGTCCTTCCCCTTGGTTTCCAATTCCGATTTCGAGGTGCCCTTGTGAGTGAGGATACGTACCTCGGCTCCGCTGCCCAGCATGTCATCGGTACGTACCGCCTGGATCCGCTCCTTGCCGCTGTACACCGCAGGTACCGACTTCAAATTGGCAGGCGCCATCACAGGACGGCAGCATAGCACAGCACAATATTAGCTCACGATGGCAGTCGCTCACCTGCACCTGCACCTGCACCTGCACCTCAATCCACTGCACTGGCGGGAGTTCGCCCCTAAAAAGAAGCAGCACCGGTGGCACCGCGCCGCTCTTTCCCCTCCAGAGTCCACCACCAGCACCAGCACCTGCCCAGGCCCAGGCCCCCAGCACCTGCGCCTGCCACTTCAAAACCCCATTGCCAGGGAAGGAGGTGCCTGCCTTGCTTGCTCTTCCCCTCTTCGCTCCTACCCCCACTGGCACTTGTCGTCCTCCTCCTCCATCGTCGTCACTTCCCTTTTAGAGAGAGGTACCTGGTCTGTCGCCTATCGTCCACCAAATATTACGTACCGCCCTCCCACTTCCTCTCGAATTTCCCTTTCTCTTGAATTCTCTCCCTCACATCTTCATTGCCTCTGTCCACCTCGAATTCTTTCTCCATCTCTCTTCTTTGGCAGACTGGTTCGCCCTGATCCTGCCCCAGAGGTAGCACACTTTCTTCACCTTCGCTTCATCTCAAATCCTCCCGTCCCCTCCAAGAACAAGAAGAAACAAAACAAGTACTACAACGCCACGCGTACAGACGGGTCCCAGCCAGCTTGCTTGCTGTACGTACCGAACGGCGACCACTGCTCCCCTCCAAAATCGCCAAAAAGCCAGGGAATCCCTCTCACACGGACGGCACAAAAACTTCAGATTCGCTTTCCCTACTGCCACGGATTCTCTTGTGGTACAGACACCATCCCTGAATACTCGATCGCGTTGGCTGCCGGGACACTGCGCTGCCAGAGAAAATACCAGAAAAGAAAAAAGAGAGGGGACCCTCCATCATCCTTTCCCTTCCGGCTCCGTCCCTCCATCAGCTCAAGCTCAACTGGGCTGGACGCACACCAAACAAAACGACTGAAGCTTCCTTCTTGTGACTTCACATCGACCACACACCACACCCAGCAAATACCCACGCAGTATACATACTCGAGAGGGGGTACTCACTTGCCAGGACGCCGTCTCCCACATAAGGTACCTGACGGCCCCGAGCATCCAACAGTGCCCGATCGGACGCATCTTCCACGGCCCCGGCACCCTTTCTTTTGCCATTCTTCCTCACTTACATCTATCTGGACCCTGGCGGCCACCTTTCCCTCACAACTTTTCCACTCTACAACATCAACTTCTTCAACCCGCCTGAGGCCAGACTCACCTGCGTTCTACATAACGATACTCGACGACAACTCCGAATACACACACTTCAGTTACTCACCCATCGCTCGTTGCACCCTCGAACATCGCCTCACTCGTTGCGGTGAAGCATCCCTTCCCGACCTCGCCATCTAGCCCGACCAGCCATCTCCATCTGCCACGCCGCTGCTGCATATCGACCAACACCGCTTCTTGTCCCCGGTTCCGCCAGCATCTATTCTCCCGGGCTTCCATCCTATTGGACCCAACCCGCTGTTCCATCGCTTCCCAGTAAGTAAGCCGGCTTTTTACAACATTCTTCATTCTCGTCACCTCAGCTCAGCCCATCCCACGGCCTCGGACGCCCAATTACTGGGTCCTGGGGCCACTGATCGCTTACGAGTCAAGCCTGTCAAGTCCATCAAGCCTCCCTCCCCCCGTCTAATCCCAATTTAAAGCATAGCTCGCGCTGAGCCGCAACGTAGAAGGAGTTCTCGGTTCTCTGGGCTGACCACTAGACCAGTACTTGTAGCTCGCTCATTTCCTGCCAAACCCCCTAGGATATTCGTCTCACCATCCCCTTTTTCTTCACCTCTCTTTGTTCTCTGCCGCCTTTGGTTACGCCTCTGCCGCAACCGTTCACTCTGTCGTCCTGTCGACCATTTTTTGTTTGAACCACGACGATCCGTCAGACGTCAGGCATACCCATCGACGGTGTGCACCTGCGGTATTTAACCACCTTGACGCGAAGCGGGATCGACCCAGGCTCCGGCAGAAGCGAGCTGCATCACCCCTCCTGACCAACCTCGAAGTGGAGAGCTCGCCCGATTCATACGGATACGACTTCCGGACCGGCATCCCTACACCCTCAAAAAGCGTACACCAGCCTGCGCCGCCCGGCTGCTGCAACGCTGCAATTCAACGGGGGAAAACGCGGGGAGCATACTAAAGCTGCAGCGTTCTTGAATATCGCGATTCGAACCACCTGCGTTTCGATTGCGTCCATGACTTTGTCACCAATCACCATCACCTCGAGCTAGCATTCATCATGTTTCTCCATTCGGGCGCCAGCCTGCATGGGCACGAATACTCCAAGAAACCCACAAACGCCCCTCAACCAGCAAGAAGACGGATCTTGCTTCGATCGTCATTAGGAGCTTCGGCTCTGCCTCGCTCTTCGACTTCTACCGACGAGTCCTCCGATATCCTCTCGCCGCGGGTCAATCGTCGCCTTTCTCTTCAAGCTCCTTCACCGGCACCACGACCGAGCGTCCGTCGAAATCGACCTGTGTCGGAGCTTCTTCCGCGGAAGGATCTCTCCGTTCGCTTCGAGGAGGAGCCTACCGTCGTCGCTGATGAATCGACACTCAGCATCGACGGCGTCAGTGAAGATGAAGGTAGCTTGGTATCAGAGATCAGCGACAGCAGCACAGTAAAGCGATCGAAGAGGTCGAGACGAGCTGCGAGACAAGGCACCAATTTCCTTCTGGCATACCCTCCACCGAAGCTTCGCACAAAGCAGCGTCGCTTTGTCCAGATACGGCCACGACTTCTGCTACAACTTCAACAACTCTCCAACGGCAAGCGACCGATGCCCGCCATTGACGTGCTTCCTGCAAGCATGGTTGCTGGCACAGTCATCTTCCCCCGTCTTGCGCGACAGTTTCCCAAGATGTTCCGGGTAAAGGGCCAGCTGGGCATGAACGGCCTCATTCTGGCAAGGAGCGAGGACTATAACACGCCAGGGGACGACTCGGATGGCGACGAAAAGGATCTTGACAAGCGCGACCTCGTCGCTGTCATCACACCACTCAAGGAGCGCAGGGAAGGCGAGCGGAGGGAATCCGCCGACCAGGCTGAGATTGTGCTCAGCGATGGTTCTGTGTGGACTGCCATTCCTACCAGCAACGGCTCTTACGACTTCGTGCACGTTGACGAGGCCGGTCGAACCGTCACAGCAAGGTGGGCAAAGAGACCCGCGAGGCCGCTTTCCACTGCGACCTGCACAGCAGCGGCGACGCCTACCGCGCCGACAGACTACAAGTTTACTTTCAGCATTCTTGACCCCGAGTTGCGAAGGCATCCCGTCATGGCGACGCTGACACCCGCCAACCTCGAAATTCTCGACAGCTATACGACTGTCACGCAATCAGCTGGTCGCTATCCCCCGACCCGCCCCTTTAGCACAGACATGAGTGGCGACAACGAGCCGTCACAATCGCCGCAGTCCGTTCTCTCCAGCACGGAGCGAGAGACACATCCCATCGACGATGCGACGAGGGTTCTCATCACCGTCACCTCGGTCTGGGTGTCGCTCCGTCACGGACAAGGCTGGGCCGCTTCGACCACGTCACCAGCCGCTTGCACGACCCGACCCGCCCATTCTCGCACGATGAGCAACGCTAGTGACCGTGCGCGAGTATCAACCTTTCCCGTCTCGTCCACTGAGTTAAGGGAGTTGAACCGACCGCCTCTGGCGCAGAAGCAAGTTATGGCCCAGTTGGCGCCGGTGATGCCGAAGAGGACGTTCTCATCGGGAGCGGCTTTCATGCATCGTCGACAGACCAAGCTGGGAGGGGAGCAAGTCACCGCCGACAACGCGGCTGAGACCGACGACCTCGACGGCGTCAAGGAAAACATTGAACCTATCATTATGAAACGGAGTTTTGTCAGGAAGATTCGCGACTGGGGACATCGCATCAGTCAACGCAAGGCGGTTATGGCATAAATCATGGGATGGGGATCATGGGAAAAATCACAGGAACAGGCGTTAAGACGCATCGTCACATAAGAAACCAGAGCTGGTTGTCATCCAGCGTACCATTTGTATCTGTATCATTATCACCTTCTAGGCATACATACCCGTTCAAATTTGATACCAACCCGTGCTTTGACACGGCAACAATCTCAACGTTCACACATCCCAATCTGCTCCCCGTGACGCGGTGAAACCAAGACCGAGTGAGCACATGTATGACGCTAACCAAGCCGCCAACCGTCGACTTCGATTAACCTGAAGCAGAAGATCGGCGAGCCCGTCTGGGTTCGCGCAGTAGGGCTGCGAGTGGGGTCTTATTGTCCCTACGGGATTTCGTTGGTCGCTCCGGATGCGGCGAGCCGGACTGGTGATGGGCGCGGATGCGGGGGCCCCGGCGTGTCCACCCTGGCGGGCGATCCTGATCGGCGGGCCCGCTCTCAGGCTTCTTTCTACCGGGGAAGCGGGAAGCCGGGTGGGGCTTGGCGGACGAACCGAGTGCGAGGTGCAAGTGCGAGAGATGGCTTTTTTTCCCAACCCGAATCTCAACGGTGTTGCGTCTTTTGGGCATCTGGAGTTATTCCTATGGCTTCTCCTAATGGCGTCAATTTCGTGACGGATGAGAGACGCCACGACCTCGAGAAGGATACCTGCATTCGGTCTCGTTCTACATTGTTGCTGGGTGACGGGTGAAGCTCTATTGAGGACAACTTTCTTTTTCTTTTCTCCCCCTCGCATATGTACTTTTGAGTCCACTGTGCTGCATGACTGGGGTTCTGGCACAGAAAAAAGAAAACATGCTGTCAGATTCGCGAGCCGCCAGTCCGCAGCTTCTGGTACGTGAAAAGCAACGAGTGAATCAGGGGGTTCCGTCGCGTGACTGGCGCCCGCGATTCACCGTATCATCCAGGAAAACGAAAGATGTAAGACGGCGAGTTGCCGTGGCTACCTTTGACAAATCACAGCTTTTTTGGTTACTTTTCGCAAGATTGGGTCGTTTACCTTATACCCGAGGTGCCGAGCAACGATCAAATTTCAATCAACCGCCTCGCTGACATCCCAAGACAGGGGTTCAAAATGGGTGAATGCAGCTTCTGCTGTTTCAGAGTGGTGCTGCCGTCCAGACGCAGGGACTATTCACGGGGCATCGACGACAGGCCGGTGCGTCGAGTGAGCTTCCCGACTGGGAGAGTGAGGCCGTATCGTCTGGCCCCGGAGCCGGAGTGGAGATACGGCGAGTACGGGAGGGCGATGGGGACCGGGACGTCGGCGTCTTTGCAGGAGGGGTTCGGGGGCGGGATGGGCGTGCCGGTGATGAACCGGGATGGGTTTGTTGATCGGCACTCGGGGTTCGCGACTTGGGATCGGGTGTGGTGATCTTCTGGGGAGTTTGATGTTAGTTGGTTTTGCGGACCGCTGTGTTTGGAACTTGGGCTTCGTCTTTTCAGTACTCGGCAATTTTCTATTCTGATCGTGGGAGAGGCCTCAGCCATTCAGTCCCGGCTGGAGGCGTCCTGGAGTTGGATCTGTAGGCAAGCTCCTCTTCAAGCACATGCAATGAGCTCAGTCCGAACTAATAAAGCATCAGCATTGTCGTCCAGTTCAATCGTTCAGCGACTAAGAAAACGCCCTCTTCCAACCTAGACGATAACGGAATATATGGACGGGCCTACTACATCCGACCCAGGGCTGAATGAGACAAGTCCCCCGAATCACGTTAGCTAGGGATTATACACCCGCCCTTCGTCCATCCTATCCCTTTGAAAATGCCACGCATCTTTAAACTCCATACCCGTCATTCCCAAAAAGTCCTTCACACGACCGACTCCCAGCATCTCTATTCCACCCACCGACACAAACCACAAACCAAAATGGCCATCTCGTCTCTCATCGTCAAGCTCTCCCCGTTCATCGCCTCCGTCGTGGTGCTATGGGTCATCGTCTTCGGCATACGACACGGCGCCACCTGGGGCTCCATACGAGAGGGAGTCAGCATCGGCTCGTTCGGCCACCACCATCAGGAAGCCCCTGTTGACGGGGGCGACGCGAGTCTACTCGAGCATGCTTCGAAGCCTGGCAACTTGCCCCGCCGGCGACTATAACGGACTCTCACTCTGTGACTGGGCGACGTGCAAGAGGTCTTACCGACGCCGTGGGATACTCGGAGACCATCAGGGATCGTGCATGGAATAGAAGGGTAGTCTGTCGTCTTGGGCGAGTTACAGGCTGCTATGGCTTGGGAAGGGACTCAACTCGGGATGCTAGATATCCGGAAAAGACTGCGGCAACTGTCCTCAAGACGACGATCGATACAGGATGCGGCTAGATGAATCGGGTACATGACGGGCCGCAAAACAAGGCAGATCGTGATACACAGACACGAGATGCTTCGGTTTTTCGTAATGCAGTCTACTCGGAGACTGCTGAGAGGGGTATACTACGAGACCCGCGGGCAAGACAGGCGAAAATACGACGTTCATACACATGCAGAAACCGCTACGCCGACAACACCTTTGCGACGAGGACGATTCTTGGAGGTTCTGATGGACTGAGCAAGTACTAGGATGGAGAATAATCATGCAGGCGATGGTCGTCAACGAATTGGCAATGTTTATGATAGTTTGAGTTGGACAATGATGAGAAGGAGGATGCTAATTATAAGCATACTAGGCCATTACAATGAATGGAAACTTCATATAAGAACATGTAGTGTTCTTCCTGAGGCCAATTTAAATCGAGAAACTCGTCGTCATTGCATTAGTTGTTTCTCACATGGTGGTTCACCTCCAGTTTCCTGTTTCAACACATCGCTACTTCTTCCCAAAGTAGTTCATCAACGTATTCGCCTGCCCCGGCTTCTCCTTTGCTTTCTTCGGCGACTCCCTCTCGACCTTCTTCCCAACCTCCAGAACTGCCATCAGCTCTTCAAACTCTGCCTTCGGAACGATGCCCCCACTCGCTTCTTTGTGGCCCCTCGCGAACGAAGTCCCCAGCCTCTCCCTCAACGTCTCATTCTCAGCCTTTGCGGCCGCATCGTTCAGCACTTCGATGATGTTGACAGGCGGATCGTTCGACCGCGCACATCGCGGTATGCGACACGAGAAGTTGACCATGTCGGGAAGATACCCCTCGTTCGCAACCAGGACGACCTCCAACTTTGAGGAGTTGAGGTGGCCCGCCCAGCGAGTGGCTATGACGGGATGGACCTGAGCCTGTGAATTGATCCGGAAGACGGCTATCCGCCCGTCGGAGGAGAACTTGGGCGGTGTGTGGGTGCAGCGTTCCACCTCCGCATTCACCTCCGCTCTCGCCGCCAGCAGCGTCTTGTTGTCAAGAAGGTGCTTGGGAGAGTTGGCTGCAAGCAGAGCGTCCCACGCTCCCGGGACATCATATGATGGTGTTCTCCTCGGGGCGTTGATGAGCGAGACGGCATCATTAATCGCCTTTTTGGTATACGTTTTGAAGGTTGCTTTCATGCCGGGGAATGGCGGCTCCCACTTGAGAGTGTTGCCGAGGTCGCCGTGAGTTCCCATGGCGCAGAGCCAGTCGCAAGCCGCTTCAACACCATCGTGTAGTTCTCTGCAGATGAGATAAGTGAGAAGTGAGCTGGTGGCTACCGGGGGCGAGTTGCAGGCCGTGACGTGAAGTGAGTCCTTTGGGTGGTCGTTCTCGAGGGCGTGATGATGGTCTATGACTATCCCCCGGTGAGGTCCATCTATGAGGGGCGGCGAGTCACGAGATCCTTGGTCCAAGACGAAGATATATGACGGATTACTCGATGACATGGCTTGACGCGCAGAGGTGTCGTGGATCGTGGTGCCTTTCGGGGGGTGGTATGATGAGATAAGGGAAGAATCCAGGCCGAGGAGGTTGAGGGTGCGGTGCAAGATCGCGCCGGATGTTAAACCGTCTGCGTCCTTGTCCGGGACGATGAGAGTTGGTTTGCCGGCGGCGACGCTGCATTGTGTCAGAACATGAGTGCGATAAATCGTCAAGTCGGGGATGGGTAAGGGTCGTTCACCATTCGCGTATGAAAGACCTAGCCGCGTCCATCTTTTCCTGTGGCGCCGGCCACACAATGGTTCCATCTTTATCTCGTACCGATGGGGTGAGATGATATTCAGGAACTGCTGGGCGAGGTTTCTTGGTGTCCCGAGACCCTGCCTTGAGGCTTGCAGCTGTCGCGCTCCGCTTCATAGCCAGGTACCGCACGGGATAGGAATGACGGGGGATCACTGATTGTTTGAGCCTTCCCAAACGACGTGCGAATGATATTTCTGATACTGCTCTATTGATCATGTCTGTCGATGGCCTAGCCTGGCGACAAAAAGTGTGCTAATGTTGCTGGTGTCGTCCCTGCGCCGGGATGTCGTCATAGAAGACTTCACTGTGGCTGGCACCTGCAACGCCCGAGCAACACTAAAGTGGGACATCGGCAATAGGTAGAGAAAGAATGAGCAATTATAAGCTTCTTTATGTGATGGAAGTTTGGTATCTTTGGTTCCATCTTAATATCTGTATCTTTTGGATATCAAAACGATTGCCTTGATTGAGTTTGTGACTGATACTGTTGGGGTCTGACTGATTTCAACGATGCCAATGCTTCCTTCAAGCTTGTGATAGTGAGATTGTCCATGTTCTCTGCTGGCTTAAGACAATGGTATCATGGTATACGAAGAAACACCGCACATTGAGAAGATAACGAAGTTTTACCAAGCAGAAGGAAAACGTACATCAGAGACAAGACTACATGTCCGGGGCAGTGAGTGAGTGAAGGTCGACCGCAGTAGTTGATGAAAACATCATTGAGATTGAAGGTGAATGTGAGATGACTAATCACAACCGGCTGACGTAATTGACGGAGTCCCCCTTATTCGCCATCCGTGCGCTAAGCGCTGGCTGGACGGGAACAAGGAGCTTCGTCGGAGAATCTGAAGAGGCCGACGAGAACATCCCAACCTACCGCCACCATCAAATTCGAACTCGTTACATGCCGAATCATCGCAAATAGCGCGTCTCAAATCATGGTGGGGACGCAATTGGGGCTGCAGGTTGCTTTTTACCTGTATCCCTGCGGTCTCTTCGTAGCCCTGCTGGGAGCGCAGTCCGTTCAGTTTTGGCGCGAGAGACGTGGCGGACCGCGCCGGGACGCGCCGGATGAGAAGGCCGCCGGCCTGCGCAAGTTCTACAATCGTTCTATCTGGACCTTTCAGCTTATTATCTCAATTGTTCTGGTGAGAAGAAGAAGAAGAAGTACTATCTCGGATGACACACGAACTTGTTAATGCTGACAATCCATTAGTTTGCTACCATCATTATCGCCGTTCGCGATGCGTTTGGGGGCCACTATGATGGAGCTGGCAAGGTCGAGTTCCCATCTGCCGCTTACATAGTACGCTCCCTATGCCGCCGTTACAAATGCAGGGAAAGCTAATTGGATGCAGGCCTCATATGTCGCTGTCTTGCTCTACTTCCTGGCTGGCTTGCTACCTGACCCCGAAGGACCCTGGGTCCCAACTGCTTGCCACGCCTATGCCTGGATTGTCGCCATTCTCTTCGAATTGGTCATCGCGGCCCTCTTCTTCACCGAAGAACCCTACCTGCTTGTGTCCAAGCAAGTTCTGGACTCATTGTCGGCCCTTGGCTTCGCCAGAATTGCACTCTTGCTTTTCATGACCATCGCTCTTGCGCTTCGAGAGTACAAACTGAGACCTTCAACGCCCAGGTCAGACCCAGAGGAGCGACAGTCACTTCTGCAGAACGGCAACGGCACGGCCGGCTATGGTTCTCACCCGCACACGCCGGCAGCTCCCAGGCAGCAAGTCCAGGGCACCGGTTGGCTCGACTACTTTGCCGGCTTCAAAGTCCTCTTTCCTTACCTCTGGTAAGCCTACCTAGCATCTGTGCGATTGAGTCTGACTGACATTACGCAGGCCCAAAGATTCACGTCTCTACCAACTGATTGTGGTCTTCTGCGTGCTCATTCTGATCCTCCAGCGTACTGTCAACGTCTTCGCTCCGGTGCTTCTCGGTTCTCTCGTCGACAAACTCGGAAATGAGCCTGGTATTCCTTACCGAGAGATTATTCTTTACGTCGTGTTCCGCGCTCTTCAGGGCAACCAAGGCATTCTCGGTGCGATGCGATCGGTGCTCTGGATCCCAGTGTCCCAGTCCCTCTTCCGGAGACTGTCCTGCGCCGCCTTCGAGCATGTTCTCGGCTTGTCTCTCGAGTTCCACCTGAACAAGAAGATCGGTGAGGTCACCAGCGCCCTGAGCCGAGGTGCGGCGATGAACACCTTCCTGGAGAACTTCTGCTTCCAGGTGTTCCCCATGGTGTTCGACATCTTTGTCGCCGGTGTCGTCTTCTTCGTCAAGTACGACGCCTTCTATACCATCATCGTCTTCTTCATCATGTGGTCTTACATCTTCTTGACCATCTATGTCGCAAAGTACCGTGGCAAGCAGAGGAGAGACATGGCCACCAAGATGCGCGAGATGGAGGCCATCAAGACGGACGCCATCATGGCGTACGAGACGGTGCAACACAACTGCGCGGTCGCCCCTGAGACCAAGAGGTTCAGGGAGCATGTCGAGGTCTACCAGGGCGCTGAGCGTCTGGTGCAATGGTCTCTCAACGGCCTCAACCTGACGCAAAGCTCAATCTTCTCTCTCGGAACGGCCTTGCTGGTCGCGGTCTCCGCTTACAAGATCTCCATCGGCGACCAAACTGTTGGCGAGTTTGTCAGCTTGATCAACTACTTCGTTCAACTTCAGGGTCCTCTGAACTTCTTCGGCACATACTACACCATGCTGCAGAACAACCTGATCGAGGCTGAGCGCATGCTCGATCTGGTAGGTATCCCCGCTCTCCACATGGGCGCATCTTGCTGATCAACACCAGTTCAAAGAGACATCCGGAATCGTCGAGAAGCCCGATGCCATCAACCTGCCTTCCCCTAGAGGAGAGGTCGCATTCAACAACGTCAGATTCTCTTATCAGACCAAGAAGGGCGATCCCGCTCTGGATGGGGTCAGCTTCACCGTGGCACCGGGAACCAAGACGGCGATTGTCGGAGAGTCTGGCAGCGGCAAGTCGACGTCTCTCAAACTTCTCTTCCGTTTTTACGATGTCCAGGAAGGCGCTGTCACAGTTGATGGCCACGATATCAAGGATCTGAAGTTGGATAGTCTCCGCAGGAACATTGGCGTTGTCCCCCAAGACACGGTCCTGTTCAACGCGACTATCATGTACAACCTTCTCTACGCTAACCCCAATGCCTCCGAGGCCGACGTTTTCGAGGCATGCAAGGCGGCGAACATCCACGACCGTATTCTCAACTTCCCCGACGGGTATGAGACCAAGGTTGGCGAACGCGGATTGAAGTTGTCTGGTGGCGAACGCCAAAGAGTATGTTATCATGTTCTGATTGAATGACATGTGCCGGCTAACATCCCTCCCAGATTGCCATCGCGCGTGCCATCCTCAAGGACGCTCGTATCCTCCTTCTGGACGAAGCCACCGCGTCCCTGGATTCGCACACTGAAAGACAAATCCAGGATGCCCTGGAGCGTGTGACTGCCGGTCGTACCACAATCACCATTGCGTAAGCAGACACCGAAGCACGTGCCCTGGAGAGTCAGCCTTACTAACAGTCATCTTCTGACCAGTCACCGTCTCTCAACCATTACGACGTCCGACCAGATTGTGGTCCTTCACAAGGGCAAGATTGTCGAGCGTGGCACGCATTCCGAGCTCCTTGCTCTTCAAGGCCGGTACCATGCGATGTGGGAGAAACAGACGACGATCGAGAAGAAAGCGCAGGAGAAGGTAGAAAAGGAGGGCGAGTCGTCGGAGACCGCCTCTCAGGTGTAAAAGACGCAAGCCGCCGCTGCTTGCTAGACCAGTTCGGATTTGATTTGTAAAATATAGAAGAGTGTATCATTAGTTGTAGGTATAAAACTGGGATCAAGCGTGTTTCCGTCGATTGTGATTTCTGAATATTGGCATCATGAGACCTTGGATGAGTCTATCATCGATTGTGGTAAGTAGATGTGATGGCTAGCTCCTTGGTTCACGAGTATTTCGAGGAGGACGCTTGACATCAAGTATAATGAGATCTCCCGTGTCGAATCTGTGGTCTCTATTTTTATTTGATGTTCGGAGATTGAATTGAGCCGTGTCGGCATGAGGAAACTGACCGACTGTCTTCACGCTCGTCGGAGTGAGATCACATCACGACTGAGACCGGTACCTAGCGGGGCCCACCTTTCCGACGAGCAGACCAATTAAAGCATGTAGAATGAAGAGTGGACCTCATTTTTCTTCTCTCATTGGCCACTTCTGGGCTGACAATGTCCGAAAGGGGAAAGGCGTTGTAAGCCTCCTGCAGATGTGGATCAGTCCGGCTCTCTCCCCGGGGCGCCCTTCTCATCTCGTCCTCCTCCATCCACGTCCCTACTCCCGGTTGCTGCAGAAAGACCAGGAATGAACTCGCCGACAGCCATTCTTCCAGATAGGCTCATATTTAAAGGTCGAAATTCGTCTGCTTCGGGTCAAAACTTGTAAGCATCTCGCATTTTACATCTCCGGACCCTTAACACATTCGCGATCTCGCTATTCGTTCTTGTGTGAAGCCGAACACGCCGACCCTTTTCAGTGACTCCAAATCGTCATGAATGGAATTCCGATCACACTCTTACCTCCGATGCTTCACTCATCGGAAGCCCAATGTCCAGACGATGACTGGTCAGGTCTCCGAGACAAGGCGGAGCGGCGTAAGAGGCAGAACCGCTTAAACGTGCGTGCTCATCGTAGGTAGCCTTGACCGTCCCCAAGACAGGGCAGTATGGCTCATTATCTCAATAGGAAAGAAAAAGACAGCAGAGACTCGCCAGAAAAATGAAACCCAAGCAAAAGAGACCCAAGATATACACTTGGTTGGGTTGATGCGACAGTCAGCTTCTGCTCCCACTCTCCAAATCCATCAATGGGTTCCCCCGGTCAAGGAGTCCCAGGTTAAGAGACGTATCGGACCGCGGAACAAATCTCCAGTTGATGAAAAGCCCAAATCATCTCGATATGGTAACGAGCAGAACCTTGGAATAGTAGTTCGTGGCCGTTCCAGGTCGCAGCTCCCCGGAAGCATACCGCCATATTACAGGAACCCGGCTCGCTGGTTTCCTCTATACAGGGATCACCTCATTCCGCTCGTCTACTACAATGTCTTCCGCGCGACCATCACCAATATTCACATACTCTCTTTAACATCCCTCCTTGGGAGCCCGTGTACCCCGGACCTTCACACGACGCCCCTGTTCCCAGCACCGTCTCAGATCCCGCCCACACTTCTCCCTACAGCACTGCAAAGATCGACACTTCACGAATCTTGGATCGACATTTTCCCCTCCGGAGGCATGCGGGATAATGCCATACGATACCGTCATACCTTTGACCACCATGAGCTATGCATCGACCTTGTTGGGTGTTCGGAAAGCGATGCCTGTGGAGATCAACCAGGCATCATCGCGTGGTCGGATCCTTGGCATCCTGAAGGTTGGGAGGTCACAGAGAAATTCGTCGAAAAATGGGGATTTCTTCTCAAAGGGTGCGATGATGTCATGAGGGCTACCAACCGGTGGCGTGCTATGAGAGATGAGGAGCCGCTCGTGTGGGAAGTGGATTGAATTAAGTCATGTTATCATGATGTAGCCATCTACTCTGTAGCGTGATGGTTAGCTAGGCGGGCCATGGTCGTGGACTGATGAATGGCATCAGTTTACCTGCCATTTCAGGCCATGTAACAACGTGTTCCTTAGTAAACGTATCTGAACTGAGGAATCTCCTTGTCGGTCTTATCCAGCAGGTTCAGGGGCACATGATCTCCCACGGCGGTGTCTAGAACCTCTCCAATGCTATCCCGGCGCTTGTTCTCCCAGATGAGATAATAACGAAGCACAAAGCACATAATGACACCAATTCCATAGCAGATCAGCATGGCCAGGAAGCCGCTCCTGTACGAAGGAGCTTCCCACTCGAAGAAAAGCTGCGGTCCGATGATGTTGCCAGCGCAATACGCGATGAAGATCTGTACTGGTCAGCTATGCGACATTATCACTCAGCAACATTCCACTCACCATAGCATTGACGGTCGTCTTCTTGGTGAAACCACCAAAGTTTCCGGAAGACATCGACAGAATCATGGGGAAGTTGGCGCTGTAAGCAATCGTCAAACAGTACCCCATGAACCTCGCCCACTTCAACTCAGGCGTGATCTGCCTCACCATGGCCGCGCCAGCAATCGACACCGCGAGGTTCCACGCCATCCAATATGTCCGGCTGTTCTTGAAGTACGTGCTGCCACCCGTGGCCATCAGGACGAACACCAGCTGGAACACCGAGCCCAGCATCTGCACCAGCAGCGTGTTGAGCGTGCTGAAGCCCATGCCCTTGATCACGATGGAGCCGAACCCGTGAACGCCGCCGTTGGCGATCTGCGCACTGATTTGGATTGTAAAAAGAAGCCACGCCTTGATGTCGGTGAGGGCCTCGAAGCACTGGTTCCACTTGAACGTGTCGCTCTTGATTCCGGTCATGTTCTCCTCGACGCGCTCGATGGCCTTGACGCGGTCGGCTTCGCTGAGGAAGCGCGCCTTCATCGGGGTGTCCGGAAGGAGGAAGAAGATGGCGAAGGACCAGGCGGTGGTTATACCGCCGAAGATGAGGAACACAGCCTATCCTCAGGTGATCAGTGTTGGATCTGATACGTTGGGACGTTTGGGACTCACCTTCCATGGCGCAATGCTCTCAATGTGCCCAATGGCATAGGCGACGATGCCACCAAAGATGCCGGCGATTGTGTTGCCGAGGAACCAGGCACCGTGTCGGAGTGGTTGCTCAGAACGCTTGTACCACATGGAGACGACGATGCTGAGGCCTGGCGCAATCGCGGCTTCTGCTACTCCCAACATGATACGGTTCGCGAGGAGGCCGGCGCCGTTGAAGCAAACGGCAGTGAGCATGAGGATGATACCCCAGACAAGACTGTTCTGTCAGCTTGGTAAACCGCCGTCGTAAGACAAAGGCACATACACTGAAGTGGCGATCATCTTGCCCACTGGGAGTGTGACCATCGCAACGCCAGCAGGGTATGAGGCAACGAGATACCCAAAGTAGTAGATACTACTAGCCCACGAGTACTCCGATCCAGAAAGACCCATATCGTCCCGCAGACCCATGATGGCGGTGTAACTGAGCGCAGACTTGTCGAGGAACTGGAACAGGTAGGACATGGCCATGACAGGCAGGAGACTGTGATGCCAAGTTAACGAATGCATGCCAAGACTGAGGCTCAGATTCAACACCTACCACATGTCGATCTTGCGAAGTATCCTCTTGTCTTCTTCCGGGCTAAGGCCTTGACTTGAGATGAAGCCTTCGCCAATGTCCTTGAGTGTCTGGTCTGCCAGACCGGCATCATCGATGGGTGGTTTTTCCGACTTTTCCGACATCTTTCCGGATGAATGAAGGCCGTGGTTGAAAAACGAATCTGCCTTGCGTATCCGAAGCTTGGCTTGTCCTTGCATCCAACGCAGGGCCGAGGGGAAGGGTTGAGCCGATCTTATACGTAGTCTGTCTTAACCCCCCTCAACAACAAAGCCAAGCCGGCAACGCGTGATCGTTATCACTGCAACTCAGCCCGACAAGATGGGCGTTCCAGTCCAGCCATGATCGTGCGGAAAGGTATCGCTATCTGCCCACGGAAGCCAATTCCGCGTGGGAATGATAGACAACTGTCAACAGCCCCTTGCCTTGCTAACCGACAGCATGAAGTCTTCTCAACGTTCGACAGTCACTGATAACACGCGATAGCCGACGTAAAGCTGCATTCGATAATAGCCGACCCACGGCCATTACCCCGGCTGCATCCTTCAGCAATGCGGGGAAGCCAACGGTTCTCAAGGGGATCATCATGTCACGCATGGCATTGGCCGGAAGCCAGTGAGGCGGGGATCTGATGTTATCAACGACCGGCAAACTACCGGAGAAACTCAGATAACAAACAACCCCACCTCGCCGGACTGGAACCGCTCACGCACGTCGACTCGCCTACCTAACCTATTCTGCATCTCAATAATCTCCTTCAAGAAGACGTGCGCGCGGTCGAGATTCTTTCCAAAACGGCTCATGCCCTGGAACCGGCTGAGCACCCACTCGCGATGAAGCAGGTCGTCCGTCTCGAGAGCGACCATGAAAAGCGGCCATGCGATGCGCGTCATGGACTCGTCGCCCTCGTGTTTGAAGGCCTGGAAAGCCAGATTCATGATTTCGCGTAGGGCGTTGCGCTGGCGGTTGGACAACATCGGGGTGTCGTTGAAACGCGTCAGCCGAAGGAACTCCAGGACGACGGCGTGGTAGTGTGGGACGATTCCGCGGATGTTGGCAACAAGACGATGTGAGTTGTCCGTGCTGATTGAGAGCTCGGCTGCAACCTCGAGCAACTCTGTAAACTTCCAACCGACTTGCTGAATGGTCATGTCCACCGCCATGACCCGTTGCTGCTGTGAGGCGTCGTCTTCGTGGGAGAGGTTGGCGAGCTGAGCTATCATGAAACGCAGTTGACTGCAGGCACCGAGAAAGGCGTACACGTTCCGGTTCTCTACGTCGTCCAGGAGCTCGGCTTGAGGATACGCGTCCGCCCACATGCTCCGGTACAGCGGGTTCGAGAAGCGGTGTAACCTTTCAAAGCTGTCGAGTGGCTGGAAAGGACTATTCGGTATACCTGCTCTTGTGATGCCGTTGCTGGCGTCCAGCGCGCTCATGATCTTGTGTAGTGCGCTGTTCAACTGGCCGCCTAGTCCATAGGATGCGGCAGCGGCATCGTGCAGGGCGATCCAAACAAGCATGCGTGCCGAGTAAAGCGATAGCCGTGAACCGTTTTCATCTTGGCCCCGCCTTGTTAGGGCTAAACTTTTCCTGTTGTTCTCCGGGGAGGGCGCCGGTAGTTGGAGAAGCAGATCTTTAAAGCGATGTTGCAGTATCAAACTTGCACCGGTGAGATGGTTGGAAAGACCCTGGCATTTACCGTCCCCGTACTTCTGCTCATACAGCAACATGAGATACAACGCGGTGCAGATCGAATCGAGATCGAGTTGATCGTTCCCTTCACCGCCAATGGTATCGGCCATCATTCTCAAAGCCGAGGAATAATGTTGAAGCGGCGTCCTTGGTCCCCTCGCCTCCTCGGCGTCCTTGTTGCGACGGAACTCAAGCTCCCGGCCGCCAAGCGCGAGCACCACGTGCATGACCATGGGATCCGTCTGCGCAATGTCGAACATAATGGAGTACAACGAAAAGTCCGGGTTCTTGGTGTGGTTCAGCTTGGCAAAGCTGGTGCGAAAGTAGCGAATGGCTTCATGGTCAGCCGACGACAATTCCAACGCGCAGGCACTCGTAACCGGAGCCGACGGATTGAACAGCGATAGCGCCTTGCTCTGTTCCAAATGAGCGACAGCATGCGTCCAGCTCGGCAAACCGGGCGATCCAACTTCCCTAGATGCAGCCGACGAGACGGAAGAGACGAGCTGATCCTTACGTGTCTTGCCACGTTTGGTAAGCTTGATGCGGGGTGCATAATCGCAGAGGAGCCGCAGACGGGTGCAGCGATGGCAATGTGGTCTCTGTTCGTCGCATTTCACCTTCTTGGTGCGACAGGTCCAGCAACCGTTCCTCGAACGAGGTCCACTCCGGCCCTCCGCCGTGCGAGATGCCGGAGCCGATGCCGTGACGGGGCGGGCGACCTCCTCTCCAGGCTCATCATCGGCTGGGGCGGCATCAGGAGTACAGGCGATGCCAGTGTTATCAGCGGCGGTCACTGGACTGCTTTCCGGTGAACTCCCCTCAATGTCCGTGGGCGAAGAGCTCATTGGCGGTCGCCTACAATGAGACTCGCGGTCGGCTGTATCGGCGGGATTGTCGCGCTTTTCTGAAGCGTCAGAGTGGAGGCCAAGAGCTGGGGGCCCTTTCACCGGTGTTCGGGATTATTAACGACTCGTTGTGACCGTTGACGCATGCGCTTTGATGTGGATTCGTATGGATGAATTGATATGCAATGCTGGGTCTCTCTTGTTGCGAATATCTGTTGTGTAACAGGATTTTCTCGAAATAGCCGACGAGACAAGATGTCGTGTTTGTATCCGTGTTTGAGAAGAATCAAAGAGATAAAACCACCAAGTGATTGATCAGATAAACCAAGTGGAGGTAGCGGCTGGGCCTCGCCGTTGTTCGCCGTTTAGGCGATGGGCTGTTTATCAAGTTGAAAATACTGCCAAAATTGCCGACCATCGGCTATCTCTTTGCAGGCTCGCCTCAGTCGTCGGTAAGCTGAGAGCACCGATTGCCGATGTGCTCTCGTCCTTATCCTCTTGGATAATCCCTGCCTTTTTACTCATCAATCTCTCTCCGCATCTGGCCCATGATGCTGTGAGTGTACCGTGATTTTTAGGAAAAGTGGCGAGTGCCGTTCCTCAACAACCATCTGAAGAATATCTATCAAAAGGGACAGTTGCCCATTTCCAAGTTTCTTGGGGTTTCGATTCATGTAGTTCTGCAGTCTTGAACTCACTCACTATCGTTGACACTGCAACCAGCGAAAGCGTACTCGTCATGTCCATCATCCAGATCCCTGCTCCTGCAAGCGAGCAAAGCACCAACCAAACGTCAACAACGACGCAGGGATTCGATCTCGAAAAGGCGCGTACCATCGTCAACTCACATCTCGATGACCTAGACTCTTCGCTGCACAACGATATCAACAAGACCTTGCACGCAAACCCGGAAACAGCTTATCAAGAATTCTTCGCCCACGAAACAATCACCAACTACTTGGAGAAGCATGGTTTCACCGTGAAAAGACACACATATGGCCTCGAGACCAGCTTCGAGGCGGAGATTGGCTCCGGCGGTCGCCAGGTCGTGGTCTGCGCTGAGTATGACGCCCTTCCTGGCATCGGACATGCTTGCGGCCACAACCTCATCGCGACATCATCGATAGCTGCGTTTTTGGGTGCCGCCCGCGCATTGTCAGACTTGAAGATCCCGGGCCGCCTCCGAATTTTGGGAACACCCGCAGAAGAGGGCGGTGGTGGTAAGGCCAAGTTGATCGATGCCGGCGCTTTCAACCCCCCTGAAGATGTTGCAGCTGCTATCATGGCACATCCCACGGCGGCTCATCAGGGTGGTAGCGGAGACGGCTCCTCCGGGCTGGCTGGCTTCAAGCTGATCGCAAGCCATAAGTTCCGTGTCGAGTTTCGTGGAAAGCCAGCACACGCGGCCGGTGAGCCGTGGAAGGGGCTGAACGCGCTCGATGCTGCTGTGGCGGCTTACAGTAACGTCGCTCTTTTGAGACAGCAGATTCAGTCGGATGAGAGGATTCACGGCGTCATCGAGGTGGGAGGCACTGTGCCCAATGTCATCACCGATTACACCAGGATGAACTGGAACGTCCGGAGCCCAACTATTGCCCGCGCCGATGAGCTCTTGAAGAGAGTGAAGGCTTGTCTTGAAGCCGGCGCAGCGGCAACGGGCTGTGAAATCAACTACATTGTGTACGCTTCTCAACCTTGCTTCTGCTCCCCAAGTTTTTACTAACATGATTCCCAGTGCACCAACGTACGCAAACTTACGCGCCAATGATACGTTGTGTAAAGCATACGTAGAAGATATGGCTGCCATTGGGGAGACCATTCAGCTTCACCAAGCCAAGCCCTTCAACGCGTCCACTGACATGGGCAACGTATCCCATCTTGTTCCCAGTTTTCACGGCGCTTTCGTCATCCCGACATCGCCGGATGTTGCTGGTCATAACCCCAAGTTTGCAGCAGCTGCTGCAACAGACGACGCGCACACGGCGGCAATTAAGTGTGCTAAGGGAATGGCAATGCTTGCTATTAGGGTGCTTACCGATGACGCGGTCGCCGTTGGCGCCAAAAAGGACTTCGAGACCCCAGACTTGGAGTAAGACACGTCCGAACCCGGGAATTAAGTATGAAGAATTCTCAACAAGTCTGTTCCGAGGCTGCGTTTGTGAAGATGGTGTCTGGGGGAACAGCAGCGAATAGAATATGCGGTCCTTCTACATGAGATACGGATGCGGACCCAGCATATTTACAACAACATTATACCACGAAATCTTGCTATTTTGAAATCAGTGACTTGCGTCTGAGGCATTCCTATTGATCCAGATGGGTATGAGTTAGACATAACAGACAGACAGTCTCTTGCGGTTCCAGAACTTCCTCTTCTTCTCCCTCCGAGCCATGCGGTCTCTCGATCGCTTGCTCAGCTGAATTTCCTTGATATTGAACATTTCCCTGCAATGGGTTTCTCTCTGTTTCCAAAGAATATTGTAAAATTCCACCACCACCTCGCGATAACGCATCGCGATGATCTCATTGATGCCAAACTCACTCATCTCGGCTTGTTCTTCGAGTGATTTGGCATGTCGTTTTGAGACGATAGAGCGAGCCTGGGCAAATGAATCGGGATTTCTCTTCCGATCTGTCAACCAGATAGCTGTGGAAGGTTCGTCTCCGCCGTCTCGAAAATTTGTAATCTCGAAGAGAAGGTCCTGGACTTCTTGTATTGAATTCTCAAGTTTTCGAGTGTTGTGTTCGTCCATACAGGCAACGGCGAGGGACGAGTATGCCATTTTGTTGTGTTGATTGTCAGCTTGCTGTGTGTAATGAGCTGAACGAATATGGGAACGTTGGAACGGCATCAATCTTAAGTACGTCTGCAACTCTCACATCTGTAAAATCGCAGCTCGGAGCTCGCCATGGTGACTTGTCTTTGGAAAACGAACATCGAATCGTCCATGTCATCTGTAACACGCCTTCTTTGACTGTGGCAAGAATCTTCAATAATTTTCCAAAGAATCATTGCTTTACATAGCCGGAACCTGTGGCCCAAGCTTCGGGACAACGATGGCTGGACACAAAGAATCTATCAATGTCATTGATAATGAGATCCAGTGGACACTCAGCCCTGCCAGAGATGTCTAAGTGAAAGGAAACTACAAGAATAAGCCAGTCCCTGAGCAAGCGCAATCAGTCTCTCCAAGTCGACTCTGGAAGTATCAAAGCCGAAATCTCAGCCACAACTTTGACTCAGCTTTTCAATTACGAAGGTTGAAAGAGAAGTCATATGTTCTTTCGAATTTTCAAGTATTCTTCAGTTGTAGATCAAGTATCCGGGTTGCTTTCCAAAACAACTCCCCAAACAACAAAATCTTCGGTAGCTGATGAAGCCAGGTCACAGCTAAGCCACATGCATGCCTTGGCCTTGGCGATGACTGGCATTAGTGCCATCTACGCGCCTGTGGCTGACTAAATCGACACGAAAACCGTTCCCTCTCGTCTCACTGAAATTCGTTTGTTTCTCCCCTTCTCAACAATATTTGAAATCACGTTCTCCGTCCTCATCATTCATCACAAGACACAAAAAACTCTCGGCTGACACGTCCGTGTTCTAGTCAGGATGTCTTCGAAGCAGTCACAGACTGACTCTGATGCACAGCTGATCTACAATTACCACCGCATGGGCATGCCCCTCCGTCCCGCCTCCGCAATCTTCTGTCTCTGCAGCCTCGATACACGAGTTGCAGCCCGCGCTGCGCAGCTTTTTCTCGATGGCTACGGCGATTATCTGATATACTCAGGTGGTGCAGGAAAGCTCACCGAAGATCGCTTCTCTGAGCCAGAAGCCGAGGTGTTTGCAAACATTGCTCGCAAGATGGGCGTGCCAAACGACAAGATCGTCGTGGAGCCGCTGTCGAGTAACACCGGCGAGAATGTTCGCTTTACCCACGCCCTCCTTGAAGAAAAGGGCTTGAAGGCAGAGAGTTTTGTTTTGGTGCAGAAGCCGTACATGGAGAGGCGCACGTATGCTACGTTCAGGAAGCAGTGGCCGGACGACCAGACGGCGTTCACGGTCACAAGCCCGCAACTGGATTTTGACGAGTACTTCGACGCAGAGAATCCCAAGGAACTGGTTGTGAACATCATGGTTGGGGATCTTGTTAGAATTCGGGAATATCCGCCCAAAGGATTCCAGATTGAGCAGGAGATTCCGGCTGAAGTTTGGGATGCGAATTTGAGGCTCATTGCCGCGGGATATGACGGGCATCTACCTTGAAACAGGAGCTCTCATCGACTACCATCAAGTGTAACATTCCCTGCGAGAAACGCTCACGAGGGTTGAAGTCGACTTAAGAGGATGGGGCCGCGCGGGAACGGGACAGTGGAGGACTGGACGTGCATTGAGTTGGGATGAGTCCGGCATGTCATTCTTCTGCATCTGATATGTCCACAAGGTCTTCCCTGCTTTTATAGTCATGTCCTGTTTTCAATGACCACAGCAAATGCTTCATGTCCAATGTCTTGGCAAGTGTACGACGTCTCATCCCACTAAAGTTTAAATCCCTCCGCGTTTTGAGTTGCCGTAATCCGTGCCCCCAACTTCGAACGAATGATCGTCTTCGTGTGTTTTAACGTCTTGTTGGCAAACCCTTAAACCTCGCTCACTCCCGTGTTGTAGACAAACATCTGCGGCGGGCTATGTGTGCGTTCAACTAGAACGTCATCATAGCTACTTTGACCCGGCGGTTTGTGACCGTTTCTTCGTTCGCTTAGTCGATATACTATCTTCAGTCATCCTTCGTCTCGAAAGTATGCGTCAAAATGCCTTCGGTCGTGGAGCTAAGCAAATTCAAGCCCAATCTGCCCGTTCTGAAGCCCCAGAGTTTGCGAAGGTCACTTGGTGGAAGGAACCCGGTCTTAGGAAGTTATACTTCTGGTGTGCTATACTGATGGCCATGTCTGCCTCAACGGGTTTTGACGCGTGAGTATTTCATTGGGGCCGAAGAATACACCAGCTGACGTGTTTCTCTTTGTAGTAAGCTTATGAACACGTCACAAGTCATGAATCAGTGGCAAAATTCCTTCAACCACCCAACAGGAGGTAGATTAGGCATCATAATTGCGATTCTTGACATCGGTTCACTATGCAGCTTTTGGATGGTGTGAGTTGGAAACGATGATATGAGGAGTCTGTAGGCTTTCATACTAATTGGAACCAACATAGACCTTACTTCGCGGACACCTACGGCAGGAAGGTGCCCATTATCATTGGATGCATCATCGAGACTATTGGGGCTCTCATCGGAGCGTTTTCCAGCAGCCAGGCAAGTAAGTTAAGGGCATTCTTCCTATTGATTGAGAACTGAGAGCTTAACCATTCGCAACACCTAGTGTATATGGCGGGTCGCTTCATTCTTGGCTTTGGAAGCTCCTTCAACGGTGCCGGCCTTCTTATCGCAGAGATAGCACATCCACAACATCGCGCCAAGATATCGGCTATCGTCAACTGCATGTATGGCGTTGGATCAACATTCTGCGCATGGCTGGCACTGGGAACGATCAAGATCACGAGCGAATGGTCTTGGCGGTCTCTGACAGTCCTTCAAGCCTTCCCGGGAATACTCGTACTGTCGCTCATCTACTGGGTACCGGAGTCGCCGAGGTGGCTCATTGCCAAAGAACGTTACGAGGAAGCAGAAACCATGCTTGCCAAGTATCACGGCAACGGCGACAAGACGAACGAAACTGTTGCTTTTGAATTCCGAGAAATGAAGCAGACATTGGCACTGGAGTTTCAACACCGGAAATCGAGCAGCTACCTTGAGTTTGTCAGAGTTCCAGGAAACAGGTATCGTGTGGTAATATTGATCTCGCTGGCAATGGTTTCTCAGTATAGCGGCACCAATCTATTTTCCAACTACGCCAACAAAATCTACGAGGGTGCGGGTATTACTGATCAGACAAACAAGGTCCTTGTAAGTCACTGCTGATTCAAGCCTCGATTCGCGCTCTAAAGTGACTGACAAGATAAACTTAAAAGCTTAGCGGTGGTCAGACTCTGATGGCTCTAGTCGTATCTGTCGGCTTCTCGTTGACAATTGATCGCTTCGGCCGCCGACCCCTTTTCCTCACCGCCACTACAGGGATGGTTCTAATGTACATGGGATGGACAATTGTAAGTTCTCAATACGAGAGAACCCATGATCTGTCCCGGTTTGGATATCCCCAGATCGCTTTCATATGGCTTTTCAGTCTCTCTTATCAAATCGCATGGACTGGCATCATGGCGGCCTACGCGTTGGAAATCATGCCGTACAGCTTGAGAGCTAAAGCCGGTGTGATATCCACAATCTTTGTAAAAGGTCTCATAGTTCTGGGAAGGTCAGTTACAAAAAGAGTGTGCTTCTCGGTCGTTCAGGCGGTAGCTAACATGATATTTCAGTTACACAAACCCAATTGCTTGGGACAACTTCACAGCCGCCGGCCACGCATGGACCCTTGCAATGTTTTACACGGTGAGGAGCGACGTTCTCCCGCCCCTTGCAATTTCTAACTATTCGTTTAGATTCTTGACTTCTGCTATCTTCTCTTCGTCTACTTCTTCTACCCAGAAACAAAGAACCTAACTCTCGAGGAGGTTGCCAAAGTGTTTGACGCAGACGACGCCAAGGTTGCCCGGGTAAGGATCCAGGACGTTAGAGAAGAAATAGATCGAGAAAAACCCAAACAGCCACAGATAGAGGTCAATTCTCTTTGATGGACGGAATCTAATTTTGTCTGGGATTTATATCATTTTTCGAACATCCTACCAGCAGTTCCTGCATGTAAAAAGGTTGCTTTGTATAGACAAATGCTTTCCGATACGTGTATTCCATGTTGATGTCTACTTCCAAAGATTTCATGTGACCGCCGGCTATTCTCAAAGTCTCTTCAGAACTGACTTTAGATCAAGTACTTGAGAAACAAAGTCCAGGCAGTTGCGATCATGGCGACTAGGATGGAGAGTGTATAAATCGTCCATGGCTTTTTCACATCCCTCTTTGTAAGAGGATGGCTGTTGGGATCCTCGATCTCGGCTTCCAGTTCCTCCCGCTTTTGGCGAGTGAGAGTCATCCCTCGACCAAGCTTCTTGTGGTCCAGGACAATGTAACAACAGCCGAGGACAAATCCCCACGCTTTGATAGCAGTCGAAACTTTCAAGACCTTGTCGTAGCCCATGTCTTTGGTGCCATCTTGTAAGACACCATAAGCGACTTCCATCTGCGAAGGTGTGAGTAGGGAAGAACGGCAACACAGAAGCGCTAATTGGACTCACAATGGTGCCCCCGGAGTTATTGAAGGCTCTCCAAATTCCAAATGCCGTTCCCAGCTTGTCTTGATCCGCAACCAGGAGCGGAATGCAGACGTTCAGCGGCATGCCATTTATGAGACCAGCCATTGACTGGAATACCAATGCCACTAGGGGGTGGACATTGGTGAAACCAATAAGTGAATTGGCAATGATGTAGAACAGTGGTGCAAGGGCGACATAGTGGAAGCGATGGCCGTACCGGTCAATGAGCCATCCTATGATAGGACTGCCGACGATCCTCAAGACACGCTGTCCTGTCGACATGAAACCCGCTGTTTCTTCGCTGTATCCTTTCATGCGAATGATATCAGCTGCGGAGACACCAAACCCATTTGCGCCTCCGCTTTGAAGAATCTGAGTGCCAGGAAGCATCAAATACTGCCAGGGCAGCCCAAGAAGTGATCTCCAAGAAAAGATACGCTTTACATTGAGCTTATGGTTCTCGGCCAAGGCTTTTGCTCGCGCAGAAGTCAAACGCAGATGTTTTGGGATGAATACTCGTTCGAAGACAACATAAACGATGTTGATTATCATTGAAATTCCGCAGAAGATGGCTGGAATCCAGAACGTCCAGCCATACCACCCGGTACGGTCGCGAATAGGGATGGCGACCATTCCTGCCACCATACCCACGGTACTTGATATCGCATTCTCCAGACCGAAGGCAAACGCGAGGCCACTAGCGCCGAACCAGTGATATACGAACTGATTTCAAAGGAAAGAATTAGCGCCGTAGAACCAGTGGTCTGTCAGACTGGGCAAACCTTTTGCTGTGCTTGATCCAGGATGGCAACCCCAAATCCCATGAGGACATGACCAGCAGCTAACATTCGCCAAGTCTCTAGATGCACGGCAGCGGCCGCCACGGAAGCCCCCACGAAGATGACTGTAGTGCAACAGATGGTAATTCGGTTTGGTCCCCACCAGTCAAGCGTCATTCCGCCGATAATAGGGAATATTGAGTTGACAAAGGAGTCCGCACTAGATATAACACCGAATTGAGCGTTTGTAATACCTAGCTCGTTTCTCAAAGTGTTCTTCAGAGGCCCCAGGCTTGCATTGGTCCAATTCGAGCCAATCGGGAACGCGATGACACATGCTAGAGCAATCCATTTGTATGTCCATGGGATAGGCTTCAGGGAGTCGTCGTCGACTTCCATTGGAGTGGGATGTGCTGGGCTATCATCGTCGGAAGTGGCGGCAGCTACACCAAGCGTTGGAGTCTTCTTTTCGTGTTTCGCGTTTTCTTCCCGGGAGGCTGACATGATGGAAAGATTAAAATACGGTGCTGAGCTTTGACATGTGTACAAAGCCCGAACTTCTTGAGATGACGAGATTACTCACATATAAAGTCAGGAGCTCTCGGTCCCTGCTGAACCGAGACCTTCCGCCACACTTTACGCACAAAATACCCAGTCCATTGTAAATGTAAAGAAGACCAATAGAAAAATTCCTACTGATCTTATCAATCTTATCTTCATCAGACCGGACAGTATCATGACCCGAGGACAGGAGGAAAATCTGCCCGAGAATATGCAGCCAAGGCCAAGGGATTTACGGGCAGAAAGCCGAATTTCGGCCTTCCTCCAGTTACGTGAGACATATCACTATCTTGTTCGTATTATCAAAACGGAAAATTTCCTGCCAAGGTCACTGGAGCTGATGTGGTGGGAAGAAAACCAATGATTGAAAGACGCCAAGGCCTACAGGACGCAAGCGAGCTCTCGCGCGAGTCACGGATATTGCTCATCGCTGGTTGAGATTATCCGTAAGATGTTGTTGAGGCTGAGTTAAGGTTGAGTCTTCTGCTTAACTCTCCAGAACAACCGGGACATGACATGAGGCTGAAAGTTCCGGCTCGCAAAACAGGAAAGCAACCAGCTTAGCTTCATGAATCGAGAATTTGGAACACGACGTATAAGAAAGAGCAGGTATGATATAGATGGCTGGGTTAATCCCCATCAACGGCTTCAAAAAGCATCCGCAGTCGGGCATTGTGGAGTGTATGTATTGCTGTCAACAGGTGGACTCGACGGAGATGTGGTGGGTCAAGCCAGCAACCCAGTTGACATGGCTGGCCCAGAGAACCGCAAAGCTAAGATTTATGGTTATTTTTCTAGACATGGAGCATCGGAAATACCTGCAGCCTGCCAGTCCTGGTGGGGGAATCGGAAGACATAGGGACTTTGGTGTATCGGAAAGTCTCCCGAGACGCTAATGTTCATGTACCTACATCACGATCACGAACGTGTAGAGAGAACTTGATGGCCCAGTAGATACCTCTCACCTTCGCTCTGCCATTGCTTTTCAAAGACATCTTGTTTTCCTGCATCCATGACGTGAAAGAACAAGATGACTTTTGGCCCCGCAGAAGACATGGAATTGAATGAGTGTCCGTTGTCTAGAATTATTTGGGCTGTATGTGGGCAACCAATGCTTGTCACCAGGGCCTTCGGAGTTCATCAGATAAGCAGCCCCACGAAGCAATTGCGGATAGCCCCGTAGCTTGACACTTTTCCGGGACGGGATTCGACCGCTTCTATCATCCCTGCGGCAAATTGGAATGCCCCAACGCATATGAACCAACGAGAAAGCACCAACGCGCTTGGCAGAGTGAGTTCAATAGTTCGTGGCCCAGTGGCATTGTTGACCACATCGGAATAATTTTGACTCCCATGCATGTATTGCTCTACTACTGAGGCAAATGAACCTAGTTTGTCAGCACACATCAAAAGAGTATTGATGGATATTGTAAGCCGGGTAATAGAATGGCTGAGCGGTACATTAGAACGTAGCAAGGTCTATCTCCTATCTGTAGTGATACATCTTGGAAGTCACAAAGAGTTTGTTCGCGAATTGGACAATTTATTTCGGCCGGCTTTATGCAAACTTGAAACAGCAACACCAAAAGCTTGATTGTCGAACGTCATTGAGGGTTTATTCAACAATTAAGAGTGACGTAGATTAGTCAGTACATGAAATTAAAGATACTCTAGTCCATCAGACCTTCTGTATGAGCACAACTTGACTATCGTAATCTCCCACGAAGGCGTATTGAACTCCAGTGTTCATGAGGGTTGCGCCAGAGTAGGTTCCGTTGTTATTCAAAGAATAGGAGGCTGTTGGGTCCAGTCCCTGGAGACGAAGGCGAGGACGAGCAACGTTGTACCATGAGCGCACTTGATAGTAAAAGAGCACAGCTTGTGATCCATCTTCAGAGATCACCAGGGCGGCTGGCCAGTTGGACTCTTCGGGGAGGTTGAGACGCCAGAAGTCGCCGTTAATCACGATCGGGTTGACCACTTCAGCGAGAGACAGCAACTCGGGAATCTGAGCCTTTTCCTCTTCAGGGATCTCGGCGGGGTTCAGCTCGAAACCGAAAGATCCGCCCATCATGGCGACGTGAGCGCGGAATTTGAAGGGAATTGTGCGTTCCGTCTGGTGGTTGGGCACCGTTGAAACATGAGCTCCCATCGCGGAAAGGGGGTACGCCAACGAGGTCCCGAATTGGATGAAAAGACGGTCGAGAGCGTCGGTGTTGTCTGATGTCCAGACTTGAGGGAAGTAATGAAGGATACCAGGATCAAATCGTCCACCACCCGAAGCGCAACCCTCCCACAGCACATCTGGGAATCGAGATGTGAGGACTTCGAAGACGTGGTAGATTCCAAGCATGTAGGAGTGACTGATGCCTGGAGTCGGGGTTTCATGGAATCCTCGGTTGTTGTCCCATTTGACGTAGGAAACTGCAGTAGTGGAGAGAATGTTCGAGAGCGACTCAATGATGAACTCCTGCACCTCAGGAAGCGCCACGTTGAGCACAAGCTGGTTTCGACGGATCGTCCTCGGATAGTTGCCGGCATGAAGAACCCAATCGGGATGCTCTTGGTAAAGAGTTGAGTTGGGGTTGACCATCTCAGGCTCGAACCAAAGCCCAAAGAGCAACTTCCCAGAGGAATTGGCGACATCGAGACCAGTAACCTTGTCGACGAGGGCGGGAAGTCCATCGGGGAAACGGGTCGGGTTGGCCTCCCAGTCGCCTAGGCCTGCTGTGTCGCTCACGCGCGGGTACTCTTCTCCAAACCATCCATCGTCCAGCACAAAGAGCTTGACACCGAGCTGAGCAGACTCTTGCGCGAGGTTGTAGATCGTGCTGTCGTTGTAGTCGAAGTAGAGACCCTCCCAACTGTTCAACAATGCAGGACGGGTCTGGGTGACAAACTTGCTCTTCTGAAGATGCTTGCGGTAGAGACGATGGAATTTTCGTGACAAGCCACCGACGCCGGTGTCCGAGTAAACTGCCACGACTTCGGGAGTTGTGAGAGTCTCTCCTGGTCCCAGCGGCCATGAAAGTTGGTACGGGTTGAATCCGAGCATGGCCCGCGTGAAGCCTTGAGAACCCTTCTCAATATCGACAGAGAAAGATCCAGTGTAGACTAGAGAGAAACCCCAAGCTTCGCCATGGGACTCTGTGGTTTCTGGAGAGACAAGTGCGACAAATGGGTTGTGGAGGTGGGATGAGTATCCAGTGGTGCTACCGAACCTAAGAGTTCCAGTTAGTCAACGTTTCTGGTTGTTTCTCGTAGGCTACAATCGGCCATGTACTCACCCTTGAGTTCCGTATCCGACCTTTCTCTGAGTTCTCATAGCTTCTCTCGCCCAATCTCCCCTCAGCTCGATGAACTCCAAATCTTCCAGAGGCAAATCGACGCTTAAACTGGCAGCCTTCTGCACGGTAATGTTGCCCTGACCTTCGTTGGTGATGTTGACGCTTCTCACGATCGCATCATATTTGGGGAAGACGGAGTATGAAAGGTCGACTGCAATAGAGCTGTAGTTGTCGTAGAGAGATACGACAAGAGTAGAAACGTCATCGTCTGTGCCGAAAGTCGATGGGAGGCCAGGGAGGCCAGGTTTGCCCGGGGTGACTCTGTGAGATCGGTATTGGAGGTCGCTGACGGTGTATCCCTCAGACTGCTGGATTTGGATGGCGGGCACCCGAAAGTCTCCTCGGCCAAGGTCGGGATACTCCCGTCTGACCCGGCCAATCATGTCAACCCAACCATTGACCGCGGGAGGAAGCATTTCCATGCTTTCAGTCGCTGGGCCTCCGAAATGGTCGGAAAGAAGATCGCCGGTGAGTTCATCTACATGGAAACGGTAGGACGAATGGTCGCCGTTGAGAGCAAAAGATGTGCCATCGACGACAATGCCTTCATCATGTCAGTCTTGTGTATCTCCGGTCAATCAGAGGGTGACGTTTGATACCTTTTGCGGACGGGGCATCCTGGGCGAAAACCTTGACAACGAGAGCCGGCGTCAAAGCCGCAATGGCAGTGTGCCTCAACCAAGAGATCCCAATCATGTTGAGTAAGACTGAGCCGCGAAAGCGAATGAAGCTGAGTGAACAGAAAGTTCTCGTCCAGACACATAGCTTCCACGCGCCATCTTAAGTAGTCATCAAGGTTTGACCGCACGACTAAGGTAGGACACCGCAACTATGTCATCCACCCGCATATGCGGCTCCTCCGTAGCCTCCGAGCATCTCGTGATGAGTTAGTTCGTCGAGCAAAAGCCATAGTTTCGTCGAAATCGTCGGCGGTTTCCCCAAAAGATCGCCAGTCAAAGTCCCACTTTCAATCTGCTGCCGGCCCATGACACCAACAAGATCAACCTGCCAGCGAGTTCCCCGCGAGTTCTCCGCCAGTTTTCCGCCGCCTGGCTGCAGCGCAAATGCAACGTTCTCACGGATAATCTTTCTTGACCACACTACTCCCCGCACCGAACATGCAATTGAGGGGTAGCTAACCTTGGCGACTGCTAGGGTTGCAGTAAAGCAGTGGGAGGCTCTCTGGGGATTGGGGAAAAGCTGGTGAGGACCCATGAAAAATCTTGCTTAGTGCCAGTAAAACCACACCGTGACACCATATTTTGGCAGCTAGGTCACCGGCATGGAATATGCATGCAGCTCAGGTTCAACGTAGAGCCCACGCGTGCATATGGGCTTGCCAAAACAATCAGGGTGGCTGCATTGTATTGCGCAGGGAATTGCACTAGGTGCATGCGGGCTTTCCAGAAGAGAGTGGAAACATTTTCGGAAGACGGGCAACAAAAAAGTTCGGAGGCCTATGAAGCAGCTGAGACAGGGCATGAGGCCTTTGTGGAATTATCTATTAGTCATATTGCCGCATCAGCATGCTTTGCTATCACTAGCAGTCGTAAGGGCCGGAAGTATAAACGTTTAATTAAGATATTGGGAATCGGTACCTCCGTTTAATGTTCTTCACGTCTCCCAGTCAAATCGAAACATGTTTGCAGGAACAAGGGCTTATGCCACGAATGCTTCCAACAATCAGCACGTAAATGCATGTGGGAGCTCAAGAGACAGTCAGTTGACTCGAGGCACTAGTTCAATTACTAATAGCTACTTCTTCCCGTATTAATTAAAAATTACTTGATCTCGATCGTAGTTTGAAGAGACAGGTTTCTGCTGGAGTTGCCAAGCCAGATAGTGTAAGTTCCCCTCTTCAAACGCCATTGCTGAGCCTCAACGTCCCAAACGCTCAGATCGCGTCTGGTGAGCTCAAAAGACGCCGGGGACTTCTGACCAGGAGACAAGAAAAGACGCGAGAATCCACGCAATTGACGTGCGGGGGTATCATCGTCAGGAATTCCAACGTAAAGCTGAGCGACCTCGGCACCCTCCACATCACCGGTGTTGGTGACAGAAGCCTTGGCAACAGCAATGACTTCCCAAAGAGACGGGTGTCCTCCTTGGACAATAGGGATGCTAGGGTCGGGGAACTCAGCAGTGTCCGCAGCGGTGGTCAAGCCGGCAGTGAGATCAGCGAGTTCGAATGTGGTGTACGAAAGACCGTAGCCGAACTCATATCGAGGAGTGATGTTCTGTGCGTCGAAGTAGCGGTAATCGATGTACAGACCTTCGGTAAAGTTGCTGTCTGGGAAGAAGTCGTCCGATGCGCTCGAGTTGAGGTGGTCACCGTAATCGGATTCCAGCTTGGCAACTGTGAATGGCAGCTTGCCAGAGGGGTTAACGTCGCCCCAGAGGACATCAACCAGACTGTGACCGCTTTCCTGGCCGGGAAGACCAGCGAAAAGAACGGCAGTGATGTTGGGATGATCGATCCATTCGTCAACAGTGCGGATGCCTAGATATAGTTAGTAAAAGTTTCATCCGCAAAGGTAGATATCGGGAGGATGCGTCCACGTACCAGTTGAGTGAATAACAACGACGGTGTTTGAGCAGTTGGCAGCGACATTCTTGATGAGATTGTCGCTGAACTCATCCGTCAAGCTGAGTCGGTCAAAGCTCTCTGAAGCGTACGCGTTGACGAAGACAAGACAGGCCTCAGAGTTGACGTAGGGAGGAGAAGGGTTCTCCGAGTAGAAATCCCAGCGCAGGATACCCTTGTTCTTGGAAATGCGCTCCTGAATGGCCTGGAAGGGAGACACGACGTACGGAGGTGTGCTGCCACCTGAACCACCTCCAGTGATCAAAGTTCCGTTGAACGTCTCCCAGCCGAAGTTGACTTCATAGCCGCCGCCGTAGCGACTTGGGTTCTCCCAAGGGATAGCCTTGACAGTCGCATCGTAACCGTAGATTGACAAGAACTTGGGATTCTTGAGTGGCAAGGTGCCGTTGACGTTCTTCACCAGAACAGTACCGGCAGCTCCGATTTGACGGATGAGATGAGAGTGATCAGCCTGCACGTCAACCGGGTAGGCTTTCTGAAGGTTGGAGTGAACTGCAGGCTCGGGGAAGGCGTGTTCCTGGTGGAGGAAGTGGTAGCTGGCGAGAATTCTGGTAACCATGTCGGAGAGACGGTCCTCGGTAACTGAGCCGTTGTTCACTGCCTCAACCAGCTTGTCACCCCAGAAGCCTGCGCCAGGCATAACAAGGTCCAAGCCGGCGTTGGCTGAGGCAACACCTCCCATCTGACCCTATCAGGAGGTTAGTAGAAGTTCTGCCTTTTAGTGATTCGGAAACTCGTACCTCCCAGTCGGAAACCACCATGCCCTCAAAGCCAAGCTCAGTCTTGAGGATACCATTCAAAAGCTTCGAGTTTTGACATCCATAAGAATGATTGGCGCGTTGGTAAGAGCACATTACAGCAGCTGCGCCCTCCTTGAGAGAGTTCATGAACGGGAACGCGTAAAGCTCGTGCAGAGTGCGATCGTCGACATTGGAGCTGATGGCTTCACCGAGATCAGACACTCGGCGACGGTACTCTTGCTCATTCAGCAACCAGTGCTTGGCCGTTGCGATGACTCCGGCATCTTGGATTCCGCGAGTAATAGATCCCATACCAATGCCGGCGAGGTAGGGGTCACTGGAGAGGCCTTCCCAGTTGCGACCACCGCGAGCAACGCGACCAAGAGGCCCAGCGGCTGGACCAAGGGCAACGTTGATACCTTTCCCGTAGTATTCATCGCCAAGAGCTTTGCCATACTTGTAAAGCAAGGCCTTGTCAAACGTGGCAGCAACATGGATGCCGGCAGGGAATGCGGAAACAAACTCTTGGCCGCGGATGCCGTCGGGTGCATCCGCGAAGCACAGCGCCGGAATCCCGAGTCGCTCAACCGCACCGGAGTTACCGACACAGGTACCAGGCCACCCTCGGGTGATGTTGGCCTTTTCTTCGACCGTCATTTCCGATACTAGAGCTCTAGCATGGCGATACGCAGCGGCCCAGCCGGCGCTGGTTGTGCCGTTGCCGATTGCTTGAAGATTGGTATTAATGGCGGTGACCGAGGGACATCCCGTGACTGGGAAACTTACGGGAAGGGTAGACCGGAGGACTTCTGCCGTAGTACGGGACCTCCGACGGGTTGGAACCGTTGGTCTGGGCAACGGCCAATACGCCATTGAGGGCGACGGCAAGAACCGTAGTTGACTTCATCGTCGAGTGGATCTCCAATATCTTTCCGGCTGAAGTTCGAGACGAGGAAAGTCTTGCGCCCTTCGACAGGTACCGATAAGAACCGACAGGAACCTTCCGAGAACCCTAGCACAGTCATAGCCATCTTATAAAGCTCTTCGGTGACTGAACGATATGTTCCATTCTCTTCCGTCGGTGACTGTACCCGGCCAACGTCATTGCCGGTGAAGCAGAGCCCGAGATGGACATGATTGAATCGGTCCTATTCAGAAAATGATGATGGAGTCGACAGGCTTGTTGTGGGTTCATGACTCGATATTAACCGGTTCTGACTGGCGAGATCGGAGAATAGTCTCTTGACCATCGTAATATTACCATGAAGGCTGGGGCTGCAATCAAACAATTGAACCAACAATAGGCCAATGGACAACCCGGACCACTGCCGGCGGGGCTTCTCCGACCTACCCCGCGCTCTCCGCATCGGCGACTCTCCGCTAGGAGACTCGCGGTCGAAGCAAGGTTGCGGGTGACGTTGTGGTGGATAAAGTGGATTGCTGTTCTCCGGAGTGTTCCCGGTCTTGTCGTCTGCTGACGGATTCCGACTTGCAAATGGCGCAACGGTTGGTGTTGATTTCGTATGTGGAACCTGTTCCCCGCCTCGTTTATTCCGACTGACAGGCATTTGATGAGCTTCTTGCCCAACATTTACCGTTCTCTCAACTCCTGATTGGGCATTGCGTGAAAAGACGGTTAGAGTTACCAACAACGTTCGTGGAACGACTCGGGGTCCGCGCCGGACTCGCTACTCCCCGCCTTCCGGATTCACGCAGCTACACCCGCGGCTGGGCGGCCGTATGTCGGCAGCATCAAGCAATCCATGTCAAATCAGCCATGTTCCCACCTGCTATCAGCTGGACTGCGGAGTCGGATCATCGTGACGAATGCTCCAAAAACCCGTCTTTCGATGTGCATAGCACGTAGCATTCTCATACCCATAGCGGGGCGCATTCTTGAGCAGGACGTTGGGCGGGCGGCGGGCACATGCCACTGGATTGGGACGAATAACTTCAGGTCAAAACTTCCGGTAGTGATAAAGGCAAGGACACCCGTTCAACTTTTCAGTAGTGTCTAAGGTGACTTCTATCACTAATTCTTCTTAGTTCTCTAAATGACCCCTAAGTCCATGAATGTGTTTTCTGCTCCCCATCTCGATTCGGAAAAAAACGCACCGAGGTAGAGGTCCCCGTTCTGAGTAAACGATTATCTTTGTCCGGCTTTGACTCCATTGGACTGAGTCTACATAGCTATTATCTCATGTCACTGCATACCCAGTTCGAGTACCACATCGTCTGATTGCCGTTTTCAATGAAAGATGAATCCTGGCATAAAACGGGCTGGCATGTGACAAGTTTGATGTACTCAGCTACTTCAGACGATGTAGCCAGTCGCGTGGCGAGCCGATGAGCGTAGCAAACCATTGAACCCTGCTCTGTGTATTTTGAGCTTTTCTCCAGCCAGGAAGGATGCGACATGCCTGTAAAGGTTTGGTTTCCAACCCGCGTCCATGCATTGAGTGAAAGCTGTACTGTGGTCTTTGCTGGAGGCCGGAGCTGTTTTTTTTCTTCATGTGCTCCTGTACTTCTTGGCAAAACGTTGTGTCATCAAGTCTTTCAATCCAGATTCTTTCTTTAAGACAACAGAAGCCAAAACCTGACGTTGGCAGCACGTCTATGGTACTATGCCTTGGGGTTCGGATTTTACTGCCCACCTTCAGGTCATATGAATCAACCTCGTTGCAACGCTGAAGTGGAAATCAAATCAACAACTGATAGAAATTTTTCCCACGTCCCCATTCGAATAATTCTTGAGACACCCAATTCAGATCAAGTATATCGATCAAGCTTTCGCATCTCGGCAAAGAGTCAATGCACTTGGAAGCAATAGTTGTCTCGAAATACAATGATACCAGCTACCCTGGTCATCTCTGATGCGATTGACTATAACAAAAGCCCTGTGCCTGAAGATCATCTGCACAAGCTTTTTTTCCTCCGAACTCCTCCACGTGTGACATGCAGCTTTCAGATCCATGTGGGGGCTGAGCGTGGACTGGTATTGGACTGTTACAGTTTCTGTGAAAATGAAACAGCATCCGGTTCCGTGCGAGTATCAGAGATCAGCCCAACTCACAGCAGCACAACCGTCTGAACAAGGGGCTTGCGTCCAAAAGAAAAAGAATAAAAGCCGTTGGGCCCGTTGCATGGTAATTTTTTGCGCCTGTTCTCACATGTTTAATGATTTCGTCTTTTCATCTACCACAATAACCAGCGTGGCCTGGGCGATAATAAGTCAATATGCAGCTTCTTCTTCTTATTATTTTGAATGTTTTCGGGGTCCTAGCTGCCCCTAACATCCCTCGACAGGCTCCACCGGCGCCGGTTGTCCCTCTGCGCATCATGGCGCTGGGTGCTTCCGTGACGTTTGGCACGGGGTCTACTACCGGCAATAGCTATCGAAAGGATCTCCAGGACCTTCTCGTTGCGAAGGGTATGACAGTTGCTTATGTCGGAACACGGGCAAACGGAAACTTTGCGGATAATGCAGTAGAAGCCACCGGGGGCTTCAGAATCAATCAGATCGCCGACTCCGCGGATAAAGCTGTGCCTATGCTTAAGCCGAATCTCGTACTTCTCGACGCCGGCACAAACAACTGCAACAAGGGTGGAGATTTCCCCGATGCGGGCGCTAACGTAACGGCTATGATCAACAAGATCTACCAACAAAGTCCGGGATCTACGGTGATCCTGACATCAATCCTCGCAAACAAGGTGCCGGAACAAGATGCTTGCCGGGTCAAGATCAACGAGCAGTTCAACTCGCTGGCGGCACAATTCCAGCAGTCTGGGGCGAAGTTCGGATTTGTGGACATGCGTAGTCCTGAGGCGCCGAATCTCAATGACCTTAACGACACCAGGCATCCGAATGATGGAGGGTATGTCAAGATGGCCAACGTATGGGCCAAAGGAATTCAAGATGTGATGGCGAAAGGCTTTATCACTGCTCCTAGTTGATACAGATACACGTATCCAATATGTACAAACGAATCACGTCTTCTACGATAATCTTCACTTAATAATTGGTTGATTCAAGCTTTTCCAGGTCATTGTGCCATAGGGGGATTGTGAGTTGCTGAGAGCAGGGTGTAGCATGTTTCGAGCTATAAGTATGTGACTGAACCTCATTTCTGTGGGCAGGGAAGTCAGGAAGATTCTATATCTTGGAAGGTCTTCGATTCTATGATGAGACCGACATACTCACAGAGTCCGCCGCTATGGAGTCGCGGATCTCGGTATTTCTCAAGATATCTATGATTAAAACTGAAACAATCAAGATTCCAAAATGGAGATTGGAACATCTACCTCCTTGTCTCGGAAGTAGTCAATGAATCCCTTTCCAAACCCGTCCAGACGTTTGGAGCTGCTCACTCCACGTCCAAGGATTCCGTAAACAACAAAGTGCACTGCAAATATCTGAGGAAACTCAACACGCTCAATGGAAAACTCGGATCGCCAGTCTCCCCCTAAGAGTTCCTGGACTCTGGCACGAGACATGTACGACCGCAGCCAGTCCCACTCGGCCTGCGTGTGGACAAAAAGTCCAAAGTTCAGGTTTGCGCCCTTGTCGCCAGACCGGCCCAGAGCAATGTCCCCAAGACGAACTTTCCGGACCGGACTCTCGAATTCAACTGGAGACTTTGTATCATAAGAATCACGCTCTCCAAGGCTCTCGAACTTCGGAGGTGGCGTTGCTTGGAAGGTCTTCGTTGTGCCGTCGGAGTCCACAAAATGGAAGTGCTCCTTGAGATCCTTTTGGTGCCACAGAGCAGGGTAGTATGCGAGGTAAGGACGAGGTGCCGCAGCACGAACGTCCAAAGAGGTGTGGAACCCTAGGAACATCTCAGTAACCAAGGAAGACAACATGAACCAACTAGCAAATAAGACTGACCGGAGTAATGTTTCAAAGAAATATCGCGAACTGCGAGATTGATGGCTCGCAAAGCCTCGACCTTGGTTGACTGAGCGAAAACACGAATGTAGACAGTGCTGCTGTTCTGATTAGCCGGGTTGTAAGCCGGAGCACCAATCCTGAGTTGAATGTCAGCAGTTGTGGACATAAGGGCACTTGTTTCGGGACGCACTGTTGGAACTCCAAAATGTCGAAACTCTTCAACTTCTCCTCCCCCAAGAGAAATCGTATTTGCTTCTCGAAAAGGGCGAATTTCTTGTCGTAGGCATAACCTGTGGCGTTGAAAGTCGCTTGCAGCTCATAACCGCCCTTGTAAAAGACTGCCAATTTGGTTGTAGATGGTGGAGGTGCGCCGCGAATACCGGAAACTTGAACTCTTGAAAGGCATCAGTCAGTTTTGTGGACAAGGATGATTGAATCTCACCAACAAACCTGTCTTCCTCAACTTGTTCCATGACAACACCATCCAAATAGGCCTTCACGTCACTATTGAGATAGGCATTTCCCTGAAGCTCATAGAGCAACTGGCATCTGCAGGTATCAACTGTCACCATACCGCCAGTCTCCTGGTGTTTTGTGATGACACAATGGCCGTCCTGTGAAATCTCGGCAATTGGAAACCCAGGGTCAACAAAGCAGTCGAGATCAAACGCATCAAAACCTGCAAAGTTGCCGCCGGTGACATATGCCGAACACTCAATCAAGTGACCAGCAACCAAAGCACCTGCCAATTCATCGTAGTCGGTGATGTTCCAAGACCACCAATACCACGCACAAGCAATAACAGGGCTTGCGTCAGAGGCCCGACCACAAATGACAATGTCGGCTCCTTCCTTCAAAGCCTCAAAGATGGTATGGGCGCCCAGGTACGCGTTCGCAGACACGATTTCGCGGGGATCGTCGTTTTCTTGGGCAAAAAGAAAGGACTCGTCTGAAAGGGTGACATGATTGTTTTCGGAATCTAAGTGAGGCAGTGCTTGGTCCCTTTGCTGGGGCATGTACTTTCCGAGTTTCGGTAAGACGTTGTCTCCGGAGACGTAAGCAACCTTCAAATCGTGTCTTTTCTCCTCAACCTTGGAAAGGTCAGTTTCATCAGGAGCAAGATCTCGTCTCGCAAAAGACTTACCAAGGCAGCCACTTTTACGGCAAGACCTGAGGGATTGAGGGCGCCTCCGTTGATACAAACTTTGATGCGCTTTTGGGCAATGACATCGATAGTCTGCTGCAAGCCGTTCCATGCTGTCTCTTCGTATCCAGCGTGTTTTCCCTCGGCGTACGCCTCGGCGTTGTTGGCCATGTTAACCTCTTCAATTCAGTCAGTACATGTACGTGATAACACGGGCAGGTTTGCAGGGTCCAAATGCTTACCTGCAAGATAGTCACCCGTGATAAAGTCGACATCGCCCAGAGTGGCCTGTTTCAACATTTCTCCGGCCGGATCGCCTGCAGTTGATTTATTAGTTGAAGGCCGATCAATGAAGGTCACTCTCATACCGTGATAGCCGGAGCAATTAGCAATGCGGACAGGCCTGACGCCAAAAGCACCCGCTCTCCAACTCTCGTTGTCCAACATTGTAATTGAACTGTAATGGGAATCGAAATAAAATTCGCAAGATGCTGCTGAGCGCCAAACACAGAACTTCGTGACGGTAAGAGTCTGACTTTACACAACGGCTTGAAAAGGAAATAGCGCGGAGTTGCTTTCATTTAAGTCAGCAAGAAAGAAATATGAACTTGGTAGTCGGTTAAGAAATTCCGAGATGAGGGGAATACTAACTCTGATTGTGACTGAGGAGCGACTCAGCCCGTTTGACACTGTTGTTGTCTGCAACGTCATGAGCAGCTCGACTCCAAAATGCCAAAACTCCGAGGCCAAAACTCCGGGCTCAGAACTCCGGCGCCAAAACCCACTCGGCTCCATATGAAACGGCACTTCGGCAGAGACACTATGTCAAATTGGAAGCAGGCAGCATGCCCCTCGTGACAACTGGACACTAATGGGACTTTTTTATAATGGGGTATAGGCTCTGCCGGCATATGTTTGTGGGGAGTTGTATCGGCCCGGGCCATTGGGATCAGCAATGTCGGTCAACCGGAGTTTTGGCAATCTGACCAGACGGTATGAACGACTCGGGGTTTCTGACTCGGGGCTTCACTAACCTTTTTTAAGGTGATCCCGGCTGATATGTTTGTGAGTTTGTTGCATCACAAGATAAATAACACTTTCTGGTAGAGTCTATCAGAAGTTTATCTAGCCTTGCCATACAACCTCACCATCTTACTTGATCGAGCCAACGTCGAAGGCCATGTCGACTTACTCGGTCTTCACCGAGTCGTCTCGGATTTTCAACGATGTCCTCCTCGCCGACGATCGCCTTGGATTTCCGGACGCCTTCAAAGAAGCGGCCAAGAAACTCAAGTTTGTTGGCGGTGATGATAAGCCGTTCGTTCTCACGCCCCTGAAGATTACCGAGTCTTCCGCCTCCCTCACGGCCCTCCTGGCTACTGCTGCCAATGTCGTAGCGGCAGATAGGTATGGAATCGACTACCAGGATATCGAAGTCAATACCGACGCCGCGACACTATTTTTGGAGTCTGTGTTGTTGCCAACCATTGGCGGCAAACAGTTCCTACAGAACCCGAAGATGCTACAGGAGCTTGCAAAGATGGACGTTCACGACATGTCCAAGCCCATCAGACGCTATGCCACCAATGTTTACCAGACGAAGGACGGTCGCTGGTATCATCTCCACGGTTCAATGAACGCCGAGCCGACGATGAAGATGATGGGAGTCGAGAATCTCGACGTTAGCCCAGAAGAGGCCATCAAAATATACGCCGAGAAGGTCTCTCAGTGGAACTCCAAGGAGATTGAAGAGGTTGCGAATGAACAGTACAAGCAAGCCGGCGTTGTCTGCTACACTCCTGATGAGTTCTTTGCCAGTGAGCAGGGTAAAATCATGTCAGAGGAGCCTCTGTGGAGCTCAACTCGAGTGTCAGCCCCGCGGAAGGCTTGGCCTCAGTCGAAAGACAATCATGGTTTCAAGCCTCTTGCTGGTATCAGAATCATCGATTTCTCTCGCGTCATTGCAGCTCCGGCGGTATCGAAGATGCTCAGTGTTCTCGGCGCTGATGTTTTGAGGGTATCTAACGACAAGTTGCCAGAATATCCCTCGACGATGCCGGACTTGCAGACTGGGAAGCGGGATGTTAACATTGACCTCAAGACTGAGAAGGGCAAGCAAACGTTCAGGGAGCTAGTTGAGGGGGCCGACATTCTTGTTGACGGGTACCGCCCAGGAGCACTGAAGAGGCTTGGATTCGACACCACTTCCCTGCGCAAGCTTAACCCCAGTCTCATTTACATGCGAGAGAACTGTTACGGCTTCAAGGGACCATTGGCGCACCGATCTGGGTGGCAGCAGATTAGCGACTGCCTGGTAGGCGTGTCCCATCTCCAAGGCAAATTTCTTGGCCTCGAGGAGGCCGTCGTGCCTCTCCTACGTAAGTGACACCGACTTTGGTATCATTTTTGAAGTACTCGCTGACCTTATCTCAGCAAATTCCGACTACCAAACTGGGTTGATCGGCGCCGTGGCTTGCATCCAGGCGTTGTTGGCCCGCAGCAAGGAGGATGTCACGTTCGATATCGACATAAGTCTTACCCAATACAACATCTGGTATTACAAGCTTGGGCTCCATTCCGAACAGCAACAGCGCGAGCTGCGAGAAAGGGATCCTCAGTTCAAGCCCCGCCACTTCGATGACATGGGCACATTGGTCGGCAAGACGCACGAGTGTTGGAAGAGAATTCGCCCAGATCTCTTTATGCATCCCGAGTATTTCTGGGACATGAGTGGCGAAGGCTATGGTCTTGAGGAGAACATCAACATCTTGGCCCCTGCATTCAAATTCGAGTCAACCACTCTTGGATGGGACGTACCTACTGGTAGAAGGGGTCGTTCAGAGCCTGAGTGGATTTCTTAATCTTCATACAACATCGTTCCTCTCCACTACCATATCCTAGTTTAGGCATACCATTTTCCCAGATAGTGACACCACTTTCACAGTGAAGTCCAGCTCATATAAGAGACAATAGCGGCAAAATGATCAAGTGTTTAGCTGAGAAAGATAGAACTGTCATCGCCTAACAACGACTCAAACTCCCAAGGGACGCCCCACGAATCCAAAATTGCTTGATCCCAGGGAAAGGTATAGCCGTCACTGGAATGGATACTAGAATCCGTGTTCAAACCTAGATCTGATGTAAAGCTGAAGGTAGCGGAAGTGGATTCAGGGGTTCTCTGCGACGAATCTCCCGCGCCGATTGAAGGATTGGTTTGCTCATCGCCGATACTGTTCGTGTTTATAAAGCCTGGGCCACCAGCAGTTTCAGAGCTGCCGGTGATATCACTGCTAAAGGCTGAAACAGACCTCTGAGCAGCTTGAAAAATGTCGGAACAGACTGCTCGAACAGGCCTGAGATAGGAATCCGGCTCCTCACTCTCAAGTAACTTGAGACGCTCGAGGGTCTTCGAGACAAATTGTAAATCTTCGACACTGGCAGAAGAAGGCCGGCGCAGTAAGTAAAGAGAGAGTACAAGAATGGCAGTCACATTAATTGGGACAATGTCCCTGAAGCCAAGCGTCGTTAGCGTCATCTTTTTGTGAGAATGCAAATCATCAACTTCCAACGGTTCAACATACCAATTGAAACTTCGCCACGAGCCCGGGACCAATATCGCCAGGCGCAAAATTGATCGAGCAGCGTCCACGGACTGGGTACTGGAAGCATGACGTCGAGGTCCCATCGTATGTCTAGACTTCCATTCTGTGTCGCTGCGCGCTCGGTGGACTAGAATGACGCAATGGTGATACGTATAGCTCAGACGGAGAATAGCAGGATGCGCAGCTAGTTGAACTAGCGATGTGATATCCAAGGCAGATGCGAACATCGACCGCCAAACTGCTAAATCTTGATTGAGGGTTTCGGTAGCGTCGAGGATAGAGTAACTATTTAGTCTCTCACCGAGGTACATTTTCGAGTACAACTTGGCCTGGATGATGGCCAGGCGGGAGCTAGCATAGAAGACATTAAACGTCGTGTTAGTGACACTGCTGGTGCTGAACTCCTGTTGCGCTATAGGATCAGGGAGGTCAACCTGGAAGTCTCCAAAGTCTTGAGCAGGTGGTCTCCCTGTTCTAAGGCTCAATTCGCGATCAAGAGCAAATGCAAACCAGAAGACGTTGACCCTCGTTGCCTTTTCGATGGGGCTCAGCGACAAGCCACACTCTTTTCTGTGTAGGCCGATGGAATGGGCCAGGCGGATGGCATTTGCGACAAGCATGAAGCTCGGCTGCGGATTTGGGGTTCCCAGAAAGAACCAGGCCAGAACGAGAAGAGCTTGCACAGACATCAATTGCGTAGCTCTCATGAGAACGTCCAAGATGGTGTCCAGCCCATTTGCCGCGTAGCCCCAGACCACATCGTTGTCGGTAGAAACTCCTTCTTCGACACGCCGACGTTGCGCAATCGCCAGAATAGCGTTCAAGGATGTCCACCAGGCCGGACCGCCGTCGAAGTTTCCGGAGTACTGTTGGCCCAGAAGGGCCATGAAGGCAGGTGGATGAAATAATGGCAATGCCATATGCTCCTCTTCGAAAAAGGCTCGAACTAGCGAGAAAGCTTCAGCCCACGATGGTAGCGGGCAATGAACCCGTCTTGAAAAAACGCTCTGCAGCCTGGGGTGTGTCCACAGGGACCATGGTCCTGTTTTTGCGTTTGCCTTTTCGACTTGCATAGTTCTCTGGGTAGAAGACGACGACGCTTGAACTGGAATCTGCTGCTGTCCCCGGAGTAAAGCGATTGCCGATGATGAACCTGGAGGGTATTGGCGTCAGACTCTTTGTTATTGCGATAGAGTAGTAGTTCATGTATTGAGGGCCGTTATTCACCAAAATACCGCAGGTCGCGACTTTCACCCATTAAGGAATCTCGTCCTGCTATGTTGTCAGAAGGTCTATGATGAAGGCTACTGTTTGGACGATAATTACCTGAATTTGATGCGTCCTGGATGGAACTATCCCCCGAGTCGAGGTTTTCGAATGAGTGGCTCTCCATGCTGTCTGGGTCCCCGGAAAGACTCGGGCGGGATTCAGCGTCTCGACTTTGCAACCGAGTTTGAACCCCGCCATCGGTCTCTGTATCGATCGGCTCGACTAATTCACTTCCAGGCCCCTCCGAACGGTCCAGACTTCCCCGAGCCGCCTGCGAAACCAGTCGTTGACGGGTAGATGGCTTGCTTACATCGGCATAATTGCAAATTAGCGACAGATTTTGACACCTGCCGCAAATTGGTCTGATGCCATCGCATTTCACTTTTTTGTTGCGACAAAAGTCGCACGCCTGCATGAATGTCAATTGTGGAAGGGTTCAGGGAAAACGGATGTAAGCACAACCTTCGCAAGACGTCGCCTTCTGTCTCCCAAAGCCGGCATATCCGATGTTTGACGTCGATGTCGGCAAGACAAGAAAGTGCACAAGTCGCGAAGTGAAACTATGGGGTCCAATCAAAACAAAATTCCCAGAGTTGATGTCGCTTTATTACTCAGCAGATCGGATTTTCCCTGCAGGTTTCCGCCTTATCCGGAGGCAGTCCACAGTGCACACTTTCATGTGTTTTCGGCTAAGTATAGCAAATTGACTAGATTAAAATCAAAGGAATCGATAAGGGATAGAGCTTGACTGATGAAAGTTTCGCTCTTCTTTCCGACTTTGAATTTAGAGAGGAAATCGGCTGGCTCGCCAGAACTTCAGTGGTACGCCATGTCGCCCATGTCGTCATATTCCCCCCTGTTCCGTTTCCAGGCCTGGAATCCGACGTGAAAATAATCTCAATTTAACACTGCGCGAGACATATCCCCCATACGCTGCGCCTCCATGTCATTCGATCGAAGCCTTGTGGTTTCTCCTGAAATTCCGATCGATCCATCTTAGCCACCGATAATTCGTCATCCTGGATTTTGTGGTAGTTGTCTGCGTGTCGTCCTCAAGCGTCGAAGTGATACTTGACTAACATTCCTTCAACCAATTCCTCGCTCGCAGCAAACGGATTTCTGAGACATGTATGACCAGAGCTAGTCTAGCTTGGCCAACGCAACGACGACAAGATCATTGACTTCTGTACGAACCTGGCAGTATACAGTCCCCTTCTCAGCTTGGCAGAAACCCCTTTATGATAACCTCGGGGACTTTTCGGAACGGGAGAAAATGTTGGCCACGTTCTGGCAATTCAATAGGGCATGTTGACGAGCCGCTGATTGGTATCGACTCCACCAAGCAGAAGTTGTGGCATGTTGGAACCCCTCCTCCACGACCCTTGTTTCTGCAAGTCGACGGGGGCATAGACATGGACTGACTGGGGCTTCCGGAGGATCAATCCAACAATACTATCTCGACTAGCGCCAACGTGTCCCAGATGGTGGATAACTCGCATTGGGCGCGAGTCTCCGGATTACTTAATAATTGTGCAGTGCCCTCGTCTTGAGATGCTGATCATCTTGCCCAACAAAATCACCCCGTCCCTTTATGTTACTTGGGTTCACCACGACTCTTGATCAGTACATCCTATTCCGTCATACGATTTTAATCGGCTCACTGAAGCCGAGTACTAGCCATTCACATGGACTCATTCCCCGTAGCCAGTCCCCGGCTAGGAGACCTGCGAAAAATGATGAGCGAGAACCCCCTGCCCGTCATCCCCGCAGAAACACTTGAAGGCGCGCGAAAAGAAAATCCAACCAATGTCGCACTCAAGGTGTTCGAGAAACTTAATGCAGCTTTGGCGAAGGATGATGGAGAAGATGTCAAGGACTGCTTCTTTGCCGACCAAGCATTCTGGAAGGACCAGCTCGCGCTAACGTATCATCTGCGCACATTTTCCACCCCTGAAACCATTGCTTTGAGTTTGTTGGAGACTGAAAAGCTAAGAAGCATTCTTGGAGGCATTCATCTGAGCGGCGAAGCCCAGTTCATACCCGCAACTCCAACCCTTGTGAGTAACACACATGATGCGACGCTCGCAGCTGCCACAGTCAGTTCAGCAATACTTACATTGTTGACCTGGAAATAGCAATTCATCAATTGCGTGGCCACTTTCAAGACTGCTTCGCCAGCGGCAACATGCAGCGGTAGGCTTGTACTCCTTCCAGTCAAGGCAAAGACGGACGATTTTAAAGAGGCTTTGGAGTGGAAGATTTGGATCTTGAGTACCAAACTTGAGAGCTTGAAGGATCATCCTGAGAATGAGGTATTGCTCAAGGCTTCTAGAAGAGAACTCAAAGGGCTGGAGACGTTCAAAACGGATGTTTTGATCATTGGTGGCGGGAATGCGTAAGTTCGGCCTGCAGACAGGATTGATTCCTTCGACAGAGCAACTGCTGACTCTTACGACTGGGCCACCAGAGCGTTCACTCTTGCTGCACGCCTCAAGGCTTTGGGCGTCGACAGTGTCATGATCGAAAGGAACGCTAGACCTGGAGACAATTGGGCTCTCAGATACGATTCCCTGAAGTTTCATGTTCCGACATCTATGTGCGAGCTTCCTTATATGAGTAAGCCACTTAAATTCCATCCTTATAACTGAGAAATCAATTACTCACGCGGTGGATAGACTATGACAAGAAGCTCCTAGCGCCGCACCTACTCACCAAAGACGATCTGGCGGAGCAAGCCCGTCGGTATGTGGCAGCTATGAACCTCAACTTTGTCAGCTCCGCCAAGATCAAGTCAACCGTTTATGACCAGTCCAAAGACCAGTGGAGAATCAAGTTCAATACTCCTGATGGGGAGCACACTGCCATTGCAAAGCATCTGGTTCAGGCAACTGGAGTCTCCTCCCAAAAGCCTTACACCCCAGAGATTCCGGGCAGACAGATCTACAAGGGTGTTAGCGTTCACTCGGCCGACTACAAGAATGCCGTCGAACTCAGAGAAAGGGGCCTCAAAGTAAGTACTGAACACTCTTCTAGTTTTTCAGTTCTGGCAGAGTACTGATGGTTGATCATGGTAGTCCGCCCTTATCATCGGCTCTGCCAACACCGCGTTTGACTTGCTCCAAGATTGCTGCGACGCTGGTCTTCAGACAACGATGGTAGTTCGCTCCCCAACCTACATTGTCCCACTTGATTATATATGCAACCCTCAAAGTCTCGGCGCATACGACTTGGGTGTTGAAGCTAGTGACAGAATGTTTCTCACGCTTCCAGCGTGTGTAGACGGCCAGTTTGGTCGTGGCCTGTTCGCTCAATTTGCACAACAAGAACCAGATCGCTACTCAGCTCTAGCTGAAGCCGGCTTCCCCGTACTCGACAGCCGTGATCCCGATTGCGCGTTGATGCACAACCTGCTCGAGCGTGCTGGAGGACACTATGTTGACGCAGGTGCCACGAGACTTATTGTAGAGAGGAGAGCCGGCATCAAAGCAGGAGCTGAGCCAGTGGCTTTCACTAGCACAGGTCTTCGGTTTTCAGACGGCACTACGGCCGACGCAGACGCTGTCATCTGGTGTACGGGATTCGCAGACAAGGATGCCCGAGCAACTGCTGCCGAGATTCTTGGTGAAGGGGAGACCAACGGTTTTGGACCTGGCGTGGATGGAAATAAGAATATCCTCGGGCCTCGAGACATCGCCGCTCGTCTGGATCCTACCTGGAATCTCGACGACGAAGGTGAGCTACGCGGTTTGTGGAAACGCCATTCAAACCTGGAGAACTTCTGGACTACCGGCGGCTACGCTCAGCAGCATCGATGGCATTCGAGAACACTAGCGTTGCAAATCAAAGCTGCGCTAGAAGACATTCTTCCTGCGGCTTATCGGAGTACTCCAATTACTAGGTAAAGCAAGGAGCTAGATGCATCATGTACTCTGTCATACAGTTATTCATATTGAAATAGATAAGAGGGCTCATGATAAGTTAACGTCGTCATCTCAGTATCAGCTGTAGGCGTCATTGGTCAGTCCTATATTGCTGACGAACGTGAACAGGCCATATAGGGTTGCATACTGGTCCCTATTGCGATGTATTGAGTCATCAAACGATTTGGTTGCGAATGGTCGACTGATTATTAGAGCAATGGTTGTATGCATTTGGCAATCACTGGTGCATGGTACTTGGTGCGAAGGAGTATTTGAGTACCACCTGGGTGGCAGATACAGACGCAATTTCCGACATGCAGCGGCGATGGTACCATCTCCGGGATTTGAGAGAGACGGCTGCATCCAGAATACTCCGCACCGGGACATTCAGCCGAATTATGGTCATTGACACGGGGCAAGTTCTAGAACTGGTCTCCGGTGACAACAAAGTCAATGCCGACGGGCTGCCGAGAGATGCGGAGGATCAACACATGAAGACGCTGCAAGTTCAATGCCGGAATTGTGTTTAAATTCGCCAGACGTGATCCCAAAGTCATGAAGCTGCAGCAGTCGCCAACACTTCGAATTTCGTACCGAGCGATCGCACCAGTTTCTGATCACCATGCGCAGCAACAAGGTTGACTCAGTCGTGGGTCTCTTAGTTAGTTTTCTTCTTCAAGGAGTTGTAGCAAGTCCGACCTGCAGTCAGTCCATCTCTCGCGACGTAGTAGTCGTCGGTGGTGGTGCAGCTGGCGCCCACGCTGCCGTATGGCTACGCGACCACAACCAGAGCGTGGTTCTCGTCGAAAGATCTAACCAACTTGTAAGTGTTCAATTAGTCTTAGATGGTGCCAATTCTAACATGCCTTATCCTCCAAGGGTGGCCACACGGCTTCCTATCATGATCCGGCTTCGGGAAAGTCCATCAACATCGGTGTTCAAGCTTGGATGGAGTACAAGAACACCTTCGACTTCGTCCATCGCATGAATGTAACAACAAGTGGTGTGATGCAGTTCACCACACTCGATTACAAATACATCGACTTCAGAACAGGCCAGCCGACCAATTTCACAGCTCCGGCGGCTGACGAAATGTATTCAGCCTTGCAGAGGTATCTCGATGCTATTCTGCCCTACGAAGATATGGTACTTCCGGGCTTCGAGGGGTTTCCCAATCCTGAGAATATTCCCGAAGACCTGTTAATGCCATTTATTGACTTTGTCGAGAAGTACAACCTTGAGGCCGCTGTTCCTCAAATCTGGGACTCCACCGCCCAAGGAATTGGCAACACCATGGACGTTCCTACATTGTTCGTGATCCAGGCTTCCGGCATTCCCATGGTACGCGCTTTGCTAGGCACCGCTGCCGCAGCTACTCCAGAATCAGGCCGTTTGTATGACCTTTATGAAGCTATTGCAGGACTTTTAGGCGACGACGTACTGTACTCAAGCACAGTTTCCTCGTCCATCCGTACCGCTGAGGGTGTGTCGTTGATGGTAACTAATGCAGATGGCAATGTTTGCATCAAAGCGAAGCGTATGCTGATCGCATTTGAGCCGACCGCCGAAAATATGGCACCTTTCGATATTGACGATTCTGAGTCCGAGGTTTTTGAGAAGTTCGGATTCGCCACAGTTTACGCTGGTGTTCTTCGACATCCATCTCTCCAGGCAAGCACTGCCTATTCCAATCGATTACCCGAGACCGGAGCCAGCAACAATACCGTCTTTCCAAAACCATCACAAGTCGGTCGAATCGACTATATCGGCGGTACTGAGGATCTATTCCAGTTCACTGCTGTTGGCACCGAGGGGGATACTTCCGAAACTATGAAAAACCTCATCACCCAACGTATCGATGCCATGATTGAAGCTGGTACAATTCCCCAAATTAACGATACGGTCACCTTCCCCGCCTTTGCGAACCACGGCAAAATGCACCCTCGTGTCACGGCAGAGGATCTTCATGCTGGTTTCATCCAAAAGCAGCTCGCCCTTCAGGGTCACCTGTCAACCTGGTACACAGGTGCAGCTTTTTCTGCCGGTTTCTCAACTGTTGTTTGGGAGTACAACAACATTCTTCTACCAAATATGATTCAAGGAATCTAGTACGATAAAGTCAATGCCTTCAAGTAGAAGAGGATCTATGCTAAACCTCGGGCTCATGTAAATATTGCCGAAGCTGTTATTTGCAACTAATTGAGCGGGCTGGGACTTAATCAACTTGTCTTAAGGTTGATCGACGGCTTTTATCGATCCTCTGTAAGGTTCTCATGCACGAACATTCAAACCAAGCTTAATCATACTGGAAGGATACATACCTTCGCTGATAAATGTCCTGTCATAAAACTCTTCTGGCGCTCAAAGACAATTGAATTCATTGCAGATCTCTTGCTAAGAATGGCTAGGGCCAAATCTAGGGGGGTAATTAGACCATTCACTGATCCAGATCCATTCGCGAGACACTCCTGTTTTCAACACACATACTCATTACAGAGGGATTGCAACCACGCGCCATTGGCGTTACTGAATAATTAAGAAATACCGTGCAATCTTGCGTGGCACTGATTTGTTGTGCGCTATCTGCCACGCCGGGGAACTGCCGCGCAAAGCATTGATTTTGAGCCGACGTGAGTGATGGTCCTGTTTTCCGCACTAATCAGGATGTGACTCCGTTTCTACCCTGCTGCATTTGCGTCGCTGGACTGGAAGAACCCCTCTCGGAAGCATCATCAGCAGATCGCTGTGGGACACTACCCCTCTTTGCTGCATGTTATCGGTGCGAAGTTGCATGGAAAGGTGTCCACGATGCATTCGAATTGGATCATGTTTCATACGATTATGTGATCTTGGCCAGTAGAGTGATGAGAAATAATAAAATCTTTAGATATTGATATTGAGCTTCGGGCCTCTTGTTGTTTATGGTACCCGAAAGTAAACGTTGATGACGAAAGATCGATAAGGTCATGACGGTTGAGCCTCCTCTGGTAATTTCTCACGCCGACGATTTCCCCTCTCGTCAAAACTCTTCCTTCATGGCCCGTCCCGTCTGCAGGGGAGAGCAGGGATAGTCCAGATCCCCAGATTTGTCCCCACGACCTCTACAGACTACATGTGACATGTAATTGCCAAATGAAGATCAGTGCGTAACCTGGACTGAGGGATCAAATGGAAAAGGCCAGCCTTTCAAACTTGGCAATGACAAGTATTTGACTCTGTCGAATATATAAAACCGCGCAAATGGGCTCACTATTTCAAAGACTCAGGATATCAACAGATCACCCTCCTTTCTCAGTCTTTCAATCATAATCTGTTGACGATAACGTCATTCACCGGTAACTAATAATGTCAGCCTACGAAGTCAGAGGGAAGTTCGCCATCGTGACAGGTGCAGGCTCTGGTACGTTGATTCCAAACGCCCTCGGACCTTCAGCTCGTAATCTTATTGTTCATGCTCTTAGGTATCAACCATGCCTTCGTACGAAGGTTGCTAGAGGCTGGATGTTCTGTCATTATGGCGGACCTCAAACTCACACCAGAGGCCGAAATGACTCTGAAAAGTCACTCAAGACAGAACTCTGAGAAGAATGGCGCCTATGCCGTCTTCCATGAGACGGATCTCGTTGACTGGAGCCAAATCAACTCCTTATGGGACACTGCACTCAGAACCTTTCCACAAGTAGACATCGTCTGCAACGGCGCAGGTGTTTATGAGCCTCCATACAGTTCCTTTTGGACCCTTCCAGGTGTTTCTCCTTTGGCCGAAGACGCTGCAGACGCCAAGGTTGGCCAGTACAAAACCTTCAGCATCAATACTATCGCACCAATCCGACTGGCACAGATCGCCATTGATTACTGGCTGCAGAATCGAAGTATTCAGGGTAATCTAATCTGGGTTGCTAGCATAGGAGGTTATGTCCACTCAGTGCATACGCCCATGTACTTTGCCAGCAAAGCAGCGATTGTCAGCATGGTAAAGAGTCTTGGCCGACTTCGGAAGGAGGTTGGTATTAGGAACGCAGCAGTCTGCCCCGGTGCAACTTATGTAAGTCAATTAAGTCCTGCTATGTCCGAACTGACGACTGATACCATTTGACTTGTAACAGACCCCGATCTTCCAGCCCGAGTACTGCCGGGACCGGATTCGCCCCGATGACCTGCACATGACACCACAACAGCTAGCAGGTGTAATGATGCGCGTGCTGACCGAGCCCGAGTTTGGTGACGGGAACATTGTTGAGGCAATGATGCTTGGAAACAAGAAGAATTCTTCTCTGGGCGTGCGTGAAGTACCCATGCATTTGCTCTACCCATCCTGCGGTGCCGGAGAGGACCATCACTTGGTGGAAGAGGAGGAGAAGATGGTGGGGCATCTCAAGGAACATGGCATGCGGGGTTAGACGGACCAGACTGAGCTCTGTGGTGTTGGAAACTTTCAATGGCTCATCTTTCAAGATATATCACAGCTTCGCACTTCTCAGATGGTGTCTCATTCGACTCAAGTGTCATGTTCTGAATTCTCAAACACCGAAAAAGCAACAAGAGAAGTGGAGGTTGCTCCCTACAAGTGGACCTGAGGAAGATGTTGAAGAGCCCCAACTCCACAACACTAGACTTCAATTCCACGACTCAAATTTGGCTAGACCGTTAGACCTCCACATCACAACACCGCGTGTGGGTATGAGTTTTCTTCCGGCCGCTCTGTACATCCACCTGTGATCCATAAGATTTCATGGACCACGAACGGGAGGGTGGCCGAGTTGGTTATGGCGCCAGGTTAAGGTCAGCTTAACATCTGTTTCCTGGTGGGGCAACCCGCGCGAGTTCGAGTCTCGTCCCTCTCAGTTTCCATTTTTGCTTGACGGTGGATTGCTGTCAGATTCCACATTTTTAGAAAGAGTGCCTTTCTTTTTATCATGTGGACTGGGAGTGTTGTATAGGTACTGTTTGGGGGCACGTATGTTTGTTTCCAATGTATTGGGGCGCACGTTGGATGATGAGGTGCACTCACGTTAACCTAGTCTCTATCAATTTGTTCATAAGGAACAACCATTAGTACTTGTTGGAGTTAAGTAACATACTTACTGTTGAGACTTTCTCTACGACTCGTGTGATCTTCACATGAAAGATTTGCGCAAGTTTACTTATTGAGTCAAGGTATTAACACACGATGAGTTACCGCAGAATACATGAGTGAAGGAAGTCGTGCCATCGCCATCCACCCCCTTTCAAGAAGCCGGAAACTCAGGTATTGGTTAACCAAGAAACTTGACTAGTATCTCTCATCGATTTTGGTCTCTTAGTCGTCAACGAGTCAATACTGGATGAACGAGGGGGGCCCACGACCATGCCATGGGTGCGACACAAATAGCTAGCGGGTGGGTTTGCCATTACACGCCACGCAGCATGCACTCCAAACCGGCACTGATCTAAACAGACGAATGCTATCTCATCTGATCTGAGCTGGAAGATCCGAATTAGCTTTTTGGGAGTGTCTCAGCGCAGATGAGACGGACGGATCAGTCCGGTTGCATCGTGCGGGCGGCAGCAGCGGCGTGTAATTCCGGCGTCCCAAATGACTAAGGTAACACCCGACTTCAGGACACCAGAATGGAACGTGGGGTGACGAGACTTTCCATCCGCGATTTAACGACCGGCCATCCACGGATCCCACCTGTCATGTTAGCCGATCAGGCAGTATAAGGAGGTGTTGTTCCCCGCATATTTCGGCAAGAAAGAATGACGCCGGACACCTCCCGTAAGCTATTTGACGAATTTGACGCAGAAGAACAGCCCGTGTCGTGTGTTTTATGGCTAGAAGGTCAACCGTAGCCCACTGACAGCTTCTACCTTGTTAATGCTCACGCTTGTCTCCCTTCAAATACCGTCACTGCATCCGGAGTATCACCAACATGGACACTGCCCTGAATAAACTGTCTCAAGGGCATCCCAACTTAGCCCTGGCCGGGCTAATTGCTGCTCTGTTAGTACTGGCCTTGAGCTGGCATTGGCGGGAGGATAAGCCATACCGCGGCTTCAGACTGATCGGCCAAGAGCGCGGAGAGTGGTCCTATGAGAAGGCTCGGTTGAGATTCAACACAAATGCAATTGAGCTTCTTAGAGATGGATTTGAGCAGGTAAGACCGCGCCTCTCTCTATTTGAGAAATCTCCTCTCAATCCCATCTAGTGCGACGGGGTCTGACTTGCTCGTAGACAGATGGAAAACCATTCCAAATCTTATCACCCTTCGGTCCCCTAGTGATGCTTCCGCCGCAGATGTCTGAAGAGATCCGGAATGACAAGCGACTCACCTTTACCGGTTTCATTGACAGGGTAGGCATTTGCGTTATGTTCCATCGTGCTGAAGCAAGGCTGACTGGTCTCATCACGAAGCAATGGCTCACTCGTTATCCCGGCCTCAGCGTTCTTCAAGAGGGGCTTAGGGGAGACATAATTCAAGAAGCAATCCGCAGAAACCTCAACCAGGAACTCAGTATGCTCCGTCTCAGCCAACAACAGTTGAGTGTTCACTAAGAGGCATTTGTAGTGTACCTGACGGAACGACTCTGTGAGGAAACATCTATTATCCTCGAAGAACAACTGCCAACAACGCAAGGTAGTCATTTCCTCCTCCCGATAGGTTCTCGTGTACTCTGCTCACTATGAAGTTCTTTCAGAATGGCAAGAAGTCAAGTTCTTCCCAGTGTCCCTACAACTCGCCGCCCGCCTCTCCGCCAAGATCCTTCTCGGCGACAGACTGTGTCGTTCCAAAGAATGGATTGCCGTCTCTATAAATTTCGCAGGCGTAGTTCTCACAGCAGGTCGCGCCCTCCGCGCTTGGCCCGTCCTCCTCCGCCCACTTGTTCACCGCTTCATCCCGAAACTCAAATTCCTTCGCTCTCAAGTCGCGCAGGCTCGCAAAATCATGGAGCCCGAACTAGCTGCTCGAAGACAGGCACGAACAGAAATGGAGAAGCCCATGGACTCACTTTCGTGGATCGACGACGTCCGGCGCGGGAGGGAGTTCGATGTGGTTGCGGGACAGTTGTTCTTAACGTTCGCCGCTATTCATACGACTTCTTCGGTCTTGACAGCATTTATGTACGATATTCTGGCCAATCCAGAGTATTTTACTCTGTTGAGGGAAGAGATAGTTCGCGTCTTCTCAGAAGAGGAAGGCTGGAGCAAAAACAGCCTATACAAGCTGAAGCTGATGGACAGCTGCCTCAAAGAGAGCCAGCGCCTACACATACTGGGACCACGTAACTACCGCCAAGTCCCGCGACGAACAGTTGCTGACATACGATAGACATGATGAACCGCAAAGTCGAGATGCCAGTAACTCTTTCCGACGGAACCTATCTTCCAGAAGGTGTTCATGTCACCGTTTCAGCCCACAACACCCGCGACCCAGCTCTCTGGGGGCCTGATCCGGACGAATTCGACGGAAAACGGTTCCTCCGCATGCGAGAGCAAGCTGGACAGGAGAACCGGTGGCAATTTGTCTCCACGAGTCCCGAGTTCCTCGCGTTTGGACATGGTATGCACGCATGCCCCGGCCGATTCTTCGCAAGCAATGAGATGAAGATTGTGCTTGCGCATCTTGTCATGAACTACGATTGGAAAATCATCGGGGACAAGGCGCCGGGGAGTGTGTTTAAGAGTCGGTTTGTGCCGGATCCGAAGACCGTCATTGGGTGTAGAAGAAGGGAACCAGAGATACAATTATAAGAAAAGAAAAGGCATGATGCTCAAGAGTCTACGCATGGAATGGGCTTCGGCAACATCTTTGCTCTGTTCAGTATGTCTAGGAGAGGTGATTCGGTATGGGAAAAAGGCAAAAAGAGAACTGGAAGCTTCAATCGCTGTCGGGAATTGAGCCCGACGTGGGGGTCGAACCCACAACCTTGAGATTAAGAGTCTCACGCTCTACCGATTGAGCTAGCCGGGCGAATTGAACCCAGTGCTGGCTGGAATTGTTGAGTTAGATGCTGCCCAGTTCGTGTTATGGAGCGAGAGAAGCTGGGAGTGGGAATTCGGGTGAAAAGTTTTCAACGGCCATGGTGGGCGGCAGGGCTAAGCGGGGCCGGAGTCAGGTCCGGGTGGGGCCGCGAACCGAGCGCGGAATTCATCAGTGTGCCTGAGTCGGTTCGTCTAGTTTTTGCGGCAATGTTCACTGCAAATCGTGCTTTTAGAGTTGAAGAATGTCTGGAGCCGTTTCAAACATCTATGCTCTTATTTCCCTGGTTCCTAGAGATTAGAAACAGGGAACAATGAACCGGTTCGCAAATTGCATTTCGGGCACTGAACGAAGTTCTTGGACATGTGAAACCTGCGGTTGGTTGTTTCACTAGGTGAATAAAACATACAAAAGATTCATCTTGGATATCGATTGGAACCAACAATACATATGGCTTTGACTAAGAAATCATCTTCGTACTTCTGCTACAGATATTCTCGCAAGTCGCAAAACACATCGCAGGATTGGATAATGCCAAAAGAATCATGGCGTATTTGCGAATCTGAAATGAGTATCCGTTGTGAAGCATAGACAGTCCAACTGATTTCTCGCGCTTGCGTCAAAACTGCAGCAGCAGTACGCTCAAGAACGGGTTCTTCACTTACAGATTCTGGGTTCTGGTTGACTTCAAGGGCTGAGGGCTTCACGCTGACACCACCGCTTTGCGAGCCCCAGGTCTCCTAGCGGTCGCAAAAGGTGCTGCAAATAACTATTACACTTTTAAAGGCAGAAAGGAGAGACCCGGGGCCGACCTTTCAGGGTCGGAAGCGACAAGTTGCATCCTTCTCTGTCATGAACACCTCCGAGATGGTTGCCTGCAGCTATTTCCACAGGTGGGCCGGCCAGAATACTCAGATTAGCTCGAGAAATGGTTCTGAAGTCGCAGAGCTCAAAAGAGTAGTCCGAAAGGGCGGAGAAGCTTGTTGTGGTAACTCCCGTCGATCTTGCGATTTCTTTCACCTTGTAGGCACGTCTCCACCTTTTTGGAAACTTACAGCACGACTCCTCAACTCCACGTCTGGTATGAACGACTTAGTGACCTGAACCAGTAGTGATCCGACCCGTTCATAAAAGAAGTGGTTGAAAAGTAGTGCTGAAGCTGAAGGTGACTTCTTCGGGTTAGTTCTTTGTGCTTATAATTACAATCTAATATCGCGCTCACCTATGTTTTCTCTAGCTACCATTCTAAATCATTGCAGATAAGAGCCACCTCAGCAAGACACATTATATCAGCTGAAACAATCTGAAATACTCTGTACTTGAAAGTAATAAAGCTTTGGCTCAAGATACCTAGGTTCCTGCAGTCAATGCCTGGCCAAGCTTCTCCTTCGTTGATGAGCCCTTGAGGTGGTAGGGGGCTCACCGACTGACACCGAGATCACCGAATCCGCCAGGATTTGCTTCCCAACTTTCGGTGTAAGATACGTACCTACGTCCGGTGACTAAGAAACGGGTGCACGTCCCCACTTCCCAAGCTCCAGATTCGTCGTTCGGTGGATCTTCGGCGAAACAAGGTAGCTGCAGCTCTCGCGCCTGTGATTGGCCCGAAAAAGTGACTTTCTGTCACTGGCGGTAGCAGCTTCTCCAGATGGACCGTGCTTCGCCTTACACCAGCAGCCTTGCGTCGTTGCTCAGGCCGCCTACCGCCCGTTGGTTCAGAAAACATCAGGTCGCCCCAGCCCCAAAATCTTGCGATCTTTTCTCCTGTATCCGTAGACGCGAACCATCACCCAGCACGTCGTCGTCGGATTGAATTTCGACGACACCTACACCTCGGAAAGTATCGTCTGGGTCGCTATCGTCTAAGGGCAAGGCACTTGCCTTCAGTTTCCTTTGTTATTGTACTACTTTTCACTTTCCTCTTGCGTAAGACCTTCCAACTGGCGGGGCGCAGCTACGCGACAACCATCACCGCCAATCGACACCGCAACGACGACACTTTTCGAGACAGCTCCTGTTCGATGTTGAGGAGCCGAACTTGAGGCACAATCACAATGGCAGCGGCGGTGGACATAGGCTACGTAGCCGGCCACCTCGGCTTGTCCGAGTCGACTGTGTCGACCGTCACGACCGAACCCACCCCAGACCTCGTCGCGAGTCTCCTCGGAGCCGTCATCGCCAAGGCTCGCGAGTACGACGAGCTTTACGCGCAGAAGCTGCAGGTTGACATTGAGCTCGAGAGCGCGCACCACAGTGCCGAGTCGAGATGTCAGAGCTTCAAAGCGACCGCCGACAAGGCTTTGAAGGATGTGGAGGAAGTCCGCCAGAAACTCAAGGAAGAAGGTTTGTACTGCTATGTGCCCTCGACGCATACGTATCCGCACCTCATTTGCTAACTTCGCGACTACAGAGACGAAACGCCAAACGGTCGAAAACGAGCTTCAATCCCTCAAGTCCCGCGGCTCCGACTACGATTCCGAGATCACAACCCTCCGTGACCGCATCGAGTCGCTGCAATCCTCCAACCGTGCGAATATGGCGCTGCTTGAATCGCGCAACGCTCGCGACGCAGAGCTCTCCGAGGAGCTCGCCAAGCAGCACCAGAAAAACGTCCAACTGAATAAGGAGATCACCGCCCTCCAGCAACAAGTCCAATCCGCCCAAGCCGCCGTGAGCAGCGCCAAGTACCGCGAAGAGTCCCTGCAACAACAACTCGATCTTGCGCGACGGAACAGCGAATGGTTCGAGACCGAGTTAAAAACCAAGAGCGATGAAGCCCTGAAATACCGCCGTGAGAAGGGAGCACGCATTGCCGAGCTGCAGCGCCAAAACGAAGACGCGAAATCCAACATCGAGGCCTTGAAGCGAAGCGAGCAACAACTCCGAGACCGACTCGAGGCTGCCCAGGCCAAGGCTGAAGAGGCTCTCATCAAGGTCCAGCAGCAACAGGAGGCCTTCGCCCGCAGCGAGGAGAGCTACAAGCACGAACTCGAGAACAAACAACGGGTCGTCGACATGACGAATCAGCTTGCCGACAGTCACAAGAAGCGTGTGCAGACCCTCGAGGGCGAGAAGGAGTCTCTGAAGGAGAAGCATGCCAACGAGATCCGTCGCGTTCAGCAGGAGCTTGAGAGAGAAAAGGAAACATGCCGCGGCCTCGAGGAGAGAGTCACCCAGCTAGAGGGTGAGATCGACGAGCTCCACGCTCGCATGGAGCAAGGACCCCCTCCCGCCACGCCTCAGACGCCCCGTATGAATGGTTCCCTTCTCGGACGACCTGGCTCACCTTTCGCGACTCCTGCTTCCGCACGCAGCAAGTCTGCCATCACCGCGACCCAAGCTATCGACGAGCTCTACAAAGTCAAGGGCCAGCTTGCAGGCGAGAAGCGACGCAACCAGCAGCTCGCCGAGGAGCTAGACAACATGATCGCTCTCCTCGAGGCCAAGACCCCTGAAATTGAGGAGCTCCAAAACGAGGCCGACACCCTGCGAGCTGAGATCACAAGAATGTCTGAGCTCTCCCAGAGCAGTTTCGAGGAACGCGACACTGCGAAGAAGAGTGCCCGGAAGGCGGAGAGCGCTCTTGCCAATGCACAAGCCGAGTCCAAGATTCTTCGCACACAGCTTCGTGATCTTAGCACCCAGATCCAGATGCTTGTCTTCAACATGCATGCCCGCGAGAAGGGTCTGGAGCAGCTCACTCGCGAGGAGACCGTCCGTTTGGAACAACTGTCCCGTGGTGAAATTACCGAGGGCGCTCTTTCCGACATGTCCGATACCCACCAATTCATCACGCAAAAGTTTATCGTCTTCAAGGACATCCAAGAACTCCAAGCCAAGAACCAAGAACTGCTCCGTGTCACCCGCGAACTGGCTGAGCAGATGGAGAGCGAGGAGGCTGTTGCTGCCAAGAGTCAAGCTGTCGAGGACCACCAATCAGTGGAGCGCCTGCAGCAAGAACTCGCCAACATGATCGACGAGACCAAGTCTCTGAGAACGACGATGGAGAGTTTCAAGGCTGAGCGTGACATGTTCCGTCGTCTGCTCCAGCAAAAAGCAAGCGCCGGGGAGCTTGCCTCTATCTTGGGCGGCTCTGAGGACGGCCAGCGCCAGCCTCTCGCTAGCATCGAGACGGACGAAGGCGATGGCGTGTCCCCGTCAGCTGCTCTCCGCGCCCTGCAGGTGGAATTCGACACCTACCGAAACGATGAAGAATCTGTCCGCCGGTCACTCAGAGAACAGATTGACAGACTCTCGGGCGAGAAGAACTCCCTCCAGGGCGAGATTGCGAAGATCACCAGCCAAATCACCCTGGCTTCTGAACGTTACGAGATGTTGCACTCTAACTTTGTTGCCCTGCAGAGCGAGAACAAGGAGCTTCAGAAACGAAACAACTCCCTGTCCGAAGACTCCATCAAACAGGAGATTCGGGTGCAACAGGTTGCCGAAGAACTTGTTGATGCAAAGGGTTTGCTCGAGAGCATCCGCAACGAGGCGGCTAACCTCAAGGCCGAGAAGAAGCTCTGGAAGGATATACAGGATCGACTCAACCAAGACAATGAGAATCTCGTCCAGGAGAAGACTCGACTCAACACGCTTCTGGCCACGCAACAGTCGATGCAGAATGAGCGCGATATTTCCGAATCAGAGTTTAGACGCAAGACGCAGACGAAGATCGACAGCCTCGAGCAAGAACTGACCGCCACGAAACGGAAGCTGTCGGAAGAGATGGAAGAGGGGAAGAAGCTTCAGCTCAGGAAAGAGTTTGATGCCCGCGAGGCGCAGAAGCGGATTGACGAGCTCTCGACTAGCCTCAGCCAGATTCGTGAAGAGCACGTCGCCGTTAAGACCAGCCGTGACCACCTGCAAGCTCGTGTCGACGAGCTCACTATCGAACTTCGCAACGCTGAGGAACGTGTCGGCAGACTGCAGCCGCGACCCACGCCTCGTCCGGGCACCCTGGCGCTCCCGACACAGACCAACGAGGACAACGAGGAGGAGGTTCGCGAGCTCATCAACGAGGTTTCAGATCTCAAGAGAGAGCTCGACATCGCCAAGGCTCAGTTGGACAACGCGAAGGAGCAGACCGAATCCTACAAGCAACTAAGCGAGCAGAATGAGGAGGCCCTCGCCGACATAACGTCTTCCCAGGACCAGTTCAGAGAAGAAATGGAATCTGCGCTGTCTGGCAAGGACGCCAAGATCAAGGAGTTGGAACAGCGTGTCGAGGACTTGTCGTCCGAATTGGCGAATTCCAACAAGGAGCTCTCTCACCTTCGCGACTCCCAAAACGAGGTGTCCCGAAAGTTCGACGATGAGAAGGCAATCTTGGATGACGAGATTAAGCGGTTGAAGGAGGAGGCCGATCGATACTCCGAAGCTGCCAAATTCCACCAACAAGACCTTCGTGCACAGTCTGAGATAACTGCCAAGGCTCAACAAGATTACGAGCAGGAGCTCGTCAAGCACGCCGAGGCGGCCAAATTGGTTCAGCAACTCAGAACCGAGTATAACGAGTTGAAGAGCCAAACTGCCACGCTGAAGGCAGAGGCCGAGTCGGCCAAGGTCACTCTCACGCAAAGTGAGAGCTCATGGGAGGAACGCCGCCAACGCTTGGAGCAAGAGATGGTCGAGATCAAGGCTCGTCGCGACGACGTCAACGCTCAGAACAAACTGCTTCACGAGCAACTTGAAAGCATCACCTCACAGTTCTCGGCATTGAAGCAGAACAGAGCGGTATCGACGGAAGATGGCACCGGTAATGACGAAGGCGGCAACGACAGCGCCGCCGACGGTCTTCGCGAGCTGAACAACTATCTCAGACGAGAGAAGGAGATTCTCGAGGTTCAATACGATCTCAAGGTGCAGGAAGCCAAGCGCCTGCAACAACAACTCGAGTACTCCCAATCGCAGCTTGACGAAGCTCGCTTGAAGCTTGACCAGGAACGCCGCGCAACGGCTGAGAGTGGCCAAACATCAATCGCCCACAAGGACTTGATGGACAAGCTCAACGAGCTGAATCTGTACCGCGAAAGTAGTGCCACTCTTCGGAACGAGCTTGCCCAGGCACGAACCCAGATTGCGGAGAAGAACAACAAGATCGAGGAGTTAGAGGCCAAGGTCCAGCCCCTCGAAGCTAGAATTGAGGAACTTCAAACCCAGAAGGGCTTCCTGGAGGAAGAGATCAAGCAAGTCCAGGAGGATCGTGACAGATGGCAGAAGCGAACCGAGGGCATCCTTACGAAGTACGGCCGCGTCGACCCTGCCGAGATGGAGCAGCTCAAACAGACAATCACCGAATTGCAGGCAGAGCGCGACGCCTTGAAGGAGTCCGAAGCACCTCTTCGAGCCGAGATTGAGGAGACCAAACAAACTTTGGAGACGGAGAGGGCAAACTGGCAAAACACTCGTCAGCGAATGACGGAGCAATTCAAGGAGAGGTCGAGGAAGATCACGGGCGAGCGGAACGAGGCTCTCACCGCCAAGAACGACGCTGTCGCGGAAAAGGATGCCGCCATTGCTGAGAAGGAACAACTTCTGCAGCAGCTCACTACAGCAAATACTGAACTGGAGACGACGCGGCAGAGCCTGCAAGTTTCGACGCAGCAACAGACCGAATTCGAGCAGCAAATTCAGAGCTTCCAGCAGCAGGTTCAGAAGTTGCAACAGGACGCGCAAGCGAATGGGCAGACAGCCCAGCCTGCCCCTGTCGCGCAGCCCCCCGCCGACTCCTCTCCGCCAGTATCAAATGAGGTCGTTGCTCAGCTTGAACAGCAGCTTGCCGAGATTCGCAGCCAGCTGGATGCTGTATCCGCCCAAAAAGCGACCGCCGAGCAGGAGCTTGAGAACCTGCGTGCGCAGCTCCAGACTGTCGTTACCGAGAGGGATCAAGCTGTTCAAGCCGCTCAGCAGGCTGTTCAGTCCCAGCAAAACACTGCAGCCGAGCCCACTCAACCCGCGCCGTCAGAAACTGCCGCGATTAATGGCGCAAGCGGACTGTCAGATGAGGAGCGCAAGGCACTGGAAGAAAAGATTGCCGCCGCAGAGGCCAAGGCGGCAGAGTGCGAGCGCAAGGCCCAGGAGCTGGAGGAGAACATCACCCAGACCATCAAGGAGCGGTCCGACAAGATGCGTAACGCCCTCAACGAGAAGTTGCGCCAGTCCCGCGAGAAGCTGGAGGCAGAGTTTCAGACAAAGTTGGAGCAAGAGAAAGTCATCTGGAAGGCCGAGAACCAGAGCACCGTCCCTAGCCAGCCCTCCGAGGAGCAGTCGGCAGTCGCTGCCACGCCTATTAAGAAGCAGCCTGACTCCGATGCGGTTCCGACAACGCCGATTTCAAGCACACCTGGTGGCTCTGCAGATCTGTCGCAACTCCCTGACGGCGAAATCCGCAAGTTCCTTTCGACCAACCCAACAGTGCGGAGCATCATGTCTTCTAATCTGAGGAAGAAGCTGGAAGAGCAGACTGCCAAGGTGAAGAGCGAGACGGAGACTACTCTGAAGGCTGAGTTCGAACAGAGAATCGTCAGTGCACGCGACGAGGGCCAGATGTTGGCTCAAAAGAAGTCTGCCCTGCAAATCAATATGAAGGACAACCAGCTACGTGCCGCAAATGCGAAGATCGATGTTGTCAAAGCCGCTGCTGAGAAGACACCCCAAAGACCCGTGGGCGAGGTATGGGAAGAAGCCAAGGTCGCCAAACCAGCTCCTGCAGCTGCTCAGCCGAGCCCAGCAAAGCCTCCCGCAAACGCACCCCGACCTTCAATCTCTGGGCCACCGGCTGCCGCGCCAGCGCAAGGTGTCACCAATACGACTGGTAAGTCTCGCACGGGAAACCATCAAAACGCTACTATGTCTGACCTCTTTCAAGCCTCGACTGGACCAGTCAATCCCGCGCAGACCTCAGCTCAACCACAAAGCAACGTTTCTCAGCCTGGTACGGGCATCCCCCAGCCCGGAACCAATCTTCCTCAAGTCAAGCGTCAAATTCCTCCCCCATCAGAAACCAAACAAACAGCACCCAACGCCGGTGGAAATCCTTTTGCTGCCGCTGCCGCGGCAGGAGTCTCCAACAACGGGGCTCAGCCAAACCCCCTTGCACAATCGGCTCAGGCACAAGTGAATCCCTTTGCCCAGGCTGCTCAAGCACAAGGAGGCCAGCAGGGTTCAGCGCAGCAACCCGCAACACAGAACCAACCGGCGCAACGTAGTGGCATTCCCTTGCCCGGACGTGGTGGCGCAGCTGGTCGCGGTCGTGGCGGTACCTACGCTGCTGGTAATCGGATGTCGACCGGTGGAGCAGAGAGAGGTGGAGGTGCCGGTCGTGGCGGTCGTGGCGGTAGGGGAGGACACGCAGCGCTCAATCCCGGTGTCAATGACTTCCAGCCTGGCAACAAGAGGCCGAGAGGGGACTCCGAGGCTGGTGGCGCCGGGGGCGCGAAGAGGGCTAGAGGAGGTGGTCACTGAGTTGGTGTGAACGAGCCCATGGAGACGTGGTAATGAGGGCAGTAGTCGGGTTTCCTCCTCAGTGTCCGTACTGATATGGCTTGGTTGGTGTAGGTTCAAGAGCAAGGATGGAAAAAGAGCAGTCGGTCAGATCTGCCGGTGTGTATAGCTACAACATACTCAAAATGGACTTTTCTTATGTCTTCAGGATTGGCGTGTCAGTCTTGATCGTGATCGGCCTTATTTCAGTGGTTTATGAGGGGCTGTTATTGAGTATACCGCCTTTGACTCAGAATTTGCATTTACACATGTACAAAGTGAAGGCCTTGTATTCGAGAAGTCAGGAATCTTGTCGCTATATTCACTGATGCAAAAGCTGGCCTCTTAAAACCCCGACATAAATGGATCCCGAGAAAATAAGTCCGCCGTCGACACATACATGTACCAAAAACTACCGTCTACCAGTACCCGAATCAAGCTCGGAAAACCCCGGCGTCGACCCGGCATGCCACCCCATCCCCGGCAACTCAGCCCGCTGCTGTCCCGGTGCTTGGTACGCCGGCTGCGGCCCGCTCGGCATCTGATGAATCGGCTGTCCGTGAGCCTCGGCCAACGTGGTCTGGCCTAGAGGCATGAAGTAGCCTCCGCCCTGAAGCTCGGGCGGCAACGGCAGACTCTGCCCATACTGCATTCCAGCATGGCCCTGCAGCTCGGATGGCATCTGCTGGCCGACGGGCTGTAGCTGTCCGTTCGTGTTCGCCGGCATCTCGGGCACCGGAGGCGTGTATCCTTCTCCCGACAGCTCCGCGCCCATCGAGGGCGGGGCGTATGCGGAGCTGTACGCGGAGACCGGGGAGACGGTGTCTGGTCGCGGCGGAGAGCTCACCTGCGACATGCTCACCGACGGGCTTTTCGGGGGCAGGGTGGAAAGCATGGTGCCGCCCAGTTCGGGAGGGCCGGTCATCTGCGGCGTGCCCATGGTCGAAGCAATGGGGAAGCGGGGTTGAGCAGCCCTCTTCCGGCGTCGGTATAGCATGAACGCGACGAGGCCGGCGAATGTGATTGCCCCTAGCATGGCAACGATACCGCCAACAATCAAACCGATGCTGGGTCCTTTGGACTCCTTGAGAGTGCCGCTCAAGCTGCCATCCGAGCTGTCGTTCCCCGTGCCAGTAGGTTGAGGGCCTGAGGTCCCTGACCCTGTCCCGGCTTTCGCGGTAGGATACGTTTGCGCGACTAGAAATAGGATCAGTGATCGAAGTTGATCAAGAAGCAGGGGGAAGGTACTGACTGGATTCAGCAACAGTGGCAACAACTTCGCCCTTGGCAGCCTTGCAGTAGAAATCCATCACAGCAAGCGCCGAAGACACATCCTCCGACGCGGTGGAGGAGCAGTAGTACTTGATATCTGAGGTCAAAGTACTCGTGACCAAATTCGTCACACCGTCCTTCATACACATGCACGACGCCAGCGCCTTCGGGCCCTCGGGGCAGAGATACCTCGTGAGCGAGTACATCGCGTTCGACATGCCCGACTGGGCACACGGAGCCAGCGAGCTATACTGCGACAGAGCAGTGATGTAGTACGTCATGTCCCCCGGAGGCCCTGAGGGCTGAGGGAAGGCCGTAGTTCCCTTGTTCATGGCGCAGTACGCGTTGTAAAACTCGCCGGCCGACGTGACGTCGGCTGCGTTTGAGCATGAGTACCGGACGAGCGACGCTATGGATCGGCTGACGCGCGCCGAGTTGTCGTTCTTCGAGCAGATGCAAGGGGCCATGAGACTCGCGGCTTCCGGGCAGAGAGACGACTACAAGTCCGAGTTAGCCATACCCATTTCGTCCGAGTTATAGGAGCCATCATACCATCGAGCTGATGGCGTAGGAGACGCCGGACTGCGCGCAAGGCGCCATGTTGGAGAAGGCGGGAATGTCGGTGGCATACTGGGTGACGACGTTGGCCGTGGGGGTCGGAAAGTTTACTGTCGCTTCGGGGGTACAGTACTGGCTGAGGACAGCCGCGGCGCTGGTCTGGTCATCGGAGGCGGAGGAACCACAGCTATAGCTGATTGAATTGGATATCGAGGTCGAGATGGCGGCGAAGTTGTTGTTCTTGGTGCAGATGCAGGATTGCAGGTCGGTTGGGGCTTCACCGCAGGCTGAGTAGGTCTGGGAGAAGATGTTGTAGGAGATCGCCGTTTGAGCGCATGGTGCCTGTGATGGTTAGCCTGACGTACAAGTAGATTTCAGTGTCTGCAATGAAAGATGGTTAACTTACGAGTAATGTGAAGATGGATAGGTCAGTGACATAGACGATGCTGGCAGCTGCGGCAAAAGTAGTCAAGTAGATAGACAGTAATGACAGGGTCAGTATTCGCGCCATCTTATGATAAAGAGTGAGAGGCGATCAAAAGAATGGAATGACGAGAGCCGTCGAAGAAGCAGGAAGAACAGAACGAACACTTGGCGAGGATGCCGGAGGGAAAAGACATCGCTCATTCCTCGCGCGGGGAAGATGAGTACCCCCTTCGTCGTCAAGCCATAACGTATTTCGCACCCGCCTGAGCGAGCTAGCCTTACATCGTGGAGATGGAGCTTTGGTGGTCGATGGCTGATCATTCTATCGAGAGGCGTTGCCCCTGTCAAGATGGCGTCGACTACGGCCACAGCCCCTGCGAGCTGAAAAGTCGAGCTAGAGAGACAGAGACTTTGACGTGAACTCGCCCGCGCTACAGCGCTGATCGGACAGATGGATGGATTGGCGGTCCCAATACCTTGAGCTTTGCTGTAAACAATCAACCGGTTGAGTGTTTCTGGTAGCGACCAAGCAACGTCAGGGGAAAGCCTGACACGAAACCTGCGTGGAAACGGTGGAAACATCGAGGAAAGCGCGCCATTGACCGTTGGAAGAAGAGCAACAACGCCCAATAGGCGTGGCTTCACGCGAGCTTTCAGCTGCATCCGCATGGCGCTGGACAATCAAAGAAAAGAGGCGAAGATTAAGACACGGCATGGCACATGACAGGGCAACCCGTGGGTCAACGGCCACACAACCGGCCTAGAGTGAAGAAGAGCACTCCCCAGTTTGACGAATATTGCACGTAAATACTCCATTTGAATATTAAGTTGGAAAACTTATCGCAGACCCCCGAATTGAGATGATGGTGATGGTGGTGATTACCGCTCGCGCGAAAATGGGCTAGTTGCCGGCGTACGCCACAAACAGGGACCTGCAGCTGTTCGAACAGGGGCACCCAACGCCGTTGGTTTGTCCCGTCAACAATAGTGCCTCCCAACATAGGTAGCTTACGCAAAGATGCGTCCAACTGAAAGAAAACGGCAGGGGAAATGAACGGTGGAAGCTGTTGGTTGAATCAGCCCGCAGTCCATCTTTTGTTTGGTCTTTTGAGTGTCAGGACAGGGAGCTTTTCTGTGAGGTGTTGAAACTTGAGGTGAAAAGGTGGGAGGTGTATGGATTACCTAAGCCATTCTCATCTCGCACTGCCTTACGTAAGGCGTTTCTGACTAATTGAGAAAGACCCACCCGGTCGGGCACGTCAGGTGGAACTGATCGGGCCCGAGCGGGCTGGGACGGGTCCCCCGACCCGGAAGTAGCAATCGTGGTCCCGGGACGAAGGACCTCCAGGTCGCGACCGGTGCTTCCCGTGACACATCCAATGGCGTCCACTTCCAGAGTAGGTAGGCGGGGTATTCCCCTTACTTTACCTGCATTCCGCCACATCAGCCACTAAAACAAAACCGCCAAATCGAGATCTCAACCTGGATATGACAAACCAGATCACCTCACACCTCACCTGACAGCAACGTGACGTTTTGTGGCCATACATGTCAAAGTTTCTGCAGAAGCAAACTCAGAATCAGTCAGTCTCGCCAAGGTGTCCCAAAATCTTTCGGTGTGTCATATCTGCCTGAGTGGTATCAATTTCCCGCTATCTTTTGATGCAGTCTCGCTGATTGTCGCTCTTCGTCCCTCATCAAGGTCCATCACCTACCTTACCTTGTTATTGCGTCCGACCACAGTCTGATGTGTACCTTTATACCATCAATCGCGAGCCCCCGTAACCGCTCGCCACGTCTCCACCGATCGCCGTAAGCTTCTCGCCCATCTTTACCGATATCCGTCTCGATAAACTCATTCGTTTCTTATCCGAGTGCCTCTCCTCGTCCATCCCCTCGTCTTCGTCCATTGCCATCGCCTCGTCCTCCGCTGTAGTGCCCATCGCTCGACTCCCACACGTCGTGCACAGGACTTGGTCCGGCCTGACGAGCACCTCGCCGCTCACGCTCTTCCTACGGTCTCTCTCCGACATTGTGATGGCCCGCGTGGAGCTTGATCTTCTGACGACGGGGATGACATCGCCTTCTGTTGCCCGTCGGGGTATCGATCTCGTCCGTCGGTCGTCCAAGGGGAGGGATCCTCCTCTCTTGCGCTTTTCCATCTTTCGGTCCGCCGTCCTTGATGGCACTGAACCGATTGCCAGGTCCTCTTCTGTCATGAGGACTGCATCTTCCTCTTCTGTTATCATGTCCAAACCCTCCTTGGGGAATTGCGCGGAGAGGATTTCATACAGAGCGCGCCCCATGGCGTCGTGGATGAAAGGTGCCGTGAAGAGATCGCGGCACTGCTGGGTTCCATCGACCTTGTTCATACGGCCAATCTCTTCGATTTCGTCCATTGTAAGGTCGCAGTGGATCTTGACTTGGCCATTTTCAAAGTTATTCGGCCATCTGTTCCGGACAAACTGTTCGAGAAACTCCACGGCTTCGTTGATGGATTCGCGCCGTTCTTCTTCTCGCTGTTCCGCAACGACCCGGTGTCCTATAGCCTCTCGTTCTTCTTGCTCCCGTCTCTCCTGCTTCTCCTGGGCCCCCTTTGGCCACCATCTTGGCCACTGAAGGCTTTTGGAAGAAACAGCGGTGCTGACGGAAACCTCTGTGCTGGCATAAAACGTCGTGCTGCCTGATAGCACGCTGACATGGTCGTTACATTGATCCATCTTGTTGTCTTGCTCATTGACAGACTTCTGGGGTGGTTTTGGGTAGTCGACAGGCAGGATGAAGGCGACAGCGCCAAGTTCCCTATGGGCTGAATAACAACTTCCTCGGACTTCCTGATGGTCAGCCATGCTGACGGTAGAAGCTGACTCGTTTAGGAATTGTGCCATAATGGATTATCGATGCTAAGCAGCTGAAATGCGGGAAACGGTGACGACGGCAGCCTGTTTGTCTAGGTCTCCCGGCATGACGGGTTTGTCGAGAACGGCAAGGATTGATGATGAGGGTACTGCGATAAACCGAACCTGAGGGCAGCTTTGCTGGCTTAAATCTAAAAGCTCCAAGTAGAGCTGTTTGCTGCTCAAAAAGGTTTGAGGCCTTGAGGGACCGCTAACCGTATATCATGACGCCGGTGGGCTGTCTGCATCGACTCTCTCATCTTTGTGGCGCACCCTTGGTGCCGCATTCGTTCGAAAACCCTATTAAAGTTTCGCTTGTGATCTAGATAAGTAACCTGGAATAGAGGCAAGATTCCAAGGCGCGCCTGGCACAGAAAGGACAAGCCAGTTAATGAACAATACATTGTCTTTCCCGGAAGACTCATAAGGAACGTTCAATTCCCCAGTCATCTCCAGATTCCATCAAAACCACTCATTAAACAATTGCCGGATGCTCGACTTCCATCTTCATCTCGATGGCGAAGAACGTGACTCGAGTGGTCACAAGGCGAACGCCCGTCATGAGGCTGAAGGTTGACTTTCCAATTAGATTTATCACGATATTTCTCCTCAGTTAATCAAAAGTTAATCGGCAAAGTGCGGCCTCGAAAGTACCTCAGCCAGCGACCTACCTTATGGAGGGGAATACTGGACGCCATTCCTGTGGGGGATCGGGGAGGCGCTTCCAGACCAGCCGGTCGCCACGCCGGGTGCCGTCCGGGTCCCGAGGCAGGAGTGGGGCTAGTCAGTTAACGGTCAACTGCAACTACCTACAGCTCAACATCGCCAGATAGAGAGCCGCCTTAGTTGCGGTGCCTCAAGAAATAATTCCTTGAAATGTGCTTTTCTTTCACGGGTAATAAAGGCACTGCACGCAGCCTTAGAAGCGTAGGCTCTTTTGCCTCTTTGAAGTTCTCAACTGGCGGGTGCCTTGTTCTTATTCTATGTTCATTCGATGAAAGCTTGACCCTGACGTCATACTATAAAAGAAATCTTAAAATGAATTCTGTAAAGTCTGGAGACTACATTATATCCAGTCGACATGCGTCTCTCACCCGCAGGTCTATGAGCAACATCAGTGACCACAGCTTGCGCTGAGTGCCTTTAGGTCTCTCGATAGCCTCAAGCCTTTCCACGGGCCCTTTGTAACAACAATGGGATTGTTCATTTTCAAACAACAGCATCTTTCATTAAAAGATGCGTTAGATCTTGATGGACTGTTCTCAAAGAGACTTTCCCGAAATGTCTTCTCCTTGCTCTCGCCGGGCTCTTATTGGGGATCATCTCTCTTTCGAAATTCATATTGTGTTATCAATTACCAACAACTAAACATCATGTAGTCCTGATATCAGAGTTGTTGTTCCAAAAACATCTTCTTGGAAATATGCCAGTCTTCAAGTTGTGTCGAGTCGAGCCTTGTTGTCTCGTCGGCCATAAGGTCTACATCTTCCACGACATCGCCATTCTAATGCAAGACGAGCTACTTTTCAACATCAAAAAGATTCATGTTACTTGCAGTTAAGAACTACAAACACGATAGCGGAAGACATACAGAAGACAGTCTCCATCGTTGAAGGACCTCGACTCGGGACCAGCCGCACCTTCCTCCAAAGTTGGAAGTTGCGACCCTCGTTTCCTTAGCAGCCGCGCGCCTTCCCTCCCAACTCACCTTCACTTCTTTCTGACCTCACACCCGACTCTTTACTCCCGCAAATTTCTTTTCTCCCAAAATTCCCCAACAACTCTTCGGTATTCACACCAGTCAAAACTCTTCCTCATTACCAAGATCACACCGCAAATTACTCTTCTGCTCTCCCCACAACGCATTACTCATCGTTACATCGTCAAGTAACCATCGACTCCATCCAACATGGAAGATAACGGCTTTGCCTACGTCTTCAGAGGCGGTTGCATTCTTGTGTTGATCATGATGGTTTGGCATGGCGGCAACGCCATCGTCGGTTTTCTCCCCCCTGTCGGGGACTACTTCCACCACATCACGACGATTGTCCTGGTGCTTCACGCCATTCCACTCCTCCCCTGGCTGTATCTTCAGATCGTGGACCCCGTCATCGCCGACTCCGCCCCTTGGCTCGCCCTGTCTCCTCAAGATGCCCTCCGCATCGAAGAGCGTACTGGACGCTATGCATCTTTCTTTCTCCTCCCGTATCCCAAGTTTCTTTTCAGCACCTTCATGCGAGCCTTCCAGTCTGTCGCCAAGTTTCTCTACGACGTTGCCTTCGATTTTGAAGAGACTATCCTGAATCATTCTGTGGTCTACCCTCACACAGTCGCCCTGCGCAACTACATCCGGTCCAAGCTTGGCCAGGCTGCCCTGCCAGCTAACCGCCAGCGCCTGAGATACGCCGATTCATCGACCTCGACGACACTCACTCAGGCAGAAATCCAAAGGGCCTGCATGAAACCCAGGGTCGTTTGCGAAGACAATCTGCTTCTGTTGAGGAACGCCGAAAACGAGAGAAGCCTGGTCCTCAGAACACAAGAGAATGACCACGAAGAAGAGCGAAGAGGCATGCGCCAACAGATCACCACCCTCCAGAACGCCGTTCAAGGATACAGCCAATGGGATTACAGCCTCATGTATCGTCAGGAGCGTCGCCTTCACAACGAGACCAGAGAGCAGCTGGAGAGAGCCCGAATTGCTTACGAGGCCCTTCAAGAGGAGAGCAACATGAACCACGAAACTGTCGAGGAAGAGGAGCGCGAGAACGACAGACTTACCAGAGAGCTTGAAGCCGCGAGGGCCGCCACAAACAACAACGGCACACATATTCAAAGCCTTGAGCAGGAGATTCGCCGACTCAGCCTTCTCGTCGATAACCAGCGCGTTGAGATTGAGTCCAATCAACAGGAGCTGGCCCAGCATGTGGCCAACCAGATTCGATTGCAGGAGGAAGATATCATAATTCCTGATCACATCAGGGTTGTTCTGGAAGAGAAATTTGCAGCCGCCATTGAAGAGAACAAACAGCAGATCCACACGGAGTATTCTCAAAGGTTTGAAGCAGAGCTCCAAGAACACAAAACGAAGCTGGAACACGACTATCCTGGTGATCGGCTTCAGAGCTTCGCCGAGGAGACAGCAAACATTGAGAATGAGAAGAAGCGCCTCCAGGCTGAGTGTGAAGACGAGCGACAGCGAATCGAAGTTGAGAGGCAAGCAATCCAGAGGGCTCGCGACACCATCGAACGCGACCGCCAGTCCATTACCCAGGAGAAGGAACGGGTCGAATCCGAGTGCCGTCATCAGCTTCAGCTCATTGCACAGGAGAGGGAAACGATCCGAAGCGACCGCGACCGCATCGAGACCGAACTCCAGAATGAGCGACAGCTCATTGAGCAGGAGAAACAACGTGTCCAGAGCGACCGCGCTCAGCTTGATCGTGATTCTCAAACCCAGCGTCAGACTATGACTCAGGACGAAGAACGCATGGTTCAGGAGAGGAGTCAAATTCAAAGCGAGTTCGAGAAGCTGCAGGATGAACGACTTCGCTTGCAACAAGACCAAGAGCACGTTCGAGAGCAGACGAACGAGACGCCTCAGACCAAACGCGACGCAGACGCTGTCACCGACTATAAGAGGCGAATCGCAGAGCTTGAGGAGGAGGTCGACCAATACGAGAAGCTCCTACATGAAGAGAAATCCAAGGACAAGAGTGCCTTGCAAGAGCACCAGAGGCTGAAGGAGGACTTCGTACGCATGAAGGCTGAGAATGAAATTCTCAAGGCCAGACTTTCCACCAACGTCGCCAATCCATCTGAGTCTCCTAATGGCGTCATGGACTTTTCTGTTGCCCCGGCCGCGCCTACTCAGACCGAAAGCACGGAGGATATCCCCGCTGCCCTCACCACGCCGATGGACGTCAGCGACATGAGCAATGCGCCAGCTGATGTCGACAACTCCGAAGACGACCCAGTATTTCAGGAGATGCTTCAAGACGTTGAAGCAGAAGACGACATGATGAAGCGGGAGGAGAAGGCTAAAGAGATGCTCAAGAACTACTCGTTTTCGATTACCTCCAACGGCACTGAGGGAACAAAGAACCCCTTCACTTCCACACCCAGCAACGGCGAAGTCGAAGAAAACGTCCTCAAGAACAGAAAGGTTCTTCAACCTCGATCGTTGAAAATACGCAAAGGGAACATGTACGGCACGACGAACCATGAGACTGGCGAGGGGAGCAGCCAGGCACCAAATAATGAGTCCACGCGGCCAAGAACGGCCCGCAAGGAGCCAGTAGCTACTGGACAAGTAGCAGCCAAGCGTCCCCGTCCCACCACAGCTCGTAAGGAGCCCTATACGCTCCCTCCCCTGCACACAGTCTCGGAGGAGGATGAAGACGAAGATGGCGAGGGCGAGGAGGATCAGGAGACAGAGATCGAGTATGAGGAAGAAGATGCGCTTAGTGAGGCAGAATGAAGAACAACAGAGGCATGAGATTGTTGGGTTTTGGTTTGTGTGTTTGTTTGAGTATTCCGTTTCTGAGTTTTGGCCATAGGCCCGGTTTGTTTGTGAGGCTTCTACGATACGTACGATTCGTTTAATAGATATCGGATACTTTGATGCATAACGAGGAAAATAGTCATGACCAGTGACGGCAATGAGCGCCGCCCTCGTGAGTGTGAGGGGGGAATCCTTGAGGTTAAGGTTATGCCTTGATTCAGGTGAGCCTGCGGCAGTGGTAACTTGAGATAAGACATTGTAACAGAGACGGCTGTGAGACAGAGGCAGCGGACAGCAAAGAGAGATAGTGACAATAGGCAGTGACGACGTTGAGAATAGCCACGTCGATGCGTGGCGTTCATTCATCAAGTATTACTTCAACCGCAATACAACACGGCCGACGTCTACATACCTTAATCATCAAGATCAAGCCCATCAACCTTGCCCAAGAAATCCCCCTTCCCACCCCTCAACAGCTCCTCGATATCCACGCTGCCGGAAGTAAGATATTTCTCGCTCACACCGGCATTCACCCTCCTCGACAACAGCTCCCTCAACTCCGCCCTCATAGCGCCCATCTCGGCCTTAGTCACCTGCTGGTTCTCCCTCTGCTTCTTCTTCCTCTGGCTGCCCCTCCCACCCCAGCTGCCCGCCTTCTGCAGTTCATCGCTGTCATACTCCACCCCGAGCTCCTCGGCCGCTTTGCGGCCCCAGTCGTCCTCCTTGCCTCCCTTCTCCTTGGCCAGCGTCGCGTCGGTGAGCTTTTTGGCGAGGTCTACGCGCGGCTTGAGCTTGGACGCGATGCGCCGGTCAATATCGATCGTGCGCATGAGGTACTTCTTCTTGCTCGCCTGCTCGGCGTGCACCTTTGCCGCGAGACGCCGCGTGGGCACGACCTCCTCGGGTCCGCAGAGGATGATGCTCAGACCGGACCTCTCTGCGCGTGCTGTGCGACCGGAGCGGTGAACGTACATGTCGGCGGCGCGGGGGACGTGGTAGTGGACGACCTGGTCGATGCCCGGGATGTCGAGACCGCGGGCAGCGACGTCGGTGGCGATGAGGACGGAGGTGGTGTTGGGCTTGGTATCTGTGAAGCGCTCGACGGAGCGGAGACGGGCTTTTTGCGGCATACCGGAGTGGAGGGCCAAAGCGTTGATGTTGAGGTTCTGAAGCATTGGGGTGAGGCGGCGGACGGTATCGACGGAATTGGTGAAGACTAGGGTACGGCGGTTGGGGTTGAGAAGGAGCACGGTGTAAAGGTAGAGATCCTGCAAAAATCAGTAGCTGGTCGTGGGACTGCGGGATGGGGGCTTACCTTTTCCATGGCACCGCACTCGATCAGACCCTCCTTCAAACCAGTCGCCATTTGCTTCACGGGGTTGACGTCGATGAACTTGGGCTTCTCTTCGCGGAAATTCAAGCGCTTCAGGAGGTATTCCATCGACTCGTTTTCCGACATGAGACCCCATTTGCCCTTGCCCGCGAGCTTCTGTTGCAGGCCCTTGTGGAAGGTGGCAGAGTACACGAGAGTCTGGCGAGCGGACAATTGCTTGTTGTCGTCGTCTTCCTCGTCCACTGCTTCTCTGTCAAGCGCGTCCAGGATCTCGCCAGCCTCCTTGAAATGTCCCTCGCTCAGCAGTCTGTCAGCCTCATCGACGACCAGGTACCTGATATTCTTGAAGGCTGTGAGCATGTCCGTACTGGAGCTGAGCACCTCCCACAGACGACCAGGGGTACCGATGACGATGTCCGCCTTGGCAAGCTGCCTCTGCTGCTTGAACACTGAAAGACCTCCGGTAACCGAGCAGACGTAGGGACCATTGGCAAGACCGGCGCAGAGATTCTTGATGTGATTCGTGATCTGGTGAGCCAGTTCTCTCGTCGGTGAGAGGATCAGCGCGGTCGGGGTATGTTCGCCCTTCTCTTCTCCCTCCTTGGCTTCAAACCTCTCAACCCAATCCTCGACGATCGGGATCGAAAACGCGAGCGTCTTACCGGAACCAGTGGACGCCTTTCCGATGACGTCGTGGCCAGCAAGGATATCGGGTATTGAGGACGCTTGAATTTTGGTAGGCTTAGTGAACTTGAGCTTTGCGATGGCGGAGACTGTGGCTGGCGACAGGCCGAGTTTGGTCCACTCTCCCATGTCAAGATCCTCATCCTCCTCGGCCTCTTCCGTCGCTTCGAGGGCGGAGAAGACGTTGCTGACGAGCTTCGAGTCCTCTGGCTTGGGCTGGGCCTTCTTTTGCTTCTTTTCCTTCTTGTTCTTCTTCTTGCCCTCGGTATTCTCGGCTTCTGGTTCGGAGGCGGGCTCGTCCGCGTTCTCGGTGTTCTGTGCGGCGATCTTCTCCTTTGTCTTCTCTTCGGTCTTTGCAGGCTTCGCCTTCTTGTCTTTCTTGCCCTTCTTCGTCTCGGCCTTTTCATCGGGCTTTTCTTCTGCGGCAGCGGCAGGCTCAGAATCGCTGAAGCCTTCGAACTCGTCGTCTTTGTCCATCTCATCGGCGGAGGGGAGGTCGGTCACCTAGTCCCTAGTCAGTAATGGCCATGCAGCTGTTCGGGACACACTCACGAACGCGACTTGGTCGCCATTTCTGACGATATCAACACCGTCGATCACTTCCAGGCCATAGAAACCCTCCGCATCGTCGAACATCTCGGGAACATCGACCTTCTTCCATGGCAGCGAGTTGACGCCGACGGAGCGCTTCTTAGACGGGCCGGACTTGGCGACGACAGACTTTTGACGCTTTTTGGGGTTTTGGCCGGCGTCAGAAAGCTGATGTTTCCTCTTGTTCTTGGTGAGGCGGTCCATCTCGAGGGTGGTGGTAAACGAATGTCTGAATGGAAAATGCCCCGCGAAATTCTGCAGCAGAGATTCAGCGGCGCATTTCACCTACCTCAGCAATTGAGCTCTGATTCTCCCAGCGGCCGCCAGAAAATTTTAGCGGACCCGGAACATTCTTCCTCCGCGGAGGACGCATCCCGTCTGGGCCCCGCTAGAAAACCGCACTACGCACCGACCACACCTTATCTCAGCCCTACGGCCGCCGTCACCGCTGCAGCAAATTTTCTGCCGAGACGGCGCTGAGCGAGATGAACCCCTCCAAAAAACCCCTCCATTCAGTGTCCCGCTGAACATCCCCCACCAAATCTTCAGCGAAACCCAAATCTCGCACCCTCGACGTCACAATGGGAAAATCTTCAAAGGATAAGCGCGATGCTTACTACCGTCTTGCCAAGGAGCAGGGTTGGCGTGCACGCAGCGCCTTTAAGCTGCTGCAGCTGGATGAAGGTGACTCATTTTACCCCGCCATGTGTATGAATTTCGTGCTGATGATGTCCTTCGTAGAGTTTGACCTGTTTGCCAACGTGACGAGAGTCGTGGACCTCTGTGCCGCCCCTGGAAGTTGGTCTCAAGTCTTGTCTCGTGTCCTGATCAAAGGAGAGAAGTTCGGACGTTCAGCATGGCAAGATCGCGAGGCCAAGTTCCGCCAGGAGATGCTCGGCGTCTTCCCCGCTGCCCCTGAGTCTGAGGCGTCCGTGAAGTCCGAGGAGTCCCAAGACCCCCAACCTCGCAAGGATGTCAAGATCGTCTCCATCGACTTGCAGCCCATCAGCCCTCTCCCGGGCATCATCACCCTGCGTGCCGACATCACCCACCCCGCCACCGTCCCCTTGTTACTCAAGGCTCTTGATTCCGACTACGACGCCAACTCCAGGAGCAAGCAAGCGACCAGTCCCGTCGATCTGGTCATTAGCGACGGTGCCCCCGACGTCACCGGTCTCCACGATCTCGACATCTACGTCCAATCTCAGCTGCTTTTCGCCGCTCTCAACCTTGCTCTCTGCGTGCTGAAGCCCGGTGGCAAGTTCGTCGCCAAGATCTTCCGCGGCCGCAACGTCGACCTTCTCTACGCTCAGCTCAAGATCTTCTTCGAGACCGTCATCGTCGCCAAGCCGAGGTCCTCCCGCGCGAGCAGTGTCGAAGCCTTCATCGTCTGCATCAACTTCCAGCCCCCCGCCGGATTCCAGGCCAGCCTGGAGAACCCGCTCGGCGTCGGACACAAGCTGCCCGAGATGGTCGAGGAGAGGAGAGCCCAGTTGCCAGTCGTCGCTGAAGCGCTCATGCAGAACCCTGCCACCGGCACTTGGGACACCGCTCCTACCGCATCCACCCACGGTGCTGACGGGGTAGTCGAGGTCGAGGCCTATGACGAGACAGACGAGACAACCGACCACGAGAAGCACATCAGGTGGATCGCACCTTTCATCGCGTGCGGTGACCTTTCTGCATTCGACTCAGATGCTTCCTACCGACTGCCTGAAGACCACGTATCTCTCGACCCCGTCCAGCCGCCAACAGCACCCCCCTACAAGCGCGCCATCGAGCTCCGAAAGGCTGCAGGCGGGGCGTATGGCAAGACCTCCGTCAAGGTATAAGCCATCATTCCAAACCACTCAGTCCGCCCTCAATCGTCCTCATAATCCGACGGCCCATCCGGCATTGCGGGCCCGCGCTTCTCAAGCAAGAACAGCTTCCCGTCGTACGACTTGCCCCACTCCGTGGTCCCGAGAGTCTTCTCGTACAACTTGCTAGCCTGCGGCGACGACGTCAAGAGGAGAAATCGCCGCAGGTCCGGCCACTCGTCTAGGACCTCGTTCAAGCACTCCATCAACCACGGCGCGAGGCCCTTGCCCTGATGGGCCTGCAGCACGTACACGTCCGCCAGATACGCGAGGGAGACGAAGTCGGTCACCAGCCTCGCGAGACCGACCAGCTCTGGGCCTTTCTTCCCTAGGGGATCATCAGAGAAATGGAGGCATGGCAAGGATTGGCAGCGCACCTGCGATCTCAGCGGTAGACTTGGGAAGCTTGTAGACGCCAAAACATAGCGAGTTGTCAATCATCCTCCGTAGCACATCATCGGGCACCCGCTTCGCCCACCATAACAACTCCGTGTCAAACGCGTCATTGATGGCATTCAGCTGGAGGAGGGACCGGTCGGTGGATATGAGGTAGTCGTCCTTGTACCACTGCTTCGTGGGCATCTGGTTCGGCATCGTGTCTTGTATGTATCTCTCAGTCGTGAGCGACAGATGTAGTTGAAAGATACATGAAACCTTGTTCGGTAGAGGTTATTTAATACAGAATGCGGGAGGGGGGTGATCGAGCCCCGTCCGCAGGCTTTTTCGGGAAACGTCATACCGCCGCCGGATCGAGACGACCGTCCGTGAGCGTCTGCCGGGACAAACTCTACTGCCCCTCATCTGCCGTGGTGTTTGCTATACCACTCTCGGTAAGTAAGACCGAGTGGGGATGTTTTGCTCCGATGCCGATCGCGGCCGCGGGGGAGTTTGGTGGAGAATGCACGGAATGCGCTCCGGTTTTGGTGATGTCTCACGTAAGGTTTTCCAACGTCGAGCTTCATCGTCACGTCGTCACCAAAGAAAAAAGTATTTACGCAACACCGATTTAACGCGTAAAAAAAAGAAGCCCGCTGCAGAAGCTCCGATTTCATAAGGAACAGAAGTAAAGAAAAAAAGTAAGGAAAGGAAAGTAAAAGGCAAAAAATGCAAAACTTTTCAACGCCCGAAGTTCGAGACTCGAACTGCGCGCCCCGCCAGCTAATCAGTAGGCCCGGACCGAGGTATTTCTTTACCAACCCGTGAGGGTTTTACCACTAGACTACGGCGCCCGCGCCTGTCTAGCTGAACTGATGTGGGAGGTTTGAGATCGAGGCGGTACAAGAACCTTCCTCCAGGCAGAAGCGAGGATTCCAAGGTATCGAGGTGCTCCTTCCGCCTTTGTTGACTTGACCTTGAGGGACCCATCCCACCCCACCACATTGCCCGGCCATCTCACTCAGTGCAAAACACAACACCAAAGCTCGAGGAAAGCGCCCAACCCGGGACAAGCACCGGCGCATTTCCTGGCAAATAGCTCGCCTGAAAATCTCTTCCTTCCGTACCGCTTTTCTCCTCCCCGAAACGCTTTGCGCCGCGGCTTCCTTGCCGGATCGAACGCCCGCACTTTCCCATCCAACTCTTTGCTTACGACTCTCGATCAACTTCTTATTGTTACATTGCAGTTCGCCGAAGAAACAGCATACCTTATTGTGAGTTGCCATTTCCTTTACTTGTCTCTCTTTCAGCATGCCTAACTTCTTACCAGAGCTACCTACCCGAAGCCGCAATGGACCACGTGCACCGAATTCTTGCCGAGCTGTCCGGCGAGTCCCGCGATATTGCTCTGCGCCGTGCTCTAGAGGAGACGGCACGAGATCATCTGATCCGCCTCCTCGTACACGAAGATTACGACCAAATACGCCTCTGGTACGCGGATGACGTGACCATGGTCGTCGGCCTCGATACGACACTCGACGGAGAAATTCTGAAGGGCCACGAGGAAATCGCCGAGCATTATCTCAACGTGCACGAACAGACAGAGGTCTTGATGATTCCAGTCCTCACCATCGCCGACCGAGGTCGCGTCACAGTCTACACAGAGACTTTCTACAAGTGGCTCGGCAAGGTCGACAAGGAGTCGCTGCTCGATTCTGGCTGTGACATCGAGGAGCCGGTCGAGGCCCCCTTCGTTGGCTGGCCTGCTGTCTCCCATTACGACGTACTCAAGGTGCGCGAAGTTGTCGTCTTCGACCTCGACGATCAGATGAAGGTGAGGCGCATCGAGTGTCGCCAGCTTGGTCAGGATAACCTTGGCCAGGTAAGCATGGACGCGCAGGCACAGATGAGCGAGAAGTTGAAGGTGCGGATCCAGGGGGATATCTGATCTTTTGGGAAGAGCTGGAGGATTGCTTGGAGAGAGATAGGATGGGAAGCTATGGCAATGTTTCTGGATGCGAAGCAGGAAACCTTTGGCAGGACAGACTTGGGAAAACCTTGGAAGATAAATGGCATGGCTCATACCGGAAAAGGGGAAAGCACAAGGGTAGGCGGATACCCAGTAACGAATGATGGTAATGATGAAGAAACAAAAAGGCAACGAAACTCTACGACTACCTTGATTCCGACCCCGTGAAATGGTCGGTTGCACCCTTTGGAATTTCAAACCTTGAGCGAATTCCCCAGTCTTAAATTTTCAGCTGTTTTGAACTCTGGAGATGGGCTTTCTCTTCTATGCCTTCCCCCACCGATTTTCTAGTAAGACATTTACATGTAAGTACTCAAGCCGTTGAGACCAAGCATCGAGACTAAGATGTCCATCAAAAGACAAACCATGGACTATTACGACACGGCATCCGAAATCGAAGCTTTCCTCGACGAGGTCACCGGCCCATCTCGAGATCGCGCATCGCGCTACGCTATTGAACTCAAAGTCCGAGCAATGTTCGAGGACATCGACAGCAGACGCTGGAGAAGGGTACGGAGATGTTTTAACAAGGATGCTAGGGTCATCAAGGCCCTCGCCCATCCCAGCCAAATCATCGACAGAGACCTAGACGAAGTGATCCGCTGGTTCGACTCCTTGTACCACAATGCGCATGGTGAGGCGGTGCACCATGCCATTGTACCCACGCTCGTCCTCGTCGACAGAGGCCGCGTGACGTGCCATCTCACCAACTTCTGGGCGGAGCTGCCTGCTGAAGATATTCTTAAGTTCGAGTACTTCACCCAATATCACGAGATCATCGTTCTGGATTTGGACGAGAATCATAAGATTACGCGGTTTGAACGTCGTGCACACACACAGCCGTGGACGAAGCACACAGGGGACATCCAGGAGTTCAATTACTTTGTGCGAATGACGAAGAGAGGAACGGTGGAGATGGAGGAATACTTTCAGTAATTCTGTCGTGACTGGGACAGCTGAGAACAACCGATATCTTCGATGTCATGTCATGAACTACAATGGTAGGTACTTCCCCAAACAAGAACAACAACAAGCCTTTACCTTAGAAAAGACTCACAGGAGCGTATGGAAGCCTATTTTCTGTTGACGGAAGTTGCCTTACCTGCTATATATCCACCTTATCGATCGAGGAACGACAGGAAGAACAATATAGATGGCGTCTTCTTTCAGTACAACTACACCATGATCGCGGATTTTAACGAGCTCTATCGCATCACAAGTCTCCAATGTGGCAGGAACGACGAGAACGAGAAATATTACGAGGGAGGAAAAGAAATATCTGATCAACTCGTCGAAGGGATAATCGCTGCGACCGCCGACTAACTCTTCAAGCGCCAAGGCGCTCTATGCACCACGGACACGACAATGGATTAAACAAAGATAACTGATATTTCGGACCTGAGAGCAATTAGAAGAAGTCTGATCTGTAGGCCACGCAGGGAGATTTCAGGAGAATACTCAGGGGCTATTCCTCACTTTCATTTGATAACGGTGCTCCTTATGGATCATGCCAAATCGATTGTGAGATGTCGAGCACGTCTAGCGGGCACCTCCCCGACTTATTAACCTATCTATCAAGGCTCTGGTGTTCTAAGTTCTAGAACTCAAACACTTCCTCCTCAACGTAGAAGGTGCTCTTGGCAGAGCTTACCTTCGAAGCCGCCCTCCGTACATCGTGAATCAATTTGGTAGGCCCACACACACTGACCATGGCATCAAGACACGGATTCATCCTTCTGATGCCCTCAAACCAAGCCAGAACATCTGGCCGTCCCATGTTGACTTCTCCAGGACCATCATACGGCTTCGAGTGTCCACTCATTGCGTAGCTTTCGATGTCCCTTGGCGCCGGGAGCTCCCCAGCTGATCCCGTGACATGAATTGAAATATCCAATGTCGCGGGCACCGCTGGGTCGGCGGTCACTGTCGCCAAGCTCCTCAATTCGTCGGCAAACCATTCCGTGCTTTCGATACTTTTCACCACCCACAAAATGTGGATGTGCCATGATTTCCCCATGAGCGCGGCGCTATCGGAGAATGCAGCACGCCGGACGAGGTGGGTGGCGATGCTGATGGCAGGCGTGATGCCGATGCCACCGGCAACGAGCACAGTCAGCGGTTGTTCTCCCCAAAAGATTCGACCAAGTCCGTACGGCCCGTCCAGGCGCATTCGCAGTCTCCCAGTTTTGGATTGGATTCCAGCTTGCGCTGCGTCGCCTTCGAATATGTCGTTCTGCACAATATCGCCGACCTTACGCGTGTATCCGCCAAGTCCTCTGATAGCAATGGTTGCGTCCTTATCGCCGGGGGCAGAGGCGATGGTGAACGGATGCCAGTTCAGGAACGACACGCTCGGGATCTGGACCCAAGCGATCTGGCCCGGATGATGAGGCTTCATACCTTCAAACTTCATCTTCGTGACGTCTCCGTGGTGATACTGTACGGAAGTCGTATTGATGGAGCGGAAGTTGTAGTAGAGGCGTAGGAAGCGATCGCAACCCCAGAGCAACAAGCCCGGGAGGAGAAACTCGGGTCCCTTGGTCGCATGTATCAAAGCACCGACAACAAAGACAAAGAACAATGCGTGCGTGTAGTAAAAGACTTCAAAAAGCCGGCGGCGAACAATGGGAGCGGATGCAATGGCAAGAACAACCAACGCTGCCCAAGCCATGGTGCCAACTTGGATGCGGAGGTTGGAGAACGAGGTCGCCAGCTGGTCGGTGGCCATGTAATGCTGCGTATTTAACGCGAAGTGGATGGTCGCGTAGACCATTGTCGCGATGCCGATCCAGCGATGGTATACCAGCAAAACGGACGATGGTATCTGGGCGACGAGGGAGAAAAGGTTTGTTCGGGCAGCCATGAGCAAAGCTAGGCCTCCGTTTGCGATTGTGAGCCACCCATAGAGCTTGAAATCTGTGGTGTATTCGTTGTCGTTTACTCCGAAGAGGACGTTCAACCCAAGAAGGACGCCAAATCGAAGCCAGTTGGCAAGATGGTGCGAAGTTAAGAGAGGGACGGGAGAAGGAAGAGTCAAGAGTTTGTGTAGAACGACGACTACTCGTGAGTGCCCTGTTGAGTTTCTGATGAAAGGTTGGTCTACCCAGATGTGTCAGCAAGTGCTTTCATTTCCTCCCCGGCTGTACTACTGACCATGATGAATGAGGCCTCGGATACGTGCTGGAAGACGGATCACGCTCTCCACGAACAGCATTCCGATGACACAAATAAAGTAGGCTCTGGCGGCCAGGTATTGGTCTTGAAGAACAGGCTGCCCCATTATATCGATGCGGGAAAGAAACGACTACTACGAAGAAGACTCGACTGACAGGACACTTGAAGCGGTGGTAAGTCTGACGTTGCTCGAAATGTCGAGGTCTCCATCTAAAAGTCGCGGATGTTCACATCGTTTTGTAGAAGCCATGAGCCACGAGTTCCAAAGATTTGGATTCCATCACCTCTGCACGCAACCATCGTTGTAGATGAATGATCAATATTTCCTAAGGTGGTTAGCGCTCAGTGGCTCAATCAGGATGCGAACTAGTCTTCCTTCGCCCTCTAGTCTCAACGGCAAGGAATCAGAACGGGAACCAAAAGGCTCGCATGTTTAGTCATGAAGGCTGACGGGAAGATTAGGCTCAGTTTAGCTGCTAGCTGCGGCGATGAACGTGGAGCAGCTACAGCACAGGTAGATTTAAGCTTGGGTGCATAGCGCTCGGGCATCGCTTCGCGATAATCAAAATTGCCTATTTGGGTAAAGGTCCAAGATGCAAAGGATTCGACGAAGGCTAATTGTGGTTGAAAGTCACCCCATCATCCCGAAATGGAAGGTGCGTTTACAAATCTAGGGAATCAAATACCTTCTGTCTGATGTCCTGCTGTATGTTGATTCCAAAGACACAAACCTATATATATGCGTCCATCTTCCTCTCGGTTAAGAAAAGAAGGACACCAGCATCAACCCATTAAGTCACGATCCGACAACCACTCCAAACCATCGCATTCAACCTTCATACAAAGCTCCTACATACCTTCCATTTAAATCTTCCTTTAGCTCAACAAAAATGTTCAGCCAGAGCACCTCCATCCTCCTTGCAGGCCTCGCCCTCTTCTCCGCCGTCGCCTCGGGCCAGAGCAACGACACCATGGCTCAAAAGGTCGGCTGGTCGGGCAAGCTTTCTTCCCTTGACGGCGGTCTCGGCGGTACCATTACCGTCGTCGACGCCTCGACTCTTATGATCAGCGACTACACGCTAAAGGACGCCTCGGCCCCTGCATTGTACTGGTGGGGCACCACCGGCAACACTATCAAGGACGGCTTCCGCATCTCCAACGAACAGGTCACCCACGCTGCGACCAGCAACTCTCTGACCATCAAGCTGGACGCCGGGAAGACACCCGCAGATTTCGCGACTGTCGGCCTCTGGTGTGAGCGTCTTTCCGCCAACTTTGGCCAGGCTACGCTCAAGCCATCTTCCGGTTCTGGTTCCGGCTCCGCCTCTGGAGGCAGCGGTTCTGGTGCAGCAAACTCGGCAGCATCGGCCATGAAAGGCTCTTTTAGCCGTGTGGTTGTTGTCACTGTCGGCGCTGTCTTCGTTGCTTATTGGATGGTCTAAGACGGCAATAAAACATCAGAGAGCTGACGCAAGTCTTGTTTTCTGTATTTGGACCAAACATCATGTTTCGGAATTAACACACATGTGACGGGGGGCAAGTTAGGCAGTATTTTCAATTCTTCCTTGCTGGGTCGCGGAAACAGTTTGTATCGTTCCAATTAGTCTCATAACGTTGTTCTACAATCGCATCAACTACCAATCATGCAATATTCCAGCAAGAACGGCGGTCTTCGTGGGACTATTCACATCTATACCATGACGACCAAGTAGACCAAGACTGCTGAATAAGTCGAAACAACCAGAGATCAGCCCTTTGAACTGAAAATTAAGAAGTGCCGTCTTCGAGAGCAGTGGTGTCGACACCCATGGTGATGTATCCGACCACTCCGTTTTCGATGTTCTCGCCATCCAAGGGGACGACGCTGATGACGGGGTTGTAACCACCAACCAGACTTTGGTCAAAGATACCCTGGGAGTCGACGTCGTTGGTGGTGCGGTTGATCTCGGTGTGAGAAACGTAGGGCTCAAGAGCCATCAGCTTGGCAGAGACCTCCTCATCGAAGTAGAGCTGGCCAGTGTTGACCAGGTTGCCGGAGCTGACGGTTCCGTTGCTGCGGACGGTCCCTGGAGTTTGATGTTAGACAAATACCAAGCGACCAAAAGACTAAGACTACTTACAGTCAGTGAAGACTTGGGTGTGGATGTGAATGGCACGCTCGACGTAGAAACCGGGGAAGATGGTCTTCATCTCCATCACGCCCTCAGAGTTGGTGGGCCACATGCCTCTAAGGAAGGTGGTGTCGTCGGTGTGAAGATCCGTGACGCCGATCTGGAAGTCGGTGATGTTCTTCTGCTGAAGCAACTCCTCGAACCTGGTGTTGGGGCTGAGGTGTGTGAAGGAGGAGTAGCTGCCGGTGGCGTTGCAGTGCCAGAAGCTGACGAGGGCATTCTCCAAGGGCTCGCAAGTGGCCATGTCGAGGATGCCGACATCAAGAGTCAGGGGGATTCCGGCCTCGCCTTCGGTCATGTCCATGCGCAGAGTCTGAGAACGAGGCCAGACATAGGGGCCTTCGGTTACCTCAGGGGTCAAGACGCAGGTGTTGTTTTGGACTGATTGCGGATGTTAGCAATTCTGCGTAAACTTGATGCTGATACGAAAAAAATGAGACTTACTGTTCTCATAGTAGAGACCCTCAGTGTTGATGATGACACTGGAGTTGGCAGCTCGCTCCTCCAGCTCAACGGCACGCTTAGCCATGCGCTTGGCGTGTCTCCTCTTCTGGAACTGTGCGGTCTGCGCAGCGCATCTCTTGGCCATAGCATCGCGCCGAGAGATCTCAGAGCGGGAGAGAATCTCGTTGTGCGCAAGGACCGAGGCCGTGAACAGGCCAGTGGCCAAGATGGAGCCGAACTTCATAGCGAAAGAGTGGAATGCCGAAGCACAAAAGAATGACCTTAAAGACTGGAGAACGAGTGTGGTCTGCGTTGAAGAGAGAGAAGCGTCAAGTACGGAAGAGAGGTCGAAGCACTTATGTACTTCCTTCCCTTCTATAAAGGTTGAAGAATCCACCAGAATATCCTGCCACTGCTGAATCTGGCATTAACACGAGCCCGTCGGCTGGCCTTGACAGCGCATCCACAATGCCCATGTTTAGGTGATCATGAAGAAGACCCCTTTTGATTAAACAAATGCTACGCTGCACGCTTTTCGCGATGTAAAGCAGATCCATCAACTCCATGATTCGAAATGCCGTCAAAATGTTTCGTTGGTTCTTGAGCAGGCCGGGGCCACAAAGCGGGTCTCATGGACCGGCCCCGGACCCCCGGTGCGCCGTGCCGGCACGGAATGTGGGAGGAATGGAGCCGCTCGCGAGTCACGTCGCCGAGGACTTGCCCCTTGGGAAATGCGATCCAGAAAAGAAACTGGGCATTGCGACTCTGCGCCGAATCCCTCCCACTTTCCGAAGCCAACTTGCTAATGACGTCTGACTTGGCAATGGATTCAGGAGTTTTTTTGGTTGCTTTTTTCGAGAACGAAATGGATCGTTTCCACAGAACAGCCAGGAATGCGCAGTGGGCCGCAGGGTTATCAACGGAGCAAGCGCGCGGAAGTGACCGCGACGTGCCGGTAGTTGAGGTTTTCTCTCACACGTGCCGGACATATACGTCGGGGTCGCAATTAGTTGCAAGGTCCTGTGGCCGAATATCGAAGGTGTCATTGATACAAAGGAAGACCTTATCTTCATGATATCGCGCATGAGAACGAAGAGATTATCCCGGCCAAAGTAGCTTACGTCTGCGAAGCAAGGAGTCTATGAGAGCTTCGGTGAGGAAGCGAGCGCGCCTCCTATCCTGGACGCAATGTTGTAAGTGCAGGCCAAGCCCTGCGCACGCCGAGAGAAGGCGATCCCGTATCGATCCCCACAAGGAGAATGTCCAGGGGTACCCATTATCGACCAGAAGCGGCTTTCTTGGGCGAGACGACGCGATCTAATACTTGTCTGGGCTGACAGGGACAATGTCGACTCGGCCTGGGCCGCATGTTATGCCAGCGTTGATCTTGGCGCACTCATACCCAAACTTGACCCTGCCAGGGTGAAGTCTTCTCGGAGCTCCTTAGTGACCTTGGCGAATGGGTGGTGCGGAGGCATCTTTAGGGTCGAAGGTACTGGGAATATGTCGGATCATCTGCAGATAAGGTACTTTGAAGGCGATAACTACTCATTAACAAAGACCAAGAGAACGAAGAACGCACTCAATGCTGAAAAATCGATGATGTTGAATAAGACATAGTTTTTCTTCGGTGGTGAATGGTCGAGTTGAACGAGCAACTTGACAAATGGCCTAGGTCAGGACGTCCCTAGTAAGCCCGTTTTCAAACGAAGTGAAACCCTCAGTTTTCTGGCCATAAATGTAGATGCGCTGTTCCCTAGCGAATAAGAGAGCTATGAGACGAAAAGACCTTGCGGTTCTTCCATCCTAAGTTGTGGCGGGCATTTGAGTTGAAGAATCGACACCTACCTCCATAATATTGATGCTGGCCTAAGGTCTCAAGGACAACCTACAAGAAGAAGGATAAGGAGATTGACGTTCTTTATGGCGCTCATAACCTCTGGGATCAGCACGTTTTGATAGCCCTGAATTCATTCATAAGATTTGGGAGAAAGAAGTGACCATGTAAAGTCGAAGATGCCAGGCCTCACAAAGAAATTTGAACAGAGGCTGAAAGCTGGGGACGTAATTGTCCGGAAGCTGTGCTCCAGTGCGGTAGTATTCCCATGAATCCAAGCAAATATTGTCCCTGTGCTTGTTCATTTTCACCCTTCCAATTTTATTTCTTGGAGTGCCCGGTAGAATTGGCGGAGCTGAAAGAAAACCAGGAAAGCACCTGATGAGGAAAGAACGAGAAAAACTTCAGAAAACCCGAAAGTTTATCGTTGCAGCAGCTCGCAGCATACACCCAGCCGGCCCTTCGACTGTTCCTTCATTTTCATGACAACATCCAACAGTGGCGAGGGAATAACACTTCCAGTCGTGAGTCACAATTATCCTCCGCCTACCAATACTAACCATCGTCGCTAGTTACACGATGTCGCCGACTTACGAAGACGGCGTGGACCGCATCGATGCCGAGGTCTCGGGCGATCCGTTTGGCCTTCGCCCAGACCTACAAGAGGCGATTGACCTTTTCGTCTGCAATCTCGATTGGAGAGTCCTCCCCGTTCGATTTGGCGACGTGTACGAGTTCGACAAGATGCTTATCGACAAGCACCAAGCAATGCTCACCAACGACGTGAAGCTCATTACCGGCGACAACGTCTACGAAATCCTCCACGGGAAGGATGAGGTCATTAAATACTTCACCCACTGTTATCACAAGCTGTACACCTGGACTATTCCGCTTCTTACCATTGCTACGAGCGACCGCGTTACTTGTCACACAGAGCGCGTCTCTGACTGCGCTGAGAGCCAGGCTATCACGAGGGAAGACGTGATGTTCATTTTCGACATGACCGCAGCGAACAAGATCAAGCGGATTGAGATCCGGCCGACTAGGAGGACTTAAGTTGGGGCTATGGAATATGATTGCGGCGAAGGTGGTTCGCACATCAATCACTCCGCAATTCTCCCAGCTTCGACTTGAGCGAAACCTTGGACGGCTTGACGGCGAATGATGTTGCGGGGAAAAGCAAAGATTCTTCGGTGGTGAGGGACTTTAATTGGAAGTACGTTCCTCACGGATGGCTTGGAGGACGGCAAGGGCGGAGGAAAAATGTTATTAGAGGTCTCCGGGACGGAGGCATCGAGAATTCAATTCAAGAGGCTTCATCATTGAGGCTAGAAATCGCCACACGTATTCCACCTCCAGAGTAATAGCGAAAGAAAGATGTTTCGATGGTTGGACGACGGAAACACTCGCATGATTAATTAATAAGAGAAAGCGGCTGGCAGTCTCTTAAAAAAATCACCCTGCCCTTCTCTCCTCGTAATATTGATGCCTACGACGGGGTCTTATGTCCACAGGCGAGAGTGACAATGAAAAGTGCTGAAACAGCATCGCAGCCGGAGATGATCCCACAAAACAATGTAAAAGACATCAAAGCCTGGAAGGAAGGAGCCTGCCTTGGTAGTCGGCGCCTGCCCTCAAGACACCCAAAATTTTGAAACTTCCAACAGCAGCCAAGACACAAGACAAGCCCAAGTTGGTCGTCCCTCGGAGTATCCAAATCCTACCTAGCCCGTTTACACAAGCAGCACCAAAATTGTGATCAGCATCATCAATAGCAACAACTACGGCGAAAAGATACAGAGATGCCGACCACCTACGACAGCGAAGCCTTCCGTCGCTACCGGGACGAGATCGCTGGCAGCGACCGCTCCCTGCGCTTCATTCTCTACGACAGAGCTCGAGACCTTATTCACAACCTCGCCGCTGGCAATTCTGCCAACCTCATGGACTGGGTTACCGACGACGTCACCCTCGTCACCGACCTCGACGCCCCCGGAAACATCTACAAGGGCAAGAAAGAGCTGCTCCACTACTTCGACAACGACGACCTCGGCGTGCTCTATCATTGGCATGAAGGAAGCGAAGAGGTCCCGACCCTTCTCATAGTCGACCGCGGCCGCATCACCTGCCATCTGGAGCGACTGCGTTGGGACAGCGACGCCTCTTCTGTTGAGAGACAGCACGTCGTTGCCACCTTCGACCTCAACGATGAGAGCCGCATCAAGCGCATCGAGTATCGCCTACTTCAGACCGTCCACGACAAAGAGGGCCGCACTCTGGAGGAGGCCATCTCGGAGACGAACGAGAGAGTTGTTCACATCGACAAGAACGCGTATTTCTGAGCTCCGAGACCTCGATACCATCATCAAAGCATTGCCACAGAATCAAGAAGAAAGATGTCAGGATATTTCAGGGTGGCAGAGGAGAGATGGAGGTCCAAAATCGCAGGAACGACAGGGAAAAATAAATCCGGCAACTTCATCATCGAGGAAGGGAATGTCATTACCCCATAATTCCATTCTGGAGCAGCTTCGATAGAAATTCAGGCTTTCATCTCACTCATCAACTCCCAAACGCAAACTTGAAAACGTTCCCCGGATCAACCTTCGCCTTCAACCGTTTGACCGTCTCCCAGTGATCCCCGTAGACAACCTCCATCGCAAACTGCCCCTTCGGCAACAGCGAGTAGTATCCGCCTTCGATTACGCCGTCCAACTTGGCCAACCCATCCCGTAGCCCATCCGCCCACTCCTTCCCTTCTTGACTCTTTTCCTTCGTCACAGTAAGCCCAACAATCTCCAACAAGTTGTGATCCTCCCGCCATCTGAATACGCCTGGCAGATGCTCCGACCGAGCGGCCTTGCCCCGGAGCTGGTGAGTGCTAAGTAGGGCACCGTCTCCCGGCATCCTCGCGCCGTACTCGGCATACAACTCGGTCATATCGTCCGTGAAGATAAGGCTCTTGGTACTAACGCCATGGGAACTCCCCGGGATGACGGTGGGAGGAACCAGAGCACTGATTTGAGCAAGGTGCCCCATCGGGCTCGTCGGAGCAACCGCCTTCATCCCGACTGGAGCAAGGGCAGATATTTCGTCGAGCCATCTGTTCGAGTCGTCTGATCCCGGCCCATTCCAAACAAAGCCGACCATAAAGACCTTGCCCATTCCCGGAGCCTCGATCACGGCGGGCTGGAGGCAGAGTTCGTCGGGTAGGCACTTTTCGTCGAGAAGCTTACGCCAATTCGTCCAGAAGGTCTTGATCGTGACTCGGATGTCTTTCGAGTCGTAGAAGATTACACCGGCTTGGATCTGCACCACGTTAGATCTGGTTGTCCTGCAAGAAGTCGTGGAGCAACTCACCTCTGTCTTCGGGTAGACCTTGATCTCGAGCTCAACAATGACGCCCAGCGCCGGACCAGCGCCTCGAATTCCAACTAACAACTCCTCATCCGCGTCCACGAGCTCGCCACTCGCAAGTACTACCTTCGCCGCAAGGATCTGGTCGACTCCCAAGCCCAAGCTAGGCGTGTACGAGGAGTAACCCCCAAGCGATGCCCAACCGACGTAACCAACGCTGCCCACCGTCCCGGTGGGCGTTATCAAGTCCTGTCTCTCCAACTCCGCCAGAAGCGCGCTGTTCAGAATACCACCGCCAACTCTCGCGGACGTCTTGTCGGAAGAGACGTTGACGTAGCAGATGTCGCGCATGTCAATCTGAAGGATGCCGTCAACGGTGGACCGCGCGGACATGTCGTGCCCGCCGGAGCGGACGACGAAGGGAGTCGAGGTGGCGGCGCAGTGGGATACCAGCGCTGCGACATCATCAATGGACTGCGGACGGACGATGAAGCTCGAGATGGCGGAGGTCGCGATATATGTCTGGCGAAGTGACTGGAAGTCTGGATGCGAGGGAGAAAAGGTCTTGATCGAAGGGTGTTTCTCGAGGAATTCCTCGATCGCCGCTTGGGAGCCCATGATGTCTGTTCGCAATTGGTCTTTGTTAGTATTTTTTGCCAAACATTTGAGAAGGAAAGACAGGAAGACGTCGGGATGTCGTTGAGATAAATACAATTCCAGCTTTGGCTTACTGCTTACATGCGGCTATCGATCCAGGGTCTGGTCTCACCTTTTCGCAAGGATGATTGGGTGCTTTCAGAAGTGCCGCTTCTGCCGGAAAGGAAACGTAAGCACTACAGCCACGATTGTTTACCGGATTAGTATCTTAGTCGGGGATGTTTGTGGAGAGAGTCTTCGCGTACCTTGTCTGAGAATCCTGAATGATAAGCACTAACTGGCAAGACAGGCAGTGAACTGTAGAAGGATGGCTGACGCGGTCAAGGGTCTGGACGTCTTATTCCCGTTTCTGGCGAAGAACTGACAGGTTTCCCACACGCTCGAGAGCATTCAAGATCCTCTAGGTATGAATCGTCAATCATTCTTCGGTGATGGCTATCGTGCTAAGAAAAGCGTTGTAGGTCAAATCGTACAGCGAAAAAAACAGATCCCAATTCCTAAGACCTCCTCCCTGTCCATCACCGATAGTTCGTCGTGCAACTTCCCCCAATCGTAAAGGTTCGTGGCCATAGTTACCAACGCATCACACGTCCAAGCCACTCAATCATCGGAACTTCCTTCGAGAGATCGTGTCCCTCGGGAACCGGAGCACAGGTGTCATCGGGTCCGAAGATGAGCTCGTCGACAGAGCAGATGTCGTTGTTTGAAGACATCTTGACCCAGACCTCAAGAAACCAAGCCTCGGACTTGAAGCTGCGATCGTCGATGGTGGTATAGCCCGTGCATGCCTGGGGAGTCTTGTCTTGACGCTCGAAATCCTCCACGAATTGGTTCCAGACACCGTGCCAGAACTCAAGGCTACCTTGGTCTTCGTGCGAGCTGTTCAGGGTACTGCCGAGAATGTCAGCCAAGTGGGTGTGGCCATCGAGAGCCTCGGCATTCGGAGTCTGACGAGGCATAGGCGGGCAGCTGTGGAGGCCATGCATCTCGCAGACCATGTCGCCCAGAAGCCAGAACTTGTCTCTCGGGAGGAACATGCTCGCGCTGAGGGAGTGGACAGGGACGTTGCTGAAATTGTTGTAGTAGAAATCGCCAGCGTTGTCGAGATGCTCGAAGTAGGAGTTGTGTTCCGGTCCGCGGAAGTACTCAAGGTTGCCAATTTCGATGGGAGCATCCACGTTGCACTGGCTGTAGTCGGCGGCAAGACGAGTGGTGTAGGCATCGGAAACCGTGTTCGGCTCACACTGTCGAGGATCAGCCTTTTGGGGAACACCGGGTTGCACACCGCCCTCAATCTCTTGCGTGCCCTTGCAGGACCGGTCTTGGAAGAGGCATTCGTCAAGACTGTCCATGTGGCTCGAGTTGATAGTAGGGGTACCCAGCTTGCCATGCTGGTCCAGGATCCAGCTGATGTCGGCGCGAGGTTGGACCATGTCAGGGTGCTCGTCCATGAACGTCTTGGTACTCTCCCAGAGAGACTTGGGCTTGGAGTTCTCCTCGAACAAGACTTCGTTGACTCCATAGGCGATGTCGCGGTCTCTCATCAAGCGGAAGACATCAACGTTGATGTCGCACATGAAATGGGTCTGGAAAGTAGTTTTGTCAGCTCAACTATGATGGAGAAGGGCAGAGATCATTACTTACTCCGGGTTCAACCATCCAGAACCAGTTGTAGGCCTCCAGTCGCTTCTCTCTGGCGAAGAGACCAGCCGACCAGCGTCTTTTGTGATGGGCGGTCCAGATGTCAGCTTTGTTGGCACCCACTGCCTAAGTGTGTGCCAAGCCAGCCTCGAAGCGACCGGAATCAACCCAGCTTGGGACAGACCAGTGCTGCTTGGGGATGACATTGTAGGTGACAGTGCTGGAAGTGGCGTTGGAGGTGGCCTCCTTGAAGTCTTCGCTCAGCTCTCCATGGCTGAAGAAGACCCAGTCGTAGCGGTACTTGCTGTTGAAGCGGTGCTCGAGCTGTCCAATGGAGGAGACCATCTGGTCAAGTTGGTGTTCAGCAACAACGGCAACAAAGGCGGCGCGAGGTGAGGAGTCCCATAACTGCAGGTCGGCAGACAGAGCAGAAGGTAGAGCGATCAAGATCAGGATGGAGACAAGGAGGAAAGAGGGGGACTGGGGGAGAAAGAAAGGTCTGATGTGCTGCGCCATCTCGTCTGATGAGCAGGAGATCAGGTCGAGAAGGCGCAAAAGAGTGGTCTGATGGAAGCGCAGAGATCAGATAGATGTTCTTCGCCAATCTGAGACAGCTCTTTGATGGATATAGTGAAAGTCAGGGATTGTTGTTGCTCTGGTGATGCTTGTGATTTGAGGTGTATTGGAGGAAAGGTGCCAAGGTGATGGTGGTGTTTTTGGAAGAGCAGAGAAGAACAGACGGTCTCAAAAGGACGCTAAGATCTCGCTTAGCGTCTCTGCCTTTTTTAAAAAGATCAGGCAGGCACGTTTTGCTGCCGTCCACCCACCTCACACACGTGACTTGGTGATCCAGAATCTTCACCAGGCAGATGGGCGCCTCAGGCGCCTATGGCGTCTATTGAGCCCTTGACAAACATATTGAGGAAGGCGCGAGAGGTTGTATGAACATTACGTCATTCATGGGGACGAGTGGTGTTCACAATGAGGACAATTAAATGCTCCCTGCTTGTCCTTTATGCCATGATGTCAAAGGATTATTCTTTGGTGTTGACACATCAAAACGCAAGCTGGGGATTTTTAGGGTACAGTTTCCCTGCTGTCTGAGCTCAAAGTAATATAAAATGTTCTCCCTTGTTCTGTACTCTTCATCAGAGAAAATGTGATGATTTTGGCACCTCATCTACCATAATATCTTCCCAGTCGACTTGGGGAACCTCAGCTGCCCAACATGATGCTTGTCCCAATACTTTTCACATTTCCTTCGACAGAACCAATCCAACCGATGTTCTTCATTGGCTGTATCTCAATAATGACTTGTGCTGTCTTGGTGGCTCTGGGCAAGGAACATGCCCAAGTCTCCTGAAGGCTCGGATCGCCTCGACGCACCAAAGCCCTTGATGCACCGAGAAACGGAAGAAGGCATGCCCCTTTGACGTTTTTTTGCATCAGTGTATGCCGATTTTGAAAACGTTGGTTGACTTACCTCTATGATGGCAACTTCAACTCCCAGCTCTCGCCGACTCGTTTCTCGCCACCCCAGCCCGTATGCTCCTCGGTCAGAAACATCGTGAAGCCCGCTTTTGTGTACAGCCTCCTTGCGCCGCTTAGATGACTGTCCGTCCTCAGCATAATGCTCTGGTATCCGACTTCCTTGGCAAAGTCGATGCAGAGCTTGACGAGCTGGCTTCCTATCCCTAGACCACGAGCACTCTCCTCCACCAAGAAGCATCTCAACCTGGCTTGTCCTGGCGTTTCGCGGTCTTTGTGAAGAATAATACAGCCCAAGAATTGTCCATCTTTCTCGGCGATCCAGCAGCGCTCCATCGCAGGATCGTAGTAGTCGATGAAGTCCGCTGTGATTCTGCCAACCAGTGACTCGAAAGGGGCCCCATATCCGTACTCTTGCGCGTAGATTACGCCGTGACGGTAGGTAATGAATCCCATGTCGCCGGGCCGATGGTTTCGAATGGTGATGCCATTTTTGGCGAGGTCTTTCGTAGGCGATTCCGTCTTCATGATCGATGTTCCAGATTCCAGAGAGGTCTTGTTCGACGTAGATGATGGGAAATTGTTCCCCTGAGAGAAATCTTGAACAATTCTCGGAATGTTTTGACTCATCGTCTTACTCATCCTTCTAGGGCTGTTGTAAAACCCCGACAAATCCAAGCCATGCGGGGGCGCATGTCACTGATGTCAATTTAGGGCGTATAAAGCCACGCTAAGCCTGCACGTCAATCTAGGTTTCAGGGATTCTTTATCTGTGTAACTAACCTCTTCCAACCAAAGGTCACGTTCACAATGATGCAATGGGTCAGAAGAACAACTTAGAAGGTCCAAATGTTTCTCAACTACTTTGAAGATTAAATTTCGCTTACTGTATGCTACCCAGATCCATTTCATGTAATCGCTATGTTCACCTTCCATACATGCAGCAGTAAGCGGGTATATTGCTGTCCATCCGTGCTGTGCTGCTCCTGTCCATGTCGTTGGTCGTGATTATCTGTATCACGAGGTACTCAGGACCTGATCTAAAAGCTGCGTTGGCACCTCCTTCAGACTTCCTCGCCGGAGTTCTTCTTGTCTTTTCGCGACTCGATCATGACAACGCAAAATACGGCAACCGTCGACCCAAATACAAAGAGTGCGGTGATCGTACTGAACCAACCAACACCAATGCCATTAATCGCGGGAAGACACACCGCTGTGCCGACTGCCGCAATGACATAGCGAAAGAAATAGTTGCCAGCTGGCGCACGAACGGGTCAGTATCCTCCTTACAACTTCAACTGGGTTCTCGTGCTCACCTATCACTTCTGCGCTTCTGCCCTTGTAGACATCAAGACAATAAGTGTTGAGGCTGGGGAAGCAAATGGTCTGCGCGAACCCTTGAACGAACATGCAGATTACTGGCAGCGGAATGCCGCCCTTTTCCTTCTCAATAGCCCATCCATATATCAGGATAGCGCTGGGAATGACGAAGCCCATTGCCACATATGAGCTACGAAGACGGTCTTCAGGTAAGCGTTTACCTCTGCGCTTGATCCAAGCTTTCACGGTATGGTCTGCATATCGCCCTCCGCAGTATGTGCCGGTGAAGAAACCAATTCCCGGCGCGAGGAAGAACAGGCCAGACTGCAGGGGGGACGTCAGGTGGAATCGTGGGTTGATGACGTATCGGATGGGGGTCAAGAGAGATTGCATGTTCCAGACGAGGGCGGATGCAGCGACGGCCTACGATCATCGAATTAGAACAAATTTCATGGCAAGCCATTCCAAAACAACACAAGATACAGCCTTACCGCGACAAAGAGCTTCGGAACTCGGAGCAGGGCAAGTACGCGGAAGGGATTTGTCCAGTCCCAGACCCGACCAACCTTGGTCCTGAAGTCAAGACCTGCCAGCTCTGCCGAGCGCAGTTGATGACTTGTTTCGGGGAGGACTAAGACAGCGAGTACCGCCGTGAGACCGCCTAAGGCTGATTGGAACCAGAAAAGCGCTCTCCAGCTATGGAAGGTGACAATGACACCTCCGATGAAGGGCCCGAATGATTGACCGATGAGAGTGCCATTCAAAAACCAAGCCAATGCGGTTCCTCGCTCAGTTGGCTTGTAGATGTCACTGATGCAACTCGATCCAAGCACCAGGTACGCCGTTCCCGTAAAAGCTGACAGCAATCTAAACACATAGAACGCCGCAAGGTTAGGGGCCAGCGCAGTCCCTACTGAGAAGGCAAAAAATCCAGAGGCAGACAATATGCAGGGCTGTTGTTCATTCGTGATGATCAGTGGAAAAGGTCTTTTCGGATCGAAAAATGTGAAATAAGAGAACTCACCCATTTGCGACCGTAAACTTGGCTAATTGGACCCCAGAACAGGGTGCTGATGCCCATGAACACCGTGTAGATGGCATTGCTGACGTTGATGATGCTTCCGGAAGTCTGAAACTCGGCAGCGATTTCGGGAATTGCAGCCAAGAGCAGCAAAGATGAGACCGTAGATGAGATACCGCCACACGCTACGACAGCAGTGATGAGCCTCTTGCGGCTCGGTCTAAACTTGGCGTAGATGGCGTCGGTGTCTTGGCGGCTCAAGTTGGCGTCCTCGGTTGGCGGTGGGACGATGTGGGCACTCTTTTCCGCGTTCGACGTCGTTAAACTCAAGTCATTGCTTTCATCTCCAAGCCGTTGTGGCTTCTCGTCGTCTTTGTCGAGCTGATCTTGAGGCATGTTTCGAGCTTGTCTGACGGTGACAAGCACTAGGGGATGGAGTTGTCATTCAAGCGTTAGTATTGAGGAATTGTTACATCAGGAAATGTTCGGTACAAGTTTTTTTTTTTTTTGGCCCAGCCTGCAATTGAACTCAGGCTCCAAACTACCCAGCAGGGTTATCCGGCGTCAAGTTCGCCATGGTTGATCCACCAGATGTCGGGTAAAAGAGCCAATGCCCCGTATTCCCCATGCTTACCATTCCGACGTCGGTGACTGGATTTACGATCGCCGAAATATCAATGCGATGCTGCAGCGAGTCGTACTCCCCGCATTCTTGGCCAGGCATTCCACGGACCAGATAGGAAGCTCCAGTCGTCATCTCGGCCGGAACTTCTTCCCCGTGGGTGTTGACCACGAATGACCAGAAGCATCGGGCATCTTCCGTGAGCCTAGACGAACCGATTGACCGATTTTGCTGACATAATTGGCCTTTTTTCGCGGTTATCCGTCCTCCGAGATCGGTGGGCCCGAAAGTTGGCGCTCGGTCGCCGAGCCAAGTTCCCGACGTCGGCAATGGCTGGGGCTTCCGTTAGACATATTTGCCGGGTTCGGCTCCGGTTGGCCGGACTTCGGGCTGTTGCCGATTGCCATCATTGAAATAGTCCAAGTGTTAAGGTCTGCTTTCTTCTACTTTGTCGTTCTTTCCTCCTATGGCTCGGCTCATGAGGGTGTCTGTGGTGCCCCAGTTCGTGTTCGATTCCTCGGATCTCCCGCGGAGCTTAGGTACATGTAGGTAAAGACATGAATTAAAATAATGCGCACTGCAGTCGGTCTCCCCTGAGAGGCTGTGCAGTATGAAATCCGGGAAGCCCGATTATCTTGTGCTATAATTTTCTCGAGATACTGACGATGCGCCTGATCCTGAGTAGTTATCTCAATCCGTCTGACAACTTGCCAGCGTCACATGAACATGAGTCAAACTCGACGACATGCTTGTGATGGATGGGTGTGAGTTTAGTCGGTCTAGCATGTACCGGCCCGCGAACCGGAAGACACTCCGACTCAAGTGGGGCTACACGCCGGTAGAATGAGTCTAGGCTGCCCCGGTCATTGATAGCATCGCATCGGTTCAACTATTATCCAACTCTCAGCACTTAGTTGGGGTGGAATTGTGCTGCACTTGTCAGCTGCAACTACCAAAGCACTTACACAACTCAACTGAACAATGGACAAGGGTTCAAATGCAGCCAATGACAGCAACGCCCGCGACGTTGACGACTTCACCGCGCTCGAATTCCAGTATCTGACTTCCCAATTAACAAATCCATCCAATCTCGACATCTCCGGAATTGGCCAAGGAGACTCCTTTCTTCAAGATCTTCAGAATCTCGACGCGGATGAGTTGCTTCGTAATGCAAGCCTGTCATCGCATGATGAAAGTGCGTTTGCTTTGGACCCAGCCGTAACCGGAGATTCCAGCCAAGACAGTAGTCAGATCGGGGTGCCGGGAAACAACACAAGTCTCGATGATGCGAGTCTGTTCCTGTTCTCAGAGGCTCTTGGTGATGGGGAGCCGATGGACCATCTCCCAGCCAGTGAGACCAACACCCTCGACCTGCGAAGTGCCACGCCTTCGCAGATGGCCACACCACCCAAGATCGGCACGCGTTTCTCCTCAAAGTCTCTCCGACTCCTCAAGACATGGCTATCGAACAACATGCACCACCCATACCCAAGCACAGCCGACATGGAATTGCTGGAAAGGCAGACCGGCCTCAGCCGACAGCAAATCACCAACTGGCTAGCCAACACACGCAGACGGAACAGATTCAAGGTACCGCCCAAACGACCACCCTCACCAGCCATCACGTCGGCATCATCACGCCCAATCAACATCAACAGCAACAGTCTGTCGCAGGGGTTTGGCGAAATGAACCCCATGCAACGATGGCAGGTATCGCCACCCGAACACGAGCCTGCTTCAGCATCTGCTATTGCCCACGCCGTACACGGTCTCCCTCCGGGGTCCGAACTTCCTGCCGACCGATCCTTAACGGATAGTGCTCCCACAAGATCACTCTACAACGCCTCATCAGCAAGCAGTGCAGGGACGTCTCACTCCAGCCGAAGCTCCATGAACTCGGCATACTCTCACAACTCCCGCTCATCGCTGCGATCTGCTGATCCCCTCGGGAAGACTGCGATGAAGCGCAGGAGACGACGTGGGGTCGCGTCACGGCCTGAGAGGAAAAACCAAGCAACGCTCTGGCAAACTCCAAACATGTACCAGTGTACGTTTTGTACGGAGACTTTCAAAACCAAGCACAACTGGCAACGCCACGAGAAATCACTCCATTTGTCGTTGGAGAGATGGGAGTGCACGCCAACGGGGCCGACGGTTGCCGACGCAAGCGGGCAGTTAGTATGCGTCTTCTGCGGAGATGCAAACCCGGACAAGGACCACCTGGAGCAGCACAACTACTCGGCGTGTAAAGAACGAATGCCCGAAGATCGAACGTTTTACCGAAAGGACCATCTGCAGCAGCATCTCAAGTTAGTCCACGACGCGAAGTTTCTGAGGTGGCCGATGGGAGAATGGAAACATGAGAACGAGATGATCAGATCACGCTGTGGGTTCTGTGCCTTGGTCATGGGTTCGTGGTCTGACAGGATCGACCATATTGCCGAGCACTTCAAAGACGGCAAGACGATGGAGGAGTGGCATGGTGATTGGGGCTTTGACGACCACGTACTGACAATGGTCGAGAACTCCATGGCACCATGTATGTTTCTGACCCCACTCAAATAATGTGACACGAACCATGCTGACATCAATACTCTCACAGACATGATACACATGGAGCGGTACTCGCCGTGGCCCTTTACAACAAAGCAAGGTGTTCCAGAAACACCACCGAACGCATATGAGCTGATCAAGGTTGAGGTGGATCATTTTGCCTCGGATTATCAAAGCTTGAATGACCGTATGCCGACGAATGCAGAACTGCTGTACGAGAGTTGCTGCATCATCTTCGGCACAGAACCCGTATCGCTCTCTAAGCGTCCCGCGACTCCAGCGAGCTCTTGGTTGCGAGACCTCCTGATGTCGTCCGACGTCATCGTGAAGCAAGCCCGTGTACGGCCGTTGAAGACGGCGAGAAAGTCTCGAATCACATATCTATGCATCAATGGCAAAGCCGACATCTTCGATCAATGCACCCTAGAAGAGCAGCTGCAGAGCTATGTCGACATATCAAAGCTCATCGAGCCGGAGATTTCTGATGCGGACCTCCAGCGCGAGGCGTGCAGCATTGTCGAACGACTCGAAGCGACGTCGATGAAGCCATCTGAGACATTTACCAGCTTTCTCCACGGTCTCATAAACGAATCAACGCATTGGCTTACGGCGTTTCGCCAGCGAGCAGAACTCCCACCCTCTCAATCCGCCGAGGCCCCGACCCTGGACATCAGCAACCAGGACTTTCTGAGAACTTCCATCACGGATCCAGCCGGCAACTCATATCCCACTGGGATGGAAAGCTCTTCTCTTGTGAATTCCCCCAGTGGTGGTTCGAATAATCCGACCGACATCGGTCCGGGCAATCTCGGAGCAAACGGCGTTGGGTCTGGTCTCGACCCGGAGATGCCAGGATCATCAACCCGGACCACATTTTTTGTCAACGAGGAAAATTGTTACAGACGCCTTGCCCTGAGCTTGAAGAGGTTTGTGAAAATCACGACATCGTCGCGCAATCCTAACAGGCACATCCCCTCGGATGCCGAGCTTCAACACCAAGCAAGATGGATTTCCTTTGAAGAGTGAGTATCTCTTGGCATTGTATCTCTTTGTGTGTCCTGTCTAATGGTTCGCGCTCTTAGTGACGACCCATGGAATACCACCCCCGCCGACTCGCCTCAGTGGCTCCGAGAATTTAAGCGGGAGATGGGAATCTTGGAGGAAGACGCGATCCAGACATCAGGTTGATGGAAGAGCATTTTCCCACGCGATGTTACTATCCAATGATGAGTAGATTTCAGAAGTTGGGATCGTTCAAGTCATTCTATCCAATGCAGGCCCCTGCAAGTAATGTAATTATCGAGCCTAATTAGTGCGTTTCTGAACAAGATATCAGCGATTTTTCGAAGTTTTCGGTGAAGTAACAGAATCAAGACGTGCAGTTTCACACAGCCAAGGCGCAGTTAGAGTAAGGGTGCGTGTAAGGCGTAGGGAGTGGTTGACATGATTATTATGGGTCAAGCTCATGCGCCCTTCGGAGAAGACTAACACGATCGATATCCACCTTACGCCGTCGCCTTAGGGCGTGTATCTAGCAACATATACACGCCGTTGTCCCTCGCATTTAAAGATTTCGCGACATGCTGCAGCAAACCAAAAAGAAGAAGTACTTGGCCTTCAATGCGGTTAATCCCGTGCCATAGTCTTCATTTCACTGCCGCCTACTACAAGTTGGAATAACACCATCCCGGTTTCACACCCATTGAGTTGAAAGACAAAGTTACTCCGACAGACGTGCATTAGTCAAAACCCATCACCCAGAAATACCGATCGAAAGGATGCGAGTTGGGTTCCTCGGCCTCGGGGTCATGGGGACGCCAATGGCCCTGAACCTCGCTCGGAAATTCCCCCTCACCGTCTGGAACCGAAGCGCCTCGAAATATCCAGCCTTGACGCAAGCTGGAGCAGCAATCGGCGAGACGCCAGCGAAAGTAGTCGAGAGGTCTGATGTCATCTTCGCTATGCTCTTCGACGGCCCGGCCTTGACTTCAATATTCAACGAAGATTTCAGAACGGCGCTACGAGGCAAGACTCTCGTGAGCACTGCATCGATACCGGTGGACATCAGCAAGTATGTTGCAGAACAGGTCCAAAAGGCAGGTGGCGACTACATCGAGATGCCGGTGAGCGGCAGCAAGATTCCGGCGGAGCAAGGCCGACTTGTGGGTCTCATGGCCGGAGATCCGGCAGTCGCAGAGCGGATCCGACCATATGTGGGGCCGCTCACTGCCGCAGCCATCTACTGCGGCCCGATCGGCTTCGGTCTCAAGACGAAATATGCTGTCAACCTCTACCTCAACAATATGACGGCGGCCCTTGCAGAATCTTTCAGTCTGGCACAAGCTCAGGGCCTCAATCTCGAAGCATTTGGACAGGTCCTTGACGCTGGCCCAATGGCGTCTCCGTACAGCAAAATCAAGGTCGCCAAGATCTTGAATAACGACTGGTCCCCTCAGGCAGCGGTGAAGGATTGTTACAACAGCACAAAGCTGATAGTGGAAGCTGCAGAGAACGCTGGTGTACGGGCGCCATATGCTGACCTATGCCGATCGGTGTATAAGGAAGCGTCGGAATCTGGGTTGGACGAGGAGGACATGATCGCCGTTTACAAAGTCTTCCAAAGAAAACCCCCAAATTCATCAGAGTCATAATACATGTTACATTGCATTGAATTCGTAACATAGCTCACACATAACCTGCTTTATAATGCCTCTACCTCACGGCAGGTTGCGGCCAGATATCCTGGGTTTCAATGATCTAACACAGAGATGAATTGCTGTGGGACTGGTCAGATGCAAAGTACTCTTGAGTTTTGGTATTTGATAACAGAGTGGAGGAATTGAGTGCTAAATAATTTCCGCTAACGCCGACGCTCCAAGCACCATAATGATATGCTGCATTTTCCAACGATGGTAACATGATTTTGGTGGACTCGGCCTCCGATATCTTTCACCTTCTCCAACCCGGTAACTCTGCTTCGGAAGTAGGCGTCTTTGGCAGATGTTCTTCCTCCATTGCGATTTGAATGGGAAGCATCAAGGATATCTCGCTTCCTGCTACGCTCAGCGTGACTTGCAGAGCATACGTCCTCGAGATGAGACATGAATGAAAGGTTGGCGGGAAAACGTGTGTCGAAGTCGGCAATCTGAAGTCCGCAGACACCGAAGTAGTATACCATTGAGGCTCAAGTCTCTCATCCAACTCTCCATCTCCCAGCTCTGTCGATTCCAACGGCTTTCCAATTTTCCATGATGTGTACTCCACCGCCTCCCACATAACCCGAGTCGAAAGGCTGAATGGCTCCCGACTTGACCCCACGTTTGGCAGGCTTTTCATCGTTTTCGAGCTGAACCACGTATGTGCAACAAGCTTGAACGAGCTCAAGGTGACTTCTGGTGGCGTGATATTTGGAGTAGAGGGCTCGAATGTCATATCGACTCGGAATGAGGACGCATCTGCATCATGGCCGTCTCTGCTAAGGTGGAAAGCCGGCGGCTGAGCCGCAATTGCCGTGACTTTTCCTAGTGGAGGAGAGAAAATGCTTTTGCGTACCACCTTCGACTGACTCAACTTGTAGTGTAAGTCGTGGTTGTCGATACTCAGCGGGGGATCCTCTGGACAGGATGAAAGCAGATTGATTTGATGCTCGGCTTCCAGTAGAGCAACGGACTTTTCCTCAACTCGTAAGACTGTCTTGTAAAGCACTTTAGCTTTGACATGGTAGCGGATTCCAAGGAGGAGAGGAGCCATGTCGTCCTTCTGCCAGCTCGTCAGGCTCGATGGCAAGCGCAAATGGCTGTCCCTTATCCCGTCCGACTCAACTTCGTGAGCGCAAGCAGCGTCCGTTAAGTGACTGGGCATGATGAATCGGAACGGAATTTTGTATGTTGACCCCTTTCTGAAAACTCTGGGCTCAGGATGCACCGACTCTGGCAGTGGCATGTCGACTTTGAGAAGTAGTTGTGATACAGTCTTCGACGCATATACGTCGTCGGTGCGGACTCCTGCTTTTCCCTGCAGACTGATCTGAATATCGCTATATTTTGTCTCTTGGTGCGGGTTGATGATCACAGATCCTGCGATCAGTGCACCGGAGGTGTAGACCTTTGACGTGTAGTGGTTATCGATGACGATTTCCATCTCTTTCATCTTTGATCCCATCCCAGCAGACTTTGCCATCGATGAGACATGGGCGGTGATGTTCTCCATCACTTGGCTGGGGCAGAGACCACATGCCAAGCTGGATCTTATTGGGCTGGATGTGCTGCCGCTTCGTGACATGGTTCGGAAGCTGTTCTCCCAGGATGGTGATATATGGTCTCAGATTCGATTGGTTAACTGTAAAAACATGAACAGTCGGTGTTAAGAAGAAAGAGAAGGGTATTAAAGGCCAAAGATCGTGCTGGGCCTGGTGTCGCCAGACAAAGATAAAGCTCATCTCAGAGTCATATTGGACACAGAACTCCCGCTGAGAACGCCAAATCCCGAGACCTTGTATAGGCGGAAGGGTAAACCATTAAGCTTGCAAGTCCGCGAAGGCAGGGATCGGAGCAGTTCCGAAACTGGCTGACAACCATGATACGATTACAAACATACTCATTTACACCCCGTCTTGAGTCAACAGCGGTGTTCAATTTGGTAGAAAAGTCTCGCGCGCATCATGGAGCGCTCTATGGAGCTCGACGGCATTGGACGCCCTTACCGAGTACATGTAAGTGTCATTCTTCGCCCTACACTAGCCGAGACTTGATTTGCTGAATCCACCGAGCTTCTCAAACCCCAGAAGCAATCTGCGACATCGGCACTCGCCAATGAGCGTCAAGACCGGCACGATGAAGGATTATGCCGAGGCCAGTGCCGACGCAAACCACATCGTCACTCCGATTACCCCGATCGCTCCGATAGCCTTCAAATTTTCGACTCCTCAAAGCTTCCATGCCGTCCGACACCGCTGCTGAATCGTGCCGCACCCCGGACACTCTCCGTGCTAATGACCTTGATTCCATGATCAAATTCGTGACTCAGTGCGTCTTCAAACGACGAGGCGTTGTAGGCGGAATAGTAACAGCTCGCGCGGTCCGTATTCATACATGCCTGGGGAAACGCCAATAATTGTCTGGCAATCTTGGTGGCTTCTTCCAGCGCTTTCCCTTTAGGAACGACGCGATTCGCAAGGCCCATTTGCAGCGCCTCCGGAGCACCCACAGGCCGGCCGGTGAGAATCATGTCGAGAGCCCGGCCGAGCCCCACGATGGCCTGAAGCCGGACGGTCCCACCATCGATGAGCGGGACTCCGAAGCGCCGGCAGAACACGCCGAACACAGCGTCTTCCTCCGCCACGCGCATGTCGCCCAGGAGGGATAATTCGAGACCGCCGGCGACAGCATGCCCCGATACGGCGCTGATGACGGGCTTCTTGATTTGCATCCGCGAAGGCCCTATGGGACCGATGTTACGTCCATTGACACGGTGGGACTCGTCCATTATTGGGCCTTTGTAGCTTGTTCCAGACGGATCATGAAACTTGGCGACTTCGTGGAGGTCGAATCCCGCTGAAAAGGTCCCATTCGCTCCGTGGAAGACGCAGACCTTTTGAGTCTCATCTTCCTCAAAAGACAGAAAGGCATCCGTGAGTTTGCGACCAGTTGCCCCGTCAATTGCGTTGCGGCGGTGTTCGCGGTTTATGGTGATGGTGGTGATGCCTTCCGGCGTCTTGGACACCAGCACCGCATTGGGTTCTTGGTCTGTCATAATGAGATAGAAGGTATCGCCGCGACGTTGAGAAACTTGGATGCTAATGGGAAATGTCTCCATCTACGCTGAAGAGCAGGCGGCCTTTTTAGGACTGCTGTACCGGAGTCGTCGGTGAGGCTTACCGAGGCACGCCTCCAGTTACCATTTCCCCGCCTTCTGAGCTCCCCGCATCGCCAAGTGCCAACCTTCGTATGTATGGGGTTTTTTGAGTGACACCACGAAACCCGTGATGTATTCGATACTAGGAACCAAGTGCAAACATAAAGCTTTAATTGGGATTGAGTACATCTGAGGGCGAAAGCGGTAGCACCGCGTATCTGCTATCAACCTTCAGCCAGCCAGGCGTCCAACTACAGCCTGCCGAGGTGCAAAGCAGCGAAGCACTGCGCACAACTTTTCATTTCTCAATTTCTCGAATGGTGGGAGGCATCGCGCAGGTTTTACTCAATCGGCCAGGTGTAGAGAATTATCCCGTTGCGTTCTCGGGAATTATGTTTCCTCGGAAATAGATGAAGTCCTCGGGAGTGGGGCGTCTCGGGAGTTGGCTTCGTCGGGAGTTTGTGGTGTATGAAGCAAGTTCTATTTATCGCTTCTTCTGTTGCATGGTTTGAACATGACAAATAGCTTGCTCAGTATCTTGAGTTCCTCATCGGAATCAAACGGTTTCTCAATTCTGTTCTGTGCATTTCGTTGTCTTTAGGCATAGGATCGGATAGATAACCTTGGAATGGTCGCGCTAAATGAACAGAAGTCGCCCCTCTAACACGCAGTGATGTCACTTGATTTGGAGTGGCACTGGAATATCCTCGGACGCAAGATGTTCTGATAGCTCTTATTAATTGAGCAGAATTCAATCAACTACAACCTTGCCGTCTATTTTATATGTGGTTTGCGCAACAAAAACAGAAACAGAACCTAGATGTCGTTCAGGCGTATGGCGTCACAAGCGACTTGATGACGCGATGTTGATACTCCGCTCATTCCATTCATCCCAAGTCGACTGGTATTTCTCAAACATCTCCAATGCCGTCCGTTGGAACAATAACTACAAGTCAGATTCTCTGATGAATATTTGGCAAGAGGAAATATCCGACAGTCACAATTATTGTCGACAATAAACCAACCGAGACAGTTGTGTGACGGGTGAGTTTTCCGCGGACAATCCGTCAGTCGCTGGCTTGGTGGCCAATCAGAAACCTCTGTGCGACGAAGGCATTCCCCCGCATCCTTATCAGGATCAACACAAGAGACAACTGAAGACATCCGAACTCCTCCTTAACAAGAACATCAAGGTCCTCTCATCAACACACGTCGCCATGCTAGAAATTCATTGCTCCGGAACTCCCTATGAGGTGAGAAGTCGGCGAATACCACCGGACATAACTCACTAATACTGACTCTTGTAGATTGGCCGAAAACATGGCTTGGAGGCCCGAGACCGTGTTCACGGCTCTTTGGCCTTCTACGGCGGTCTCTTCAAGACGACCTGCAACTTGGACTGGCCAAGCGTGTGCGAGGAAGCATCGAAGTACGTGGCAACGTTGGAACGGTTGTGCCCGAAGTACTTTGGGGAGATTCGAGGGATCGCCGAGGGTGCCGAGGTTGGACTACTGGACGTTGTCGCTCTCAACGTGAGAACCGAGATCAACTTTGGGCTCTTCACCAAGCAACCTTCGCTGCCTATCCAGAGCGATGGCTGCACCAGCTTGGCTGTGAGGACGACAAAGGAGGGGTCGTGGCTGGCTCAGAACTGGGATTGGATGGTTGAGCAGAGTCCGAATCTCATCGCTTGCCACATCGCGCAAGATGGGCTACCCAAGATATCCATGATCACCGAGGCAGGTATCATTGGTAAGATTGGCTTTAACAGCGCCGGGGTAGGTGTGTGTCTCAACGCGATCCGGGCTTACGGCGTTGACCACACAAAACTCCCAATTCACCTCGCCCTACGCACCGTCCTGGAGTCCGGTTCTAAAGAAGAGGGAATCGACCGGCTCACCAAGACGGGTGTGGCCGGAAGTGGGCACATTCTTGTAGCAGACTCGACCGGAGGGACAGGACTCGAATGCACAAGCAAGGGCATCTTGAAAATCCCCATGGATAGCCAGGGCCTGGTTGTCCACTCGAACCACTTGCTCTTGGAACATCCCGGTGTGGTCGAGCCACCGTGGCTTCAGGACTCTCGCGAAAGAGTTGTTAGGCTGAGGGAACTTGCCGAGAAGCACCTCTCAGAGGGAAACGATGTCAACACGCCTGAATTGTTTGATCTGTTCAAAGATCAAAAGGGTTACCCAGGAGCCATCAACCGACACCAAGTACAAGACTGCAAGACGCAGACATTGTTCAATATTATCATGCATCTGCCAGAAAAGCGAGCGACTGTCACATTTGGCCGTCCGACGGAGGATGGTGAGCAGATACAGTTCAGCCTTTAGCGTACCCGTAGTTAGGCAGTGTCAAAGCACACATCTTCGAAGGATAATTGTCTTCAACTACCTAATAGAGTTGGTAAAGTATTACAAGACATCTTACTTTGAAAATGAAGGCATCACCACCTGCCTCTAAGTATGGGGCACTGCGTCTCCATGTCGAAACGACACGAAGTCATACCCAAGTCCGCGTCCTTAGCACGAGGCCTTTCTCGTCTTACGCCAACGAATAACCAACTGGCATGGCTTGCCGTTCAAGCAAGGCTTTGCAAAATTTTCTTGCTCTCAGCGTAGTCAGAGGTGCCATTCTCCGGGTCTGCATCCTCCGCAGTCGTCTTGCAAACGGTACCAGCGTTGTACTTGCCGTTCGGCCCATCCACACCCGCGAAGTCTCTCTTATCATTGGCCTTCAGCATATTCTCCGCAGCCTCAGGCAGCCAGCCGTTGATGAAGTCGCCATGCGTGCAGTAAGACGATCCGCAAGCCAACTCCAGAGGCGCAGGGCCGTCCCAACCATCAGGCAGCACGCTCCTCAAATCATACCGGATGCTGAATCTCAGCTGCGGCATTCTCTTCATTCCCAGAGGGCAGCGGTTCTCAGGCTTGAAGGTCTTGGTCCAGTGCTGCGTTCCGGAATACGTCGACTCGAGAGTCTCTTCGTTGACGCAATCGTGGAAGAGGAGGATGGTCTGAAGGTGGGCCGGGCAGCCCTTTGTCGGGAACTCAGCTGCGTCTTTTCCGTCGTTAGTGCCCTGACCGCCGTGGTCGCAGAACCACTGGATTCCGGCTAGAGGCTCGACGTCGTCTTGCTTGGTGGCCGAGGCGTTGCCCACGACAGCCTTATAGTTCTGGGGAATGGCGACTTCGGCGGCGTTGATCTGGACATAGTACGCGCTGAAGCGGAACATCGGAGCTCGGAAGGCACCGGTCTCGTTTCTGTAGTAGAGGGTTGGGACCCCTTCTCAAGTCAGAATTAAAAATACTAAGAGTAGAATTTTGAAGTAGCTCACAGTAAGAAGAGTAGTCGTTGGGGTTTTCCGCAGTAGAGCAACCCGCCTGGAGCTCCTTGGAGGTCGTGGTGTTCACGGTGACGGCGTCGGACCCAAAGAACGTATGCATGTGGCTCGCATATTGACCGGGAACGACAACAGGATCAATATTCTTGAGCATGAACCGGTCCACGTTAACCACAGTGTAAGCGCTGACTGCGCTGGCGCAGAGAAGAAGGTTAAGAAATCCCATCTTAATAGACGTGCAAGAAGAAAGGCAAAGGGCACAAGTTGCTGTTCCACGATTTATGTGGCAGGTGAGAAGATATGGATATGATGAAGGAATGGAACGGCGCAAAGAGACCACTGTTGAAAAGAATGACGGGAAGACTGAACGAGAGCCAAAGTTGCCTATAGAACGAAGCAACTGAGTCGAAGATGGATGCACGTTATAAGTCGAACCAACAGGTTGGGTTTATTGCCCCTATTCGGCAAGTCATTGGATCGTGGAGCAATCCGACATGTCGGGATGGGTTCTCTATCAACAACAGCAAGGGTCCTCGACCACCTTTCCGGGATAGGGATTGCCAAGCATGCAAACGCCGTTCCTGAATTCTTGCAATCGATCCTAGCGTCACTCGAAAGTCTTGGAGATCTCTGGTGAAACTGAAAAATACATGCAGCCATTAAGCGCTGCAACTCCCTTCAATTTCGATTGTACGGGCGCTTACAGGGCCTCGACGGTGAGGGTTGCACGGCATACCCACCGGGACGGCAGAGGCGATCCACACCCGTTGATCTCCGCTAAGTGAGCATGCCCTCATCGAGCATCCTGGTCGATAAAGCCATGCAGCGTTGCGAGTGAGGGCATGTCGTTGTGGTTAAAATGTCAACTTACACGGCAGTTGATCAGGGTTCCAATTGAGACTGCTCACTTCTAAATACAGAACTCAACTTGACCTGGGCAGCTACTGTTGATGAAACCAGACCTTCGCGATTCAAAGAGTGCCAATGTCTGCTCGCAACACTGACCTTACGACAGATAGAAACTCAATCCATCTGAAAGGAACAATGCGATATTGTTGATGATCTTTGCATTGTTGGGAAGCTTGCGCGTTGAGTGTCCACCTTTCGAAGGAGATATTTCAAGAGGGGAGATTTCATCTCTTTCACCAAAGCGTCTAATGTCAACGTTGCTACGCGTGTCCCTCAATGTCATGACCACAGCATTGAAGGCGACTTCGTTCCCGAAAACACCAAAGGAAACAGAAAGGGCAACAGAATGCGGGCTCAATAAACTCCAAACACCGGCGCCAAATAAGATTATCAACGACAGGACCGGCGTGGGGTCCCGTTCCACCCCTGCTGGGTGTGGTTCGGCTTCGTCTGAAAAGCCGACGAACATGCCCCGGCGGCCCGGCAGGTTAGTTGCTGCAAAGCGGCGAAAACGGCGATGATCGCTGAGGCTCACCGGAATACCCACACTCTCGTCTGATTTCACAGAGTGACCAACGGAGCTGTCCGTGTTGGGGGCGGGAACTCCGCCGGGAAGCACAAGCCTTACATCTGGCTCGGCTCAAAGATATGGCGGATGAAACACCTCGATGTTTTCGCATTACCTTTCTGCCACAATCTCCCAAATCGTCCGGAATGGAAAGCGTTGACATCACGTCTTCCATTCTCCTTTCCTCCGTTCGGCATTTGAAAGAAGGGCGAAGGCGGGAATTGCGGGGCCCAGCGTCTGCCGACATTAACCGTCTGGGGTCTCGCGTATGGCGAGGCATGTTTTCAGCTGAGCTGATGTGACTCGGCCGAATGGGGGACAAATGAGTGGTGGACTATCACGACTTCGAGCCCGCGAGGACCAAATCTAGGATTTCTCGTCATTCGCAGTCTAGGTACCAGGGCCGGCAAGCTTCGTAAACGCCCAATTGTAACAGGCTACGTAAGGCCGAACAGCGGGAGACGGCACGAAAAGACCACCGGTAACAATGTTAGAGTCCTATGACGAGTGGCGTTGCTCCTCAAAAGCTATAAGTAAGGGCGGCGAGCATCGTGAATATCGACTTTCCCCAAGCGCACCCATCCGACTCAGAATCACGCGTTTGACCTGTCAGAAGAAACCCCATCAGCATCATGAAGTCAGCCACCATCGCCTTCTTGGCCGCTCTTGCTGCCGACCTCATTTCCGGTAACCCCGTGACCAGAGCAGCGAAGTCGCCTTACTTCTTCCTCATCGGAGACTCCACCGTCGCCGTTAACGGCGGCTGGGGCAACGGCTTCCTCTCTTACCTCAAAGACCCAGCCGAGGGTGAGAATAGAGGCAAGAGCGGCTCGACTACGGTATCTTGGAAGTCAAACGGCCGCTGGGCTTCTCTTCTCGAGGGCATCAACGACACCAAGGCCGACTATGAGCCCATTGTCACGGTGCAGTTCGGCCACAACGACCAAAAGAGTTTGACGCTGGATGAGTTTAGAGCGAACCTGGTGGACATCGCCGCCGAGCTGAAAGAGGCTGGAGCGACGCCGGTGAGTTGAAAGTGATTTCTCGCGAGAGGAAGGGAAGCTGACTCTGGGCTAGATTTTCATCACCTCACTCACCCGCCGCACATTCGAGGACGGTGAAGTCGTGCAGAACCTCTACGACTGGCGCGGTAAGACCATTGCCGCTGCCAAGGAGAGCGGGATCAAGTGGCTTGATCTCAATATCGCCAGTACCAACTACGTCAACGCTATCGGGGAAGAAAACTCGACCGCGTACAACCTTGACGGCGATGACCGGACTCACTTGAGCCCCGCGGGTGAGATCGTCTTCGGGCGGATGGTTGTAGACTTGCTTCTGGAAAAGAGGACGGACTTGGAGCAGTATTTCGAGGCGGACGAGGAGATCAGTGAGGCCATTGCTAACGGCGAGTTTACTACCGGCGGCTTGTAAGGTGGTGCGTCCAGAGATAGGTTAAAGTAGGACAATTAGTCTTAGTGAAGGGTTAGGATCACAACATAAAACCAAAAAGGGTATCAATGTTTAATTTCTTATACATACTTTCGAAAACATTCGTCGTTGTCACTGTCTAAATTGCGGCGCATGATCTATCTCCCACCTAGGTGAAGAGACTATGTCAATGATTGCAAGGCAGATCGTACAACGTATTAAGAATGACTCCGTCTTTTGTTTACCGCGGACTCAGAACACACCGGGATGAAGGGCTGAGGGCTTGTAGAACCCGAGTCCATGGTTGTGGTGCGCCATGTGGAACGATGTTAAGGGTAGCTATCCCGATCAGGAAGGTCGTCAATGATCAGCGGGCGGGATGTCGCGATAATAGACAATCAACGAAATGAGGAGGCTGGACCCGTGTAACCCCCGCATTGGCCACGAGGAAAATGAAAACAAATCGCGTTCCGTGACATTTCCTCCTTCACTTGAGGATTGACGGAATCATTTGCGCACCCGTCAACATGTTGAGGCGCTTGTTCCTAACCGGTATCGCGGCATTCACCGCAGCTTCGCCGCTCAAAACGAAAATCGGAATCCCTTCGCGTCATCTCAATCTAACTTGGGAGATCGTCCCGACCGGAAGTCAGCAGCAATTTCGCGGTCTTTCCCCAGTCTCCGACAAGATCGCTTGGGTCTCGGGCACCAATGGAACCGTCCTCCGCACCACAGATGGCGGCGCATCGTGGACCGTAGTTGGACCTTCACTTGCTGCAGAAGATGCCGAGCTGCAGTTCCGCGACGTCCACGCCTTCTCTGCTGAGAAAGCCGTGATTCTTTCAATTGGCGAGGGGACAGACTCACGCGTCTACATCACCTCTGATGGCGGTGCCACCTGGGCTCAGAAATTTGCGAACGAAGAACCTGCGGCGTTCTACAACTGCGTCGACTTCGAGGATGAGAACAGGGGCATTGCAGTCAGCGACCCAGTCGACGGCAAGTTTCGACTAATCGAGACGCTGGATGCAGGAGAAACATGGAACATCGTCGACTCGAGCGGCATGGCGCCAGCTTTGGAGGGAGAGTTTGGATTCGCCGCTAGCGGCACTTGCATTTCAACGGCAGCTGGGCGGTGGTATCTGGCATCTGGTGGTGTCGATCCCGGACGAGTCTTTCGTAGTCCTGATGGTCACAGCTGGGACGCCTCAAACAGCACGATTGCGGGTGGCGCGGCAGCTGGAGTCTTTTCGGTGCGTTTCAGAGATGAGGTTCATGGCATTGCAGTGGGCGGTGACTTCCGTGTGGTCAACGGATCGGCGTACACTTCGGCATGGTCCGAGGACGGCGGGGTGACATGGACGGCATCGGAGGTATTCCCGGGCGGGTACAGGTCCGGGTCATCGTGGGCGCCGGGCTTGTGTGGGGTTGCAGTTGCTGTCGGGCCGTCGGGGTCGGATATCACGGTTGATGGTGGCCGTACATGGAAGACATTTGACACTGGCTCATTCGACAGCGTCGAGTGTCTTGGAGGGCGTGTTTGCTGGGCGTCAGGATCAGGCGGAAGAGTCGGGAGGCTCTCTCTGAAATGAAGATAATTTGCATTATTTTGGGAACCGTCTTTCTTCAAGAATACGCCCAGACAAGTACCTCCGTAGGAAAGATGTTCAACTAATTAGACGGGCATTTCTCAGTCTACCTTCCGCTTGTATGACTATCTATTTTGTATATAACGAGTAAGAAGTAAGATTATTGTCCAAATCTTCTGAGGAAATGCGACGCCTAGGTTTCTGATCTGCAACACAATCTGACTCCAATGCGCAGCCTAGCGACTCTCTTTCCAAAACACATGGATCTCCTCTAAATTTCAATCTCTGGCGTCCTCGACCTGTACTGGATGAGTGTCTCGGGGTTCGGAACAAACCTGCTTTTGACGGCGCTTCCTGGTTTCAACCCAACGATATCCCAGTCATACTTGAGCAGCAGGTGGATGAGAGCAATCTTGATCTCGTTGCTGGCGAAGAATCGACCAGGACAAGCATGTTTTCCGTGGCCGAAGCTCAAGAACTCTGGCGATGTACTGACGAACTGCCACTTGTTCTCTTGACCAGGTTCGTCCCGCATCCGCAAGAATCGATATCCGTCGAACTCATCGGCGTTGGATCCAAAGACATCTGGATCGCGCATGTGAAATGTCGGGATCGTGATGTGTGAACCCTTTGGTATGAATGTTCCGTCTGACAATGTCACATCGGCTTCAGCGTAGCGGTTCATCATGTCTATTTGGTATCAGCCGCTTGTCGCCAAGATGTCATGCAAAACGTTGTGCAATGGGAAGGATTGAAAACGGAAGTTACAGGAAAGGGATCGAAATGGGTTTGAACTGACTTGGCCCAAGAATGTTGAGACGCTGACTCTCCTTCATACAGCTGTCCATGAGCTTCAACTTGTAGAGACTTGTCTTCTTCCAGCCCCCATCTTCGTTGTAAACTCGGACGATTTCCTCGCGGAGTAAGCCGATATAAGCTGGGTTCGAGATTAAGTCGTACATCGTCGCAGTAAGAACAGTTGAGGTGGTGTGGATTGCTGCCACCGTGAGGAAGAGTTGCCCGGAAACGACGTCGAATGGTCTGCCTTGCCGCACATCATCAAGCCAAGATAGAGAATCCTGCGGCTTCACCACCTCGGCGCGACTAGCTCGGCGATATGCCAACTCTGGCTCGATGATATCCCTGGCTTGGCGGATGAGCTGTCGTAGATAGATGAGCTCGGGGAGAAAGTAGCAAACAATACGACGCATGAACACCGGCCAGGCACGGAGCGCCGCCTGAGATCTCATCATGACGACCGTGAACCGGATCGAAGTATCTATCCAGTCCTGGCGGTGGCAAAGACGCTCGCCTAAGAAGACCAAAGCCGAAAGACGGGCTGCGATGTTCGTCGATGCCATGATGAACTTTGTTTGCTTCCAGTCTGAGTCTAGTGTGAGCATCTCAATGACCTGGACGAAGGATTTGCTGGGATCGAACCTTTGCTCTGTGGAAGACTCTCAGCCACCACCAAAGCGCACTCTTGAGATAAAGAGGCAGTCATTCCACCGAGAGCTTGATTGAGATTCTTCCTGATCGTATCCTGAATGATATCGCCTTCTACTCCCGTGTGAATCACGTCGAGGCCTGGGTACTGGACCAGTGCTTGCTGTGTGCCAGACGTGGCATCAGTGAAGGAATCGACGAATGGTGAGTGGTGCCTTGGACTTACGCGCTCGATGAACCCGCGGAATGAGAGCCGGGAATCGTTTCGTATCTCATTGCAATATTCTTTCGGCAAAACAATACACGGACCGAATGAAGAAAGAATCTGGAAAGGGCGTCCTTCGGTCTAAAGATATCAGAAACGTCGTTTTGCATTTTAGTGTCAAGCCACCTGACGTACCACTCGGTCTCCCTCCTTCAAGATTTCAATCGCGTCTTCGTCCCATCTCGCACGGGTCTTTGTACCAAACCAATCCCCGGATAGCTTACCTATCAATGGAAAACCGGGGTATGGAGTGTCGTCGCGAATGAAGTACCGAAGAAGAGTGTACAGCGCCGTTGCGCCAAACATGTACAAGAGGGTGGTGCCGGCCATCACCATAATTTCAGGCCAGATGAAGGTTTGCGAGGATGCCATCTGAAGCTCTGCTAGATCTCTGTCGCTGAGACCAACGTCCGTGTCTGTCGAGAAGTATTGCAAATGGAGATGGAATTGCAAATTTATATGTTTGGAAGACAAGCAGCATGCATACTGATCCCATGGTACTTGATGTTGAACCCGTATAACCGCCAGCTACATGGAAGATGACCCTGGAACATTGTCCGCGCTCCATGCCAAATCGGCGGGATAGACGCACTGCGCAGTGGTCCGCAAATGCCTTACCTGTCCGCTTGAGATGGCTTGGGACAGATGGGGTTACAGGGATACTCGTAACATGGGATACGAATCCGACGGCATGGCAGTTCCGCGCGGGGAACGATACATGAACCTTGAGATGACTATTTGCCTTGCTTGATTGGTTGCAAGCTCGGGGTACCTGAGCAGGTCTGCCTTACGCTGTCGGCTTTGTAAGATCGTTGCGTTCCCGACGGGCACGGGAACAGTTCTTCGTCCGAACGACTCCCTGAGCGACAGTGCCTGGCACTGACTGTGAGAGAATAAATTAAATGAGTTCGGATGTTGTGAAATGTGTTGACATGTAACAAGCATTAACAAAACCCTCTTTTGGGAAGGCCCAGACTTCCATGCACTTTTTGTGTTTGGAATGGGGTGTAGGGGCTTAAGGGCAGACGTGTCTAAGGAGCCCAGGTACATCCATTCTAATATATACGACAAGAGTAATAAGCATCTCAGGGTAAGATGGAACCAAAGGAAGAGCTCATCGCAGAGTGGGGTATACGATATACGGGTGAGACTTATCTACAGCTAGTTATCCATATCGAATGCTTTACAAGGAATTGCGGAGCCAGCAAGTCTGCAGCAGTTATTAATTCAAGAAGCACGGGTGTTGTATACAAAGACTTAAGACTGAAATAGGGTCTCTGCTTGCTAGCCGGGTGGTTTACCATGCATATTGTGTATAAGAAACTGGCAGGTTGATGAGGACCTCAACATTTGGTGTGACAGGCCTGCTTTCAAAATTTACAGGTAACATCTGGCGCCAGTAGCCTTCCAATCCTCTGAAATTAGTATCCGTTCCGATTCCCGTCTCTTATGGGTCATGGTCTATTGCAGCGTGCAGCAAAGGGGTTTGTACTAGACCGTTCCGACTCGCCGACTGGGTAGCAATACCATCTGAGAATTCTAGCGACATGTCCCACAAGGCGCATAGGGCGCAGCATTCAAAGCATGGATTGCTTGGGGCAGTGCATGGAACTGAAGCATCCCGGCTGATATGAAGCTTAGCGAAATCTCGTTTTCGGGTTTGAAAGCCTCCGGCTGAGTGTTCACAACGCGAGCGACTTCACCGCAGATCTTACGGTTATTTCGGCGACTGAGATGGTGAAATCCTGAGGTGTGCTTCATCGGCAGAAATTGAAAACGTGAACTGCTGCCGATCACAGCGAATCTGCTAGTATGGATGCGCTTTTCTTGTCTCGGCTTGGATCGCCTGCTGTGATACAAAGCGACAGCTCCCCTATGGTGTACGTGTGCAGTAACTTGAAAGTAAACCCTGATATTTGCAGATAACAACTCAGCAAAACTGACATTGACAATTCATAGATGTGCACATTGCTTGCGGTTACCCAAGACTTTTGGAAGCAAAGACTTGCGCGAGAACTTCCTTACAGAAACACAGTTTTCAGCGGATCTGTTGTTGTTACATGTATTGTTTAACGCCGGTATGTCCTCGCATGAGGCAAAGGGCGAGTGGGGATGTAAAAATTGGGCAGGACATAGACTTGTGATGAGGATACACGCAATGATTGACATCGAGTCGCGTTCTTCAAAGGGGATTAGGTAATGCTGTAAACGAATGCTTACTTATAGGTTTGAGAAGGGATTCAATGACAAGATGCAGTGGTCGAAATAGAAAGAGAGAGACTTCGAACACAGATAATATCAAAGAAACCCGGATGATGTACCATCTCACAGAGTTTGACGCTGGCTGTCTCCGGATCTCGAGGGACAGCAAGGTGTCTATCAGTCTCGTTGTCTACAAACAAACCTTGAATGTTGCTGATTAAGGTGCTGTATTCCCAGACGTAGAACAGCGCAACGGAAACATACTTTAAATCACGAGTAGAACAGAAAAGTCTTCTCGTACAACACCTGTTTTTGGGGTCCCAAAGGCCTCATACCTCAGACCAAGCACTTACAATCCACGATTCGTTGTGTCATTTCAGAGTTCATGAACATGTTGACAGCAGTAGCGGCTCAGGAAATGGACGATTGAGTCGAACTTGCCTACTCTCACGTCTTTACACCTGGTCGCATCCCTGAACCTCCTTCCTTCCTCCGGAAGCAAAGAGGAAGGAAGTCCGACGGACCATGGGGTCCGGGTACTATGTCCTGGAAGGCAAGTAGTACCTGGAGCTCAGTTGAAAATGGAGGAAAGTTCGTCTTACAAGCTTGTAACAGAGGGAAAGGTCATTCGTGCTTGAGATATCTAAGGTAGGTAACATCAACTGACGCTTTCCGTTACTGATTCAATGGCACCCCACCGAGGTTGCCCAAAACTTGAATTTCCTTGCTTGAAAGGCAAGACTTACGGATCTCGAAACGAATTCAAGAACCAAAGAAAGTGCAACGGATCCCATGGACCTCGTCTGTCAGAGGGGTATTTGAGGCGACGCTCCCTCCCATGCTGGAGACCGAAAACTTCCCAAGAACACCAACCCCCACAACGCGCCATCAAAACAAAGCACACCTTTCTGCAGCCATATATCGAAGTATTCAAGAACCGGCCTTTCGCAGTATTGATTGCAGTAAGAGCTCATCGTCATTGAAGAAAGGATCATACTGACAATCTTACAGACATGGCCGACCAGACTCCCACCGTGTCTCTATTCCTTTATGATCACCTCGGTCAGAAGGAGAACATTTACCAGGCAGTTTATGGCTCCAGGAACCCGCCCGATGACGTCAGATCGAATCACCAGTTCAAGGCCGCCACGTACTTTGCCGAGAGTGATATGCTTGTTGGAAAGATATTCGGAGCTCTTCACAACCGGGAGGCGCGTGGAACCCCCGTTTACGGCAGAATGATAACCGGGCTGAAGCAAGGCGAGGTGCGCAAACTGTGGAGAGAACGTTACAAGCAGCGTGGATATGAAATTTTCGAGGTCGACGTTTACACCTTGTGCATGCACGGATCGGAAAAGATGTATGAGGCTTGGGTTTTCCTTCCTCTGGAGCCTCCTGAGCAGCCCCGGCATCAAGATGGATCGCCAAACATCACGGCAGCTGAGGGTCAGCAACAGTAAGCTTCTTTATCGACGGCTGCGCATCTTGATGGAATCCCCGACGTCACGGGAGTTGAGCGTCAACGGTAGAACTGTGGTGCATGGGAGTTGGTCTTTGGCAGACAACCGTCATGGAGGACATTCAGGGCGCTACACAATACAACGAAAACAACATCCGTGGACTTTCATGAAGGTTGAGGCCTCCTAATAGACTGGTACCACGAGCGTGCTCGTTTGGTGAGGGGGTCTTTGCGGAGGATCGCACGCCATCAAGAGCATCACTTTTAGACATGGCTTCGATACGCTTACAATAGTTACGAAGTTCAAAGTTTCCATCATTCGTTGCTTCGTTTCCAAGTGCCTTTTGACAATGATCCTCATTCCGATTCTCCTGTATCGTCTACAATTTCTACTTCTGTGATCTGCATGGTTGCTGAACTCACATATCCTCACCGTTGTCGTTGCTGCTGTCCCTTTTGTCGTCGTCGTTTATTCTACTAGTGTCTCTTTTGGTAATATCTCTGTAATGACGGGAGTCTTCCAGCCACTAAATTCCTCCGGCCGGTTCACTATCTTCCCCCGCGGACATGGGATAGCGACGGTTTGATGTTGCCAAGAACTGCGAGTCCGAACAAGCATGTTTGATTGGCGACTGTTGGGGCAGCTGCCGTCCTTTCTACAAGACCGCCGAGCTTGATGCAACGTCCGCTGCCGGCTTTTGCAGAGCGTAGAATAAGCAGCGAATGAGGCACGCCCATGCAAGGCCCAAATGTTCTGCGTGGTGTCGAAATGCTGGTACGGCTCAATAGTCTGGTCGAAGATCGACATCTCGGTTGACAGGGCCGCAACTTCAGTGCAACGTCAAACTCCCCCCGCACCTGTCGACGGAATACCTACGTTTCTTATAAGAACTACAGGACGCGTTTCCAAAGGATGACATGGACGTTTAGCCACTGAAAAAGTCGAGCTATGGCGAAAATAATTTCAATTGTGGCATTTCTAGCCCTCGGAGGGACTGCAAACTCCGAGGGACGCTGCAAGGTCTATCCAGGTGATATCGAATGGCCCTCCGACGAAGCCTGGGAGTCTCTGAATACACGTGTCGACAATCGCCTTCTCAAACCACGCCCTCAAGCTGCGGTATGCTACCCGGGCGCGGAGTACGACGCGGCTCGGTGCACAACGATATCGGCCAACTGGACCAACTCGTACATCCACCTCGACGATCCTATCGAGATGCTCTCCCCAGTGTACCAGGGCTTGACATGTCTTCCGCCCAATGTCTACGACTCCGGAAACTGTACGATGGGCGGCTTCCCATGGTACGTTATCAATGCGACGTCCCCCAAGCATGTCCAGGAAGGAGTCAGATTTGCCAAAGAGACGGGCATTCGGCTTGTGGTGAAGAACACGGGACACGATTTCTCAGGAAAGTCTGGTGGAGCAGAGTCCTTGAGTATCTGGACGCATTACTTGAAGGATGTCGAGTATATCGAAGAGATTGTCGATGATGTGGAGGGGTACTCCGGTCCTGCATTCAAGTGTGGGACTGGTGTACAGGCGTTCGAGATTTACGAGATTGCGCATCAACACGGGAAGGTCGTCGTTGGTGGCGAAGGACAGGTAAGCTCTTCTTCATGGAATGTGACCTTTGGTGTGGCTCTGACGATGGCAGACTGTCGGGGTGATGGGAGGTTATATCCAAGGCGGCGGCCACTCTCCCCTCAGCTCAATTTACGGCACCGGCGCAGATCAAGCGCTAGCTTTTGAAGTCGTCACAGCTGATGGTGAGTTTGTTACGGCGGATCACACGCAGAACTCGGACCTCTTCTGGGCACTCCGAGGAGGCGGTGGCTCAACATTTGGAGTTGCGACATCTGTTACCGTCAAAGCCTTTCCGGACATGCCAACTACCGCCTCAAGCTTCAAATTCTCGACAGGAGATGGGATAACGAACGAAAGCTTTTGGGCCGGGGTACGGAGCTACTTTGATCACTTCATCCACAACGCCGACAACGGAACATACGCGTATTTCGTCATGCTACCCAACAACCCCAGCCCGGGCAATTTCTTGTTCCAGATGACGCCGTTCTTTGCGCCTAACAAGACGTCAAGCGACGTGGAGACTCTGCTGGCCCCGTGGTTTACCGAACTCAGGGATCTGGGCATTAACTTTGACCCAAACATCACGGAATACGATTCTTTCTACCCCGCCTGGAAAGACTTCTTCCCACTAGAGGTGGTTGAAAAGGTTAACGTGCAGAGTGGTTCTCGTTTATGGCCACGAAGGAACTTTGCATCCGAAGAGCTGAAGCAAGCGACTTTCGACGCCATTCGCACTTCTCTCGAGACGAACCACGTCTTTGTCGGTTTCAACATCAAAGCTACCAGCCCAGACAACCCACACAACGCGGTCAACCCCGCTTGGCGCGAGAATATTCTCTTTGCCATTCAGTCAGTGCGCTGGTCTGTCAATGCCACTGCCGAGCAGATCCTCGAAGCCAGAAACGGGTTCACCTTTGGGGATATGCAGCGGTGGCGAGACGCCTCTCCGGGTGCCGGGTCGTACCTTGCGGAGTCGGATCGTATGGAGCCAAACTTCCAGCAGGCCTTCTATGGGGACGAGAAATATCCTAAACTTCTAGAGCTCAAGCGCAAATGGGATCCGGAAGACTTGTTCTACGCCGCGACGGCGGTTGGAAGCGAGTTCTGGGAGATAGAAACTGCGGACGGGCTTCCTCATGAAAACGGCAGACTGTGCCGCGTTGCTTAGGTGTACTTTCATAGATTACTATCAGCTTCTTAGTAAGGTTTGGATGGGAGGTGGATGGTGAGGCATAACCTTGGTAGCCTATGTCAAAACATTGAGCATTTTCGCGCGCTGTTGATAACGGAGATACCTCCATTGAGATCTTATTACAACGCAACTCCCCGGACTCTCATTGCTTTGCAAATGTTGCCAGCATCCCGGCTACGCAGACGAGGTCTTCTCAGCACCTTACGAAGGCCAGACATTTTCAGAGCGACTCCCGCTTTCGGTAGCAAACAACCGCCATGATGGGCGCGAACGCGGCGGTCTTCGACATTCTTACTGGAGAACCCTTGAATAACTCATTGGACGAATGGGGTCAAGAGCAGCGTTTTCAGGCACATCTCAACGTCAAGACACCTTCCCCATGGAGCGCCTACTGTTACATAATTTCCGTATATCTTGTTGGTCTCATGTTTTTCTCGATTGCTCTCAACTGCAAAGAGAAACACCGTGCGACGTTCATCGTTGGGTTCTGCGCCATCGGTGTTGAGATCATACGGTCCTGCAGCGGCCTGGACATCAACTACACACTGAAGGATACGATCATCAAGACCATTACCATCCAGTGCTCGGGCTCGGTTGTAATGGTTTTGCGCGAGAAGTTCGTGCTTACCGAGAAACAAAAGCAACTTCCATGGGGACGACGGGCCATTGCGACATACAAGGCCTTGTGGAATGGACGCTTCGTCGGAACCACTCGTCCAGCTCCCATCTTCCACCTCCTCGAGGAACAGGGTCAGCAAAATGCCCCGCCCGTCGTCATCGAGACATCAACCGAAAAGTCCAAAACTAAGCCCGAAAAGAGCAGAGAGAGAAGCGAAAGCACCGCAGCTTCGAATAAACCAATGCCGACTGCGGACTTGTTAGGGGCACCGATGGACCGAGGAATCATGCTGCGAGCTTGGAATCTCGCCTGCAGGTATGCCTTCAAGATATGGTACAGCGCTCGACTCCGATTCATATTGAAGAGCGTTGCGCATCTCGTTATCATCGTCATGATAGAAGACCTCAAGGATGTCATGGCCACGAGATATCTCGCATACAGCTGGAGAGACGTGGCAGACCACAAGCGCAGTATTGTCCGCCGCTACTTGAGGGGCGACCCAGTTGATCTTCGAGAGGTGGTGATACGCGCCTTCTTCGCTTTCCAGGGCGTCTGGGGGGCTTACAACTGGTACAACCGCATCCACCTTCTCGCAGGACTTTTCTTCGTCGGCATTGGAGTCGACGAACCCGAGGAGTGGCCTCCGGTATTTGGAGACATTCGCCAGGCGTGGAGCGTCCGTCGCTACTGGAGCAAATACTTTGACCGCATCACATACCGCCCAGTCAACGGATTGGGAGAGATCTTCATGGAGTACGGCGGCTTCGGACAGCGTCCTTACCGCGGCAAGAAGCGCTGGGTCTTGAATGGCCTTGTCTTTGCCATTAGCGGGTTCTTCCATGCATTCAGCGACTATTTCGCTGGTGTTGAGTGTGGTTTCTGGTCGGAAGTTGGCTGGTGGGTGGGAAACTACTTCGCTATTGTGGGCGAGACAGTTTTCTTGTGGACTTTGCATACCTACTGCCCCCGATTTTACAATGCGATGAGCGGCATGGTTGGTAAGACGATAGGCTTTTCTTGGGCTTTCTTATGGCTGTGGTGGTCTGCTCCTAAGAACCAGTTTCCCTCTATCAGGTGTATGGAGCACTTGAGGTGAGATAGGTCCTCGGAAATACATGGAGGAAATGGACATGTTTACATACTTGTTGATGAAGACGACATGGTATTAAGTGTCGGTTCTTGGGTCACGTCACAAGGTTGGGAGCTTTTGTAGCGATTTAATTGGACCGCTGATCGATGTAATACTAGAGGCCTTTGAAAGATGAACTTCCTGATGAAGTGACAAGGTGCTCATCAATGGAGTGCGTCTACTCCAGCATTTGTGAGTATCGCCGCGGCGAAATTGCGGGGCACCGCCGACATTCTTCTTCTCATCTCCCCGCGGAGAAATTTGATGGATTTCAAGGAATTTCGACTGATCGATTTGTGTTAAATATGTCTCTGGAATCACCTTGCCTAACCTTGAAATCATAGTCCTTGACAGCACAGTTTGCCATCATGTCGAAAGCGCTGGTCGATGTGGCCCAGGCCATCAAAGATCTCACCTTGGAGGAGAAGATCAGACTTCTTGCAGGAAAGGATACGTGGACTACGCATTCGATTGATAGACTGAACATACCATCCATCACGGTACGGTAACAATACCTACCCATAGTGGTCAATGTCGCTAATCGCAGTCAGACTTCCGACGGGCCCCATGGGGTCCGAGGCACTGCCTTCTTCAACGGTGTAAGCGATTCAACCCACGCACTTGAGGTTAGGTAGCTCACGATTGAAGCCCCCTGGATGTTTATTACCGTCAGCCACGGCAATGGGGGCGACGTTTGACGTCGAACTCATGCACTCTGTGGGCAAAATGCTCGCAACGGAGGCGAAGGAGAAGAAATGCCAAGTTATTCTTGCCCCAACGGTCTGTCTGCAGAGGTCGCCTCTCATAGGCCGAGGCTTTGAGGCCTTCGGCGAAGACCCAGTCCTCAGCGGAACATTGGCCTCAGCGTATATCAACGGCGTCCAGGAAAATGGCGTGGCTATTTGCATCAAGCATTTCGCAGCTCATGACCAATCGACTATGTCGATCGAGGATTCCATCCGAGTAACTGAGAGAACGTTGCGTGAGCTGCATTTCATGCCCTTCCAGATTGCTGTTAGGAAGGCGAACCCTTGGTCATTTATGACAGCCTACCACCGGATCAACGGCATCCATGCCAGCGAGAATCCCTGGCTGTTGGACGACATCCTGCGTCAAGAGTGGAAATGGGACGGCTTGGTCATGAGTGACTGGTTCGGAACTTATAGCACATCGGAGGCCGTGAATGCCGGCCTCGACCTTGAGATGCCGGGTCCAGCAAGATGGCGGGGTCAGTTATTGACGTGGGCTCTTCTTTGCCGCAAAGTCAAGGAGTCTACGATAGACGACCGAGTCCGGAACCTGCTGAACCTCATCAATAAGGTGCATCCAGCTTTGGAATACCTCCCCGACGAGAATCACGGTGATACAGAAGAGAAACGCCAAATCTGTCGCAAAGTCGCGAGCGATTCCATCGTTCTTTTGAAGAATGAGAGGGAAGTTCTTCCTCTGGACGCATCTTCGAACAAGACGCTTGGTCTCATAGGACCTGCGGTTCGGTTGCCCGCAGTGAGTGGTGGAGGGTCTGCGGATCTCACCCCATACTATGTGAGCACGCCGCTTGACGCCATCACCGAAGTCGTCGGAAATGCATTGGTGAAGACAGCGGTTGGTTGTTATGGTACGTGATACAGATATCGTTCTTTCATGCGCTCACACGCGGCAGGTCACCTGTTCACGCCTCTTCTCTCATCCGATGTCAGTATTCCGGGCACGCATCAGCCTGGATACATCTTAAACTGGTTCCGCGAGAACTTTGAGGAGCACCCAGGAGCGAAACCATTGCACACCACGACCACGACTCAAGCTCAGATGTACTTCGCAGACAGCCTACCGGAAACTGTTCCTGGAGAATATTGGCTCCGGGTAATGACAGTATACACCGCTCCGAAGACGATGACCATCCAGGTCGGGCTTTGTGTTATTGGGAAGGGAAAGCTATATGTCAACGGGAAGCAGGTGATTGATGTGTTCACCAGCCAGCCTAAGAAGACTCTTCAGACGCCAATGTTCAACCAGGCTAGCATGGAAGTCGTTGCGGATGTCGAAGTTGAGGCGGGGAAGCAGTACCTTCTTTCCGTCTTGCTGAGAAATGAAGCTGCCATCCCTGGAGTTGGTGCTCTCAGCGCTGGTGGTTTGAGAATCGGGTGCTGCGAGAAGATTGACCCAGCGAAGGCTTTGAATGATGCCGTGCAGCTGGCCAAAGATGTCGACATCCCCATCGTCATAGCCGGGCTGAACGCAGACTATGAAAGCGAGGCGGTGGATCGAAAGTCGCTTCAGTTACCACCAGGAGTCGACGGCCTCATCCAGCGAGTCGTCGAGGCAAACCCAAATACAGTAGGTGACTGGAAGTACCAGCATATGAACGAGCTAATGCTTTATAAGGTAGTGGTGACACAGTCGGGATGTCCTATTGCCATGCCGTGGATCCAGAAGGCCGCGACGGTGCTCCATGCGTGGTTTGGCGGTCAAGAGACTGGTAACGCCATTGCCGATGTTCTCTTTGGCAAGGTGAACCCGAATGGTCGTCTTCCAGTCACGTTCCCGGCCAGGTTGGAAGATACGCCGGCGTTCTTGACTTTCGGAAAGGGGCAACGGGATATTATGTACGGTGAAGGCGTTTTCATTGGTCACCGTTACTATGAAAAGGTGAAGACCCGGCCTCTCTTCTACTTCGGATACGGCTTGTCGTACACGAATTTCGAATACTCAAATCTGTGCATGCCCAAGACAGTTAGATTGGACGATGCCAGCGCGAAGACCTTCGGTGTCTTTGTCGATGTTCGCAACTCGGGCTCGAGGGATGGGTACGAGGTTGTGCAAGTCTATGTCCACGACGTGGAAGTGGCGTTTGATCGTCCCCGGAAAGAACTGAAGGGGTTTGCAAAGGTCTGGATTGAAGCAGGCGATGTGAAAACCGTTCGGTTGACCCTCGATAAGTATGCCCTGTCATACTGGAATGAGGAATTGGAGCATTGGCTCGCCGAGCGAGGCGCCTTTCGAGTTATCATTTCACGCAGTGCTGATCCGGAAGACGAGATCCTGACTGCTGATTTTGAGCTTGAAGAGAATGTCAGCTGGAAGGGGATTTGAAGTATCTGAATGTCAGAAATGTCTCACTGACGTATTCAAGATAGCCAATTTCAACAAAATGTAAATCTTGACGGAACAGATGTTGGCAAGTGAGATAACTCGTACATATGCATGGCATAATTAATGCATGGGGGAGAGACTAGATTTATGCAGCATGCCCCTCTAGTTGCTTACACTTTATAAGTGACTAGGCATATTCCCCAACCGCCCCACCTTCGAGATTCTCCGTGGCGAAATTACCTCACTCTTCCTGCATCATGCGTGTCTTACTTCAAGAGCACTGAAGTTCTGCAATGCCAGCCACCGGTTCCACGTTATCCAAGCGCGCTTGCGATTCTTGCAGGCAACGTAAAGTCAAAGTAAGAGAAGCTTGATCTCTGAAGCTCAGCCATTGCTTTTATGCGTATTGAGGTTCTCTCTCCTCGACAGTGATCTTCGTTCGCTGACGCTGAACAGTGTGATGCCACTCAGCCATGTGCAAATTGCAGCATTTCCAATCTGGATTGCACCTTCAAGGTCGTCCCTCGCAAAAGAGGCCCGAAAACACCGCGAGACAGAGCTCATGAGCCAGCGGCCTCGAGGCCTCGCATGTCTTGTTCCCCCGAGAGGAGCTATGAGACCAACGATCTAAGTACGCCAGCGCCAGCGGCATCCGGTCTATTTGAAGAGACATCGAGAACATCCGAGGCCTACTCCTTGTTGAATCCTACAAACTCAGCATCTGGAACTCGACAAGCTCTCTTCCTTGCAATCTCGAAGAATCTGCCATCTCCCACTATTCGACAATTGGTCGACGAATGCATTTCACTTTACGTATTGCACATGTTTCCAGTGTGCCCCGTGTGCCATGTGCCAACACTCCGAGCCATGGCTGCCGTGTACTTTCCAGTACATGCTTCCATGTCCCATAATGTGACTGATGAAGCATTCGACTCTGGTCCGGATAAAGACAGAGTCGCTGCTATGAGACCTTTCACACTGCTCACTGCGGTGTGCGCTGCTATTGCGTCTATCTACCCGCAGTCTATCTTGCCATACGGAGACGCTATTGCAACACCGTTCTTGCAGGCCTCCAGGAGTATGCTGAAACTCTATGAAGACTACGACACCCAATATCCCGATTACTCTTCATTGGCAATACGTCTTCTGCAATCTGCCGCGTTACAACACTCAGCTGGCAAGACTCCGCTGGCCTGGCATGTGCTAAGCCAGGGAGGCCTCTTGGCACAACATCTTCGACTCCATAGAGAGGAAACGATCTTGCAATATTCTCCTCTTGAGGCCACCCTTCTCCGAAACAACTTCTGGATGCTGTATGTTTGTGACAAGTCAGCTATTGCTTTAGCTAATCGGCACGTTACACTACATGAGCCCCTGTTCGACTCGACAATGAATATACAAGAAAAAAGTCAGACAAGAGTGTCCCTTTTAGACCCGAGCATGAGACATGTGCCTGAGTCTTTTGAGAACACCATCATGGAAGGTTTCCATCTGATTCAGCGTTGCTGGACATCCGCAGGAAACCTTCTCCTATTCATCAGATCAAAGAGCCAGAACACTGCACTCAACAACTTGACAGCCCCCTCAACGACAGAAATAGAGAAGGCAACCATGACGAAGATGTACATCGTCGTCTCCACTCTTCTGGATGACCTGCCTCTGTGGCTTCAATCTCCAGATCTGGTCGAACTGGATCCCAATTACGACGTGGCGTTCCAGAGATCTTGTTTCTGGACGCAGAAGTCGCGCATGATTGCCATGTTTCATAGCGTGAGAATCATGGTTCTCCGCCAGTGCATCGAACATGGCCTCACAACGCTCATCGGTCTTAACAATGACCAATTGACGCTGGCTATGGAGCAGACAAATATTGCCCGCGATGTCGTCCACAGCCTGCAGAGCGTTCCTTTCCAGTACATTCAGACTAACGGGGAGCCCGGGGTAAGTCTTCTTCAGTCAGAAGATGCTGTCTAGTTCACTAACGTGATAAAAACAAGATCGAACTGATGCGTGTTGTGGGAAGCATCTTGCTTGAGCTATCACAGAAAGTCGAAAACGACGTGATCCGAAGCCGGGCCAGCTCCCTCCTGTCATCCCTACTTGACATTCTCGCGAGACTCGACTCAAAGGCGTCCGAAGAACTGATTAATCAACAAAACTGATATCGATTCGCGTCTGTCAGTACAAATTCGACATGAATTACTGGCCATGGGAAGCGGCGTGGTTGACGCCCAATCCGATTCCCCCGCATTTCGACGCCAGCGTGCCCGCCTGACACCATTAGCACACCGTTTCGCCCGAGAATCATCACTTGCATTAGTCTGGCGCTAACATCGAACCACCTGCCACTCGCCAAGAGCGGCTTCAGTTAATTTATCTTGAGATCCTTCGACGGAGCAACAGGATTCGCTTCATCGAGCCTACTGAAAGGTGCCCGACATACTGTCATATCTCATCATTGATATCATGTCAGTTATAAGATCGGGCCTTGCTTGTCAAGCTTTCTGCCGATGATCGCGCGGCTCGTTCTTGGCTCACACCCAGCGGCTCGTCAGTGTCGTCTTCGGCTCTAGTCTCTTAGCCATGCAGTATGTGTGCCACCCCAATACCCCAACTTTTGATGTTATCCGGCCGGTTACTCGACGCTCATGACAGACTGGCCGAGAAGAAGCCACGCGAATCTTGGCAATGAAGTCCAGATCTAGCACTACCGACACCCTAATACGCTGCAAAGTCTTAGTCGCCGGTAGCTGCATGTGAACTCATCCGGCTCGTACCGCCATTCTCCGATGGCCTGCCTGCCTACTAACAACGGCCATTACGGTCACATTTCACCGGCTGACAATCTAATCCCCTCACATCCCTCTGTTCAGCTGAAAAGTATCGTGCAGTCGTCATTTTACTTCGTTTTGAGGGAATTCAGTCGTCTTTCGCACACAGGGGTGTTTGAGTTTCAATATGGCGAAGAATCTTCAAAAGCTGCCCGCATATCTCACCCGTCTTTTCAGTTTGGCAGGCAGAACCGCTGTCGTCACGGGAGGTAGCTCAGGCATCGGCAAGGAAATCGCCCTCGCGCTGGGTCAGTCTGGGGCAAAGGTCATACTCATCGCTCGCCGCGACTCACCGCTCGCGTCAACGGTCGAACAACTCAAACAACTCGGTGTACCTGCGGCGTCGATATCAGCAGATCTCGCGCATCTAGCAGATCTCAACCACGCCATTTCCCGAATCAAGACTGCGTATGGCGTGCCAGACATCCTCGTCAACGCAGCCGGGGTCTCTCATCGCCCTCCCATGTCACACATCACGCAAGGAGAATGGGACTTCACGATCGCCGCAAATCTTACCGCGCCGTTCGCTCTGGGGCAGGCTTTTGGTCCAGGAATGGCAAAGAGAGGAAGCGGGCGCATTATTAACGTCGTGAGTCAACAGGCGTTCCGCGCGTTCGGGAACAGTGGGGCGTACGGCGCCGCGAAAGGAGGGTTGGTCGCGCTCACGAGGTCGCAGGCGGAGGCCTGGTCACGGGGTGGGGTTCTCTGCAATGCTATCGCGCCGGGGGTTGTGGAGACGTCCATGACGGCGGAGGTTCTTGCGGATCCGGAGAAGGCGGAAGCTCATGCGGCGAGGACTATGATCGGACGGAACGGCGTGGCCGAGGACTTTGCGGGTGTTGCGGTTTGGCTGGCGAGTGATGCTAGCGCATCGGTGACGGGACAGACAATCTTTGTTGATGGAGGATACTCGGCCACTTGAAAGACGCTGTATAGCGATTGGATTCATTGCACTGTCCTTACTTGTCTGTTTTACTCAGCATCGTCGGAGTTATGGGTTATGTTTGGGTATTGTTATTGAGAAACGACGATGAGTCACTACAAAACGGGCAGTACATAGTAGTTTTGTAACCTCGATACAACAGAAAGAATGGGGAAATCGAACAACTTCAACAGCTTCTGAAGGAAAGGTTGATCTAGACCTTTTCTCTCAAGAAACTACTTGAGGTCCAGTCGCGCCAGTTGATAATGTTCATTCATTTCGAGACAATGAAGAACCCGCCTTCATGGTTTGGCCCAAACGCTGTTTTAGCTGACTCAACACCTCGAAGTACCGACTCGTCCATATCCGGGGCCAGATGCAATTTATTACTATTTTCGAACAGTTTGTCTAGTCCGTTTGGAAGCCGAAAAGAATCAAGCTGCATCGAAGTAGCATTGAAGCAAAGCGAGAATTTACTTCGTGGCATTGGCTTGATGTACCAGCTTGCCTCAGAAGAACTAGGAAGCCTTGGGGCTGTTAGCTATCGAATACACCGGAAAGAGTTCTCTACTCACATGATGCAAGGTGAAGAATGAGGTGCAGATACGAGCAATGAGCCACTGTCCTTGGGGCTCAAACTGATTAGCTCAAAGGCATATGAACCGCTAGGTACTGGTTTATCAATCGCAGAGATAGATCTCAATGGCCAAGGGTGTTGTTCGTCTTCCTCGGACGATAGTTTCAAGACGTGGACTTCGAGTTCCCAGTCGAAACGAGGTGTGAGCCGACTGTTGTCTTCAGTGTGAAGGTCAACCATCGCCAGACCATTAGGATTCCTCATCACGCCTTTCACAAGGCTGATGACTTCAGAACCAACAACTTCGTCGAAAATCTGTTCTTGAAGAACGAAGTTACTCTGAAGACACTCGATCGTGTCGTCTGCCTCCGCGAAATGAACTCTGGGCCAGTTTCTTGCCATCTTGAGCATCAATAGCCCTTTGGCCTGCGCAATCCAATAATGCATGGTGAAGACCTTCATCTTGCAGTAAAAGGAGAGGAAATCAGTGGATTCCTCCAAGGCCACCTCGCGGGCGACTTTCAAAAGGGAGCCCTTGTCTTGGGACAGGAGGATGGAGTGGACGTCTCTCAGGCAATCCTGGATTCCTCCGACGTGGACACATACACATGAGTGCAATGCCGCTTCAAGGCGAGTCTGGCTGTATGACGGTGCCTTAGTCCACTCCACGCGCAGCCGTGTCGTTTGCTCCAGAAGGCAGCTCTCGAGTTCGAAACAGACTACTTCATAGCGCGCGGAAACTTTGTTAAGGTATTCCGTAAGCCGAGGTGATCGTAGGTTGAGGAGCTGACTGCTAAGTTGGCTGGATAGGGTTTGTATCGAAGACTCGATTTGACTTATTTGCTCGATGTTGTCCTTGATGCTGTCTTGCAGGCGTGCTCTTTCGTGATTTTCGTCAGCAAGAATTGGCTCGCTGTTTTCTAGAAGTAGCCCTGTGACCCCTTCAGCGAGTAGATCGCCTAGGAAGACGAGATACTCAACTGATAGACTGACGAGGGCCATTGGGATTCGGGAAAGGTGCGTGTCTCGCTCTCCGCCAAATGTTGCGCTGCGTTGTGATATGATGGGTGAACGTTTCGTCTCTGAATTGCATGCAAGCTCTCTTATCTACAGATGTTGCTCTCCTCGAAGCATCGAATTCCCAGCGTGAGACAGCTGCGACACCAACGCATACGGGTGTCAGAGGGCTCAGCGATTGACACCAAGAATTTCCCAAAGAGGGAGCTGTTTTGCTCGTCAAGTGAGACAGTAGTTGCAACCAACGTGGCCTGAGATTTAAGAGGAAACGTGCAAAGAGACGTGCATATTGAGGATTCTTATGTCCCAATTTGGTGTTGTCGTAGATACCTTAGATGCCATTTGATCTCTCAAATGCTGCCAAGCCTTTTTGTCTGCGACAGATTTCATTCCTGACGACGGATGAATAAGCCACATTGCAAGTCGGTTACCGTGACATCAAGTGTCAGCTGAACAACTCAACATTGACGAGATTCTTGGATCTGCGCGATGCATTCTGAGTCTGTCCTTGGAACCAGCGAAGACCACGATCTTTCGTCAAGAAGAGACTGTTCTCTTGACATCTTCATTGGACCTGCGAAATGGTTGCCGAATCCGTGATCAGCTCACTCATTTCGATAGGCTAGTAGTGCACTTTACGTCTACTCGGCGAATTATTCCCCGCACATAGGCGACTCCTCTGCTTTACTTCGTCGGATTGGACGAAATTCTCTTCTGATGCCGAGGAAGGCAAGGCATAATGGAGGCTATCGTTAAACCAAACCATCAACATGGAAAGGGAACTTCCCGACCCTTCGAAGGATTGGATAAGTTGCCGATACTGTTCCTTTCTCGAAGTGTTTGTAGCGTTTCTCGAACTCCGGCAACCGAAAGGGGTGTGTGCGCCAAGCATCGGCCAATGAGTAGTCTTTCAAGGAAAGTATCTTGGCGTAGCCATCGGAACATGCACACGGATAACAGCCTCCTGAAACTGTGGGAAGTTTCTAACTTACGCCTACGGCCCGTGAGGGGGGGTCGGGACGCAAGGTACGGCGCGGCTTTGCCGCGCTCAAGTGGGGAGCCGGCCTCCATGTCTCTCGCTTCTCGGAGGCAAAGCAAGTTACCTTTCATCCCATCCGGCTCAGACACGGAGCCCCGCTTTGGCCGATGACCGCTTACAGATTCCGGGATATTGTGGACATCGGCATTGCAGGTAATGTCTCCTGTATAAAACGAGTTGGCATTGCCAATGATTTAACATATGCGTGGTTGTTTTCAGTATTCAGTATTCAGTTCTACCAGCTTCGAAAACTATCTCCTAGCTGAACTACCTACCAATTTAAAGCCATGGCGATCACTCCAGACGAGCTTCCGGGGCTTGTGTCCCAATTGTCCGCTCTGGTCAACTCCCCTCGCCAAGGCGGGCCGACGCTAGAAATGGAGCGTATCGCGGAGAAAATCCTATATGCTACTAGGCCTTTACCATCCGATCCCATGCACCGAATGTTTCCATACGTGGATCTTGTGCTTATTCGGCTTTTCATTGACTGGAAGGTCTTTGAGACGATCCCTCTTGACGGAGCCATATCTTACGCCCAGCTGGCCAAGGCAGTGGACGCAGATGAGTCAATTCTCAGTACAGAAGCCTCCGAATACCAATAATATTAGAGGGCTCACAGTTTTCAGGGCGATATGCATCGTTTCTCGTCTCCCGTCACATCCTCGTCCAAGAAGATGGGGATCGGATAGCGCATACAGACGTTTCGAAGCTGTATCTTCCTGGCCGACAAGAATTCAACCTGTTCACGTTCTAGTAAGTCTGATTCAAGATCCACTGCTGACAGAAAGTAATTTGCTCACTCCATCTCGTCAGCTACGATGAGATGTTTCTAAGTTGTGTGAAGAAACCGGAGTACTATGCTCATTACGGTCGCCGTGAGCCAGTCACACAGAATCATACACCATACTCGTTTGCACATGGTCACCCAGAGAAGACTCTCTGGGAAATCGCTCACAGTAGACCCGAGCGGCTCAAGCGTGTCATGGAGGCCATGGACACTGTCCAACATGGCCCTATGATTGCGAGGACGTACGACTTCAGCTGGCTGCGAGAGAAGCTCACAGATCCGCAGCACCAGGACAGAATTGCCTTCGTCGACGTCGGTGGCGGCAAGGGACACATGATCAAGGATGTCATGAGAGGCAATCCCTTCATGCCTGCCAACCGCATGGCCCTGGAGGATAGAGACGAGGTGATGAAGGAGGTTGCGATCAACCGAGAACCCGAGCTTGAGGGCGTGAAACTGCAAAGCCATGACTTTCACAAGGAGCAACCCATCAAAAGTGAGCATTCACTCACTGTTCTCAACTTGCTTAGACTGATGCAGCTTACAGATGCGTTCATCTACTTTATCTGCCGTTGTCTCCACAACTACAGCGACGAGGTGTCTGGCAAGATGCTGACTCATATCAGCAACGCCATGGCCCCGGACAGCAGAGTTGTTATTGCTGAGATGGTGATGGAAGATCCTCCGGAGCCATTGCAGGCTATGTATGACTTCACCATGATTGACATCGGCGGCAAGGAAAGGACGGCGAAGGGATGGAGTGATCTTGCGGCGAGCGCTGGTCTTAAAGTGTCTAAGATTTTTGGGTCGAGCAACGAGATGAAGATTGTTGAGTGCGTCAAGATTTGAGTCACGGTAGGAAGTTGGAACAGCTCTAGAAGTTTGGTGCTGTTTCGAGAGTGTCATCCGCGGATGCAAGCGCGTGTTTCATCTGCACAGCTTCAACATAGGTCAAGTAGCTGTCAACCATAAACTCATAGTTGACATAACGTCGATTCATGCCTGCAGAGTTGACACCTCTCGTTGACTCGCAGGGCGGGAGCAGTTCGTGACCGATGACCGCCATCACCGCTCAGGTTGATCATCTCTCGGGTTGGCCCCTCGGCAAAAGCGGGGACGCTATGGCCGGAAGAGGAAGGTGCTCTCAATCAGTTCCCCGCCGAAGCCGGAGTCCCCGCGATAGCTGTGGGTCGCCGTATCGGCACTTTCTGGAGTCACGAGTGTTTCTCAAGACAAATGCGCTTTGCTGTGCCCCAATTGTCCAATGGGGATTCACGATTACACGTTTCTCAAACATCCTTGTCCATATCTCGCTGAAATTACAATTTCCCCACGCTTGATAAGCTGTGGACCGCGGACGATCACATCAATCCCCGAAGTCGTGAGTGACCGGACCGGTTCGTCGCTGGTGAACCCAGGTGAACCTACCTGGCGAACCTTGTCCACGAATGGGTTTCATGGTTCGTTAAGAGAGACCGAACCAACCATCTTTCAACCCTTCACTCGGTGAACCAGGATGGACAAATGTGCCAACGTCGCATTCCGCGATAGGGAAAGGACGTCGGCCGCTAGTGATCTTCACCTGCAGCATGCCAGATTGAAGCTCCTCCCAGTTTGTTGGGTCCATTTCTGTCGTGTTGTGGGCGCAATTGACATCCATGGTTGCGCCATCCCGGCCTCCCTCATAATAAAGCTTGGCTGCACCTGCCGATCTCTTCTTGCTTCCCCTTCAGCTACCCTACCCAGCTGCTCTTTCTCGGCTACCGGTGTAGAGCTGTGATTGCCGTGCCTCACGCAGGTTAATTCCTTCGTCGACAAGTTCAAATCGGCCATCCAAAGCTCAAAGGCTCGAGCACCGCCGCCATGAAGTCCCTCCCGATCACTGCCGGTGTCACTCAGCTGCTTCTCGGCCTGCTGCAGCCTGCTCTTGCGGCCCCGAGCCATGGACCTCCGAAGCTGGGCGCCGTCGCTTCCGAGACCGATATTTGCAGTGAGATTGGTACGGATCTGCTGAAGAAGGGCGGAAATGCGGCCGATGCCATGGTCGGCACCGTCTTCTGCGTGGGCACCGTCGGCATGTACCACAGCGGCATTGCTGGAGGTGGCTTCATGCTCGTCAGGTCCAGCAACGGAACGTACGAGTTTATCGACTTTCGAGAGACTGCCCCCGCAGCCGCGTTCGAGGACATGTACGCCAACAACACGGCCGCGAGTATGTACGGCGGTCTGGCAAGGTGAGTTCAGGCGATGGCGCATTGTACTTCGGCTGGGGCGCTAACATCTTGCAGTGGTGTCCCGGGTGAGCTTCGCGGCATGGAGTACTTGCACAAGAAGTATGGCCGTCTCCCGTGGGCCGATCTCGTCGCTCCGTCAATCAAGATCGCCCGCTTCGGCTTCAGGGTCAACGAGGACCTCGTCAAATACATGAACTCTGTTACTCCGAACGGCAACTTCCTGACCGATGATCCTTCTTGGGCCATTGACTTTGCGCCCCACGGCTACAGAGTTAGGCTGAACGAGACGATGACCCGCAAGCGATACGCCGACACTCTCGAAACGATTGCCAACGAAGGTGCCGACGCCTTCTACACCGGTGCCATCGCCAACGCGACGATTGCCGCTCTTCAGAAGTCCAACGGCACGATGACACTTGAAGATTTTAAGAACTACACAGTTGCCATCAGAGAGCCGGCGCATATCACGTACAGGGGACACAAGCTCACTGCCTGCAATGCGCCTTCCGGTGGCATCGTGGCCCTCAGCGCTCTGAACGCTGTCAGCGGCTACGAGGACTTCGGAGATCCTGCTGCTCGTAACCTTACGGTTCACAGGCTCGACGAGGCCATTCGCTTCGCCTATGGCCAGCGTTCGAAGCTCGGCGACCCGCTCTTCGTCGACGGTCTGCCCGAGTACACCAAGAACATGATCTCCGCCGAGACTGGTGCTGAGATCCGCTCTAAGATCTCCGACTTCCGCACACAGAATGTCTCCTGGTACAACCCTGAGGGTCTTGAATCGCTTGAGACGCCTGGAACGTCCCACATTGCTACCGCCGATGCTAGCGGTCTGGCCATCTCCCTTACTACTACGGTCAACCTACTTTTCGGATCCCAAGTTATGGTTCCCGAGACCGGTGTCATCATGAACAACGAGATGAATGACTTCTCCATTCCTGGCTCTAGCAACGCCTTCGGTTACGTTCCAAGCCCAGCCAACTACATCCGACCCGGCAAGCGGCCTCTGTCATCAATTTCACCAATCATTGTGGAGAAGCCCGACGGAAAGCTGTACTTCGTCATTGGCGCTGCTGGTGGAAGTCGTATTATTACTTCAACCATTCAGAACGTACACAATGTCCTCGACAGGAACTTGACTGCGCCCGAGGCACTGGCCGAGCCCCGTCTCCATGACCAGCTCAGTCCAAACATCATCAACGTCGAGTATGCTTACGACAACAGCACCATCAGATACCTCCAGTCACTGGGTCACAATGTCACTTGGGTTGCGCCTGGTAGTAGCTCGGCGCAAGGCGTGCGGTTGCTGTCGAACGGTACCTTTGAAGCAGCTGGTGAGCCTAGACAGAAGAACTCTGGTGGTTACGCTGTTTAGAGTACCGAACCTAAATAATCAGTAACTTAATAGTATTTTAGTAGTATAGAGTGGGCGCGATCCGTTGCCCTTACGAATGATGTCAGGCTCTCAAGGTTCCATGTTGTCCATACACACCGAGGCTCTAAGTTTTCCACATTGCTTGGGCTATTTACTTGCCAAATTTTCTATTTGAGAACTTTTCTTTTTCTACCTAGGGGCTTTCCATGATAACAAAGCAGCGCAATTCCTCAACATTCTCGGTGTATCTCCCGCGAAACCCTCGACTATCAGAAGCATTTTCGTAAGCCACACAGCGATTATGGATGAGTTCATCATCCGCGCAGCTGCGCTCTACCTCGGCCTTTTCGTCATCATCCGGACATCTGCCCGCAAGAAGTCAACAACTCCCGGTGGTCTCAAAGTCCAGGCGCGACAGCCCTCTGTATGGGAAGCCAACTTTGAGCAGAACTTGCGACGCAGTCGGATTCTGCAGTGTCCCGATGAGATCCTCCTCTGCATCATGCAAGCCGCAAAACCAGCCGATCTTTACATGCTTCGCCAGGCATCCTTCACCTTCTGGCGCCTGTACCGAGACAAGACATTTGAACATTACCATCGCTTCGAGAGAAGACCTCTGCCTTTAGGCAATGAGAAATCCAAATCCTTCGAAAGCGATGCTGAGACTGTCCAGCGCGCTAAAGAAACCGGATTTTGTGCCGCATGCCTGGATACGAGAGTGTCTTCTGGTTTCAAGAAGCGAATGGACGAACTCACCAGCAACGACGAACAATACGCCTTATACTGCCGGCACTGTAACACTCAGCATCCCAGAGTGTTGTTCTCTTTACAACAGCGCGATGCCAACTTACGACAGTGTATTGCCGCTACGGGACTCATTCGACTCTGTCCTCATCAGAATGTTTCATTACCCTCAGTTTGCGCATGGATTATGCGTGCGCGGGGCGAAACCAAAGAGAGGCTGGACTATGGAATGTGTATCTTCGCGCGATGCACCGCGTGCGAAAATCACGCGATGAAGAACATGCTGAAATCATGGACCTTGGAAAATATCACGCCTCCGACAATTTCCGTCCTCAAATTTTATAGTTCGAACGGCAGCCACGACTATAGAATCCGGCTCGATTGGGTCCTGCCGATCTTTACAGTCGCGGAGGGCCAAGCCGTCACGCGAGAGTTTATGTATCGAAAGATGTTGGAGTTCCAACAGCGGTTTCCCGACATGCTTTGTCCGCATTACAACTTGAAACCGGACTTGGTTTTCGGTCCATTTGATCCAGAGAAGTGTTCTTGTCTTGGCGAAGACAGTCGGGTCGGTACATGTAATGCGGCGCCTCAGAGTCAACAGCAGGGATGGAATTCTCGAAACCCTCCACGCTGCAGAGAAGGCAAAAGGCTGGCTGACTACAATCATTTTATGCCACAGTACTGGCAAGGGTCTCACCAAGTGTCTTGCAAAGGATGCGAAAGTACATATCGTTGGTTGAGATATGGTAGTCAGGTCTTCCTCTCTCGGGTGTCCTCAGGGACGTTGGTCAAAGGTTGTTCCGACGGTCCTGATACAATAAACATAAAACAGGTGCAGGCGTGGCTTGAACCTACTTCTTATGAGGCGAGTTCAGATGTTGATACCAAGAATCTCATCTGGTGCGAAGACCAAGCATGTAGGAACGGGAGAGGTTGGACGGAATACGCAAAGCATCAAATCTCAGCGTTAAATGAGAGATTTCCTCCCTCAGAGAGTGCAAATACCACCCACAAGGCGTTCAAAGGTAAGACTCTGTGCAAGGCAAGTCGACCTCACTAAGTGTATAAAGCATGAAGATGGTAAATAAATGTAACAAAGTATCTCAATTTGACAGCGAAATTTATCCAACGCCTCGATTCAAACGCTGTGCCCTGACTAGCTACATGTTGACCTCGCTTATAGCCCTCTTGGCCACTTAGATGTTGCACAAGAAGGAAGAGACATCATCGTTCTGGGTGCTGAACTGCGGGTTGCTTCGGATATCCTCCACTTTGCCAGTAGTGGCGATCTGTCCACCGCCGTTGCGGCATCCGGTGTCGCTTGAAAGGTGTTAGTCCTCAAGAATCATGATCTATCATCAGCGCTGACTTACTTGTAGAAGATGCAGTTGAAACCGTGAGCATCGAGAGAGCTGACCTTGTCGTTGAGGCGCCCGACATTTTGAACTGTTGAGAGTTAGTTATTGTAGAAAGTTACTGATGAACTCAAAACTAACCGCAGAAGCCAAAGTTGAAGTTGATGGTGTCGCAGTCGGCCATGCCCTTGTCACTGCAGAGGGTGACACTCTGGTTGATCTGGCGCTCTTCGACCTCCTTAGAAGAAGAGTCGACAGGAGCCGCGGAGACAGCGGCGGCAGCGAAGAGGGCAGCGACGATGATCTTTGAGAACATTTTAAAGAAGTTGGTGGTTGTAGTTGGTAGAAAGATGTAGAGTGAGTGAAGATATGAGAAAAGACTGGAAGAGCTGAGTGAGTGAGCTGTGTAAGACTGTAGTAGTTGTAGAGAAGACTGGAGCTTGATGAGGATGAGAAGTTCTTCTTTTTCGTGGAATTCTACTGGTCTTTATAGATGTGAGAAGCTCTCAAGCACGTTGACGCTTTTGCAACTATCTCCAACATGTAGGTCCAGATTATGGCCTCGAGGGGCGGAGTATTCACCAAGCATTGACAACGGAAAGATCCCAAGACGCCGATTAATCTATCATCATTCGCGCCTTGCGTTTCTCATAAAGACATTCAAAGGCCGAAGACAAGCACATGATCTGCTCAACAGTCGTCCCAAAAAACGCCCTACAGAGACTTAAGGTTAAGCTTAACCTCTTGGCAACTATACATCAGACTCCTATATGAAAATCGTTGTTGGTAAAATAGAGTTTGCGGTAAAGTAAAGTTCGGATGGGACGTCTCAATTATGACTCGGTCTCGCGTGTTATGCCATAGCTCTGGGAATCTGGCCCCCAGAGGGCTGTGCTTTGCGGCTCAGCCAAGCCTGGATCTCTCGGATCTGCCCCAGATCGGCAATCAACCGGCGGATTACCGACGCCCTACGGAGGGCGGATAGCTCCATTAGCTCCAGGCGGAAAATCCGCCTCGCATTCGTTTGGCATTGCTCTGAGATATTTCGGAGACTAACTTGTATGTCTGTCCTCACCACTGAAGTCCGGTCTGACTGAAGCAACAAAGTTCAGCAAGCCACGAGCCAAGCTCTTTACATGAGGTTGAAGTCAAACTTGCCTGATTCTATAGATGGAATCAATCTCTTTTCGTCTTGGTTTTGCAGATGCCGCTCATGAGGCCTCACTACCTGCCGAGTGCCACAAGCTCAAAGTGCCAAATGCTTCAAGAGGTTGATTGAAGAAGCAGTATAAGTACCAAAAATGATCGACTTCTTCTTTCGATTTCTCATCCATCACCCCCAACTATTCCTTCTTTAGCCATCACAGCTCAGAGCTCATCAACCATTCAGTCTTTTACCTACTTTTCACACTTACACTCCTTTTACTCAAATCAACTCATCGCAAACATGAAGTTCATCGCCATCACCACCGTCCTCCTCACCAGCCTCTTGTCCGCCACATCGGCCCTCGAGCCTGCTCCACCCACAAACAGCTTCCACGAGCGACGACAGGTTGCCGGAGGCATGGAGACTCAGAACCTGGTCGTAGCCGAAGGCATGCTCAACTCGGCACGCTCCGGCTCCGTCGGCAAGATCCGCCGCCGCCGTCTCCAGGAGGCCCAGGAGCGGAAGTGCGTCAAGTTCCCGTCGACCGACTGCGAGAAGTGCATGGACACACTGGTTTCGACTGCCATTTTTGAGGTCATGGGCTGCGGTGTTGCGGCGCTTGGTGTGGGCGCTGTTGGCGGAGGGGCCACGGCTGCCCTTGCCGCCATGGGCTTCTTGGCCTGCGACGGAGTGGCGTATAGCAGTTATGAGAAGGGTTTGATTGAGTGTAGGGCTTTTTAGATGGATATTCTGGAACGATTGGGCGGGTATACGTTAGAATATCTTCAAGGAGTTTCACTCAGTGCTTTTACTCAATGCGAATGAATCCGTCAAACTATTGAGAGCAAGTCTGCTACTGGACAATTAAACACTCTACTTTCTTGCTACTTGACTACTCGCTATGTATACTTTGAGCGCCCGGATATTCCCCTCCGTGTCGTACTGGAATCGAGGAGATGATTGGTTGGCCATCTGCACATCTTCCGGCCTTCCCATCAGATCTCACCGCGCAAGATTGCCTTAAGTGCACCTCTTCGAATCCCCGACCAATCAAAAGTTCTCACTGTATGTCTGAATGCCCAAGGCAGACTGCTCGATTAGTATTAATGCAGCAACTGTTGCATGTTTTTCTGGCGCGGCTCATCGAGACTCCTCACCCCTCTTCCTGTGTACTGCGTTGGCCAGTCAACAGAATACAACACACGCTTCAGCCTTCCACGTAGCAATTCTTCCAAGTTTCGCGCCGACAATAATCTTTTGTCATGGCGCTCCAAGTACCAAATGGACATGGGTCATCTGCTGGGTCTTCTATGCTCAAGTGAGTCGACGAACCTGCGCGCGCGCGCAGCGATGGGTATTATCGATAACTAACGAATCTGCTTTTACATTCAACGTAATATAGCCTCTGAAGCCTTCTGCGATGCCAGAGCGTATCTCGAAGAAAAGTTCAGAGACAAACCCAAGGAGTTGGCGTGGCTCAATTCCGCGACTTCCACCAGTCTTGAGGACATACTTAGCACTACAAGAGCTGCCGAGGCTAAGCACCGCGGAGATTCTCGAAGCTCCAGCCCGTTTATGAGCGGGTTGAACGGTCTGTCGAAAAGAATCAGGTTTTACGGGCAGGTCTTCGATACTCTGTCGCAACATCACCCCGAATATGTTTCCCTCGTCTGGGGGATGATGAAATTCATTCTCATGGTATCTTCTCAACCCATCGACCCTAAACCGCTTCAAGGACCATCTGTACATGTACTTACGACGTTCCAGGGTATCATCGAGTATGCCAACACTGTTGCGCAATTCTCCCAAGAGCTCTCGAATATTGCGGAAATATTATCCATTGTGAAAGTCAGCGCCGATCTCTACCAGACAGACCAGATGAAAGACGCTGTTGCCAATCTGTATGCACAAGTACTCCTTTTTCTGAGGAAGGCCACAAAGTGGTATACACTTCGCCGTGCCCGTCGAGTCCTTAGCACATTATGGACGCCATATGAGATCAAGTACAAGGCGATTGCTGAAGAAATCAAAGCTTGCGCGCTATCTATCAATCGAATCTCAGATATGGAGGAGAGAGTCGAACTAAGAGACGTCAACACGTTCTTGAGGATCGTGAGTGACAAATCAGAAGCGAGAGACAGCAAGACTTTGGCGATGCAGTGCGTCTTCGCAGACACGCAGTCGAAGCAGGCTGGAATTCTGAACGAGTTATTACAAAACCAAAAGCGTGAGAGAACTCTGTAGTCTTCAGGATGAGATGAAGATTTTGCTGACATGATTCATTCCGCAGAATTGAGCTTGTATATGGGGAGCTTACAATTGGATGTGAAAGACATCAAACTCGATATCAGAAGCATCCAGTCTGTTGTTCATGATTCCCATTTCCATGATATCCTACAGTCTATGAAGCCCCATACTACTCCAGAACATGCGCTTCTGAAGCAGCTGGAGGTTGCTAAGGGAGGATCAAAACGGAAGAATCAGGGCAAAGACTTGCCGAAGATCCTGAAGGTCTTTAAACACTGGATTTCGGAACCAGCATCACCTTTGCTGGTCTTAAGTCCACACGAGGCGGCTCATGATAGGGTCAAAGAGATTGCAACTGAGTTGGTTAGCAAGCTGGACGGTCGCTCACATCCAGTCCTGTGGTATCTGTCTACCACTGGCCGCAACACTGACCTGACGATACGTACGACCGATGTGCTCCGTTGTCTGTTGTTTCAATCGTTGAAACTGTGCCCGGAAGTTGTGGCATCCGACCCTGTCAACTTCAGCGTAGCGAAGCTGAGCGCACCTCATTCGGACGAACAATACTTGAATCTGTTTGGTCGCATGCTATTGCACCTAGCAAATTGTTTTGTTATCATAGAAGCTAGCGATGTGCTTGGGAGCGAGAATGATTTCTTGCACCTTATGGACATGCTTCAGAGGTTGAGCAGCTTCTTGATCCGCGAGAAAGCGCCCACTAAGTTACTTGTTGTTGCTTATGGCGGTACATCCAGCAGATTTTGCGTCAACCAATCTCATGGGAGGATTCTCAGCATCCAGAAGGAAGTCGTTGTCGTAAGAACGAGTCGTCCAGGAGTACATCACATCTTCCCTAATGATTTCCTGCGCTAGAGATAGATCGAAGGAGTCCTGGAATAGCTTTGAGCTCAATAGCTTGATTTGATGTTGGCTGTGAGAGATCAAATGCGTTGTGCTCGTGCATCATGCGTAACTCATAGCTACACTCAATACGTTTGCTTTTGAAATTCAGACATGGGCGACATGCTTGGCCCGGAATCATAAGGCAGCCGTGGTTCGCCTGCATATCCTGCCCACTTTCATGGAGGCAGCCAAAGCCCAGTCATCTGGCGAATCACGCGCGTCCGCGTAGCAACATGTTGGGTGAGAATACAGGCCCCTCTTCTAGACCTCCGCGTCAAAGAACACAACTCGCTGGGGCCATGACTAGAATTGTGACCGAAACATCCCCAACTTCACGTCATGTCTGCTGGAGTTCATTTTGTCTATCACGAGGTCGCAGAACACGAATTATGTGAGCATGGCACCTGTTTTCCTTGCCCTAATCATGGACACGATTCGACGCAATCGTCCAATCCTGGGACACAAATGAGGGAGTATGCTGTGATGGAATCACAAGTCACGGACCAACAGGCCGTCATGGTCGTCCACCAAGTGGAATGTGACCGCAAGATATTAACCTCAAATAGAGGTGAGTTTCCAGTCATTCCAGAAAAGCCTCTGGCATGCACTTACAGTCGGCACCCGCAGTCAACACTTTCGATGAAGCATTCAGGTCACGATTGCAACTTGCGTTGTATTATCCACCCTTGAATGAAGAGGGAAGATTCGACATCTGGACCAATTTTATTGCTCTACTCGAGGAAGAGCAGAGGCATCTAAATCCAAAAACCTGTGCTCCAAAGGACCTCGTCAACACAACTCAGCTATCGAGAAAGGCAAGCGTACTGGCAAAGGAGAGGCTCAACGGACGTGAGATTCGAAACGCGATCATCACAGCGCGGCAGTTGGCGCGATTCCGGGGGCAAGTAATGGAGTATGACCATATCAAGCTGACGATTGGAGTTGCGAAAGAGTTTGAGGAAAACAGGGAGTAAATAGTGTATCAAATTTATAGCGGTTAATCAGATGATTGCTTTTCCACTGAAGTTCTACACTCAAATTCCTCTATTCGTCAAGTACAGAATAATACCTTGACCTCCATTCGCATATACACAAAGAGGAGCTCCAGCGGAGTTGACTACCGACCATTCTTGACAGCTATTTGCGTGGCAGCACAACTCTTGCATCTGTAATGCTGACAGTATGGGCATGCGGGATCAGTCGAGACATTCAGCGGTCCGGTGTTACAATTGGACTATCTGGCGTTAGTAACTAAAAGAATGGAATGGGGATGTTGATGCGTACGCAGTACCACACCCATACGTGCGTGTGGGTAGGTTTTGAACTCTTAGAACTACCTCCGCCACTTCCAGACGCCTTTGAAGAGCTGTTCGGATTACCCGAGGAGTTTGAAGATGCTGCTATTGACGGAGATCCGGATTGTCCCTTGGACGTCTTGGCAGCCTTTCCCAGACTGCGACCCCCAACAGCGCTCAATCGTCTTGTCGATACGTCGTTTCCTTTCGTCAAGTCCTGTGACAAAGTTGGATGAGGCCCGCCGGTCGATGCGGCTGCGTCCTTTTTCTTCTTGCCCATCTTTTGACCTTCTGGGCGGGGGTCGGCAGTCTTTAGCTCAGCCTCAGAGCTTTCGATCGGGTCGTGTAAATGCTCAAAATGCAAAAGGGAAGAGCCTGCATCGGTGGTCACAGCAACGGTGAGAGTGAAGCACGGAGTAGCCTCCGACTAGAAGTTGATGTGCCAGGTCGGTGAAAAGGTCAATCGTGGATGTGTTTAACGGGACACAATTAGGTCGACGGTGAATTGACCTGATTTCTGACGAACGAAGTTGGAGAAAAGCCTCCCGAGGAGAGGTTCCCCGCCCGGGCAAAATCAGGCTCTGAACACAAGTTGGGATCACATGATACTGTGCCTTTTTGCGATTGGGTATCCATTATCGCACCTCAGGAGGAACACCGCCCAATCAAATCATCAATATAGTAACATGCTGCTATTTTGTAAAGGGTTTGAAGTTGCGTCGGCCTCAAACCTGGGAATTATCATGACCAAGTGAATAAAAAAAACTTCCTGCAGCTTGAGACGTTTAGAATAGTCATACAATACAAGTAAAGCACGTTGTCATTAGCTCCATGTCAACTCTAATTTATGAGAGTTCATTCGATCTAACGAACTGCAAGGTTGTCCATGTTGCCTTACTCTCAATTGACGCTTTCTCCTTACCGGCGTGTTCGTGTTCGCGACCGTCTCAGTCTTATGCAAGTCACATAATTATTGACACCTTCCACTTGAGACTGGACAAGTGAAGTGCATATGCGGGAAGACATGCTAGCTAAGAGGTCGAGGGATCGCCGAATTTTATAATAATCGCCCCCTTGGCATGCCAAGCGATAAAGAACGTGCCTCTGTGATATTACTCTGATTCATTGATAGTCCCTGGTATATCACAGCTGGGTAAGAATCAACGAGACGTTGATGTTTGACCATGAAGTTGAGGACAATCCGTGTGTCTTATGTCAGCTCAGCTGGATCACTAAGGGTTGCAATCCCTGTCAGGGTATCAACTGGGGTCTCGCATGGAGGATCCAGAAGGAGTGAAAATAACTCGGGACGATATCACAGCTTATCGGTGGACATCCGACAAGCGCTGTACGGGGGAACCTGGGGAAATCGCGAGTCTATGGGCTAATCTTGGAGCAAGATTCCGAGGTGCAGACGCAGTGTTCTTGGCGGACATGGGACGAAGCATCGTTGTGTCTCGCGATGGTAGCGGGGATTGTGTTGCTTGCTGTCATTTTGAGAGGCGGCGGGAAAATATGCGATGGACGTTGGGATGACTGGATGATGACAGCTGCAGTTGGCGATGGATTCTGAGGAAGTGTCAGTAAAGGAGCAAACATTCCGGACAAGAAATAGAAAGATCATGAGACAATCCATCTAGCCAATCCTAAGAGCCTCATTCCTGCAAATAAAGTGTATCGGACCCCGACATTTCTTTTATTGATTGAGGCGGTCGGAGAGGAAGGAGAAAAAATGCAGCAGCGTTGGGGCCTTCCGCCACTGATCGCATTGTCTCAGATGGAAGTGACGTAGCGCCGGATGTTCTCCTGGGAAAGTGCGTGGGACAAGCTTGCAGAAGGCGGGGCTGATTAGGTAATTAACTGCGTTTTCAGGGATGATAGGTGCGTTGGTCTCACCTTCCCGCCCGTTTCTGCTGTGTCTCGGGGAATACAGCGAGGAAGGAGGTGGCCGACTCTTCTTTTTTCTTTCTTAGAAGGCGCCGTCGATAATGTCGCCGTCACGACTGGCCGTCTGCGGCAGGTGAAGCGGGCGAAAAATGATTAGAGAAAAAAGAAAGAAATATCCGTAGAACCCCTGGTCTTGCTCTTTCCCACGTCCCTATTTCCATCTTGCCTTATCATCGTCTATCTTATCAGCTGTTCAGTGTTATCCACCTGCAGCAGCAAGCAGGAAAGGCCCACTTGTCGTCCTGGTCTTTCCGATTCCCGTCCAGCGTCTCCAGTTTCGGGTCCTGCCTGACTCCATTCCTCGCTCCTGCCCGCGTCCAATTTGCATCGTCGTCCTCGCTAATTCTTCTCCCGACGAATCATCTCGACCGGAAGGAAATCATTGCTCCATCCGCCAACCGTGTCGGATTCCTGCACCGAACATTCGACGAACACGACCTGCTTGTTCCCGGTCACCGACCTCACCGACTGGACAGTCAAGACGGCAAAACGTGAGACAGTGACAGCAGCGTCAGGTTCAGAGTCGGTGGTTGCATGTACCGCGACCCGAGAGTGGGAATTAAGGAATTCGCACCCCCGTCATGGTGATGCCACATGTCGCTACGGATCCATGTCTTTTTCTCTCTTGAATACCTAACGCCAACAACGCCAGCACCAACGCCAACACCCCCGACTCGCCCATTTTTGAGCTGAGACCCCAAATCCCTGACAATTATTACCGGCCGCCTGCAACTGCATCTGCGACTGCGACTGCACACATACCCAACGCTGCCGCTACCCTGCTTGCGACCGCAAACCAGCCACAAACACCACACCACAAACGGCCGACACAACACCACGCGCCGGGCCACCGACGACTGCAACAATTCTGCATATCCATCTCCAGACGAGTCGCTTTTTATCCTCGACTGTGCCTTGTCTCCCGACCGCTCACCGACTCTTTTTTTCCTCAAGTCCCAACCCCGGTTCTTTGTTCTCCCGATCGTACCCGAAGCCCCAGACCCAGACTTGCCTCTCGATAATCCATCTTCAATCTCGAATCACCGACCGAACGCATTTTTCCCACACAACCCCGTCTGAAAGCGCCCGCCGTACGACGACAGTCTCGTCTGCCGTCGAAGACCCGACCCGACTCACCATAACCACCGCCGAAACAGCCGACCACCGAAACCTCCTGTCCAGACTGCTGCCCGAGCAAGCACAATGGATCCGCCCGATCCCCTGCCCCTCCGCATCACCAGGAGCGCCTCCTCCTCCTCGTCTCTCCACTTCAAGTCGCGCGACCGAAAACTACACTTGCTGGTCGCTGCTACCGGACCCCGCGACATATCATGGGCTCAGGCTCTCGTCGTGCGGCTCTCCAAGAGTTCCGCCATCGAAATGCGCGCCATCGTCGACGATGCTGTCCCGAGACTTAGCCAGACCGTCACAACGCTGCAAAACCGATCCATGAGCCCTCCCCTGCCACCCGCGCGCGCCGTCGACGCCGACGTCGAGGATATCGAGTTTTACCGCCAGCAGGCCTTCGAACTCGTCGAGTGGGCTGATCTTATGGTCCTGGCTCCCATCGATGCCGACAACATTGCCAAGATGTTGGCCGGCATTGCAGATACCTTTCTCCTCGAGGTTCTGAGAGGCTGGGACACCACAAAGAAGATTTTGCTGGTGCCAGGCATGAGCACGCACATGCTGGCAAACCCCGTCACAAAACGCCAGCTCAACAAGATCAACAGCAAATGGACCTGGATACGCGCCATGACCCCGATTCTGTGGCACTACGACGGCTCGTCAAAGAACCCAAAGCGTATCGTCAACTGGAATGGCTTCAACGATGTATTGTTCTTTATCAAGAACCAGGCCGATCTCCTTGGCCTCGGTCGTGATGTCGACGTTGTCACCCACCTCGGCTACCTCGCCTCTGGTGACCCACGAGTCTATTCGAATTTGCCGCCCGAGATCTGGACCATCATCCTCGATTACGCCGGCGACTGGGAGCTTGCACAGGCCTTAGGCATCTTCACCAACCTTCCTATGCCTCATCCATGGACACTACAGCCCAAGGATCCCCGCGACTCGATAAAGGTCTACGAGCATGAGCTGGAATGGCTTGTTCTGACCTGCGACACCACTGCCATCTGCAAAAAGTTGCTGCAATCGCCACCGAGTCTGCATGACCTGCCCGCGCTCGTCGTCGGGCTTCTCATCAAATTCTCCCTCATCGACGTCCTCAAGTGGATGGAAGCGAACCGACCCGACCTTTTCAAGCATGCATTTGACGGCAAGGTTCTCCCCACGAAAGCATCAGCCTACTTTGGTCGACCCGACGTTCTGGACTACTGGAAAGAGAGCAAATATTTCCGTGGCAAGCATCAACAGTGCTATGATGCCGAGGCTGTAGACGGGGCTTCCAAGAACGGCTTCATTCAGGTTCTGGACTGGTGGTGGCGCCACTCCGGACTGCCCTTGCGTTTCACCGAAGCAGCCTTGGAACAAGCCAGCGGCAAGGGTCATCTCCTAGTCCTTGAATGGTGGCGAGATGCGGCTGTCCAGGACGAGCGAATCGTCCTCCGGCCAGGCAAGTCTCTCCTATGGGCGGCGCAACATGGGCAGATTGATGTCATTCGCTGGTGGATGGCCTCTGGTATTCCTGTCGCCCAGGGTGATAGCGTCGCGAAGGTGGCCTCGCGATGGGGCCAGGTCGACGTCCTGGAGCTGTGGAGGAAGCTCAAGGGAGATGACAAAATCGCATTTGACCACGAAGTCCTCGTCCAACCAACCATTCATCAGCATATCGGAGTTCTCGAGTGGTGGCGCAAGTTTGCATACGGAGAGTTGGACGGCATGGACGGACGAAAACACCGCGTCGAATACCGCACATGCGACATCGAAGAAGCGTTGGAGGACAGCATCGGCGACCAAGAGCCGGTGCGCAGGTGGTGGGCGAGTAACGGGCTCAATCTCGGCCTTCGTAACGTTGAATGGATGCGGGCCAGGTGTTTGTAGGATTGTTCCTGTTTTGGGTCACATTTACAGGCGCAAGGGGGCATTGCTTTTGGTGGCACATTGCACGGCGCCCTTTGCATTGAAGCTGGTACACAAAAAAGTTTGGCGTTCCGGACGAATGGCTGGATATCTCGGCGTTGGCGGCGTGCGTGATGTGCGTGAGGATACTATTACATTCGTATCATAGATTGATTGGTCATTTATCGAATCATGTCAAATCGGTTTTACAAACTCCAAGAGCCTTCTGTCTTCCACCCACGCTCACTCAACTTACATCACCAGCGGCGCGGCTGCTAACAATCCAGCAAACAGTATCGCACCGTCGAGGCGCATCCCAGCCGCTGCACCGGTCCCCGCGTCTCCAGTACTTGTCGTCGCCGGCGGGGTATCATCCAACCCAGTCACGCTGGTTGTCGCGGTGGTGACAGGCGTTGAAGTCGCGGTAGGCACATCATCGTCGCTCGTCGTCCTCGTAGTAGGCGAACTCTCGGTTCTGCTGGTCGTCGCCCCGCCGATACGAGATGTCGGAAGCAGCGCCGTCGGGAGCAGCGCAGTAGAGGTGAACTCCTCGTCACCCATGACCGGATTCCTGCACTTCTTCGCTTCCGCGCAGGTCTGACCGGTGAAGCAGTAGTACGACTGACAGCACACCTGGCCCTCCGGCATGCAGCCCGTCCCGCACTCTGTCTGTCCCGTCCCGCAATCCCCGGCACCTCCTCCTCCACCCCCACCACCACTTCCACCCCCACCACCACTTCCACCACCTCCGGATCCCTTGCTGCACTTCTTGTCACCGACGCATGTATCCCCAGCATCGCAGTAATAACTCCCACAACAGACCAACCCGCTCGGCATACACCCGCTTCCGCACCTCGTCTTCCCCGCATCACAAGCCGTCCCTCTCACCCCGTCACTCGCCTTCGCACACTTCCCATCCGCCGTACACGTCTCCCCGGGATTACAGTACCCCCCGTCGGAACAACACACCGCGCCGGAGGGGATGCAGAACCCGTTACACAGCGTCTTGCCCTCGGAGCACAGCCCCGTCGCGGGGCCCGAACACGTCCTGCCGAGCTGGCAGCAGCCGCCGGCGACGCAGTACCTGCCGTCCTCGCAGTAGCCGCCCGTGCCGGTGGCGCAGCAGGAGCCGAGGGCGGGGATGCATTTTCCGTCGCAGGGTTTCTCGGTTGTGGTGCAGGTCGCGGTGGCGGCGCCGAGGGTGATGGCGCTGGAGCCGGGGCCGGAGCCGGAGCCCGGGAGGATGAAGGGGTTTGCGGGGGATTGGTGGGCGGAGAGGGCGCCGTTTTGGGGGAGGGGGTTGGTGGTTACGGCGGCGGCGGTGGTGGTTAGAGAGATGAGTGTTGGGAGGAGGTGTTTGAGGCGCATCGTGACCGGTTGGATCCTCGAGAATCGAGGATGAGAGAGGTAGAGGAGGGACAGGAGGGAAAGCCGCTTGGCTTGGGGTTGCTGCTTAGTATATGTAGACCTATCAACCGAAGATTTCTCGGGTAGGGAATAAAGGCATTTCGTCGATGCAGTGGAATCGATTGTTCACACGCCTTGAATGTGAAAACGAGCCTTTGATGGCGATAACCCCTTGCTTCCGCTTCGTTTTGGGAGGGCCGTGAGGAAATGAATTTGGTAGTACCGAGATCCTCGACGCCAGCGACGCCATCTGGCTCGAGTTCTGGTGCTTTTTCTTCTTGGCTATCAAAGACACCCCTCATAAGTCTCTCGGGTGCAGGGCCATTTTGTTTGCCACCGTTTGCTTTCTGGAAGGTGAGATTGGGCATCTGGTTTGCTGATGGGCAGCGCAGCGCGGATCCGGGGGAAAGCTCTCCGCGTGTGGGGTTTGGGATCTCGGGGCGGATTGCCGGGCTGGCTTCCGCGGTCTTATCCGCTGAAGATTGATGTCATCGCAGCACGTCCTGTGATATTCTCAGTTGAACTTTTTCCGAGTTCATCTTTTGACGTGAATTCGCCTGCCGGGGAATGTCGTCTGTCATTGAATTGTCCTAACAGAGGCATGCTCATCACTTCAGCTCATTTCTTTATGCTTGGACGATCAGCAATGACAATCCAGGTTTCTTAGGTAGTGGTCGAGGTGAGATCTACTTTAATGGCATGACGCTTGAACACTGTCTATCTTGTACAAGTTACTTATTTTAGCTAGCCTATGCGTAACGATACGATTGGATTCTGATAGCATTCAATCGCGATGAGCGTATGTCAGTGAGTTCGGCGTCCGTAATATGTCTTGGGTTGATTGAGAGTCAGGTTGTTCTCGCCCTAATGAGATCTGGAAGATCTGGAGAGATGTTTCATGTTTCGAAAAGACACCAGATAGTTTCTGCCATCGTTTAGAGGAGAGAATGGTATGACTAAATGTTTTTCGTAGAATGCTGATCCGATTCAGTGAGAAGTTTACCTCATGGATGAGTAGTAGGAAATGAGTTGAGTCGGAGGCAGTGAGAGTGAGATGAGAGTGTCCCACTTTTGCACTCAATCTGCCCCACCAAAACACTTCACAGTGTTTTTTCAGTGCAAGTTAGGACGAAGGATGAAGACGCAAAAAGCAACGCTCTATCACGAGAAAACTCAGCACAAGAAACTGCAAAAGTATATCGACGTTGGCCTGATTCGAACAGACGCTCCCGAAGGAACAAGATTTCTAGTCTTGCGCATTAGACCACTCTGCCACAACGCCGAAGAATGGAAGCCCGCTTTGAGGCGGGGATGAAGAGATTGAGCGGTCTGCTAGCTCATGAGCCCGTGGTTTGGTCCCTGTCCATGTCAACCTGCACTCCACTTGCTTCTCACACTTCTCACCATTTCCCCATGGACTGAAACATCATTCCCTTGAGATGTCAACCGCTTTTTGGTGTAAGACAAGTAAGTAGTCCGAACGAGTGGGAAGAAATTACCCTGGGTTTCGTCAGTGAGGCCTCACCGTATTCAATAGCGAATCAAGACAACTGAGAACAGTATTCGCGGACAGCAATGTCATTGCTAAACGTTGAATTTCCTTGGCCGCAGGATAGCCCCCTAAAAACGAGTCCGACTTATCCGATAGCTCACGCCAGGATTGTCAAAAGACTCAAAGACGTTTAAACAGAACCAGAAGCGAGGTCAATGGAGGATTGAAGTCCTTTTACCCCTGCGCTGATCAGACGAACGGGGTAGCCCAGCTTCAGCGAGGGGAAGTCCAGCCGACGGGGCTCTGTTGGGGTCCGAATTCTGAGCCACGAACCCCCTGTTCCTCCTAACTCCTGGCAGCCGGCTACATCACCAACGGCAGTGAATGAGATGACATGAGACCCTGTGTCATTGGACAGCCCTAAACGTCAAGACCCTCACGTCAAACACCGTTGCTTTATTTTTATCTTTATTCTTATTCCCTCTCCGCCTTCGATCCCGTGTCAACCCCGAGCTGTTCTCAGCGCCCCTACGTTCGAGTTGGCTATTCTTAGTTTCTCGCAACCGCGGAGATGTTGGATTAGTTTAATTCCCCGCCGTTTTGGATGAGCAGTGGAACGTTAGCGAGGTTTCCACCGCCGAAAAAAGTAAGAGGGCACGCGAGCAACGAGTTCGACTGAGATGTCGTTCTCAACGAACCAGGAAGTAAGGTAGGCACGAAGGGGTTCAGGGTTTCTCGGGTATGAGTTCTCATCACAGTTGCTTTGGTGACTGCCCCCAACGCCAAGAATCAATCAGAAAAAAGACACAAGTCGACGCGATTCCGAAGGCTTGGCAAACAGATCAATGTCAACTCCTCTCAGGCTGGGCAGTTCCAGTCGACAACAGCGGCGATCTTGGCGGGGATTTCACGTGGGAAGCACGGAGATGGGAGATGGGGGCCATTAACAACAGGAAATAATGACTTAAGCGGATGCAACGTTGGACATTTGAATGAGCAGACTAAAGTTCCCGTGTCTGGAGTCTCAACCAATGTGGATGTCGTGGTTGACGGGTTGTCCTGGACTTGACCTCAGCTGTCCTGGGGCTTTACGATCTGCTTCAGAACCACTTCTTACGACCTTGTTAGTCAAGTCAAGCTTACAATAGCATTTTTACTTGTCATTCCTCAAATCGTACTGAGGCTATTCGCGAACTTTTACCTCATGAAACGGTAACGGATCAGGGATGGCTTCGTCTCATTGGTTGGACGTTGCCCTTGATGCGCGACCAGGTCCTACCCGGGGCAATTCGAAACGACTCAGCTGCCAGGCACCTTGACACCAACCGCATCGCCAAAACCTGCCACACCACTTTTTGACGTTTATTAATAGCAGGCAAGTAAATCCCCCGGATCTGCTCGCCTAACCAGGCCTTGAAAGATCGTATGGGTTCGGTTGGAGTTTTCATTATCTGATCATGTTTGGGTGGCTGCTAATCTTGGCTAAAACATGGCATCACCAAGTCATCCTTTGGGCGATAGTGAGACGAAGCTGTCACATCATGATGGCTTCTTGGCTTGGAGTTGAGATGAGGGGTAAGTCGACTCAAAAGAAGTCAAGACTTTTGTTTAATAAAAGGCAATAAAAATCCCGCCGGTTCCTGTTTCTTTTAGAGTCTTCAGCCCTTCAGTGCCTTCATCCTCGCATCGTCAGATTCGTTTCGTTCGAGCGCGGGCCGCCAAGTTTACTGTTGTAATCACTCAATTTTGAACTGGCTCTTTCTGCCACGCACAACATGGCTTCTACGAGCCGTTCTCCATACTTCCGACTTCTCACCTCCAACGTCTTCATCTTTGGTCTCTTTCTCTTCTCCATCATCACTATCGCCTTCGCGGATGATGATGCCACTTCAACCCCCGCTCAACAGAGCGCTCCCTTTGTGGACCAAGCTACGGGTCTGAACATGGAGCGTTTCTTCGGTGCCAGAACCTCGTTCGCATTCGGCATGACACTCCCTGATCAAGCCAGTGCCGGGGCAGCCGGGTCTTTCATCGGCCAACTTTCCTTTCCGCTCGTCAACGGCGCAGGATGGGGCGCCATGGGCCTGACAGGTGATATGGAAGGCAACTTCATCCTCGCAGTATGGCCCGATGGCGCGGGTGGCGTGATGGCATCGTTCAGACAGGCTACAAACGAAGATAACCCGCCTGAGGTGAAGGGCAACTTCGCAGTCCGACCCATTGCCGAAGGGGTCTCCGTCAACGCCACTTCTCTCATGTACACCTTTCTCTGCGAAAACTGCCTCGACGCGACGCTTGGTTTGGGTCCTGAGGCTACGAATGCCAATGCGGTTATGGGATGGGCTTTGTCAGAGAAGGCTGTTAGGAATCCAGGGAACCCTGGGGCGAATCTCGGGTTTCATGAACGAGGATTCGGTCCGTTCACTGCGCGGCTGGGGAACGCCAAGTCTGCGCAGTTTGCGGCGGTTGCGGCTACTGCTGGGCAGCCGGTGGCCGGGTCGAGTCGGGCGGTCGCTGCAACACCGAATGCGTTCAGAGATGGAGGTGACGACGATGATGACAAGAAGAAGGGTGGGCAAAGCGGAGGAGGAAAGAAGGATGATGATGATGATGACGACGACTAGATGGTTGCGTCTTAACATGGTTTGCCAATGATACCTCTAGGAATCTTAATCCTACATTATTGTTCGTCAAGGCGTTGAAACTGTGATGAAGGCGGCAAGCTACCATCGCCGTGCTCATCCCGGGGTTTCTCTTCTCAATTCAGCACATTATCCTTCCTTTCTTCTTATTATTTACAGTGCTCGTACTATCCGTGCTACCTACCAACATGGCAAGTAGCATGCTCACCGAATTCTTCGGCCACCTTAATGGTATGAGAATTTTACTTGGTAGTCCAACCTAACTCCCTAGTATTTCGGGAGAAGCTGGACCACAGTACAACCGTAAAGAGGCCTCTGACCCTGTCTGAAGAAGGCCAACTGCAGGCCACCGTCCTCTTTGCACGCCATAAATCCACCGTTCGAGCCGGTTTCCTTTGGATAATCCAGTCCCTTTTCCGTCACCAAAACCCCCGGAGTACCGGGCGCGCACTTCAGTTTGATCGGTCTACCATCCGGTACTGTAGACGTACCTCCAGGGATGATGATCAAGCTTGCGGAAGGAGAGGATTCGTCACTGAAGTGGGTGACGCCAACAGTGTCGCCGTCGCTGCGGAAGACCGATCCTTGACCCGCAGGGACGAGGGTCACGTCAGCCTGACAGTCGGCGTTTGGGTTGTAGCTGAGCTCATAGCCCTGGACGTTCGGGCCAAAGTCTGGCGGGAGATCAGGGTAGGTCGTGTTTGCCCACAAGCGGAAGCTGTCAGCAGCGTCTCTTTTCATGGGAATGTTGGCCGCCGACGCTGTGGCGGCGAGAATAGTGGCTTTGATGAGAGTTTGTATAATCATTTCGAAAGTGCGGACAGTGGGAGAGGTAAGAGACAGTAAACCTGGAGCTTAGAGTTAAGTGGTTGCCTCTTTTTTGAAACCTGTGGATGCGCTGGTTTAGAAACGCTAGCAGGTTGGCCGGATTACTGTCCTTCTTATATACTGGATTTGCTTACACCCAGCGAATCGCAACATGGCGTTCATTCATGCGTCGATCCTAACCTATTCTATTACCTTCGATAAAAGCCGTATACGACATCCAATACTTCCCGCCCGCCGTTCCCCTATTGCCGGCCTCCCGGCTATCTGATCAAAGTACAAGACACCAATAGCAGTCCTCAAATTCAATGTCTCCGGTTGGGGCTGAGTGCTCGCGCTCCAACTGGGCGGGCCGTTCTCAACCTCGGATCCTTCAGGCTAGATCTTACATACATATGTGGGCATAAGCCTGCATGCCACGTAAAACAATTATTTCCATTCGATTAAGAGTGCTATTTGCGGCTGACCTTTGCAGCTTGGCACTACTAGTGCTGAGGGGCCGCGAATACTGAGGTCATGCTCCAAGAAGCAATTCTCATGGCGTGCGACCTGAGGCTTTCTCTGATCGGTAACATAGCACCTCTTACTAAATCTAAAAGAACCATTTATTGTCTATCTCTAATGCTGAAATCCTATTTATTTTGCTCATTTTCATGCCTTGGGATTGGCATTACATCTAAGCTCAGATTTCGATTGTGGTTTCTACGTACCACACGTGCGTGTAGTAATTTTGCTTTGCATTGTGGCCTCGTCGTATATCTGCAGGAGATGACCAGGCTGCTTCGTTTTTGAAGAGAAGCAGGTGATACGTTGGGCACAGCCTCATGCAAGGACATAAAGGTCAACGGTGAGAGCTTACGTATCCTGTTCTCTTATCTGACCCAACTCTACCCATTCGCTCGCAGTGTTACACTAACAGCGGCGCAGAGATTATATTTTCCTACTTCTTTGGTCTCACAGCGGCGCAATTTAAAAAAACTGAAATATTTAGCAGCGAAGCTCGCAGCCTTCCTTGATGACAGCGGGTTTTCTAGAGAAGGAGAAGATAATGGCAACCATGCTCGTGACATGTTTTCTGTCGGACCCCTGGCCACGGAATAGTTGCTATCAAACTTGCGATACTGTTCTGTTCCTTGAAGTAGAACGTCAAGTCGATCCTCTTATATAGCAAGCCACGTCTTGGAACCGTTGGCTGGACCATACATGGGGCTTGCAGCGCGATCCACGTTCTGCAAATCTTCCACCCGAACCTCAACTTCAACTTTCTTATGAATCCCATTCGTCTCGCTGTCCAGAGTATTCATCTCTAGCTCTTTGGTGTCCTTTGATGCAAAAGCCCGTTCGCTGTGACTGTCGGTATCATCTATGCCACTCCCGTTACGCATGTAACCTTCATGTTGATTCCGGGACACCCCTGACCAGGCACCTGACTTGGACCGCATACCACCGCCGCTTTTTGATCTTCCATCGTTCCCATAGCTTTGGAGCTTGCTCCGGAACCCCAGCTTGAAAGAAACAATGCGCACCAGCGGCTGCAGGGCCGGGAAAGAAGCGACCCAGAGGCCGACATGCCCCTCTAGATCGGTCCAGACACCAATCGTCGACATGTTGAAAGTCCTGATCGTTAATTGTCATCCATTGGCTCTGTGACTGGCTAGTAGGGTTACTCACGGGTCGGCCAAGAAGAGAAGTGTCTTCAGCATATATAGACGGATACAGCCAGTCACAATGACGAAGATCCCTACACTGAACACAAGAATGATCTGGAATGCTCTTTCCACAAAGAACATCTTTGTATAGACAACCCATATAGGGAGTCCCATCAGAGCGAGGTCAAGGACGAGGCCGATGACTTGATGAGCTATCATCATATTATTTTCGGATTCCGGTGGAACGCAGTTCAGACCGGGATAGAAAGGTGGTTTCCATATGTCGCTTTCATAAGAAAAAGAATTAGTAATGGATAGAAGGCATGGACTGTTCTTCATCGACTTACGCAACCGGACTACATTCCGTAAGCCTGTATATAAAGCACCCTGCGGTCTGTGCGATGACGAGCAATCCTGTGATGTAGACAAGAATGATGTAGATTCCTGCACAATCAGTTTTAGCGACAGCCGTCACGAGAAAAAGGTAGGAACATGTCGTCTCACTGTCTTGACTCAAACGAGGAAGAAAGGCAACGATTGACAATCTCATGAGTCCAGTTCCGATGAAATAGATCAAGGTTTGTGTCACGAGAGACTTTGAAGAACGCAAGGTTGTCAGTTTGTTTGGCCGAAAGCTTCCTCTCCACACTTACCTCAAACCATATCGCCAGAGATTCTTTGGGGACGTAATCAACGTGTGCACCGCTTCCATATTGCACCACTATGACTTGGTCAATACGAAGCCCGGAGATAGATCTAGTAAGACTCACGTCGAATATCCATGGCAGAAAGTGTGACGACCAACCCCTGGCGACAACAATGTCAGAAAGTAGCGACATGACAATGGAGTTTGACGTTCGGATTTGCTCACAAATGCGAGAAATGCAATGAGATCGTCCCAACCCAAGGCTTTGGACATAAAAGCTCGAACGTATAGCCTTGTCCATACAACAACCGTGATACAAACGATGAGGGCGGTGTTGAGATGCAGCGTCTTGTGGCCGGCATAGCCCGGGGACTCGGTGAAATGGATCTTTCCCGCCATATCATCTGCCATGGTGCGGGCAAAGGTCCCAGGATCGAGATAAAAGAGTCAGCTAGAAGTGAGAAGAGGAGAGGAAACGCGAGAATATCAGAAATTGGGTGTGGGAGACGTAACGCAGGCACTGCGAAGTATGATAAAGCAAGTTAATGACGGGAAAAATTGATCTGCTCGATGCTGTCAGTCGAAACCACGAAAACTGCGTTACATCAAACATCTCATCCTACCTAACTTGGAAAGATGCCCGGGCGGCGCATTCTTCCTAAGGTTTGAGCGGCAATACTCGAGGGAAGGAAAAGAACATCCTGGTCCTTCACAAGTTGGTTGGTGTTGGTAGGTGGTCAAGCCCCGGCTTGGACTTCGTTGGGTGGCTAGGGAGTACAAGTTGAAATCAGCCAAGTTCTGACGGTAACGCGGAAAATCTGTCATCGGCACTGTCATGGATCCTGGCAACCTGGCGAGGCAGTTCACAACATTTGATAGACCTGGCTTGAAGACATGGCTATGGGAATCGCAGAAGTCGTTGATGACCAGTCGTTGCTTTGGAAAACCTGTCGTACCTAAGATACGACATATTAGATACATGCCATTGGTGTCAGGAACGTTCTCTTTGCGAGCTTTTGTCATTCCTGGATTGCTGAATAACTGAAAGAAGGTCACAGAATGATGATTCACAATCACATTCGTTGGAAGGTGTTTTACGCAGTATCGGCGGTCGAGTCCGGGCCCCCCGAGCCCAGCCGGAGTTGGCGAGGAGCCTTGTAAGCGAAAGTTGTGTCTCCGCCCGCTTGAAGCGTGATGCTGTTGGTTCTCACTCTTGGCAGCACCGTAACCAACGGAAGCGAGGTGCACCGCGGATAACTCCCGGGAGAACCGAGACACAGGAATCATCGGAGATGAATATCCGGAAACCGTTGTGTTCCCCGATCCATGCCATAATTGTGACAGATTGCAACCATGTCATTCGCTGCTGTTTTCTATATCAACAAAAGCACATACGAGTCGACGCTAAGTGTTGGCAGCAGTCGCAACCTTTACCATAATGCGGAGGCTTCATCCTCTCGGCAGGGCTCCCTGTTGGTAATGGGAAATTTATGGATCCTCGTGATTGAGACCTAGCCTCCGAATCGAATAGCGAGACTGACCGAGGTCCCAAGTGTTGAATCCCAGGCGACAATAATGTCTCTGAGACTTAGCACATGTGGCACTCAATCCATATCTGGTAGTTATTCGCCAAAGTTCGGACAGCCCGGAATTTATCAAGCCACATGATCTAGTGACCACATCACGAAACATTCTTCTCAAAACTCGTCATATCTTCATGTTGTGACTAATACTGACTTTGTCGCATTTCAGCCACGATCGATCATTGAAGTTCTCTCCGCGATCATCCGTGCCACGCACGTCTTCCGCCAGATCTCACCTCTCCATCAACACTAAGGTTCCAGTGGAGCGGAGATCTCCTGGCGACAGGGTTCGTCCTTTTTTCAACGCCGCACACTAAGGCACGAATCCCAGCTTCCGGGTGCATCCGGTTTGTCCTCGGCGAAGAGGGCAAAAGCTCTGTCAGGAGACCCCGCGATCACACTATGGTGATTGGAAGGATAGCCAACGGACTGGCCTGGGTTCGCTCCGGTGTTGAGTTGCAGTGTTCGTCCAAGGCCAAGCTCATGTTCCCCTGAGCACACCAAGCGACTGGATATTCGTCAGGGAGTTATCAACAGAACCCCCGAGAGCAAGGGTCAACCTTTTTGATGACACCTAATATTTCCAGGGATCTCCACTCTTGCTTTGATCCAAGCATTCTTCTCCAATGTAGACCAACACGACGAAGGATTGTTTGCTTCATCCATGTCAGTGAATATGCACTGCAACCATCATGGACATCAACGCGAGTGGGATCCTCAATTGAGTAAAAGGTCCGTTTCTAGACTCTCTGCAAAAGTGGTAACGTGTGCTGATAGTGAGAATCCTAGTTCTCAAATGTGCCACTTGGCTCGATTTCATTATCCGCCTGTGAGTGTGTTTGAAGTGCGGGATGTATATTATCCAAAGAAGTTCGGTCACGATGAATGATAAGTGTTACCTCTCACTTCAACACATCCGCTGATCGTTTGGGAGGCTCTTCCATGAAGCCGAGGGTGCAGTCTGCTGTAAAGTCTGAGAATCAATCTTGCTCCTGGGTTTCTACTCTCCTTGGCCATGAAGACTCCCACCCATCTCCTCTCTGCGGCCCTTGCCATCGCGAATCTCAGAGGTTCTGCAGCAGCACCTTCCAACAACTCCCAGCCAACCTCTTGTCATGGGCCGCTGGTCAGACATGAGTGGCGGCAGCTATCCCTGGAGCAAAGATTGGAGTACATTGGTGCTGTCAAGTGCCTAATGTCACTGCCTTCTGAGAACAATGAGCTGTGGCCTGGTGCGAAGTCCCGTTATGATGACTTCCAAGGCCTACATATCTATGTCACGGAGAAGGTTCACTTCAACGTAAGCCAACCCTGATATTCAGTTACCAGTTCTTCTTTCTAACACATGGAGTAAGGGTCCATTCCTCCCGTCAGTTCTCAGCCTCTCATTACTCGCCTGAGCCCTCAACTGACAAGCTTTAGTTGGCATCGATGGCTGCTTTACCTCTTCGAGACCGAATTGCGAGACAAGTGCTCTTACCAGGGCAGCTTGCCATACTGGGATATCAGCCTTGACAACACCGAAGAAACTTTCGTGCGTTCGCCGGTCTTTGACAATGTGTACGGTTTGGGTGGAAACGGGCCATACATCGAAGACCTCAGTGACGAAGAGGAATTTCCGACTAAGACGCCTACCGAGATCCCGAATAGAACTGGTGGAGGTTCGTGAAACACTTCGCGCGAGTCACGACACACATGGCTGACGTGTTTCCAGGATGTGTTGAGCAGGGCCCATTCGCGAACCTGACTGTCCCCATGGGTCTTGGTATGCCGCAACTCACGGTTCACTTGAGGATCATGTTTACTGATCGCCGCAGGTGCCTCCGTCGAATACCAACCCCACTGCCTCCGCCGCGATTTTAGCCCAACTTTGGTCGCAGGCGCATTGTCCGACGAGGTCATCGAGCGTACTCTGTCTGCAGAAACGTATGACGAGTTTAACCATCACGTCCAGGGTTACAGTTTCGAAGTCAGTGGTCTAACCCTCCATGCGGGGATGCACTTGGGCATTGGTGGCCAAGTTGGGGAGGCGAGTAGCACCATATTCGCATCTGTATAATCTCACAGTACTTACCTACTGGATAGAACGCTGATATGTACTCCTCTCCGGGTGACCCGATATTCTACTTCATCCACACTGCCCTGGACAAGATATGGAACGACTGGCAACGTAAAGGTGAGCCTTTTTTGGTCTATGACACTGTCCCTCTCCAAAGTATCTCCTTCTATCCTATGTCCTCGATTTGAGTTCTATATCAAGGGAGACATGACAGCGTCTTACTCGGAAGCCTGCCGACTAACACCGCTTCGCGCGTAGACTGGCCTGCGCGCAAAACTGCCATCGGTGGTCCAGACGCCATGTTCGCGTACCCGTTCAACTTTTTCGGGGACGTCCCCTATGAAAATATCACCCTCCAGTTCCCGCTGAGCTTCCCCATGTTTGGCAGGGACATGCTTGTCAGCGAGATGATGGACATCAGGGGTGGTCCTTTCTGCTACGACTATCAGTAACCTTATTCGTGAGCCGCACAAAGCAGGGCCTGGTCTAAGTTTTGAGATTCTCAGGTCGACCGTTGCGAATCAGAGATGGGACAAAAGAACGGGTTTGTCAATAAGAATCTTAGTTGATAATCATAATCCTTCATCATCAGTAATCACGAGGGCAGGACGCATCGTACTTGAGCTGGAGGAGAATGTCGGGGAGTAACACTAATCAGATTTCAGATAGACTTTTGTGACAAAGGTCAATACCAGCCACCATGTCAGTATCACCGGATAAAGTTCCGCGGTCCAGTCAGAAAACGGTTTTATCGCCGAAGGCTGCGACTCGTTTCGCCGAAGACGGAAACCCCAATTGATACTCTATGGACGACAAAGGCGGCTTCGCGAGGCCAAGACGATGAATACTGGGGAGGCTGAGACATGTCGTAGGCTTACGGGCGTTGTCTGAGTAGCATCCGTTATCCCGAGTCGTTCGTTCTTCGTGACTAGGATCCTGGATGATGGCTATTCTCTTTGTGGCTTCTAAGATTCGTATCGTGGAATAAACTCGAATTTCATGGTGGTATCAATAAACTACAAACGACTAACAAGGTGATCCTGGGACTCTTGGTCCCCAGTCACCCTTCTAAACCGCTCTGACATAAACATCTTCTCTGCCGGCTTCCTCGGACTCGTGTCCGCCTCGACTTTTGTTGCTCTCGACAACGGGGACTCGTTGTATAACTCCGACCACCGCACAGGACCGGCATCCTGGCCGGGAGATTTCGTGGATTTTGTTGGGGTGATGTTGCAGAGCTCGGCGGGCGACTCTTCGTCGCCACTAAACCTTCTGATCTCGGAGGTGATTTCGATTTCTTTGGTGATGAAGATACTGCCTAGGCTCAGCTGAAGAGCTGGCCAGAAAACAGGCAACGAGGCGCAGATAGTCGCCAGGTTGACTTCGACTGCCGCAAGAACAATCGGTACGCATCCGTACCATGACGGGTCTAATGTCGGGTATGTGCCGGCTCTAGAATGCGTGATGCCAATCAAACGGAAAATTCCAAGAATGTTTACACTTGAAGATGTATTAGCACAGTTTTCACAGTTTCTGTATCGACCAAAAACTTACAGAACACCCATGGTGATAAGACCAAGTAAACCCAGCCGTGACTTGGCCCTCAGACCACGCTCCATAAACAGCTTGATGGGTATTACGAACACAATGAGATCCAGCGCCACGTTAATCCCGACGTGACTCTCAAAGGTGCGTGCAAAAATGACAGGATCGTGAGAGCCGAAACCCCATCGATCGTTTGTCACCGCGGTCAGGTTCCAGAAGGCCGAGATGGGGAAACACGGGACGAAGGCCAGGAAGGTGTATGCGAGGCCCCACAAGGCGGTGATGTAGATGACGACGATGGTGATGAATCGGGATTTGCTGCCTTTTTCGAACATTCGAAGGTATTGAAAAAGCAAAGCCAGCTTGATCAATGCTGTGGCCATTGGGTATGCACCGTTGCAGACATAAAAGCTCTGTGATATCTCTTGTCAGCACTGGCGAGATGTTGCGCCGCAGATGTGGTTGCCATACCCTAACAAAAGCTTGCATACCACCAAGACCGAGTGGTAGGAAGTGCTGGCCGAGGCCGTAGTTCGTAGCTACACATGTTCCCACAGACAGCAGCGTGCTGGAAAACTGATATTGATGTTAGTTATGTCAACTCAGCCACGCGCCATGTGAACAAGAAGTCGGCTTACCAGTACAAGCACAACGAAAAGGTCATCCCATCCCGGACAACGGGCAATGAAGAACCGTACGTAGAGTCGAAAGATGCCGCAGATCCAGGAAAAGATCAGAAAAGATATGACCATACCAAGGACTGCCGGTCGCTCGTTCAAAACTGGTTTGGGATCGCTCAGGTTGTCGGCCTTGCCGAGCAGATCAAGAATGGATTCGCCCATTGGCAGTATCGGTTTTGGCCTCCTTCGTCGTTCGCATACTCAAATCCCTCCGTCCCTCTTCGCCGCGAGGATGAACGAGCTACCCAAGTGAGTGGGATGTCGTCTGCAACTGCGTTTGGTTGAATTTGGCGCGGGTCTCAACCCAAAAGAGTTGACGGCTGTCAGACAGACCACAATACACACGTAGAGGCAGAAGTGAAGAGAAGGAGGGGGGAGGGCAGGGAATGATAAATGTTCCGCCTCAGTCAGTCTCACCCACCGGCCTCTCGAGATGAACCCGACCAGGGGGTTAGAGTAGCTCGAGAAGGTAGCGCACGCCACACCTTGCAGGTTGGTTCGACCTTCTTTTCTTTTTGTTAGCCGTCAGCATCGGGCCCCTGCACACGTGGGATTGCCGTTCCGGAAGCGGTTGGGATAAACATGATTAGCTTACTTTTGCTTCCTGGCGAACACTTGTTTCACTTGATACAATCTGCACTGGCATTCTGGCAGTTTTGGGAGGTTGAGGGGGAACAAAGGCGGGCATGATCTGCCCATGACATTGACACGGCAAGTGGGCATAACTTTCTGTGACGACCACAGTACAGCTTGCCACAGCACTTGTACAAGGTTATTCAAGAAGAAGTTTATCCTGCGCTCCTTTCATTTCCCGTTACAACACGATCAGATGATTCAGATTAGGGTCAAGAGCATCGGCTGAGGAGTTCCCCAACTTTTGCTAGCGATGGAGACAAGAAATGGCCCACAAGCCGATCAGCCGATCTGATGGATATGGGTACGATTCATCTCAAATGAAAGGCCAAAAAATTAGCAAACCGGTGCGGGCTGTAAGGTGAATTCACGAAAATGTTCCTTTTCCTTGCCCCGTTTCTTCCTTTCCTTCGGTTCTCATTCCATTCCTTCTTCCGCAGCATTCTGGAGACCGCCGGGCCAGAGCGTGCAGTGTGCAGGAATGCAAAAACACGTGTACCAGAACGCGAGGAACGAAGCACTCGGAGCCGTCCTCGGCAAACATCGTCTCATCACAACTCACAGGGGCCGTGCTCGGGTGATTCCTTGGCCTCATCTTGGAAACACAAAAACATTGCAACACAACCCCAACAATGGCTTAGTGACCTCGGGGACATCGCCTTGCAGACCGTCCTTCCTTTCCTGGAACGTTGGGGCAGAAACGAAGAAGCATCGATGGGACGAACGAATGCACACTTTGTCACTTGCAGCAGACAACACCAATGACTTGACACATCTTAGCTGTGTTCGTGCAGCCGGCTCCCCTGCATACAGCATCCCTCAAACGAGGGGCATTGGCGAATCACTGCGGGGGTATTTGGCGTGGAGGGTTCGCTCGGACAGCCGCGGCGTCGGACCGGCCGGGGGCCAAGAACAGTCCGGGGTCTCCCTAGGTGTCGCTCCGTCAAGATCTACGATTCTAAGCCAAGTGGGACTGTGACGACAGCTTCTCCCCGTCTTCAGTCGCATCCGGAAGACGTGCCTCTTTATCTTCCTATCCCCCTGCCGGCTTTCCTTTCATCCTCACAGTGGTCTTCGGGCTTGACGGCACAAGAAGCAGTCTGAGTGAGACACGATGAGGGGACCCGAAATGATCGACGCCGCTTGGAAGATCTGGCCACTGCTTTGGGCGCCGGAAGAAGAAATCTGTGTCAGGCTGATACTGAGCGGTTCTGAATATATCAAATCCAATCCGAGTTGCTCAGGACTGTTGCTACGATTCAAGTCGGCTGAACTTGGAGTACCGTCTTGGATGATCAATGTAGTAGATTATTGGCCGTGTTTCCTGAGTGCGGTCGCGTGGCTAAGGGCTAATTAGCCCAAATCATACGCGATCTTGCCGGGCCAACACCAAGCGCACTGCAACGCCGTTGAATCCAACAAGCACTATCCGTATTCCGACACGACCCAAGATATTGGTAACACGACCGAGTCAGAGTGCATACCATGAAACTACTCTCATGGTAAAAAATGAGACCATTTCTCAGGCATAAACTGATGGTGTATGGGTTCTTTGAAGCGCCTGGTAATGCGCCATGGCGCAGCAACTGGGCACGCCTCAAGCCTTTTGTGACGTCGCCGGCCGACGGTTACTCAGCATATGTATCATCGACCATTGAACCGAAGATCTCATGACGCTGCGAATCTTAGTTTGTCTGGCAGACGTTCGGAGATTTTCATCTTGAAGGTACAGATATTGTGTTGTGAAGTTCAAGAAGCCATCGCCATCGAACATATAGGGCGTTTACGGAACACCCAAGTATCAAGAATCTGCGTGGAAGCCTTCGGTAGGATGTTCCTGTTCGACCAGAACGTGAGGTTTCAATAGCGCCCTGTCAATGCTATTCCTCCCGAAAACCTAGTGCACAGCTGCCATTCGGCGGCATCCTTCAGATAACGAGGATACATAGCGCAAAGAATGATAATCGATGGGGTCAAAATGTCTCGTACGAGACTGAAGCCCAGCACTCCAAGCCATGTAGGCCAGTGCGTCGTCGCCGGCTTTCCTGCCACGCGATCCTAGACGCATCATGCCATTCTGACGACCCGCAAACCCCAGCCTCACCGGCATCTATAGCCTCGCCTTTGCCACATTTGTAGAACCGAGTGCTTTGTGGAGTTTCCTCCGGCGAGGAGGGCAGGCGGGCCAAAGCGCCAGCCGCATTCTGGATAGAATGCGGCCTGGCTCGGTTCCATGGCGTCGAGGCTGAGCGACGGCGGCTTATCGTCCACGTGAACTAGGTGCGGTTCCGGCGGTCCGCAAATCAAATTTATTAGACGCGAAATGTATATTCTCGGCCGCAAGGCTCTCGGAAGTTGGAATCGCGTCTCGATGCTGTGCGTCGACGTCCGGATCGAGGATCGGCTGGTGGAGGCCGTACTGTTGCGAGCCAGAAACCTGGGATTTCAACGCTGATGGCGCTCCTTTTCGTGTTAGACAAGATATTAAAGGGAGCTAATACCGGAAGAGATGTCCGCATACTTTCGGGGCTATTGTGTGTTTGATATGGACGGAGGAACGCGTCCTTTCAAGGGCAAGACAACCCGGCAGAGACGGCGAGGCGCATGTTGTGGAAGTTTTGCTGCCCGGAGGTCGCTATTGATGCATAACACGAAGGAAAAAAGACCGGATATCAAATATCGCTTCTCTGTCAATTCGAGACACACAAAGAGGTTGCTATTTGTCAACGTTTGGCAGAATGATAGGTGACGCGATGAAAATTGGCGGGCGAAAACGCGGAGAAGGATGGAGCGGCGGCAGTTTCTAAATGGATTACATAATACACGCCCATATCCTTTTCTCGGGTTCGGCCAGAGCTTGTACTCTTTATTTCTTTTCTCTTCCCCATCCATCGTACTACATTCATAACGATAAACCAACTCGAATTCAACGGCTTTAAGACACCGAGAATTGCTTAAGGCCATGTTTAGCTGCGGCAAACAACAGCCTGATATCATATCTTTGCAAAGTTCTGTCGTCGTATTCTTAGATTCCATCTTCGTATTATTCCTACTCTCGGCTCAACTACGCGTAGACAGTTCTTGATCGGCGACCACGTGTTTACTTCAATAACATTCCCCCTTCCACATGAGCTGTTGTGCCGGTGATAAAATGGTTCTTCATGAAGGACAAGTAAGTCTCAGCCAAGTCCTCCGGGTCTCCAACTCTGTCCAGGATGGAGGCGTTACGGAACATCTGCATCACCGCCTCTTGTTCTGCGCCGGAATTCTGCGTCACATAGTCCAGCAGCTCTGTTTGCACGGCTCCAGGCGAGACGAGGTTCACTCTCACGGGTTTGAGCTCGACTGCAAGACCCTTCGCCAGCGCATCCTTGGCACCTGACACGGTCGCCCGCACCGCATAACCGGGAACTGGCTTGTACGCGCCAACTCCGCCCGTCAACGTGAAAGACGAGGTGTGTTCCCGCTTCAAATACTTCTCCGCAACCTTGGCCAAGATGGCGGTGCCGATGAGACGAGTTTTGCTGAAGTCGTGTATGTTGTGCGGCGTGGCCTCCTGCAACAGGAGAGATCCAGAGAAGACCTCTCCAGCAGTCTCGACCACATGGTCGACAGAGTCCCTTCCGCCGTTGGTGACAAACTCAAAGAGCTCCGTGATGCTGGTTTCGCAGTCTTCGCTGTTGAGGTCGACCGTGTGACCGCGGATTCGGTCTGTGGCGTCGGGGTATGATGCTTTGAGTCTCTCGATCGTCTTGTTGACTTTGTCCTGGCTGCGACTAGCTACGACGACAAGGGCGCCGAACTCCACGCTAGCTTCCGCGACGGCGAAGCCAATGCCGGATGTCCCGCCGACTACGAGGACGGACTTGCCCTCGAGCTTGTTGATGTATTTGGGTGCCATTATGTTGATCTGATCGTGAGCCGATATACTTTCTTGACGTGGCTAACGTAGAGTTGAATAGTTCCGACCAGACTTTGGGGCTTTTATATCTACAAGACTCTGACAGCCCCCAGCTTGAGTGAGTCTGTCGTGAGGTAACGATCATGTCAGATGGTTCCCGCAACTCGCTTCTCGTGATATTGGATTGGGCTAAACTCCGTAAGTCCATCGAAACCCGCGAAGTTGACCCACTGTTACCGCGCTGTATACGGAGTGAATTTCGGTCACCCACTGACGGCCCCGGGCATCGCGAGTCGCGCCGGCTCCATCGTCATGGACTTTAGACGATAACTCCGGCAACTCCACCCAACAACACCAGCAACAAATAGGACATTACACCTGCAGAGTCTGGGCATCAAAAATTGGTGAGCCAATGATCACAGGTTAGTGATTCAGCCTCGTCATAGAGTTCTTGGGCGCATCCTAGACGAGATTCCCCATGAAGTCCTTCTCAAGAGGAATGATAAGTCCTGTCCAAGCCCACAAATGTGAAAAGAGACAAAAGACAACATCCATTTCGCACCAACAATGGATCCCCTTGTACATCAGCTACAGTCACGCCAAAGATGCGCCCAGCTTGAAACTCATCTGCGTATCTGAGAGTTGTCGTTCCAAGTCTCTCATGCCGAGAGATAGAGTTTACGTTTAGGAAGGGCTTCCGCCGATGGACCGTGGACGATAGCACCAGCGTTTTAAGGCCAGTTGTTTGTGCGGCAGTTAGTGAGAATTTGCTAGCGCAGATCGATGAAGGCTCAACTGTAGCTCTTCATGAAGCCGATGCACATCTTGGACGTGCGATACGGGATAAAGCCTTGGATCTGGGACTCCGTTGTCTGGATACGACGTCGTCCCCGAACGAAAGCTAAGCAACATACTTGCATCCAGCATCAACCCCTCGAATGATCCAGAATATGCTTCCTAGATAAACACAACTGTTCATCAACTTCGCTCCTAGGGACACGACTCGTGATCAATATCACCTGGTGTCGTGTCTTCCCGCCCATTGTCAGTATGTGAGGGGGAACAGCTTCTCAAATTTGAGTTTCGACTGGTCTATGGATGATCTACTAGCTGTCGGCTTAAATGTTTACTTGAGGCCTCCAATGCCTTGTTGCAACATCGAAGTGTCAGAGATAGCCGGAAGGCACTGGAAACGCTACGTTACTCAACTGTCGTTGAATTCTCCAACAACGCCGACATTACCATCGCTGTTCAACCATCCAACCCCATGAATGTCTTCAGAAACTACAAGACCTAGTTCTTGGTCGGTGCCAGTGGTCTCGGCCGGTCATTCTGCAGATTGATGGTCTCTGCCGGCGTCAGGTATCTCATTCCCACGACGAGGAACATACAAGGGCTGGAGGCATCATGGATCCACGAGCTCGAAACCATGGGCGCAACAGTGTGGCTTGTAGAAGACGATGTTGCCGATAGACCTGCCTTGGAAACCGTTCTCTTAAAGAGGTATCACACAGGGTGCCTTCTGTCCGTGGTGTTGCCAACGCAGCTATGGTCCTCTCTGACAAACCATTCGGCAATCTGACCGTCGATGGCTTTAAAGTGTTCAATAGGTCAAAGATACAGGGCGCAAAGAATCTCGATGAGCTGTTTCGAAACCACAACCTTGACTTGTTCATACTCTACTCGTCGCTTGCCGGTATCTTCGGCAACCGGGGCTGGGGGTCATGCTAATTACTCGAGCACAAACGCCTTCATGGTCACTGTGGCGTAACATCGCCGAGTGCGAGACCTGCCTTCCTCTGTTATGTACATCGGGTCGATAATCGGACTAAACATCATGATAAACTCCGAAGCCGCCAAATTCTTCCTGAAACAGGGCTTATTTATACCGGTCTCAGGAACAGACATCCACAACATATTTCTCCAGTCTATTCAAGTCGGACAACCCAATAGCAGACGCTCGTCAGAGCTAATCACTAGGTTGGGCCGCCAAAACTTCTCACCAACTACAATGAAGCATTTCTGGTTCAGGGACACCAGGTTCAGCCACACGTTATTGAAGAACAGCGTCAAGAGGAGAACATTCGCATCACGGAGCGAAAGACGCTTCGTTAAAGACTCTAAGATTTCGTAACCCTAGAGATAATACTGCCTATGGCTCTAGGAGAGTTCTGCATCAAACTGGAGCATGTGCTGGCGGCGGCCAAGGGAACGATCTCAATGTCTCAGCCTCTAACGAACCTAGGCGTCGACTCCCCCATTCCCGTTCAGATCCGCTCATGGTTCGAGAAGGAACTAGACGTTGATGCGCCGGTTGTAAGAATTCTGAAAGCGGCTTCCGTTGAGATCTTATGTGCAGGTATTGTGGATAGCTTCACTTACTCTGCGACTGAGTCTATCAACAACCATGAAAAGGTGGCGAACAACGGACCAGTGGCCCTACACGCAAACACCAATAGAGTAACAGAAAGTCACGTCTCGGTTCACAACGGTACATCAAAGTCGGAAACTCATACAAGTACCAATGGGCTAATTTATACCAACTCGATAGAATGGGAAGAAGAGACAAGACTCGATTTTGAGAAAGGCCCGCAACTGGCACTTAAATTTTCAGACACAAGAGGTTGTTGATGGGCTCAATGTTATTCTCACTAGGCCACCGGATTCCTGGGTTCAGTGATAGAAGCTCTTCTGGCGGAAGAGTCCATTTCAAAGGTCCGTTGTTCGGCCATTCGGAAAGCTGGAACTCTTGATGACTGGCAGCCAAGTCAGCCTCTCTTGGCCTCATCTCGAGTGAGGTGTTATAAAGGTAACCTCAATCTTCCACGCTTGAGACTGTCAGATTCAGACTTCAAGTAGCTCTCCAAGAGTGTTCACAATATCGTGCACAACGGCGCTGATGTCAACTTTTTCAAGTCGTACACCTCAATAAGAGCAGCTAATGTAGGGTCAACTCGGGAACTTGTCCCGCTGGCCCCTGGCCGCATGATTCCCTTCCACTACGTGTTTTCCGTAGCTCTCACCGAATTGACGAACATGGAGACTCTCCGGTCGATATCTATTTCTGCTTACCGGCCTCCAACCGACGAATCCGGTGACTAGGCGGCATCCAAATGGGCCTGCGAGGTCTACCTGGAGAATTACGCCCGCGAACTGGGTCTGCCGATGTGGATCCATCGGCCGTCCTACATCACCGGGATCAACGCTCCCATCACGGGTATCATCGGAAATCTCTTCGAGTACTCGGTCCGCGTCGAGGCGACTCCGAATGCTGCCGGCAGGGGTGGGCTTTTTGACATGGTCCCGGTCGAGGAGGTTGCGACTGTGATTGCCAGCTCAGTCAGCCGGGATAAGATGGTGGCAAAGAAGAAGACAAGGGCATCGCTTCCTGTCTACGTCCAATACGGTGGTCAGGAGGAAGTGCCCGCTGGAAACATCATAGAGCATTTGGAGAAGAAGCATAACATGAGCCTTGAGGAGTCAAGTCTGGCGGATTGGCTGGCCAGAGCGAGGGCTGTTGGTCGTTCGGAGTTGGTTCCGGTTCTTGTGGACAGCATTGCGACGACTGGGCATATTTTTCATTCCGTCTCTTGTCAACACGAGGGAAAATGGCGTTGTTTTGTAGGATGCTCTTCAAGGCATTTCAACAAGTGAAAGTACATCGAAATGTTAGCCATTTCATGTTGTGGCAGGTATGAAGCATGAAATTACGGTAAATGGCGAAGTAGACCCCGGGCCGCTACTAAAGACTGCCTGATAGTGCCCCTGCAGCTCATTTTAGTGATTAAACGCAGAGTCGCTGCAGGCGGAGGTATTGAATTGAGCTGTCCGAGTCCTGAGTCGTGTGCATTCAAGGCCCTAAGTTCGTCAAGGGTGATACTCGACTGGGGCCGCCGACGCCCCGGAAAGCATCCAATACAAAACTACAGCGGTTCCCCACGTCTGACCAAGTGACGGGATCCATTACAGCTAAACCTATCAGTCGTAATATTGAAGACGACTATGTCTCGAGCCTGAATAAAACACAGGTTAACAGCGATGAGGACTCGCAAAGAAACGGTCTGCGAAGAGTGCAGATCACGGAAGCTGGGCGTAAGTGAGAAGAACCAGGCAAATTTTTCAGGGCCGTTCACTGACTTGTCGACGCTTAGTGCGATGGGAAGCAGCCGGCTTGTTCCCAATGCCTCATGTCTGGATTCAATTGTCCAGGATATCCAAAGCAAATCATCTTCAGGTCTCCTATATCACCGGGCTCTGTCGAAAGAAGCCGGCGCCCGAGATCTCAACGAGCCCTCAATCCTGCTGCATCTCGCCGTGCTGCTCCGAAGCCGATGACCGTGTCTCGCGCGTTGGCTTGGCCGCTTCGCGATGTGCTATCGTTATGCGTCCAGAACTTCGTCCCCGCTGGCGAGTTAGGCATCATGTCGAATACTCCCAACTTATCACAACCCAGGATCTGCGGAGCTTGGATAGAAGTGCTACCTGGACTTCTTGGTAGTCAGCAAAGCGATGACGGTCTGCTTCCGTCGGCTATCAAAGCTCTAGGAATCTCTCTCACCTCGAGAGGCCCCGATGGTTGGGCTCCGACATCTGACGCTGTAGCGGCGCATTCATCCGCTATCAGAATCGTGAGGCGCACATTGCAGCAAAACCAAGATTTCGCTCACGACGAGATGGCTGCGAGTATCATGTGTCTTTTTTTATCTGAGGTATTTTTTCGTATCTCATTATTTGTCGTATCTCTCATCATACTGATGATGTACCCAGAAATTACTTCCCACATCGGTGTCGGCTTCCACGATCCACGCTGGAGGCATCGGGGAGCTCATTCAACTGCGCACGCCAGCGTTCTATGCATCGGGAATTCCACACAGGCTTTTCGTTGGATTCAGGCCGATTCTGGTACGATACTGAAGCCGTTCTCATCAATAAGACTTCAAACGTGCTAATTGACAAGATTCTTCACTCATTCATCACTCGAAAAGGGACATTCCTTGCAGAGAGTGCCTGGCGAACAGAACCATTCCGGATCGTCCCTGCGGATCCGCTACAAGCGCTTCTGAACGAGGCCTGTGTTATCCCGTCGATTTTCGAGACGCTTGACCTGGCGCGAACATGGCCCCCCGACGCAGACTCTTTGGTCGAGCAAGCTTTTCTTCAATTCAACGCTGTTCTTTGCCGTCTTAATGACTGGTACAGAATTACCGGCTCTGCTTTTGATGCTTTCTTTGAAGCAAACGCTTGCGGCGTTACCGACAGATTCCCTAATATCAGCGCAGCAAATTCTCTGACTCACTACTGGGCATTTTGGATTATCTGCGTCGCACACATCAGGGGCCTAAGGGCCGAGTTTCCCATGTTGCAGGCCCATCCGACGCTTGTGCATGGCCTAGCACCGGACAGCAACGCCATCGCCCAAGAGATTACCAGGTTGTCAATCAGGATTCTAACCAGCGCGGAATACCTCACACGGTCTGACATGAAGCTCTATGGAATCGCGTCAGCACCATTTCCTCTGCAGGTTGCAAGGAGCGCCCTAGAGAAATTCCAGATCACAGATGAAGATGCTAGTACATTGCTCGGGAGGGTTTCTGCAATAGTGCTGGGGCGGGGTTACGGACATGAGTTCTTGCAGAATACCAGCCCTCTTATCATTTAACAATGAGTCGCTACGTAAATGGGTTGTCCATTTTGACGCTCAGCTGCCCGTAGTATTCAAGCAGGTGATGCCGGTTGCAAGTTTGGCGCACATCATTTCTTCAGGTTGGATTAACCACCGTCTACGTGCCCTCACACGATATCCTTGCTTTGAATGACAGTACCAAAAGCATCCGCAATCTCGGCAAGACTGACTCTCTTCAAGTCCTCTGCAGTTGTTCCTGGGATGTTTCTGTCTCCAATGGCATCCTCAACGGCAATAACGTCCCAGCCCTTCTCGCTCGCCTGTCGTGCAGTTGTCGAAACGCATACGTGAGCCTGCAACGCAAAGGTCAGCCGAAGTCTCACGGCGTGCACGAGGAAAATAGGCGCAAATAAAGTCAATCTCCACTCACCATGTATCCAGTCAGCACAACCTTGCTTCTAGCCGTGGCCTTCAGCAGGTCTTGCAAGTTGGTGTCGGTAAACGATCCAGGGAAGTGCTTCGTGACTACACTCTCGCCTTCGAGGGGCTTCAGCTCTGGGAATTCCTCGGCCAGCTCCGTTCCGGGCGTGAAGACAGGAGCGCCAGACGGTACTTCGTGGATGACGTGAATAATAGGTGCTTTTGCGGCACGGTATTTCTGAAGAAGAGACACAAGAACAGCACGAGAAGACTCCACGTTCGAGATTGCTAGCTTGCCGCTGGCGTACTCGTTCTGCGCATCGATGATGACTAGAACGCTGTCATTCGTAGAAGCTGTGGAGGCCGACAAGCCGAGCATTGAGCGCATTGAAACTGGTGAAGCCATGTTGAAAGCCAGATGTTTGGGTTATGAAAATGTTGTGATATCGAAGTTCAAGCAGCGAACGTTTCTGGGGAGTAAATCCTGTTATAAATCCATTTAGGAAACCTCATCGGCATCTCGAGCTCCGGGCCAGAGACACCGGAACTACGCAGGGATCCGCGGCCGAAGTGGGTCTGCATTAAGCCGAATGAGGTAACATATTCCGCCAAGACCGATGGCTCCGCCGCCGGGCCGGGGGCTGGCAGGGTCAAGATGTTTTCAAAGCAGTTCGCCGGGCGAGCTCGAAGACGAGGACCAGATTCACGGTCAGTCATCGCTGAGTAAGTTCCTAAAGAGAGATTGCTTGTAGTGAAGGCTTCTTTCGAGATATATGCAAGTATAGAGCCACCTTAGGCCTACTACCTAGTAGGAGAAAAAGAGTTTGGTTCAGGTTCTGGGCTTGAAGTTTAGAAGGAAAAGTTGGATCAGTGTGCTGAGTCGAGAACACTCTCTAGCCCATTGTGAGCACCAGACCAAGCAAGCATGGAATAATGATGTAGGATTTATGAAGAATTCTATCCCAGTACTCTTCCTTATACCCAGTATTAGGTGCAAAAAAACTGCGAAATCAAACCCAGGACGCCCCTTTACCGATGCCATTTGATGATACGTAGAACATTCATCCACCCATGACTCCCTATCCCAATTTTTGAACAACCGGCTACCTATGCATATGCTGTTTCATATTCTAGAAAGCAGAAGCATCAGCGAAACCAATAGCCTTCACAGGCTGCAGCTTCGCGAGCTTGGTCAGCTTCTCCTTCGCCGCCTCGCCGAGGTTGACGGCACCGGACCCGCTCTCCTTGGGTCTGACCTCGATACCACACGGGTAGACGTGCTCGATCTCGACATTCTCGCCAAGGTCGAAGAGCTCAGACTTCTCACGGAAGCACCAGGGCTGGCCGTTTCTCACGACCAGATCATGAGTGTCCCTGACATCGCGGGCGTGCAGGGAGCGGTAGCCGCCGTCGAGAGAGACAGCAATGCAGCTGTGCCAGGGAGTACGGGGGAAACCCTCGGGGTTGTGCTTCTCAACAAGCAGAGGCATCGAAAGCTTGACAGCACCGCTGGAAGGGTGGATAGAGAGGCGGACGTAGTCGGGGCAGGTGGCCAAAATGATCTTAGTGAAGGACTCGGCGCGCATCATCATCTTCATGGCGACCTCCTTGACGACCTTGCGGTACTTGTGGCCGGAGGTGGCATGAGCCGCAACAGGGCTGTTGCGGAGGTCGACCTCGAGGAAGCGGATGAAGCCACGGTAGGTCATGAGGGTGTCGTTGTCGGTGTCGATCATCTTGCGAACCTCCTCAAGGGCGTTGCCGAACTGGGACTCGAGCTGTCTGCGAGCCTCGGCGACTTGCTCCATGTACTGCTCCTTGGTCATAGGGCCCAAGCCGTCGGTCATGCCAAGGAAGTCCATGACCCGAAGGAGCTTGATGCCCTTGTAGCCCTTCTTCGCAGCCATGTCCATAAGCGTAGAACCGTACTCCCAAGTCTCGTCGTCTGAGATACCGACAACGTCTAGTCATAGTTAGTAGCCGTTTGGTGTGAAAACAAAGTTTGGGGTTGGGAACATACCGTTGAAGACCAAACCATCAGTGGCAATGTGAACCTCAGCGCCGCCGCTGTAGACTTTGCCAATGTCTTCGCAAAGAGCGTTCATCCTGGCAAGTGCCAAGTCCTCGCCCAGGTCAGGCAAGACACCAATAACCTTATCGACACGGTTGATGCTCTTCCACGGGAATGAGGGAATGATCATCTTGATGGGGACGTTATCCCTGATGTATTGCTCCACGCGAGGGAGGAACATCTTGCGACCAATCCAGGTGTGCTCGGTCTCGCCCTCGGGAAGAATATGTCTGCCGTATTGCTGGAAAATATCCATGATCTTGTGGGCAATCTCAGTCTCGCTGGACTGCTCGGGAGGGGGCGTGGGGATAGAAGCAGGACGCTGCAATGTGATCTTCTCGTCATCTGCAACAATGAAGTTGTCTATAGCCAAGGGGTTAGGCGCCGTTACAAGTTCAACACGTGGTGGGTGTTTGCTTACCCTGCTTTGAGGCATCTTCCAGCGAAAGTGCGGGACCTGTGGTGATGCTAACGGCTCTAAGGGGGCTCTTCAAGTCGGATGGGTTAATGGGAGAGCCTGGGACGGCGTCGTCGGAAGCCAAGTTGATGCTGAAGGCTCTGAGGGGGCTCTGAATTTCGACCTCGGAAGAGTCAATGGGGGAACCAATTTCCAGATCCGAGATCATGTTGATGTTGAACGCTCTCAATGGGCTCTTCAGCTTGGTTGTGTCGACTGGTGAGAACCCAGTGTCCAACGTAGCCAAGACACTCTTTTGCCAGCTCAAAGGAGCTTGAACCTGAAGCAATGGCTTAGGCTTGGGCTTCTCGCCCGAGGTTGTCTTCTGAGGCTCATCGTGGTTGATAGCCGGGGCGGGGGCGTTGATAGCCATTGTGATGTTGGAAAAAAGAAGAAGAGAAAGCTGTATAGATTTGGGTACTTGGCTCAGGAAGTCTCTGCTGTGAAAGGAAACGGGAGAAGGAGTTGGTGTTCTTAAGAGAAAACTTGTGTAAGTTGGTTTGGTAGTAGTGATTGTTGTCTTGAACGAATCCCCAAGCCAGACACCTGGCGATATTCTTCTTATACTTCAGAATCGTCGTTCTAGAAGGCTGAGGCCATCCCCACTCGGCTTTGGTCTAACAAGAACGAATGCATGCAGTTTGACGAACGGAGACTTTCAGGCTTGACATTGAAGCAAACTGTGGCGTCCGGCCTAACCCGGCTGGGCAGACCCCAGAATCCAGAAGCTGGTTTCTGAACACGTCGAACACGTAAAGTCTGGGCCAAGATCAACATTCTTTCAGTCTAGCTGTGGCTGATGGAGCTGCAGTGTGAGCGTGGCTGCATTCTGACTTAAGGTTCAGTGAAGCTCAAAATAGGACTAGATGAGAGCGCCACATTCATGATGGAGGCTAAGTCTTACCTCGTGTTAGTCAGAGACGGGCATCCCGACCGACTGTCACCGACAGCGCTGATCAAACTGCCTTGGCCTAATATTATGGACCCAGTCGGGCGACCAAAACACTCCGGCCGTCGTCACCACGTTGCGAGTTGCTTTGCAGGCTCTCGTATTCTGTATTCCCATGTACCATTGCGTCGAGGTGAGTTGTCCCGCGGCCATGGTACTTCGAAGGCGCAAAGTCTACGCCTTGGAAACCGACGGGGATTTTGTCCGTCAAGTGGGGTCCGATTGAGTTAATATTGCACTTGGCGAAGCGGTTACGATCTATGTCGATCACCGCATCCAAGGATGGATGTTTACACAGCTACGAGAGGGTCCAGCTAAGTCACATATGGAAGCCCTGGCCAATTTCTGTTACTGAGGTTTTGCCTCTTAAGGGAAAGAGGCTCTCGAAATAAAAATATTCCATCGCTTGCATAGAAAAGTATCAGCCAAGCCAAAAATGTGGCTCCCTTTGTCAGGTCTCATGGCAAGGGTCTCCATCCTTGTCAGTCGTGACACTTAAGGACACCGTCCAATCATCAATCTCCCGCTAGATCGTATGCGATCATCAGATGCCAAGGACATCAACAGGTTGCAAGGACTATCCCTCTAGATATGCACACCAAACCGTAAGCGTTACTGCGGCTGCACGTAACTAGCCGTCGGCAACTAGTGTCTGCCCAGGCGTGATCAGCCGGTTGTAAGACACAACATATTCTAGCGTTTCTTATTTGCATGTCTAGGCACGCACGGCACGGCACCTTCTTAAGGCTGGGGCTCCAGGAAAGTCGAGGTGTTCTCCCGGCCACTGCTTGAAAGGACATGGAGTTTTGTAACACTATTGACGTCCTGATGTGTGAGAGAATCTAGGCTGAGATGGCTTAGCATGGCTTCGCCGGTGTTGTGATCGAGGCTGGTCAAGGCTGGTGCTAATGGTCTATATCCGGTGCATGTGGACTTCACCGACTTAGTCGCCGTAAACGGACCGGCAACTTTGACATGGAGCGGTTGAGATATTCAACATTTGCTTTTGTTTACACCATGCCCCCGCCCGTTGACACTGATGATGCTTCATCAAACCCAGCTTCCAAGTTTTGGCCCCTATCAAGCCCACACATACCAAGGCCATTTCCCTGAATCGTTCCCAACATCGCCGCAATGGAGAGACATGTTGCTCCTCCTGCAGTCGAATACGGTGCCCAAGGTGCAGATGACGACCACACGACTCTCGCCGAAAATCACCCTACCGACAGCCACAAACAGACCAACATGTTGAGCAACCGAGAACTCCAAGCATACGAGCCGGATCAAAGAGACTCTCAACAATCATCAACTCATACTGACGAGGAGAAATCTGGCGCCATCGTTGATGGTCCTGATGGCGGCTTCGTCGGTTGGATGCAAGTCCTGTCAGCCTTCCTCCTCGTGCTGGATGGCTTCGGCTTCATCACGGCCTTCGGCGTCTTCCAGTCGTACTACGAAATCCAATTACCGGGCTCTACAGCATCTGATATCTCATGGATTGGTTCCATGCAGATCTTTTTGCTCTTCCTCCTCGGAACTGTCAGCGGGAGATTGATCGATGCCGGCTACTTTCGGGCTACGCTTATTACGGGATTCGTCTTCCAAATCGGCGGCATCTTCGGGGCTTCTTGGTCCAGCAAGTATTGGCACTTCCTCCTTTCTCAGGGAATTGCAACGGGTATCGGCAACGGCATGCACTTCACGGCGCTCGTCTGGCTGGTATCCCAGTACTTCACCAAGAGGCGTGGACTCGCACTAGGCATAAGTTCCTGCGGTGCACCCATCGGCGCTGTCATCTTCACAATCATGGCGCAACAGCTGATTCCCAAGGTCGGAATCGCCTGGACCCTTCGATCAATGGGTTTCTTGATTCTGTTCGACAGCATCATCATCTTCCTCATCTCACGCCCGAAAGAAGGCAAACGGTCATCCGGCCCACTCTTGGAGCTCGCAGCTTTCAAGGAACTACCTTACTTGCTGTTCACCATCGGCATGTTTTTCACGCTGCTCGGCGCATACTTCGCCTACTATTATGTGAGAATAGCCTAGTTCACCGATCTTACTGTCTATCCAATACTAACTTCACACGAGGTGCCTCTGTTCGGTCGCAAGAACCTGGGGCTCAACAATAGCGGCGCGCTCACGATTCTCATCATCATGTCAGCCGTGGGTATCACTGGGCGACTCATCCCACCCTACTTTGCGGATCGATCCATAAAGCCCCTGAGGACTCTTGTCATCTCAACCCTTCTCAGCAGTCTCAACGTCTACGCCTGGATCGGGGTTCACTCTTCCACTGGGCTGACAGTCTGGGTCGTTGCTTACGCCTTCACTGTGAACGCCGTGCAGACCTTGTTTACGGCGTCTATGGGCGAGGTTACCTCGGATATGTCTAAGCTTGGTGTAAGAATCGGCATGGTCTTTACCGTCGTCAGCTTTGCCTGCTTGGCCGGTCCGCCCATCGGTGGAAGCCTCGTCACGCTTGGGCATGGCAACTTCTTGTATGCGCAAATATTTGCTGGAACTACGATGCTCGTTGGCGGTTTGCTGGTGGCGCTCGCGAAGATCAAGCAAGTTGGCCCGCGGGACTTCTGGCGGATTTCGCATCATTAGATCCTAGAGAGTCCTACGGCACGAGGTTACGGTCTGCTTGATTCATGGCGTTGGACAGTGCATTTGGTCTTGGCGTTGGTCTACTTCGCTGCATTTCGTACGGATGTGAAGTTTAGCATTGGTTTCAGGAGTCATTGGGCACAGGAAAAGATAGATTGACATGACTCCTGAATTCTCAGGACAGGATTACACGAATCTCACGTTCTCAATTCCATGCAGACCAAGACCATAGTTCTCACGCGATGACAGTACATGGGATGACATACTTGACAGAACTTTGGCACTTATGCAAGGTTGCAGATCTCCAGAGCCGCGTTCCTTGCCTGATCCTTGTCTGCAACGTAGCAACGGTTGGGAATTCTCACGTAACAAGCAATGCCCACCGAAGCGCCTCGTGACGCCTTTGTGAGACCACGATGCAAATCCAGTCAGCTCAGTGTGTTTTTCTTCACCGCTGCCATTTGCTCTTCAGTCTCTACACGTTGAGCCTTTGGCATTTGAGTCACCATGAAGTTCCCGGGCGAGACAAGGATGGACGCTATTCCAAGGTGGTACCATGACTCTATTTCAGGGTCTCAGCCCTGCAGGATGTTTTCGGGCTGCGGTCGATAAGCTCGTATCTGCCGTCGCTACAGAAACTACATGCAAGTCATATCGACCGGTCCATGGAGCGCATTTTCTCTGTCTCGCTCATTTCATGTTGGTATATCGCACTTGGTCCAATCCGGGCTATGAATCAAAACGGGATGATGTGGCGCCTGCCCAGCAACAGCTCGACCTGTCTTACAATGGCCCCGCGAACTTGCAGCCATTGCCACGACGCAAACGTAAGACAGCCTAAGCTTTCTTTGTCTTGACGCATTGCCTACCACTCTTTCAACCCAAGACATACGATTCGAGTCCCAGGGTCGCTTTGCCCGAGCTGACCAAGTCTCCTTGTTCCAAGTTCTAAATCCTTCCCTTTCGCTCCCGCGCTTGGCATGCGTAGCGCCACGACGCTCTCCAGACGTCCTAGACCATTATCCTGTGCTCCTCGGACACTAACTCTGGCATGAAGCTTAATTGTGGCTGTGGTGATGTGTTCTCAGCCGTAACAATCCGATGGCATCTAGAATGGGGTTCCCGACTGGCCAGACTCGCCCGCATCGTGCAGCGGCGGTTCCTGGAATAACATAAAGGTCAGCAGGCCGTGTTCCTTCAACTAAGAGGGGAACACCGAGTCTGACCATTATCAGCAACTTCTCTACGCAATTGGTTTGTGGTGATCGAATACACAGCCTGTCACTCGTCGTCCTAGGCAAAATGAAGTCCGTAACAGCGGCGCTAAGGTACGTTCTGCAGTCGAGCTCCAGGCTGATGAAAGGAAATTTACGCTAAAACTGCCTCAGCCTGTTTGGCCTACTTGCTGGTCTCTCGCATTCGGTGCACGCACATCCCCCGGCTTCGGTTCAGGCCTCCGCAACCTACCCCGCTGCATCCGGCTTGCCCAAGTGGAGAGACTACGACGACGACGACGACTCAGACAACCAGAAGGCGCCGTGGGGTAGCCGGACCTGCAAGTCAAACCCGGAGAACGTACCTGATACCGGTGTTGTTCGGAAGTATGAGTGGACAGTAGAAAGGACTTGGGCAGCTCCTGATGGATTTGGTGAGTCACATCAAGCCGTCTTACCTTCGGCCCGTTCCTTGCCTAACGTTGCAATACAGAACAAGAGCTCCTTCTGGTGAATGGACAATTCCCCGGGCCCCTCATTGAAGCCAACTGGGGTGATGTTGTGGAGGTGACTGTCCATAACAACATTTCCGCTCCTGAAGAGGGCACCGCGATTCACTGGCATGGGTTAGTTCCGACCTCAACTCTGCTTGTCAACCAGTCTGCTGACTTTGTCTTAGGATTCACCAGCAGGACACGCCCTGGATGGATGGTGTCTCCGGTATCACTCAATGCCCGATTGTACCGGGAGGTAGCTTCACATACCGTTGGAGGGCCTCTACATACGGTACAAGCTGGTGGCATGGTCACCATGCTCTTCAATATGCCGGCGGACTTTGGGGCGCGATTGTGATCCACGGCCCGACTTTCGTCGAGTACGATATTGACCTTGGCCCCGTTACTCTTTCCGACTACTATCACCGGGGCTATGAAGGAATTGCCATGGGCGCCATTTCCACAAGTTCCAATGAGAACGTTACCGTCCCAGCCTCCGCCAACCAGATGATCAACGGCTTGAACCCCTACACCTGCTCTCTATCTCCTTACCAGTTCCCATCGATCACTAACGCTACATGTCACGACAATGCCCCGAAGCCAGAGTTCACCTTCCAATCAGGCAAGGCCCACAAGCTCCGCCTGGTCAACACTGGTGCCCAGGCCCACCAGATCTTTTCCATCGATGATCACAAGCTGATTGTGACGTCAATGGATTGGACTCCCATTGAGCCTTACGAGGTTGACTTCCTTGCCCTCGGCGTAGGCGCCAGAGCGGAGGTTATTGTCAAGGCCACTGGCGACCCCAAGTCAGCCTACGTTATGCGCATGAGAACTCGATGTGCCACGACTTACGTCTGGGAGACAAATGCCACAGTATTCTACGATCAGGCGTCGCCAGACACTATTCCTATTTCTAATCCTGTGGACCTTGGACCCAACTGGCCAGTCCAAAATGCAGCATGCGGCCACGTAAGTTTCCATAACTCGGATGTACTGATGCCCGCTGACCGTATGCTTCCAGTATGCTCTGCCGATGAAAAAGCCAATTTTCAAGAAACGCGTTCCTAAGCCGGACATGACCGTGTTTTACAACGTCACCTATGAGCAAAACGCGACAGGAAACCATTTGTGGCTGATGAACAACGTCACATTTCAGGCTGACTGGGCTCGGCCGTTGTTGCTGGAGGCTGCTGATGGTCAGACTGACTATCTTGCCCAGCCGCAGCACATCCTGACCACGGTGCCCGAGGATGTCCGTCACGTCAGAGTGGTCGTCCAAAACTTCTTCTCGATTCATCCCATGCACATCCACGGGGGAGACTTCCAAATACTCGCCGAGGGTGACGGATTCTGGAACGGCAGCATTCTCCACAAGAAGAACCCTGCTCGCGCTGATACCGAAATGCTTCGCCGGAATGGCCATCTCGTCGTTCAATTTGATGCGAAGAATCCGGGCACCTGGAGCTTCCACTGCCACGTTGCCTGGCACGCCAGCCCAGGTCTCATAGCCAACTTCTTGGTCAAGCCAAAAGCAGTTCAGGCCTACGATATTCCTCAGGCGGTTCGAGACACTTGTGACGCTTGGCACGAGTACAAAAATGCTGGTGGGGAAGGTTCCCTGCCGTTTGACAGTGGCCTTCGGAAAAGATCAGTCTAGTTTGAGATATTCTTGAGGAGCATGGCGTCAAGGTTAGATTTTGGGGGTTGGGCACGATGCATGTTGGGAGCTTGGCGTTGGAAATCTTGTGTTGAATAAATTAGATGACTACGAGATTTTCTTCCTTCTTTTTCTCTTTTTTTTCTCTGGCAAGCTATGAGCGCGCTTTTTCTTTCACGTTTACTTCTTATGTATCTGAATTTGCTTGATTTGAGCTTTCACCGTAAACTAAACGGCAAGCAATGAGAATAATTGTCGTTGTTGTTGTAGTATTCAACGCCTGCTTTAAACCTCTATGAGGCATAAGGCGTCCGTGCCGGCAGTCTACTAAGGATATGCATCTATATATAGTGATAGAAAGCAAATATATAGATTCAATATACACAATTGAACGCAGAATGCAAACAGATGAACCAAAACCAAGTGAATCAATGAGAATAAGCCACAGGATAGGGGCACTATTCATGCGTATGGATCTGCAATACATTTTAAATCACACTTTATATTATGGGTGCGTCTAATGATATCTGGTTTAAAGCTTTGTCCCCGCATGACGGCAACTTGTATCGAAGGGCCTTCGAGGTTGTCGACAACAATGACGGGATAGCCAATGAAATGTCTCATTCGACTAGATAGCTGCTATCTTAAGGAAACTTTTGAAATCAAACGCCGTTGATATGCATGCATCCTAGATTAATGCCTGGGATATCGGCGATGTCGCCAAAGTCCAGTGCTTGACTTGTAGAGTTTAGCGGCGCAGTCGAAGAGTCCTGCGCGCATTTCATTGAAATCAGACAAAATGCACAATGGCTGTGAAGTTCATTACCTGCCTGTATCATGTTGATGGATATCTTACTTCCTTCTTTCCAAGCTGATATTAACCTTTCGGAGTGGTGGTCTGCGAAAATGTGTTTGCTAAACATTAAACGACTAGTTCAAATCGCACAGTAATGTATAGGCTCCTCATTGACCATTTAGCCGCTGCGTTATTGTATCGGCTCATGAAGTCCTGTGCTACAGCCTTGTACTGCTTGATCCCAAATTTTCGCAATACGAATAGTCTCATACGTCTGGCGATAGCCACACGTAAGCCACAATATAAGGGTACTCTAGCCACTGCAGCCTCATGCTCCGGAGGTCGTATCAACCTACCTCCTGCTCACATATGCAAAGAATGTAAGCGCCAAGACTCTTACCCCTCATCCATGGACTTTCGTTGAGCGCCTGATTTCCATTTTGATACCTTTTTCCACTCTTTTCTTCGACGTGTCAATCCCAAGACACCAAGATGAAGTGTTAATGATCACTTCCACCGACAGTCGCGTGTTCACGCTCCCTGCAAGAAACCGACTTTCTCATTCCAGACTTCGCCTCGAGGAAGCATTCGCTTTTGATTCATCACCTCGCGGCGATATCAATTGTTCCGGTTCTGAGCCGCCATGGTCTCCGTCGAAGCTCTCGATCGGAGTGCCGACTCCTATACCATTGGCTGGATCGCTGCGTTACCCATCGAGCGAGCCGCCGCTATTGCGATGCTCGAGAAGAAACACGATGAACCAAAGGGCTTTATTAGGCATCCAACCGATACAAACATCTATGCTTGGGGCAGCATAGGAGAGCACAACATTGTCATAAGCTCTCTTGCCGCAGGCATTTACGGGCTCACATCGGCCGCTACCACCGCATTAGGTCTGTCAACTTCAATTCCATCCGTTCGTATCGGTCTCTTGGTTGGAATTGGAGGCGCTGTTTCTCGGCCGGACAAAAATCGCGATATTCGTCTTGGCGACATAGTTGTCAGTCAGCCGGACGGAAGAACTGGTGGCGTTTGCCAATACGATTTGGTGAAGGCGAAGTCCGGGAACCATCGTGAACAAAGAGGTTTCCTGGGAATGCCTCCAATCGTGCTATTGAAAGCACTGTCAAGCATTCGGGCAGACCACGAAATTACAAACTCAAAAATTCCACACAACTTACAAACCATGCTCCGGGAAAACCCCAAGATGGCTCGGAGATCGGAAAACAACCCTGGCTACTGTCACCAAGGATCTCATAACGACCGACTTTTTCATCCATCGTACGATCACGTGGCTGGCAATGACCTGGATTGTAGCAGGTGTAATGCAAGCCATGAAATTCAACGCCAACCTCGAAGTTCTACAGATCCTGAGATTCATTACGGCGTCATTGCCTCAGGCAATACTCTCATAAAGGATGCTTCTACTCGCGATCAGATTATAGCCGGCATAGGGGAGGACTGCATTTGTTTTGAGATGGAGGCTGCAGGTCTAATGAACTACTTTCCGTGTCTTGTCATACGAGGCATATGCGACTATGCCGACTCTCACAAAAACGATCAATGGCAACGATACGCTTCTGCTGCTGCAGCAGCATATGCAAAGGAGTTACTCAGCTACGTTCCAGCAAGAGAAGTGCAGAAAGCCAGACGAGTGATAGAGATCCTTGAATTCGGTTAGTGTCACTTCTCATCTTCCATTCGAGTTGTTTTATTTGTACACATATCTTTTCAAGACATCAAAGTAGTGGAGTTGAGACTTGAAGATGAATGAATGCTGATTATATCCATATGTAGTCAGCCAGAGGGTAAATGATGTACATCAAAGTACGTTGGAAGTCCAAGCCACAATTGAGTCACTCGCGTTCGACTCTCGTCGAGAAAGAATCCGCCAATGGCTTGCACCGCCTGATCCATCTATAAACATCAATCATTCGAGAAAGCTTCGCAACCAAGGTTCAGGCGCTTGGCTGTTGAAGACCGACGAGTTTCAGAAATGGACCTCTGGCACATACAAGCATTTGTGGCTGTATGGAATCCCTGGATGCGGAAAGACTGTTTTGACCACAATGATCCTGGATCATGTTTCTGAGTGTTCAGATAAGCAGGTCGTCTTGAGTTTTTTCTTCGACTTCAGAGATCCAACTAAACAGACCACAGATGGTATGCTACGATCACTTGCATTCCAACTTTACAGAGGTGGCCACGACGCTGCGGGACACCTCGACAACGTATTCCGAGCGCATCAAGGTCTACACACTTGTCCCACCACAGAAACCCTTCACGACGTTGTCCGCGTCCTGCTAATGGCCCAGAAGAATACCATCATCATTCTTGACGCCTTGGATGAGTGTACGACAAAGAAGGAAACACTCGACTGGATCACAGACATGTTTTCTGATTCAGATCTAGATCATGTACAGCTGATCTACACTAGTCGAGAAGACGCTGAATTCGTCTGCGACATTCCCAACTTGATTGGAGAGTGCTACTTATCACTCGACAAAAGCGCCATTAATAATGATATTTGCTCATATGTTTCGGCAAAGCTTGAATGTGATCCCTGCTTTACGAACAAGGACCTCACAGTAGAGCTCATCAAGCAGATTATTGATAAGGTTGCAAATGGTGCCAATGGAATGTAAGTCTCATATCTCTCGCAACCACCTGATTTATTGCAAGCTTGAACTGTTAGCTGAGTTAATTCCAAGGTTTAAGTGGGCAGCATGCCAGCTTGACACTGTTGCCATGTGTACAAGTCCCAATGCAGTCAAGAAACATCTGGATATGTTACCTGACAGCCTAGCTGAGACATACAACCGAGTGCTTGAAAGCATACCATTGGACAACAGGAATGATGCTTTCCGTCTCTTGCAGTTCATTGTCTATTCGAAAAGACTATTAACTGTCCAAGAAGCCGTTGAAATCCTTGCCACGCATATCGAAGAAGAGCCGCCCCATTTTGATGCTACCTATCGGGTTTTCAGCGGCACAGAAGTCCTCCGCTACTGCTCGAGCCTAGTTTCTGTGATTGAGGTCAGAACCTCCAGTGGGACGAGGCAAGAACTTCATCTGGCGCACTTCTCTGTGAAGGAATACCTCCTCCTCCAGAATGGCTTCGACAGCATGAGTTCCAGTCTCGTTATCACAAGAACTTGTCTCGCGTATCTGAGCGACATTTCTGGCCATCGATGGAGTCTGTCGGAGACCTTTCCGATGGCGAGGTATGCCGCCGAGATATGGATGGACTTTGCCCCAGCCGCCGAGATCTCAGAAGTTGCATCAGCCGCCATAATTGCGTTTTTGCAAGAAGTCACAACGTTCGAAAAATGGACTTATCTGAACGGAAATACAGATAAATGGGAGGAATACGGAGATCTTCCTAGGGGACCCAGTTTGTACTATGCATGCGTTGGAGGACTACCAAGGGTCGCAAAGTCAATTCTTGACAGTGGAGCTGATGTTAATGCTCCAGGCGGCGAATATGGGAACGCGCTTCAAGCAGCCATTTGCAATGGCCACCTTGAAATCGTGAGGATCCTTCTTGGTAAGGATGCAGATGTTCATGTTCAGGGTGGTCTGTATGGGAATGCGCTCCAGGCAGCATCTTGTCATGGACACATCAGTATCGTTCATTTGCTCCTCGACAAACACGCAGATGTCAATGCCCAAGGCGGTAAGCATGGAAACGCCTTACAGGCGGCGTCTGCCAGTGGATGCCTCGACATTGCGAAGCTACTACTCGACAAGCACGCCGACGTCAATGGCCAAGGTGGTGAGCACGGAAACGCTCTCATTGCGGCATCATGCAGTGGTCATCTTGAAGTTGTACGCCTACTTCTTGATGCGAATGCAGACATCCACGCGCAAGTAGGCTTGTTTGGGAACGCTCTGCAAGTTTCAGCAAGGACAGGGCACATTGACATCGCACGATTATTGATAGAAAGAGGAGCGAGTTTCCTGGATCAGGGGAACTTCTATGGGAACTGCACGGACGCTGTCTCTATGGGATGTCATTTTGTCGCATCACCCAGCCAGAACATTATACAGGGAAGCTGGAAAGAGGCCCTGCTAGACGCGACATTCTATGTTGGGCAGAAAAAGCTGGCCTCAATGCTGCTCGACTTGGATTTGGATGCCCAAGAACAAACAACGATCGCAAACGGTGCGCCGCGGTTAGACCGTGATCAAATGAAGGCAGTTGATGCAAACACGACTTCAGGGACTAATGCATCGGATTTTGATCTAGCGCAGCGTCATCTGACGAAGGCAGTTGGTGGAAGCATGACCACACAGATGAGTGCATCAGAATTCGATCTAGAGGAGCAATATTGCCAGTTCTGTGAGTCTGAGATCTTGGAGGACTGTTTCTACCTCAGGTGTTATGCTTGTCTTGGTGGGGATTTCTGCATTTGTGAATACTGTTCTGAATCTGGCGTTCATTGTCTCGAAGAAGAACATGTACTCTATCCGCAGGGGAGGAAAGACATATAGGGCCAAATACTTTCCTAACACTTCAAGGAAACAGGCTGACGTATCAATGAGAATGCCGGACAAGAATTGCATATTGGCAGCAGCCTCTGGGCCAGCCAGAGGTTCTTCCTTGTCTTTCGTAAATACGTGCTGTTAAAGTTGCTGTCATGAAGATGGTGTTATTAGCGTAAATTTCGAAGAAGAGTCGGTCGTTCTTAATGGTATCACTACCACGTAAATCGAATCGTGAATCTCGATGCCAACTCAGATAATCAAGCGGCACTGAGTTCCTCCGAGGTTGCTTTGCATGAGCAAGGCTTGGCCGGATTACTCCGCAAGAAACCAATACTAGTATCCTCCGCCAATCAGTTTAATGTTATGATGCGGCGCAGTACATAACAAAAGACCTCCAAGAGAGTTCCAACCAACGTCTTATTGCCGTCTATGCCTCTCTGGAAAGCGTGCTCGCGCGAGAGAAATTATACCAGGGTCACGTAGCGATCAGTCTATCTAGACGCTTATCTAAACGATGCTCTGCCCCACAAGCATGCATGAAGACGGGGTTGCAGCAACTTTTGCCATAATCGTGCAGCCAATTAACTTCACAATTACAGCTGCAATGTCTTTAACTGCTTATTTTATCGAATTCTACTAGTTTGAGATATCCTTGTGTGGGATTGGATGCAGAGTGCAGAGACAAAGGTAGCGAGTTGTGTTTGGACAAAACATCATGTGTAAAAACTTCACTGCATTGAGCCGAGCGGGGCAGTTGGCAACTGGAGTACCATCGCCTGGCGGAAGTGAAGATATCATTGCCCCACGCAAGTCAATGTAGCATTGCCCGAGTGAAGCGAGGATAATCATCGCCCGCCCGGACGAGGTAGTATTGGGATCAATTGGAGACCGTGAGAATTCGAAAGCTAAAGGGGGTGCTGGAAAAGAAGTCCCAAAACTATTTCGTCGAGCTTGCGTATAAAAGCCCGACACTGGAACCTATGATTCCGACAGTTAGCACCTCAATCATCCAGAGTAAACATCTGACTTCGACTACAATAATACCACACACCTTCATCCATCAGAAACGCTTAGGCACCCACCGTCTCACCACATCTTTCGCAATGCATCTATCTTCTTACCTCGTTGCCACTCTCGCCGCTGCCGCAACAGCTTTCAAAGTCCCTGAGGGCGCAACTGATGGCATCTATGCAGCCTACTACGACGAGTCGGGTAATGAAGTCCACATCAAAGACCCCAACCCCATTACCGTGGCCGGAATCCTCTCTTCCGTCCCGGAAGAAGGCGTGGCGACGAAGCCTGGCGTCTCCCGGGTCCGTCGCTCCGCGTCCCCCAGCGAGCTTTTCGAGCGCGCAGCTACTGTGTGGTGCGGCTGTGGCTACCACTTGAACAATATCGACTGTGACGGCGCCGTCAACCAGATCAAAGACCAGATTCGAAATGCGGGCGGACAGTCCGACGTGGGACGCGGTCTCGCATGGTACGCACTCAGCGGTAACGTTGTCGTGTTCCTTTGCAACCGCAACGGGCCAGGCACCGGCCGCATCACCGTGGATGGCTTCACTGCGGCCCTGGCGACCATTACGAGCGCGTGCGGATACTATACTGCGGGAACCATCGAGAATGGTGTGCTTGACATTGGGTACATGAACAACGATGATGCTGCCTGGTTCTGTGAGAGAGCCCGGTGGTCCACTCAGCATCAGTGTTAAGGAGATGTCTTATTCTCCTGACACTCATGTCAGAGTTCATGTCAAGTCGGAGATGAGTGGTTGGAATCAAGATGGTATCCGCAACGATACAAGAGAGCTTGCGTTGGAAGTGGCCATTCCGAATCCTTAGGCATTGGCCGAGATTGAGAGAGCGGGTGGCCTTCTTACTAAACAGCAACAATTAACCTGAATTAAGACATGGACAGGAAGGCTTCTTCGATCCATGGAATTAAACATTCGTTCTGCCCCAAATCAGTATCATGTGAACTTCAGTGACTAGCTTATGTTGGGTTACCTTTTGAGCCTCAAACACTGAGGTTGACATCTCGATCTCTCATAAGTCTAGAGCGCTTGACCTGCGGCTGCGGCCGAGAGGGCCGGCCCGCCCGGGTTATCGCCGGTTTTGTGAATGACTACTTTAATCAGCACTCTGCACGTGAGCCTCGGAAGCCGAAGCTTAGTGCCGAGTTTAACCAGAATAGGTTTATCAATGATATCAAAAGACATCGGCATTGCGACGGACGTGGGCAATTCTGTGATGGGCAGTGGAAATAAACCGGAGAGGAGTGGCTACCGGCCAGAAAGGCAACAAAAGAATGACGGAACAATCAAAGAGGCGGGATTAATAATGGTGGGGTTTCCGGTGAGAGTCCATGGATGAGGTCACCAATCTGTTTTGCTGACTTGACTCACAATCATGACTCGGTTTCCGAGCTCTCATCAAGTCGATATAGGTCTTTATAGGTCGATGTCTCTCAAACTGTAATCGTTTGATCTTTTTCTTGTAACCGTTGGAGTTATCACTTGTTTCCCAGCGTGGCGTTTACTCACCAGCTTGATTAAACCGACCTCAAGCTCATCGCCGACCAGCCAACAACGCCACCATCATGCAGTCTCTGCTCCAATTTCGCCGGGCAGGCGCTGCGACTCAAGCGCAAATCGACAGAGATTTCGGTGCGGCCACCGCGTCGCGGCCGTCGGGCCAGCTTAGCAGTAGCCAACGCAAGACTTTGGATGTGGAAAAGGCACAGCCAGAACATCCTGAGCAGAACCCAGGTCAGATCTTTGAGCCCACCAGCGACACGAGTGCTGAATCCAGCAGCGAACATGACGACGTGATTGAACGCCACCACTCTGTGGGGACGGTCCGGACCCAGTACTCCGATGGGACCGCTCTCGGCCGGGCTCTGACCGGCATTCACGTCCGAGACCGCACAGCCCATGAAGGACACGGCGGCCGGGTCTTCGTCGTCGGCTGGGCGGGGCCGGATGATCCCCTTGATCCTCACAATTGGTCTCTCATGAAGCGTGTCGGCGTAACGCTACAGATATCCGTCATCGCCCTCTTCGTCGGAGCTGCATCCGGTATCGATGCCACTATTCTGCCCCAGGCCGCTGAAGACTTGGGCGCCAGCGAAGTCGCCGAGTCACTCGCAACAGGTGGGTGCACGAATTTGCACCTCTTGGCCAGTCTGTTTCCGCTAACAACTATTCTCAGGCCTTTACCTCGTTGGCATGGGTCTCGGCTCTCTTATTGCTGGTCCGTTCTCGGAGACTTTCGGTCGCAATGCCGTCTACATTGTCTCCATGGCCATCTTCATGGTTTGGATCATGGCATCGGGCTTGGCTCCCAACTTCGGCGCTCAAATTGTCTTCCGGCTCCTCGCCGGCTGCTCCGCATCGACGCCGCTCGTGTGTTCCGGCGGGTCAATTGCTGACATGTACAACCGCGTAGAGAAGACTTGGAGCTTTCCTCTGTACGCCATCACTTGCTTCGGCGGGCCGATGATCGGTGCCGTCATGGGCGCTTATATCGGACCGTCCCCGATAGTGAGCTGGCGCTGGACGGAATGGACAATGCTCATCTCGTCAGGGCTCGTCTTGGTACTCGTCTTGCTATGCATGCCCGAAACGTACGGTCCATTGCTGCTACAGTGGAAGGCAGCCCATTATCGACGAATCACGGGAGACGACCGCTTTCGATCGGAGCATGAGATTGTGGACGCGACCCTCTTCAGCAGACTCAAGACCAGCATGACACGGCCGTTCGTCATGCTCACCGAACCGATCATCATCGCAATGACTCTCTACATCACCGTCGTCTACATCGTTCTCTTTACTTTCCTCGTCGGTTGGCCGGACATCTTTGAGCACACCTACGGCCTCGACCAAGGCCTCGCCAACATCATCTTCATCGCCATGTTCATCGGAACGCAAATCAACTTCATCTTCGTCCCGCTCATTTACCGCTTGACCCTCAACAGGATCAAGTCTACTGGAGATGGATCTTTTGACCCCGAGACCAGGCTGTGGTATGCCATGTTCGGCGCCGCCATCTCGGTGCCCATCTCACTCTTCTGGCTCGGGTGGACGAACTTCTCCAGCATCAGCATCTGGTCAGCCATATTCGCCGTTGTCTTGTTTGGATATGGCGTCACGGGGATCTTCATGTGTGTTTACATGTACATCATCGACTCGTACGAGGTTTATTCTGCCTCGGCACTTACGTTCGTGGCGTTGATTAGGTACGTCGTTGCTGGTGGAATGACTGTTGTTGGGCTTCCGTTCTACGAAAAGATGGGCACGCATTACACGTTGACGATATTGGCTTGCATCGCAGCAGTGCTTGCCCCTATCCCATACGTGCTGTATTATTACGGCCCATGGATCAGATCGAAGAGCAAGTTTGCGGTGTCCATGAAGGCATGAGTCCTTTGTTCGCAAACACATATATACTAGGAAAGACTGAGAGGAGGAATATGACCGTTCTATTTGGTCAAGATTCACCATGTAATTGATAGTTGCACTGCACTGTGTCCTTCAAGTACAATAATTTCACATACATCGCACTCGCCCTGAAACTCGTCACCAAGCAAGTTGCTTAAAGAGCTCACCGGGGATTTTCCATCCATGATAGAAATTAATAAGAAACCCAAATCAACTCTTCTGATACTGGACACTTATTGCCGTGAAAGAACTCGATCCCCATGTACTATCCACATCAACTCGTGCCGATGTATGGCTTTCTGGCTCAGAGCAACTTCTTAAATCCCATTTTGTTGTATCTTCACCGTACTAGGCTTGTAGTAGGTTCTCCAGCTCCCAAAGTCGGTTTGAAAAAGCCATAGAACGTCGGCGCCGTAGGGAACCCGGGCGCTACCCCTAACCAGAACTCAAAATGGGCTGAATTCATTGTTCGATTGTGTTATCAGAAGTCCAAAACAAGTTCCCGGAATATTTCCCGCAAGATCCTCTTTCCTGCAACTCTTCCAACACAACATTGACGATCATATCCGAGGAGCCCATCTGGGTAGGGTTCATCACGATCGTATCCGAAAATCCCACTTGGATGAGTTTTGCTTGTATGACGCTTGTCTCGGCGGCGCTCGCTTGAATGACGCTCGTCTCGACGACGCTCGTTTGGATGGCGCTCGCTTAAATAACGGTCGATTACTTGACGCTTGCTTGCATGGCGTTCGCTTGGATGATGCTCGCTTGCTGGCCGCTTGCTGGTATGCCGTTCGCGTGCTTCAAGCTCTCTTGGATAACGTTCGCTTGCTTGACGTTCGCTTGCTTGATGCTTGCTTGTATAACGTTCCCCTGTATGAAGCTCATTTGGAACGGGTTCGCTTAGATAGGAGTTGCTTGGATAACGATCATATCCGAGGATCCCACTTGGATGAGGATCGTTTGGAAACAGCTCACTTGGATGACGTTTGCTTGCTTGACGTTCGCTTGCTTGATGCTTGCTTTTATAACGTTCGCTTGGACGATGCTCCTTCGGAGCGGGGTCGCTTAGATAGGAGTTGCTTGGATAACGATCGTATCCGAGGATCCCACTTGGATGAGGATCGTTTGGAAACAGCTCGCTTGGACGATGCTCCTTCGGAGCCGGGTCGCTTGGATAGGAGTTGCTTGAATAACGATCGTATCCGAGGATCCCACTTGGATGAGGATCGTTTAATAACGGCTCGCTTGGGTGACGCTGGCTGGAATACCGCTCGCTGGAATATCGATCGCGTGGATATCGCTGGCTTGGATAAGGCTCGCTTGGGTGACGCTGGATTGAATAGTGCTGGCTTGAATAACGATCGCATGGATGACGCCCACCCTCATACTCAGTGGTCCAATGTCTTCTAACAGTGTCGACCTCAATTGGGTTGCAGACCACTAGTCGATTAGGTGTCCAGATCTCCAATCTCGTTCTGCACACGGAGTGGTTGAGAAGAGCGATGGCGGAGTTCCTCATGAGACGCGTACGCTCTCGGAGCATCTCGAACAGGGAGACGGTCCTCCGCAAGCCTTCCTGGTTGCTCTCGGCCCAGGGCTCAAAATCCATCTCCTTCATCGTCATACTTTGGAAGACACCATCCGTATGTCGGCCGGTCAAGATAATCGAAGTCCGACCAACCCAACACTGCTCCTTTTTTTTGCTGCCAGTCTCATCCTCCCAGAAGGTCTTCTTTGTCGATTTCATTTCCGCAACGTTCTCAGGTGCTGTCCCACTTCCAGCACGAATCACCACTATATCTTCATTCGTTTTCTGCGAGTGTTGGAGACCGGCGGCTCCGGGCCTTTTTACGAGAGTTGTTGGCTCTCCTTCAGAAACTTTTGCGGCGCCTGGTAATTCGCATGATGCAGAATATGAGGCATCGATCTCATGGACGACAGCAACTTTGAGGCTGCCAAACTGATATTTGATCACCCTCTGATGGGCAATACTTCCTCTGAGCTCATCGTCGTATGTCGTGAAACCATCTTCAAAGGCGTGGCCCCAATTAAGGTGTGTCCGCCCGTTATTGTAAGTTTTGTTTTTTTCCTCTCTGTATGTGAGAATCAGAGTCCTGTTCCTGATTAAGTTCATCTGCAAGATGAATGCAGTTGAAGTTCCATTTCTGGCGAATTTGAACAAGTTTTGGAAACCGCCACGGGTTATGATGACATCAACGTCGTCGAGCTTTGCCTCTGGTGACATTACAGTCAGCGCAGTGAATACAGCCTTCAGCGGCTGGCGACGAGATTTGGCTCGATTGAGATCACGGAAGGAGACGCCGCTGTCCGGCTCCAGTCGAACCGGAAACGCACGAGGCGTGAAATTGGGAGCACCGCCTAAAGGAAGTCACCTGTCTGCCATCAAGACGTCAAGACTGCAACTCAGTGTGCGAACTCGGACGGCGGAGTATCCGTTGGGTTAGCCTGCATCGACTTGCCTGGAACATAGATGGTGGGAACTTCATCGTCCACCCAGTTGTATGAGCATAGGGTCTCAAAGCCGTCCTTGGTGGTAACCGGAACGTTAGATGGCGATATCGAGTCAACGGAGATTTCTCCGGCGGGATATTGCACTGAATAATACAGCCAATCGAGTGGAGAATTGCGAGGAGCTTTCGTCGGAGGCGGTGGAGGTGGCGGGGGAAGTTTGACTTCAACTTCAACTCCAACCTGGTCCGGGACCGGATCGAGTTTTGGAATGTGATTTTGATCACTATTACTGTTGCTGGCCAGCTTGATGCCGACGTCGAGGCTGATGATCGAGGCTGAATCCACCTTGGGCCCTTCATGGGGTTCCACGATAGAGACTGCTTCCATATTGTGTTATCAATGTGGTTCTACGGTCGACTGTCTTTGAGACCACGAGTAGAGAGGTCTTGATAAGGCTTTCAGAAGTGCGTCATGAGATTCATATCTCCGTCCGTGATTGCGGGGGGATGGGCAGAGGTGAAAGGACCCCTTTTTCTCGACGCGAAGTTGACGCGTGCCGCAAGCATCCTAGCGTAAGGTAGGTAGTCGTGCGGCTTCTTCCAGGGCCAATCACACGGCATTATCCGTCTCCATCATGCAACCCAATGCAACCCTGCTACATTTTCCCACGGACATCAAAATCATCACGTCCGAGGTCATCTTCAGCGCGCCTGTTCACGTTTTCACCATCTAGCAAAACTCAAATCGCATTAATTGCAGACGCTATGCCATGAATAGTGATTATACCGACCCGGCTATGCCATATGCTCCACATCATCATCAATCAATCATCATCTTCACTTCCGCTTTTGTCTACCCAGTTCTGAGCTTTGGAAGCGAACTTGGCAATCATCAACACCAAGGTGCCACCCAGAATGGCCCCGAGGCCAGCTGCAGAGTGAGGTTAAATCGCGTTTCAAGCGAAAAGGTCAACAACGCAACTGAAGGACTTACTGATCGTAAACGCCCAACCGACACCGATGGCATCAATCATTGGCACGAGACCGCCAACGGCGCCCGCCCCAAAACTGTACTGGATGATGTACTTGCCGCTAATGACGGCTGTCCGATGTTCGGGAAGAGCCTCTGCAAGGTCGATGAGTACCTGATGGAAACGGGGAGAGCAAGCGTTGCACTAACCGGCTGAATAGGTATTCAGGCCACTGAACGACCACATAAGACCGAGACCCTGAAAGAAAGAGCTGACGATCGGTAGAGCCATGCCACCCACTTCTTTCTGCACACTCCAGCCATATATCAGCGTCCCAGCGGGTAGGATGATGAAGATGGCAGGCAAGCTGCTGTTCAGCCGGTCCTGAGGAAGACGCAGACCATTGCGCTTGCGCATATATCGCTTAACAGTGTGGTCGGAGAGTCTTCCACCAAGAGTGCTACCCATCAAGAAACCCGCTCCAGGAGCCAAGTAGAACAGGCCGCTGATCAATGGTGACGTGAGATCGAAACGAGGGTTGATGACGCGTCGTACGGAACTGAGCAAGCCATACTGGTTGAAACCCAGCAGACCACATGTGATGTTCTGCCATTCTTGTCAGTGCATGCAGTGGCAGATAGAAGCAAGCAAGAGAGACGTACTGCAGCTAGAATGTTCGGATATTTGAAGGCGCGGAGGACGCCCATCGGGTTGAACGCATGTACCACCTCCTTCGCTGAGCGGACCGGGGTCTTCTCCGGAATCTTCAGGTGCGTGAGCTCGCTTGCTCTGGGAACGAAGAAAAACGCCAGGATAAGGCCAATGAAGGTCATGCCGGCTTGTACACCGTAGATGATTCTCCAACTCGTGAAGGCAACGATGACACCTCCGGTCAAGGGCGCTTTATGATGTCAGCGATCGGATCACTTAGCCTGGACAACTGACATACCTATTGTGTTGGCAGCAACGCAACTTCCGAGGAAGAATCCTACCGCAGTTCCTCGAGTTGTCTATCCCACTTGTCAGGCTAGTCACATCAGTCTCAAGATTGAAGTACTCACGGGTTCAAAAATATCCGCCAGAATTGTTTGTCCCGCCACCAGAAAGAACGGCCCTGTAGTTCCGCCGATGACCCAAATTGCAGTGAAACAAGCCAAGTTGTTGGATAATGCAGAGCCAATCGAGCAGAGAGTCAAGAGAGAGTTTGCGAGCAGGTATGTCGTCCTTCGCCCGAGTATGTTGCTGGTCGGCAGCCATATCAGCGCGGACAAAGCCATCGCGATGAAAACGCCGGCGTTGGCCGTGCTGATGCTGTGCGTTGACACGCCAAAATCAGCGGCAACTTCGTTTGTCGCACTCAAAATCGAGCTTCCGGAGAAGGTTACGGGCAAGGCCATCCAGCACACCACAAAGAGTGTAACCCATTTACGCCAGGTGGGCATATCCATGACCACATCATCAATAGCAGCAGGCCGGGGCGGTGCCGAAGCCGCCGGGATGGGGCCGGAGAGCGGATCGGTGCTCAATTGCGGTGCGGTAACGACGGGAGTTTGGCCCGGTTTCTCATCGGTTTGTGTGGCCATCTTAAAGAGTGTACCATGGGTTGAAAACGAAGGGAAATCGAATGAAGCATTGAAGTTGTCACATCGCCATACTAAGTGCAAACGATCCGGGGGGCACAACCGAGTAAATACCCAACGGAGCGACTCCGTGGTTCGGAGGCGCACCCGGCACCGAGAAAAATTCACCATTTTTTTCTCATTCTGTCGTATCCTGTGACTCAAATGTTTCGATAAGTGGGCCTTTAATTGCGAGTTCCAGACCGGTCACAAGCGAGGCCGATTCGGGAGCGGGAAACTTGGTTGCAGAAATGGCTTGCAGATTTCATGTCGGTGGCTCTTCTTCATCCAAGTCGGCAACTCAATGTGAAGCCGACTTGCCCAAGTGACTGCCGGAAATATTGTGGAGATAAGTCAAAAGAAGAAACTTCCGGCGAAATGATGAGATTATGCCGAGGTTGACCAGAATGACTAATGATGTCTCGGGGTAAACACGAATTTCTGCCGATAAATCGCGGCGTAGTTGACGATTCTTCCTCAACTTGTCATCCAGTGTGCTTTGACAGCAATGAAACACAGCTTTTCTTAGCGCTGACGACTGGTTTTCAGTGCTTCCGTTGATATACGGGCATAGCAGGTCACATTACCAAGATCCTCTGAGGTGCTGGCTGCGATCAAATACGCGTCGTCCGGCTCGGCGTCTGGCTATCTTCCCGAAGCTCATCGGAGCTCACGAGGGCACATTCCCGATCCGGCAAACATCTCGACCAACATGACTTCGGATGGAGATTTGTCTAGCGCAGAAGACAGGGTGATGTCAGGCCCTGCTCCAGATTCAACAAGCAAGAGTTCTAAGCCGCGCACGAAGCCTACAGCGTGAGTGATCGCCATCTCCTTCATTTCTTGTTCCTAAATAACACTGATTCCTTGGTAGGTGTCGCAGATGCCATTCGCGTAAGGTGAGGTGCTCAGGCGGGCAGCCCTGCGAAAACTGCCGTCAAGCGAGCAAGGGTGCTGAATGCACATACCCCCGTCGGAACCGCATGGTGAAGGTCAGCCAAAGGTACGGGTTATCCGACCTTTCAGTAAAAATCATACAAATCTAACAATTTCTGAGATATATCGATGATCTTGTCGCCGAAAATCAGCGACTGAAGAGTCAAAATGTCGGATCTCAGACCCAGGCCGACGCCATCCTCCCAGATATCCCTGCAGCACCCGCAAAAGAGGTCGTCGACAATGTCATTGCTGTCCAGGCCCCATCTCTGGATCAGCGCCCGTGGTTCTTCGACATGAACATCCCACATACACCCATTCTCATCGGCGAGGCATCGGATGCAGCTTTCGCTACAAGATTCCGGCAGGCTATTTCAACGGGAGATCATAGCCATATCCCACGCGTCAACTACGCGACCGACGAGAAGCTACTGGTCTTGTCTGACGTTGACTGCCCCTGGCCAAGCCCTGCTAGAGCTCGATTCCTGGTTGGCGTCGCTCTGAGATATGTGAGCCGGTGCTACCACATCATCCGAAAGAGCCTCATTCTAGATGGGCTTGAGCAAACTCTTCAGAACCCATCAGAGAGTGACACTCTACTTAAAAGCAAGCTATGGGCTCTCTTTGCCATCGGAGCCATGTACTCCACGCGGTCGGCGACATCCGAGAAGGATTTCCCTGGTATGGGGTACTTCGCCCGTGCAACAAGAGTTCTCCGCATCGTGAGCGAGCGACCACGAATCGATGTAGTTGAGTTGAGGCTGCTTCTTGTAAGTTGACTTGGTCTGTTCTCCTCCTGATTCCGCACTCATCATATCAGTCATTCTACTCTTTGGCACTGAACCGTAGGCATACTGCCTACACCTTCGCTGGCTCAGCGACGAGGCTTGCGGTCGTTATGGGTCTGCACCTGAACGTTCCCGAGTCTCAGCTCCGAGATGTCGCAGCCCGTGAGCATCGGAACAGAGTCTTCTGGACAGCTTATACCTTCGATCGTATGTGGGCCGCGAAGCTGGGCCATCCCGTCTGCATCCAAGACCTCGATATCGAGGTGGACCTCCCCTCAAATCCCCAAGTCGACCCAAGCATCTCGGACGATTTCGCAGACGCATCATACTTCATCGCCAGCGTAAAGCTTGCCCGCGTGTTGGGCCGAATCGTGCCCTCGATCTACCGCAGACGCAATCAGCAGAGCTCGCTCTCTCACCGGGTTCAAGAAGCTCTCAGCGCCCTGCGTGGCTGGGTCGAGGAGCTTCCGCCTCAGCTTCATATCGACCACAAGGTCAACTCGGATCGCATTCAAAAACCAATCTCTTTGCATCTCAACTTCAATCAGGTTAGTCTCGAGTCCGGACGCTCATCACCAAACTGACGACTTAGTGCGCCGTGAGCGTTACGCGTCCCATCCTACTCCACGTACTGCGCACCCACGTCGCATCCTGGGGGACTTCTTTGACGCCGGAACCCGAGATTCCAGCGACCGCCATGACTTTGGCCGAAGCATGCATCCGCTGCGCTCGACATTCGTGTCGATTGCTTACTGAATGCTGGATTGACGGTTCCTTTGCGACGTTCGACTATTTCTACACCCAATATCTCTTCTCCGCCTCAACTATCTTGGCAATCTCGAGCCTTCTCAATGGGAAGGAGAGTCACAATGATCGAGAGCAGTTCGAGGAGGCTGCCCAATTTCTCTCGCAACTGAGGGACAACGGCAACTTCGCCGCCGGGGAATTCTGCCAACATATTGATGCCATGAAAGCCATGATGGCTGCCGCTCATGCGCGCCGTGGTGGCTATTCTGTCGCTGGAGACCCCTCCACCTTGCTTACCGACGCTACTGCGACCTTCGGCGATGCTATGAGCATCGGGCAACCCTTCACAGCACAGAATACTACAGCGGGGATGGCGCTCGCTGAGCCGTCTTTGCAGGAACTTCTAGCCCAGCCGATCTTGGACTTGCAGTTTATTGATGCCTCTATCTACAACGATGGTGCTCAAGGGCTTTATTGGCCAGATATCAGCCCAGAAACCTGGACACCAGATTGGACAGCAACTTAAACCCTGGACGAATATCTTTGCTCCAAATACCTATCCTGGCAAGCTTATGACTGGCTTTCTGGTATCTCGGAATTGGCACTCTACTGGTTAAACCTCAGACTCTCGTCTAAGATCTTCAGTACCACGTAATCGCTACCAGAACTTAAACGGCACCGCCAACCTCGCACCAGCATTCGGTGTCACAGTTGGCGCAACAGCTGAGCCCGTCGCCCCGCTCTCCGTCTCCCCTGTGGATCCGGTTTCCGTCGTGGCGGTGTTTGTCGTCGCCGTCGTCGTTGCCGTCGCTGTCACGCTCTGCGTCACCGTTGATGTGGCCGAGGAAGTTCCACCTTCGCTCGCACTCCCGTCACAGGGCACTTCACCAGCCACAAAGGTATAGCTAGTGCTGCATCCGACTCGGCCACACGCTCCCTTGCATGGGAAGTCAAGCCAGGCCGTAGGCGCCGGAGTCGGGCAGCCACAGGCTTGCGTCAGGGTTGAGATGGTGATGCACTGCGGTACAATGCAGGTGGCGCAAAATTCGCGAGTTTCCGTGGCCGTCGGGCAACCGGTCTGCGGAGGCTGGGATGCCGTGAACGGTTCCGTGATGGAGCGGGTTGTGACGCCGGTCGGGACTTGTCCTACGACCCGGGCCACACTACTTCAGTTAGCGACACGATCTGACTACATGCACATGGCATATCGATCCCTACAGAGTAGAAATAGTGACGGTCAGACTCAAAGTCTTCATCTTCAGGCTGTCTTCAGTGAGGTTGATGAGGGGAAAGAAGAGGGATTTGGCGAAAAAGACAATGATATGACGACGGATTCTGGTCTTATGGGAAGCAGGTGACTGACGATCTCCTCCTCAAGACAGGAATCAGCAGCTCATTCGTCAGCTTCGTCGGTGAGCTATATCACCAGCCTTTTTGGGGTTGGTGTCTTGGCCGACAGGGGCTGATCTACGTGGACCTCGTATTGGGCGAGGTGAACGTGGATCTCTTAGTCTCAACCTATCACAAGGGCTGGGGAAGATCTTCAAAGCTACATGAAACAATCGCCATGCTACACAAGTTCTTTTTGCCGATGAATGGAATAAACAAGGATTTTTTTCTTGCCGTGAGATGATTGTCGTCGGTGAGCTAATGCCGCCAATCAGTACAACGGGGACATTTATGTCAGAACTGATGGCCAACACCACTAACGTGTAAGTTGATGAGTTAACATATCATACCTCGATCAACCACGTTCTCAACAAGTAATATCCAGATAAAATCGCATAAACTTGGGCTGTTCTCAACTGCATTGAATGCTTCACGTGTTTTGCTTCTGATTCAGGCGCGCAGAGAATAAGCAATACGATATTATGTCTGGTACAAGACGCGTAGTAGAATGTCTTGACCTGCCTAGGCGATGTATTCCCGACATCCTCATATTCAGTGATGGTCACTGCACACGTTTTGGATGCAATCATATCAGTAGCACAGATCGAAGACTGAGTCAAAGTCGGGGTTGGACGAGACTTGGTGATGTACCAAGTCCAGCTGTTTACTTGTGAGGGCCTGCCCGACATATTTGTTATCCAAAGGTCAGGGCTCTCCATGGCGATTGACAGCAAGGCCTCACATTCATAAGAATCGCAAAACTTGCATTTAGGCCACGATCCCACCGGCTACAAGGTCGAGAACGCCGAAAGTTTGTTAGATACCGAATTCTCGGGGAAGGTTACGCGTACCTCCTCAGAGGTTCTTCCCGAACACGAATTCTTCGGGACTAGACCCCAACCAACATTTAAGTTCTTTGGACGGTTCAAACAGCGCGGGGTACTGCCCAGATGAACTCAACCAAGGCGCCTTGATGCAAAAAGGGCATGCAACATGTTGAAAACGAGGCTGCACGTCACCAGACAGGGTGCTCATGTAAAAGTGGTGTTGATACCATCCAATTGAAAGTGAGGGGTTTCAACTTCTTCCATTTCTCAACACCTGTACTTTCAGAAGCAGGCCTTCCCATTACAAAGGATACCATGGAACTTGACATTATACTCTACATGTGGCGATTTGTCGTACTAATTCCCGTCTTGGGGATATTGTACGGGCTAGTCGCCATGTATCGGGCGCGAAGTCTCTTTAGAGATCTTCAGCGACGAGGATATCCAATGCCCCCTCATCACCCAATTTGGGGCCACCTCAAGGTCATCGCAAAAGTCATGAAGGAGCTTCCACCAGATCTAATGCCTACGGTCGCACTCGGCGAATACTTTCGACGACACTATCCCCACCTGGATCAAGCATTTTACCTAGACCAGTGGCCCTTTTCCAAGCCGATGCTAATCCTCCTCTCCCCGGACACTGCCCGACAAATCACTCAAGGAGTCTCATTGCTCAAAGATCCTCTACAAGGTGTTTTCTTGGCTCCGCTGACAGGTGGTTACGACATCGACACAATGGAGGGTGATGAGTGGAAGTTTTGGCACAACGTCTTCAGCCCTGGCTTTCGAGTCTCAAATATTACGGCCTTAGTACCGAGTTTTATTGAGATGGTCAACGTCTTCTGTGAACGACTTCGCGAACAAGCACGTAAAGAATCTCAGCCATTCTACCTGGCCCCGATGGCGTACGACCTTACTATGGATCTATCGGCGAAGTCAATCATGGACCACGACTTACACAGCCAGACCGAATACAACGATTTTGCAGCGGCCCTTGCGTCCCAACTTCGCTGGCTTCATTACAAGAGAAACACTTTGGCGGACCTCAACTTTATACGGCCACTGGTTCAACGGTACAACACTTGGCGGATGGACACTTACATCAACGCAGTATTATCGCGGAAGTCGAAACTCAGTCCCGAGGAGAAAAAGGGAGCAGTCTCCGTACTTGACGTTGCGAATGTCCCGCATGACCCGGTACATGTGCGAATACTTCCGAAGGTCATTCGCTCACAAGTCAAGTTCATGATGCTGGCGGGATATGACACCACTGGCTCTTCCATAGTCTTCATGACACACCGCCTTACAAAACATCCCGATATCTTAGCCCGTGTGCGCGCCGAGCATGACGAGATCCTCGGACCTGACATCAAAGCAGCGCCAAAGCTGATTGCGGCAAATCCAAAGTTGCTGAACCTCTTGCCTTACACCACCGCGGTGATGAAAGAGTCCCTTCGATTCTATCCACCCGGAGCCACCACGAGGCTCGGCCAACGCGACTTCAATCTTGTCATTGACAGGCCGGACGCCAATAACACGGCGGCTAAATTGGCTCTCCCCACTGAAGGGTTCATTTGCATGGCCATACATCACGGGATTCACCACAATCCTCGTTATTGGGAACGACCTCACGAGTTTATACCCGAGCGGTTCCTTGAGAAGGGAAAGGACGACCCGCTTCAACCTCCCGTCAATGGCTGGCGGCCTTTTGAACGGGGACCTCGAGCCTGTATTGGCCAAGAGATGGCTTTGGCTGAGATCAAGATGGTTTGCGCAATGACGGCGAGAGAGTTTGATTTCAGACCGGCATATGATAAGATTGGGCCACAGCCAGCCCATACGGTTGACGGAGACCACGTCTATCTTGTGAGTCGTGGAGGCGCTGCAAACCCTAGCGGTTTTTATCCGTGCCAAATCACTTTCACAGACAGAGTACAGACATGAGAGGAAGTTATGGACGTTTGGAGTGACAATATTATCCCTCTTTATCTATATATATCAACGGATGATTTTTGATGATTGCAACGAATTATTTTGCCTCCTCACACAAAATCCTAAGCAGGTATTGATAATCACAAGTGAAACATTTCCTCGAAGCTTTTTGTTTGTTGGAGTTTCATTCTTCGTAATTACAATTGGCTACCGAACAGTTCGCCATTCCATGATCCTTGACCTGCGTCATTCAAATGAGTTCGAGTGTTCACAACGATAATGTCATCCCGTAGTGAGGACAACGTTTCCCTCGCTGATGCAGCCTGCACGACTTCAATTAAAGATAGAATGCGCTCTGAAGCAAAGAAAACCGTGTCAATCTTTCCTGACATAACAGAAAACATCCGGCCGAATCGCGAGACCGTGCATGTGCGATTATCATGAGCTCCTACCGCCTTCGTCTTGATGGAAAGTTGTGGACCGACGTATCTGAACAAGTCGGGAAATGAGGGTAGGTATTTCGTTATTTGATCCTCCATGAGTAGCCGCTTCGAAGTGATGGTTTCAGTACAGATGCCGTCGCGAACGGCTTGGGCCTCTTCTGCTGTTGCGAACTGGCCTAAGGGTGTATGAGGAACGCTGGACAGGGTGAACAGACCAGGAGCCTCGGTCGGGTAGACTGAGCAGAGAGAGCCATCGACAAGCGTGATGGCAGGGAAGTCAGGTGGCCCTTCATAGTAAAGTAATAGTGTTGGCTCGTAGACAACTGGGATGTCAGGCCTGCTGTAATGTCCCCATGTTGCATCGATGGCGAAGTCGAAACGCTCGCCATCGAGAAAGACAGCATCGCCCGTGTCTTCTACACGACGTATTCGATGTCCCAGTTGCAGCACGTGTTTCAACTCTGCCTCGAAGTAAGCACGAGCTTTGGTGAGTAGGAGCACTCTTTCGGCTGTACACATGACACCAGACACGTTGGTAAGCTCGACCCTGGTTGGTAAACCTTCTGTAAAGTGTACCCCACTTGATGCCATGATGGCTCGATAGGTGCCGTAGTCGAGAAGGGAGTCATGAGACGGCACAGCGTAAAGGTTGTTTGGGACGCTTTTGCTCAGCTCAGGGTATCTCTCGATGAATCGTAGGAATCCGTCTCGCGACTGAATACGTGTCTCGCTGTGTCGAGGGTAATGGAAACCCATGTGCAATCGAAATTGGTTGTTCCCTGAAGCTTCATGCAGAAGGCGCTCATGCTGCTCGAAAAGCTTGACCCGAAATCCGAGGGCTTGGAAGGAAGCGGCGATATGGCAGCCATACCAACCGCCGCCGATGATGCCGAAACTGAACGGCTTTTGACCAGGGCCCTGGAAAGGAAATGATTCTGAGATGGAAGTTGGAGCCATGAGAGTAGAGACTTCTGAAGTATTTATGACTTCAAGGTATGGGGATTAGCCTGACGGACAATGCGTGCCTTCATACAGAGGCCAGTGTGAGCCGCACGATGTCAACTTGGGGCAGGTATAAGTTGGCTAGACTGGTTTGGATGTGATACGCCTTTGATTCGCAAGGGGCTAGTTAGCTAGCATTACTTGAGCAATCTGGGGTCTTGAGCCCTTATATGCTATTCCACGGCAATCCTGATGCCTTGGTAAGCGTAAGCAGTGCCACCCGAAGCATAAATAGAAGAGACCGGCGCGGAATGATGGATTGAGAGGGGCCATTGAAGTTCCGCCCTGTGCATCCCTTAGATTATCCTCAGTTTGAGCATTACACCAAAGGAGCGCTTAGGGTTGGATTCGTTCTTGAAGCTCACATGATGATGTTATTTCGATGAAATCTTCAGTTCGATGAGAAATCAGAAACATCTCTTATGATTTCAATCAGCTCATAATGCGCTTCGTCGCTGGCCTATAAGAAGAAGCGAATCTTTATGTAATAGGTTGAAATATCGTTATCAAGCCATGAATGTCTTGAGAACCCATCCATCTCAAACCTACAAGCTGGTTCAGCTGTGGTGCTTGTGATGCTAGAACTTTAAATATCTTGTCCAAATCGCAGTAAATCAGAACACGCCCCTTGCCTTATGAGCACAACTCCGGCGGTCAAAACACCCACGACTAGAACCCCTACAAGCCACATATCAACATTGCTCGCCCGCAGCGGATTCATTCTCATATCAGCAGTCTGCAAATGCATCGGCCTGAGCTCTTTCCCACGATCATTTAATATTCCACTTGCCCCTTTCTCCTTCTTCGCACTTTCATCGTCTCTACAGATCTCAAATCTGAGCTCGTGATCATACATGAACTCCTCAATGAGATCTGCAGCTAGAACCTTTCTGCGGCTAGCCAAAACAGCAATTCTTTCCATCCGGAGCGCATTGCGGCGAAACGTGCCGTCCTCGTCACGCATGAGTCGGCCGACTTTCTGCTCGATTTCACCAGGTGTAAAGGTTTCCTTCCTTACGGAAAGTGCGACGCCCGTATTGTCAAGAGCCAGCACTCGAGGGAGCTGATCTCCATAAATACCCATGCTGAGCATCGGAACGCCGTGGAACAGACTCTCATTTGCGGATGAGGGCCCTACGTGACTGAAAAAGAGCCGCGTAGACGGATGCGCCAGAACAGCACGTTGAGGAGCGAAGTCCACGAACATCAGATGAGGATGCTTGTTTTCAAGCAACTCCTCACTGCTGAGATTGATCTTGATTCCACTGGCACTCGTGTAGACGACACGGTCTCTGAGTGCAGCAAATTCCGTCTTACTCGCGCCGCGTATTGCCCATACTACACCATCAATATGGCCAGCTCTCAGAGCAGAGACAATACCGGCTCTGAGGTCCTTGAGCCTCTCACGAGAGAGGATGACATGCGTGCCGAAAGCAACGAACATCGTTCTCCCGTGCGTGGAATAGAATTGTAAGAGGCCATCATCGAGTGGTGCGTATTGGTCTGAGAGGATGGGCCCAATGGCATGAAGCAACGGAGGCGTCTCCTTGGGGGTCTCGAGACCAACGAACGAGTTGACGAGAACAAGGTGGTCCGGTTTAGGCAGCATGGGCAGCATGCCGAGGCCCTTCTGTGCGCGCATCTTTCTGGTGGTAAGGAATAGATCGGCGAACGCTATGGGATGCTTGAGCAGATAGATGTCCTGGTTGAAGCGATCCCACATGCTTGCATGTTCGCTGGTTTGAACTCGCGGTTCCAAGCCTACTCGCCCAGGGATGTATGGAACAGGGCACATGAAGTACGGCCACTGGGGCCACATTGTAGCCAGAGGCAGGTTATACTCTCTCTGCATGTCGCGGGCAGCGTCGACGTGGAAGTCGGCGAAGAGGAAGTCTGGCTGCGTTGACTCGATGACGAGTTTGAGGTTGTCGTATGTCTCTGACCAGAAGGAATCGAAGAATTTCTTCCCTTCTATCCAGTTTCTGAGACCCTTCCCACTCCAGCTCCATTCACTGAACTGAACATAGAGCTTGTCTTCCTCCTCGGGAGTGATTGCACGACCGACTACGTGTGTGGCGGACACGAAAGGGTAGGAATTCGCGTACGCCTCCCGGCCGGCAAAAGTAGCGAACTCGATGGTATGGCCCCGTTGGTGAAGATAATGGCAGACCTCAAACATGGGAGCTACGAGACGCCGAGTTAGTAGTGTCCGTTTCTGTCCATTCATGATGGTTTGCATATCTCACCGGAGTTTGTTGATCCGCCGGCGGTCACGACGACCAAGATCTTCCGCGGAGGAAGAATAGGTGGATTCTGGGCTGAGATTGACATCTTGTGAGACTGCAGCAAGAACACAAAATGATTAAGCTTCGAGGTTGTGAAAACTGCGCCAAATACTATGATTCAACAAAGTTGCTCATAAGAATCGATACCAGTTCTCGGGGTGAAGGTGAGGGAAGACAGCTGGACCTAGGTGGCTATACTCATAGTACCAATGTTAGAGATGAGAAATAAGAGCTTCGATAGCCTGAATCCTTCGGAAAGCATTTTTTCACGGCTGCCTTAGCGGGCGGCCATGCCTATGAGCTGAACAATACTCTCTCAGGTGATGTGATCCTCTCAGGTTGGATTCTCTTCCAGGATAGTCGGGACTCAGAAGTCGTATTAACAGCAACCTGACTCAGGCGACTCCGCCTCATTGACCGTCTTACGAACAAAAGTAAAGCTAATCCAATCAATAAAGCTACAATCCTTCCACGTATGCTATTCCTGCTAAGAACTAGCTATCCGTTCCACATTAGAGACATCCCACCTGGGATGTGTCGACATCTCAGAGGTACCGTGTTTGGATCTAGGATTTACTCTAAGCTGTCATGTATAGACGCCAGAAGGGGTGTTCAAAGTTGGACGTCAATAAAGTCTGGGCAACATGTTACGTGCATCCTTAGGCTTTGAGGCTGAGGCACCGGCCGTTCATCCCGTGTGGGGGGTAGGGAAATCTGACTTTAGATGGCATAACTCCACGTAGTCCAAGGAAACGGGGATGAGCGGGGAAGGGGGTTGGCTGTCGACTGGAGACGGTGTGTCGTAATCGTGGAGATGGCGTGGATGGAAGGTATGTGCCCGTCCCTGTTGGAGGATCACGTCGCCTGCATCTGGAGGGATTCACTTGACGGACACAGGATTACAGATTGGATGCAGCGTCATGAAACCTACGTCAAATTGTCCACCGAAGTGACATCGATGGATGTAATCTAGTTCATGTGTTGCCTTGGCGTCACCTATTGGTTGAAACATATCAATGTTCTGTCTCCAAGATCCGGCTTATCCTCAGCCACCATCAAGTATCGACAGTTGTAGAGATTTGTCGTTGTTGTCGTAAAGAGACCCAGTGGAGCTTGTGTGCCTCCAGCCCGTAGTCTACCCGCGATCTGGGCTAGGTAGCTCATTGGTTCAACGGGGATTTGGGGCTATCACGGAACGTGGTGGGATGAGAATTTAGTCCCGGCAAGGAGAGAATGATAGTTAGGTCACAGGTGGGAAGGATGATTTAACGGTCCAGGGCGGTGCTACGGAGTGGGCGCAGCTAAGCATCGTGGCGCCTTCGCAAGTTCTGATGCTGTCTCACACATGTACTTGAATGCTTGGCTTGAGACACAAATATCAAGAAACTTGGCGAAGGAGACACCTTCCTCCGCCAAGCTGCGGAGATGACCGGCATTTGTTCGGCCCCACTCGGCGTGCAGTCCCGGCGCCACGGAAAACTAGCGCCGCGAGATTTTGTCCCAAAGAGGAGTGACTAGCCAAGTGTCTCGAAGGCGCGATCCACTGGCTCCCTTGCAAGCCATAAGGCCAGCCAACTAGTAAGAAAATCGCGAGAAAGAGTTCCGCTATGATGCCTTGGCGTCGTGAGCTATCTACTATCGTTAGTCCCAGGTTTGACTGATGCCTGAACGCCAATGCAGTGGCTGGAGAAGCGGTATCGTGATGTAATATTCATCTAAACAGTAGCTACCAGAACAAGCATCTAGTGACTCGGGTAAGCGCATGGGTGAGCCAGCCCAGGAAATCCTTCGAATTGACTACGGATCTACCGGAACCGTGTCTCACAGCCGGTGGTGTTTCTATCAGCTTTGGACTGACACCTGCACGCCACACCCCCTTCCTCGCACGACTCATGAAGCTTAGAACCCCCTGTCAGCGTCTATGACATCCAACCTCTTTACCATTCAGGGCGTCAGAAATATTTAGATCTTAATGGGATTCAACCACGCAAGACGCACTTTCGTGATACGGATGACACCACCTAAATAACTCATTCGTCACCGTAGGCCTTTTCGGGACAGCCTTGCGGAATTGCGCGTGGGGAGGCGACTGCCAAGCCAGATTACATCGAGTGACATGGTGACAGTCAATTCAAGGACCTGGGCTATCATCTCAGGTTTTCAAACTCGTCGGATCTAACAGCCTATGCCACCATAACTAGCGCCCGTTGTTGAGCGGACTTTGAGGATCAAAGGAGTCGCTTGTAATCAGGCTCGGGAAGCTGATCCCGCCCTGTCTAAGCACCTCTTCCATCACTTCCATGGACACGATGGTCTCATCCAGGGGCAACACGTCACTCTCCAACCTTCCATCCCGCAGGCACCTGGCACATTCATCTGCCTCCCAGTACAGACCGCGCCCCCAGCCACCTCTAGCACTATCTTGGGGGAATGGAAACTCGACAGTTTCGACTTCGCCCCCTCCGCCTTTCCTGATGATTTTGTAGCTGTGTGGGCGGAAAGCCGGCCCACAAACTTGTAGTTCGCCATCAGATCCCTGCATCTTGATCGCAGGGCCACCCGTGAAGTCGTAGTCTACCCCTGACCCGAGTCGGAGCGTGGTCATACCTATGCCCATGGTGTTGTGCCTTGGGAACTGGACGATGAAGCTCGTTGTCTCATCAGTACCTGTATGGTACTTGTTCATGGCAGCCATCACGGCAGGGGACTCCTTTTCGTTCTCAGGTTGAAGGTGGTAGAGAATCTGCATGATCCATGAAAGCGAGTATACGCCCAGATCTAACATAGCCCCGCCAGCTAGCTGGGGGTTTACCATGCGATTGGAATCATCAAAATCCAGCTTCCCGTCAAGCAAGCTTCTGTTGATGGAGTTGTCCGCTATTTTTCATTAGTTAGCTTGTTAAGATATTTCAACTGCTTTCGGCATGTCAGGCTTTGCAGAGACCTACCAATGACACGATAGACCGTCCCAATAGTTCCCGTAGACACCAGCTCACGAATCTTGATACTCAAGGGAAAGAAACGGGTCCACAATGCTTCCATTAGGAACAGCCTTCGCTGTCTGGCAATTTCAACAAGTTTCTTCGCCTGGGCAGACGTGATGGTAAACGACTTCTCGCAAAGGACGTGCTTCCCGGCTTCCAGAGCTAGCATGGCGTTTTGGAAGTGATGGCTCAAAGGCGTAGCCACATATATGATATCCACGTCGGGGTCCACCACCAGCTCGCGGTAGGAACCATAGGTCCTCACTTTCCCTTTTTCCGGAATCTGAACCTCCGTGCAGAAGTCTACAGCCTTCTGGGTCGAGGTGGACGAGGCGACAGCAGTAATGCTGTGGCGAACATCATCCGCATCCCGAATTGACGGATCAGTAACAAGATCGCGGACAAAATCTGTGTTGTATGAGCACTGAGTGTAGATGGGACGGAAGGGGGACGGAAGGTTACTTCTCGCGATGTGACCGGTCGCCATAATCCCCCATCTGAGGGTGTGCGGTTTTGTAGAAGTCATGGTTGCGAGGGCTGTTTTTGTTCTGCAGGAGTTCATACATAGGAATGAGGGGAATAGCTGATGGTTCCTGGGTGTGGATGTACTCGGCGAGTCTACACGTTTGAGGGGTCCTGACGGAGGACACATTAATACCAAGGCTTACATTCCTCGGCTTTTTCTCGGAGCCTAAGTAGGCCCAACAATCCCACTTGCATTTCCGTGTCTTGACCTCGACGTTTGACTTCAAAATTTGGAGTGAGATTTCTGTTGTGTATTCAGTACGACTTGGCAATAATGATGAGCAGATAAGTATGACGAAAGCGTTTACGATTCCAATAAAGTAGCAGAGTTACAAGTTCTAATCAAAGTTCTCACTGCGCCTTCATTGCTTTCTCAATGCCTCTCTCAATCGTCTCAACCATCTTGTCTGTGACCTCCCTCGGAGCTGTAGGGATTTCGTGTCCTGCAGGGTGCTCCCAAAACTGCCTTGTCTCTTCGCGAGACAGATGCACCAGCTTCATGCAGGTTTCAAGGTCTCTATCAAGAGCTCCGACGAGATGTACCGTCGGGACTCCAAGTACAGCCTTTCCTTCCTTGTCTACTTCATTCTCGCAGTATCTTAGAGTGTTTCTCTCTTTGATTGACTTTTCCGAGAACGGAGGGCCTCCACAGATGAAGATGGCAAAGGCGAAAGGCGCAGGGAAATTGTCCCGAGCAATAAGCATCGCGGCCAAAGCAGCCCCTTGTGAGAAGGCCAAAACACCATCAAACGGTCCTTCTGACTTGACGTACTCTTCGAGATCATCAACAGCCTGGATGATGGTTTCGTATTTCTCTGTGTCGTAGTATGCAAAGTATTCAGCATCTGGCCCTGCCAGCGCGTTGATACCTAGGCAAATACCGTAAGTCTTTGGACTGAGAGCGGATCTGCTTTTAATGAACCTACCTGGAGCTGCAGGCCACTCCAAGGCACCTTCTACGAAATCAAATGTGGCTGAGAAGCTTTGTGCGAGGGCGCTTCGTATCGCAGCTTCCCGTGGTGTTAGCGAATAACTTGACATGTCAGATTCAGTGTAAAGAATCACCAGTCTGCACTGAAAATATCTAAGCTCAGTCAGTGATTTGCTTGATTGATCACAGGTATCCAAATACTTGCTTTGCTGCTCGTGCCCATACCGTGCAAGCAGAGAATACGCATTTTGGCTGTGGCCCAGGGAACGGTAAGACTAGAATAGGTTCAATATCTTTCTATTCAGAATGGCGTAAAGTTGCAAAGAAATCGATAAGTTGCTTCCTACATGTACTGAGAGTATGAGTGCATCGACCTCTTTTCTCGGAGATGATACCGCGGGAGACTAATATGATCCAGATATTATGTCCCCAAGTCTTCCAATGCCTGGCTCAATTCGACTATCTCATCCGTCCACCCAAAAAAAGATTGCCTAATCCAGCCATTCCTCCCCACGTACGTAACTCGATCCTGTTCCGTCACCAGCCAGTGCTCTTATGCCAACCAGAATCCTGCAGGATCTTACCCATATGCAGGTCGTGCATCTTCCAATACCCACAATCAGAACAGACATCCTGGAGTGAGACCCCTTCGAAGGATCGGAAACCTTATTAGACTATGCTTACATCTACGCCAGTAGGGCGCCATCAGCCCTCCGGCGGCAAGTTCACATTCCGTCATGTCCGCCAGAGTGAGACACTAACACTCATCGCCGCCGCCTCCCACAACGGCTGTGTTGTTTTGCTAGCTCGCGGCGGAGAACTGGCTTCAAGACGGGCTCAGCGCTTCGGCCGTTCATGGAAATAGACACGTGTTTTGACAGGTCTCGACAAGCTCTTTGGAGCCTACATATTGGAGCTTTCATGGGAAACGCGCGCATCCAGGGGTCACGAAACATTTTCTGCCCTTGATTTGAATTATTGCTCCATTCTTCCAACTTGTGTTGATTGCATCGGTGTAGTCGCAACATCCTGGGTGCTCGCCCCACGCATGTGCATGTCTGAGGTGATCGGCTACGCAAGGCAACATTCGTTTGGCGACTCGCATTCGGCGGGCTGCATAGACGCTTCACTTGATTGCATTTTCGGACGTTGGGCCATCGCCCGAAATCTGCTGCCATGTCTCGACATGATCACTGGCGGCCGGTGTCGCTTCCTCCTCTTCGAACCACACGATACTCGGGCTACCCCGAATATCCTCAGCTTCCACCGATCGCCTGCGACCCATTGCACGACTTGCATCGAGTGCCCTTTTTGCACAAGAACTCCGAATACCGAGTACCATTTATGGCAGAATCCAACTTGACCGAAGCCAATGGCAATTCGACCACGGCCGAATCGAGTGCAGAAAAGGCACATATGGCAGAAAGACACGGGGATACGGCATATGATCCTGGGGCGCGATCTCCAGCCGACACCCACAACGACGTTCCATTGACACCTACACACGCAGAAGAACAGCCAGTCGAAAGACAAGAATTTATGAGCGGGTGGCCGCTGTACATGCTTACTATGGGGTTTGTGGCATTTCTACACGTTACGAACGTTGGGGCCATAGCTGAATTCTCTTAGCATCTGGATCTCCCTCTTCCTATCGACTTTGGAGACGACAATTGTCAGTACATCTCTGATTGCGATATCAGATTCTTTAAGCGGCTTCGAGCTTCGAAATTGGGTAGTCACGGCATACTTCCTGACCTACACCGGTATGGATCCGCCCTTGTCGTATTTTCTCGCATTATTACACGATGCTAAACGATCCAGGATTTCTCGTTATTTATGCGAAACTCGCTAGCATTTTCGGATCCAAAACGATGTTCATTTTCGCTCTGACTATGTTCACGGTCTTCTCGATTGGCTGCGGCTCGGCAACAACCATGGAACAATTGTATGTAGGTCGACAATCCGGAGATTTGAGTATTTCATCTCACATAATGCAGGATCATTCTTCGGGCATTCCAAGGGATTGGCGGGTCAGGTATCTACTCTATGGTCCTAGTCATTGCACCTGCGCTTGTTCCCAAAACCGAATACGGAAAATACATCGGTATCATTTCATCAGTTTTTGCACTGGCCAGTATCACGGGACCGCTTGTTGGTGGCGCCATTTCTAGTAGCTCATCGTGGAGATGGGTGTTTCTGCTAAAGTGAGTACATGATCTCGTGAGCTGTTGCTTGGAGTAGCCAAAGAGATATTTACCTGCGTTTCAAGTGGTCCGCCCGGCTTCGTGGCAATTGCAATTGTTGCAATCTTTCTGCCGGCAAGCAAAACTGAGCGCACGACCGATTTCAAGACTCGCATGAAAAACAAGTTCACCCGCGAGACCTTGCAACGAGTCGACTTCATTGGCGCAGGTTCGCTTCTAGGTGCCTCTGTCCTCCTGGTATTTGCCCTCGAGTCGGGCGGTACACGATATCCATGGGACAGCTCAGCCATATCATCCACTTTCATCTTTTCGGGGATTTTGTGGATAGTTTTCATTGTATGGGAAATCCGCTTGGAAAGGAAGGACAACATGCCACAAGAGCCCATCTTCATCATGGGTCTACTCAAAGACCGACAGCTGGCCAGCATGATGTTGTATGTGCAACCCGTTTTAGTGATGGATCATTCATACTGACAAGTCCAGCACAACATTCTTCATTGGATTCCCCTTCGTCACCATCTTGTTCATCATCCCACAACGAGCACAAGCAGTTTATGGACTGAACCCTGTGCAGTCGAGTTTATCTGTTTTGCCACTGCTGCTAACATCCCCATTCGCCACGGCGATTTCTGGCGTGCTCACATCCAACTACAACGTGCCACCAGCTCACCTCATTCTCATTGGAGCTGTGATTCAACTGGTTGGAGTTGGTCTCGCTGTGAGTATCCCTCTCACTGGAGATCATATATCGGCCTCCCAATATGGTTTTGAGGCCGTGATGGGAGTTGGCTTTGGGTTGACACTGAGTACGGTGTTGACACTGGGTCAACTCATCGTAAGCAAAGAAAACGCGGGTAAGAATCTTATTTCTCTAAGGGAACTTGACTGTTGCTCATGGGAAACAGGTATTGTCATGGGTGCACTCACTCAGATTCGCGTTCTCGGGGGAACGATTGCCTTGGCAATATGGTACGTCGTTTATGTTATAAAACAGCGTGATGGTTCACTGATGGTTCGCCAGCTCTGCTGTCCTCTCCAATGATTTGAGGGCAGGTCTTGCTGGACTCATCAGACCAGATGAGTTCGGGCAGATTGCAGAATCTTTGTCGTCGATCAACGACCTTGACCCGGAACGCGCCGCCAAAGTTCGCCTGGCGTTCGCAACGGGATACAAACGACAATTCCAAATTCTCACTGGATTCAGCGGTCTAGCCCTTTTGGCGGCCTTGTTTCTTTTCAGTCGACACCCTGTGACAGTAAAAGGTGCAGCAGCTAAGGAGACTCCGGGAACATCAATCGACTCGTATGAGCTAGCTGCAAGAGGATCATCTGAAGCTCAGAGAAACACATAGACGATGTCCATGCAGTCATTATATGTTCTGTACTATAATCATTTCCTAGCTTTTACACGCGTTCAAATGAGCAGCGATACAGATAAAGACAGAGTTATAGCATGACGTACCTTCTTTATACTGCGTTTGAAGCATGACTATATCATTGCAACGGTAAACCATTTGAAACGTGTGACGTGCCTCATCGTTCCCCAACCTTTTGTGTGCTTCTAACAGACTGCTAAGATCGATCACTAAAAGTCATCCAGTGGTTATGAACAAATAACCGTGTCATTAAGCTCAGCAATGTCTCGTCTGCCCTCAATCTGAATGAGATTAAATCTATTGCCTTCGTTATGGAAAAGTAATGTGCAGAAGAGCTGGAAAGACCCCACAAGATTCTCCAAATAACGTGTTCCTTAATTGAAAGTCTAGTCGCCAGTGTTTACAAAATTCATTCCAATCAATACCTCTCGTCACTGGACGCGTTCCAGATCTTCCCCGCCTTTCATCCAACCTCAGACCTTGCGCAGCCTGACATAACATTGTTGAGGGGGGCGGAGGATCTTCTGATGACCCCATCGGCTGTTCAAATCATCAGGGACAGGAAGGAACTCGAAGTTCCACACCAAGAGAACGAGAAAGATTCTCAACTGCTGCATCGCAAGCTTGCGCCCTATAGCAGACCGAGTTAGTCAAGACGAATGCCGGTCTGCGAGAAGATAACTCACCAAAGCAGCCCCTGACCCCAAGAGAGAATTGCAGTCTTGTCAAGGCTCCAGCGTCAAATTCCTCAATTCCTTCCTCGGTCTTCTTGATCCATCGCTCAGGCATGAACTTTGAGATGTTCTGCATGGAGAAGTCACCCCCTTTGCGACGCTCCCAGGCTGTCTGGCTGCTTTCACTGCGAGATTCATCGAGTACACCTAACGGCTCGTTCATGAACTGGGCGTTACACATGATGTGAGATCCCTTTGGTACATGGTAACCTAGAATAGTCGTATCAACTGTAGCAGATCGTGCTAGAAGAGGTACGGTGTTGGCAAAGCGCAAAATCTCCTCTAGAGCCCCGTCTAGATAGGGAATGGAACTAGACAGGATCTCAAGCGCTGAAGGAGATGTGTGATTGGGAAGGCCCATGAAGACGTTTTTCAGAGTTTGGCGCAACTTCGACTGCTCTACCTGGTTATCAGCGAGAGTCTTCAGACCCCATCCGAGAGTTATAGCGGTAGTTTCATGACCCTATTATGTGTTAGTCCGAACAACCTGAGTCAAGTTTCTCTACATACCGCAACGAGAAGCATTCCCAGTTCATCACGCATCGCGGTGTCGGTGGAAGCTGGCGAACGCTGTCCTGTTTTTGCAAAAGCAATGGCTTCGCGGCGAAGCACCAGATCCATGGCGCATGTGTCGCCCTCATCTTTAATTATGATGTCGCCTTCGGTGGTGAGCTTCTCAAAGCGAAGCCTGGCATTCGTAATCAAGCCATCAATCTCCTTGTCTTTGAAGTTGCTGTAGTACCTGTATCGTTTCGATTGCCGAATCCACCAATGATGCTTGGCGGGAAAAGGAGAGCGCATAATACGCTCGATGGTACCATTAACGTATGCAATCGCATGAAACATGATCGATCGAGGAGCTTTTGAGAAGTGCACTGACTGATCTTTGTCCGTAACTGCGTTGACACTCTCATCGATGAGGGCATTCATCTCGTCCCGAAGCCCGGTCAAACGAGTGCCAAGCATAGCGATCCATATGGAGTCAAAGGCCGCCAGCTCCAAGTCATCCAAGGCCTCAAAGGGACGCTCAGTAGCCAGCTGGCATTTCCGGCTCCAAAGCTCGACCAATTCCGAGGCGCACCGATGCACGTTTGGGGCCACGACCTTTCTCAGGAACTGCGGTGACATGACATCCTGCCATAGTCTTCTTTGCTCTCTGAAAGCGGGTGTCGTAAGCTTGACCATACTGGCCTCTGGAACGAGCGGCTTAAAGAAGGCGATAGTTGAGGGTGCCCTGTCAAATTCTCGTGTTCGACGGAGGAGGATATCCTCCGTCTCGCGCGGGTCGTCAATGAAGATGAAAGGCCGGGAAAAAGGGCGGAGGAAGATTTGAACGATTGGAGAGTTCAGATGGCGACATTGTTGGAAAGAAAAACTTGCGATTTCTTTGGTTTTCTTGAAATGAGCGAGGAGTCCTGGAAGGTCTCCAAGAATGCTGTCGGCAGATTTCTTGTTGTAAGGGATGCCTGGATATGGTTTTGGAAGTGCTCTATGGCGCAGATACACCAGACTGACAACTAGAAAACCGATGATTGCAAGTATCGAGGCCATCTTGAGATTCAGAGCTCCAGACCGAGTGTTCAAAGAATCGATTGTTGGTGTTATGGTTTTGTGTGCTATCTGGAGATATTGATGACTTCGCTACTGCGAGTGAGAAAGAATCAGTGACGACTTACAAAGACTTCCTCACTCAGTGGGCATTAGGAGAAGTCGATCACCAATCTGATCCTCAACCATCTGTCAGTATTCTTGCTGCCACATAACAAATGTCAATCACCTCGCCCTGAGCTCACCACGGATGTCGCAGGATTTGATAGCTGGCTAGTGCATCTATTTTCGTGAACGTCTTAAAAATGGTCAACTCATCGTCGTGACCGGATCACACAGCCCCGGATGCGTTGTTTGTATCCCGTACTATCGTGATAGTTGCAATCGTCCCGTACAGTTGCATATTGTTTCGTCCTTATTTCTGACATGTTGCGTCAGCAGCAGACTATTCCCGAAATGGCTAAAATCTCGCGAACCCGCGGGGCTCATCTGCAAGGGCAGGGAGAGGGGGTGTGCGCGAAAGACGGAGCAGGGTGTGATCGTCTGATCCTCACGGCGAGGGTGACGGTAGAGAAACCAGGGGGGGCGCCCGCGACCTGACGGACTTCTGGGATGCACGGCAGATGGATTGCGGTACATGGGCGCCAACTACGATAACCGATACCGCGTTTTTGGCACTTGGATGATGATTTCATTTGATGCAGATCTATTCAAGTAATTTCTGCTGGTTTGAGAAGCAGCTGCGAGAAGCTGAGCCTCAGTATGTGGACTCGGTTACCAATGAAGTATATTAACTAGGCCAATTCTATTGCTGGATACTACGCAACCGTTTCGTGACAAAACACATTGTCAGATATTTACATCGTTTTCCCCTTGTCTTCACTAGTCTCAACAACAAGCAACATGGCTTCCCCGCCCACCTGCACGCTGCGCAGCCTGACCGGGAAGTTCAGGACTAACAAGCAACTTTCGGACAGCTCCGATCCCCTTCTCGCCATGGTAGGTCATCTCTCCCATCTGCAGACATTGTCGCAGGCTTGATATACAAGCTGACAGTTTGAGACAACAGCAAGGTATCAACTGGGCTATTCGTAAGGCCATGGGTGCTGTGCCGATCGTGATCAACATCAAGGCCTGCCCTCCCGAGAACGGGGTTGACGTGATCGAGGCGGAGAACGTCATCGGAGGGGGGATTCACAAGGCCAAGGAGCGCCGCCTCCTCAACTGGGAGGTTGTTGAGAGAACTGATGCCAACTTCGGCCGCCTCAGAGTCCAGAATGGATGGTCGGCACTTTCTGATGTAAGCCGCCTGTTCCGTGCCCCTTTCCCACGTTTTCATATCCACAACATCGAAGGTTTCGATTCTTTCATGCTATCATATTATCCTGGCTCTTGCACGTACATGTCGATTCCAAGTTACTATAGGCTATCGAATCAGGTGGATGTGGAATGACGTGAAGGCACCTTGGGTAGACTGAGCTAATCGGGAGCGGCAGATCAAGGATGACTTTCTGGCCGCTGGCTTGGAGAAAGATCATGACCAAGACCCCGTTGTACACATCAAGGTAGACAATCTGGACCATGGATGGACACAGGAGCAGACGTGGGGGTTTGAAGAGATTGGGGGCATAAGACGCTACGTTCGCAAGATTGTTGTGACGAAGGGCGATGTACGGGAGACAGCCCGTCTTGTGTTTGATTGGGAAGAGTTAGCTTGAATTACCCCAGGCCAAAGTTAGACACGGATTAGCCCGCAGGATTAAACATGTTCCATCACAAAACACCAGAAACTTGCTCAACTCGGATATCCTTCGCTATGCACGTGAACTCAACTTCGTCGACTAGTCTGTGATAGGACTGAATCTCGTCGGGTACGAACTAAACCGCATGCTGTCAGTATGGCGAGATGTAGGGCTGAGCCAAAGTACATCAATCAAGCTTTACCTAGTCTCTCCACATGCAGCGCTAGACTAACTAGCTTATTGACACCGCGCCATCTTCCCAGACGCAACGGCTGCCTAGACGTCCACGTCCCTTGTTCCATCCCGTTTCTGAGCGGGACACTACGCCACCACCATGCCGCGGGATCATTGCCGTGCTTACGGAGGTTGACGTTGAGACGTAACTAATGTACGGATTTGTACCCTGTCAGCATCCCATAGAGATAGCTTCAACTAGCCCCTGACCAGTCATGCCACGAGGTTCATCTTACAGTATCTCATTCACCGACGGTCTTTTTTAGCTCCCTATCACTATCGGAGAGATCTAAGGCACGTTGAGTTTATGGTGTTGCCTGATTGATCGATGCCGCCACATCATCACCAGACGTACCCCGGAGCGCGGCTGGATACAAGTCAGATGGGTGGGCAGAGGCTGAGCAGATACTATCCTTATACCTCTGGATCCTTACCCGTATTCCTTGCCGCTGACCGTGTCAACGGGAGGAATGCCATGTATGTCTAGCTATTTTCCAGCCTCGGACGATGGATTCGGCCGGCCAGCCATGATCTGGACATCCATGCTGACAGACATGAGAGACAAGCAAGGTCATGCTAGGCTACCATGGCTATGGAGCTGATACTATCACAGAAAGCTCCATCAATGAGAGGGTATCGAAGTCCCCTTGCTTCAATTTGGTCATTCGCATAAGGTTGGCGAGATTAGATATAAGTCATCGTATCACTTGCCATTTTGCATGCCTTGATCCACCATTCTCTGCATACCAGCATTCAGCAAGCCTTGATTCGTTCAACCGAGAGCAAGACAAAGTTTCATATTTTCCTTCTCATTCAACAAGAACATTGTCAATTTCATCATCAATATGACCCCTAACGTCACAATGAACAGCCCCGACATGGCTTATGGCGAGGATGTTGCCATCATCGGCCTCGACCTGAGGTTCCCTGGTGACGCCTCTACACCCGAAGAGTTTCAGAAGCTCCTTCTTGAAGGACGATCTGCTTTGAGTGATATCAGCAAGGAGAGATACAACATTCATGCCTTTTATCATCCAGATCCCGAAAGGGCTGGTGCTGTAAGCTCATCATTTTGAAATTTTAAAACGGTTATCAGCTGACAGGAGTTTCTCCAGATCAACATTCGTAAGGGACACCACATCAAGGGTGATCTTGCGGCTTTCGATGCTCCATTCTTCTCTATTCCACCCGCGGAAGCGGCCTGCATGGATCCCCAGCAGCGTGGACTGCTGGAGTGTGTCTACAGGGCCTTGGAAAATGGTATGTTCAATAATGTTGTGTCAACTGAACCGCAATGCTGACAAAAGTGTAGCCGGTATTCCAATGGAGAAGGCTGTAGGCTCTGACACATCCGTTTACATCGGGTGCTTCACCCGCGAGTACGATGGAGTCATCACTCGTGATCCCGAGCTTGATCTTAGATATCTCGCAACGGGTACTGGCACAGCTATGCTTTCCAACCGTCTCAGTTGGTTCTACGACTTTCACGGCGCCAGTATGACCCTTGACACTGCCTGCTCCAGTAGTCTGATGGCCTGTCACTTGGCCTGTACGAGCTTGAAGATGAGAGAGTCTTCCATGGCCATTGTTGGAGGAGCCAACTTGTTTTACAACCCCGACACTTGCATTCCCCTTACCAGCCTTGGCTTTCTTTCCCCGGACTCCAAGTGTTACAGCTTCGACCACCGCGCAAACGGCTACTCCAGAGGGGAGGGTTTTGGAATCTTGCTCTTGAAGCGCCTATCTGACGCTGTCCGGGATCAAGATACTATTCGCGCAGTTATCCGCAGCACCGTCGCCAACCAGGATGGAAAGTCTCCCGGTATCACACAGCCAACAAAACAGGCTCAGGTCAACGCCGCAGAGACAGCCTACCGCCAGGCCGGCCTTGATCCCAGTGTCACTCGCTTCTTTGAGGCTCACGGTACCGGAACCCCCGTCGGTGACCCCATTGAGGCCAGTGCCATTGCTCAGGTATTCAGCAAGCATCGGTCCCCTGAGGAGCCCCTTCTTGTCGGTGCTGTCAAGAGCAACATCGGCCATCTTGAGGGCGCAGCCGGTATTGCTGGCCTCATTAAGGCCGTCCAAGTTCTTGAGACGGGTGTTATCCCACCGAACATCTGGTTTGAAAAGCCCAACCCGAAGATCCTTCCGGAGTGGCATCTCAAGTTCCCCACCGAAAACACTCTCTGGCCTACTGACGGCCTTCGGCGCGCTTCCATCAACTCCTTCGGCTACGGTGGATCCAACGCCCACGTCATTATGGACGATGCGTACAATTATCTCCGAGAACATCAGCTCAAGGGCCAACATCGCACTTCTGAGCTTCCTAACAAGAAGCTATTGCGAGCGCCAAAGGGCGAGACCGTCGAGACCAAGGGCCTCAATGGCTATGCCAACGGGACTGAAACGTCTCATACAGATGACTCCAACAGCGAGGTCGCGAACGGAGACTCTGAGGCCACCAAGATTCACATCAACGGGACCAATGCCGTCAACGGAAACACAGGAGATAAGATCTTTGTTCTCTCCGCAGCTGACGAGGGCGGCATTGAACGTCTCGCCAAGATCTACGAGCAGCACTTGACAGCCAAGAAGGCGACCATCGAGGACGAGGCAAATTACCTCGAGGATCTGAGCTTTACCCTCTCTTCTAGACGGTCACAGCTTGCTTACAGAGCCAGCATCGTCGCTCCCAGCATCGAGACGTTGATTGAGAGCCTCGGTGGCAAGCTAACTGCCATCAAAGCTGGCACCAAGCCCAAGCTTGCCTTCGTCTTTACAGGCCAGGGCGCTCAGTGGCATGCCATGGGTAGAGAGCTGCTTGATGTCCCTGCCTTCAAGGAGAGTCTCGAATCAGCTTCGGATTACCTGCATGAGATTGGTTGTGAATGGACGTTGACCGAGGAGCTTACCAGAGATGAGAAGTCCTCTCGCATCAACGACGCGGAGTTCAGTCAGCCGCTCTGCACTGCACTCCAAATTGCCTTGGTTGATCTCTTGGTCAGCTACGGCGTCTCTGCGGGATCTGTCGTCGGCCACTCTTCTGGAGAGATCGCGGCCGCTTACGCTGTCGGGGCCATTTCCAAGTCCACTGCTCTCAGACTTGCATTCCATCGTGGTGCGCTTTCCTCTCAGCTCTCGCGTGGCGAAGCTGTTCCCACGGGTGGTATGATGTCTGTGGGCTTGGGTCAGGCTGAGGCAGAGGAGTACATTGCTGGAGTCGACAAGTCCAAGAATCAAGTTTTGTTCGTGGCTTGTATCAACAGTCCAAAGAATGTCACCATCAGCGGCAGCGTCGATCTTATCGATGAGCTGAAGGGGAAGCTTGACCAGGACGGGGTCTTTGCCCGTAAGCTTACTGTTCAGAACGCCTACCACTCTCCTCTCATGGAGCCAATTGCAGCCAAATACAACCGGCTGATTGGGAAGATTAAGTCTGGTGTCTACGCTAGCAACTCGGCCCGTCCGGTGTTTTACTCTTCGCTTGAGGGCAAGGCTATTGACATCTCGGCTTTGAGAAGTCCTGGCTATTGGGTGAGGAACCTTCTTTCTCCCGTCCTGTTTTCTCAGGCACTCTCATCTCTTGTCAACGACTCCAACCAAAAGACCAAGAAACTCGGTGCCAAATACAAGGGAACACCAATCACGGAATTGGTCGAGATCGGACCGCACGCTGCTCTGAAAGGACCCGTTCGAGAGATCTTGGCCCAGCTGGTCAACACGTCTTCCGTTGCCTACGAGTCCGTTTTGATTCGTAAGAACTCTGCGACCAACACTTTCCTTCGGACTCTCGGTTGGCTGTTTTGTAAGGGTCACAGCATCGACCTTACGTCCACCGGAGAGTCCCACCCCCAGCTTCTGGTCGACCTTCCCAGCTACCCCTTCAATCACACCAAGACCTTCTGGGCTGAGAGCCGTCTGAGTAAAGGGTACAGGTTTCGACAGCATGCTCGTCACGAGCTTCTTGGCGCTCCTGTCCCGGATTGGGACAAGTCAAATGCTATTTGGAGGAACTGGATAAGAGTCAACGAAAACCCCTGGGTCAAGGACCATCGCGTCACTGGCACAACCTTGTACCCGGCCGCCGGTATGCTCGTGATGGCTATTGAGGCCAGTCTCCAGCTTGCCGCTCCTGAGAGGAAGATCAAGGGATTCCGTTTCAAGGAAGTGTCTCTTCACATGGCTCTCCGCGTACCGCTGAATTCCGACGGTGTCGAGACGCACTTCCACATGCGCCCGTACGTCGACAGCACGGCTTTGGCCGCTTCGAACTGGAGCGAGTTTGAGCTGCGCAGCTACGAAAATGATGGCTGGGTAGAGCATTGCCGCGGTCACATTCAAACGGAGTACGAAGTCCCCTACACACCCGTTGACAACGGCCTGGAGGACCGCCTCTTCGCCGAGCGTTGCGCTGAGACTGTTCGTAATGCCGAGTCCAACTGTACCGAGGAGATTCAGATGAAACAACTCTACGAGATCCTTCAAACTGTTGGATTCGACTTTGGACCTACTTTCCAGAATCTGTCCGACGTCCGCATCGATACCGAGCGCAACTCAATTGCTACTGTTACGCCCCCGGATATCAAGAGCAAGATGCCGTATGGGCACATCCAGCCGCATCATATTCACCCTACAACTCTTGACGGTGTTATCCAGAGTGTCGTCGTCGCCATGACTATGGGTGGCAAGGAGATGGGAGAAGTCATGATTCCTACCTCTTTCAAGGAGCTCTGGCTCTCTGCCGACGGTGAGAAAATGCAGAGCCCTCACAGAGTTCATGCCCATGCAAAGTTCCTTGGTCTGCGCCAAGCTGAGGCCACCTTCACTTCGGTTGATGCTACCACCGGGGAACCTCTCGTCGTCGCAGAGGGATTTGTCTCCACAGCCATCGCCCAGAATTCTTCCAAGAGCGGCTCTGAATCCGGTCGTCACCTTTGCTTCAACATCGACTGGAAGCCTGACGTGGCATTTGTTGACCAGGACATTGCGACCCGTACCTTCTTGGCTGATGAGGAGCTGCTCAAGTTCGACCCTTCGGAGCTCATCAAGAACTTGGAGACTCTTTGCTTCTTGTACATGAAGAGATATATGAAGACCGTCACACCTGAAATGGAGCAAGAGATGAAGCCTCACCATCAGAAGTACGTTGACTGGATGCGTTGGCAGTTTGAGCGCTACGCCGACGGCAAGAACTGTCATCTCGATCCCGACATGGACGGGCTCGCCGAAGATGACACCTACCTGAAGGAGCTCGAAGACAAGATGGACGGCAAGTCACCTGAAGCTACACTTGTTGTGGCTGTTGGCAGGGCGATGACCGATGTTCTGGCCGGCAGATTGGACCCTCTTCAAGTTCTTTTCGCAGAGAAGCGTGCTGAGAACGTCTATCGCGCCGCGACCGGTGCTGCCATCAGCTACCAGAGACTTTCGGCTTATGTCGATGCTCTCGCCACCAAGGAGCCTGGTATGAAGATTCTTGAGATTGGAGCTGGTACGGGCGGCATGACCCATCCTATGCTGGAGACCTTGACTCATTACAAGGACCCCAACGCCAGCGGCATCAGGTTCGCCAGCTACGACTTCACCGATATCTCCCCCTCGTTCTTTGAGAAGGCCAGAGAGGTGTTCCATTACGCTGTGGACCGTATGAACTTCAAGGTTCTCAACATCGAGAACGACCCCGTTGCTCAAGGCTTCGAACTCGACAAGTATGATCTGGTCGTCGCTGCCAACGTCTTCCACGCTACCCAGAGCCTGGATGTCACCCTGAAGAATGTTCGCAAGTTGATGAAGCCTGGCGCTCAGCTTCTTCTTTACGAAATCACCAACAACACTCTGATGCAGACCGGTTTCGGCTTTGGTCTTCTTCCTGGTTGGTGGTTGTCTGAGGAGGAGTACCGCCAATGGAGTCCTCTCTTGAGCGTACCCGACTGGTCGACTCACATGAAGCGCACCGGCTTCACTGGAGTTGATCTGTCCTTCACAGATTACCACGACCCCAACAACCATGTCAGTTCCCTAATGGTCGCAACTGCGTCCACCGGCGATGCCAAGGCTCGAGCTCGTCCCGACGTTATGTTGGTGACGTCCTCTACTTCGGGGGTCTCTGACTCGGTTGCTGCTGAGCTTAACAACACATTGGCTCGTTTGGGCGTCGAAAACCGCACAACGTCGTCACTACTTGATTTGACGGTCGAGGACTTCACCAACAAGGTGTGCATCTTCCTAGGTGATCTCCAAGCCCACCCCTTCCTGCTTGACATGGCTTCCGAGCAATTCGATGGCCTGAAGAGGATGGTCACCTCAGCCAGTGGTCTTCTTTGGCTGACCGCTGGCGGTGGTCCTTCTTGCAAGACCCCAACGGCCGAGCTTGTCACTGGATTCTCGAGGACAGTCAGGGCGGAGAACCCCAAACTGAAATTCATCACCCTCTCCCTTGAGAACGGCAGGGATGTAACGAGTATTTCCAGGTACACAACTCAACTCTTCAACGCCATTTTCTTGGCTGGAGACGACTCTGTCGTCGACAATCAGTTTGCTGTCGTCGATGGTACCATTCACATTCCTCGCCTTATTGAAGCCACCTACATGGACAAGGCCATCAACGCAAAGACCAACAAGCCTAGACCCGTCGAGGCTGAATTTGGCTCTGATCCTAGCAGGGCTCTCAAGATGGTCGTCGGCTCTCCCGGCCTTCTTGACACTCTCCACTTTGTTGATGACCCGCTCTACGAGCAGCCTCTCGCAGATGACCAGGTCGAGTTCAAGGTCATGGCCAGTGGTCTCAACTTCCTCGACATCATGGTGTCTCTTGGCCAAGTCATTGGCAACCAGATTGGTATTGAGGCTTCTGGTATTGTCACCAGAGCTGGCAAGGATTCCCCTCTCAAGCCGGGAGATCGCGTTGCCGGCATGCTCAGGGGTTCTGTCAAGACCTACGCCAGAACTCCCTACAAGGCTCTTGCTAAGTTGCCCGACAACCTTTCCTTCGTCAATGCCGCAACGCTTCCCGTCGTCTTCGTCACCGCCTACTGCGTTCTCTACGACATTGCCAATATTCAGCCTGGCGAGACCGTCTTAATCCACGCCGCCGCCGGTGGTGTAGGACAAGCTTGCATTCAGTTAGCTCACCTGCGAGGCGCCGAGGTGTACGCCACCGTCGGTTCTCTTGACAAGTGCGGGTTGCTTGAGAAGGAATACGGCATTCCCCGCGACCACATATTCTCGAGTCGTGACTTGACCTTTGCCCAGGGCATTAAGCGTATGACTAAGGGCAGAGGTGTTGACGTCGTCGTCAATGCCCTCTCTGGTGCTGCCCTCCGCGCCTCATGGGACGTCATCGCCCCCTTCGGTCGCTTCGTCGAGATCGGCAAGGTTGATATCTACTCCTCCGCCCGTCTCAACATGGAGAAGTTCAAGAACAATGTTCGCTTCGAGTTCCTTGACGTCAGCTACTTTGGCGAAAACCATGAGGACTCCTTCAACAGGGTTCTCCGGGCCATCATGCAACTTGTAGCCGAGGGTAAGATCAGCGAGCTCCGCCCTGTTACAACATACCCTCTCTCTCGAGTTGAAGAGGCTTTCCGCTACATGCAGAGCGGTGCCCACTCCGGCAAGATAGTCATTGAGCCACACGATGATGATAAGGTCATGGTAAGTCACGTCGATCATCCCACCACCATAGCATATACTGACTCAAACGCTCCAGATCATGCCCAGTCAGAAGCCGACCTACCACTTTGACCCCAACTCCTCTTATGTCATCTCTGGAGGTCTTGGTGGTCTAGGCCGAAGCATGGCCAGCTGGATGGTCCGCCGCGGCGCCAAGAACCTCATCCTTCTATCCCGCTTCGGCCCTGTCCGGGAGTCTGGACAGAAACTCATCGCTGAGCTTGAAGCACAAGGTGTGCGCGTTGCTGCCCCTGCTTGCGATGTTACCAGCAGGCGGACACTCGAGAGCGTTCTCGATGAGTGCCAGAAGGATATGCCTCCTATCAAAGGTTGCATCCAGGGATCCATGGTTTTGAAGGATGCTGTCTTTGCGAACATGACTCTGGAGGATTACGACGCTGCTGTCCGTCCAAAGGTCCACGCTTCTTGGAACCTTCACGAAGTTCTCCCTAAGGATATGGACTTCTTCATCCTCTTGTCCTCAGGTTCAGGAATCGTTGGAAAGGGTGGCCAGGGTAACTATTGTACTGGCAACAGCTACCAAGACGCCCTCGCTCGCTACCGTGTCAGCCACGGCCTCAAGGCCACTGTTCTTGATCTCGGTATCATCCTGTCCGTCGGATACGCTGCCGAAAAGATCGATGTCATGGGCCACCTGCGCGCCCAAGGCTACGCCGCGCTCAGAGAAGAGGAGTACCACGCGCTTCTGGATGAACTCTGCAACCCGAACAACTCTGTCGCGCCTTTGATTCGTTCTCAGATCTCGCTCGGCTTCGAGATTCCAGAGACCCTCCGGTCAAAGGGTATCGAGTTCCCCGGATGGATGCACGAGCCCCTCTTCAAGCACATCCACCAGATCCGCACCATGGGAGGCGCCATTGAGGAAAGCAAAGACTCGGTCAACTACAGCATGTTACTGGCCGGTGCGGAGACCCTCGAGGCGGCGGAGAACGTCATCACGAAGGCCATCATCCAGAAGCTTTCCAGGGCCCTGGGCATTGACGCCACGACTATCGACTCGTCGCAGCCCTTGCACGTGTATGGCGTTGACTCTTTGGTTGCCGTCGAATTGAGGACTTGGCTGTCTAAAGAGATGGGCGCGGAGGTTGCTGTATTTGACATGGTTGGCGACTCGACCATCAGGTCTCTGGGAACTTTCGTGGCTGCGCGCAGCACTCTTGTTCGCATCAATAACGCTGAATCTTAGACTTGGATCGGAGATAAGATGTACATGGGATTTGAAGCAGACATGGGATGGTATTATCTTGGGCCGAACATTAAACGAATTGTTTTCTTCTGAGTTCCATCCTGTTTAGTTACCATGAGAATTCGAATTATGAAATTATTTAATCAACGATGACTTTACAACAGTGACCCTCCTACAATCGTGACCCAGACTTGGTGGTGTCACCTCGTTGCCATGACACGAAGTCGTGATATCCGAACTTGGGATGGTAGTCTATCGGCTTGGACTTTCCAGTGCCGGGCAGCAGCTTGCCGACAGTGTTAGAGAGAACGCTGCCCGCAACACCACGCGCAGTATTGACCCTGTCACCAACCCAAGATCGAAGACCGGCCACCAATCCCTGGCTGGTCTTAGACTCAGTTCTCTGCCGCCCTTCTTGGGCGCGCTTCGTCTGTTCTTGCCTTTCGAGAAGATCATGGTTGATATTGATGAAGAGTCGCTCCCACATACCAATGCGCTCCTCCTCGAGAACAGTGTCTCCTCTGCTCCAGACCCAGTTGTTCTCGGCCTCTTCTAGCTGGTAGAGATCGGACTCGTACGGAAGTTGATGGAGAACCAGCTTGTGATCGGCGCTTGCATCCATGGGAAGACCGCCATGAACGGAAGCGACTGTGCCAGAGAGCGTTTCATAGGTTGAGGCAATGAAGTGCCTGTGGTTCGGGTCCTCGATTCTCAGCGGCATGGTGCTTTTCTGCAGCTTGAACCCGTTTTTGGTCAACGCAGAACACTCCCAATCCCCAGCATCATCCAACCCGAGGCCATCATAGAGATAGCGAATGCGAACGGAAGGGTGTACAAGCTCGCATGGATCTTGGATGAAGCCCTTCCTGTCGTCCTCCTTGTACGATCCTGGAGTTCGAGTGCCACCAACAGTGTTGCCGCCTGTCAGCCTCTGCCACGGATACCAGAGAGCATCGTAAGCTTTGTCGGGAAGGGCGGTGGTTGAGGAGGGACTGGATATTCTGCCCTTGCCCCATTCTCGGGCTTCGACGCTGGGGTCCAGGGTGTAGAAAATGCGCTTCATTTCGGGGGTGCTGAACTCCACGCCGACCGACGTAAGCTGGTCCGCCATCCCTGTGCCATTCCAAGTCAGCTTGAAGATGATTCCATGCTCACGGCACAAAGAAACAACTTACACGCAAGTGCAATTGTTGCTATTTGCTGATCCTCGAATCCTCCGCCAACGTTGCTGTGGCTGCCCGGGAACCAGACTTGTCGAAGATGGGTCTTATCGTTGCCGCGTTTGCCCCAGAGAGTGGGAGCGAAAGCAGTCCGCCATTCGTCCAGGGCAAGGGCATGGAAGGCATGTTCGACGTTGGGGTGCACATCAAGACTGGCAAATCGTAACTGGGACCGTCAGTCTGTGTTCAGGGAATCTGCAAGTGGAACATTTGCCTCATCGGCACTCCTGTCTGTGCGAATCTTCTCCCATGGCATCTTTGGCCAACCAAGACTTCCGACCGTGTCCCAGACTCCTATTCAATAGTTAGCTGCATGTAGAACAAGATAAACACACCCAATCAAAACTTGCCTACGGCCTGAATGGTGACGTCGACAGGCGAAAAGTACCAGTCAGTCTTGCCATCTCTATCCTCGAGCTTCCTTTCGCAGAGTATCATTTGATGCTGTGCATAATCAGCCTGGTAAAGCGACTCATCTAGGGTTAAAACATCCCACTTACCTTCTCAAGGAAGTCTCTATACTTCTTGGCCATTTGTACGAGGTCCATCTGGTCGGCGCCTTGCTTTTGGCACTTGATGATCCTCTCAAAAAACTTCTTCTTGTCCTCGTCAAGTTCTTTCTGCATGGTCCCGTGGTCCTTTCTCTCGGCCCTGTTGTTCTTGGTTCTAAATCGCTCAAGCCGCTCCCAGTTGGTAAGAGTGAAGCCGACGAGGTGGTCCTCCATGTCGAACGTAGTTCGCGGCCTCCAGTTCGGAAAGTTCTGGTAGTCATGGAAGATGTCGCCAAAGTTGGCAAGACCAACCCGGTTAAGCAAGCCTATGTTGCAAACCATTCCGGACACTGATCGTGCTGTAAAGGCGCCGCGAGAGAATCCAACGATGACCAGCTCGTCACCTGGGTTGTAGTTGTCACAAATGAACCGATAAACGTCTGCGATATCCTATATCGAGGCAAATATCGTCAGCTGAAACCAGTACCACCGATTCGTACGTCTCTTGACAAACGGCTCACCTGTATGATGCCCTTTCCTAAGACGCCTCCCAGATACTGAGCTACCTTCGACTCCTCAGTGCCTGCACCTCGGTGGTAATACACAACCTGCGGCATACCCGTGCAGCACTTGTGCGCAACGGCCGCGGAAAGTCGCGCAACATTGGTCGATATGCTTCCCTTCTGGTTTCTACGAGATCATCCTGTTAAAATGTCCGTTATCAAGCTCAGGGGACTGCAGTCTTACGAGTTGTTCCACGTTCCATCGCAGCAAATGACCAGTCGCTTCTTGTTGGCGTATTTGCTCGTCTTATGGGCGCATGGCTCCAGCTTGGGTCCCAGCTGTGGGACTTCGAACTGGATCTCGGAGATCCATGGGTGGTTATCGGTGGATGCGTTTGCCATACTTGCTGTTGCTCTCGCGGTTCAACTAGGATGATCGCACAAACAAACTGGCCAGACGCCAGCATGAGGTTGGCTTGAACTACTAAGGGTGATGATATAGAAACGACGGGGTGGTCGTCCTTTTCCTATGAACTTGTGGTGAGAAAGGAATTTTCTAAGATGATTTCGGATCACATTCAAGGGATGCGAAAGCCCCTTGACATTGACCCATACTCTAGCGGTCCCTTTAACGCTTTGACTAAGACACATTTAATGGAAGTAAATTCCTGTCGGGTAGCATGCGAGGGAAATCGGCGTTCAAGTTATGCAGCTGTCTTACGGAATGATTTCATCGACATAATCTCTTGGGACTTCATTTCCTCAAAGTGAATTCGTTGCGTAAGCGTCCATGGTGTATCGCGACAAAATAACGTTGGAAACATAAATTAGACCTTGAAAAGTTGGAATCCAGCTTTGATTGCTGCATAAGAGATCCAAATTGGTCAATTCCCACGTGTATTGGGACTGGCTTTGCACCAGTTCGAACAACCCCATGCCAGCATGCATATCACATGAATGATTATCCCGCAGGCGATGATCAGATTATGCGTTATCTAGCCATCGAAGAAAGATGTTCATGTCGTTCTAAGTTCCCTCACATGAGTCCTCTCTTTCTCAATCAACTCCATGTCGGGAGTTTCTTTCCGAATGGTCACTTCATCCTCGAATCCCATGTCCCTATCAAGCCGCTCATCCGAAATCATATGAGGATTCAGAGCGAAAGATCCTTTTGGCGCAAATGTTGAGCAGAGTACCACAACCGAGATGACGGTGAACTGGACGCCCGCGGTGTTCACCAGGCCGCTGTAGATAGTTCCCCCGCCATCGCTTCCTCCGCTGGCGTTGTACACCGAGTCCAAGTACCTGCCCAGAAATGTACCTGCGACAGCATAGAGAATGATGTAGAAAGAGTACAGAAACGCCATGACGGCTCCAAGAGCGGAGATGTTCCTGTTGGCTGACTCTTGCCGGGCAAGAGAGGCCTGGATATAAGCAGCAAGGGAAACATCACCAGCAGCCCATCCAAAGGAGATGGGCAGGAAAGTAGCCGCCACGATCCAAGCCTGGGTTACATCGTGTGCTGGAGGTCGCCAGTAAGGGATGTACCAGACAATCAGGAGCATCAATGCATCGATTCGCAGCCATGGCAGCGGCGTTTGAATGACGTTCGTGAACAAGAACACGCAGAGCGCACCGAGGAGCTCTCCCAGGTTCGAGCCTCCGACCATGATCTGCGACCATGCGGATTCGCCGAAATAGCGGCGTGCGACGTGCGGTGCGATGCCGTTTTCGAGGTAGCGATGGGCGTAGAGGGCGATCGCGTAGCCGGGGATGAGCCAGATGAACTTTCTCGAAGTGAAGATGATTCTAGCTCCGACCCAGATCGACTCCCCAAATAACCAAAGCCCGCTCCAAAGGGCCTTGAAATAGCTAGGACGCTCTTGGAGTACGAGGCCCTTGTCGCGCCGTACAAAGCCGAGGTCGGAGATGAAGTACCATATCGTGGAGGCGATCGCGAAGCAGACCGGGGTGATGATGAAGCTCATGTTGTTGCCGAATTGAGGGATGAGCACCAGGGCGGTCACGAAGGCTCCCGCTGTGCCGGTCGTTTCGTAGAAGATGTGAACCTGGATCAACCCATGTCAGATTCGTCGTAGACTGACGTGAAGTGTGACGGTGCTACTCACGATCGAGTCCATCTTGCGCAGCTTCTGAACATTGCCGCCGACGATATCTCGGGGGATGATACGTCGAATCAACTCCACGCAGCCATACGCAATACCACTGACGGTATAGATCGGGATGATCGCATCGTTGGGGTACTTTCCGTAGTAAGACCACTCGTTCTTCGGATGATGTTTCCGATACGCCGCCGGGACAAAGGTGCCACCTGTCGAAGCATCCAGGATAAGGAGAATAGCGCTGCAGAGGCCGAATAGGAGAATGGCGCAGACGAGCACGTTCTTCGTGGGAAACCTTTTCACCAGAGGCGCAATGATAATGCTGCCCACACACTGCGCTGCCTGATTGAGGCCTTGGAGTAGTGCCAGCCGCTCGAACGTTCTGGAACTGGTGTTGTGGGTGATGGACTCGTAGTCGTATCTGTTTGTCGCGAGCGCTGTGATGGATCCGTTGAAGGCTTCAAGACCGAACTTGTAAACCATGATTCCCAAGACGTAAAATACCAGGTTGCGGCGCTCCTGGGGTGAGAACGCCCGCAGGCTGTCGCGGAGATCGGCGAGGTAGCCCATTGTGCCGAGGCGGCGATTCAAAGGGCTTCAAGTTGAGCAGGGTGGGCATTGAAGCAACCCTTTCCAATTCAGATGGGAAATGGGCTTGGAGGCAGGGCGCTGCATATATGGAAAGGCTATCTTGTTAAGCCTCTCCCAGATCGTCACCGACGGCCAGGATGATAGTCTCCGCTTAAGGACGCCCCAACGGCAGCCTGATTCGAGGATGAGCCTCATGCAGTTGACAGGAGAGCAAAGAAAACGCCATTTTGTAAACAACTAGCGCGATAGAGTTGACGACGGCAGCCACGTGGGTTGTCTTGCATGATGAAAGGTTTCGTTGAAGGCAGCCGATTTACGGTACCGAGAAGGAGCTGAAGCCCAAACCGCAGGGGATTCTTCCGCGAAGTTCACGAGCTACACCGGATTCAGACTTGGCGTCGGCGATGCTCTCGGTTCTTGGCGAAGTAAGTCGGCAGTATATATAAGATGAGACGCGTCTCCGTTGGATCTCTGTCCTTCTGGCAATCCGGGCAAAATGTGAAGGATGTGTGTAAAATACCATTGCCAAGAGCCTTTCTGAAGACAGTCCAACTCACAATTGCTCTCATCCAATCGTCTTGGCACGAGGTCGTGCCTCGTTGTTGTGCCCCTGTTGGTCTCAATTGAAGCTAACCCCATTGGAAACCGAGCAAGTCCAGGGGTTGTTTTCTCAGGGTTGATTTGCACCCCAATTTCTGAGCAGCATTGTGAAGGATTTTGTGGGCTTCTTGCGACCTCCGGCTGACGGTCGTCTCACGGTGGTCCAATTCAGCTATAATGTTGATGAGCAATCGAAAGGTAGTGTTTGTGAGTAATGAAGTAGTTGATCGAGCCGCAGCTTTGTCGTTAAACTCCTCGATCCAAAGTGACGAGAGTTGAGACGCATTATTTGAGATGCACATCAAATGAGGTGTCCATCGGTTGTCTACGTGGGTCACAGAGGGCGCCAATGTCAATTAAGCTTTCTCAGCAAGCCGGGGTGTGGGGGACTCTCCAACCGACCCATCCTGCTGGTAGATTCCGAAATGCACCGTCAGATCGTTTGCCGTTGTCCTGAGCAAACATGTCTGCCCCGGCCTTGGAAGGAAAGCATCTTGATGTTCAATAACGTTGCGTGTTTTGTGTGCTGGCGGGGGGTTCTTTCGCTGTGAAACCTGGGTTATACATGATGGGTTCATCCGCTGTAACCGTCACAACATGAAGCAATTTTCTCCCTCGAGGATTGCAATGATGAGCTACATGTAGGTTCTCAACAAAACGAACGAGAGACCAGCAGCCCATCTAACTCATCAGGAAAGATGTCGCCAGGTGGTCCATATTGCCATCCACTTCCCACAACGGCTAGATCTACCACCCGCGCTGCAACCGAAGACTCCCTGCAACCGCTGCAACGCACTCGTAGCCATGATCCATGCTCGAACGGGTCTACCGTTTCTCGCCAGTTCGACGGGTGAACTGTGCGCCAAGACATAAAGAAGCAGCAAACCACTATGTCGTGCTCGCTGTTCCTCGTACTGCGCCTCTGTTCTCTCGATCCCTCACCGAACGCCAAGACGAACCGGCGGCCATTACACCTTCGCTTATTGTATGAGACATTTTTCATGAACCTGTCGTCCAGCTTTGCCATCGCGGCTGCCAAGACAGCTTCTCAGTCTTTTCCAAACATTTCATGATGAGGAAGAGCGATTGTCGTCGCTCGTCAAGTCTTGGCAGCACATTTTGGCTATTAGTCGCGCACGAATGATGGTCTTGGCACCGCCATGAGCCATATTCGTCAACCAAAACAGAGGCCTCCTTATTCAATTGCATAGCCACTGCGGCAGCGTATATGATCCTCGTCACTTCTTGCTTGCGGCACTCTTCGCGAGAATGAGCCATGCTATTTCTTCCATCCTTAGCACCATGATCTCATGTTGGTAGATGAGCAACTCCCCTCCAAATCTTGATCTAGGCTGATATGACTTTCATATGCAGATGACCGGCGACGATGATCATTTCCCACCTTTCACATATCTCTCTACCTTGTATTCAAAGGCACCGTTTCTATTCTTCCATCCCGCCGTCTTTTTGGTCGCATCCGTGCCGTTGCGCACATTCACCGCCGGCCCTCGTAGCTGCGTCCCGGACAGCACCGAGCACCGGACCCACTCGCTCCGGGGCCGGGCCCGACTGTCTCCACTCTATTCCGTTCTGCCCGGCGAGAGATGATTGAAGCACATACTAGCACTGAGTTTGTCTTGATTGATAATTTGATTATATAGCACATCACTAATGAGGATATGAGTAGTCTATGTGTCGAGAAAGAGCAAAATACAATAGAAGTCTTTTTGGGTACAAGATCCAGAAATGCGAAGGTCCCGATGCGCCCGAGATCGAAAACGACTAGGCAGAGAGCCTACTATCCGAGGACCATTCTCAAATTACTACTGCCAGTCAACCGTTTTAGTTGGTCATTCCCCATCGGGGAGCGTTGATGATGATGCCGGTAAGACAGCCTGAGATGATGCCAGCGGTAGGCAGGGTGATGATCCATCCCATGTAGATCCAGCCGACCATGCGCCAGTTGATAGAGCGCCAGGTACCCGAACAAAGACCGACACCGACAGTCGCACCGGTGATGCACTGAGTGGTGGAAACGGGAAGTTCTATCCAAGCTGTTAGCAACGGTGGTGTATGGTCAAAGGTTGCAGACACTCACTGAGACGGGTGGCCAGGATGATGGTGACAGCGGCACCCAGTTCCATGGAGAAGCCACGGGCGGGAGAGTGGAGGGTCAAGCGGTTACCGAGGTTGCGCATGATGTTGTATCCGTAAGTCCAGATACCGAGTGCAATGCCGACACCTCCGAAGCAGAGAATCCAGATCGGAACATCGGCCTTGCTACCCTTCAGCGCGCCAGTGCTCCAAACCTGGTAGATAGTGGCATAGGGGCCAATAGCATTGGCAACGTCGTTGGCACCGTGGGTGAAAGAGGCAGTACAGGCAGTCATGACTTGCATGAAAGAGTACAGGAACTCTGCCTTGTTGTCGTAGTGCTGGACGCGAGCGTGCATCTCCTCCAAGTCACCGGTAAGTACGCTCTCCTTCTTCTGCATGTTGATAATGTCCTGGTCGACACCAGACAGAAAGACCTTCTTGACCATCCAGAAGAGAACGGCGCCGGAGTACAAAGGACCCTCAGGGCGAGGACCGACAATTGGCTTGTGAGTGTAATCCTGGCGCGGAGCGGGAGTTTGGGCGTCGGTGTTGTCCTGAACGACCTTCTTCTCGCCATCGGCGGAGCCAGACTCGACATCATTGCTGTGGGTGTGAACGACGCCTCCACGAGCAGAATCAAGTTCCTCCTTGGTCATGTGGCCGGAGTAAAAGTCGCGGATACCACCGGCAACGCCCTCGGGCTGAGCAGGAGGCTCAGGGCGGCGCAGCAAAAGAGGCCCAAGGGGGATGTGCCACCATCGAAGCTGCCAGTCATCCTTCAGGACAATGCGGTACAGCCACGGAACAAGGAAGATGGTGATGACAAGTGCCCAGGCAGCACCAACACCGACGATCATACCAGCAGTCTCGGCGTCGTTGAAGTTGACCTTGATGGAGCCGCCCTTCCAGACAATCAACATGGTAAGCAGAGAGGCAGTGATGCCAAAGTAAACCGGCGTGAGCATGAGACCCTTCATGACAGGGTTCTTGCGCAGCATGACACCATACTTGGTGATGGTGAAGATGATGGCACCGAAGGCACCAGCCAAGCCGGGGGCAATAATCCAAGCCAGGAAGACGGAAACGACACCAGAGTCAATGCTGCCGCTAGCCGATGTCCAGTGAATATTCTCTGCGCCGATAAGAGCGACACCCATGCCGATGACACCGCCCATGATGGAGTGGGTGGTGGAAACAGGAAGACCGATCTTGGTGCAGAAGGTAAGGTAGATGGACGAGGCGACAACGGCACAAGTCATGCCGAGCATGAGAAGGGCAGGGTCATTCTCGAAGAAGTCGATGTCGACAATCTTGGTACGAATGGTGTCGGCTACGCGAGCACCTACTCCGACGGCACCGACGAATTCGAGAATTGAACCCAAGGTCATAGCCTGGATGTAGCTGATGGATCGGGATGAGACCGACGTGGCCCACGAGTTGGCAACATCGTTAGCACCTGTGGAGAGGTAGAGTTAGTCTCATTCTGACTCTGCTCATTCATTCTTCGAGTCCAAGTGGACTTACCGATGTTCCAGGCGTCAAGAAACGCGAAGATTGTGCCGATGGCAAAGATGTAGTCGTACTGATGCAGAGCCATCTTGTCGGCTGGCGCGAGTGCGCTGAAACTTGGCCTCTTCTGTCTGAAATATCAAAGAATGTGTCGGACTGAAATGCAGAATGCTGCAAAGCAGGTCTGCCTAACGCAAGGGAGGGTTAAAGAAGAGATCGAAGACCCTTATGGTGGCGCGGAAAGCAAGGCCGGGGAGGGGGATGATGTTCGAGAAGTCAACATGGAAGCGGGAGGACAGAGACCGGGCAGATGCAGAGGATATATACCAGACGGGAGGGCGATCGCAGGCGAACCATGGTCCACAGCGAGACAACCCTCCAAGTTGGCATCCGAGTGATGGCCGGGGCCGGGGTCGTGCAAGGCACGATTCCATGTCTTCTCGGGCGTGGGAGACAGCCCAGCTGCGGCGGCGAGTGCAGGCTGCAGACCAACATCAGCAGAAGTGGAACAAGGGCATGCCACCACTCCATTCTGCAAAACGCAAATCCGCCGGCAAGGACTCGCCACATCCATCATATGCAAGCGCGGCGGGCCCGTCGATAGCCTTCGATCAAATTTTACACGGGTGCATCCTTAGGGTACGAGGGTTGCAGCCGTTCAAGGTGTTTCCCATTTTGGGACTGGCTGGTAGAAAGATTGGAGTTGTCGATGTACTTCAATGTTGAAGATGTCAGTGGTTCGTTGACGAATTCTCCCCGGGAAAGTTCGAGATGTGTGCTGGAGTCCAAGGCATCAAGCTGATGAGGCGTTCTATGATCGTGAACGCCCAAAGGCTCTTGATACCTGAAGAAGTTCTATATCGAGAGATGACATTTGGATGCCTCAACAGGGCAAATCACGAAGGCATGGCGATGGCGCATAAGTGTGGGGGCTCTTCGGTGGAAGAAAGCGGATGCTCAAGACGACGAGCTGAGAGTCTGGCTGTCTTGAACGTTGCAGGGGGCGGAATGGTGTGGGTAGTGAGTGTCTGGACGCAAGCGTGTATGCGGCAGCAAGACGATGGCTGCCATCACCCACGTGCGAACGGGAGGACTGGATACTTGATGAGCGTCGCAGTCCGCGTTCCAGGATCTTCAGCTCTGGCCTGGCAACGATTCCGAGAAACGACGTTGGTCGGTGGCTCGGGAGGGTGGAAACAGGTGGGTAGAATATGATGAACTCGCTCTTTGGGAGACCTGCTCGCGGGCCAATAGGGATGGAAAATCGGATAGACTTTTCATTGCCCAGAGCTCTGAGAATATTCGATTGTTGCCCAGCGCCGATGCCATGGCCGAAGAGTCGAGGAAGCAGATGTCGATGGAGAGATATCGCGAGAAACACGGACTCACAATGGGAAGTGACGGGAAGCATGGGACGCGCCTTCCCCAAAGAAGCGACCGAGATCCACTACCGAGTGGGGCGTCACAAGCGACTTGGCGCGCCAAGCGCCAAGACTGGCGCTCACAGGAAGCGCCAAGCGCCCCGTGCATGTCAGTCACGGCCCCACTTTCATCCCCCACAACTGCCGAATCACGGCCTCCGGTTCCCCCACGTGTGTGGTCCCGTCCCTCCCTGTGGTTCTTCCCGTCCAGATCCCCGGACCATCCATCCCTTCAACATCTTTTAACTTCCTCTCGCGGCTTCACACGACTCACCTCTCCCGTCAGCCCAAACGTCCCCAATGTGGCACGAATGCCCGGAATTCTATAAAGCGCGCTCCCTCCGCCAAGCGGCCAAGACCTCGACTGCATCCAGTGCCTCCCAGAACGCTCCGCTCGCCGTCTGTATCGAATGTCATTTCCTCCCACCTCAACCACTCACTCGCTCCGCCCAGGCGGGTTGGCTTGCCCGGGCTGCTCCCTCTGCCTAACTACCCGGTCTCATTCGTCCTCCCACCGAGGAGAGGAAAATGGCCCTCCGGGGGTCCCTCCAATACTTCCCCGATACAGCTAGATGCCCGGTTTCCGTCCCTTCATTTGCGCTGCGCTATCCCGTCAGCTCCTCTATTCCACCGAATTCATTCACCAAACCGACCGGTTTCGCGAACCACGAGCGAGCTGACGACCACTCGAGCTTGGATTTACGCGTGCTTTCTACGCAAGAGACACACGGTGGGATGATTGGCCTCCGACCTTCGTCATCCCTCAACACGTTGTGCTACCGGGTTACTTACGTACCGTACCGTCACCCCGGTGTTGGCCGCTGTGCCGCATACACACCCACACTTATTACCTATTACCGACCAAAGGACCAAGACCTCCAAGACCTCCAAGAAACCCAAGCAATTACCAAGTCGATTCGATCCTTTCTCCTAAGCGAATCAGCATGCCGCTTCGGAGCCCGTGGTCTTTCTATGCTAACCAAGACCTGCCAGACGTCCTGGCTGGGCTTTCTTGGGTTCTGTGGATCTTGGTTTCACCAGACCCTTCGACGACAGAATGAACACGAGCAGCAGTCGGTTTTCTGTACCTGACGAGCCTGGAAGAGTGGTGCAGAATTTTTAATCGCCTGATATTGCTGGGTAACTGCAATACTTTCCTTCAGGCTTGAAATCCCCTGACCCACGACAACTCAGAAGCAGGGCCTAGGTTTCCGACCGACTTCGACGATTGTTTCTGGACTTTGGAGACCCCCCGAACTGGCAACAATCTTTCATAATCGCCGATGGTTACGCTAACTAGTTCGCCGCTTCATTCAACATTTGATGGCCCGAAAGACGCGATTTCTAACATCATCCACAGTCTGTTGTGCTGTTGGCATCTCTTTTGAACCCCAACCTTTCCAGTTAATGGTGGATCCTGCCAAATGCCCGAAGATAATCACAATTGGTTCTACGGCGTCGAAGCATCATTTGTAATATATGGCGATTATTCTAGCAGGCTGCTGCTTGGCCCTTCGGTGTGCAACACGGCTAGCCTGTCTCCTTCTGCAGTCTCAAGTGACCGGCTCGGTGATTTCAACTCACAGAGCCATGTTTATTGCATAAGGCAGCCTCAATATGCGGCACAATACACACGTGTCTTCACTTTCATGCTGATAGGCCGTACGTAAATGTGCCAAACCACATGAGATTGGCATGTTGCTTCTGGCGGCAAGGCCACAGTTGATATGGCCTTGTAATATCATACGGCGTCACACTTGTTGGCTAGTCGTCGTTTGTTGGTCAGGCATGTCAGCTGGGAGTTCTGTGTGGCATCGGTGATTCCGACCGAAATGCCATGCTTCTAGAATAGGCATCTACATAACGGCGAGGCTCTCATGCCCTCAATAGGTGGTTATGTTAAGTCTAACAGCCCACGCCTCAAGACAGTAGAAAATGCAGAGAAGGCTTCCTCTTGGGTTGATAATAGCTCTCGGGCAATCGAGATCAACCCGACTTGGTTCAGGGCGGGCACTCGTTATTTCTTCACTGACATCAGCTCACGAGCTACTCATAGTTGTCGCCCCAGATACAGGCGCATTGTAGTAAATAACTCGCGCTTAGGTGCGCGGCATGCAGACCTTCATGTCTATCAAGCGTCGGTTATGCCGAGCTGTCAACTGAGGGGACCTCGGAACTATCCACTCTTACTCGTCCCTTGCCGCATTCTAGAATCTCGGCGCAGACGCCTGCAGTAGAATGCATAGACAGATGTCCCAGAACTACGGCGCCGGGTGGGTTGCACTTCCTTCATGACTGTCGGCGCTGGCCGAGACTCAACCCCTACTATTGGAGGAGGTCTTATGAGTGGACCTCTCTTGTCACATTGACGTCTGCTCCTTTGCCACTGTTGACGCGACTGTAAGCTGAAGTTCAGTTGGCTTTGCAAGCTGCCTCATTTCCTTGCTCATGGAGATCAAGAACAGGTTGGAGAATAGTCCATGAACATTCGATGCCATGGTATTGGGACTTGACACGGTTAATACATCACGATGAAGCTACTTGAATTCAGTGCTGACGTTCTATTGTAATCAGTCGAAATTCTACTCTTAATTCAAGCTGTTCTGTAGTGGACGTAAGCTTAAAAATGTTATTTAACTGAGTAACTTCCTCAGGCCGTCCTTCAGAGCATCTTCCCCCTCATCCCCAACACGTTCCACCTGGCTCTCGAAGTTCGAACCATACCGATTATCCTCATCCAACAGGGCCACCGTCGACAGAGCTGCGTACGCCTTTGAATTTAGTCTGTCCTGGACGCCGTTGCGAGTGTCTTCCTGCCACATCTTGTGAGCCTTCTCGAAAAGTCCGTCAAACGGAACGTCTTCAACCTTCCAGCCTTCCAACGCCAGCTCTTTGACAATGGAAATGAGTTGGTTTGTGGAAACCGTGTGGCTAGCAAAGTACGCCGCGCGGTTTTGATACTTGCCCGGGTTGCTTAGTACAGCAACCAACGCCTCCCCGTTGAGGTCGCGCCGACTCATGCTGTACCTCTGGTTGCCCGAGCCATACCGGGTAATCACTTTCCTTTCCCGATTCACCCAAAAGATTCCCTTCTCAATCGTCCAGTCGTACCACGGACCTGTCACAATCGCCGTCCAGGAAAGCTTGCCATCAGACTCTGCGACTACTCTTTCCAGCTCTCGCTGGGCCTCAAGCTTCGGGTTGAATATCAGGACCTCTCCGGCGCGTGGGTGAAATGTGTTCCCGCTGAAGTCCGGTGTGATGACGTGTCGAACTCCCGCGTTGAGGACGGCTTCGAGAATTGCTTTCTGGTGGATCGCCGCCGCGGGGTTGAATGCTTCGACCACTGCGTCGTGGCCATCAAAGGCTGAGGTCAGGGCTGATATATCGGAGTAATCTGCCCGTTTGATGCTGACTTGCCCTGAAATTTTCGACGCACTTCCGGGACGGAGGATGCAGGCTACGTCGAAGTTAGCAGCAACAAGAGCTGGAATCAAGACCTCGCCGAGAGCGCCTGTAGCCTAGAACGTGCCATGAGTTTTGGGATATAGACAGAGCTCTTGATACTGAACTTACACCAAGGACAACAACCTTTTTGATGTGGACCATGTTAACGCACTGTTGAGGGCAGATGACTTTCACCTAAGAAGAAGAAAGTATATTGACGCCTCATCTGGCCGTGATATTTATATTGGAAGCTGCACAAGGGCTTTCCATAAAGCAGCTGCCGTTTTCCTTTCTTCTACCATTTTTGATCACAGCATTTCAGCATTTCCACCAACTAGAAAACGCCATAATTCGCAATGACATGCTGGTGCTCATGGCTTTGGGGATCATAACGTTATATACATGCTCTGTTAGCACAGTGGTTTCTCATTTTGTGTTCCGATTCCGGCTAGAGCGTGGCGCCAAAGATCCAATCCCGCGGCGTAACTGAGCTCCGGCGGAGCGTCTCACGCGGACGGTTTATTAAGCCGTGTGGTATCGTCGCTTACGAATTGCATGATCACTGCGCTGTATCACGTCAAACAAATATGCGTGTTAGTATTGTTTCCCAAGAAGGCACTTTCTACGAATGCGGGTTAATGCAGCGGCGTTGCAGAGATGCGGACTTGCGGACAAACGTGCGTGCCTGCGTCGCTTTGTGAGATCTTGCTTAGAAATGTGTTGTCTGAAATCCTCGTAATGTATTGGTTGGCAGGAGCTTGAGAGGAAGAATAAAATGGCGGCGAAAGCTGCATGATTGAGTCAGGAGGAAGTAACGTTATCGTTTGACAGTAATCAGCCAACGCCAGCGAAACATTCACCTTTCACAGGTTCAAATTCAGGATGTCTTCTATGAAAGCATTAGTCACCCAAGGCAACGGCTTTGTATCCGTCCAATCCGTTCCCACTCCGGTCGCCGGCCCCGGCGAGGTACTCGTCAAGGTGCATTACTCCGCTCAAAACCCGTCCGACTGGAAATCCGTCAACGGCTCTCCGCCCGTCGCCCCACCCGCCCCGGCCGGCCTGATCGTCGGCACCGATTTTGCGGGTACCATCGAGGACCCGAACGGCTCCACATGGCGGAAGGGCCAGCGCGTCGCCGGGTTCGTGCAAGGAACCAGCAACAACGGTACCCCTGCCAATCTGATTCGCGGCGGGTTTGCGGAGTATGTTCCCGTTGAGTCGACGCTGCTCTTCGAGGTTCCCGACAGTGTAGAATTGAAGGATGCCTCTACAATCGGCCTCGCGTTTGCGACTAGTGTGCAGGCTCTGTACCAGCGTCTTGCGCTCCCAGAGCCCTCTGGCGCAAATAGCGACAACTGGGTTTTGATATACGGCGGTGCTACTAGTGTTGGGAACTACGCTATTCAACTTGCAAAATTGAGCGGCCTGCGTGTCATCACCACTGCATCTCCTCGGAACCATGAGTACCTGAAGGCTCTGGGTGCTGACGTTGCGCTTGACTATCATGGCGACTGGGCTGCGGAAGTGAGAAAGCTTACGGATGGCAAGCTTCACCACGCGCTTGACACTGTGTCTGAGCACGGCTCGACGTTGAATATTGCCAAGGCTCTTTCGAACAGTCCGGGTGATCACGTCCTCACTCTCATACCAACTCACCCACCCGCGAAGGAGGAGATCAAGGCTGTTAACCCTCACACCAAGATCGAGTGGACTGTTGTCTATACTGTGTTTGAACGGGCTCTTCCTTTTCGTTTCGACAATTGCGGCGACGAGACGCCCCAAGACAAGAAAGTCTGGGAAAAGTACCTGACACTTTTGCCTCAGTACTTGGAGCGAGGTCAGGTGAAGCCGAACCAAGTTCGGGAGCTTGGCGGACTGGAGAGTGTAACTGAAGGATTCAGACTATCCGAAGAAGGCAAGGTTTCGAATGAGAAGTTGGTATACAAGCTCTTGTAGAGGAATTCTTGGGATACGGAAATCGATTTTATGTAGCGAGTATTTAGATGAGTATACTACTGGAGTGTATGCAGCCCCCCGAATTTCGAAACTCCGCCACATATCATGCTGGATCCGATCTATGAATGCTCTACGTGCACCTTCTCTTTGTCGGAAGAACTTGAGACCGTCTTCTCTGCGTCAGTGCCAACATCAAGTCCGCTCTTCATGGCCTTCTGCATCTCTTTGGCCACCTTGACTGGGTTGCGGCCTTGAGTGAAGAACTCATCGATATCCTCCAGACGCATATTGCTGGTTTCTGGGTAGAAGAAGTAGATAATCGGGATGAAGGCAAAGTTGGTGACGACGAAGATCAAATAAGCCTTCCACTGCAGTCGGTTGATGATGACGGGTGTAATCATGACGACGAAGAAGTTCCAGAGCCAATTGGAACTGATTCCGACGGCCGTACCTCGGGTTCTGGCATGGAGTGGGAGAATCTCGGGGACTACCACCCATGGGACGCAGTTCATTCCCATGCCGAAGATGAGGTTGTACCTTTGCAAGATGTTAGTCAACCTGCATCGAGGTCCAAGGGGAAGAATCGAGACTCACAAGAAGAAAAACGCAACTGAAGCCGAGGCGCAAGCTTGTCCGTTGGTGAACCCAACACGGGACAGAAGGATCGAGATCATGAGCATGCACACGCCCAGCCCAGCACTGCTCCATATCATCGTCTTGCGACGACCCATCCGATCCAGGGCCAGAGCGGGTAGGATTGAGCCAAACATGAACATCATCTGAACACATCCGCCGATGATCTGAGCCATTTGCGCTGTCATCCCAACATTCTGCACCAAGACGCTCGGGATATAGTACACGACCAGGTTGATACCGCCAATCTGGTTCATGAACTGTGCTCCCCATGCCAAAAGCACACGCTGTCCCGTCTTGACGCGGTCATTCTTGAAGATGCTCGAAAATGATGATTGCTTTTGCTCGGCAGCCTCGAGTTCGATAGCATGGTGGATGGCATGGACCTCTGCTCGGATGTACTCGTCGGATACGTCCTTATCAAAGACGTCGCAAAGTACCTGGACAGCCTCCTGCTCACGGCCGTGTTTGAAAAGCCAGCGAGGCGACTCGGGTAGGGCAAATACCAAGACAACGACCACAAACGCAAAGATCATCTGGAAGGCAAGGGGTAGACGCCACGCAACTGGTCCGCCTACGAAAGACATACCGAAGTCAAACCAGTACGCAAAAACAATGCCAACACCGACGAAGAGGGTTTCGGCGGAGACGAGACGGCCGCGGTATTTTCGGTCGCAGAGCTCGGATTGGTACCTAGACAAGTAATGATGGTTAGCAGTTGAGCAGCTGTTTCAACGGGAGTGTTGCCGAGAATATGCCTTACATAGGTACGGTTGAAGTCTTCATACCAGTTCCCAATCCTGTCACCACACGTCCAATGACTAGATGAGGAACTGTGAAAGCACTGGCCTGGAGCGTGGCTCCCACGATCACCAAGCCCATGGCGGACCAAATTGTCTTCCGGCGGCCGAGTGTCTCTCCGAAGATGAAGTTAACTAGCACTTTGTTCAGCATTCAACACCGACCGTGGAAGATATTCCAACTTACGAACGCATCCAGCCAGACAACCTAGATTATAACACGACACAATAATGCCGGTTTCTGAGTCGGAAGGGTGGTCGAACTGATTCAACCAGTCCTCCATCTGTAGAATACCCCCAAAGACTCCCTGTATTACTGGTTAGAATCTTTCAAACGCAAGTAGATTCCAGTAACAGTTGACACACTTGGTCGTAGCCGAATAAAACGAACGCAATTAAACCTGCAGAAAAGTAAGCTTCAATCAACAATTTCAACAACTAATCAATAACGAAAGAATAATAGCCTTGCGTACAACAAACGGTGACGCCCATTTGGAGCCTTTTGCCCCGGCCAAGGCTGAAGAGTGCCATGTTGAAGGGGCCTAATATAGGGATGAGTGTTTCTTGGAATCTGCACTTCGCTTCTTGGAACTGAGAAATTGCCTGTGAATCTTCTTTCGCAGGAAAAAGCCTATCAGTTGTTCGAATTCCGTCTTTGAGGATTTTATCAAGTCGTTTGGGCTGTCAGTGACGTAAAATACCGAGTTCACGTTGCGGAGCGCAATCCGGGGTAAAATTGGATCTTGTCAACTGTGATTTGGGGAGGCGATGCGGGGAAGATCTGATGCCCAGAAACGGTAGTGTTAAAAGCCTCCTGGTGGTTAGAGCCAGACAAAAACCCGGGGTACGCCCTGAGTCGATGGAGTTTCGGCAGACGTGAAAAAGAGATCAGACTGGCCGCTTGCGCCTGCAGTTGTTCCAACACGGGCGCCCTCACAGAATTTATACTTCGGCCTCCGAGCCGAGGCCATCGACGTGCCGGCGGGCGAGCGGGAGGCGGTCAATCTCCCCACGGACGCGGGGCGCTGTGTTGAATAAACACATGGGGCAGACGTGAGTGATCTGCACGGCATCTGCTCCAAGCGATGCGGGTTGCCCAGGGCAGATGCGCTTAAAAGCGCCCGTTCTGGTTCGTCCTCGTGTGCTGCCATGTTGGAGCAAACATTTGCCGGGGCACCAACATGCATGCGGTCATCAGAGCACCGCTCGGCGTGATGTCGTCCTCGCATTGGATAACATGGACGACGAAAAGCAAACATAGCATGAGGTCGGCCCACTATGGTCCCAGTGAGAATGGAACAGTCAGGCCCAACGTTATGACCAGTCTTGCAGTGGCAGTGATGATAATTGGTGTCGCTGGAATTCAATCATTATGCGCGCCAATCACGAGGTTTGCCATTTGCACCAGCCACCGCAATAATGGTCGCTAATGTCTAGAAAATTCGATTGATCTAAATGATGTAGCTGTTGAAGCGTACGTGTAATTTGCACTCAAAGGTGCAAGTTTCTCATGTTTCAGGGTATGCGAAGTGTTATGAAGTTTCAAGTTGGCTAAACGAAAACGATGCATCGAAAGGGAAATCACGAGCTTCGCAGGACTACCATAGGATAGGATATGCTTATCCGTTGCTAGCTGCGGCTTTTCCGGAGATGATCGTTCCGTCCGGAGTCTACTGTCAACTCCCGTCAGCGGCTACGGTGCTCCATTACGATACATAGCGGCCGTTACCGGGCGAAACATCATCGGTGGTTTGCCGAATTGCCGACTAGAATATTGGATGCCTGCGGTCTTCCGACGAACTCCACATTTTCCGTTGGCCCGCTCCGACCTTCGGAACTGATGCCGGGCCCGCGGATGTTTGTCGTCGTTCTTGTCGCTGCACTCACTGTACCTTATGGCTAGGTCTAAATGCAGTTTCGCACGACACGATCAATGTAAGTAACAATAGACAACTACATTGAACACACTACAAATGCACCAAACGCAATACGCCGCGCAGCACAATGCAGTCACCCTCGTCATTTTGATCGAAACCTTGTCATACCCAACGAGTACACAGGGGCCGTAACGTACAGCCTTTCACCTTCAGTCGGAAGCGAATGAGTTTCAGGGGCAGTTTCCTGTGAAAAAAGCTCTCATATAATTAAATCAGGAATAACGACATACAGCCATCCTCTCAATTCTATAAACAAGCTCTATAAGTTTCAACACGCAACGCTAAAACAAATTCAATGCTGTGTTTCGGCCCCCAGAGTCAGCCAGTAAGCACATTTCTCGGCTAACGACTTGTCGATCCGCTCCATTCGAGTAGCATTTGTCTGGATGTTGAGAAAGCTGCCGTGCCTGGATTCCTCCCATGTGGGCGCACCTGGATTCCTGAAAACATTGGGATTGCCAGATGATCTTGCAAAGCTAGTCCAGAATGCCTGCACTACGGGTACTATCGCGGAATTTGGTTTACCGGGTTCGTAGCTGTCGGCATCGGGCAAAGCAGCGTAGTTGATGGCATACGACGGACCCCAAACGGCCTGGGTGTCCCACGTGTGGGGGACAATGTAGCCGGCTTCAACCTCAGCTGCGTCGAGTATGCTGTCACGAAACAAGCGGACCGAAACCCCTGCGTCGTCGAGAGCCGCGGCGAAATTGACAGCTGGGCAGATGAAAGACGAATCACCGTATATCTCTGCTGCGCGATAGTACAATGGGGCTTCCGTTGTGTTGACGCCGGGAAACGTCGCAGGCGTGTCGGAATACAGAGAGTTCAATTTACTGAGTGTAGCGTTGGTAAGACTGGGGAATTGAGCCTTCAAAAATTGGTTGACATCTTCCGTGGTGTTGGCTTGGGGTGCAAAAAGCGTTCCTTCGGTGCTTGATGATCCTAGCATCATAGGCTTGTCCTTGGCAAATTGGCCCTCTCGTAGAAGATTCAGAGGCCTGTCTGGAAGGAAGCTTCCATCTATGACCGGACCGTAGCCGAAAAGTGCAGTCTCGTCTTGGCTGGGGAAGGGAACTGCGACGTTTGCTGCTTGTAACTGATCGGTGGGGACTTGTCGTAGGCATTCCAAGTCGCTACAGTTCGTAGCATCGAGTAGATCCGTGTAGTGGAATTCCATCTCGTCGACAGTGAATACGGATGGCAGGAACATTGATTGCGCGATTCCAGCGCTCCATTTCGCTGTGTTGTTTGTCGAATTGCCTCCGTATGCGAGGAGTTGCAGCAGAACGCTGCCGCCACCGACGGAAGTTCCGAATAGCGTGACTCGATCCCGATCACCGCCAAATGCAGCCACATGCTCCTGGACCCATCTGATTGCAGCAAGTTGGTCATGAAGTCCCACGTTCAAGTTCCCTTCCTCCTCAAGGTCTTTGCTTGCGAGGAAGCCGTAGGGACCGACACGATAGTTGAACGTGACCACGATCATGTCTCCTTGAGATGCTTCAATAAGACCAGAACCGTTATAGTTTGCGTTGTAATTCTGGACATAGCCGCCTCCTTGGATCCAGAGCATAACAGGAAGTCCGCCACTGTCATTTGCCTTCGTCTTGGCTGGAGCATAGACATCGATGAATAGGCAATCTTCTGAAGCTTGAAGAGGAGGGCTGGGAGTAGCTGGGTTTGTAACACCAAAGCAGATTGGACCGTGCTAGATGTTTGATGTCAAGAACGCACTCGCTGCGAACACATGGTTTATGAAACTTACAGCTTGGGCCTTCAATAGGCCTTTCTCTTTGAGAGGGTCTTCGGGGAGCCGGAAACGACGCGATCCTATAGCTGGAGCTGCATATCTAACCATATGTGAGCCAGACGACGACTTGATGTAGTTGATATAAAGACTTACCGCATTCCCAGGAATTGGTTTATGCCATTGGAAAGGGGTGTACCTTCGTACTCGGCATAGCCAAGACTGACCCGGGGTGCGGCTTGTGATGCGCCACTAGTTACAGGTTGTGCACATACTGCCACATCCTTGCTGAGGAACGCAGATAACAGCGAAATGTATAGAGACTTTGATAACATCTTCAGCGAAGTTCGGGTAATGGTTGGATTCGGTAGTGCTTGAAACCCATATGATGGCGAGTATCATTGGTATATATATCCGTAACAAGATCGCGTATGTCCCCAATTACCTAGTGAACCAACAAAAGCCGTCATTGGTTTGGATGCCATACTAACTTAGCGTTAGTACATACGTGGTGGACAAAGCTTATTCAAGCGTAGTGCTGACCGACTGGTATCTTTGCTTGGACTTTCAGTCAGCCTTAGTACTTTTGCTGCTTCAACAAGAAGAGGTTAGGGCAGAACCAGGTGGAGCAATGTAGCTACTCGGATATCCGAGCCGAATCATCATCCACAGGCAAGTTCTACTGTTGTTCAATGCTTACCAATTCAGCAAACCGCGCGCGTATTACAATATTGCACCGGTGGCTAGCACCAACTCCAAAGCAAATCGGACTAACGCGTACCAGATTTTAATAATTTATATGACATCAGTGGCTAAACTGTTTCCTGACATGAAACATCTCCTCTCGCTTGCCTTGCCAACAGTCCCTGCCATTATATATTCTAACATTCGATTCCCTTGCCGTTGAATATCCCGATGCCCATTGTTTAGTATTATAGAAGAGGCGATGTTTGTCATGCATTCGAATCTCTGTTTCAATTTGGTGGGTGCCATATTTTAGGAAACCATAATAGTAGACTTTTCGCTGCAGCGCATAATCTAACAATCAGCTCGCCTTCCCGTTATCCCACAGAGTCCCCCATGACTCGTCAAGTCCAGTTTTGTTGCCACAACTGCCACTCTTCTGTGTCAAAAACTCGTCTACCTTCGAACCAAGAAGCTGTGACACGGTGTATGCGATATGGCCCGAGTTATACCAGAAGTATTCGCCTATTGGCTGACACCCAGAGGACTCGTAGTTGGTAGCAATATCCCACGCGTTGTACTTGGGACAGAACGACGTGGTATTTGTGATGCCAAAAGACGCAGCGTTGTTGAATACGTGAGTGAGCCAGCTGTAAGTATCAAACACCATTGCGGTCGTTCCTGGGTGCTGTTCTGTGAAGGCCTTTGCAGTTTGATTGAGAACATCATTGAACGTATTGATCATTGCTGTGTCTGGTTTGCGGTTGGGGTTTGTCTGAGATGCGGGCTATTGAACGATCAGCAAAACGTGAAATGATACAAGCAGCACCCAGTTACATACCGTCTTATCCAAAGGAGGCAAGTTTAGAAAGAGAAAGTTGCGGTAGCCAGCCTTGTGGACAGTCTCCAAAGCGGTGAACTGCTCCGCAATAGCCGCAGTATACAGCTCTTCAAAACTTGTCAGGTTCTGAAGAGGGAATTCAAAGTTTGCCATGTCGTTGATGTCGTTTATTCCGATGAAAGAGGCTACCAAGGATAACTTTTGGTCGGCGTTTATGACAGATCTTCCGTAGGTATCCCATTGCCAGACCTGGTTCTCAAAGGAGATAGTATAGTCATGATGGAGTGGAACGCTTGAAGAGTGTCAGACCCGTTTGATGGAAACCGTGTTACGCTACTGAACTCACAACGTGGTCGAGATGTCGGCGCCTGCAAAGGCAAAGTTCCATAGCTGAATCTCACAGTCCCGTGGCAGACCATCTTTGCAACCCGTCAACTCCTCGATCCAATTGGGGCCCCCGGCTGAAGAGGTGTTCTGTCCGGGTACGATTCTGTCCGAAAGAAGCTGCTCTGGCGTGAATGAAATATTCAGTTGAGAGCCAATAAAACTGTACCCCCACCAGCCCTCTGTCCCCTGTACATAGGTGTACGAGTCCCCAAACGCAAGGCTATTCTAACATTAGTCTATCTCCCATTTGGTGATTCGAGTGCAACACGTACACGTGGGATGTTTTCTGCCAGTTGAATGAGGCCGCTGGTGCAGTGGGTGAAGCTAGGATAGCCGTTGAGGCGATTCCCAACAACACCGCCAAAGAAAACGTCATACTGCCGACTACACGACACGGACAGTCAAACGTTGGGACAGTCAAAACAGATCACCAGAAAGAGGCCAATCACCCCATCTCATCATGTTCGCGTCCCAGAGCCAGAGCAACTGCAGCAATTATAGATCTCAAGGCGGCTATATCGCAGTCTAGATTACGAGGATTTCCCCATGTTTTCCTTCCCCCGCTTTGAGGACCTACCCCGAGTTGCAGGGCCGGATGAACGGCTTCGATGACACTAGTTTGCGTACCGTTTGGCGGACATTTTAGCATCCACCAGTAAGAACGGGCGCGGGCCTGGCTGTCGATGGAGAACCCCTGTTCGTGAAAGCTTGAGCGAGCAGGCAGTGTCTGTGGTGATCGGACCGGATGTGCTGTTCGGGTCTCGTTAAAACTGTCCCCGAGCCCAGAAACACCATCAAAGCTTCAAGTCCGGCAACATGAGATCAGCAAACCGCAATACAATTGATTGAATCTCAAGGTTTTGACGTAAACGAGACTGTTATTGCAGCAAGCATCCAGCAAGGATACACCAACGACAACGAACTCCAACGATGGTAATGGCAGCACAAAGCATCCGGGAATATTGGGGCGATATTACAGGGAAGTCTGATGAATGGCAAATACGTTGCATCTGCCAGGTGTTGCAAAACGATGGAGATGCCAACCACCGCCGACACCAAAGTGAAAGAGACGTGCAGACCCGGACAGATGTTAGATCATAGTAGACATCGTAATGCAATGGTAGTATTTCAGTTCGAACGTTTGCCAACACGTCACGCGCATCGCGCACATATAGTCCCCCCTATCAGCCGTCTCATTACATATAATGATTGCTTTGAATCATCAGCTAGCGTGGCTTTTCGGGCTGTCCCAACATCGAACTGTGTCGATTCATGAGTCAGTACGTAGATAACCTGGCAGTATGAAAGAATCCGGGGACCTGTGCTTCATACCAATAACATGATATTGATAAGACGATTTGAACTGGAGACTTGAATTACATTGTTGGGTGACTACACCGTCTAGCCTCCCTTCTCCCAGTGCCTCGAGACGGCGTATGCGATTTGCAGTCCCACTCATACTCATCGACCTTCCCTGATTGTCGTCTCTCTCGTTACCATGATCTGATTTCCAAATTGATTTCTCGCGCCTTGAACTCCATGACCGACCTTCGGCTCTGCTGTGGCCTGCGAGTAAACCGATGGCATGACACCCGACTGGCTGGCTATCATGTCCTTCAAGACAAGCTCCTCGGTGCTGACCTCCCGTTGGCCACTGCTCTTGAGCTCTTTGAAGTTGCTTCTGCCCATGCCGGAGGAGCTCCCGTATCTGGGGTACGCGCTTGTGCTCTTGTGGGCGGAGGAAAGACCGGCACCAGGGAGCCACTTCGCGAGCAGCGGGCGTAGAGTCGGAAGGGATGCAGCGATGATAGAGGTATTGAGTTCGATGGCTGACCAAATCGCTGCCCCAATGTTTTCCCATGGCGGGTCCTCGCTGTAGACGGCAGTGCGCAAGGTGAACATGCGGTATATGGAGATGATGCACACACTGAAAGAATCGCAATCGTTAGCTTCACATCATATCAAGCAGATAAAAGGGATAGATGCTCAAGTACTTACAAGAAACCGAGGGAGAAAACACCGAACAGCATTGCCTTTTGCCTCGTAGGTAGGCGAAGTTTGAGGACTGACGGCAGTGGAATGCAGAAGATCATGATGTCTGTTGCCATGCTCATACCCGAGGAGAAGTACCAAATAGGTAGAGTGTTGAGACAGAAGCTAGCTGTACTCGGTACGATGATGGATATCGGAAGGCATGAAGTGCCAAGCAGTGTGGCCTGCGCGCATGCCCAGAGAACCACGAAAATCATCGCCCAGAAACAAATTCTCTGAACGTTCTTGGCCACAAAGACCCTTCGATACTGGAGCAAGAACGATACCTTGACAACGTTCATTCCCATGTTGTAGTGGAGAACTGCAACCAACAGAAACTGTTGTTTGTCAGTATCTGCATGGAGTCTTTAGGCGTAGAGGTCAACTGACTTTTAGTTGCTCCATCGTTTCTTCCATCGAAACATTCTCGACGTGCCTACCCATACCATACTTGACTTCTGTGTTGAGGGAATGGCCATGTCAGTATATCATGCAAGAGTTTGTTCCTTCGAGCAGAATCATCAATACCTAAACATGTTGCTATTGTGACTACAACGGCAAATACCTATTAAGATAATTAGCATCAATCCCATAGAGCCCCTTACGGATTCTCATACCTGCGCCAACAGAATTGACCAGTCATCCTTTCCGGTTGTTCTTAAGAGAACAAGTCGTGTGTACAGCCGAAGCGATAATACACATGTGGAGGCGACAACAAAACCTATGGCAATCCCGCTCACAATATGGCCATTCGACTCGGTTCTGATTACAGTGTTAGGCGTGGCCATTATTGGGAATATGCTGGCCACATGGGCAGAACAAGGGGAAAGTTTCTCAAATGTCGAAGACCCACGGATCCAGTCTTGATCTCCCAAATGAACAACGGCCCATGGCCTACAAGCCAGCCTTATACTGGTCATCTTGGTTATCTTGACAATGAACCCGATTCCATATCTTGAGCGCAATCAGACGGCTGGACCTTACTTTGTTTCCCAGGGGGTGGCTCACGTTCCATCTCTTTTGGCACAACACGGAGAAGACTTCTATTCTGATCCAGTCTGGCGAAGATTCTGCATGCAGGGGCGATGTAGCCGACCCGGCACAATTAGCAGCACCTGCAGCTTTCATGCGAGGGCCTGTCTCATTCAGGATTGTGTTCGGTACCAAAAACAAGAATTCGAATAAGGAGTGCCAACCTTGCTGTGCCTCTCATCTCCCGACCTTCCTGAAGTCTGGACATCTTTGTACCTTGGGGGGAGAGAGCAATGATTTAAATGAAGTCGCTTTACAATTCAGTCCACCCTTGCGTGAAGACCATTTATTTTCGGAGTTCGGGACCGGGTAATACGGGACATCTGTGAAATATGGTAATCCGTGAGAATGTCCAGGTCAGGCTGTGATCAATCCTCCATACATCCCTGTGCTGCGTATTTTCAAAATAGTTGTTAAAATCGTATCGCTATCTCCGTTTCCTCGTTACGCGACGAACGTCGCCGTGGGGTCTTATGGCGCCGAGAGCACGACCTCGGCCGATCGAACTTCTTCTTTCGGCCGCTCCGAACAGCCGCGGGTATGGGCACTTTGTAAGATAAACAACACGGGCACGACTCTATTTGTTGTATATCCAGCTGCAGCTTTGCTCGGGCCTCTTTTATGTTTTCATTTGATGGTTCATCCGTCAAATGCAACGTTATGTACTAGAACACCACTCGCAACCTCAAGAATCCAACCCTGGACCGATCCAAATGCTCTCGGGACAATCACATCTTTCCTAAGTAGGTTGGAGTCCCTTTCTTCCGTTCTCAAGACCAAAGAATGCTCAGTACCGCGTAAGAATATGGCAATATCTTGCAGCGTAGTATGGGACGCGGCTTTCTGCTACAGGAGCAGTCACCCTGCCAGAAGTGCTTCGCTCCTGCAGTAGCGTGTCTACTGTTGAGAAACAGGATTTAGCCTAGCAGTGCCCAGTGCTCAGTGCGACTGAGACCGGCCAAATACCTCAATGAGGGGGAGGAGAACCCCTGATGGTGTGACTAACACCATCGCTAACAAGAAACCTTTCCAGAGTCGTTGGAACGAAATTCTTCGAACCATGTCATGCATTTCGATTCGATGAAGAGTCGCACTTTTGTGGAGTCTTCAAGGGTTGAGCGGGGGAACAGCTGGGCGGATTCGGAGAGTCGTGGTCTTCATCACTAAAGGACCCTCGCATGACGGATTCTCAGCCCAACGACATGGACATTTCGACGTAATCAAGATATCGACAAAACATTCTAACAGCTCCTTGAACTTGAAGCAATATCGGAGTCGTGGGGTGCAACTAGGTTCACTCATATGTACAACATTGATCCAAACGTTGTCTTGAGTGGAAACAGCGGATCACATCCCCAGATGCGCCCTTTCTTCACCCCATACAAGGCTTAGTGCTACTCTTAATCGGACTGCCATTGCTCCCCGGGATTTTCAACGGCCACCGTTGGCGCTAGCCATCAAATCCGCCCCCGACGCCCCTCTTAACTTTCATGCTCCGTTATATCGGCAGGGGTTACCCTGAAATACGAAGCGTATCCCTCGAACCGAGTGAGACCTTAGGCCTGACGCACTTGATCTTGAATGGCCCAAAGCAACATGACCGCGCGTCTTCGCGAATGTTTTTTGAGCCCCTGGCCGCACTGGCCTCGAAGATGGGACCAGGTGTTCGTCTCGACCCGCGTACTTCTGCTCTCCGCAACTATCCGCAACAGAAGAGGGGCGGGCAACAGATGGATCCTCAGTAACTAGGGTAATCAGAACACCTTGGGGTTCTTCCTCGACAGCCGCGCTGTGCGCACTGATGCTCGGAAGAACTTTTGTTTTATACCACACGTTAGACCCCGGGTTTAGAGAACAGTCTTCACGGGGCAAAGCTCACTGAAGAACATGAAGCTTCACGAAGTGTGAATACGGGGTCTGTCAATAACATAAGCTGCCGCTGTAATAATCAAATCACCACTGCGCTCCGGCTACCACGGTCAAACCAACATGAATCCCGTCTTACATTCAAAGGCACATGCTAAATCCAGATGCAATCCCGTTTCCGTCACCTTCAGCGCATCAACATGCTTCCGCTTCTAATATCGCTTACCCCTGCCCGTGCCTGACCCTGCAGAAAGGCCCTGAATCTGCTCTGTAAGGCCAGGGAGACCAAGATATGCTCCGGAAACGAAGCTGTTGGCATTACCTACTGCTGATAATCCAGCTGGGATATTGGGTCAAGAGAAGTAGGTGCAATCCATGCCCCTGTGCTTTACTTCGGTCCCTACAATCGCCAACATCAATTTCCTCAAAGTATGTGTTGCCACGCCTCACATGTCCGCATTGGTATATCTCTCCCGGTAAAGTCGCTCATGTATGGTTCGATCGAGGGAGCCAGACATGGCAATGCATGAATCAAGACATCTCAACGAACATTGTTCTTGCAATTGCATGATTACTACTCAAAAACAGGCTAGATCACCGAGATTCAAAGCTACCTTCCCGGTAGATAGCCCGTTGCCACGTTAGATATGCGCAGACTCCGGCATGTACAAAATGAGCCATCATCCCATCCAATGAGAAAAACTCCCAGACCACCCAGCCTCCATCGTCCCTTGAAGTCAACAATCGGTGGCCGTCACTCGTTTTATCTTGCCCAGAATGATGTTCTTCAAGGCCTTACCGGGTCTTCTCTTCGTCGGCGCCGTGTCCGCTGCCTCCGACAAGACCTATGACTATGTAAGTCCCATCTCTAATACCTTACTCCTCCCAAGTTATGACGAGCCCTTTCTAACTTGACCATACAGGTTATTGTGGGAGGAGGTACCGCCGGTTCCGCCTTGGCGACCCGTCTGAGTCTCGGTCTTCCGAACGCTCAGATCCTGCTCCTCGAAGCCGGTCCGTCCGCTCTCGATGAGCTCCGCATCAACGTCCCCGGCCTTCGAGGCTCGATCCTGGGGACGAACTACGACTGGAACTTTACCACTGTCGATCAAAGCGGTCTTGGTGGTCGTCAAATTGCCGTCAATCGTGGGAAAGTTTTGGGTGGCTCCTCCGCCATGAATTACCTTTGCTACGACCGCGCTTCATCTCCAGAGTACGAGTCGTGGGCCGAGATGGGCAGCGAGGGCTGGACATGGAATACGATGATCGAGGCCATGACGCAGTCGGAAAACTTCACTGGGTCAGACAATGATCCTCGCGGTCGCTCTGGACCGATCAGAAACACCTACAACCGTGTCATATACGACGTTCTCAACACATGGCAGCCGGCTGGTAGCGAACTCGGTCTTCCAATTAATGAGGAGGGAAACATGCATGGCAACCCAATTGGTATCATGTTCCAAGGCACCAACATCGACAACACCGACTACAGCCGGTCTTACAGCGCCAACAGCTACTTGCCTCTTGCTGGGTCAAACCTGGTCGTCCAGACCAACTCCCAAGTTGTGAAGGTAAACTTGGAGAAAGCAGGCGAGAACGACTTTTCCGCAACAGGCGTGACCCTGTCTGACGGCAGTGTCATCAACGCCGCCAAAGAGGTCATTCTTTCTGCCGGATCTATCCAGAGCCCTGGAATCTTGGAGCTTTCTGGCATCGGTCAGGCCGCCGTCATCGAGGCGGCTGGAGTGACTCCTGTCATTGATCTGCCCGGAGTTGGCGAAAACTACCAAGACCACATCCGTACTTCGAATGTTTACCGCCTGAAAGACGGTATTGATTCGTTCGACAACTTGATATTCGACGCCGGCGGTGAAAATGCCACTGCAGAGCTCCAGAAATGGATCGACGGAGAAGTCTCACTGTACGACTACACATCGGCTGCGTATGGATTCTTGAACTGGGGTCAGGTCGACACTCAGGCACAAGCCGATCTCATTGCCTTGGCTGAAGCTGCGGTGGGCAGCAGCACAAACCCTATCGACCAGAAGAAGCTCGAATTCCTGAAGAATGATGCCGTCCCCGACTACGAGCTCATCTTCGAGGCCAACCACGTCGGTGCCGCCGGGTACCCTGGATCGGGCAAGTTCATCACCATCTTCAGCACCGTCATGCATGCTCTCAGTCGTGGCAATGTGCACATTGACCGGGCAAACCCAACGGGCAAGCCGATCGTGGACCCCAAATACCTTAGCAATGAGCACGACGTGAAAGCTGCCATTGAGGGCTCGAAGTTCGCGCGCAAGATCGCAGAGGCGGGGCCCATCAAGGCCATGTGGGAGGCCGAAACAGAACCGGGTCCGGACGTTCAGACTGACGAGCAGTTCCGCGAATTCGCCGTCAACACAGTCAACAGCTTTTACCACCCTGTTGGAACCTGCTCTCTTCTGCCCAGAGATGATGGTGGTGTTGTTGATGCGGATTTGAAGGTCTATGGAACTAAGAACTTGCGTGTGGTTGACAACAGCATTGTTCCTATCATCATTTCAGGACATATCCAAACGGCGGCCTACGGTATCGCTGAGGTAGCCGCTGCTAAGATCATTTCTGAGGCAGCCTAGGGTAGATAATGCGGATGGTGCTTTACTTAATATGAATGGATTCGGTTAATCCCACTGCTTAAGCCTTCGTACATGTATCCTGAATATGAGGTCTTTGGGCTCTCTGCGTCGAGATACCTGGAGGCGTCACCTCTCTGATAATTTAAGCCTCCCACCAACCACTTTTCCACAATGTCGTGAAGCCAGAAGTGTCACAACAGTTTTGAGTTGCATCATGAACTTCTACTTCTCTAGAAGGGAATTGTATCACGGAGGCAATTCAACTTGGCAAAACAGGTTTCACACTATTGCTGTGCAAAAGCTAAAGAATGAAGAGACCTATGCAACTGAGAGGGAAACCATATCTTAAGAATCAGATTCGAAAACGTAGACCCAGCCGCTTTCTCTTTGTCTCTTATCCACGACGGGAAATATAACCAGCAACTACGGCTTGAAGATCACCTTTTGCACTTCGGCGTTGTCGAAGAGTTCATATCCTTTGACAGCTTCAGAAAGAGGTAGAATGTTCTCGAACATGAATCTGGCACATGTATTCGTTAGCGTGTAAACGAGGTAGTTGAGATTGCCATAGCTCTAGATACGACGGGATGGGACCGACCCTAGAAGATGATGCTTCTCCTCCAAAAGCGCGAGAGCTTCGGGAAAGATGCTGCGAACAGGACAACGTCCCATCTGGAGGCGAACATTCTTGCTTTATAATACTCAGTATGTCAAATCAGTTGATTTGATCATTGAAGTATACGACTTACTTGTAAGCCTCATTGCCCGTCCAGGGAATCTGTGAAAGTCAGAATGTCGTCGTCTTGCTGGCTGTGTTCTTTACTTGCCTCCGCATTATGGACACCAATACTGCTGATCACACCCAAAGGCCGGATCAAGTCAAAGGCAGTCCTGAGGGCCGGCGATAGCCCTACTACCTCGATTGCCACATCTGCACCGCGTCCATCTGAGACTTCTCTGACTCTAGCCTGCATGCCCGCCTTGTCTGAAAGAAAGTTCAACGGCTCCGCACCAAGCCTCCGGGCCTGGTCGAGTCGGCTGTCGACGCTGTCGACTGCGAACAGGTGTTTCGGTTTGTAGTGAGCCGCGACAGTGATCGCACATAGTCCTACCGGGCCACATCCAATGACTACGACAACAGAATCCTGCAAATTGCGTGAAGGCAGAAGCTCGACAGCGCTCTTCACTCCAAAGTATCCGGTCGGGAAGATATCCGCCATGACAACCAAAGCTTGTTCTGGGATGCTGGGAGGGGCTTTGACAATTGTGCCATCTGCAAGGGGGATCCGCACAAACTCAGCTTGACCCCCGTCTAGTAGGGCAGAGCCAAAGAGTAGACCTTCTGAGCATCTGCAGGTTCCTCCATTCTGACAGAAGAAGCATTTTCCGCTTTAGGAAACGTATGAGCAGAGGTTCTGAACCAAAGGAAATCATTCCAATTATGTAACTTGCCATGATACGGTGAATGGGGCCACGACATGATCCCCAACTTGAACCGATTTGACAGTTTTGCCAATAGCAGTAACCGTGCCAGTGAATTCGTGGCCCATGATGAACCCGGTCTTCGACTTCTGATGCCCGCGATAGACGTGGAGCTCCCTAAAGGTGGTCAGCTGGATGGTCATGGTGGTCGAGTGGAATCAACTCTGATTGCACATACGATCCACAAAGAGCCGTTGCGCTGACTTTGACAATCACATCTTGGTCATGTTGGACTGTGACCTTTCAATAAACTACCCGCAGTGGTAAGATCCTGAATATCAGCTCACGTTGAGGAATTGGCCGATCCTGAATAGAGACCTTCCGTGGCCCATCAAAAACTACGGCCTTCATCGTTCCGGTGCTAGAGCTCATGATTTGTCGTCGATGTCGTCGTGAATCTAGCGTAAACTGAGAGATTGAGACTGCTTTCAAGCCTGTAAATTGTTTGCCCTAGTGTTTGAGGACAACAAATTACTGGGAAACCCCCAACTTATCAAGGACCAGTGCCGAGGCAGTTGTAGGCTGCATTAGCAGATCTCGACGCCAATTGGTACTTGGCAATGGTCTGACGACCACATAACCGAATGCCGAGCTGCAAATCTGATTCGGAATCGATTTCCGAAAGAGGGGGCATGACCTCCCCGCAACACGCTACTGCAAGCCATAATATCACACATCAGCTTTATTGATACGTGCATAGCTTATATCACGTCGTTGAGACACGGCTAGACCTGGTTTCAACGACTGGGCATGGGCCGCATGGGTTGTCAATAGCAAAGAGTATTCGCGGTAAACTTTTGACTATCAATCATTTTCAAGCATCTACATACTTTCGTGATTGTTCTACATAATTAGGCTACTGCATATCAGTAGCGAGACCAGGTTGCCGCCCGCAGAATACTACTCGTCTGTTGAAATGGAAGCTAGGCATCAGCACCAGATGCACTGGATGTTGAACTTTCTAAAGTCACCAGCTCGAGGAGTTGGGCCATGTTAGAAATGACACTGACATCGTGTCCCTTCACTCGACAGCTTGAGCTCTTGCTCGAGGGCTGATACAAGACGGCACTCCACCCTGCGCCGAGAGCTCCCTCGATGTCCGCATTCATGTTGTCGCCCACCATAAGAGTTCTCTGTGCGTCCACCCCCAATAACTTGGTGACATGATCGAATATGCGCCGGTCTGGCTTGGAGTAGCCCACTGCCTCGGAGCTGACAAGATGCTCCACGAGATGTCTTACACCAATATGGGAAGCTTTATTCTCTTGAACGGCCTGCCATGAGTTCGTTAAAATGGCAAGGCGAAAGCCAGAGTCGCGCAGTCGCTGCAGTGTCTCCACACTCCCCGGGGTTGCGATTCGATTTTCTGCGTACGCCGGTCGATGAATGCTGCGAAATCGATCGGCCTCGGCAGGCTCGAGAGGTTTTAAACCAAGAGATGCAAAGAACAAATCGAGTTTTGAGTTCTTCATATTTTCCCTGTTGATTCTCTTCGACATATATTCTTCGTAAACTTGAGTGCTTGCTCTCGCATACATCATAATGAGATGATCCAAGTTGTGCTGCTGAAGAAGGACGGGGAACTCCTTTGTTACGGCGGACATTGCTTGTCTTCCAGTGTGTTCGTTATCGAACAATGTCCTGTCCAAATCAAAGACAATCGCGTCGAACTTCATGTTGGAAACGGTGTTCGTAGTGGACATGGTCGTGAAGACGGCTCAGAGGTGATAAATGCTTTAAGTGGAATGCATGTGTGCATCCTTGCTGGTATAGTTGGCCGCCTTAAGTAGGATATTCCGGTCTATCTCCTTAAGGTCCTATCCTTTTTCAGGCTCTCGGCTATTAATAACCTTAAGAAGTATAAAGTTCTATGGAAGAGTTATGATAGCTTAGAAGTTTGTCAAAAGCCTTTCTACATATTCAATGTTACATATGAATAGACTTAGACAGTAGGGGTAAGTATAATTTATTGCACAGCATCTTGGGACTTTTCAAGTATGATATGCTACTTTCAACGTGATATTTTAGAATATGATTGCTTATGAAAGACTCTCAGCCTTTTATTTTAATAAGACCTCCCCGTATGGGTCCAAAAGGTTGATGCAGAGGATAGTAAGTGAGCCTTCCGGGTAGAAGCACAAGGTTATTGATTAACAAGGGGCCAGGCAGCACGAGTAATCAGATAAGGTTTGGAGGGCAGACAAAATGACCACGCCACCAGTAAGCTATATTTATGAGATATCTAGGAGATTCAAAGTCCCTCTTAGACGCATTGGTTTGCCATCCACATGTCTCATATTCTCATGTTGCTGTACCTTCACCAGCTTATAGGCCCAATTCAAATATTAGGGGAAATGTAGATGTGTACTCTGTCTAGTGAATTGATGTATATTCATTTGCTGCAAAGTCTGTTTTCTGTCGCAACGCAAAAGCAGCATCGGAAAAGACGCCTGGTGTACCGGCGACATCTCCGATAATCTTCCCAAGAATAGAATCCATAAAAGTCTATGTATTCACAACTCCGTCCATAGCCAGCCAAGATTGTAAAATTATGTTAACTTTACATGCATCATCTTACTACATTTCTATCAGAAGGTGACCTCATCTGTAGCATCTCTGACAAGCTTCATGGCTTTCTTCAAGCCCTCCTGATCTTCAGCACCCACCGCCACATCGGCCAGACTAACGCCGGTATCTGGATCCTCGTACCAGCTGATGATACACATCTGCCCACTTTCAAACTCCTCTTTGAAGTTGTCTATGAACTCTGATCGGCCTTTCTTCAAACTGATTGAAAACGAAGATCCACTCCAAAGACCGCAACTCATAAAATGACCTTGAAGAAGGGGGAGACAGAGAGAGCCCGACGTCCTAATATTCAGGTCAACGACGTGGAAGCAGGAGAAATCTTCTCCGCCGTTCTTCGTTCCATTTGTGTGATGGCCATTGGTCTTTCCGTTCGTCACCGGCGCTGTCTCAAGCACATCAGCTCCAGCGGGCCCGACATAATCGTGATTTCGCAACCATATTGCGATCCTTTTGACCAGCGGTCCGAACTTCTTCTTCAACTCGTCCTGGCGAGCGTAATTGATGGTGCTGCCGATCCATGCCTTCTCGTCGTCAATCATCTGCTCCGATGCTGCCAGGAAGATCGGATCGCTACCATCGTCTGTGACAAAGAACGTGAGGCCGTAGTCGCCGATGGGGTTCTCGACGAGGTCGGACAAGATGAGTGCGGCAGGTCGAAGATGGAAGTTGGACTCAATAACGGAAGAGAGGAGCTTACGCAGGATACCGTTGCGGAAGTCCTGAATGACACTGTCGCGGTCCTCTTCTGTGTTGATGATGTACGTTCCCGCGCCACCGAAGGTTTGTTGGTTCTTGAGCACAAACGGCAGAGGATGAGCCTTGAGTTCGGCGAAGATCTCTTTGCTTTGCTTTTCAAACCATTCACCTCGGCTGCCGGAACATGCCTCGGGAATGACGAATTCAGCAACGTCGCCTTTGCAGAGGGTGCAGCACATCGTATTCTGCGCCGCAAACCCATCGAGCTCGACAATTTTCGACTTCGGCGTTGGTAAACCTGACTGTGCGAGCGCGGCCTTCGAGTTGAGGAACCAATGCGTCTCAGGCGGAACAACCAGGTTGTAATCCTCCAACCCGTCTAGCACTAGCTTGTACGCGATCAAATCGATTCTAGCCTCCGTGATCGGGATCTTGGACGGACCCGGGCAGAAGATGAGGTCCGGTCGCTGTTTCTTTGCGAGGACCGAAATCGTCTTCTCGGCCTCTTCCTTGTCGTGAGCCTTCTGTTCGTCCGTTTCGTCGATATTGAACAGAACGACGGCGGTATCGCCGCTGATGAATGCGTCGCGTTGGGGAATCAACGATAGGTACTTGACGGCCAGCTCTTGTTGTTGCTTCTTGTCGCCCACGTGACTACCCGCATTTTTGTTTGTCGAAATGGAGTTGAAAGGGCTGTCTTGGTAAAGATATTTCGCGTTTCGAGGGACGTTGGCGCTCAGCTCTGAAGCGGAGTTGACTCCGCAGAGGACCTGCGCGATGCGCTTATGCGCATTCTTCGGGCTTGCTCGCCGATATAGATCAGCCAGCGTCGTATCTAGGGTTATTGTCGGTAGGTTTGTCATTTTGGAGTATGTTTGTTAAATTCGAACAACAGGCATCTACGTTGTTTGGGGATGGAGAGCTTTCATATGGCTAGAAGTTGGTACGCGGTTGCAAGGGATGATTAACACGTACGCCAACCACCCTTGACGTGATCCGAGGTTAGTCGTTATTAGTGCAGATTCTCCAAGCCTGTGCAATCTTGGATCTCGGGACGGGCACGCCTCGCTAGAGGCGCAGATGCGGCTAAATAATGTGATGTCATTGTCTGAAGCCACGTTCGCAGGGGGCGGGTTAGGATTCGCTTCGTGTACTGGGGCATGTGGCGTAATCAAGAACAGGTCACATGCAGCAAGGCTGACGTCGCTCCCTCCTCGGTCGAAGTTGGTTCTCATCAATATGGCAGGGTATTCTTAGTAGGATCGACGACCACGTTGAAACTGCGGCTGCCAACTGTATCGAGATGCCAGGCCGCATGTCAGTGTTGCAGTGCTCTCAGGGCGGCTCTTGGCAATCTTGCATCATCTTGCTGGCCAATAATCAGCCCTAGCATTTCCCCAAGAAGTGGAATCCCGGATTTATAACGGGTCAGCAATGCGTCATGTGCAATGAGACAACTTGCCCAAGAGATGCAGGGAGACGAAACTTGTTCTCGCTATTGCGGAGAATTGTGTCCGGCTATGGCTTTTCGAAATGGCTTTTCAGGACCATCTCTTGGCGATACTTCCAACCTCAAGTTTTGGTATGGTGATGGCGGGAACGAACAAGAAAAAGAAAAGAAAAAGCCCCTGATGCCAATATCTTTTGGCAAACTCATGGGATGTTATCCTTCATTGTTTTCCAAAGGCCCTCGGTCATCAGTTCTGTCCACTGGCACGGCTTTTCTCAACGAGACCTGAAGACGGATAGCTGTATTCGGAGCTTTCGCTCAAACTAACCTCCCCAAAACCCGACGCGAGTCGAAGGTAGCATCTCATTCCTCCCCTTAACCTAGAACAATCCCTACACAAACGTACGCCGACTCCAAATGCCCTGCCACGACCACGCCCATGGCGAACCCTTTTCTCTCTCATCATATCGAAGGTACCGGCTTGGTATACTATACAACAGTTGTTTCTCGTCATTAATACAGCGGGACGACGACCGCGCATTCCCGCACCCGAGTGACTCGTCAGGTCTGTGTAAAAAATCACTCGATTTCCATGGCGCCGTCGCTCTCGAGGTTGAGGTCGAGAACGCGGGCGTACTGGATCGTAAGGCGTTGAAGTTCTCTGAATTTTCCTGAAGTAAGATGTTAGTGATGATGTGACAGTGCAAAGGGTGGATGAGGACGTACCGAGAATCATCACGACACCCTTCAGCAGCTCCTTCCGATCCCACCCGCAGATCTCGTCTTCCTTGCTGAACCACCCACGTCTGCCCTCAGCCTCGCCATCCTTATCCGTGAGAATGCCGCCGAGCAGGCTGTTCAGCAACTCTTCGACCTTGCCGCGGTGGCCCTCAGCACCGATACGCTTCGCGTACATGAAGAGGTACAGACGGAACTCGTCTCTGGCACCAAGCTGCAGGGCCGCGGCAATCCGGTTCTCCAGGTGAGCAATGCTGACGGTCGACTCGAACCCCTCGAAACCATCCTTTGACAGCAGCATCTTAACAATCCGCTGCAATGTGTAGGCCCGCCCCTTAAGCAGGAACTCGTTGGTGGTGTGGCGCTCGAGATACGGGATGATGCCAGCGGAGACATTGGCGTTGTTGGCATCCTTTGGCTTGGCGGGCGTGACGGGACCGACGGCGGTTGACTGCAAGGCGCTGATAGACGAGTCGTTGCTGTTCCAGTACTGCGAGCCCACAGCCCACCAGGCCTCGCTGACTCTCTGCCATGAGAACATGTCACGGGTGTAATAGTATCCATCTCCATTTGTCAGGGTCACTATGATATGACCCGCAGAGTTGAGTTGGGCCGATGTGATTCCAGGGCCTGGTGTCGTCGAGTTGAGGTTGAGTGTCGTGGTGGCAAGTTCTAGGACAGGACCCAAAGACGTAGGAGGGTGAAGAGCGGCTTGCTTTTCGAGATCCCAAACATGACATAGCCCGACGGCGTTGATGCAGAGTAGGTAGCTGTGGCGAGATTCAAGAATAACAGGCTGTGACTCCATGATAATGGGGTTCATCAGTCGACGGCCCGCGGATGTCCAAGTGTAGATACTGCCGTCTTCGCAAGCGGCTGCCCAGAAGTTCTTGTTACCCGTGACAAGAATGACGGCCCTGGGGAGGTAGTCTTGCCACAGTAGCGTGCCGCGCTTCGTTGCTGAGATGTGAGATGGGTCCCTGATCTGAACGGGGTTGCGCGCTTCGAGAATGACATTTTCAGGCACCTTTGATGCTTCGTCGGTGCTACTTTCAGGAAGCAGGACACCCCGCTCGAGTGGACGAATGATCTGGGATCTGACCTTTGGTACAGCCAGTCGAATCTGGGCAAAGGCAATCGACGGGTTTAACACCGCAGGGCGTAGGTACTCCGGAGTAGGAACGACGCCGTGAGCTGCTGGCACGACTGACGCTGGCTCAACTCCATCCACGCCATTGATAACGACCGGCGTAGGGCCTATGGCTTGGCGCTTGGAGCCATGGTCTGCGTCCTCCTCCTCACCCTCGATTGCCGCAGCTTTCCTCTTATTACCAAGCAGCATCGCCGCAATTCCTCCCTTGGGCAGTCCGTCGAATGGCTTCTCGAGATCCACGATCGTTTGAGGGGCGTCGTTCTGCGTGGCCCTTGCCGTCGACGTGGATCCAACGAGCTGTGTTTGAGGGAGAGATGACTGGCCTGTACTTGACGCCGAAACCAGAAGCGGTGCGACACGTTTCCTGCCGTCTTTGCCGACAGTAACTCGGGACTTGAGCTCCTTTACTCTCTCTGCCGACTTGTCTGCGCTTTCTTCGGCCGGTTTCTCCTTCTCCTTTTCCTTCTCCTTGTCCTTGTCCTTGTCCTTTTCAGGCTCGACGTTGCCGTTGGTTGCCTGGGGCGTTGAGGTGCCTGTCGCCGATCCACCGGGCTTGGTTCCATTGGTCGCGGGCGCTGGTTCCTTCGCAGAAGGCCCGTCACCCATGAGAGCACCCATTCGAGATTCGGCGGCACGAGACTCGCCAGCCTTGCTTTGGTTTTCCAGGTTCAGACCTTCGATATCTTCCGCGATACCCATACCTTTCCTGGAGGCCCCATACTTTTGCAGCGCTTTGTCGTTCTCCTCTGCGTTGGCGACCCATCCAAGTTCTCCGCGGTCGAACTGAACACCAACGACCGCACCGTCCAGACTCGAAGCGAAAATCGTCGAGCCGTCCGGCGACCAGGTAAGATCCGATATCGACTTGCCAGCAACATCCTGGAGAATGACCACGGGTCTACTAGTGTTCGTATTCCATATGCTCAATGTTTTGTCCTGGCCTGCCGATGCAATGACAGTGACCAGTCCAGTGTTTGTCGGGTTATCGGCGGGGTTTTCCGTGTGGAACAATCGTGGCGAGAACATGCAGACTTCAGTCGGCCCTTCGTGGCCAATGAGGTTGATCTCACTATCCCAGCGTGTACGTTCAATGATAGCCACAGAGCTGACTGGGCCGTTGACAGCATTCGGTGCAGCGATGTGGTTGCCGTCGGGAGACCAAGAGCATCGGCGGAAGTAGGTCGTTAATGGTGAGCTCTTGAAGGGGGCGCTGATTGTGGTCTCGAGCACAAAGTTGTTAACCATATCATGCTGTGTCGCGTTCGGCGCGGGGGGTGTAAATCGGAAGATCTTGATCGTTCGGTCATCGGAGGCGGTCGCGAAGAACTTGTTTGCAGGGTCAAAGGTGATGCCCTTGACGTGACTCGAGTGGACGGTGATTGTCTTGAGCTTCTCGAAGCTATGGCCGGACCAAACGACAATCTTGGAGTCGAGACCGACAGATACTAGTATGGAGGAGTCGTAGGACCATGCCAGGTCCTGAACGTCGTTCTCGTGACCGACGAGGCGCTTGTACGTCTTCCAGTTCTCGACAGGAGGAGGTTCGGAACCGAGGCCTGCGAGAGCATGTTAGCAGGTGCGAATGCCGAGGCGCATTGCTGCAAGAGGGTGCGCATTACCAAAAGAAGCTACGGGCGGGCCCTTGTCGAGATGGTAGACGCAGATGAGCTTGTCGTCGGCGCCGGAAGCGAGGTAGCGGCCGTTCGGGGAGAATCGAACGGAGTGGATTGTGCCTAGATGATGGCTCATATGGCAGAGCTGGCGCGGTTTGTTCTCGGCGGCACCGGTGGCATCGCCGTAGATAGCCTCAGTCGACCAGACTCGTACGTGGCCGTCGCCGCCAGCGGTCGCGAGTCTTTTTCCATCGGATGAAACGTGACAGCTGTAAACCTCGAAGTCTTTCTGCTCGCCGCTATGGCTTAGCCATGTTGGCTTGATGACGCGCATCGCGATCGGCCCGAGGGCATTTAGGGACGGACGAGCGATCTACTGAGTATGCAGAGGAATATCGATAATCGGACAGAAGCTTGTTGATGCGATTGTTGTCGGGGTGGTGGCGCGGCGATGCGAATAATGGTGTTGAGGTCAATTGAAGCAGGCAGGCAAGGCAAGCAAGGCAAGCAAGCTGGCCCACGCGGTCGCACGGAGAAATTGGGGCTCGATTGGCATCCAAGAAAACGCGTTTTGCGGAACCCTGACGCCTTGGAATTCGCGTCTCAAGCTTCAGGTGCTCAATGGCGCTAAATTGACCGCATCAAGCGCCGTTCGCACCTCTAAAAGCTGAGCTAATCATTCAATCACGCATCCAATCCGAGGCGTCCGTCTGCCCCGCTCCGCTTGGACCGGAACCCGCTTGTTGTTCGGATCGGACTAATCGACTGTCCGACGAGTTCGGGCGGCCCACCTCATCCGTCATTGACTCCACTAACGCCCGGACCATCGGTATCGCTTATGAAGCCAATAATACGCGTTTTAGCACTCAAAGCTGTCCGTGCTGAACTCCACCCGTCGGCTTGATATCAACCCGCATTTTTACCCTTTGTCAGCGCCAATTACCCCAGCTCGCGGGGTTAATTAGCTCTCAATCGGCTTCTTGATTCCTCCTCGTTCGAACCACTGCAGGATGCCGCTACCTTCAAATTGAAAGTCCGCTGACCTTAGTAATGGCAAACTCCACGGCCACACCCATATTCGTCATCAGGATCATGAAAAACGTTATGCTTATGGTCTCAGCCATATCCGGCCAACTACTTGGGGACACGATCAGGACTTAGCGGTCCGCAGCTGTGACATCCAATTAGTTTGCCTGATGGTCAGTAGCAAGCTAATTCAAGTATAAAGATTTGCCAACATGTAGCAGAACAACTCATTCTGCATCAATGTCAACACTGCCTCACATTCTACAGCTTCTCGAATCGACTTCAATACTACCATCACTCAGGCTTTCCACCACCTCATATCCAGGACTCCCTAAAATAAGATGTCTTCAACTCCTATCAAAACCCTGGTTGTCATCGGTGCGACTGGAAACCAGGGTGGATCTGTGGCCAGGACCTTCTTGAACCCCTCATCGTTAGCTTCTCAATGGCATGTCAGGGCCGTGACTCGGAATCCCAAATCTGCTGCGGCTCTGGAACTCTCGAGACTGGGTGCAGAGGTCGTGTCTGCCTCCCTCGACTCCCTTGCCGACCTCCGTGCAGCTTTCAAAGACGCAAACGCCATATTCGCCGTGACAGACTTCTGGAGCGCCATCCAAAGCCCAACCGTGGTCCAACAAGCCCAGGAGAAGGGCGTCCACCCAGCTGTCGTCGCTCAAGCGACCGAAGAAGAATGGGGCCACAACATTGCCGTTGCTGCTGCGGACATCCCGACACTGGAGCGCTTCGTATTCAGTACCCTCCCCGGTGTCTCTGAATTGAGCCAGGGGAAGCTCAGGCATGTTTACCATTACGACGGAAAGGCCAACATCGCCAAGCACATCCAGCAGTCCTTCCCGCAGCTGTGGTCCAAAACATCACAGATCATTGTGGGCCACTACAACTCCAACATCCTCCCGGGCTCTTTCTTCGCTCCGGTTTACAACGCCGAGACCAAGCGGGCCGAGTTTGATGGACCCACTCCGGCTGACACGCCGTTGCCGTTCATCAATGCCCCAGTCAGCACAGGTCCGTTCGTCAAAGCTTTGATCCTGGACGAGCCTGTCGGCACTATTCTTGCTGGATTTGATGAGTGGCAGTCTCGACAGCAGACGGTCGATTTTCTCGGCCGTCTGACCGGCAAAGAATACGGCTACGTCCAGAAGACTGTGGAAGAACTAGCCAACTCATCACCCTTAGGCTTGGAGCTCCCAGAGACTCATTTATTTGTTGCCGAGTATGGGTTCTTTGGTCAGGGAGTTGATGGATGGAAGGAAAAACTGACTTGGCCGTCTGATTTGAAGATCAAGATCGAGACCCCAAGCCTTGAGCAGTGGCTGAGGGAGCAGGATTGGAACCCGGTTTTCCCATCGGCGTGAGGTATTAATGCACACTGGTACCTTTTTATATATTCGAACTCCTCTTAATGTACGTAGAGCTCGTTCTTGGCTTTCTATGGACTCTCCTAGTTGAATATATTTCGACGGAAACACCTCAGCACCGCCGATGTGTGTCTTTCTTGTCGTATACAGCCATCTTTTACCATAACCCGGCCAGTATGCTGTGTCTAACATGTATTTTCAAGTCTAGTTCAAGAAGCCGGTAACACCTTAGAAATATGGCCCTGAACACACGCGAAAGGCTCAGAATGTCGTCCTCGAGAAGTCAACCGCCGACCAACGCCGCAGGCGATCTCTCATTTGTCTAAATCATGCTATGCCTAATTCAGCGCTTCGTCCGATGCGAGCAGGAGAACGATGGCCTGTCAAAACTGTCACATGCGAACTAAGAAGCTTCATATCGTAGAGGAGGAGCGGCCGTCTCCGATGGTGATGGTTGAAGCAAACCTCAGATTAAGTGTCAAGCATCGGGTGAGCGGCACAGACCCTGGCACCCAGGTTCGTTAAGCTGTCTTCCCGCGAGAAGCTTGCCGTTTTGAAGTCTTTGAACTGATACGTCATGGAGACCGTAGAAAATAAGCTTAGTTTCCTCAGCAATCCAGAGAGACCATTCGCTATCCCATGCCGTTTAAACAAGACCCGCTACCAAGCCGAAAGCCAAGATCAATAGAAATGAAGCAGCGGAGCTCTCTGGATTCCTTACCCCACCCGCTACTTTGCCGGTTCCGAGGCGATGAGACGAACATACCCAGACACGCTGTAACCCTATGTAGAAGGTAAAATCGTCAACCTGTAAGAAGGCCGGTTAACTAAGCGCGTAAACTAAGTTCCCACGACATTCCACAAAGAGGACCCCGTGGCAGAATGATAGGGACAGCCCGACACGTTTCGAACCCACAGCCAGGTTAAACCCGTTTCGACAGCTGCTTAAGGGACCGGTGGATCGGAGGTGGCCGCAGGGTGCGCTTCAATGCGGGGATCTCACGGGAGAAACGGGCAAGACTTCCTCACCCGGCCTCGACAGTTCCTTGGCCCCAGGGGTTTGGCGTTGCAATGCCGGTCGGTAGATGCGCCATGCTAGCGCACGACATCCATGTCAAGGCCACCAATTAATCAGACCAAATGCCATTGGAGCTGAACGGAGAACAAGGACGAAGAAGTGTGCTTTTTTGGTGTCTTGTATTTTCCAGCCAACCACGGCCGCGTTCCTGGCCATGCCCGATAAGATCCCTACAAACACCTTCCGGATTGAGGACCGACGATCGACAACACAACGGGGCCGGCGCTGACGCCGCAACCACACCTCCCGCTGCTAATTGTGCGTTGCAATAGGAACGGGGGCGGTACTCACTTTCGGAAAGTCTATTCGTGACAACTCTCTTTCTATAAAGATGAAGTCGTCTGCACCGAGTTCGTCAGATTTGGGAGAAGATCAACAGCCCAGTTCATCTCATCCCAACTCCCCCTCCAGTCTTTACTCAAGCCCCTCGCAACCTTGGTCAAGATGCAGTTCTCCGTCGTCGTCCTCTCTCTGTTCGCCGTCGCGACCCAGGCCGCCCCCGCGGAGCTGTTCAAGCGCGCCACCACCTGCGGCAGCACTTCCTACACCACCGCCCAGGTCAACGCCGCCTCCAACGCCGCTTGCAACCACGTCAAGGCCGGCACCGTCGCCGGATCTTCCACCTACCCCCACCGCTACAACAACTACGAGGGCTTCAACTTTGATGTCAGCGGCCCGTGGTACGAGTTCCCCATCAAGACCAGCGGCGTCTACACCGGAGGTGAGTTTGTTCCCCGCGCGAGCTTGGCGCAGTATGCCCACAATATTGGCTATGCTGCCGAAGTCTATATGCCACGATTTGTGCAGAATACTGATTGTTTCCAGGCTCTCCTGGCGCCGACCGCGTCGTCATCAACGCCAGCTGCGGCCAGGCTGGTCAGATCACCCACACCGGTGCCAGCGGCAACAACTTTGTCGGCTGCTCTGGTACCAACTAAACGACTGGATGAGGCCTTCGAGTTGAGAGAGATGTGCGGAGCCTGTTGAGCGATTTATGGATTATGACATTCAATTCAAAACTGAACATATAGACGCCACTGGCATCGTCTTAACCCTTAATCATCGGTTCTGTTGCTTGTGATGTGCGATGCTACATGTACTAGCCGTTCATCAAGCCGTGACGTGCTTCCATATCCCAACCTGACAGTCTCTTGAAAGGTAAGAAGCTTTGCTAGAGCTTGTAAACGAGCTTGGTAGCCGAAATATCTCCATCTCGGTATTCCTGGAATCCTTTCGTTACACCATCGAGACCCCCAGGAATAATCTTTGGTTTGTTGGGCCTGATCTTGCCTTCCTCAACCCATCCGGGAAGCTTCTCAAAGAACTCGGTTCCGAGCTTGTGGTCCTCCTCATGCGCCTGTCCACAGTTAGTAATACTATCCACATGACATAAGTAATAGATCGACATTACTTACGGGCCAATGGAAATCCCCATAACGGTGATCTTTCAGGAAGGCAGTCCAGACAAGCACATCGGTCACCTCGGTCTGCTTGGTAACTTCCTCGGTGTTTGCCTTCCCAGGCCTCACAGTACAGAGACCACCACCACTCTCGTCGATGGCTTGTGAGGCTAGACCAGATGAGGACTTGTTCCCGATTGTGTCGAAAACATACTTGAGTCCTGGAGCCGCATTTCTGATGGAGTCTACGACGCCATCATCGTGATAGTCGAATGCGTGCTTGGCACCCAGATACTTCACCATATCGAAGTGACGGGGACTGCAAGTAGTGATCACCTTGAAACCGTGCAAAGCCGCGATCTGAATGGCATAGAGGCCGACGCTTGCTGCCAGATCAGTTAGTCCAAGATACTGCAGTCGAGGCCAGAGATCACCTACAGCTTCCACCCCAGATCAAAACTGACGCGTCATGTCCACTGTCTCTGGGAATAGCCAGGCAATCTTTGGAGAAGAGGGCGAGCCAAGCCGTCATCGACGCCAGGGGCAGTGTAGCAGCTTCCTCTGGCGTAATGTTCTTGGGAACACGGAAGCTGATGTCGTTATCTGCCACGGTATACTCGCTGTAACCTCCGACGCCTTTTATCTCGCCTGTTGTGGATTGAAAGTTAGCCCAACTCCGACCGTGATATGGACGCAATCGTACCTCCCCAGATCAAGCCAGCTACCGAGTCTCCTTTGTTGAGCTTGTGCACCTTGTCGCCAGTTTCCTCAACGGTGCCGACGAAATCGCAGCCAAGGACTGCGTCTTCGCCGAAGGCATTGCTGTCCAAGGATTGAACTGTCGGTTTTGTCAATATTTCAAGCAAATGCCACAACTAAGGTTTAGAAATCTCACCGTCTGTCGGGTTTTGGGCGACGTATGAGACTTTCACCAGAGCCTGGTTGGATGCCGGCTGGGGCACTGGGATCGCCTTCTTGACGATAGTTGGCGATCCTCCATTGGGGGCCTCGGTAACTAGAGCCTGACACTGTTTCGCGGTCATGATGGTTCGAAATGAAAGCGATTAATCCCTGGCGTGTGCTGCGGAAACGATATAGCCTGCTAGAATGCAGCCGGAGAATGTGGTGGTAATGGTTGATGGCCGATATATACTAATCCCTCAAGGTATGTCGTCTGTTTTCACTCATCAGAGGTACGTCATGGAGGCTAGATCGTCTGACGGCTTTCTGTTGCGGGGTTGATGGCTGAAAACATTACAAATCGGCTTCGGCCGGCGTCTTCGTTGCGGGCCGGACCATGATAAAAACGGGTCTCGACCCCAGAAAACCCCGGTCCCGACGCCCGGCTGCCTGAGTCCGATGACGGCCCACGGTGGAGGCCATACGGTTCGGCCAAAGTGCAAGTGTAAGCGCAAGCGCCATCTAACGAACATCACAGTAGAGTGCCCGACCATTACCCTCAGATGATTGTTGGGTGATTCAATTCATGTGTCTATGTGTTCTCAGTTGTGTTGCTCGAAGAGGAACTTGGAATTTAGTTTCCCCAGCAAAACAGTTCGAATTTTGATAAGAGGCCAGCTCCTCAAATTGACTGAACCTGTCATCCTCAACACTGAAACTAGTGACGCCATTGCATTCCAACGCCTCGAAATCCCGCCGTCGGCATCCTTCAACGTCCTCTCAACTGCAATTGGATCGGATTCTCTCTGCAATACTACGACTTGCGCTGTAAGAAGGTAATCCCAGCAACGTTGAAGTATCTACGCCGCCAAGTGTTGCTAGTAGTGACAATCGTTCATGCGCCGATAGTTTGGCAACCCTGAACCTTGGTGCTCTCGGATCGTCGGATGTGGCCATCCGTCATCTAGCTATCACCACGCTCCCAAGTTCATGTGTTTGAGGGGTATTTGTTCCTTAAATTCACTTACCTTCCCAATTGAGCAACCGTACGAGCCCTTTCAACCTAGTGGTCAGTCTGGTGGATCAGGACAATATGCTGCCTAAGCTCCCGATTGACGACTGCCAACTTGAGATGAATCAGCCGGTCTCGTTTTCTTTTTCGTTTGACCCTGACCTTCAAGAACTTACTGAGCAGAAACTTCTTCATTCCAGATTTCCCGAGGAGCAAACCGATTTCAGAGAAGATGACTGGTCCCAAGGATCCAAGGTTTCTCGCATACGGGAGCTGGCCGAACACTGGAGAACACGTTACAGCTGGGAGGACCAAGAGGTACGTTCTAAAAGAGAGGATTTATCTCAGTTGACTCGTCTTACTTGAGAACTGACCGATACTCAGAGAAGAATCAATGAGATCTTCAATCACTACCTGATCAAGATGGATGTCCCGGAGTATGGCCTGGTCACGTTGCACTATACCCATTCGATGTCATCAAGTCCCGAAGCAATACCGCTTTTGTTTGTTCACGGTTGGCCAGGATCATTCTTGGAGGCAAGCAAAATCGTCAACGAGCTCACCGTTGCAAATCCAGACAACGACAAACATCCCACATTCCATGTCGTTGCTCCTTCGATACCGGGCTTCGGGTTCTCTCCTGCGCCGATAAGATCTAGGGTTGGTCCTGAAGTAGTCGCACATGCCTTCAAGAAGTTGATGACGGATGTTTTGGGCTATCCACACTTTGTTACCCAAGGCGGTGACTTTGGCGCTTTCATCACGCGCTGGATGGCCATTCACTATCCCGACGTCGTCCGAGCGCAGCATCTCAACATGTTCCCAGTCTCCGCACCAACCTTACGTTCCGCACCTTTTGCGTACATCCGGTGGTGTCTTTCAGGACTTCTATACTCCACCTACGAGAAGAATCTCATGAGAATATCGACTGCGTTCGAGGAGGATCAGAGTGCATATTTGCATCTGCAGGCCACAAGACCTCAAACACTAGGTTTTGCTCTTGGCGACTCGCCCATCGGTCTGCTGGCTTGGGTTGTAGAGAAGTTGCAGTCATGGATAGACGTACCCGAATCTCTGGATAACGACGATATCATCAACTTGGTTATGATGCATTGGATCCAAGCAGCCACTCCTGGCTTGCGCTTTCACAGGGAAGCCTTTGGGGAGAGGCGGGAAGCCGAGAGAGCGTTCGAGGCATATGTCAAAATTCCAACGGGGGTAAGCGTGTTTCCAAAGGAGATACTCGCAGTAAGTAGAAAAATGTCACCTTTCTTGTAGAAAAAGACAACTAACCCTGTATGTTTAGTGTCCGAAGGACTGGGCTCGGCAAGTTGCGAATATTCAATTCTGGCGGCAGCACGAGCGTGGTGGGCACTTCGCTGCTCTCGAGTGCCCCGAGGATCTCGTCAACGATTTGCGGGACTTCTTCTCCTCTAAAGCGGCGAAAACGTCTTTGACTAGACAGTCATAATGCTTAGGAAGTACCCTGAAAGAATTGGAATGGCAATCTTCGTGCATTTCAGCTGACGTGGACACAAAACCGTCAAGTTCGACGAAGAAAACAACTGTGTCGTCCAACTTCGAACTGCCCAGATAATATTGGAATACAGGTTCTCGTCAATTTTAACAATCAATACGAATACAACAGATACCTTTTGTTTCAAGCAATTTATGACTCTTTAAACCGTTCAAAACATAGAACAATCGCGGTTGTTGCGAGTTGACTTCCCTAGGTGGCAACCATTAGGCTAAACTTTCCCATTAACCCTCACTATCAAGCTTCATCACTGTCTCTGTTTTCATGACGCCATAGATTATGAACAAAGTCAGTGACAGGTCGAAAGGCTTTATGCCATGAATAACAGCTTACCGTACGCTTCACCGATAATTTCGAATAATTGAGAAATCCTCTGACGTTTGACCTTTCCGCCTTCTTTCTTGTCATCAGGCCGTAAACCTCATCGGACAGATGCGGTTCGAGTCGCCCTGAAAGGCAGTCATGCCCGAGAAAAACGGGCTCTGATATGCAGTCAGCAAGTGGATGCGACAGTAGCCTCAGACTGATCGACAAATGAGAGCAATATCTTATGTCCTCTGAACAAGTGTCATTCGATCGATTGAATTTGCCGACAGATCTGAGCCACGCGCTTTACTCAAATCATAATGAGCAGTTCACCAAGAGCTGATCTTCTCGGTCAGTGAGACGGCAACGCTACAAAACCGTCTTGGTCGGTGGGGTGCCGAGGTTCAAGACGGCCTACGAAGACCTGCAGTCAGATTCAATAGTGGATGCTTTGAACGGTTTCGATGTTAGTACCTGTTAAACTGCGTGTCTGGTTGGCTCATGCCGTCGGAGCTTCCATGCAACTCCTTCGCTTTTCTGAAGTCCGAGCCGGCCTTGGTGTAACCTAGAATTGAGCTTCTAGCCTCATGTTGATATCATGCTGCGTTGTACTGGGCTGACCAGAGGAAAAAGACGCAATAAACTGAAGCCCAACCCCTCAATCTCGTGTGTCTGGGTGCTTTCTGGCAGTTTTCCTCCTTAAGTTCCAAACATCTTTCGGAAGCATCTCTGCCATTAGGCTTCCCACGTATCGCACTATTATTGTAGTGCACGTTGTCTCATCTTGTTACCTCGTACCAAAGATGAAGGAAACAGTGCTTATTTTCGGTTCATCCGGTAACATTGGAGTAGCCGCCGTAATTGGTTCCTTGCGAGCAAAGCGCCATGTGATTGCGCTCGTTCGTAACCAAGACAGCGCCAAGAAGATACTCGAGTATGTCGGAAGTAACGATGGCATTACGATCGTTGAAACCGACATCACGTCGGAAAGCGCGGTACGAGATGTAGTCAATCAGGTCCGCGAAGGCAAGCTACCGGCCTTCCAGCATGTTTTCGCCTCACGTGAGTATCAAAACACGTCCCGTTACTTCTTTGACAACTATTGAAACAGTACTAATGATGGCGTATAGCCGGGGGTCTGTACTGGGAGACATCGCTTGTCGATCTAGAGGCTGATAGCTTGCGTGAAATCATGAAAGCGAACTTCGAAACCTACCTTCGTAAGCGACATCATGAACATACAACGGGTTCTTCCCGGAATTACTGACTAATGGCGATTAGTTGCTTACCGTGCCACTGTTCCATTTCTCCTGAAGCAGGGCGTGCCAAACAGCACATGGACAATGTGCACCGGCGCCTCAGGCGACATGGGTCTTCGAGGTGCTCCAGCAATCACACAGGGAGCTTTATTCAGCTTTGCTACTGTGGCTGCTCGCGATAATTTGGAGACAAATGTACGCTTCAATGAAATCTACCTGGCATATCGTGTCCAGCATCATGTCGATCTGTCCGACAAACGCCAGTACTTGGGCCTGATGCATCTTCAGTCAACAAGGGACTTTGCCCCTCTCTACGAGAAGCTTTTGGACAGGACAGACATCAGGAGTAAGAGAGTCAACGCCCTCAGCCCCAAAGACGTGGTGGAGTTGAACTACGAAACGCGTTTCAAGGACTACTGAGAGTCAGTGGCCTCATGTTCATGGGATGAAGGCGAAAAGGGAGAACATGGTGAGGCCTTGGCAAATCTCTGGTATTCAAACTCCGAAGCGGCCGATGTAGAGCCATGCCTAATGTCACGAAGAAAGCTTCCCCATCATTTACCATCTTGCTACCGGGACAAATGTCTGTCTGCAAAGGGTATCTTCTGTCATTCTTGACGACCCTGGGAGGACCAGGTCAGGGCCAATTGACCATACACCTAGCAACTGGGCTTCGGCTAACAGCACCCCCACGGTTGGTTGAGTTGGCGAACCCTGTGACTGATGGGGAATGGGGAACCAACTTCATCGTTGTCGACAGGCATTGAGGAGCTATTGGCACTTAAAGCAAGCTCGTGTTCTTGCCTCCTTTTCCCGAAGCTTTCTTTGCTGTTCGGGAGGGGCCCACGGATTCCACGGGACTCCTTGGCGAATTGATCGGAGTGTTCTAGGCACTGACGTGGCGGGGGGTTGGCAGCTGATTTAGGGCTGATATACAAGGATTATGCATGCATACCGGCTCTTTCGACGTGAATCCTCCGCTATCTAGCCACTTACTTATCTAGCCATCGTCAGCGTTGCGGCGGAGGGACTACGGTAACAAGATTTAAGCTGTCAAGGAAGCTTCCAGGTAAAGTCTCCATGCCGACATGCGACCGCTTGCGAATGGGCTCATAGAAACCGAAGGATCGAACTAGATTTACTATGGTGTATCAGCTACGTTGTCTATGCCATGAGTTGTTCAGCAATATGCCAGCTGATGCAGACTTCTCAGAGTACGAGCCATTATAACCCAGGCTGCATGGATCTTGGAATGGAATGAAGTTCCACGACATTCTAATCAGAATTTTGAATGTCCGTGAGCAGTTCCCTCTCTCATCTCATCCGCGCCTCACCTGTAAAATAAGATGAGATGAAGGCCCGTGCTTCCAAGGCATGAATCGCCTGTCTCTGGTTGATTGACTCGCAGCTATTTTAGTTCCTTAACAAACCCGTCCGACCTTAACGAAAACGAGCAGTTAAGTCCACAAATCGTCGCATTAGCGCAAACTCTGCCGGCATTCCAGTGCCATCGAGCCGCGGTGATCTCCGCTAATTACATCATCGTCTGAGACAAAACAAACCCGGGCCTCGGGGGCTGAAAAACTCAACCTCATCTCATCCACACTGGACGCCCGGCATGCGACGACGTTCAACCGCCCGAACCCTCGGAGACGACGGGAACTCAAGTTCATCTCACATTTCCACCCTCAATGGTACCGAAAACATGGACTCCGACGACCAGCGATCGGAGGCTGATCAGTCCCGGTCCAGTCCTTCGCCGGAACCGCAACCCCCGACTCCGGCACGGGTACCGACTTCCGCTACCAGTGCAAGCGCCGCGAGAAAGCCGGAGCCCAAGCCGAGTATCATGACAAAACTCGGCCTCGATGTACCGACACTCATGATGATGTTCAAGGGCTCATTACCGCCCCTCATCGGCATTTGCATCTATCAATCAACGCCCGTCGCGCAGTACTTTACGACGTTAGGATATCTCGTTCCTATCATCTCCGTCCTTGCCCTCGCCATCCTTCCGAGAGGCAAATACCTCCAAAACCTAGTCCTCAATGTCTCTGGAATCTGCATAGGTGCGGCAATATCGATGCTTGCATTATGGTCCGGTGTGCAGGCAAGGCGCAACACGGCCTCGGCCCAAGAGCTGGCCAGCGGGTTGCCAGTCTACAATTCCAGTCAATCAGCAGTCTGTGGTGTTTGGCTATTCTTTAACATCTGGATCTCCAACACGCTGCGTGCTAAGTACCCGGCTATGAACCTGCCGGTCATGATCTACTCCATTTTCATGAACGTGGCATGCACTTTCGGACCACTCATGGTCACGACTGCCTCGGCCGAATCGTTCGTGCGACGACTCCTGGTAGCCATGCTGTCCGCCATGGGAATCGCGACCGGTGTTGCCCTGTTCATCTTCCCGGTGTCTAGCCGCAAGGTGGTTAGCGGGGAATTCAAGGGAGCCATCGGTTTAGTCCGGAAGTCGATCCGACTGCAATTGAATTATTTGCAGGTCCTTTCGAGAGAGGATATGCTAGAGCGAGAGCCGACAAGGGCTAGCAGTTCCTTCCGGAGAAAGGAGAAGGGCCCCCAGTTGACGAAAGAGGCCAAGGCAGCGGGCGAGCTGAAGGCGACGGCCTTGGCCATCTCGGCACTATTTGGAAAGATGCACGGAGATATGGTCTTCGCTAAGAGAGACATCGCTTACGGAAAGCTGGACGCGAAGGACCTGAGCGAGATCTTCAACCGGCTGCGGAGTGTCATGATCCCCTTGAACGGAATCAGCACGATCGTCGACATCTTCCGTCGCGCGGCCGAAAAGCATGGATGGGGCACCGACGACGGCATGGGTGACTCGGACGTGGAAAAGACGTTGGAACAGAAGGTGTGGAACGACATTATGACACAGCTTTATGAGCCATTCGAGATTCTCACGGAGGCAATGGATCAGGGGTTGGATCATGTGGGCATCGTCCTGGAACTTACGCCAAAACCGAAGAAGACCAAAGCTGCAGACGTCGAGATGGAAGCAGGCGCAAAGGCAGTACCCAAGCCTGGAGAGAGTGGATTCGCGGAAGTCTTAGCGGACAAGGTGCAAGACTTCAACGACAAGAAGGGCGAGATGCTGAAGGCGTGGTTGAAGGAACGACGACTGGCTACTGAACAGGAGCGACAAGACCTGAACCTGAAGCGATTGGAGACGAGGATGAAAGAGCGGGACCAGACTCAACTCTACGTCATGCTGTACATGGAAAAGCTCATGCTCGCCCTGGGTGAAGCCGTTCAAGACCTAGTCATGTTCGCTGACTCCAAGGTGGCCGACGGAACCATGTCCAAGAAGCGCCTGATTATTCCCTCGCAGCGACGGATCAAGAAGTGGTTGAGAGGTGCATGCAGCGCCCAGGACGGAACTCCCGAGCAGAACCCCGACATGGCAGACATGGGAGCCAATGTCGTATACGCGGGCGACGGCTACAATAAGAAGAAGGACCCCGAGCATCTCCCCGCCCACGGTTGGTGGCAGCACTTCGGCAATAGGTTGCGCAAGATTTCGGCATTTGTGGGCTCGGGAGAGTCCCTCTTTGGCTTCCGCGTAGCGGTGGCTACGATGACCGTCGGCATTCTTGCGTTTCTTCAGAACACCCAGACGTTCTTCAACGAACAACGACTTGTCTGGGCAATGATCATGATCGCTATTGGAATGACCATCACGGCGGGCCAGTCTATTTTCGGCTTCGTGTGCCGTGTCGGAGGAACGCTCGTTGCGATGATCCTCTCTTACATCATCTGGTACATCGTGGTGGAGCGAACAGCTGGAGTCATTGTTTTCTTATGGCTCTTCACCTTCATTGAACAATACTTCGTACTGAAGTATCCACGATTCATGCCAGTTTGGCTCATCATGATTATCACTCAAGTTCTCATCATCGGCTATGAGTTGCAAGTCCAGAAGATCGGCGAAGTCGCCGCTGCCGCCACAGGACAGCCATACTACCCGACCTACCTACTCGCACCCTACCGTCTCGCATGCGTAGCTGCCGGTTGTGCTGTCGCCTTCATTTGGACCGTATTTCCCTCGCCGATTACCGATCGCAGATGGCTCCGCATGGATCTCAGTGCATCCCTCTACCTTCTGGCGAACTATTTCAGTGTCATCACTGAGACGATCAAGGCCACTATGACTGATACCCACGGCGATATCAAGATGCCAGGAACGCCGGCACACAAGATGGAGAAGGAAAGACGTCGGATCTTGGGCAAATTGTTGCTGCTGCTCCCTAGTTTGGACAGTCATGCACAATGGCAGAAGTGGGAGCCCGATATCGGCGGCAAGTTCCCCCGAGCCACCTATGAGGACATTATCAGGCGATCGACGAGCATCATGCGCTATCTCACGCTGATAGCGTACACAATTACGTGGAAACCCCGCGACAGACCATCAACCGCCTCGTCGTCGAGCGACCGGCAATGGCTTCGTGCCCTGAACCAAGTTCTTGCAGGCATCGAGCCAACGCAACACACCATCCTTTCGACACTCACCCTCTTGTCGAACTCACTGCTCTCCGGCCAATCGCTGCCTCCTTTCATGCAGTTGCCTCGGCCGAACGAACTCACACGCAAGCTGCTCCATCTTCGGGCCCCAGAGCCCCAGCAAGGAATCCAACGAAGAGGAAGTGAGTTGGAGCACAGACTAGTCATGGTCAACACCCACACTGGCGAAGAAGTCCGCTCCACGACGGGCAGATCTGGCTCTGTTGAGTCTCCCACGAGCGATACCTCAACGTTGGCGAGCATGGCTGAGCTGACGGAGATTACGAGTCCCTTGGGCAGTGGGACAATCCTGGACGTGAGGAACGTCGAGCAGCATGGGTACACTGAATTCGCGGTACTACAAGTTTGCAGTTCATTAGTTTGTGACGATCTGGAAGGGTTAGTTCGCGCAGTCAGTAGTTTGGTGGGCGTGGTGGACTTTAGCTTCAAGGTAAACGCCAGTCAGGCAACTCTGAGCAGTAGTGACGAAGACGATGTCACCGGCAAGGCGAAGAAGCATTGATCTGTGGGTAATTGGCCAGAGGCACCCCAAGACATTTAATTAAGAACTATATGAATCGACCGTACAACCCTACCACAGCGGTGACCTATGAAGCAAGCCTTGCGAAATGCTTAAAAGCAAAGAATGCTATTGGAGTCTTCCTCCATATCTTCATCGTCAACCGTGAACTGAGGCGGCTTATCTAATTTATCTTGCTCTGATGCTTAGGTTTCCGGGTTGAAGTATTGCAGCATGCGCATAGAGACCGTCGTCGGAAGATTGTCCCCATGGGTATCACTGCCCGGAGCCAAAAAACCAGCAGCAGGAGTCGTATAATCATTACGGTGGCCGCTAATCTGAGAGGCCTGGTTCAAGGCAGAACCATTGTTATACTCGTGATGCGGCTGCAAATTCAATATGCCGCGTGGCGGATACTTGGCCATGATATCACCAATCGGTAAATCGGGGAGTTGTTGGCCAGGCCCTCCCGCTGTCGCGACAGACTGTGCCTGGTTTCTCCGCCTTTCGTCATTGCCCTCAGACAGTTCCACACGTTTTCGGAGCATCTCTGCCGCTTTGGACTCCGCCCTTGAAAGAGCTTTGACTCCCTTACTCTGGAGATACTTTTCGAGCAAAGTATTTGCAGAGAGACCCGGGAAGCTCTTGTTAGGATATACCACAAATGCGGAAGAGCGCGCTGTAACGCACTCCGACAGTTCTCCCACAGGGCTGTTCAGGAACTCCAGCACCCGCAAGGTGAAAACCAATCGAAACCTCCCTTCCCTCTTCACCGAGAGGTCTTCGAAAAAGCAGAATGCCGAAAAGCACCTGCTTTCTTCATTTTCGATAAAATACGGGGACATAGATCGATTGCCGACCAACAGACCATTGCAGTCTTCATTTGGGTTGTCCACGTTCTCGAGGGTGACGGTGACCAGATAAGTTGGCCCGATCAGGGTAGAACGTTGCTGCTCAGGTGTTGCAGACACGCAGTTAATTGCCACTATAGCCCGCGGGTCGAGCCGGAATCGCGCTGTTCGAACTGTCAGATAAAGTACAACAGACAAGGAAGAGTTTGAGCCATACCTGCGTTCTGGACGAAGCGTTTTTTCGCAGTTTTGCGTCGCGAATTGGGCTTATTGGCTGTGTTTTTGAGGTTGTTGACCTTGGACTTGATCGGCTCCTGCTTTATCGACAAGGAAATTGTGCTGTGATAAGGATTGGAAATCAGGCTGCGTCTTGTTAGGAATACTGTTCGGTACGTCGTGGGGATTCTTTCAATAAGACACGTACCCATTTCCGTTGCCGGTGTCCTGGTAGACGCCTATGTCTTGTTTTGTTGCTTGTAACGACATCTTGATGCAGCGTTGACTCGAAATGAAGATTGTTGTTGGATATTGGTGCAGTGAAAATTAAAGTAGAACAGAAAATTGGATTTCTGTTTTCTGTTGCGGACATTCTCCTTATAGATGTAGATTTGATATCGGAGAAACGCCCTTATACGTGACTTATCCAGCGAAGTTTTCAGAGACGCTGACATTTCTCCGACACATCAATACCTCTTCAGGCCATGGAAATAGAGAACCTTATAGAGAAGTTTTGTTTTGATGTTTCTCCGAAACCAAATCGTCCAGTAGGGAAGGGTTTGTAATGAGGTAAAGGAAGCCCTGAATCGGACAGTCGTAAATAAGATCATGAGAAAACTGGTTCATCATCTTTCTTTTATTAAAATAGCGGCAACTATGTAATGGGTGAATGATATGTACATTTTGGTGCATTCAAAGCTGCTTGTGGAATACTTGAATAGGCGTGAGGTTCCAACTCTAGCTCTGGGGCGAAATAATGAAGATAATTGGAAAACCTAATGCCGTCAATAGGGCGGCTTTTAAAATTAAGCATTAGCTTTAACTATGGAGCACTGGCTATGCTAAAGAAACGTTCATCATAAGACAGAAACAATGTCAACCTTTGGGCACTTGGTAATGAAATCCTATCTTCCATATTTCTTCTCCTTGTTTCTTTCCCTTGATGATACATCTATCACAATTATGCTACAAATCACTCGGTTGAACTTATGTTACATACCTGTGTAAAGACGTTGCCAGAGAAGAAGCAGCTTTTTCGCAGCGAATGCACGAAAATATTTGAATGGGTCGATTCAAGAGGCTGTTGCTTGCCTTCTTCACTGCGTGGCACTGACTTAATTACTCCCCTGGAACGCCAACGTCATCATCAATTACATATAACTGTCAGTGAGCTACTATTGAAGAGCGGACTGCATTTCTTGATATCGTACGGGAGGTAAAAAACAGAATTCAACTGATGAACACTATGAGGTCGAAGTAATCTATAACAGTAATGAACAAATCAAGAGTGACCAACGTGGCGATGTTCATGTGCAATGTTGCTAGTCCCATAAATCACCCCCAAATATCACAGCAAGCCAACTTGTGCAAGATTTCTATGATGAAATGTGTGTGCACGCTTGCTTCTCTTATGTCCACTTGGCCCACAGTGTCTCCAACGCCAGTAGACCAACATGAACCATCAGAATCTGCGAAACGACGATGCACTAAACGCACACGTAACTTCAGGTTAGCTCAACCTCATTATGGTCATGGGTTTCGCACATACTGCCTTGGCGCTCAGGGTAAATTGCACGTGCAACCGTCACCCGCAGAGATGTTGATACAGCTAGGTTCACCAGGCTGCTTGCGGCAATCGGTATTTCCGCAGATGTCTCCTTTACACGAGACCGCGTGGACAGACGAGATAATAGCCATGAGGCTAACGGTGATGAGTTGGAAACGCATGGTTGACGTGGTAGAATCGGTGAAATGTTACAAACAAAATGTCCACTGAGGAATAAGTAGCTGATAGTGATACTCAAGAAGACGAGATTTCTCGAGGTCCTCTCGTTCTAATTTATAATAACATCTTTTGTTACTGAGATAGCACGCCCTAGGGAGGTTTTCAGCGGGATTAGATCTTTCAAACTAGACGGTTTTAGATTGGAGAATCGGCGATTTAGGACATTATGTCCCCGGCTCAGGGCTCTCCTTAAATGAGGTCGAGGTCAATATGAAACCCTGTATTTGCACGTTGATTACTGATATCCTCAACTTACTTGACTCGGTAGCATTGCCAACAACTACCTCGCCCGCAGAAATTCCAAAACGATAGTGTGAGATTCCTTCAGGACAGATCGCAACATTCCTGATTCTCAAGTGTGCCTGCTGGGAGGGATGACATCGTTGGGATAGGCCGTCAAGGTTTTTATTTGAGCCCCTTGAATTTTAACTGGTGAGTCAGATTCTCTACCGGTCTGTTATCTTCTAACGTAATCTACCTAGTCAGAGACTGCCTTAGCCTTGCTAATCTCACCAGACCCGTTGCCACCTCGATTGATCATTTGTGCTGCCTACCCTGAGACAGACCTTTCAAGAAGCCCGAGGCCGGACACTTTGAGGGTTGTGAAAGACGTCCATGGGGTCCCAGGACGCCTTGATGTCCTCCAAGACGGGAAGATTTCCCTGCCAATACGCTGCCTGCGCGTCCCTCAACTCCGAGTCCGCGAATCCAGGATACGCTCCTGGGGTTCGAGTTGCCATCCCATTCAAGATTTCTCGATGGAAACCCTCCAAAACGCCCTCTGTTGCGGCGCAGCCGCTAGGCGCGAACGACTGGTAGAACATGACCTTGTCTCGGTGCGCAAAAGCCGTCGCGCTGGTGGGGACATCGGAGATAGCACCGCCTGCAGCCTGGAACTTGATTGACCACGGGCCTGATTCCTGGTCTTGGGCAGTGGCTCGTTCGAAGAGCGCAGAGATTGCGGCCTTTGAGAACAGGTCTGCTTTGGTGAAACCAAGTCCCTTGGAGAAGAACTTGCTCGGAGAGGTGGACTTATGGCGGGCTTCTTGAATACCATGCTTCATGAGGGAGCTTTCCCAGGTCTCATGACTGAGAAGAGCAGGTGCTGCACCCGAAGGAAGCTTCCCGAGAATCTCGGACTGTTGGAGATCATCTTCGGAACCGTACCACGTAGCGGAGATGCTGGCGCCGCCGCCGGAAGTCAAGGTGAATTCTGTACCAAGGCGCTGATCAAGGGTTGAGTCGGCAATCAGGGTCTGCCACTGGTGAAATGCATCGACCTTCTCCTCCAGGCTGGAAGACTGGAAGTCGTGCGTGTAGTGAAGGACTTCCTTTGGAGCTGGATGGGTCTTCATCGTGAATTCAGTGACGATGCCGAAGCTGGCGCCTGCTCCTCTGATCGCCTGGGAATCATAGTCAGCAACAGCTGTTACCTAATCAAATGTGTATAACTTACAAAGAATAGGTCGGGGTTCTCCTTCTTGTTCGCGCGTACGAGGGTGCCGTTTGAGGTGACCACTTCAACCCCCTCGACGTGGTCGAGAGTAGTTCCCCACATGCGAGACATGGGACCGATCCCTCCCTGAGAGCTGTTAGAAGACTGCGATATACGTATGGCCAAGAACCTAAAGACTTACGACAGTCGCATGCCCACCGATACCAATGTCACCACAGACTCCGCGGGGCATGGCTCGCTTGTATGGGCCAAGGTGCTCCTCAATCTGTCCCAACCTCGTTCCGCCTCCGACGCGAATGCTCCGAGACGGGTTCAGCATGTTGACAGATGTGTATTGGAAGTGGTGCATGTCAATAGTGATGGCACCATTCTCGCCACCAAGACCTATTCGTATGCGGTCAGTACATGTCATGCCTCAACCTCTTCTGGCGCAAACTCGTGACAGGACGTTACGAAAGCTTACCGTGGTTCCTGACAACAGAATTAGTGATCGAGTATTCTGGGCAAAGTTCAATCCACTTACGCAAAGGAGTGCCCACCAGCCTTAGCCTGGACCTTGGTATCGTGCTTGAGAGCACATTTGACAACGCCAGCAACTTCCCCTGCGTTCTTCGGTCGAACAACAGCAACCGGAACGGAGGTTTGACCGAGGTTGAAGGGTTGGACCCAGTCGCTCATACCGTCGTCGCCAAAACGTACGCAACTAGCGCGGCCGGCACAGACGTCGTTGATGCACGACTCGAGCGTTGCGGGTTGAAGACCGGCTCCCGGGGCGAAGTAAAAACGAGCCGCAGCCGCCGCAACGGCGACGGTGACAGCAGCACGCCACGTCTTCTGTTTCGTGCTCTTCATGTTGGTCATTCTGAGGTCTGAAACCTTCTTGTAGCTCTCTGCGAACGCCATGATGCAAAGACGGAACGATGATTTGTGTAAGATGATAGTTGAGAATTAAGTCATCGGCCTGCGATGGGATTTGAGATATACCGAGCTCAATTATCGGACGGACTGGAAATTCAGATTCTGCCGGAACTTTATAGACGCCCGGAACTTTTACGCGGTCCATCCAAGATGCCTATCGCACACGTTGATCGGCCGCAGGGCGGCCGGCATGTGCTACCACGTCCGAAAACGGGCCCACAACCCGCATCGCCGATCGGACTTGACCCGGAGCGTCATCGGACCGCAAAGTCAAGTTTTGCGGCGCAGCTGGGTGCAGGAGGTGGCTTGAAATTCTCACAGCAACGCGGCTTGTGGGCTTCCGCGGTGCCTCCCGCGAACGGTTTCGGTTGACACATGTCTTGAAAATGGCACCGGTCGATGCTTGACAAGATGTAGCCCGAGACATGTGTAGCCGATCAACAGGCGCCGTTTGTCTCGGGAGGCTTGGAGGCTTGTTCGTTAGCTTGACTTTGATTATTCCAACAGCAGAGATTGGGCATGTTTCATCCCGCTGGGAGAGACATGTGTCAGTTGGCTACGTTCACGACGGCTTCGGTTTAGGGCCGGAACATTTTTGTTGCGGCATTATTACAACGGCGGCACGCTCTTCAACAATCACTAGATTTCTTCAACTGTTGATTTCCATCATGGTGGAGGAGGAGGAGAAGTAAGGCTGCCCCATCAACACGGATACAGTCCATTCATGTTGCGTTGCAGCGGAGGAGAGTCTGAAGACTATCAAGGACCAGTATCGTAGGTTACGCCGTTTTCCAGATACCAGCTTGTTCACCCAATGCTCTTCGAAGGCCATTTTCCATATGCCCAGAAAACAGAGAAAGTATAACCTCATGTTGAAGGTTCTTGACCATTCAATCGAATCAACTCGATCCAGACCACTTAGCCAAAACACACACGCATGCGCGGAAAATCCCGAATGTCTCTCAAGCAACCGGCCGTAGAATAGACGACGCAACCCGTCTTCGAATACAGCAGTAGATTTTTCCACGGCTCTCTGCGTCAGGAAAGAGAGCAAACTGCCGTTCCTTGAAGATAGGCTTCACGGACTACGCACTACGCATCCGTTCAAGCCAAAGCCGTAACAGACCTCTCCAAACCGAAGGGACTGCCCTCCAAAACAACGACAAGAAAATATCGTGCAAACCTCAGAACGAACAACCGACTTCAACTCGTCGTCACGATTTCCATCCTCAGGCTCGAGCACTCGCCCAGCACCCTTCCTTCCCACAAACATCCTCCTCCTCCAACGCACCAAAACCCGTACCCTCACCCACACACATCATCATCAACCCGCCCTCCCACTAATTCCCAAACCACCATCAATTATCACATCGCATTATATCCCCTCGTCAAGACATCTTCCCATAACTCTCGCTGGGAACCCGTTCGTCGAAGCGGGGTTCGTTCTCGGAAAAGGGGTCCCGATCGAAACACCCAGGGGGGCTGAGGGCCGCCGTCGAAGATCGTTTCGAAAAGGAAGAACACGGAGACGTTTCGAGAAGGAGGTCGTCGATGGAAGTATTTGGAAATCGATTGCAGAATGGTACGAGGAGAGGTACTCGGTTGGTTTGTTTCGAGGTCCGTTTCGAGTAGATCGCGTCCCAGCCCTGGGTCGCGTCTATCTCTGTCGTCAGCATGGAGTTCAGTCCGTCCAACGCCGTCACCATTTTTTCCCAGCCGCAGTGGGCTCTTCAAATTATAACGTCTTTTCGTAATAATAAAAGGGAACTAGAAATGTTGGAAAATGTGGCATTCTTTTGTATTCGTTTCAAAAGATCTCGAACTGATCGTACGCGGTACGCTAAAAGACAAGAAAAGGCAGAAATCCCCAACCAACTCCAGCAGCGCGGCCTCTCCTCTAAAAAGTAAGCTCTCCAAAGCCCCTAAAAACAAACCACTACTTAGATCTCGTTCCTCCCACGGATTTACTTGGTTATCAGATATCTGACAGACGCCATCGCAGCAGCCCAAAACCTAGCTTGACCCAGGGGCCCCGTCAAGCCTCTAAGCTCGCCGGTAGCGATCACAAGATCTCAACCACTGAAGACTCTCCCATGAATATCTCTCTCTCGGGGGGCCATAAGAGAGGCATGTCAAGCTTTGGGGGGTTTCGGAAAGATCCAGAGTTCGGTATGCCGGTGGTAGAGACGGGCCCGGCAGCTACAAGGTGCGTTTGAACGAACCGAAGAAACCCCTTTGTTGGAACGGCCTCCAGAGAGACGACAGAGACGAGTGCCGGTATCCCTACACGCAATCTAATAACATTGGACAGCAATATACCTGAAAGTACGGGGTGTGCCATCCTGGAAGTTTGTTTGCTCCCGACTTTTGGTATTGTATTTCGGCTGAATTCACAACGCAGTTTCGGGGCACTGGCCGACACCGTGAGGGACATGATGAACGGAACATCCGCCCTCGGTCCGCTCACTGTCGTGGCATAACTGTCACAATCCTGACAGAGGCGTCTGGGTCGGGATAGTCTTGGTCATCGCCGCCAAGTCTGGGACAAAAGTCGTTGCGGTCGAGCAGGAGAGTCATCGCCTCCCTCATGCCCAGTCTTCGCATACCTCCGTGACCTCCAAGGTACCATCGTGCCCAGTTGGGTGCAAGATGCAGCAGTCATGTGCTGTCTGGACACATCCTTCCTCGATGCCCGGGCACGATCTTTTCGCCACCCCAACTAATAACACATACTGTCCACCGGCTTCGGAGGACTGGGCCTGCACTCCGATCGCAATATGGTTCGATCAGCAGTGTGAACGGGCGTTTCGTCCCCCACAGAGAGGAAGGTACAATTGCTTTTGCGCCGAATGCAGATGTACGACGGCATTATCACATCCAGTACAAGCCTAGACCAGTGCAGAATAAGGCTCGTGAGCCTGCATGACGCCGGCAAAATCTGCAAATCACACGAACGCCAGAGTAAACCAGCTTCATGCTTGGACTATTGGGTGCCCAACTCCACTCGGATCCGAACTTACAACGCTTCTTCTCATCACTCGCTTGCAGACCGCTCACCGTAGCTGCTCTCGATTGAGATTGTTGGTACGTTGACGTCGCATAATCCACTGGTTCAGGAAGCGATGTAACAATGCTTTACCGACCCGTTGTTGGCAACCCTCACAGCCAGTGAGGGGAAGAGCCGGAAAGCTAGGCCTGGAAAGCCGGGGATCGCAGGGCGAACAAATGAAGTCTGGCTCGTTTGTCAAGAGAGAAAGCCAATATTCGCCTGCGTTCGTCGGTCGGTTCAAACGAAACAATTAAATCTCCGGACCCGTCCACGGTATTTGCCCAAAACGAGGGGGAAAGAACAAGGCAGATCGGATGCACTTAGAGTTGCAGTGCAAATTGTCCGACACCAGAAAAGAGGCATCGCTAAAGGGTCTTGACCTGCAGAAGCGAGGGAGGGCAGCAATGGACACGAGGTTGTTGGTGAAAGATGGTGTGAGGAGTGGAGAATCGGTGAGTGAAGACTGGTGAGAGCCATTGATGAGGTTTCGAGGCTGTGAAGGATGCTGGCGACATGGGAAGACCTTGGTTTTGGGCTTCGCCAGGTAATTATGGCTTGGAAAAGGCAAAGAAAATCAGGGAATGCCGTGGGGTAGACATCAATATTTGCCATGTCGTTGAACGCCCGTCGTCTGCAACTTCCAATGTGTCCTTGAAAGTGGGCAAAGGCAAGATTGCCTACGCAGGGCGCCTCTTGACCGGCTGCAATTTACGAGCCGCGTCCCGCCCGGTGTTCCGAGTCCAAATCAGGATTCAGGCGACAAGCGAGTCGGGACGCCCCTTGTAAGGCGTAAGCAACGACGGGAACTTGTAGCAATGCAAGAACACGCGAGCATAGTTGCCCAAGGTGGGCTGTCTGCATATGTGTCGAACAACGCATTTTGCTGCACGATCCAAAGGCCTCACAAGTCGGGAGTGGCAAATGCAACCTAGTCGCGGCGTAATTGCAGAATGCTTCTCAGGACCCAATTTGCTGCAGGTAGGTTGACGTCGCTTTTGTGCTTGAAAGTTGCGGTGTTGATCGAGACGCAGTCCAACACCGTCGGACTGCGTTCGACTGCTGCACCGTAGTGAAAGCATTCGCTATATCGAGCTGATCGTCAATCGCCTCTTTGGTTCGTTTGCTTCCGAAGTGACATGTCCGTGCCACAAATTGTGTGGAAGTCGACATGATCATCTTCCATTCCGTGCTCAAGATGCCCATCAACGGAGAGGCTCACGTAACCGACATATTACTGACCATTTTGGCGGCCGTTGATCGCGCGCAGCAAATGTCAATCGACGTCCATCGCAGTCTCTCAAAGGCGTGGATCTCCTCTGCGACGCACCCCGCATCTCTGAATTGACGGAGCCATTGGACAAACGGTGCTGGTCGTCATTTGTGGACCGACGCGACCTGTATCCGTGGATGCGACCAGTCTCTTGGGCTTGATTCTGCGCTGATCAATCATACGTGCCGAGAGATACTCAGTCTTGTGAGTTGCTGCTCGAACCGAATCAACGTATCCAGATAAACTGTGTATGCATCAACCTCAATGAGTTTCATCGGTGTCAATTCAATGAATCGTCCATGGAGCGAAGAATTCAGCATGTGAACACCAAAAACGCCGGGCTAGCCTATCGCGTTAGCCCAAAATAGCCCAAACAGGCCGGCAGGCGCAGCGATGCTTGAAACATGGGGCGCGCAATAAAACGTAGGTGACATGGGCTTCTCTGGAGTCTCGAACGACATCTTGGCTGGGGTTCGGAGATTCGAACCTTTTGGCGAGGACCCCCAAGCTGCAGACCGGCTGGCAGTTTCCTTCGACCTGCCCTCCTTGCTCTATTTGACCCCCGACGAAGCGGACAAGTCCAGAGAGGCATGTCGCAGTGGCACTTGGTTCATTTCCCCAACTCGCCGGCAACGTCGTAGCACTTGAGCTCGGGACATTCCATAA